CTCAACCAACAAACAAGCCAAAAATATAAAAGGTAGGTAAGGACAGTCTCTGCAATAAATGATGTTGGGAAAACTGGACACTTATATGCAAAACAACCGAACTGATCCAGTATCTTACAATATGCAGAGAACTGAACTGAAAATGCATTAAGCTTTGAGAAGAAGACCTGAAACCACAGAACTAGAAAAAACAGGTAGAAACTTCTTTAACAGCTGTCTCAGAAATGATTTTTCGATCTGGTTCTAAACACAAAAGAACAGCAAATGGTAAAAACTGGAATTATAGCAGAGGTCAACAAGGTAAAACAAAGAGAAATGAAAGAAAATGAAATAGGAGAAATTATTTGCAATTAATATACTTTGTAAGGGGCTAATATCTAAAATATATAAAGAATTCATACAACTGTATAGCAAAAAAATAAAAATAAAAACTTCATTGAAAGAGGGCCAAAGGTCTCAATAGACATTTTTTCCAAAGAAGATATATAGATGGCAAACAGGCCCAGGAAGTGTTGCTTTATATCTGCAATCATCAAAGAAATGAAAATCCACACCAAGAGAAGTTATCCCCTCACATGTTCCAAAATAGCCATCATCAAGAAAAACACAAATAAATGTTGGCAAGAATGTGGAGAAAAAGAAATATTTGAGCACTCTTGGTGGGAATGTAATTTGTTGTAGCCAGTATGGAAAACACTATGAAGGCCCTTCTAAAAATAAGATTACCTCAGCAGCCAGCAATCCCACTCCTGGACATATACTGGGAGAAAGCTGTCAATTGAAAGGATAATGCACTCTAGTTACAATGCCTAACATGTGGAAGCAACCTCAATATCCACTGCCAAATGGATAAAGAAGATGTGGTGTATATACACAATGGAATACTACTGAGCCATAAAAAGAATGAAATGCTGCCATTTACAGCAACTTGGATGGACCTGGAGATGATCAGAGAAGTGAAGTCAGTCGACAGAGAAAGACAAATATCTTATGATACAGCTAATATGTAGACTCTTAAAAAGTGATACACATGAACTTATGCACAAAATAGAAACTGACACACAAGTTTTAAAAGCAAACTTTTGATTACCAAATGGGACAAGTGAAGGGAAGTGTAAATAAGGAGGTTGAGATTAACAAACAGATGCTACTATATGTAAAATAATCAACAAGGACCTACTGTATAGCACAGGGACGTCTCCACAATATTCTGTAATAACTTATAAGGGAAACGAATCTGAAAAAGAATAGATCTATGAATCTGTGACACCACACATAAAAATAAACTGAAAATGGATTAAAGATGTAAATGTAAGACTAGGCACTATAAAAAAGTTAGAGAAAAACAGAGGCAGAAGACTCTCTGACATATATCGCAGAAAGATCTTCTCTAATCCAATTGCTAGAGTGATGAAATTAAAACAAAAATAAAAAAATGCAGCCTAATCAAACTTAAAAACTGACCCCTGGGAGACAGTGTTTTCCCAACATAAAAAGAGCGCACAGAAAGGAAGAAAATATCTCCAAATGAAGTGAGCAACAGGGGATTAATCTTCAAAATATGTAACAGCGCATGCAGCTCAACATTTACAAAAAAAAAAAAAACAAACTAAAATCCTCAATCAAAAAATACATGGAAGATCTAAATACACATTTCTCCAAAGAAGGCATACAGGTGGCCAAGAAGAACATGAAAAGACACTGAACATCACTAATTATTAGAGAAATGAAATGAAAACTACAACGAGGTATCAGATCATACCAATCAGAATGGCCATCATCAGAAAATCTACAAAGAATAAAAGCTGTAGAGCGTGTTGAGCAAAGGGAAGCCTCATACATTGTTGGTGAGAATGGAGATTTGTATAGCCACTATGAAAAGCAGTATCAGTTCAGTTCTGTCCCTCAGTTTTTCTGACAGTATGAAGGATCTTAAAAGACAAAAATAAGAGTTATGCTATGATACAGTCATCTTACCCATGGGCAAATATCCAGAGAAAAACATAATGTGAAAAGATACTTGTTCCCCAATGTTCGTTTCAGCACTATTGACAATAGCCAGAAGACAGAAGCAACTAAATGATCCTCGATGGAGGAATAGATAACGCATATGTGTTTCATGTTTACAATGGAATATTACCGACTCTTAAAAAGAACAAAATAATTCTATGTGTGCAACATGGATGAACCTAGAGATTGTCATACTGAGTGAAGTCTGATATAGAATGACAAATATATGATGTCACTTACATATTGAATCTAACAGAATATTACATATAAACCTATTGACAGAAATAGAGTCTCGAATGTAGAGAACAAACTTATGGTTACCAAAGAATGGTGAAGGATAAATTAGGATTGACAAATACACTCTACTATACATAAAATACATAAAGATCTACTGGAGAGCAAAGGGTACTCTATTCAATTCTTTGTAATAACCTACATGGAAATAGAATCTAAGACACGAAAGTATATATAAATGATTCACTCTGCTGAACAGCAGAAACTCACAGCACTGTAAAGAATGATGTTACAATCAAAATTTAAAATTATAAAACAATGAATCAAGACACATAAATATAAGAACTGAAAACACAGAACCTCATCTCACTCTCACAATTTCTATAACCACTGTTCATTTTTCTGACCCTGATGCTTGCTCAGCATATAGAGGATTTTAGCCAAGTTCCCTGTCCATGGTGCGAATGGGTGGCGGGGATTGAAGCAATCTCAGTGTCTGGGGGATAGAAGACAATGTGGGCTGGCGCTGGCTGTGCTGAGCAGACCAGCCCTTGGACTGACTCCCACTGAGACGTACTGCCCACCTGAACACTGTCTCCCACGGCTCAGGGATATATCCTGTGTCATAGGAGCAGATGATTGGCTACACAAACAATGACACCACAAGGAAGGATCAACATGATTGAAAAATACCTCTGATAATGTTATATAGATTTTCCAAAGGACTTTCAGAGAGTTAGTTACCTATAGATGGATGAGGTGGAGAGAAGAAGAAACTGTCTTGAGACAGTCTCGAGATCCATTAAGCAAGTCGAAACTCCTGACTTCTTTGATGGGGATCACGGAATAGCTGTGCATGCACTGCAGGCGAAACGGGCCTCATCTCGCATCTTCGGGGAAGTCTCATGGTTTTTCTCGAGTTGCGGTGGGGACCTGAGGTATGTTCTCGAGTTACGGCGGTGAAGGCCCTTCAACACACGTGTATATTCAGTGACGTCAGGACTCCTGTCTAGTAACGAGGGACATCTCAGGAATCTCCTTGAGGTTTGGCAGGGCAAAAGGGAGACTTATCGAGGTGAGGCAGGGCACCCAAGGACCCTTTCCAGTAGCCACAGGGATTTTGGTATTCCTATCAGTATTCAAGAGGAGTCAGGCATCGTCACTTTTTGAAGCAGTGAACTCCAAGTGCCTCTCGAGGTGTGAACGGATTGTGACGCATTCCGTCAAAATGAGGTAGGGACCTAGGGCTTTCTCTAAGGTCTCCACAGGGGATTCAGACATCCCTTCATGTTGTGAGAGGAAAGACGAACCTGTATTCAAACCACTGCAAGGAAATCCGGCCTCCTTTCAAGTTAGGGCTTCTCGCTGTATATTCCCCTTGAGGCAGCAAACTCGGGGTCCCTCCCCCTTAACTATTGCTGAGAGAAGCCTCCTCTTGAGGTGCTTCTGGAAAGTTGGCACACGTCTTGAGCTTAAGCCAGGGAATCAGCTCTCATCTCGAGACGATTTGGGGTACACGGAGCATTCCTCGAGTTGCTGTGCTGAAGTTGGTGTTCCTCTAGACTTGGGACAGTGTTCTCGGGGCACCTCTGGAGTTGCCTGAAGGAAGTCAAGCCACTGGTCATGTTTCATGGGGAACGGGGGATGGCTCTGAAGTCAATGCAGGAGAATCGGGCCTCATCTCGAGTTGATTTGGGGCACATGGAGCTGCTGTGGGTTGCTGGGGTGAACTCAGGGTCCGTGTAGACTTGTGGCAGTGTTCTTCGGGACTCTCTCGAGATCCATTAAGCAAGTCGAATCTCCTGACTTGTTTGATGGAGATCACGGCATTGCTCTGCATGCCATGCAGGGGAATCGGGCCTCATCTCGCATCTAGGGGAAAGTCTCATGGTTTTTCTCGAGTTGCGGCAGGGACCTGGGGTATGTTCTCGAGTTACGGTGGGGATGGCCCTTCAAAACACGTGTTTATTCAGTGAGTTCAGGACCACTGTCTAGTAATGAGGGACACCTCAGGAATCTCTTCTAGGCTTGACAGGGCAAAAGGGACGCTTCTCGAGGTGAGGCAGGGCACCCAAGGACCCTTTCCAGTAGCCACAGGGACTCTGGGATTCCTATCAGTATTCAAGAGGAGTCAGGCATCGTCACCTTTGGAAGAAATGAGCTCCGCGTGCCTTTCGAGGTGTCAACGGGATGTGAGGCATTCCGTCAAAATGAGGCCGGGACCTATGGCTTTCTCTAAGGTCTCCACAAGGGATTCAGACATCCCTTCATGTTGTGAGATGAAAGACGTGCCTGTATTCAAGCCACTGTAAGGAAATCCGGCCTCCTTTCAAGATAGGGCTTCTCGCTTTATATTCCCCTTGAGGCAGCAAACTCGGGGTCTCTCCCACATACCTATTGCTGAGAGAAGCCTCCTCTTGAGGTGCTTCTGGAAAGTTGGCATACGTCTTGAGCTTAAGCCAGGGAATCCGGTCTAATCTTGAGATGATTTGGTGTACACAGTGGTTTCCTCGAGTTGCTTTGCTGAATTTGGTGGTCCTCTAGACTTGGGACAGTGTTCTCTGGGCATCTATTTAGTTTCCTGAAGGAAGTCAAGCCACTGGTCGTGTTTAATGGGGAACGGGGTATGGCTCTGGAGTCAATGCACGGAAATCGGGCCTCATCTCGAGTTGATTTGTGGCACATGGAGCAGCTTTGCGATGCTGGGGTCACGTCATGGTCCGTCTAGACATGTGACATTGTTCTTCTGGACTGTATCAAGATCCATTAAGCAAGTCGAAGCTCCTGACTTGTTTGATGGGGTCAAGGAATTGCTTTGCATGCCATGCAGGGAATCGGGCCTCATCTCGGATCAAGGGGGAATTCTCATGGTTTTTCTCGAGTTGCGACGGGAACCTGGGGTATGTTCTCGAGTTACAGCGGGGATGGCCCTTCAAAACACGTGTTTTTTCAGTGACGTCAGGACTCTTGTCTAGTAACGAGTGACACTTCAGGAATCTCTTCCAGGCTTGGCATGCAAAAGCGATGATTCTCGAGTTGACGCAGGGCACCCAAGGACCCTTTCCAGTAGCCACAGGGATTTTGGGATTCCTATCAATATTCAAGAGGAGTCAGGCATCGTCACCTTTTGAAGCAGTTAACTGCGCGTGCCTCTCGAGGTGTCAACGGGATGTCAGGCATTCCGTCAATATGAGGCAGGGGCCTAGAGCTTTGTCTAAGGTCTCCACAGGGGATTCAGACATCCCTTCTTGTTGTGAGATGAAAGACGAGCCAGTATTTAAGCCACTGCAAGGAAATCCGGCCTCCTTTCAAGTTAGGGCTTCTCGCTGTATATTCCACTTGAGGCAGCAAACTCGGGGTCCGTCCCACATACCTATTGCTGAGAGAAGCCTCCTCTTGAGGTGCTTCTGGAAAGTTGGCATAGGTGTTGAGTCTAAGCAAGGGAATCAGCTCACATCTCGAGACGGTATTGTTACACGGAGCATTCCTTAAGTTGCTGTGGTGAAGTTGGTGTTCCTCTAGACTTGGGACAGTGTTCTCGGGGCACCTCTGGAGTTGCCTGAAGGAAGTCAAGCCACTGGTCGAGTTTAGTGGGGAACTGGGGATGGTTCTGGAGTCAATGCAGGGGAATCCGGCCTCATCTCGAGGTGATTTGGGGCACATGGGGATGCTTTGCATTGCTGTGGTGACCTCAAGGTCCTTCTAGACTTGTGAAAGTGTTCTTCGGAATGTCTCGAGATCCATTAATCAAGTCAAAGCTCCTGACTTGTTTGATGGGGATCAAGGATTGCTTTGCATGCCATGCAGGGGAATCGGGCCTCATCTCGCCTCTAGGGGGAAGTCTCATGATTTTTCTCGAGTTGCGACGGGGACCTGGGGTATGTTCTCGAGTTATGGTGGGGATGGCCCTTCAAAACACGTGTTTATTCAGTGACGTCAGGACTCCTGTCTAGTAACGAGGGACATCTCAGGAATATCTTCGAGGCTTGGCAGGGCAAAAGGGATGCTGCTCGAGGTGAGGCAGGGCACCCAAGGACCCTTTCCCGTAGCCACAGGGATTTTGGGATTCCTATCAGTATTCAAGAGGAGTCAGGCATCGTCACCTTTTGAAGCAATGAACTCCGCTTGCCTCTCGAGGTGGCAACGGGATGTGAGGCATTTGTCAAAATGAGGCAGGGACCTAGGTCTTTCTCTAAGGTCTCCACAGGGGATTCAGACATCCCTTCATGATTTGAGATCAAAGACGAGCCTGTATTCAAGCCAGTGCAAGAAAATCCGGCCTCCTTTCAAGTTAGGGCTTCTCGCTGTATATTCCCCTTGAGGCAGCAAACTCGGGGTCCCTCCCACATACCTATTGCTGAGAGAAGCTTACTCCTGAGGTGCTTCTGGAAAGTTGGCATACGTCTTGAGCCTAAGCCAGGGAATCAGCTCTCAACTCGAGACGATTTGGGGTACACGGAGCATTCCTCGAGTTGCTGTGCTGAGGTTGGTGTTCCTCCAGACTTGGGACAGTGTTCTCGGGGCATCTCTGGAGTTGCCTGAAGGAAGTCGAGCCACCGGTCGTGTTGAATGGGGAACGGGGAATGGCTCTGGAGTCAATGCAGGGGAATCGGGCCTCATCTCGAGTTGATTTGGGGCACATGGAGCTGCTTTGCTATGCTGGGGTGACCTCAGCGTCCGTCTACACTGGTGACAGTGTTCTTGGGGACTGTCTCGAGATCCATTAAGCAAGTCGAAGCTCCGGATTTGTTTGAATGGGATCACGGAATAGCTCTGCATGAACTGCAGGGGAATGGGGCCTCATCTCGCCTCTAGGGGGAAGTCTCATGGTTTTTCTCGAGTTGCGGCGGGGACCTGGGGTATGTTCTCGACTTACGGCGGGATGGCCCTTCAAAACACGAGTTTCTTCAGTGACGTCAGGACTCCTGTCTAGTAACGAGGGACACCTCAGGAATCTCTTCGAGGCTTGGCAGGGCAAAAGGGACGCTTCTCGAGGTGAGGCAGGGCACCCAAGGACCCTTTCCAGTAGCCACAGGGATTTTGGGATTCCTATCAGTATTCAAGAGGAGTCAGGCATCGTCACCTTTTGAAGCAGTGAACTCTGCGTGCCTCTCGAGGTGTCAGCGGGATGTGAGGCATTCCGTCAAAATGAGGCAGGGACCTAGGGCTTTCTCTAAGGTCTCCACAGGGGATTCAGACATGCCTTCATGTTGTGAGATTAAACACGAGCCTGTATTCATGCCACTGCAAGGAAATCGGGCCTCCTTTCAATTTAGGGCTTCTCGCTGTATATTCCCCTTGAGGCAGCAAACTCGGGGTCCCTCTCAGATAGCTATTGCTGAGAGAATCCTCCTCCTGAGGTGCTTCTGGAAAGTTGGCATACGTCTTGAGCCTAAGCCAGGGAATCAGCTCTCATCTCGAGACGATTTGGGGTACACGGAGCATTCCTCGAGTTGCTGTGCTGAAGTTGGTATTCCTCTAGACTTGGGACAGTGTTCTCGGGGCATCTCTGGAGTTGTCTGAAGGAAGTCAAGCCACTGGTCGAGTTTAGTGGGGAACTGGGGATGGTTCTGGAGTCAATGCAGGGGAATCCGGCCTCATCTCGAGGTGATTTGGGGCACATGGGGATGCTTTGCATTGCTGTGGTGACCTCAAGGTCCGTCTAGACTTGTGACAGTGTTCTTCGGAATTTCTCGAGATCCATTAATCAAGTCAAAGCTCCTGACTTGTTTGATGGGGATCAAGAATTGCTTTGCATGCCATGCAGGGGAATCGGGCCTCATCTCGCCTCTAGGGGGAAGTCTCATGATTTTTCTCGAGTTGCGACGAGGACCTGGGGTATGTTCTCGAGGTATGGTGGGGATGGCCCTTCAAAACACGTGTTTATTCAGTGACGTCAGGACTCCTGTCTAGTAACGAGGGACACCTCAGGAATCTCTTCGAGGCTTGTCAGGGCAAAAGGGATGCTGCTCGAGGTGAGGCAGGGCACCCAAGGACCCTTTCCCGTAGCCACAGGGATTTTGGGATTCCTATCAGTATTCAAGAGGAGTCAGGCATCGTCACCTTTTGAAGAAATGAACTCCGGGTGCCTCTCGAGGTGTTAGCGGGATGTGAGGCATTCCGTCAAAATGAGGCAGGGACCTAGGGCTTTCTCTAAGGTCTCCACAGGGGATTCAGACATGCCTTCATGTTGTGAGATTAAACACGAGCCTGTATTCAAGCCACTGCAAGGAAATCCGGCCTCCTTTCAAGTTAGGGCTTCTCGCTGTATATTCCCCTTGAGGCAGCAAACTCGGGGTCCCTCCCACATACCTATTGCTGAGAGAAGCCTCCTCCTGAGGTGCTTCTGGAAAGTTGGCATACGTCTTGAGCCTAAGCCAGGGAATCAGCTCTCATCTCGAGACGATTTGGGGTACACGGAGCATTCCTCGAGTTGCTGTGCTGAAGTTGGTGTTCCTCTAGACTTGGGACAGTGTTCTCGGGGCATCTCTGGAGTTGCCTGAAGGAAGTCGAGCCACCGGTCATGTTGAATGGGAACGGGGAATGGCTCTGGAGTCAATGCAGGGGAATCGGGCCTCATCTCGATTTGATTTGGGGCACATGGAGCTGCTTTGCGTTTCTGGGGTGACCTCAGCGTCCATCTAGACTGGTGACAGTGTTCTTGGGGACTGTCTCGAGATCCATTAAGCAAGTCGAATCTCCTGACTTGTTTGAATGGGATCACGGAATAGCTCTGCATGCACTGCAGGGGAATGGGGCGTCATCTCGCCTCTAGGGGGAAGTCTCATGGTTTTTCTCGAGTTGCGGCGGGGACCTGGGGTCTGTTCTCGACTTACGGCGGGGATGGCCCTTCAAAACACGAGTTTCTTCAGTGACGTCAGGACTCCTGTCTAGTAACGAGGGACACCTCAGGAATCTCTTCGAGGCTTGGCAGGGCAAAAGGGACGCTTCTCGAGGTGAGGCAGGGCACCCAAGGACCCTTTCCAGTAGCCACAGGGATTTTGGGATTCCTATCAGTATTCAAGAGGAGTCAGGCATCGTCACCTTTTGAAGCAGTGAACTCTGCGTGCCTCTCGAGGTGTCAGCGGGATGTGAGGCATTCCGTCAAAATGAGGCAGGGACCTAGGGCTTTCTCTAAGGTCTCCACAGGGGATTCAGACATGCCTTCATGTTGTGAGATTAAACACGAGCCTGTATTCATGCCACTGCAAGGAAATCGGGCCTCCTTTCAATTTAGGGCTTCTCGCTGTATATTCCCCTTGAGGCAGCAAACTCGGGGTCCCTCTCACATAGCTATTGCTGAGAGAATCCTCCTCCTGAGGTGCTTCTGGAAAGTTGGCATACGTCTTGAGCCTAAGCCAGGGAATCAGCTCTCATCTCGAGACGATTTGGGGTACACGGAGCATTCCTCCAGTTGCTGTGCTGAAGTTGGTATTCCTCTAGACTTGGGACAGTGTTCTCGGGGCATCTCTGGAGTTGCCTGAAGGAAGTCAAGCCACTGGTCGAGTTTAGTGGGGAACTGGGGATGGTTCTGGAGTCAATGCAGGGGAATCCGGCCTCATCTCGAGGTGATTTGGGGCACATGGGGATGCTTTGCATTGCTGTGGTGACCTCAATGTCCGTCTAGACTTGTGACAGTGTTCTTCGGAATTTCTCGAGATCCATTAATCAAGTCAAAGCTCCTGACTTGTTTGAATGGGATCACGGAATAGCTCTGCATGCACTGCAGGGGAATGGGGCCTCATCTCGCCTCTAGGGGGAAGTCTCATGGTTTTTCTCGAGTTGCGGCGGGGACATGGGGTATGTTCTCGACTTATGGCGGGGATGGCCCTTCAAAACACGAGTTTCTTCAGTGACGTCAGGACTCCTGTCTAGTAACGAGGGACACCTCAGGAATCTCTTCCAAGCTTGGCAGGGCAAAAGGGACGCTTCTCGATGTGAGGCAGGGCACCCAAGGACCCTTTCCAGTAGCCACAGGGATTTTGGGATTCCTATCAGTATTCAAGAGGAGTCAGGCATGGTCACCTTTTGAAGCAATGAAATCTGCGTGCCTCTCGAGGTGTCAGCTGGATGTGAGGCTTTCCGTCAAAATGAGGCATGGCCCTAGGGCTTTCTCTCAGGTCTCCACACGGCATTCAGTCATCCCTTCATGTTTTGAGATCAAAGAAGAGCCTGTATTCAAGCCACTGCAAGGAAATCTGGCCTCCTTTCAAGTTAGGGCTTCTCGCTGTATATTCCCCTTGAGGCAGCAAACTCGGGGTCCCTCCCACATACCTATTGCTGAGAGAAGCCTCCTCCTGAGGTGCTTCTGGAAATTTGGCATACGTCTTGAGCCTAAGCCAGGGAATCAGCTCTCATCTCGAGACGATTTGGGGAACACGGAGCATTCCTCGAGTTGCTGTGCTGAAGTTGGTGTTCCTCTAGACTTGGGACAGTGTTCTCGGGGCATCTGTGGAGTTGCCTGAAGGAAGTCGAGCCACCGGTCGTGTTGAATGGGGAACGGGGAATGGCTCTGGAGTCAATGCAGGGGAATCGGGCCTCATCTCGAGTTGATTTGGGGCACATGGAGCTGCTTTGCGTAGCTGGGGTGACCTCAGCGTCCGTCTAGACTGGTGACAGTGTTCTTGGGGACTGTCTCGAGATCCATTAAGCAAGTCGAAGCTCCTGACTTGTTTGAATGGGATCACGGAATAGCTCTGCATGCACTGCAGGGGAATGGGGCCTCATCTCGCCTCTAGGGGGAAGTCTCATGGTTTTTCTCGAGTTGCGGCGGGGATCTGGGGTATGTTCTCGACTTACGGCGGGGATGGCCCTTCAAAACACGAGTTTCTTCAGTGACGTCAGGACTCCTGTTTAGTAATGAGGGACACCTCAGGAATCTCTTCGAGGCTTGGCAGGGCAAAAGGGACGCTTCTCGAGGTGAGGCAGGGCACCCAAGGACACTTTCCAGTAGCCACAGGGATTTTGGGATTCCTATCAGTATTCAAGAGGAGTCAGGCATCGTCACCTTTTGAAGCAATGAACTCCGCGTGCCTCTCGAGGTGTCAGCGGGATGTGAGGCATTCCGTCAAAATGAGGCAGGGACCTAGGGCTTTCTCTAAGGTCTCCACAGGGGATTCAGACATGCCTTCATGTTGTGAGATTAAACACGAGCCTGTATTCAAGCCACTGCAAGGAAATCGGGCCTCCTTTCAATTTAGGGCTTCTCGCTGTATATTCCCCTTGAGGCAGCAAACTCGGGGTCCGTCCCACATAGCTATTGCTGAGAGAAGCCTCCTCCTGAGGTTCTTCTGGAAAGTTGGCATACGTCTTGAGCCTAAGCCAGGGAATCAGCTCTCATCTCGAGACGATTTGGGGTACACGGAGCATTCCTCGAGTTGCTGTGCTGAAGTTGGTGTTCCTCTAGACTTGGGACAGTGTTCTCGGGGCATCTCTGGAGTTGCCTGAAGGAAGTCATGCCACCGGTCGTGTTGAATGGGGAACGGAGAATGGCTCTGGGGTCAATGCAGGGGAATCGGGCCTCATCTCGAGTTGATTTGGGGCACATGGAGCTGCTTTGCGTTGCTGGGTTGACCTCAGGGTCCGTCTAGACTGGTGACAGTGTTCTTGGGGACTGTCTCGAGATCCATTAAGCAAGTCGAAGCTCCTGACTTGTTTGAATGGGATCACGGAATAGCTCTGCATGCACTGCAGGGGAATGGGGCGTCATCTCGCCTCTAGGGGGAAGTCTCATTGTTTTCTCGAGTTGCGGCAGGGACCTGGGGTATCTTCTCGACTTACGGCGGGGAAGGCCCTTCAAAACAAGAGTTTCTTCAGTGACGTCAGGACTCCTGTCTAGTAACGAGGGACACCTCAGGAATCTCTTCGAGGCTTGGCAGGGCAAAAGGGACGCTTCTCGAGGTGAGGCAGGGCACCCAAGGACCCTTTCCAGTAGCCACGGGGATTTTGGGATTCCTATGAGTATTCAAGAAGAGTCAGGCATCGTCACCTTTTGAAGCAATGAACTCTGCGTGCCTCTCGAGGTGTCAACGGGATGTGAGGCATTCCGTCAAAATGAGGCATGGACCTAGGGCTTTCTCTAAGGTCTCCACAGGGCATTCAGTCATCCCTTCATGTTTGAGATCAAAGAAGAGCTTGTATTCAAGCCACTGCAAGGAAATCCGGCCTCCTTTCAAGTTAGGGCTTCTCGCTGTATATTCCCCTTGAGGCAGCAAACTCGGGGTCCCTCCCACATACCTATTGCTGAGAGAAGCCTCCTCCTGAGGTGCTTCTGGAAAGTTGGCATACGTCTTGAGCCTAAGCCAGGGAATCAGCTCTCATCTCGAGACGATTTGGGGTACACGGAGCATTCCTCGAGTTGCTGTGCTGAAGTTGGTGTTCCTCTAGACTTGGGACAGTGTTCTCGGGGCATCTCTGGAGTTGCCTGAAGGAAGTCGAGCCACCGGTCGTGTTGAATGGGGAACGGGGAATGGCTCTGGAGTCAATGCAGGGGAATCGGGCCTCATCTCGAGTTGATTTGGGGCACATGGAGCTGCTTTGCGTTTCTGGGGTGGCCTCAGGGTCCGTCTAGACTGGTGACAGTGTTCTTGGGGACTGTCTCGAGATCCATTAAGCAAGTCGAAGCTCCTGACTTGTTTGAATGGGATCACGGAATAGCTCTGCATGCACTGCAGGGGAATGGGGCCTCATCTCGCCTCTAGGGGGAAGTCTCATGGTTTTTCTCGAGTTGCGGCAGGGACCTGGGGTATGTTCCCGACTTACGGCGGGGAAGGCCCTTCAAAACACGAGTTTCTTCAGTGACGTCAGGACTCCTGTCTAGTAACGAGGGACACCTCAGGAATCTCTTCGAGGCTTGGCAGGGCAAAACGGACGCTTCTCGAGTTGAGGCAGGGCACCCAAGGACCCTTTCCAGTAGCCACGGAGATTTTGGGATTCCTATCAGTATTCAAGAAGAGTCAGGCATCTTCACCTTTTGAAGCAATGAACTCTGCGTGCCTCTCGAGGTGTCAACGGGATGTGAGGCATTCCGTCAAAATGAGGCAGGGATCTAGGTCTTTCTCTAAGGTCTCCACAGTGGATTCCGACATCCCTTCATGTTGTGAGATGAAAGACGAGCCTGTATTCAAGCCACTGCAAGGAAATCCGGCCTCCTTTCAAGTTAGGGCTTCTCGCTGTATATTCCCCTTGAGGCAGCAAACTCGGGGTCCCTCCCACATACCTATTGCTGAGAGAAGCCTCCTCCTGAGGTGCTTCTGGAAAGTTGGCATACGTATTGACCCTAAGCCAGGGAATCAGCTCTCATCTCGAGACGATTTGGGGTACACGGAGCATTCCTCGAGTTGCTGTGCTGAAGTTGGTTTTCCTCTAGACTTGGGACAGTGTTCTCGGGGCATCTCTGGAGTTGCCTGAAGGAAGTCGAGCCACCGGTCGTGCTGAATGGGAAATGGGGAATGGCTCTGGAGTCAATGCAGGGGAATCGGGCCTCATCTCGAGTTGATTTGGGGCACATGGAGCTGCTTTGCGTTGCTGGGGTGACCTCAGCGTCCGTCTAGACTGGTGACAGTGTTCTTGGGGACTGTCTCGAGATCCATTAAGCAAGTCGAAGCTCCTGACTTGTTTGAATGGGATCACGGAATAACTCTGCATGCACTGCAGGGGAATGGGGCCTCATCTCGCCTCTAGGGGGAAGTCTCATGGTTTTTCTCGAGTTGCGACGGGGACCTGGGGTATGTTCTCGACTTACGGCGGGATGGCCCTTCAAAACACGAGTTTCTTCAGTGACGTCAGGACTCCTGTTTAGTAACGAGGGACACCTCAGGAATCTCTTCGAGGCTTGGCAGGGCAAATGGGACGCTTCTCGAGGTGAGGCAGGGCACCTAAGGACCCTTTCCAGTAGCCACAGGGATTTTGGGATTCCTATCAGTATTCAAGAGGAGTCAGGCATCGTCACCTTTTGATGCAATGAACTCTGCGTGCCTCTCGATGTGTCAGCGGGATGTGAGGCATTCCTTCAAAATGAGGCAGGGACCTAGGGCTTTCTCTAAGGTCTCCACAGGGGATTCAGACATGCCTTCATGTTGTGAGATTAAACACGAGCCTGTATTCAAGCCACTGCAAGGAAATCGGGCCTCCTTTCAATTTAGGGCTTCTCGCTGTATATTCCCCTTGAGGCAGCAAACTCGGGGTCCCTCCCACATAGCTATTGCTGAGAGAAGCATCCTCCTGAGGTTCTTCTGGAAAGTTGGCATACGTCTTGAGCCTAAGCCAGGGAATCAGCTCTCATCTCGAGACGATTAGGGGTACACGGCGCATTCCTCGAGTTGCTGTGCTGAAGTTGGTGTTCCTCTAGACTTGTTACAGTGTTCTCGGGGCATCTCTGGAGTTGCCTGAATGAAGTCGAGCCACCGGTCGTGTTGAATGGGGAACGGGGAATGGCTCTGGAGTCAATGCAGGGGAATCGGGCCTCATCTCGAGTTGATTTGGGGCACATAGAGCTGCTTTGCGTTGCTGGGGTGGCCTCAGGGTCCGTCTAGACTGGTGACAGTGTTCTTGGGGACTGTCTCGAGATCCATTAAGCAAGTCGAAGCTCCTGACTTGTTTGAATGGGATCACGGAATAGCTCTGCATGCACTGCAGGGGAATGGGGCCTCATATCGCCTCTAGGGGGAAGTCTCATTGTTTTTCTCGAGTTGCGGCAGGGACCTGGGGTATGTTCTCGACTTACGGCGGGGAAGGCCCTTCAAAACACGAGTTTCTTCAGTGACGTCAGGACTCCTGTCTAGTAACGAGGGACACCTCAGGAATCTCTTTGAGGCTTGGCAGGGCAAAACGGACGCTTCTCGAGGTGAGGCAGGGCACCCAAGGACCCTTTCCAGTAGCCACGGGGATTTTGGGATTCCTATCAGTATTCAAGAAGAGTCAGGCATCGTCACCTTTTGAAGCAATGAACTCTGCGTGCCTCTCGAGGGGTCAACGGGATGTGAGGCATTCCGTCAAAATGAGGCATGGACCTAGGGCTTTCTCTAAGGTCTCCATAGGGCATTCAATCATCCCTTCATGTTTTGAGATCAAAGAAGAGCCTGTATTCAAGCCACTGCAAGGAAATCCGGCCTCCTTTCAAGTTAGGGCTTCTCGCTGTATATTCCCCTTGAGGCAGCAAACTCGGGGTCCCTACCACATACCTATTGCTGAGAGAAGCCTCCTCCTGAGGTGCTTCTGGAAAGTTGGCATACGTCTTGAGCCTAAGCCAGGGAATCAGCTCTCATCTCGAGACGATTTGGGGTACACGGAGCATTCCTCGATTTGCTGTGCTGAAGTTGGTGTTCCTCTAGACTTGGGACAGTGTTCTCGGGGCATCTCTGGAGTTACCTGAAGGAAGTCGAGCCACCGGTCATGTTGAATGCGGAACGGGGAATGGCTCTGGAGTCAATGCAGGGGAATCGGGCCTCATCTCGAGTTGATTTGGGGCACATGGAGCTGCTTTGCGTTGCTGGGGTGACCTCAGGGTCTGTCTAGCCTGGTGACAGTGTTCTTGGGGACTGTCTCGAGATCCATTAAGCAAGTCGAAGCTCCTGACTTGTTTGAATGGGATCACGGAATAGCTCTGCATGCACTGCAGGGCAATGGGGCCTCATCTCGCCTCTAGGGGGAAGTCTCATGGTTTTACTCGAGTTGCGGCGGGGACCTGGGGTATGTTCTCGACTTACGGCGGGATGGCCCTTCAAAACACGAGTTTCTTCAGTGACGTAAGGACTCCTGTTTAGTAACGAGGGACACCTCAGGAATCTCTTCGAGGCTTGGCAGGGCAAAAGGGACGCTTCTCGAGGTGAGGCAGGGCACCCAAGGACCCTTTCCTGTAGCCACAGGGATTTTGGGATTCCTATCAGTATTCAAAAGGAGTCAGGCATCGTCACCTTTTGAAGCAATGAACTCTGCGTGCCTCTCGAGGTGTCAGCGGGATGTGAGGCATTCCGTCAAAATGAGGCATGGACCTAGGGCTTTCTCTAAGGTCTCCACAGGGCATTCAGTCATCCCTTCATGTTTTGAGATCAAAGAAGAGCCTGTATTCAAGCCACTGCAAGGAAATCCGGCCTCCTTTCAAGTTAGGGCTTCTCGCTGTATATTCCCCTTGAGGCAGCAAACTCGGGGTCCCTCCCACATACCTATTGCTGAGAGAAGCCTCCTCCTGAGGTGCTTCTGGAAAGTTGGCATACGTCTTGAGCCTAAGCCAGGGAATCAGCTCTCATCTCGAGACGATTTGGGGTACACGGAGCATTCCTCGAGTTGCTGTGCTGAAGTTGGTGTTCCTCTAGACTTGGGACAGTGTTCTCGGGGCATCTCTGGAGTTGCCTGAAGGAAGTCGAGCCACCGGTCGTGTTGAATGGGGAACGGGGAATGGCTCTGGAGTCAATGCAGGGGAATCGGGCCTCATCTCGAGTTGATTTGGGGCACATGGAGCTGCTTTGCGTTTCTGGGGTGGCCTCAGGGTCCGTCTAGAGTGGTGACAGTGTTCTTGGGGACTGTCTCGAGATCCATTAAGCAAGTCGAAGCTCCTGACTTGTTTGAATGGGATCACGGAATAGCTCTGCATGCACTGCAGGGGAATGGGGCCTCATCTCGCCTCTAGGGGGAAGTCTCATGGATTTTCTCGAGTTGCGGCGGGGACCTGGGGTATGTTCTCGACTTACGGCGGGGATGGCCCTTCAAAACACGAGTTTCTTCAGTGACGTCAGGACTCCTGTTTAGTAACGAGGGACACCTCAGGAATCTCTTCGAGGCTTGGCAGGGCAAAAGGGACGCTTCTCGAGGTGAGGCAGGGCACCCAAGGACCCTTTCCAGTAGCCACAGGGATTTTGGGATTCCTATCAGTATTCAAGAGGAGTCAGGCATCGTCACCTTTTGAAGCACTGAACTCCGCGTGCCTCTCGAGGTGTCAGCGGGATGTGAGGCATTCCTTCAAAATGAGGCAGGGTCCTAGGGCTTTCTCTAAGGTCTCCACAGGGCATTCAGACATGCCTTCATGTTGTGAGATTAAACACGAGCCTGTATTCAAGCCACTGCAAGGAAATCGGGCCTCCTTTCAATTTAGGGCTTCTCGCTGTATATTCCCCTTGAGGCAGCAAACTCGGGGTCCCTCCCACATACCTATTGCTGAGAGAAGCCTCCTCCTGAGGTGCTTCTGGAAAGTTGGCATACGTCTTGAGCCTAAGCCAGGGAATCAGCTCTCATCTCGAGACGATTTGGGGTACACGGAGCATTCCTCGAGTTGCTGTGCTGAAGTTGGTGTTCCTCTAGACTTGGGACAGTGTTCTCGGGAAATCTCTGGAGTTGCCTGAAGGAAGTCGAGCCACTGGTCGTGTTGAATGGGGAACGGGGAATGGCTCTGGAGTCAATGCAGGGGAATCGGGCCTCATCTCGAGTTGATTTGGGGCACATGGAGCTGCTTTGCGTTGCTGGGGTGGCCTCAGGGTCCGTCTAGACTGGTGATAGTGTTCTTGGGGACTGTCTCGAGATCCATTAAGCAAGTCGAAGCTCCTGACTTGTTTGAATGGGATCACGGAATAGCTCTGCATGCACTGCAGGGGAATGGGGCCTCATCTCGCCTCTAGGGGGAAGTCTCATGGATTTTCTCGAGTTGCGGCGGGGACCTGGGGTATGTTCTCGACTTACGGCGGGATGGCCCTTCAAAACACGAGTTTCTTCAGTGACGTCAGGACTCCTGTTTAGTAACGAGGGACACCTCAGGAATCTCTTCGAGGCTTGGCAGGGCAAAAGGGACGCTTCTCGAGGTGAGGCAGGGCACCCAAGGACCCTTTCCAGTAGCCACAGGGATTTTGGGATTCCTATCAGTATTCAAGAGGAGTCAGGCATCGTCACCTTTTGAAGCAATGAACTCTGCGTGCCTCTCGAGGTGTTAGCGGGATGTGAGGCATTCCGTCAAAATGAGGCAGGGACCTAGGGCTTTCTCTAAGGTCTCCACAGGGGATTCAGACATCCCTTCATGTTGTGAGATGAAAGACGAGCCTGTATTCAAGCCACTGCAAGGAAATCCGGCCTCCTTTCAAGTTAGGGCTTCTCGCTGTATATTCCCCTTGAGGCAGCAAACTCGGGGTCCCTCCCACATACCTATTGCTGAGAGAAGCCTCCTCCTGAGGTGCTTCTGGGAAGTTGGCATACGTCTTGAGCCTAAGCCAGGGAATCAGCTCGCATCTCGAGACGATTTGGGGTACACGGAGCATTCCTCGAGTTGCTGTGCTGAAGTTGGTGTTCCTCTAGACTTGGGACAGTGTTCTCGGGGCATCTCTGGAGTTGCCTGAAGGAAGTCGAGCCACCGGTCGTGTTGAATGGGGAACGGGGAATGGCTCTGGAGTCAATGCAGGGGAATCGGGCCTCATCTCGAGTTGATTTGGGGCACATGGAGCTGCTTTGCGTTGCTGGGGTGACCTCAGGGTCCGTCTAGACTGGTGACAGTGTTCTTGGGGACTGTCTCGAGATCCATTAAGCAAGTCGAAGCTCCTGACTTGTTTGAATGGGATCACGGAATAGCTCTGCATGCACTGCAGGGGAATGGGGCCTCATCTCGCCTCTAGGGGGAAGTCTCATGGTTTTTCTCGAGTTGCGGCGGGGACCTGGGGGATGTTCTCGACTTACGGCGGGGATGGCCCTTCAAAACACGAGTTTCTTCAGTGACGTCAGGACTCCTGTCTAGTAACGAGGGACACCTCAGGAATCTCTTCGAGGCTTGGCAGGGCCAAAGGGACGCCTCTCGAGGTGAGGCAGGGCACCCAAGGACCCTTTCCAGTAGCCACAGGGATTTTGGGATTCCTATCAGTATTCAAGAGGAGTCAGGCATCGTCACCTTTTGAAGCAATGAACTCCGCGTGCCTCTCGAGGTGTCAGCGGGATGTGAGGCATTCCGTCAAAATGAGGCAGGGACCTAGGGCTTTCTCTAAGGTCTCCACAGGGGATTCAGACATCCCTTCATGTTGTGAGATGAAAGACGAGCCTGTATTCAAGCAACTGCAAGGAAATCCGGCCTCCTTTCAAGTTAGGGCTTCTCGCTGTATATTCCCCTTGAGGCAGCAAACTCGGGGTCCCTCCCACATACCTATTGCTGAGAGAAGCCTCCTCCTGAGGTGCTTCTGGGAAGTTGGCATACGTCTTGAGCCTAAGCCAGGGAATCAGCTCGCATCTCGAGACGATTTGGGGTACACGGAGCATTCCTCGAGTTGCTGTGCTGAAGTTGGTGTTCCTCTAGACTTGGGACAGTGTTCTCGGGGCATCTCTGGAGTTGCCTGAAGGAAGTCGAGCCACCGGTCGTGTTGAATGGGGAACGGGGAATGGCTCTGGAGTCAATGCAGGGGATTCGGGCCTCATCTCGAGTTGATTTGGGGCACATGGAGCTGCTTTGCGTTGCTGGGTTGACCTCAGGGTCCGTCTAGACTGGTGACAGTGTTCTTGGGGACTGTCTCGAGATCCATTAAGCAAGTCGAAGCTCCTGACTTGTTTGAATGGGATCACGGAATAGCTCTGCATGCACTGCAGGGGAATGGGGCCTCATCTCGCCTCTAGGGGGAAGTCTCATGGTTTTTCTCGAGTTGCGGCGGGGACCTGGGGTATGTTCTCGACTTACGGCGGGGATGGCCCTTCAAAACACGAGTTTCTTCAGTGACGTCAGGACTCCTGTCTAGTAACGAGGGACACCTCAGGAATCTCTTCGAGGCTTGGCAGGGCCAAAGGGACGCTTCTCGAGGTGAGGCAGGGCACCCAAGGACCCTTTCCAGTAGCCACAGGGATTTTGGGATTCCTATCAGTATTCAAGAGGAGTCAGGCATCGTCACCTTTTGAAGCAATGAACTCCGCGTGCCTCTCGAGGTGTCAGCGGGATGTGAGGCATTCCGTCAAAATGAGGCAGGGACCTAGGGCTTTCTCTAAGGTCTCCACAGGGGATTCAGACATCCCTTCATGTTGTGAGATGAAAGACGAGCCTGTATTCAAGCCACTGCAAGGAAATCCGGCCTCCTTTCAAGTTAGGGCTTCTCGCTGTATATTCCCCTTGAGGCAGCAAACTCGGGGTCCCTCCCACATACCTATTGCTGAGAGAAGCCTCCTCCTGAGGTGCTTCTGGGAAGTTGGCATACGTCTTGAGCCTAAGCCAGGGAATCAGCTCGCATCTCGAGACGATTTGGGGTACACGGAGCATTCCTCGAGTTGCTGTGCTGAAGTTGGTGTTCCTCTAGACTTGGGACAGTGTTCTCGGGGCATCTCTGGAGTTGCCTGAAGGAAGTCGAGCCACCGGTCGTGTTGAATGGGGAACGGGGAATGGCTCTGGAGTCAATGCAGGGGAATCGGGCCTCATCTCGAGTTGATTTGGGGCACATGGAGCTGCTTTGCGTTGCTGGGGTGACCTCAGGGTCCGTCTAGACTGGTGACAGTGTTCTTGGGGACTGTCTCGAGATCCATTAAGCAAGTCGAAGCTCCTGACTTGTTTGAATGGGATCACGGAATAGCTCTGCATGCACTGCAGGGGAATGGGGCCTCATCTCGCCTCTAGGGGGAAGTCTCATGGTTTTTCTCGAGTTGCGGCGGGGACCTGGGGTATGTTCTCGACTTACGGCGGGGATGGCCCTTCAAAACACGAGTTTCTTCAGTGACGTCAGGACTCCTGTCTAGTAACGAGGGACACCTCAGGAATCTCTTCGAGGCTTGGCAGGGCCAAAGGGATGCTTCTCGAGGTGAGGCAGGGCACCCAAGGACCCTTTCCAGTAGCCACAGGGATTTTGGGATTCCTATCAGTATTCAAGAGGAGTCAGGCATCGTCACCTTTTGAAGCAATGAACTCCGCGTGCCTCTCGAGGTGTCAGCGGGATGTGAGGCATTCCGTCAAAATGAGGCAGGGACCTAGGGCTTTCTCTAAGGTCTCCACAGGGGATTCAGACATCCCTTCATGTTGTGAGATGAAAGACGAGCCTGTATTCAAGCCACTGCAAGGAAATCCGGCCTCCTTTCAAGTGAGGGCTTCTCGCTGTATATTCCCCTTGAGGCAGCAAACTCGGGGTCCCTCCCACATACCTATTGCTGAGAGAAGCCTCCTCCTGAGGTGCTTCTGGGAAGTTGGCATACGTCTTGAGCCTAAGCCAGGGAATCAGCTCATATCTCGAGACGATTTGGGGTACACGGAGCATTCCTCGAGTTGCTGTGCTGAAGTTGGTGTTCCTCTAGACTTGGGACAGTGTTCTCGGGGCATCTCTGGAGTTGCCTGAAGGAAGTCGAGCCACCGGTCGTGTTGAATGGGGAACGGGGAATGGCTCTGGAGTCAATGAAGGGGAATCGGGCCTCATCTCGAGTTGATTTGGGGCACATGGAGCTGCTTTGCGTTGCTGGGGTGACCTCAGGGTCCGTCTAGACTGGTGACAGTGTTCTTGGGGACTGTCTCGAGATCCATTAAGCAAGTCGAAGCTCCTGACTTGTTTGAATGGGATCACGGAATAGCTCTGCATGCACTGCAGGGGAATGGGGCCTCATCTCGCCTCTAGGGGGAAGTCTCATGGTTTTTCTCGAGTTGCGGCGGGGACCTGGGGTATGTTCTCGACTTACGGCGGGGATGGCCCTTCAAAACACGAGTTTCTTCAGTGACGTCAGGACTCCTGTCTAGTAACGAGGGACACCTCAGGAATCTCTTCGAGGCTTGGCAGGGCCAAAGGGACGCTTCTCGAGGTGAGGCAGGGCACCCAAGGACCCTTTCCAGTAGCCACAGGGATTTTGGGATTCCTATCAGTATTCAAGAGGAGTCAGGCATCGTCACCTTTTGAAGCAATGAACTCCGCGTGCCTCTCGAGGTGTCAGCGGGATGTGAGGCATTCCGTCAAAATGAGGCAGGGACCTAGGGCTTTCTCTAAGGTCTCCACAGGGGATTCAGACATCCCTTCATGTTGTGAGATGAAAGACGAGCCTGTATTCAAGCCACTGCAAGGAAATCCGGCCTCCTTTCAAGTTAGGGCTTCTCGCTGTATATTCCCCTTGAGGCAGCAAACTCGGGGTCCCTCCCACATACCTATTGCTGAGAGAAGCCTCCTCCTGAGGTGCTTCTGGGAAGTTGGCATACGTCTTGAGCCTAAGCCAGGGAATCAGCTCGCATCTCGAGACGATTTGGGGTACACGGAGCATTCCTCGAGTTGCTCTGCTGAAGTTGGTGTTCCTCTAGACTTGGGACAGTGTTCTCGGGGCGTCTCTGGAGTTGCCTGAAGGAAGTCGAGCCACCGGTCGTGTTGAATGGGGAACGGGGAATGGCTCTGGAGTCAATGCAGGGGAATCGGGCCTCATCTCGAGTTGATTTGGGGCACATGGAGCTGCTTTGCTTTGCTGGGGTGACCTCAGGGTCCGTCTAGACTGGTGACAGTGTTCTTGGGGACTGTCTCGAGATCCATTAAGCAAGTCGAAGCTCCTGACTTCTTTGAATGGGATCACGGAATAGCTCTGCATGCACTGCAGGGGAATGGGGCCTCATCTCGCCTCTAGGGGGAAGTCTCATGGTTTTTCTCGAGTTGCGGCGGGGACCTGGGGTATGTTCTCGACTTACGGCGGGGATGGCCCTTCAAAACACGAGTTTCTTCAGTGACGTCAGGACTCCTGTCTAGTAACGAGGGACACCTCAGGAATCTCTTCGAGGCTTGGCAGGGCCAAAGGGACGCTTCTCGAGGTGAGGCAGGGCACCCAAGGACCCTTTCCAGTAGCCACAGGGATTTTGGGATTCCTATCAGTATTCAAGAGGAGTCAGGCATCGTCACCTTTTGAAGCAATGAACTCCGCGTGCCTCTCGAGGTGTCAGCGGGATGTGAGGCATTCCGTCAAAATGAGGCAGGGACCTAGGGCTTTCTCTAAGGTCTCCACAGGGGATTCAGACATCCCTTCATGTTGTGAGATGAAAGACGAGCCTGTATTCAAGCCACTGCAAGGAAATCCGGCCTCCTTTCAAGTTAGGGCTTCTCGCTGTATATTCCCCTTGAGGCAGCAAACTCGGGGTCCCTCCCACATACCTATTGCTGAGAGAAGCCTCCTCCTGAGGTGCTTCTGGGAAGTTGGCATACGTCTTGAGCCTAAGCCAGGGAATCAGCTCGCATCTCGAGACGATTTGGGGTACACGGAGCATTCCTCGAGTTGCTGTGCTGAAGTAGGTGTTCCTCTAGACTTGGGACAGTGTTCTCGGGGCGTCTCTGGAGTTGCCTGAAGGAAGTCGAGCCACCGGTCGTGTTGAATGGGGAACGGGGAATGGCTCTGGAGTCAATGCAGGGGAATCGGGCCTCATCTCGAGTTGATTTGGGGCACATGGAGCTGCTTTGCGTTGCTGGGGTGACCTCAGGGTCCGTCTAGACTGGTGACAGTGTTCTTGGGGACTGTCTCGAGATCCATTAAGCAAGTCGAAGCTCCTGACTTGTTTGAATGGGATCACGGAATAGCTCTGCATGCACTGCAGGGGAATGGGGCCTCATCTCGCCTCTAGGGGGAAGTCTCATGGTTTTTCTCGAGTTGCGGCGGGGACCTGGGGTATGTTCTCGACTTACGGCGGGGATGGCCCTTCAAAACACGAGTTTCTTCAGTGACGTCAGGACTCCTGTCTAGTAACGAGGGACACCTCAGGAATCTCTTCGAGGCTTGGCAGGGCCAAAGGGACGCTTCTCGAGGTGAGGCAGGGCACCCAAGGACCCTTTCCAGTAGCCACAGGGATTTTGGGATTCCTATCAGTATTCAAGAGGAGTCAGGCATCGTCACCTTTTGAAGCAATGAACTCCGCGTGCCTCTCGAGGTGTCAGCGGGATGTGAGGCATTCCGTCAAAATGAGGCAGGGACCTAGGGCTTTCTCTAAGGTCTCCACAGGGGATTCAGACATCCCTTCATGTTGTGAGATGAAAGACGAGCCTGTATTCAAGCCACTGCAAGGAAATCCGGCCTCCTTTCAAGTGAGGGCTTCTCGCTGTATATTCCCCTTGAGGCAGCAAACTCGGGGTCCCTCCCACATACCTATTGCTGAGAGAAGCCTCCTCCTGAGGTGCTTCTGGGAAGTTGGCATACGTCTTGAGCCTAAGCCAGGGAATCAGCTCGCATCTCGAGACGATTTGGGGTACACGGAGCATTCCTCGAGTTGCTGTGCTGAAGTTGGTGTTCCTCTAGACTTGGGACAGTGTTCTCGGGGCATCTCTGGAGTTGCCTGAAGGAAGTCGAGCCACCGGTCGTGTTGAATGGGGAACGGGGAATGGCTCTGGAGTCAATGCAGGGGAATCGGGCCTCATCTCGAGTTGATTTGGGGCACATGGAGCTGCTTTGCGTTGCTGGGGTGACCTCAGGGTCCGTCTAGACTGGTGACAGTGTTCTTGGGGACTGTCTCGAGATCCATTAAGCAAGTCGAAGCTCCTGACTTGTTTGAATGGGATCACGGAATAGCTCTGCATGCACTGCAGGGGAATGGGGCCTCATCTCGCCTCTAGGGGGAAGTCTCATGGTTTTTCTCGAGTTGCGGCGGGGACCTGGGGGATGTTCTCGACTTACGGCGGGGATGGCCCTTCAAAACACGAGTTTCTTCAGTGACGTCAGGACTCCTGTCTAGTAACGAGGGACACCTCAGGAATCTCTTCGAGGCTTGGCAGGGCCAAAGGGACGCTTCTCGAGGTGAGGCAGGGCACCCAAGGACCCTTTCCAGTAGCCACAGGGATTTTGGGGTTCCTATCAGTATTCAAGAGGAGTCAGGCATCGTCACCTTTTGAAGCAATGAACTCCGCGTGCCTCTCGAGGTGTCAGCGGGATGTGAGGCATTCCGTCAAAATGAGGCAGGGACCTAGGGCTTTCTCTAAGGTCTCCACAGGGGATTCAGACATCCCTTCATGTTGTGAGATGAAAGACGAGCCTGTATTCAAGCCACTGCAAGGAAATCCGGCCTCCTTTCAAGTGAGGGCTTCTCGCTGTATATTCCCCTTGAGGCAGCAAACTCGGGGTCCCTCCCACATACCTATTGCTGAGAGAAGCCTCCTCCTGAGGTGCTTCTGGGAAGTTGGCATACGTCTTGAGCCTAAGCCAGGGAATCAGCTCGCATCTCGAGACGATTTGGGGTACACGGAGCATTCCTCGAGTTGCTCTGCTGAAGTTGGTGTTCCTCTAGACTTGGGACAGTGTTCTCGGGGCGTCTCTGGAGTTGCCTGAAGGAAGTCGAGCCACCGGTCGTGTTGAATGGGGAACGGGGAATGGCTCTGGAGTCAATGCAGGGGAATCGGGCCTCATCTCGAGTTGATTTGGGGCACATGGAGCTGCTTTGCTTTGCTGGGGTGACCTCAGGGTCCGTCTAGACTGGTGACAGTGTTCTTGGGGACTGTCTCGAGATCCATTAAGCAAGTCGAAGCTCCTGACTTCTTTGAATGGGATCACGGAATAGCTCTGCATGCACTGCAGGGGAATGGGGCCTCATCTCGCCTCTAGGGGGAAGTCTCATGGATTTTCTCGAGTTGCGGTGGGGACCTGGGGTATGTTCTCGACTTATGGCGGGGATGGCCCTTCAAAACACGAGTTTCTTCAGTGACGTCAGGACTCCTGTCTAGTAACGAGGGACACCTCAGGAATCTCTTCCAAGCTTGGCAGGGCAAAAGGGACGCTTCTCGAGGTGAGGCAGGGCACCCAAGGACCCTTTCCAGTAGCCACAGGGATTTTGGGATTCCTATCAGTATTCAAGAGGAGTCAGGCATCGTCACCTTTTGAAGCAATGAACTCTGCGTGCCTCTCGAGGTGTTAGCGGGATGTGAGGCATTCCGTCAAAATGAGGCAGGGACCTAGGGCTTTCTCTAAGGTCTCCACAGGGGATTCAGACATCCCTTCATGTTGTGAGATGAAAGACGAGCCTGTATTCAAGCCACTGCAAGGAAATCCGGCCTCCTTTCAAGTTAGGGCTTCTCGCTGTATATTCCCCTTGAGGCAGCAAACTCGGGGTCCCTCCCACATACCTATTGCTGAGAGAAGCCTCCTCCTGAGGTGCTTCTGGGAAGTTGGCATACGTCTTGAGCCTAAGCCAGGGAATCAGCTCGCATCTCGAGACGATTTGGGGTACACGGAGCATTCCTCGAGTTGCTGTGCTGAAGTTGGTGTTCCTCTAGACTTGGGACAGTGTTCTCGGGGCATCTCTGGAGTTGCCTGAAGGAAGTCGAGCCACCGGTCGTGTTGAATGGGGAACGGGGAATGGCTCTGGAGTCAATGAAGGGGAATCGGGCCTCATCTCGAGTTGATTTGGGGCACATGGAGCTGCTTTGCCTTGCTGGGGTGACCTCAGGGTCCGTATAGACTGGTGACAGTGTTCTTGGGGACTGTCTCGAGATCCATTAAGCAAGTCGAAGCTCCTGACTTGTTTGAATGGGATCACGGAATAACTCTGCATGCACTGCAGGGGAATGGGGCCTCATCTCGCCTCTAGGGGAAAGTCTCATGGTTTTTCTCGAGTTGCGGCGGGGACCTGGGGTATGTTCTCGACTTACGGCGGGGATGGCCCTTCAAAACACGAGTTTCTTCAGTGACGTCAGGACTCCTGTCTAGTAACGAGGGACACCTCAGGAATCTCTTCCAGGTTTGGCAGGGCAAAAGGGACGCTTCTCGAGGTGAGGCAGGGCACCGAAGGACCCTTTCCTGTAGCCACAGGGATTTTGGGATTCCTATCAGTATTCAAGAGCAGTCAGGCATCGTCACCTTTTGAAGCAATGAACTCCGCGTGCCTCTCGAAGTGTCAGCGGGATGTGAGGCATTCCGTCAAAATGAGGCAGGGACCTAGGGCTTTCTCTAAGGTCTCCACAGGGCATTCAGTCATCCCTCCATGTTTTGAGATCAAAGAAGAGCCTGTATTCAAGCCACTGCAAGGAAATCCTTCCTCCTTTCAAGTTAGGGCTTCTCGCTGTATAATCCCCTTGAGGCAGCAAACTCGGGGTCCCTCCCACATACCTATTGCTGAGAGAAGCCTCCTCCTGAGGTGCTTCTGGAAAGTTGGCATACGTCTTGAGCCTAAGCCCGGGAATCAGCTATTATCTCGAGACGATTTCGGGTACACGGAGCATTCCTCGAGTTGCTGTGCTGAAGTTGGTGTTCCTCTAGACTTGGGACAGTGTTCTCGGGGCATCTCTGGAGTTGCCTGAAGGAAGTCGAGCCACCGGTCGTGTTGAATGGGGAACGGGGAATGGCTCTGGAGTCAATGCAGGGGAATCGGGCCTCATCTCGAGTTGATTTGGGGCACATGGAGCTGCTTTGCGTTGCTGGGGTGACCTCAGCGTCCGTCTAGACTGGTGACAGTGTTCTTGGGGACTGTCTCGAGATCCATTAAGCAAGTCGAAGCTCCTGACTTGTTTGAATGGGATCACGGAATAGCTCTGCATGCACTGCAGGGGAATGGGGCCTCATCTCGCCTCTAGGGGGAAGTCTCATGGTTTTTCTCGAGTTGCGGCGGGGACCTGGGGTATGTTCTCGACTTACGGCGGGATGGCCCTTCAAAACACGAGTTTCTTCAGTGACGTCAGGACTCCTGTCTATTAACGAGGGACACCTCAGGAATCTCTTCGAGGCTTGCAGGGCAAAAGGGACACTTCTCGAGGTGAGGCATGGCACCCAAGGACCCTTTCCTGTAGCCACAGGGATTTTGGGATTCCTATCAGTATTCAAGAGGAGTCAGGCATCGTCACCTTTTGAAGCAATGCACTCTGCGTGCCTCTCGAGGTGTCAGCGGGATGTGAGGCATTCCGTCAAAATGATGCAGGGACCTAGGGCTTTCTCTAAGGTCTCCACAGGGGATTCAGACATGCCTTCATGTTGTGAGATGAAACACGAGCCTGTATTCAAGCCACTGCAAGGAAATCGGGCCTCCTTTCAATTTAGGGCTTCTCGCTGTATATTCCCCTTGAGGCAGCAAACTCGGGGTCCCTCCCATATACCTATTGCTGAGAGAAGCCTCCTCCTGAGGTGCTTCTGGAAATTTGGCATACGTCTTGAGCCTAAGCCAGGGAATCAGCTCTCATCTCGAGACGATTTGGGGACACGGAGCATTCCTCGAGTTGCTTTGCTGAAGTTGGTATTCCTCTAGACTTGGGACAGTGTTCTCGGGGCATCTCTGGAGTTGCCAGAAGGAAGTCGAGCCACCGGTCGTGTTGAATGGGGAACGGGGAATGGCTCTGGAGTCAATGCAGGGGAATCGGGCCTCATCTCGAGTTGATTTGGGGCACATGGAGCTGCTTTGCGTTGCTGGGTGACCTCAGGGTCCGTATAGACTGGTGACAGTGTTCTTGGGGACTGTCTCGAGATCCATTAAGCAATTCGAAGCTCCTGACTTGTTTGAATGGGATCACGGAATAGCTCTGCATGCACTGCAGGGGAATGGGGCCTCATCTCGCCTCTAGGGGGTAGTCTCATGGTTTTTCTCGAGTTGTGGCGGGGACCTGGGGTATGTTCTCGACTTAAGGCGGGGATGGCCCTTCAAAACACGAGTTTCTTCAGTGACGTCAGGACTCCTGTCTAGTAACGAGGGACACCTCAGGAATCTCTTCGAGGCTTGGCAGGGCAAAAGGGACGCTTCTCGAGGTGAGGCAGGGCACCCAAGGACCCTTCCCAGTAGCCACGGGGATTTTGGGATTCCTATCAGTATTAAAGAATAGTCAGGCATCGTCACCTTTTGAAGCAATGAACTCTGCGTGCCTCTCGAGGTGTCAACGGGATGTGAGGCATTCCGTCAAAATGAGGCAGGGACCTAGGGCTTTCTCTAAGGTCTCCACAGGGGATTCCGACATCCCTTCATGTTGTGAGATGAAAGACGAGCCAGTATTCAAGCCCGTGCAAGGAAATCTGGCCTCCTTTCAAGTTACGGCTTCTCGCTGTATATTCCCCTTGAGGCAGCAAACTCGGGGTCGCTCCCACATATCTATTGCTAAGAGAAGCCTCCTCCTGAGGTGCTTCTGGAAAGTTGGCATACGTCTTGAGCCTAAGCCAGGGAATCAGCTCCTCTCTCGAGACGATTTGGGGTACACGGAGCATTCCTCGAGTTGCTGTGCTGAAGTTGGTGTTCCTCTAGACTTGGGACAGTGTTCTCGGGGCATCTCTGGAGTTACCTGAAGGAAGTCGAGCCACCGGTCGTGTTGAATGGGGAACGGGGAATGGCTCTGGAGTCAATGCAGGGGAATCGGGCCTCATCTCGAGTTGATTTGGGGCACATGGAGCTGCTTTGTGTTGCTGGGGTGACCTCAGGGTCCGTCTAGACTGGTGACAGTGTTCTTGGGGACTGTCTCGAGACCCATTAAGCAATTCGAAGCTCCTGACTTGTTTGAATGGGATCACGGAATAGCTCTGCATGCACTGCAGGAGAATGGGGCCTCATCTCGCCTCTAGGGGGAAGTCTCATGGTTTTTCTCGAGTTGCGGCGGGGTCCTGGGGTATGTTCTCGACTTACGGCGGGGATGGCCCTTCAAAACACGAGTCTCTTCAGTGACGTCAGGACTCCTGTCTAGTAACGAGGGACACTTCAGGAATCTCTTCGAGGCTTGGCAGGGCAAAATGGACGCTTCTCGAGGTGAGGCAGGGCACCCAAGGACCCTTTCCAGTAGCCACAGGGATTTGGGGATTCCTATCAGTATTCAAGAGGAGTCAGGCATCGTCACCTTTTGAAGCAATGAACTCTGCGTGCATCTCGAGGTGTCAGCGGGATGTGAGGCATTCCGTCAAAATGAGGCATGGACCTAGGGCTTTCTCTAAGGTCTCCACAGGGCATTCAGTCATCCCTCCATGTTTTGAGATCAAAGAAGAGCCTGTATTCAAGCCACTGCAAGGAAATCCGGCCTCCTTTCAAGTTAGGGCTTCTCGCTGTATATTCCCCTTGAGGCAGCAAACTCGGGGTCCCTCCCACATACCTATTGCTGAGAGAAGCCTCCTCCTGAGGTGCTTCTGGAAAGTTGGCATACGTCTTGAGCCTAAGCCAGGGAATCAGCTCTCATCTCGAGACGATTTCGGGTACACGGAGCATTCCTCGAGTTGCTGTGCTGAAGTTGGTGTTCCTCTAGACTTGGGACAGTGTTCTCGGGGCATCTCTGGAGTTGCCTGAAGGAAGTCGAGCCACCGGTCGTGTTGAATGGGGAACGGGGAATGGCTCTGGGGTCAATGCAGGGGAATCGGGCCTCATCTCGAGTTGATTTGGGGCACATGGAGCTGCTTTGCCTTGCTGGGGTGACCTCAGGGTCCGTATAGACTGGTGACAGTGTTCTTGGGGACTGTCTCGAGATCCATTAAGCAAGTCGAAGCTCCTGACTTGTTTGAATGGGATCACGGAATAACTCTGCATGCACTGCAGGGGAATGGGGCCTCATCTCGCCTCTAGGGGGAAGTCTCATGGTTTTTCTCGAGTTGCGGCGGGGACCTGGGGTATGTTCTCGACTTACGGCGGGGATGGCCCTTCAAAACACGAGTTTCTTCAGTGACGTCAGGACTCCTGTCTAGTAACGAGGGACACCTCAGGAATCTCTTCCAGGTTTGGCAGGGCAAAAGGGACGCTTCTCGAGGTGAGGCAGGGCACCGAAGGACCCTTTCCTGTAGCCACAGGGATTTTGGGATTCCTATCAGTATTCAAGAGCAGTCAGGCATCGTCACCTTTTGAAGCAATGAACTCCGCGTGCCTCTCGAAGTGTCAGCGGGATGTGAGGCATTCCGTCAAAATGAGGCAGGGACCTAGGGCTTTCTCTAAGTTCTCCACAGGGCATTCAGTCATCCCTCCATGTTTTGAGATCAAAGAAGAGCCTGTATTCAAGCCACTGCAAGGAAATCCTTCCTCCTTTCAAGTTAGGGCTTCTCGCTGTATAATCCCCTTGAGGCAGCAAACTCGGGGTCCCTCCCACATACCTATTGCTGAGAGAAGCCTCCTCCTGAGGTGCTTCTGGAAAGTTGGCATACGTCTTGAGCCTAAGCCCGGGAATCAGCTATTATCTCGAGACGATTTCGGGTACACGGAGCATTCCTCGAGTTGCTGTGCTGAAGTTGGTGTTCCTCTAGACTTGGGACAGTGTTCTCGGGGCATCTCTGGAGTTGCCTGAAGGAAGTCGAGCCACCGGTCGTGTTGAATGGGGAACGGGGAATGGCTCTGGAGTCAATGCAGGGGAATCGGGCCTCATCTCGAGTTGATTTGGGGCACATGGAGCTGCTTTGCGTTGCTGGGGTGACCTCAGCGTCCGTCTAGACTGGTGACAGTGTTCTTGGGGACTGTCTCGAGATCCATTAAGCAATTCGAAGCTCCTGACTTGTTTGAATGGGATCACGGAATAGCTCTGCATGCACTGCAGGGGAATGGGGCCTCATCTCGCCTCTAGGGGGAAGTCTCATGGTTTTTCTCGAGTTGCGGCGGGGACCTGGGGTATGTTCTCGACTTACGGCGGGATGGCCCTTCAAAACACGAGTTTCTTCAGTGACGTCAGGACTCCTGTCTATTAACGAGGGACACCTCAGGAATCTCTTCGAGGCTTGCAGGGCAAAAGGGACACTTCTCGAGGTGAGGCATGGCACCCAAGGACCCTTTCCTGTAGCCACAGGGATTTTGGGATTCCTATCAGTATTCAAGAGGAGTCAGGCATCGTCACCTTTTGAAGCAATGCACTCTGCGTGCCTCTCGAGGTGTCAGCGGGATGTGAGGCATTCCGTCAAAATGATGCAGGGACCTAGGGCTTTCTCTAAGGTCTCCACAGGGGATTCAGACATGCCTTCATGTTGTGAGATGAAACACGAGCCTGTATTCAAGCCACTGCAAGGAAATCGGGCCTCCTTTCAATTTAGGGCTTCTCGCTGTATATTCCCCTTGAGGCAGCAAACTCGGGGTCCCTCCCATATACCTATTGCTGAGAGAAGCCTCCTCCTGAGGTGCTTCTGGAAAGTTGGCATACGTCTTGAGCCTAAGCCAGGGAATCAGCTCTCATCTCGAGACGATTTGGGGACACGGAGCATTCCTCGAGTTGCTTTGCTGAAGTTGGTATTCCTCTAGACTTGGGACAGTGTTCTCGGGGCATCTCTGGAGTTGCCAGAAGGAAGTCGAGCCACCGGTCGTGTTGAATGGGGAACGGGGAATGGCTCTGGAGTCAATGCAGGGGAATCGGGCCTCATCTCGAGTTGATTTGGGGCACATGGAGCTGCTTTGCGTTGCTGGGTGACCTCAGGGTCCGTATAGACTGGTGACAGTGTTCTTGGGGACTGTCTCGAGATCCATTAAGCAATTCGAAGCTCCTGACTTGTTTGAATGGGATCACGGAATAGCTCTGCATGCACTGCAGGGGAATGGGGCCTCATCTCGCCTCTAGGGGGTAGTCTCATGGTTTTTCTCGAGTTGTGGCGGGGACCTGGGGTATGTTCTCGACTTAAGGCGGGGATGGCCCTTCAAAACACGAGTTTCTTCAGTGACGTCAGGACTCCTGTCTAGTAACGAGGGACACCTCAGGAATCTCTTCGAGGCTTGGCAGGGCAAAAGGGACGCTTCTCGAGGTGAGGCAGGGCACCCAAGGACCCTTCCCAGTAGCCACGGGGATTTTGGGATTCCTATCAGTATTAAAGAATAGTCAGGCATCGTCACCTTTTGAAGGAATGAACTCTGCGTGCCTCTCGAGGGGTCAACGGGATGTGAGGCATTCCGTCAAAATGAGGCAGGGACCTAGGGCTTTCTCTAAGGTCTCCACAGGGGATTCCGACATCCCTTCATGTTGTGAGATGAAAGACGAGCCAGTATTCAAGCCCGTGCAAGGAAATCTGGCCTCCTTTCAAGTTACGGCTTCTCGCTGTATATTCCCCTTGAGGCAGCAAACTCGGGGTCGCTCCCACATATCTATTGCTAAGAGAAGCCTCCTCCTGAGGTGCTTCTGGAAAGTTGGCATACGTCTTGAGCCTAAGCCAGGGAATCAGCTCCTCTCTCGAGACGATTTGGGGTACACGGAGCATTCCTCGAGTTGCTGTGCTGAAGTTGGTGTTCCTCTAGACTTGGGACAGTGTTCTCGGGGCATCTCTGGAGTTACCTGAAGGAAGTCGAGCCACCGGTCGTGTTGAATGGGGAACGGGGAATGGCTCTGGAGTCAATGCAGGGGAATCGGGCCTCATCTCGAGTTGATTTGGGGCACATGGAGCTGCTTTGTGTTGCTGGGGTGACCTCAGGGTCCGTCTAGACTGGTGACAGTGTTCTTGGGGACTGTCTCGAGACCCATTAAGCAATTCGAAGCTCATGACTTGTTTGAATGGGATCACGGAATAGCTCTGCATGCACTGCAGGAGAATGGGGCCTCATCTCGCCTCTAGGGGGAAGTCTCATGGTTTTTCTCGAGTTGCGGCGGGGTCCTGGGGTATGTTCTCGACTTACGGCGGGGATGGCCCTTCAAAACACGAGTCTCTTCAGTGACGTCAGGACTCCTGTCTAGTAACGAGGGACACTTCAGGAATCTCTTCGAGGCTTGGCAGGGCAAAATGGACGCTTCTCGAGGTGAGGCAGGGCACCCAAGGACCCTTTCCAGTAGCCACAGGGATTTGGGGATTCCTATCAGTATTCAAGAGGAGTCAGGCATCGTCACCTTTTGAAGCAATGAACTCTGCGTGCCTCTCGAGGTGTCAGCGGGATGTGAGGCATTCCGTCAAAATGAGGCATGGACCTAGGGCTTTCTCTAAGGTCTCCACAAGGCATTCAGTCATCCCTTCATGTTTTGAGATCAAAGAAGAGCCTGTATTCAAGCCACTGCAAGGAAATCCGGCCTCCTTTCAAGTTAGGGCTTCTCGCTGTATATTCCCCTTGAGGCAGCAAACTCGGGGTCCCTCCCACATACCTATTGCTGAGAGAAGCCTCCTCCTGAGGTGCTTCTGGAAAGTTGGCATACGTCTTGAGCTTAAGCCAGGGAATCAGCTCTCATCTCGAGACGATTTGGGGTACACGGAGCATTCCTCGAGTTGCTGTGCTGAAGTTGGTGTTCCTCTAGACTTGGGACAGTGTTCTCCGGGCATCTCTGGAGTTGCCTGAAGGAATCGAGCCACCGGTCGTTTGAATGGGGAACGGGGTTTGGCTCTGGAGTCAATGCAGGGGAATCGGGCCTCATCTCGAGTTGATTTGGGGCACATGGAGCTGCTTTGCGTTGCTGGGGTGACCTCAGGGTCCGTCTAGACTGGTGACAGTGTTCTTGGGGACTGTCTCGAGATCCATTAAGCAATTCGAAGCTCCTGACTTGTTTGAATGAGATCACGGAATAGCTCTGCATGCACTGCAGGGGAATGGGGCCTCATCTCGCCTCTAGGGGGAAGTCTCATGGTTTTTCTCGAGTTGCGGCGGGGACCTGGGGTATGTTCTCGACTTAAGGCGGGGATGGCCCTTCAAAACACGAGTTTCTTCAGTGACGTCAGGACTCATGTCTAGTAACGAGGGACACCTCAGGAATCTCTTCGAGGCTTGGCAGGGCAAAAGGGACGCTTCTCGAGGTGAGGCAGGGCACCCAAGGACCCTTTCCAGTAGCCACGGGGATTTTGGGATTCCTATCAGTATTCAAGAATAGTCAGCCATCGTCACCTTTTGAAGCAATGAACTCTGCGTGCCTCTCGAGGTGTCAACGGGATGTGAGGCATTCCGTCAAAATGAGGCAGGGACCTTGGGCTTTCTCTAAGGTCTCCACAGTGGATTCCGACATCCCTTCATGTTGTGAGATGAAAGACGAGCCTGTATTCAAGCCCGTGCAAGGAAATCCGGCCTCCTTTCAAGTTAGGGCTTCTCGCTGTATATTCCCCTTGAGGCAGCAAACTCGGGGTCCCTCCCAAATACCTATTGCTGAGAGAAGCCTCCTCCTGAGGTGCTTCTGGAAAGTTGGCATACGTCTTGAGCCTAAGCCAGGGAATCAGCTCTAATCTCGAGACGATTTGGGGTACACGGAGCATTCCTCGAGTTGCTGTGCTGAAGTTGGTGTTCCTCTAGACTTGGGACAGTGTTCTTGGGGCGGAGTTACCTGAAGGAAGTCGAGCCACCGGTCGTGTTGAATGGGGAACGGGGAATGGCTCTGGAGTCAATGCAGGGGAATCGGGCCTCATCTCGAGTTGATTTGGGGCACATGTAGCTGCTTTGTGTTGCTGGGGTGACCTCAGGGTCCGTCTAGACTGGTGACAGTGCTCTTGGGGACTGTCTCGAGATCGATTAAGCAAGTCGAAGCTCCTGACTTGTTTGAATGGGATCACGGAATAGCTCTGCATGCACTGCAGGGGAATGGGGCCTCATCTCGCCTCTAGGGGGAAGTCTCATGGTTTTTCTCGAGTTGCGACGGGGACTTGGGGTATGTTCTCGACTTACGGCGGGGATGGCCCTTCAAAACACGAGTTTCTTCAGTGACGTCAGGACTCCTGTCTAGTAACGAGGGACACCTCAGGAATCTCTTCGAGGCTTGGCAGGGTAAAAGGGACGCTTCTCGAGGTGAGGCAGGGCACCCAAGGACCCTTTCCAGTAGCCAAAGGGATTCTGGGATTCCTATCAGTATTCAAGAGGAGTAAGGCATCGTCACCTTTTGAAGCAATGAACTCCGCGTGCCTCTCGAGGTGTCAGCGCGATGTGAGGCATTCCGTCAAAATGAGGCAGGGGCCTAGGGCTTTCTTTAAGGTCTCCACAGGGGATTCAGACATCCCTTCATGTTGTGAGATGAAAGACGTGCCTGTATTCAAGCCACTGCAAGGAAATCCGGCCTCCTTTCAAGTTAGGGCTTCTCGCTCTATATTCCCCTTGAGGCAGCAAACTCGGGGTCCCTCCCACATAACTATTGCTGAGAGAAGCCTCCTCCTGAGGTCCTTCTGGAAAGTTGGCATACGTATTGAGCCTAAGCCAGGGAATCAGCTCACATCTCGAGACGATTTGGGGTACACGGAGCATTCCTCGAGTTGCTGTGCTGAAGTTGGTGTTCCTCTAGACTTGGGACAGGGTTCTCGGGGCATCTCTGGAGTTGCGTGAAGGAAGTCGAGCCACCGGTCGTGTTGAATGGGGAACGGGGAATGGCTCTGGAGTCAATGCAGGGGAATCGGGCCTCATCTCGAATTGATTTGGGGCACATGGAACTGCTTTGCATTGCTGGGGTGACCTCAGGGTCCGTCTAGACTGGTGACAGTGCTCTTGGGGACTGTCTCGAGATCGATTAAGCAAGTGGAAGCTCCTGACTAGTTTGAATGGGATCACGGAATAGCTCTGCACGCACTGCAGGGGAATGGGGCCTCATCTCGCCTCTAGGGGGAAGTCTCATGGTTTTTCTCGAGTTGCGGCGGGGACCTGGGGTATGTTCTCGACTTACGGCGGGGATGGCCCTTCAAAACACGAGTTTCTTCAGTGACGTCAGGACTCCTGTCTAGTAATGTGGGACACCTCAGGAATCTCTTCGAGGCTTGGCAAGGCAAAAGGGACGCTTCTCGAGGTGAGGCAGGGCACCCAAGGACCCTTTCCAGTAGCCACAGGGATTTTGGGATTCCTATCAGTATTCAAGAGGAGTCAGGCATCGTCACCTTTTGAAGCAATGAACTCTGCGTGCCTCTCGAGGTGTCAGCGGGATGTGAGGCATTCCGTCAAAATGAGGCATGGACCTAGGGCTTTCTCTAAGGTCTCCACAGGGCATTCAGTCATCCCTTCATGTTTTGAGATCAAAGAAGAGCCTGTATTCAAGCCACTGCAAGGAAATCCGGCCTCCTTTCAAGTTAGGGCTTCTCGCTGTATATTCCCCTTGAGGCAGCAAACTCGGGGTCCCTCCCACATACCTATTGCTGAGAGAAGCCTCCTCCTGAGGTGCTTCTGGAAAGTTGGCATACGTCTTGAGCCTAAGCCAGGGAATCAGCTCTCATCTCGAGACGATTTGGGGTACACGGAGCATTCCTCGAGTTGCTGTGCTGAAGTTGGTGTTCCTCTTGACTTGGGACAGTGTTCTCCGGGCATCTCTGGAGTTGCCTGAAGGAAGTCGAGCCACCGGTCGTGTTGAATGGGGAACGGGGAATGGCTCTGGAGTCAATGCAGGGGAATCGGGCCTCATCTCGAGTTGATTTGGGGCACATGGAGCTGCTTTGCGTTGCTGGGGTGACCTCAGGGTCCGTATAGACCGGTGACAGTCTTCTTGGGGACTGTCTCGAGATCCATTAAGCAATTCGAAGCTCCTGACTTCTTTGAATGGGATCACGGAATAGCTCTGCATGCACTGCAGGGGAATGGGGCCTCATCTCTCCTCTAGGGGGAAGTCTCATGGTTTTTCTCGAGTTGCGGCGGGGACCTGGGGTATGTTCTCGACTTAAGGCGGGTATGGCCCTTCAAAACACGAGTTTCTTCAGTGACGTCAGGACTCCTGTCTAGTAACGTGGGACACCTCAGGAATCTCTTCGAGGCTTGGCAGGGCAAAAGGGACGCTTCTCGAGGTGAGGCAGGGCACCCAAGGACCCTTTCCAGTAGCCACGGGGATTTTGGGATTCCTATCAGTATTCAAGAATAGTCAGCCATCGTCACCTTTTGAAGCAATGAACTCTGCCTGCCTCTCGAGGTGTCAACGGGATGTGAGGCATTCCGTCAAAATGAGGCAGGGACCTTGGGCTTTCTCTAAGGTCTCCACAGTGGATTCCGACATCCCTTCATGTTGTGAGATGAAAGACGAGCCTGTATTCAAGCCCGTGCAAGGAAATCCGGCCTCCTTTCAAGTTATTGCTTCTCGCTGTATATTCCCCTTGAGGCAGCAAACTCGGGGTCCCTCCCAAATACCTATTGCTGAGAGAAGCCTCCTCCTGAGGTGCTTCTGGAAAGTTGGCATATGTCTTGAGCCTAAGCCAGGGAATCAGCTCTAATCTCGAGACGATTTGGTGTACACGGAGCATTCCTCGAGTTGCTGTGCTGAAGTTGGTGTTCCTCTAGACTTGGGAGAGTGTTCTTGGGGCGAAGTTACCTGAAGGAAGTCGAGCCACCGGTCGTGTTGAATGGGGAACGGGGAATGGCTCTGGAGTCAATGCAGGGGAATCGGGCCTCATTTCGAGTTGATTTGGGGCACATGTAGCTGCTTTGTGTTGCTGGGGTGACCTCAGGGTCCGTCTAGACTGGTGACAGTGCTCTTGGGGACTGTCTCGAGATCGATTAAGCAAGTCGAAGCTCCTGACTTGTTTGAATGGGATCACGGAATAGCTCTGCATGCACTGCAGGGGAATGGGGCCTCATCTCGCCTCTAGGGGGAAGTCTCATGGTTTTTCTCGAGTTGCGACGGGGACTTGGGGTATGTTATCGACTTACGGCGGGGATGGCCCTTCAAAACACGAGTTTCTTCAGTGACGTCAGGACTCCTGTCTAGTAACGAGGGACACCTCAGGAATCTCTTCGAGCCTTGGCAGGGTAAAAGGGACGCTTCTCGAGGTGAGGCAGGGCACCCAAGGACCCTTTCCAGTAGCCAAAGGGATTCTGGGATTCCTATCAGTATTCAAGAGGAGTAAGGCATCGTCACCTTTTGAAGCAATGAACTCCGCGTGCCTCTCGAGGTGTCAGCGCGATGTGAGGCATTCCGTCAAAATGAGGCAGGGGCCTAGGGCTTTCTTTAAGGTCTCCACAGGGGATTCAGACATCCCTTCATGTTGTGAGATGAAAGACGTGCCTGTATTCAAGCCACTGTAAGGAAATCCGGCCTCCTTTCAAGATAGGGCTTCTCGCTTTATATTCCCCTTGAGGCAGCAAACTCGGGGTCTCTCCCACATACCTATTGCTGAGAGAAGCCTCCTCTTGAGGTGCTTCTGGAAAGTTGGCATACGTCTTGAGCTTAAGCCAGGGAATCCGGTCTAATCTTGAGATGATTTGGTGTACACAGTGGTTTCCTCGAGTTGCTTTGCTGAATTTGGTGGTCCTCTAGACTTGGGACAGTGTTCTCTGGGCATCTATTTAGTTTCCTGAAGGAAGTCAAGCCACTGGTCGTGTTTAATGGGGAACGGGGTATGGCTCTGGAGTCAATGCACGGAAATCGGGCCTCATCTCGAGTTGATTTGTGGCACATGGAGCAGCTTTGCGATGCTGGGGTCACGTCATGGTCCGTCTAGACATGTGACATTGTTCTTCTGGACTGTATCAAGATCCATTAAGCAAGTCGAAGCTCCTGACTTGTTTGATGGGGTCAAGGAATTGCTTTGCATGCCATGCAGGGAATCGGGCCTCATCTCGGATCAAGGGGGAATTCTCATGGTTTTTCTCGAGTTGCGACGGGAACCTGGGGTATGTTCTCGAGTTACAGCGGGGATGGCCCTTCAAAACACGTGTTTTTTCAGTGACGTCAGGACTCTTGTCTAGTAACGAGTGACACTTCAGGAATCTCTTCCAGGCTTGGCATGCAAAAGCGATGATTCTCGAGTTGACGCAGGGCACCCAAGGACCCTTTCCAGTAGCCACAGGGATTTTGGGATTCCTATCAATATTCAAGAGGAGTCAGGCATCGTCACCTTTTGAAGCAGTTAACTGCGCGTGCCTCTCGAGGTGTCAACGGGATGTCAGGCATTCCGTCAATATGAGGCAGGGGCCTAGAGCTTTGTCTAAGGTCTCCACAGGGGATTCAGACATCCCTTCTTGTTGTGAGATGAAAGACGAGCCAGTATTTAAGCCACTGCAAGGAAATCCGGCCTCCTTTCAAGTTAGGGCTTCTCGCTGTATATTCCACTTGAGGCAGCAAACTCGGGGTCCGTCCCACATACCTATTGCTGAGAGAAGCCTCCTCTTGAGGTGCTTCTGGAAAGTTGGCATAGGTGTTGAGTCTAAGCAAGGGAATCAGCTCACATCTCGAGACGGTATTGTTACACGGAGCATTCCTTAAGTTGCTGTGGTGAAGTTGGTGTTCCTCTAGACTTGGGACAGTGTTCTCGGGGCACCTCTGGAGTTGCCTGAAGGAAGTCAAGCCACTGGTCGAGTTTAGTGGGGAACTGGGGATGGTTCTGGAGTCAATGCAGGGGAATCCGGCCTCATCTCGAGGTGATTTGGGGCACATGGGGATGCTTTGCATTGCTGTGGTGACCTCAAGGTCCTTCTAGACTTGTGAAAGTGTTCTTCGGAATGTCTCGAGATCCATTAATCAAGTCAAAGCTCCTGACTTGTTTGATGGGGATCAAGGATTGCTTTGCATGCCATGCAGGGGAATCGGGCCTCATCTCGCCTCTAGGGGGAAGTCTCATGATTTTTCTCGAGTTGCGACGGGGACCTGGGGTATGTTCTCGAGTTATGGTGGGGATGGCCCTTCAAAACACGTGTTTATTCAGTGACGTCAGGACTCCTGTCTAGTAACGAGGGACATCTCAGGAATATCTTCGAGGCTTGGCAGGGCAAAAGGGATGCTGCTCGAGGTGAGGCAGGGCACCCAAGGACCCTTTCCCGTAGCCACAGGGATTTTGGGATTCCTATCAGTATTCAAGAGGAGTCAGGCATCGTCACCTTTTGAAGCAATGAACTCCGCTTGCCTCTCGAGGTGGCAACGGGATGTGAGGCATTTGTCAAAATGAGGCAGGGACCTAGGTCTTTCTCTAAGGTCTCCACAGGGGATTCAGACATCCCTTCATGATTTGATATCAAAGACGAGCCTGTATTCAAGCCAGTGCAAGAAAATCCGGCCTCCTTTCAAGTTAGGGCTTCTCGCTGTATATTCCCCTTGAGGCAGCAAACTCGGGGTCCCTCCCACATACCTATTGCTGAGAGAAGCTTACTCCTGAGGTGCTTCTGGAAAGTTGGCATACGTCTTGAGCCTAAGCCAGGGAATCAGCTCTCAACTCGAGACGATTTGGGGTACACGGAGCATTCCTCGAGTTGCTGTGCTGAGGTTGGTGTTCCTCCAGACTTGGGACAGTGTTCTCGGGGCATCTCTGGAGTTGCCTGAAGGAAGTCGAGCCACCGGTCGTGTTGAATGGGGAACGGGGAATGGCTCTGGAGTCAATGCAGGGGAATCGGGCCTCATCTCGAGTTGATTTGGGGCACATGGAGCTGCTTTGCTATGCTGGGGTGACCTCAGCGTCCGTCTACACTGGTGACAGTGTTCTTGGGGACTGTCTCGAGATCCATTAAGCAAGTCGAAGCTCTGGATTTGTTTGAATGGGATCACGGAATAGCTCTGCATGAACTGCAGGGGAATGGGGCCTCATCTCGCCTCTAGGGGGAAGTCTCATGGTTTTTCTCGAGTTGCGGCGGGGACCTGGGGTATGTTCTCGACTTACGGCGGGATGGCCCTTCAAAACACGAGTTTCTTCAGTGACGTCAGGACTCCTGTCTAGTAACGAGGGACACCTCAGGAATCTCTTCGAGGCTTGGCAGGGCAAAAGGGACGCTTCTCGAGGTGAGGCAGGGCACCCAAGGACCCTTTCCAGTAGCCACAGGGATTTTGGGATTCCTATCAGTATTCAAGAGGAGTCAGGCATCGTCACCTTTTGAAGCAGTGAACTCTGCGTGCCTCTCGAGGTGTCAGCGGGATGTGAGGCATTCCGTCAAAATGAGGCAGGGACCTAGGGCTTTCTCTAAGGTCTCCACAGGGGATTCAGACATGCCTTCATGTTGTGAGATTAAACACGAGCCTGTATTCATGCCACTGCAAGGAAATCGGGCCTCCTTTCAATTTAGGGCTTCTCGCTGTATATTCCCCTTGAGGCAGCAAACTCGGGGTCCCTCTCAGATAGCTATTGCTGAGAGAATCCTCCTCCTGAGGTGCTTCTGGAAAGTTGGCATACGTCTTGAGCCTAAGCCAGGGAATCAGCTCTCATCTCGAGACGATTTGGGGTACACGGAGCATTCCTCGAGTTGCTGTGCTGAAGTTGGTATTCCTCTAGACTTGGGACAGTGTTCTCGGGGCATCTCTGGAGTTGTCTGAAGGAAGTCAAGCCACTGGTCGAGTTTAGTGGGGAACTGGGGATGGTTCTGGAGTCAATGCAGGGGAATCCGGCCTCATCTCGAGGTGATTTGGGGCACATGGGGATGCTTTGCATTGCTGTGGTGACCTCAATGTCCGTCTTGACTTGTGACAGTGTTCTTCGGAATTTCTCGAGATCCATTAAGCAAGTCGAATCTCCTGACTTGTTTGAATGGGATCACGGAATAGCTCTGCATGCACTGCAGGGGAATGGGGCCTCATCTCGCCTCTAGGGGGAAGTCTCATGGTTTTTCTCGAGTTGCGGCGGGGACATGGGGTATGTTCTCGACTTATGGCGGGGATGGCCCTTCAAAACACGAGTTTCTTCAGTGACGTCAGGACTCCTGTCTAGTAACGAGGGACACCTCAGGAATCTCTTCCAAGCTTGGCAGGGCAAAAGGGACGCTTCTCGATGTGAGGCAGGGCACCCAAGGACCCTTTCCAGTAGCCACAGGGATTTTGGGATTCCTATCAGTATTCAAGAGGAGTCAGGCATGGTCACCTTTTGAAGCAATGAAATCTGCGTGCCTCTCGAGGTGTCAGCTGGATGTGAGGCTTTCCGTCAAAATGAGGCATGGCCCTAGGGCTTTCTCTCAGGTCTCCACACGGCATTCAGTCATCCCTTCATGTTTTGAGATCAAAGAAGAGCCTGTATTCAAGCCACTGCAAGGAAATCTGGCCTCCTTTCAAGTTAGGGCTTCTCGCTGTATATTCCCCTTGAGGCAGCAAACTCGGGGTCCCTCCCACATACCTATTGCTGAGAGAAGCCTCCTCCTGAGGTGCTTCTGGAAATTTGGCATACGTCTTGAGCCTAAGCCAGGGAATCAGCTCTCATCTCGAGACGATTTGGGGAACACGGAGCATTCCTCGAGTTGCTGTGCTGAAGTTGGTGTTCCTCTAGACTTGGGACAGTGTTCTCGGGGCATCTGTGGAGTTGCCTGAAGGAAGTCGAGCCACCGGTCGTGTTGAATGGGGAACGGGGAATGGCTCTGGAGTCAATGCAGGGGAATCGGGCCTCATCTCGAGTTGATTTGGGGCACATGGAGCTGCTTTGCGTAGCTGGGGTGACCTCAGCGTCCGTCTAGACTGGTGACAGTGTTCTTGGGGACTGTCTCGAGATCCATTAAGCAAGTCGAAGCTCCTGACTTGTTTGAATGGGATCACGGAATAGCTCTGCATGCACTGCAGGGGAATGGGGCCTCATCTCGCCTCTAGGGGGAAGTCTCATGGTTTTTCTCGAGTTGCGGCGGGGATCTGGGGTATGTTCTCGACTTACGGCGGGGATGGCCCTTCAAAACACGAGTTTCTTCAGTGACGTCAGGACTCCTGTTTAGTAATGAGGGACACCTCAGGAATCTCTTCGAGGCTTGGCAGGGCAAAAGGGACGCTTCTCGAGGTGAGGCAGGGCACCCAAGGACACTTTCCAGTAGCCACAGGGATTTTGGGATTCCTATCAGTATTCAAGAGGAGTCAGGCATCGTCACCTTTTGAAGCAATGAACTCCGCGTGCCTCTCGAGGTGTCAGCGGGATGTGAGGCATTCCGTCAAAATGAGGCAGGGACCTAGGGCTTTCTCTAAGGTCTCCACAGGGGATTCAGACATGCCTTCATGTTGTGAGATTAAACACGAGCCTGTATTCAAGCCACTGCAAGGAAATCGGGCCTCCTTTCAATTTAGGGCTTCTCGCTGTATATTCCCCTTGAGGCAGCAAACTCGGGGTCCGTCCCACATAGCTATTGCTGAGAGAAGCCTCCTCCTGAGGTTCTTCTGGAAAGTTGGCATACGTCTTGAGCCTAAGCCAGGGAATCAGCTCTCATCTCGAGACGATTTGGGGTACACGGAGCATTCCTCGAGTTGCTGTGCTGAAGTTGGTGTTCCTCTAGACTTGGGACAGTGTTCTCGGGGCATCTCTGGAGTTGCCTGAAGGAAGTCATGCCACCGGTCGTGTTGAATGGGGAACGGAGAATGGCTCTGGGGTCAATGCAGGGGAATCGGGCCTCATCTCGAGTTGATTTGGGGCACATGGAGCTGCTTTGCGTTGCTGGGGTGGCCTCAGGGTCCGTCTAGACTGGTGACAGTGTTCTTGGGGACTGTCTCGAGATCCATTAAGCAAGTCGAAGCTCCTGACTTGTTTGAATGGGATCACGGAATAGCTCTGCATGCACTGCAGGGGAATGGGGCGTCATCTCGCCTCTAGGGGGAAGTCTCATTGTTTTCTCGAGTTGCGGCAGGGACCTGGGGTATCTTCTCGACTTACGGCGGGGAAGGCCCTTCAAAACAAGAGTTTCTTCAGTGACGTCAGGACTCCTGTCTAGTAACGAGGGACACCTCAGGAATCTCTTCGAGGCTTGGCAGGGCAAAAGGGACGCTTCTCGAGGTGAGGCAGGGCACCCAAGGACCCTTTCCAGTAGCCACGGGGATTTTGGGATTCCTATGAGTTTTCAAGAAGAGTCAGGCATCGTCACCTTTTGAAGCAATGAACTCTGCGTGCCTCTCGAGGTGTCAACGGGATGTGAGGCATTCCGTCAAAATGAGGCATGGACCTAGGTCTTTCTCTAAGGTCTCCACAGGGCATTCAGTCATCCCTTCATGTTTTGAGATCAAAGAAGAGCTTGTATTCAAGCCACTGCAAGGAAATCCGGCCTCCTTTCAAGTTAGGGCTTCTCACTGTATATTCCCCTTGAGGCAGCAAACTCGGGGTCCCTCCCACATACCTATTGCTGAGAGAAGCCTCCTCCTGAGGTGCTTCTGGAAAGTTGGCATACGTCTTGAGCCTAAGCCAGGGAATCAGCTCTCATCTCGAGACGATTTGGGGTACACGGAGCATTCCTCGAGTTGCTGTGCTGAAGTTGGTGTTCCTCTAGACTTGGGACAGTGTTCTCGGGGCATCTCTGGAGTTGCCTGAAGGAAGTCGAGCCACCGGTCGTGTTGAATGGGGAACGGGGAATGGCTCTGGAGTCAATGCAGGGGAATCGGGCCTCATCTCGAGTTGATTTGGGGCACATGGAGCTGCTTTGCGTTTCTGGGGTGGCCTCAGGGTCCGTCTAGACTGGTGACAGTGTTCTTGGGGACTGTCTCGAGATCCATTAAGCAAGTCGAAGCTCCTGACTTGTTTGAATGGGATCACGGAATAGCTCTGCATGCACTGCAGGGGAATGGGGCCTCATCTCGCCTCTAGGGGGAAGTCTCATGCTTTTTCTCGAGTTGCGGCAGGGACCTGGGGTATGTTCCCGACTTACGGCGGGGAAGGCTCTTCAAAACACGAGTTTCTTCAGTGACGTCAGGACTCCTGTCTAGTAACGAGGGACACCTCAGGAATCTCTTCGAGGCTTGGCAGGGCAAAACGGACGCTTCTCGAGTTGAGGCAGGGCACCCAAGGACCCTTTCCAGTAGCCACGGAGATTTTGGGATTCCTATCAGTATTCAAGAAGAGTCAGGCATCTTCACCTTTTGAAGCAATGAACTCTGCGTGCCTCTCGAGGTGTCAACGGGATGTGAGGCATTCCGTCAAAATGAGGCAGGGATCTAGGTCTTTCTCTAAGGTCTCCACAGTGGATTCCGACATCCCTTCATGTTGTGAGATGAAAGACGAGCCTGTATTCAAGCCACTGCAAGGAAATCCGGCCTCCTTTCAAGTTAGGGCTTCTCGCTGTATATTCCCCTTGAGGCAGCAAACTCGGGGTCCCTCCCACATACCTATTGCTGAGAGAAGCCTCCTCCTGAGGTGCTTCTGGAAAGTTGGCATACGTATTGACCCTAAGCCAGGGAATCAGCTCTCATCTCGAGACGATTTGGGGTACACGGAGCATTCCTCGAGTTGCTGTGCTGAAGTTGGTTTTCCTCTAGACTTGGGACAGTGTTCTCGGGGCATCTCTGGAGTTGCCTGAAGGAAGTCGAGCCACCGGTCGTGCTGAATGGGAAATGGGGAATGGCTCTGGAGTCAATGCAGGGGAATCGGGCCTCATCTCGAGTTGATTTGGGGCACATGGAGCTGCTTTGCGTTGCTGGGGTGACCTCAGCGTCCGTCTAGACTGGTGACAGTGTTCTTGGGGACTGTCTCGAGATCCATTAAGCAAGTCGAAGCTCCTGACTTGTTTGAATGGGATCACGGAATAACTCTGCATGCACTGCAGGGGAATGGGGCCTCATCTCGCCTCTAGGGGGAAGTCTCATGGTTTTTCTCGAGTTGCGACGGGGACCTGGGGTATGTTCTCGACTTACGGCGGGATGGCCCTTCAAAACACGAGTTTCTTCAGTGACGTCAGGACTCCTGTTTAGTAACGAGGGACACCTCAGGAATCTCTTCGAGGCTTGGCAGGGCAAATGGGACGCTTCTCGAGGTGAGGCAGGGCACCTAAGGACCCTTTCCAGTAGCCACAGGGATTTTGGGATTCCTATCAGTATTCAAGAGGAGTCAGGCATCGTCACCTTTTGATGCAATGAACTCTGCGTGCCTCTCGATGTGTCAGCGGGATGTGAGGCATTCCTTCAAAATGAGGCAGGGACCTAGGGCTTTCTCTAAGGTCTCCACAGGGGATTCAGACATGCCTTCATGTTGTGAGATTAAACACGAGCCTGTATTAAAGCCACTGCAAGGAAATCGGGCCTCCTTTCAATTTAGGGCTTCTCGCTGTATATTCCCCTTGAGGCAGCAAACTCGGGGTCCCTCCCACATAGCTATTGCTGAGAGAAGCATCCTCCTGAGGTTCTTCTGGAAAGTTGGCATACGTCTTGAGCCTAAGCCAGGGAATCAGCTCTCATCTCGAGACGATTAGGGGTACACGGCGCATTCCTCGAGTTGCTGTGCTGAAGTTGGTGTTCCTCTAGACTTGTTACAGTGTTCTCGGGGCATCTCTGGAGTTGCCTGAATGAAGTCGAGCCACCGGTCGTGTTGAATGGGGAACGGGGAATGGCTCTGGAGTCAATGCAGGGGAATCGGGCCTCATCTCGAGTTGATTTGGGGCACATAGAGCTGCTTTGCGTTGCTGGGGTGGCCTCAGGGTCCGTCTAGACTGGTGACAGTGTTCTTGGGGACTGTCTCGAGATCCATTAAGCAAGTCGAAGCTCCTGACTTGTTTGAATGGGATCACGGAATAGCTCTGCATGCACTGCAGGGGAATGGGGCCTCATATCGCCTCTAGGGAGAAGTCTCATTGTTTTTCTCGAGTTGCGGCAGGGACCTGGGGTATGTTCTCGACTTACGGCGGGGAAGGCCCTTCAAAACACGAGTTTCTTCAGTGACGTCAGGACTCCTGTCTAGTAACGAGGGACACCTCAGGAATCTCTTTGAGGCTTGGCAGGGCAAAACGGACGCTTCTCGAGGTGAGGCAGGGCACCCAAGGACCCTTTCCAGTAGCCACGGGGATTTTGGGATTCCTATCAGTATTCAAGAAGAGTCAGGCATCGTCACCTTTTGAAGCAATGAACTCTGCGTGCCTCTCGAGGGGTCAACGGGATGTGAGGCATTCCGTCAAAATGAGGCATGGACCTAGGGCTTTCTCTAAGGTCTCCATAGGGCATTCAATCATCCCTTCATGTTTTGAGATCAAAGAAGAGCCTGTATTCAAGCCACTGCAAGGAAATCCGGCCTCCTTTCAAGTTAGGGCTTCTCGCTGTATATTCCCCTTGAGGCAGCAAACTCGGGGTCCCTACCACATACCTATTGCTGAGAGAAGCCTCCTCCTGAGGTGCTTCTGGAAAGTTGGCATACGTCTTGAGCCTAAGCCAGGGAATCAGCTCTCATCTCGAGACGATTTGGGGTACACGGAGCATTCCTCGATTTGCTGTGCTGAAGTTGGTGTTCCTCTAGACTTGGGACAGTGTTCTCGGGGCATCTCTGGAGTTACCTGAAGGAAGTCGAGCCACCGGTCATGTTGAATGCGGAACGGGGAATGGCTCTGGAGTCAATGCAGGGGAATCGGGCCTCATCTCGAGTTGATTTGGGGCACATGGAGCTGCTTTGCGTTGCTGGGGTGACCTCAGGGTCTGTCTAGCCTGGTGACAGTGTTCTTGGGGACTGTCTCGAGATCCATTAAGCAAGTCGAAGCTCCTGACTTGTTTGAATGGGATCACGGAATAGCTCTGCATGCACTGCAGGGCAATGGGGCCTCATCTCGCCTCTAGGGGGAAGTCTCATGGTTTTACTCGAGTTGCGGCGGGGACCTGGGGTATGTTCTCGACTTACGGCGGGATGGCCCTTCAAAACACGAGTTTCTTCAGTGACGTCAGGACTCCTGTCTAGTAACGAGGGACACCTCAGGAATCTCTTCGAGGCTTGGCAGGGCAAAAGGGACGCTTCTCGAGGTGAGGCAGGGCACCCAAGGACCCTTTCCTGTAGCCACAGGGATTTTGGGATTCCTATCAGTATTCAAAAGGAGTCAGGCATCGTCACCTTTTGAAGCAATGAACTCTGCGTGCCTCTCGAGGTGTCAGCGGGATGTGAGGCATTCCGTCAAAATGAGGCATGGACCTAGGGCTTTCTCTAAGGTCTCCACAGGGCATTCAGTCATCCCTTCATGTTTTGAGATCAAAGAAGAGCCTGTATTCAAGCCACTGCAAGGAAATCCGGCCTCCTTTCAAGTTAGGGCTTCTCGCTGTATATTCCCCTTGAGGCAGCAAACTCGGGGTCCCTCCCACATACCTATTGCTGAGAGAAGCCTCCTCCTGAGGTGCTTCTGGAAAGTTGGCATACGTCTTGAGCCTAAGCCAGGGAATCAGCTCTCATCTCGAGACGATTTGGGGTACACGGAGCATTCCTCGAGTTGCTGTGCTGAAGTTGGTGTTCCTCTAGACTTGGGACAGTGTTCTCGGGGCATCTCTGGAGTTGCCTGAAGGAAGTCGAGCCACCGGTCGTGTTGAATGGGGAACGGGGAATGGCTCTGGAGTCAATGCAGGGGAATCGGGCCTCATCTCGAGTTGATTTGGGGCACATGGAGCTGCTTTGCGTTTCTGGGGTGGCCTCAGGGTCCGTCTAGAGTGGTGACAGTGTTCTTGGGGACTGTCTCGAGATCCATTAAGCAAGTCGAAGCTCCTGACTTGTTTGAATGGGATCACGGAATAGCTCTGCATGCACTGCAGGGGAATGGGGCCTCATCTCGCCTCTAGGGGGAAGTCTCATGGATTTTCTCGAGTTGCGGCGGGGACCTGGGGTATGTTCTCGACTTACGGCGGGGATGGCCCTTCAAAACACGAGTTTCTTCAGTGACGTCAGGACTCCTGTTTAGTAACGAGGGACACCTCAGGAATCTCTTCGAGGCTTGGCAGGGCAAAAGGGACGCTTCTCGAGGTGAGGCAGGGCACCCAAGGACCCTTTCCAGTAGCCACAGGGATTTTGGGATTCCTATCTGTATTCAAGAGGAGTCAGGCATCGTCACCTTTTGAAGCACTGAACTCCGCGTGCCTCTCGAGGTGTCAGCGGGATGTGAGGCATTCCTTCAAAATGAGGCAGGGTCCTAGGGCTTTCTCTAAGGTCTCCACAGGGGATTCAGACATGCCTTCATGTTGTGAGATTAAACACGAGCCTGTATTCAAGCCACTGCAAGGAAATCGGGCCTCCTTTCAATTTAGGGCTTCTCGCTGTATATTCCCCTTGAGGCAGCAAACTCGGGGTCCCTCCCACATACCTATTGCTGAGAGAAGCCTCCTCCTGAGGTGCTTCTGGAAAGTTGGCATACGTCTTGAGCCTAAGCTAGGGAATCAGCTCTCATCTCGAGAAGATTTGGGGTACATGGAGCATTCCTCGAGTTGCTGTGCTGAAGTTGGTGTTCCTCTAGACTTGTTACAGTGTTCTCGGGGCATCTCTGGAGTTGCCTGAATTAAGTCGAGCCACCGGTCGTGTTGAATGGGGAACGGGGAATGGCTCTGGAGTCAATGCAGGGGAATCGGGCCTCATCTCGAGTTGATTTGGGGCACATGGAGCTGCTTTGCGTTGCTGGGGTGACCTCAGGGTCCGTCTAGACTGGTGACAGTGTTCTTGGGGACTGTCTCGAGATCCATTAAGCAAGTCGAAGCTCCTGACTTGTTTGAATGGGATCACGGAATAGCTCTGCATGCACTGCAGGGGAATGGGGCCTCATCTCGCCTCTAGGGGGAAGTCTCATGGATTTTCTCGAGTTGCGGTGGGGACCTGGGGTATGTTCTCGACTTATGGCGGGGATGGCCCTTCAAAACACGAGTTTCTTCAGTGACGTCAGGACTCCTGTCTAGTAACGAGGGACACCTCAGGAATCTCTTCCAAGCTTGGCAGGGCAAAAGGGACGCTTCTCGAGGTGAGGCAGGGCACCCAAGGACCCTTTCCAGTAGCCACAGGGATTTTGGGATTCCTATCAGTATTCAAGAGGAGTCAGGCATCGTCACCTTTTGAAGCAATGAACTCTGCGTGCCTCTCGAGGTGTCAGCGGGATGTGAGGCATTCCGTCAAAATGAGGCATGGACCTAGGGCTTTCTCTAAGGTCTCCACAGGGCATTCAGTCATCCCTTCATGTTTTGAGATCAAAGAAGAGCCTGTATTCAAGCCACTGCAAGGAAATCTGGCCTCCTTTCAAGTTAGGGCTTCTCGCTGTATATTCCCCTTGAGGCAGCAAACTCGGGGTCCCTCCCACTTACCTATTGCTGAGAGAAGCCTCCTCCTGAGGTGCTTCTGGAAAGTTGGCATACGTCTTGAGCCTAAGCCAGGGAATCAGCTCTCATCTCGAGACGATTTGGGGTACACGGAGCATTCCTCGAGTTGCTGTGCTGAAGTTGGTGTTCCTCTAGACTTGGTACAGTGTTCTCGGGGCATCTCTGGAGTTGCCTGAAGGAAGTCGAGCCACTGGTCGTGTTGAATGGGGAACGGGGAATGGCTCTGGAGTCAATGCAGGGGAATCGGGCCTCATCTCGAGTTGATTTGGGGCACATGGAGCTGCTTTGCGTTGCTGGGGTGGCCTCAGGGTCCGTCTAGACTGGTGATAGTGTTCTTGGGGACTGTCTCGAGATCCATTAAGCAAGTCGAAGCTCCTGACTTGTTTGAATGGGATCACGGAATAGCTCTGCATGCACTGCAGGGGAATGGGGCCTCATCTCGCCTCTAGGGGGAAGTCTCATGGATTTTCTCGAGTTGCGGCGGGGACCTGGGGTATGTTCTCGACTTACGGCGGGATGGCCCTTCAAAACACGAGTTTCTTCAGTGACGTCAGGACTCCTGTTTAGTAACGAGGGACACCTCAGGAATCTCTTCGAGGCTTGGCAGGGCAAAAGGGACGCTTCTCGAGGTGAGGCAGGGCACCCAAGGACCCTTTCCAGTAGCCACAGGGATTTTGGGATTCCTATCAGTATTCAAAAGGAGTCAGGCATCGTCACCTTTTGAAGCAATGAACTCTGCGTGGCTCTCGAGGTGTCAGCGGGATGTGAGGCATTCCTTCAAAATGAGGCATGGACCTAGGGCTTTCTCTAAGGTCTCCACAGGGCATTCAGTCATCCCTTCATGTTTTGAGATCAAAGAAGAGCCTGTATTCAAGCCACTGCAAGGAAATCGGGCCTCCTTTCAATTTAGGGCTTCTCGCTGTATATTCCCCTTGAGGCAGCAAACTCGGGGTCCCTCCCACATAGCTATTGCTGAGAGAAGCCTCCTCCTGAGGTGCTTCTGGAAAGTTGGCATACGTCTTGAGCCTAAGCTAGGGAATCAGCTCTCATCTCGAGAAGATTTGGGGTACATGGAGCATTCCTCGAGTTGCTGTGCTGAAGTTGGTGTTCCTCTAGACTTGTTACAGTGTTCTCGGGGCATCTCTGGAGTTGCCTGAAGGAAGTCGAGCCACCGGTCGTGTTGAATGGGGAACGGGGAATGGCTCTGGAGTCAATGCAGGGGAATCGGGCCTCATCTCGAGTTGATTTGGGGCACATGGAGCTGCTTTGCGTTGCTGGGGTGACCTCAGGGTCCGTCTAGACTGGGGACAGTGTTCTTGGGGACTGTCTCGAGATCCATTAAGCAAGTCGAAGCTCCTGACTTGTTTGAATGGGATCACGGAATAGCTCTGCATGCACTGCAGGGGAATGGGGCCTCATCTCGCCTCTAGGGGGAAGTCTCATGGATTTTCTCGAGTTGCGGTGGGGACATGGGGTATGTTCTCGACTTATGGCGGGGATGGCCCTTCAAAACACGAGTTTCTTCAGTGACGTCAGGACTCCTGTCTAGTAACGAGGGACACCTCAGGAATCTCTTCCAAGCTTGGCAGGGCAAAAGGGACGCTTCTCGAGGTGAGGCAGGGCACCCAAGGACCCTTTCCAGTAGCCACAGGGATTTTGGGATTCCTATCAGTATTCAAGAGGAGTCAGGCATCGTCACCTTTTGAAGCAATGAACTCTGCGTGCCTCTCGAGGTGTTAGCGGGATGTGAGGCATTCCGTCAAAATGAGGCATGGACCTAGGGCTTTCTCTAAGGTCTCCACAGGGCATTCAGTCATCCCTTCATGTTTTGAGATCAAAGAAGAGCCTGTATTCAAGCCACTGCAAGGAAATCTGGCCTCCTTTCAAGTTAGGGCTTCTCGCTGTATATTCCCCTTGAGGCAGCAAACTCGGGGTCCCTCCCACTTACCTATTGCTGAGAGAAGCCTCCTTCTGAGGTGCTTCTGGAAAGTTGGCATACGTCTTGAGCCTAAGCCAGGGAATCAGCTCTCATCTCGAGACGATTTGGGGTACACGGAGCATTCCTCGAGTTGCTGTGCTGAAGTTGGTGTTCCTCTAGACTTGGGACAGTGTTCTCGGGGCATCTCTGGAGTTGCCTGAAGGAAGTCGAGGCACCGGTCGTGTTGAATGGGGAACGGGGAATGGCTCTGGAGTCAATGCAGGGGAATCGGGCCTCATCTCGAGTTGATTTGGGGCACATGGAGCTGCTTTGCGTTGCTGGGGTGGCCTCAGGGTCCGTCTAGACTGGTGACAGTGTTCTTGGGGACTGTCTCGAGATCCATTAAGCAAGTCGAAGCTCCTGACTTGTTTGAATGGGATCACGGAATAGCTCTGCATGCACTGCAGGGGAATGGGGCCTCATCTCGCCTCTAGGGGGAAGTCTCATGGTTTTTCTCGAGTTGCGGCGGGGACCTGGGGTATGTTCTCGACTTACGGCGGGGATGGCCCTTCAAAACACGAGTTTCTTCAGTGACGTCAGGACTCCTGTTTAGTAACGAGGGACACCTCAGGAATCTCTTCGAGGCTTGGCAGGGCAAAAGGGACGCTTCTCGAGGTGAGGCAGGGCACCCAAGGACCCTTTCCAGTAGCCACAGGGATTTTGGGATTCCTATCAGTATTCAAGAGGAGTCAGGCATCGTCACCTTTTGAAGCAATGAACTCCGCGTGCCTCTCGATGTGTCAGCGGGATGTGAGGCATTCCTTCAAAATGAGGCAGGGACCTAGGGCTTTCTCTAAGGTCTCCACCGGGGATTCAGACATGCCTTCATGTTGTGAGATTAAACACGAGCCTGTATTCAAGCCACTGCAAGGAAATCGGGCCTCCTTTCAATTTAGTGCTTCTCGCTGTATATTCCCCTTGAGGCAGCAAACTCGGGGTCCCTCCCACATACCTATTGCTGAGAGAAGCCTCCTCCTGAGGTGCTTCTGGAAAGTTGGCATACGTCTTGAGCCTAAGCCAGGGAATCAGCTCTCATCTCGAGACGATTTGGGGTACACGGAGCATTCCTCGAGTTGCTGTGCTGAAGTTGGTGTTCCTCTAGACTTGGGACAGTGTTCTCGGGGCATCTCTGGAGTTGCCTGAAGGAAGTCGAGCCACCGGTCGTGTTGAATGGGGAACGGGGAATGGCTCTGGAGTCAATGCAGGGGAATCGGGCCTCATCACGAGTTGATTTGGGGCACATGGAGCTGCTTTGCGTTGCTGGGGTGACCTCAGCGTCCGTCTAGACTGGTGACAGTGTTCTTGGGGACTGTCTCGAGATCCATTAAGCAAGTCGAAGCTCCTGACTTGTTTGAATGGGATCACGGAATAGCTCTGCATGCACTGCAGGGGAATGGGGCCTCATCTCGCCTCTAGTTGGAAGTCTCATGGATTTTCTCGAGTTGCGGCGGGGACCTGGGGTATGTTCTCGACTTACGGCGGGGATGGCCCTTCAAAACACGAGTTTCTTCAGTGACGTCAGGACTCCTGTCTAGTAACGAGGGACACCTCAGGAATCTCTTCGAGGCTTGGCAGGGCAAAAGGGACGCTTCTCGAGGTGAGGCAGGGCACCCAAGGACCCTTTCCTGTAGCCACAGGGATTTTGGGACTCCTATCTGTATTCAAGAGGAGTCAGGCATCGTCACCTTTTGAAGCAATGAACTCCGCGTGCCTCTCGATGTGTCAGCGGGATGTGAGGCATTCCGTCAAAATGAGGCATGGACCTAGGGCTTTCTCTAAGGTCTCCACAGGGGATTCAGACACGTCTTCATGTTGTGAGATGAAACATGAGCCTGTATTCAAGCCACTGCAAGGAAATCTGGCCTCCTTTCAATTTAGGGCTACTCGCTGTATATTCCCCTTGAGGCAGCAAACTCGGGGTCCCTCCCACATACCTATTGCTGAGAGAAGCCTCCTCCTGAGGTGCTTCTGGAAAGTTGGCATACGACTTGAGCCTAAGCCAGGGAATCAGCTCACATCTCGAGACGATTTGGGGTACACGGAGCATTCCTCGAGTTGCTGTGCTGAAGTTGGTGTTCCTCTAGACTTGGGAGAGTGTTCTCGGTGCATCTCTGGAGTTGCCTGAAGGAAGTCGAGCCACCGGTCGTGTTGAATTCGGAAAGGGGAATGGCTCTAGAGTCAATGCAGGGGAATCGGGCCTCATCTCGAGTTGATTTGTGTCACATGGAGCTGCTTTGCGTTGCTGGGGTGACCTCAGGGTCCGTCTAGACTGGTGACAGTGTTCTTGGGGACTGTCTCGAGATCCATTAAGCAAGTCGAAGCTCCTGACTTGTTTGAATGGGATCACGGAATAGCTCTGCATGCACTGCAGGGGAATGGGGCCTCATCTCGCCTCTAGGGGGAAGTCTCATGGTTTTTCTCGAGTTGCGACGGGAACCTGGGATATGTTCTCGAGTTACGGCGGGATGGCCCTTCAAAACACGAGTTTCTTCAGTGACGTCAGGGCTCCTGTTTAGTAACGAAGGACACCTCAGGAATCTCTTCGAGGCTTGGCAGGGCAAAAGGGACGCTTCTCGAGGTGAGGCAGGGCCCCCAAGGACCCTTTCCTGTAGCCACAGGGATTTTGGGATTCTTATCAGTATTCAAGAGGAGTCAGGCATCGTCACCTTTTGAAGCAATGAACTCCGCGTGCCTCTCGAGGTGTCAGCGGGATGTGAGGCATTCCGTCAAAATGAGGCAGGGACCTAGGGCTTTCTCTAAGGTCTCCACAGGGGATTCAGACATGCCTTCATTTTGTGAGATTAAACACGAGCCTGTATTCAAGCCACTGCAAGGAAATCGGGCCTCCTTTCAATTTAGGGCTTCTCGCTGTATATTCCCCTTGAGGCAGCAAACTCGGGGTCCCTCCCACATAGCTATTGCTGAGAGAAGCCTCCTCCTGAGGTGCTTCTGGAAAGTTGGCATACGTCTTGAGCCTAAGCCAGGGAATCAGCTCTCATCTCGAGACGATTTGGGGTACACGGAGCATTCCTCGAGTTGCTGTGCTGAAGTTGGTGTTCCTCTAGACTTGGGACAGTGTTCTCGGGGCATCTCTGGAGTTGCCTGAAGGAAGTCGAGCCACGGGTCGTGTTGAATGGGGAACGGGGAATGGCTCTGGAGTCAATGCAGGGGAATCGGGCCTCATCTCGAGTTGATTTGGGGCACATGCAGCTGCTTTGCGTTGCTGATCTGACCTCAGGGTCCGTCTAGACTGGTGACAGTGTACTTGGGGACTGTCTCGAGATCCATTAAGCAATTCGAAGCTCCTGACTTGTTTGAATGGGATCACGGAATAGCTCTGCATGCACTGCAGGGGAATGGGGCCTCATCTTGCCTCTAGGGGGAAGTCTCATGGTTTTTCTCGAGTTGCGGCGGAGACCTGGGGTATGTTCTCGACTTACGGCGGGGATGGCCCTTCAAAACACGAGTTTCTTCAGTGACGTCAGGACTCCTGTCTAGTAACGAGGGACACCTCAGGAATCTCTTCCAGGTTTGGCAGGGCAAAAGGGACGCATCTCCAGGTGAGGCAGGGCACCCAAGGACCCTTTCCTGTAGCCTCAGGGATTTTGGGATTCCTATCAGTATTCAAGAGCAGTCAGGCATCGTCACCTTTTGAAGCAATGAACTCCGCGTTCCTCTCGAGGTGTCAGCGGGATGTGAGGCATTCCGTCAAAATGAGGCAGGGACCTAGGGCTTTCTCTAAGGTCTCCACAGGGGATTCAGACATGCCTTCATGTTGTGAGATGAAACATGAGCCTGTATTCAAGCCACTGCAAGGAAATCTGGCCTCTTTTCAATTTAGGGCTTCTCGCTGTATATTCCCCTTGAGGCAGCAAACTCGGGGTCCCTCCCACATTCCTATTGCTGAGAGAAGCCTCCTCCTGAGGTGCTTCTGTAAAGTTGGCATACGTCTTGAGCCTAAGCCAGGGAATCAGCTCTCATCTCGAGACGATTTGGGGTACACGGAGCATTCCTCGAGTTGCTGTGCTGAAGTTGGTATTCCTCTAGACTTGGGACAGTGTTCTCGGGGCATCTCTGGAGTTGCCTGAAGGAAGTCGAGCCACCGGTCGTGTTGAATGGGGAACGGGGAATGGCTCTGGAGTCAATGCAGGGGAATCGGGCCTCATCTCGAGTTGATTTTGGGCACATGGAGCTGCTTTGCGTTGCTGGGGTGGCCTCAGGGTCCGTCTAGACTGGTGACAGTGTTCTTGGGGACTGTCTCGAGATCCATTAAGCAAGTCGAAGCTCCTGACTTGTTTGAATGGGATCACGGAATAGCTCTGCATGCACTGCAGGGGAATGGGGCCTCATCTCGCCTCTAGGCGGAAGTCTCATGGTTTTTCTCAAGTTGCGGCGGGGACCTGGGGTATGTTCTCGACTTACGGCGGGGATGGCCCTTCAAAACACGAGTTTCTTCAGTGACGTCAGGACTCCTGTCTAGTAACGAGGGACAACTCAGGAATCTCTTCGAGGCTTGGCAGGGCAAAACTGACGCTTCTCGAGGTGAGGCAGGGCACCCAAGGACCCTTTCCAGTAGCCACGGGGATTTTGGGATTCCTATCAGTATTAAAGAAGAGTCAGGCATCGTCACCTTTTGAAGCAATGAACTCCACGTGCCTCTCGAGGTGTCAACGGGATGTGAGGCATTCCGTCAAAATGAGGCAGGGACCTAGGGCTTTCTCTAAGGTCTCCACAGGGGATTCCGACATCCCTTCATGTTGTGAGATGAAAGACGAGCCTGTATTCAAGCCCGTGCAAGGAAATCCGGCCTCCTTTCAAGTTAGGGCTTCTCGCTGTATATTCCCCTTGAGGCAGCAAACTCGGGGTCCTCCCACATACCTATTGCTGAGAGAAGCCTCCTCCTGAGGTGCTTCTGTAAAGTTGGCATACGTCTTGAGCCTAAGCCAGGGAATCACCTCTCATCTCGAGACGATTTGGGGTACACGGAGCATTCCTCGAGTTGCTGTGCTGAAGTTGGTGTTTCTCTAGACTTGGGACAGTGTTCTCCGGGCATCTCTGGAGTTACCTGAAGGAAGTCGAGCCACCGGTCGTGTTGAATGGGGAACGGGGAATGGCTCTGGAGTCAATGCAGGGGAATCGGGCCTCATCTCGAGTTGATTTGGGGCACATGGAGCTGCTTTGTGTTGCTGGGGTGACCTCAGGGTCCATCTAGACTGGTGACAGTGTTCTTGGGGACTGTCTCGAAACCCATTAAGCAAGTCGAAGCTCCTGACTTGTTTGAATGGGATCACGGAATAGCTCTGCATGCACTGCAGGGGAATGGGGCCTCATCTCGCCTCTAGGGGGAAGTCTCATGGTTTTTCTCGAGTTGTGGCGGGCACCTGGGGTATGTTCTCGACTTACGGCGGGGATGGCCCTTCAAAACACGAGTTTCTTCAGTGACGTCAGGACTCCTGTCTAGTAACGAGGGACACCTCAGGAATCTCTTCGAGGCTTGGCAGGGCAAAAGGGACGCTTCTCGAGGTGAGGCAGGGCACCCAAGGACCCTTTCCAGTAGCCACAGGGATTTTGGGATTCCTATCAGTATTCAAGAGGAGTCAGGCATCGTCACCTTTTGAAGCCATGAACTCTGCGTGCCTCTCGAGGTGTCAGCGGGATGTGAGGCATTCCGTCAAAATGAGGCATGGACCTAGGGCTTTCTCTAAGGTCTCCACAGGGCATTCAGTCATCCCTTCATGTTTTGAGATCAAAGAAGAGCCTGTATTCAAGCCACTGCAAGGAAATCCGGCCTCCTTTCAAGTTAGGGCTTCTCGCTGTATATTCCCCTTGAGGCAGCAAACTCGGGGTCCCTCCCACATACCTATTGCTGAGAGAAGCCTCCTCCTGAGGTGCTTCTGGAAAGTTGGCATACGTCTTGAGCCTAAGCCAGAGAATCAGCTCTCATCTCGAGACGATTTCGGGTACACGGAGCATTCCTCGAGTTGCTGTGCTGAAGTTGGTGTTCCTCTAGACTTGGGACAGTGTTCTCGGGGCATCTCTGGAGTTGCCTGAAGGAAGTCGAGCCACCGGCCGTGTTGAATGGGGAACGGGGAATGGCTCTGGAGTCAATGCAGGGGAATCGGGCCTCATCTCGAGTTGATTTGGGGCACATGGAGCTGCTTTGCGTTGCTGGGGTGACCTCAGCGTCCGTCTAGACTGGTGACAGTGTTCTTGGGGACTGTCTCGAGATCCATTAAGCAAGTCGAAGCTCCTGACTTGTTTGAATGGGATCACGGAATAGCTCTGCATGCACTGCAGGGGAATGGGGCCTCGTCTCGCCTCTAGGGGGAAGTCTCATGGTTTTTCTCGAGTTGCGGCGGGGACCTGGGGTATGTTCTCGACTTACGGCGGGGAATGCCCTTCAAAACACGAGTTTCTTCAGTGACGTCAGGACTCCTGTCTAGTAACGAGGGACACTTCAGGAATCTCTTCGAGGCTTGGCAGGGCAAAAGGGACGCTTCTCGAGGTGAGGCAGGGCACCCAAGGACCCTTTCCAGTAGCCACAGGGATTTTGGGATTCCTATCAGTATTCAAGAGGAGTCAGGCATCGTCACCTTTTGAAGCAATGAACTCTGCGTGCATCTCGAGGTGTCAGCGGGATGTGAGGCATTCCGTCAAAATGAGGCATGGACCTAGGGCTTTCTCTAAGGTCTCCACAGGGCATTCAGTCATCCCTCCATGTTTTGAGATCAAAGAAGAGCCTGTATTCAAGCCACTGCAAGGAAATCCGGCCTCCTTTCAAGTTAGGGCTTCTCGCTGTATATTCCCCTTGAGGCAGCAAACTCGGGGTCCCTCCCACATACCTATTGCTGAGAGAAGCCTCCTCCTGAGGTGCTTCTGGAAAGTTGGCATACGTCTTGAGCCTAAGCCAGGGAATCAGCTCTCATCTCGAGACGATTTCGGGTACACGGAGCATTCCTCGAGTTGCTGTGCTGAAGTTGGTGTTCCTCTAGACTTGGGACAGTGTTCTCGGGGCATCTCTGGAGTTGCCTGAAGGAAGTCGAGCCACCGGTCGTGTTGAATGGGGAACGGGGAATGGCTCTGGGGTCAATGCAGGGGAATCGGGCCTCATCTCGAGTTGATTTGGGGCACATGGAGCTGCTTTGCCTTGCTGGGGTGACCTCAGGGTCCGTATAGACTGGTGACAGTGTTCTTGGGGACTGTCTCGAGATCCATTAAGCAAGTCGAAGCTCCTGACTTGTTTGAATGGGATCACGGAATAACTCTGCATGCACTGCAGGGGAATGGGGCCTCATCTCGCCTCTAGGGGGAAGTCTCATGGTTTTTCTCGAGTTGCGGCGGGGACCTGGGGTATGTTCTCGACTTACGGCGGGGATGGCCCTTCAAAACACGAGTTTCTTCAGTGACGTCAGGACTCCTGTCTAGTAACGAGGGACACCTCAGGAATCTCTTCCAGGTTTGGCAGGGCAAAAGGGACGCTTCTCGAGGTGAGGCAGGGCACCGAAGGACCCTTTCCTGTAGCCACAGGGATTTTGGGATTCCTATCAGTATTCAAGAGCAGTCAGGCATCGTCACCTTTTGAAGCAATGAACTCCGCGTGCCTCTCGAAGTGTCAGCGGGATGTGAGGCATTCCGTCAAAATGAGGCAGGGACCTAGGGCTTTCTCTAAGGTCTCCACAGGGCATTCAGTCATCCCTCCATGTTTTGAGATCAAAGAAGAGCCTGTATTCAAGCCACTGCAAGGAAATCCTTCCTCCTTTCAAGTTAGGGCTTCTCGCTGTATAATCCCCTTGAGGCAGCAAACTCGGGGTCCCTCCCACATACCTATTGCTGAGAGAAGCCTCCTCCTGAGGTGCTTCTGGAAAGTTGGCATACGTCTTGAGCCTAAGCCCGGGAATCAGCTATTATCTCGAGACGATTTCGGGTACACGGAGCATTCCTCGAGTTGCTGTGCTGAAGTTGGTGTTCCTCTAGACTTGGGACAGTGTTCTCGGGGCATCTCTGGAGTTGCCTGAAGGAAGTCGAGCCACCGGTCGTGTTGAATGGGGAACGGGGAATGGCTCTGGAGTCAATGCAGGGGAATCGGGCCTCATCTCGAGTTGATTTGGGGCACATGGAGCTGCTTTGCGTTGCTGGGGTGACCTCAGCGTCCGTCTAGACTGGTGACAGTGTTCTTGGGGACTGTCTCGAGATCCATTAAGCAAGTCGAAGCTCCTGACTTGTTTGAATGGGATCACGGAATAGCTCTGCATGCACTGCAGGGGAATGGGGCCTCATCTCGCCTCTAGGGGGAAGTCTCATGGTTTTTCTCGAGTTGCGGCGGGGACCTGGGGTATGTTCTCGACTTACGGCGGGATGGCCCTTCAAAACACGAGTTTCTTCAGTGACGTCAGGACTCCTGTCTATTAACGAGGGACACCTCAGGAATCTCTTCGAGGCTTGCAGGGCAAAAGGGACACTTCTCGAGGTGAGGCATGGCACCCAAGGACCCTTTCCTGTAGCCACAGGGATTTTGGGATTCCTATCAGTATTCAAGAGGAGTCAGGCATCGTCACCTTTTGAAGCAATGCACTCTGCGTGCCTCTCGAGGTGTCAGCGGGATGTGAGGCATTCCGTCAAAATGATGCAGGGACCTAGGGCTTTCTCTAAGGTCTCCACAGGGGATTCAGACATGCCTTCATGTTGTGAGATGAAACACGAGCCTGTATTCAAGCCACTGCAAGGAAATCGGGCCTCCTTTCAATTTAGGGCTTCTCGCTGTATATTCCCCTTGAGGCAGCAAACTCGGGGTCCCTCCCATATACCTATTGCTGAGAGAAGCCTCCTCCTGAGGTGCTTTTGGAAAGTTGGCATACGTCTTGAGCCTAAGCCAGGGAATCAGCTCTCATCTCGAGACGATTTGGGGACACGGAGCATTCCTCGAGTTGCTTTGCTGAAGTTGGTATTCCTCTAGACTTGGGACAGTGTTCTCGGGGCATCTCTGGAGTTGCCAGAAGGAAGTCGAGCCACCGGTCGTGTTGAATGGGGAACGGGGAATGGCTCTGGAGTCAATGCAGGGGAATCGGGCCTCATCTCGAGTTGATTTGGGGCACATGGAGCTGCTTTGCGTTGCTGGGTGACCTCAGGGTCCGTATAGACTGGTGACAGTGTTCTTGGGGACTGTCTCGAGATCCATTAAGCAATTCGAAGCTCCTGACTTGTTTGAATGGGATCACGGAATAGCTCTGCATGCACTGCAGGGGAATGGGGCCTCATCTCGCCTCTAGGGGGTAGTCTCATGGTTTTTCTCGAGTTGTGGCAGGGACCTGGGGTATGTTCTCGACTTAAGGCGGGGATGGCCCTTCAAAACACGAGTTTCTTCAGTGACGTCAGGACTCCTGTCTAGTAACGAGGGACACCTCAGGAATCTCTTCGAGGCTTGGCAGGGCAAAAGGGACGCTTCTCGAGGTGAGGCAGGGCACCCAAGGACCCTTCCCAGTAGCCACGGGGATTTTGGGATTCCTATCAGTATTAAAGAATAGTCAGGCATCGTCACCTTTTGAAGGAATGAACTCTGCGTGCCTCTCGAGGTGTCAACGGGATGTGAGGCATTCCGTCAAAATGAGGCAGGGACCTAGGGCTTTCTCTAAGGTCTCCACAGGGGATTCCGACATCCCTTCATGTTGTGAGATGAAAGACGAGCCAGTATTCAAGCCCGTGCAAGGAAATCTGGCCTCCTTTCAAGTTACGGCTTCTCGCTGTATATTCCCCTTGAGGCAGCAAACTCGGGGTCGCTCCCACATATCTATTGCTAAGAGAAGCCTCCTCCTGAGGTGCTTCTGGAAAGTTGGCATACGTCTTGAGCCTAAGCCAGGGAATCAGCTCCCCTCTCGAGACGATTTGGGGTACACGGAGCATTCCTCGAGTTGCTGTGCTGAAGTTGGTGTTCCTCTAGACTTGGGACAGTGTTCTCGGGGCATCTCTGGAGTTACCTGAAGGAAGTCGAGCCACCGGTCGTGTTGAATGGGGAACGGGGAATGGCTCTGGAGTCAATGCAGGGGAATCGGGCCTCATCTCGAGTTGATTTGGGGCACATGGAGCTGCTTTGTGTTGCTGGGGTGACCTCAGGGTCCGTCTAGACTGGTGACAGTGTTCTTGGGGACTGTCTCGAGACCCATTAAGCAATTCGAAGCTCCTGACTTGTTTGAATGGGATCACGGAATAGCTCTGCATGCACTGCAGGAGAATGGGGCCTCATCTCGCCTCTAGGGGGAAGTCTCATGGTTTTTCTCGAGTTGCGGCGGGGTCCTGGGGTATGTTCTCGACTTACGGCGGGGATGGCCCTTCAAAACACGAGTCTCTTCAGTGACGTCAGGACTCCTGTCTAGTAACGAGGGACACTTCAGGAATCTCTTCGAGGCTTGGCAGGGCAAAATGGACGCTTCTCGAGGTGAGGCAGGGCACCCAAGGACCCTTTCCAGTAGCCACAGGGATTTGGGGATTCCTATCAGTATTCAAGAGGAGTCAGGCATCGTCACCTTTTGAAGCAATGAACTCTGCGTGCCTCTCGAGGTGTCAGCGGGATGTGAGGCATTCCGTCATTATGAGGCATGGACCTAGGGCTTTCTCTAAGGTCTCCACAAGGCATTCAGTCATCCCTTCATGTTTTGAGATCAAAGAAGAGCCTGTATTCAAGCCACTGCAAGGAAATCCGGCCTCCTTTCAAGTTAGGGCTTCTCGCTGTATATTCCCCTTGAGGCAGCAAACTCGGGGTCCCTCCCACATACCTATTGCTGAGAGAAGCCTCCTCCTGAGGTGCTTCTGGAAAGTTGGCATACGTCTTGAGCTTAAGCCAGGGAATCAGCTCTCATCTCGAGACGATTTGGGGTACACGGAGCATTCCTCGAGTTGCTGTGCTGAAGTTGGTGTTCCTCTAGACTTGGGACAGTGTTCTCCGGGCATCTCTGGAGTTGCCTGAAGGAATCGAGCCACCGGTCGTGTTGAATGGGGAACGGGGATTGGCTCTGGAGTCAATGCAGGGGAATCGGGCCTCATCTCGAGTTGATTTGGGGCACATGGAGCTGCTTTGCGTTGCTGGGGTGACCTCAGGGTCCGTCTAGACTGGTGACAGTGTTCTTGGGGACTGTCTCGAGATCCATTAAGCAATTCGAAGCTCCTGACTTGTTTGAATGAGATCAAGGAATAGCTCTGCATGCACTGCAGGGGAATGGGGCCTCATCTCGCCTCTAGGGGGAAGTCTCATGGTTTTTCTCGAGTTGCGGCGGGGACCTGGGGTATGTTCTCGACTTAAGGCGGGGATGGCCCTTCAAAACACGAGTTTCTTCAGTGACGTCAGGACTCATGTCTAGTAACGAGGGACACCTCAGGAATCTCTTCGAGGCTTGGCAGGGCAAAAGGGACGCTTCTCGAGGTGAGGCAGGGCACCCAAGGACCCTTTCCAGTAGCCACGGGGATTTTGGGATTCCTATCAGTATTCAAGAATAGTCAGCCATCGTCACCTTTTGAAGCAATGAACTCTGCGTGCCTCTCGAGGTGTCAACGGGATGTGAGGCATTCCGTCAAAATGAGGCAGGGACCTTGGGCTTTCTCTAAGGTCTCCACAGTGGATTCCGACATCCCTTCATGTTGTGAGATGAAAGACGAGCCTGTATTCAAGCCCGTGCAAGGAAATCCGGCCTCCTTTCAAGTTAGGGCTTCTCGCTGTATATTCCCCTTGAGGCAGCAAACTCGGGGTCCCTCCCAAATACCTATTGCTGAGAGAAGCCTCCTCCTGAGGTGCTTCTGGAAAGTTGGCATACGTCTTGAGCCTAAGCCAGGGAATCAGCTCTAATCTCGAGACGATTTGGGGTACACGGAGCATTCCTCGAGTTGCTGTGCTGAAGTTGGTGTTCCTCTAGACTTGGGACAGTGTTCTTGGGGCGGAGTTACCTGAAGGAAGTCGAGCCACCGGTCGTGTTGAATGGGGAACGGGGAATGGCTCTGGAGTCAATGCAGGGGAATCGGGCCTCATCTCGAGTTGATTTGGGGCACATGTAGCTGCTTTGTGTTGCTGGGGTGACCTCAGGGTCCGTCTAGACTGGTGACAGTGCTCTTGGGGACTGTCTCGAGATCGATTAAGCAAGTCGAAGCTCCTGACTTGTTTGAATGGGATCACGGAATAGCTCTGCATGCACTGCAGGGGAATGGGGCCTCATCTCGCCTCTAGGGGGAAGTCTCATGGTTTTTCTCGAGTTGCGACGGGGACTTGGGGTATGTTCTCGACTTACGGCGGGGATGGCCCTTCAAAACACGAGTTTCTTCAGTGACGTCAGGACTCCTGTCTAGTAACGAGGGACACCTCAGGAATCTCTTCGAGGCTTGGCAGGGTAAAAGGGACGCTTCTCGAGGTGAGGCAGGGCACCCAAGGACCCTTTCCAGTAGCCAAAGGGATTCTGGGATTCCTATCAGTATTCAAGAGGAGTAAGGCATCGTCACCTTTTGAAGCAATGAACTCCGCGTGCCTCTCGAGGTGTCAGCGCGATGTGAGGCATTCCGTCAAAATGAGGCAGGGGCCTAGGGCTTTCTTTAAGGTCTCCACAGGGGATTCAGACATCCCTTCATGTTGTGAGATGAAAGACGTGCCTGTATTCAAGCCACTGCAAGGAAATCCGGCCTCCTTTCAAGTTAGGGCTTCTCGCTCTATATTCCCCTTGAGGCAGCAAACTCGGGGTCCCTCCCACATAACTATTGCTGAGAGAAGCCTCCTCCTGAGGTCCTTCTGGAAAGTTGGCATACGTATTGAGCCTAAGCCAGGGAATCAGCTCACATCTCGAGACGATTTGGGGTACACGGAGCATTCCTCGAGTTGCTGTGCTGAAGTTGGTGTTCCTCTAGACTTGGGACAGGGTTCTCGGGGCATCTCTGGAGTTGCGTGAAGGAAGTCGAGCCACCGGTCGTGTTGAATGGGGAACGGGGAATGGCTCTGGAGTCAATGCAGGGGAATCGGGCCTCATCTCGAATTGATTTGGGGCACATGGAACTGCTTTGCATTGCTGGGGTGACCTCAGGGTCCGTCTAGACTGGTGACAGTGCTCTTGGGGACTGTCTCGAGATCGATTAAGCAAGTGGAAGCTCCTGACTAGTTTGAATGGGATCACGGAATAGCTCTGCACGCACTGCAGGGGAATGGGGCCTCATCTCGCCTCTAGGGGGAAGTCTCATGGTTTTTCTCGAGTTGCGGCGGGGACCTGGGGTATGTTCTCGACTTACGGCGGGGATGGCCCTTCAAAACACGAGTTTCTTCAGTGACGTCAGGACTCCTGTCTAGTAATGTGGGACACCTCAGGAATCTCTTCGAGGCTTGGCAAGGCAAAAGGGACGCTTCTCGAGGTGAGGCAGGGCACCCAAGGACCCTTTCCAGTAGCCACAGGGATTTTGGGATTCCTATCAGTATTCAAGAGGAGTCAGGCATCGTCACCTTTTGAAGCAATGAACTCTGCGTGCCTCTCGAGGTGTCAGCGGGATGTGAGGCATTCCGTCAAAATGAGGCATGGACCTAGGGCTTTCTCTAAGGTCTCCACAGGGCATTCAGTCATCCCTTCATGTTTTGAGATCAAAGAAGAGCCTGTATTCAAGCCACTGCAAGGAAATCCGGCCTCCTTTCAAGTTAGGGCTTCTCGCTGTATATTCCCCTTGAGGCAGCAAACTCGGGGTCCCTCCCACATACCTATTGCTGAGAGAAGCCTCCTCCTGAGGTGCTTCTGGAAAGTTGGCATACGTCTTGAGCCTAAGCCAGGGAATCAGCTCTCATCTCGAGACGATTTGGGGTACACGGAGCATTCCTCGAGTTGCTGTGCTGAAGTTGGTGTTCCTCTTGACTTGGGACAGTGTTCTCCGGGCATCTCTGGAGTTGCCTGAAGGAAGTCGAGCCACCGGTCGTGTTGAATGGGGAACGGGGAATGGCTCTGGAGTCAATGCAGGGGAATCGGGCCTCATCTCGAGTTGATTTGGGGCACATGGAGCTGCTTTGCGTTGCTGGGGTGACCTCAGGGTCCGTATAGACCGGTGACAGTCTTCTTGGGGACTGTCTCGAGATCCATTAAGCAATTCGAAGCTCCTGACTTCTTTGAATGGGATCACGGAATAGCTCTGCATGCACTGCAGGGGAATGGGGCCTCATCTCTCCTCTAGGGGGAAGTCTCATGGTTTTTCTCGAGTTGCGGCGGGGACCTGGGGTATGTTCTCGACTTAAGGCGGGTATGGCCCTTCAAAACACGAGTTTCTTCAGTGAAGTCAGGACTCCTGTCTAGTAACGAGGGACACCTCAGGAATCTCTTCGAGGCTTGGCAGGGCAAAAGGGACGCTTCTCGAGGTGAGGCAGGGCACCCAAGGACCCTTTCCAGTAGCCACGGGGATTTTGGGATTCCTATCAGTATTCAAGAATAGTCAGCCATCGTCACCTTTTGAAGCAATGAACTCTGCGTGCCTCTCGAGGTGTCAACGGGATGTGAGGCATTCCGTCAAAATGAGGCAGGGACCTTGGGCTTTCTCTAAGGTCTCCACAGTGGATTCCGACATCCCTTCATGTTGTGAGATGAAAGACGAGCCTGTATTCAAGCCCGTGCAAGGAAATCCGGCCTCCTTTCAAGTTAGGGCTTCTCGCTGTATATTCCCCTTGAGGCAGCAAACTCGGGGTCCCTCCCAAATACCTATTGCTGAGAGAAGCCTCCTCCTGAGGTGCTTCTGGAAAGTTGGCATATGTCTTGAGCCTAAGCCAGGGAATCAGCTCTAATCTCGAGACGATTTGGGGTACACGGAGCATTCCTCGAGTTGCTGTGCTGAAGTTGGTGTTCCTCTAGACTTGGGACAGTGTTCTTGGGGCGGAGTTACCTGAAGGAAGTCGAGCCACCGGTCGTGTTGAATGGGGAACGGGGAATGGCTCTGGAGTCAATGCAGGGGAATCGGGCCTCATCTCGAGTTGATTTGGGGCACATGTAGCTGCTTTGTGTTGCTGGGGTGACCTCAGGGTCCGTCTAGACTGGTGACAGTGCTCTTGGGGACTGTCTCGAGATCGATTAAGCAAGTCGAAGCTCCTGACTTGTTTGAATGGGATCACGGAATAGCTCTGCATGCACTGCAGGGGAATGGGGCCTCATCTCGCCTCTAGGGGGAAGTCTCATGGTTTTTCTCGAGTTGCGACGGGGACTTGGGGTATGTTCTCGACTTACGGCGGGGATGGCCCTTCAAAACACGAGTTTCTTCAGTGACGTCAGGACTCCTGTCTAGTAACGAGGGACACCTCAGGAATCTCTTCGAGGCTTGGCAGGGTAAAAGGGACGCTTCTCGAGGTGAGGCAGGGCACCCAAGGACCCTTTCCAGTAGCCAAAGGGATTCTGGGATTCCTATCAGTATTCAAGAGGAGTAAGGCATCGTCACCTTTTGAAGCAATGAACTCCGCGTGCCTCTCGAGGTGTCAGCGCGATGTGAGGCATTCCGTCAAAATGAGGCAGGGGCCTAGGGCTTTCTTTAAGGTCTCCACAGGGGATTCAGACATCCCTTCATGTTGTGAGATGAAAGACGTGCCTGTATTCAAGCCACTGCAAGGAAATCCGGCCTCCTTTCAAGTTAGGGCTTCTCGCTCTATATTCCCCTTGAGAAAGCAAACTCGGGGTCCCTCCCACATAACTATTGCTGAGAGAAGCCTCCTCCTGAGGTCCTTCTGGAAAGTTGGCATACGTATTGAGCCTAAGCCAGGGAATCAGCTCACATCTCGAGACGATTTGGGGTACACGGAGCATTCCTCGAGTTGCTGTGCTGAAGTTGGTGTTCCTCTAGACTTGGGACAGGGTTCTCGGGGCATCTCTGGAGTTGCGTGAAGGAAGTCGAGCCACCGGTCGTGTTGAATGGGGAACGGGGAATGGCTCTGGAGTCAATGCAGGGGAATCGGGCCTCATCTCGAATTGATTTGGGGCACATGGAACTGCTTTGCATTGCTGGGGTGACCTCAGGGTCCGTCTAGACTGGTGACAGTGTTCTTGGGGACAGTCTCGAGATCGATTAAGCAAGTGGAAGCTCCTGACTAGTTTGAATGGGATCACGGAATAGCTCTGCACGCACTGCAGGGGAATGGGGCCTCATCTCGCCTCTAGGGGGAAGTCTCATGGTTTTTCTCGAGTTGCGGCGGGGACCTGGGGTATGTTCTCGACTTACGGCGGGGATGGCCCTTCAAAACACGAGTTTCTTCAGTGACGTCAGGACTCCTGTCTAGTAATGTGGGACACCTCAGGAATCTCTTCGAGGCTTGGCAAGGCAAAAGGGACGCTTCTCGAGGTGAGGCAGGGCACCCAAGGACCCTTTCCAGTAGCCACAGGGATTTTGGGATTCCTATCAGTATTCAAGAGGAGTCAGGCATCGTCACCTTTTGAAGCAATGAACTCTGCGTGCCTCTCGAGGTGTCAGCGGGATGTGAGGCATTCCCTCAAAATGAGGCATGGACCTAGGGCTTTCTCTAAGGTCTCCACAGGGCATTCAGTCATCCCTTCATGTTTTGAGATCAAAGAAGAGCCTGTATTCAAGCCACTGCAAGGAAATCCGGCCTCCTTTCAAGTTAGGGCTTCTCGCTGTATATTCCCCTTGAGGCAGCAAACTCGGGGTCCCTCCCACATACCTATTGCTGAGAGAAGCCTCCTCCTGAGGTGCTTCTGGAAAGTTGGCATACGTCTTGAGCCTAAGCCAGGGAATCAGCTCTCATCTCGAGACGATTTGGGGTACACGGAGCATTCCTCGAGTTGCTGTGCTGAAGTTGGTGTTCCTCTAGACTTGGGACAGTGTTCTCCGGGCATCTCTGGAGTTGCCTGAAGGAAGTCGAGCCACCGGTCGTGTTGAATGGGGAACGGGGAATGGCTCTGGAGTCAATGCAGGGGAATCGGGCCTCATCTCGAGTTGATTTGGGGCACATGGAGCTGCTTTGCGTTGCTGGGGTGACCTCAGGGTCCGTATAGACCGGTGACAGTCTTCTTGGGGACTGTCTCGAGATCCATTAAGCAATTCGAAGCTCCTGACTTCTTTGAATGGGATCACGGAATAGCTCTGCATGCACTGCAGGGGAATGGGGCCTCATCTCTCCTCTAGGGGGAAGTCTCATGGTTTTTCTCGAGTTGCGGCGGGGACCTGGGGTATGTTCTCGACTTAAGGCGGGTATGGCCCTTCAAAACACGAGTTTCTTCAGTGACGTCAGGACTCCTGTCTAGTAACGAGGGACACCTCAGGAATCTCTTCGAGGCTTGGCAGGGCAAAAGGGACGCTTCTCGAGGTGAGGCAGGGCACCCAAGGACCCTTTCCAGTAGCCACGGGGATTTTGGGATTCCTATCAGTATTCAAGAATAGTCAGCCATCGTCACCTTTTGAAGCAATGAACTCTGCGTGCCTCTCGAGGTGTCAACGGGATGTGAGGCATTCCGTCAAAATGAGGCAGGGACCTTGGGCTTTCTCTAAGGTCTCCACAGTGGATTCCGACATCCCTTCATGTTGTGAGATGAAAGACGAGCCTGTATTCAAGCCCGTGCAAGGAAATCCGGCCTCCTTTCAAGTTAGGGCTTCTCGCTGTATATTCCCCTGGAGGCAGCAAACTCGGGGTCCCTCCCAAATACCAATTGCTGAGAGAAGCCTCCTCCTGAGGTGCTTCTGGAAAGTTGGCATATGTCTTGAGCCTAAGCCAGGGAATCAGCTCTAATCTCGAGACGATTTGGGGTACACGGAGCATTCCTCGAGTTGCTGTGCTGAAGTTGGTGTTCCTCTAGACTTGGGACAGTGTTCTTGGGGCGGAGTTACCTGAAGGAAGTCGAGCCACCGGTCGTGTTGAATGGGGAACGGGGAATGGCTCTGGAGTCAATGCAGGGGAATCGGGCCTCATCTCGAGTTGATTTGGGGCACATGTAGCTGCTTTGTGTTGCTGGGGTGACCTCAGGGTCCGTCTAGACTGGTGACAGTGCTCTTGGGGACTGTCTCGAGATCGATTAAGCAAGTCGAAGCTCCTGACTTGTTTGAATGGGATCACGGAATAGCTCTGCATGCACTGCAGGGGAATGGGGCCTCATCTCGCCTCTAGGGGGAAGTCTCATGGTTTTTCTCGAGTTGCGACGGGGACTTGGGGTATGTTCTCGACTTACGGCGGGGATGGCCCTTCAAAACACGAGTTTCTTCAGTGACGTCAGGACTCCTGTCTAGTAACGAGGGACACCTCAGGAATCTCTTCGAAGCTTGGCAGGGTAAAAGGGACGCTTCTCGATGTGAGGCAGGGCACCCAAGGACCCTTTCCAGTAGCCACAGGGATTCTGGGATTCCTATCAGTATTCAAGAGGAGTCAGGCATCGTCACCTTTTGAAGCAATGAACTCCGCGGGCCTCTCGAGGTGTCAGCGCGATGTGAGGCATTCCGTCAAAATGAGGCAGGGGGCTAGGGCTTTCTTTAAGGTCTCCACAGGGTATTAAGACATCCCTTCATGTTGTGAGATGAAAGACGAGCCTGTATTCAAGCCACTGCAAGGAAATCTGGCCTCCTTTCAAGTTAGGGCTTCTCGCTCTATATTCCCCTTGAGGCAGCAAACTCGGGGTCCCTCCCACATACCTATTGCTGAGAGAAGCCTCCTCCTGAGGTCCTTCTGGAAAGTTGGCATATGTCTTGAGCCTAAGCCAGGGAATCAGCTCTAATCTCGAGACGATTTGGGGTACACGGAGCATTCCTCGAGTTGCTGTGCTGAAGTTGGTGTTCCTCTAGACTTGGGACAGTGTTCTTGTGGCGGAGTTACCTGAAGGAAGTCGAGCCACCGGTCGTGTTGAATGGGGAACGGGGAATGGCCCTGGAGTCAATGCAGGGGAATCGGGCCTCATCTCGAGTTGATTTGGGGCACATGTAGCTGCTTTGTGTTGCTGGGGTGACCTCAGGGTCCGTCTAGACTGGTGACAGTGCTCTTGGGGACTGTCTCGAGATCGATTAAGCAAGTCGAAGCTCCTGACTTGTTTGAATGGGATCACGGAATAGCTCTGCATGCACTGCAGGGGAATGGGGCCTCATCTCGCCTCTAGGGGGAAGTCTCATGGTTTTTCTCGAGTTGCGACGGGGACTTGGGGTATGTTCTCGACTTACGGCGGGGATGGCCCTTCAAAACACGAGTTTCTTCAGTGACGTCAGGACTCCTGTCTAGTAACGAGGGACACCTCAGGAATCTCTTCGAGGCTTGGCAGGGTAAAAGGGACGCTTCTCGATGTGAGGCAGGGCACCCAAGGACCCTTTCCAGTAGCCACAGGGATTCTGGGATTCCTATCAGTATTCAAGAGGAGTCAGGCATCGTCACCTTTTGAAGCAATGAACTCCGCGGGCCTCTCGAGGTGTCAGCGCGATGTGAGGCATTCCGTCAAAATGAGGCAGGGGGCTAGGGCTTTCTTTAAGGTCTCCACAGGGTATTAAGACATCCCTTCATGTTGTGAGATGAAAGACGAGCCTGTATTCAAGCCACTGCAAGGAAATCCGGCCTCCTTTCAAGTTAGGGCTTCTCGCTCTATATTCCCCTTGAGGCAGCAAACTCGGGGTCCCTCCCACATACCTATTGCTGAGAGAAGCCTCCTCCTGAGGTCCTTCTGGAAAGTTGGCATACGTATTGAGCCTAAGCCAGGGAATCAGCTCTCATCTCGAGACGATTTGGGGTACACGGAGCATTCCTCGAGTTGCTGTGCTGAAGTTGGTGTTCCTCAAGACTTGGGACAGTGTTCTTGGGGCGGAGTTACCTGAAGGAAGTCGAGCCACCGGTCGTGTTGAATGGGGAACGGGGAATGGCTCTGGAGTCAATGCAGGGGAATCGGGCCTCATCTCGAGTTGATTTGGGGCACATGGAGCTGCTTTGCGTTGCTGGGGTGACCTCAGGGTCCGTCTAGACTGGTGACAGTGTTCTTGGGGACTGTCTCGAGATCCATTAAGCAAGTCGAAGCTCCTGACTCGTTTGAATGGGATCACGGAAGAGCTCTGCACGCACTGCAGGGGAATGGGGCCTCATCTCGCCTCTAGGGGGAAGTCTCATGGTTTTTCTCGAGTTGCGGCGGGGACCTGGGGTATGTTCTCGACTTACGGCGGGGATGGCCCTTCAAAACACGAGTTTCTTCAGTGACGTCAGGACTCCTGTCTAGTAATGTGGGACAACTCAGGAATCTCTTCGAGGCTTGGCAGGGCAAAAGGGACGCTTCTCGAGGTGAGGCAGGGCACCCAAGGACCCTTTCCAGTAGCCACAGGGATTTTGGGATTCCTATCAGTATTCAAGAGGAGTCAGGCATCGTCACCTTTTGAAGCAATGAACTCTGCGTGCCTCTCGAGGTGTCAGCGGGATGTGAGGCATTCCGTCAAAATGAGGCATGGACCTAGGGCTTTCTCTAAGGTCTCCACAGGGCATTCAGTCATCCCTTCATGTTTTGAGATCAAAGAAGAGCCTGTATTCAAGCCACTGCAAGGAAATCCGGCCTCCTTTCAAATTAGGGCTTCTCGCTGTATATTCCCCTTGAGGCAGCAAACTCGGGGTCCCTCCCACATACGTATTGCTGAGAGAAGCCTCCTCCTGAGGTTCTTCTGGAAAGTTGGCATACGTCTTGAGCCTAAGCCAGGGAATCAGCTCTCATCTCGAGACGATTTGGGGTACACGGAGCATTCCTCGAGTTGCTGTGCTGAAGTTGGTGTTCCTCTAGACTTGGGACAGGGTTCTCGGGGCATCTCTGGAGTTGCCTGAAGGAAGTCGAGCCACCGGTCGTGTTGAATGGGGAAGGGGGAATGGCTCTGGAGTCAATGCAGGGGAATCGGGCCTCATCTCGAGGTGATTTGGGGCACATGGAGATGCTTTGCGTTGCTGGGGTGGCCTCAGGGTCCGTCTAGACTGGTGACAGTGTTCTTGGGGACTGTCTCGAGATCCATTAAGCAAGTCGAAGCTCCTGACTCTTTGAATGGGATTACGGAATAGCTCTGCATGCACTGCAGGGGAATGGGGCCTCATCTCGCCTCTAGGGGGAAGTCTCATGGTTTTTTTCGAGTTGCGGCGGGGACCTGGGGTACGTTCTCGACTTAAGGCGGGGATGGCCCTTCAAAACACGAGTTTCTTCAGTGACGTCAGGACTCCTGTCTAGTAACGAGGGACACCTCAGGAATCTCTTCGAGGCTTGGCAGGGCAAAAGGGACGCTTCTCGAGGTGAGGCAGGGCACCCAAGGACCCTTTCCAGTAGCCACAGGGATTCTGGGATTCCTATCAGTATTCAAGAGGAGTCAGGCATCGTCACCTTTTGAAGCAATGAACTCCGCGTGCCTCTCGAGGTGTCAGCGGGATGTGAGGCATTCCGTCAAAATGAGGCAGGGACCTAGGGCTTTCTCTAAGGTCTCCACAGGGGATTCAGACATCCCTTCATGTTGTGAGATGAAAGACGAGCCTGTATTCAAGCCACTGCACAGAAATCCGGCCTCCTTTCAAGATAGGGCTTCTTGCTGTATATCCCCCTTGAGGCAGCAAACTTGGGGTCCCTCCCACATACCTATTGCTGAGAGAAGCCTCCTCCTGAGGTGCTTCTGGAAAGCTGGCATACGTCTTGGGCCTAAGCCAGGGAATCAGCTCTCATCTCGAGACGATTTGGGGGTACACAGAGCATTCCTCGGGTTGCTGTGCTGAAGTTGGTGTTCCTCTAGACTTGGGACAGGGTTCTCGGGGCATCTCTGGAGTTGCCTGATGGAAGTCGAGCCACCGGTCGTGTTGAATGCGGAACGGGGAGAGGCTCTGCAGTCAATGCAGGGGAATCGGGCCTCATCTCGAGTTGATTTAGGGCTCATGCAGCTGCCTTTCTTTGCTGGGGTGACATCAGCGACCGTCTAGACTGGTGACAGTGTTCTTGGGGACTGTCTCGAGATCCATTAAGCAAGTCGAAGCTCCTGACTTGTTTAAATGGGATCACGGAATAGCTCGGCATGCACTGCAGGGGAATGGGGCTTCATCTCGCCTCTAGGGGGAAGTCTCATGGTTTTTCTCGAGTTGCAGCGGGGACCTGGGGTATGTTCTCGACTTACGGCGGGGATGGCCCTTCAAAACAGGAGTTTCTTCAGTGACATCAGGACTCCTGTCTAGTAACGAGGGACACATCAGGAATCTCTTCGAGATTGGCAGGGCAAAAGGGACGCTTCTCGAGGTGAGGCAGGGTACCCAAGGACCCTTTCCAGTAGCCACAGGGATTCTGGGATTCCTATCAGTATTCAAGAGGAGTCAGGCATCGTCAGCTTTTGAAGCAATGAACTCCGCGTGCCTCTCGAGGTGTCAGCGGGATGTGAGGCATTCCGTCAAAATGAGGCAGGGATCTAGGGCTTTCTCTAAGGTCTCCATAGGGGATTCAGACATTCCTTCATGTTATGAGATGAAAGACAAGCCTGTATTCAAGCCACTGCAAGGAAATCCGGCCTCCTTTCAAGTTAGGGCTTCTCGCTGTATATTCCCCTTCAGGCAGCAAACTCGGGGTCCCTCCCACATACCTATTGCTGAGAGAAGCCTCCTCCTGAGGTCCTTCTGGAAAGTTGGCATACGTCTTGAGCCTAAGCCAGGGAATCAGCTCTCATCTCGAGACGATTTGGGGTACACGGAGCATTTCTCGAGTTGCTGTGCTGAAGTTGATGTTCCTCTAGACTTGGGACAGGGTTCTCGGGGCATCTCTGGAGTTGCGTGAAGGAAGTCGAGCCACCGGTCGTGTTGAATGGGGAACGGGGAATGGCTCTGGAGTCAATGCAGGGGAATCGGGCCTCATCTCGAGTTGATTTGGGGCACATGGAGCTGCTTTGTGTTGCTGGGGTGACTTCAGGGTCCATCTAGACTGGTGACAGTGTTCTTGGGGACTGTCTCGAGATCGATTAAGCAAGTCGAAGCTCCTGACTTCTTTGAATGGAATCACGGAATAGCTCTGCATGCACTGCAGGGGAATGGGGCCTCATCTCGCCTCTAGGGGGAAGTCTCATGGTTTTTCTCGAGTTGCGGCAGGGACCGGGGTTATGTTCTCGACTTACGGCGGGGATGGCCCTTCAAAACACGAGTTTGTTCAGTGACGTCAGGACTCCTGTCTAGTAACGATTGACACCTCAGGAATCTCTTCGAGGCTTGGCAGGGCAAAAGGGACGCTTCTCGAGGTGAGGCAGGGCACCCAAGGACCCTTTCCAGTAGCCACAGGGATTCTGGGATTCCTATCAGTATTCTAGAGAAGTCAGGCATCGTCACCTTTTGAAGCAATGAACTCCGCGTGCCTCTCGAGGTGTCAGCGGGATGTGAGGCATTCCGTCAAAATGAGGCAGCGACCTAGGGCTTTCTCTAAGGTCTCCACAGGGGATTCAGACATCCCTTCATATTGTGAGATGAAAGACGAGCCTGTATTCAAGCCACTGCAGGAAATCCGGCCTCCTTTCAAGTTAGGGCTTCTCGCTGTATATTTCCCTTGAGGCAGCGAACTCGGGGTCCCTCCCACATACCTATTGCTGAGAGATGCCTCCTCCTGAGGTGCTTCTGGAAAGCTGGCATACGTCTAGAGCCTAAGCCAGGGAATCAGCTCTCATCTCGAGACGATTTGGGGTACATGGAGCATTCCTCGAGTTGCTGTGCTGAAGTTGGTGTTCCTCTAGACTTGGGACAGTGTTCTCGGGAAATCTCTGGAGTTGCCTGAAGGAAGTCGAGCCACCGGTCGTGTTGAATGGGGAAAGGGGAATTGCTCTGGAGTCAATGCAGGGGAATCGGGCCTCATCTCGAGGTGATTTGGGGCACATGGAGCTGCTTTGCGTTGCTGGGTGACCTCAGGGTCCGTCTAGACTTGTGACAGTGTTCTTGGGGACTGTCTCGAGATCCATTAAGCAAGTCGAAGCTCCTGACTTCTTTGAATGGGATCACGGAATAGCGCTGCATGCACTGCAGGGGAATGGGGCCTCATCTCGCCTCTAGGGGGAAGTCTCATCGTTTTTATCGAGTTGCGGCGGGGACCTGGGGTATGTTCTCGACTTACGGCGGGATGGCCCTTCAAAACACGAGTTTTTTCAATGACGTCAGGACTCCTCTCTAGTAACGAGGGACACCTCAGGAATCTCTTCGAGGCTTGGCAGGACAAAACGGACGCTTCTCGAGGTGAGGCAGGGCACCCAAGGACCCTTTCCAGTAGCCACAGGGATTCTGGGATTCCTATCAGTATTCAAGAGGAGTCAGGCATCGTCACCTTTTGAAGCAATGAACTCTGGTGCCTCTCGAAGTGTCAGCGGGATGTGAGGCATTCCGTCAAAATGAGGCATGGACCTAGGGCTTTCTCTAAGGTCTCCACAGGGGATTCAGACCTCCCTTCATGTTGTGAGATGAAAGACGAGCCTGTATTCAAGCCACTGCAAGGAAATCCGGCCTCCTTTCAAGTTAGGGCTTCTCGCTGTATATTCCCCTTGAGGCAGCAAACTCGGGGTCCCTCCCACATACCTATGGCTGAGAGAAGCCTCCCCGTGAGGTGCTTCTGGAAAGTTGGCATACGTCTTGAGCCTAAGCCAGGGAATCAGCTCTCATCTCGAGACCATTTGGGGTACACGGAGCATTCCTCGAGTTGCTGTGCTGAAGTTGGTGTTCTTCTAGACTTGGGACAGGGTTCTCGGGGCATCTCTGGAGTTGACTGAAGGAAGTCGAGCCACCGGTCGTGTTGAATGGGGAACGGGGAATGGCTCTGGAGTCAATGCAGGGGAATCGGGCCTCATCTCCAGGTGATTTGGGGCACATGGATCTGCTTTGCGTTGCTGGGGTGACCTCAGGGTCCGTCTAGACTTGTGACAGTGTTCTTGGGGACTGTCTCGAGATCCATTAAGCAAGTCGAAGCTCCTGACTTCTTTGAATGGGATCACGGAATAGCTCTGCATGCACTGCATTGGATTGGGGCCTCATCTCTCCTCTAGGGGGAAGTCTCATGGTTTTTTTCGAGTTGCGGCGGGGACCTGGGGTATGTTCTCGACTTACGGCGGGGATGGCCCTTCAAAACACGAGTTTCTTCAATGACGTCAGGACTCCTGTCTAGTAAAGAGGGACACCTCAGGAATCTCTTCGATGCTTGGCAGGGCAAAAGGTATGCTTCTCGAGGTTAGGCAGGGCACCCAACTACCCTTTCTAGTAGCCACAGGGATTCTAGGATTCCTATCAGTATTCAAGAGGAGTCAGGCATCGTCACCTTTTGAAGCAATGAACTCCGGTGCCTCTCGAAGTGTCAGCGGGATGTGAGGCATTCCGTCAAAATGAGGCAGGGACCTAGGGCTTTCTCTAATGTCTCCACAGGGGATTCAGACATCCCTTCATGTTGTGAGATGAAAGATGAGCCTGTATTCAAGCCACTGCAAGGAAATCCGGCCTCCTTTCAAGTTAGGGATTCTCGCTGTATATTCCCCTTCATGCAACAAACTCGGGGTCCCTCCCACATACCTATGGCTGAGAGAAGCCTCCCCGTGAGGTGCTTCTGGAAAGTTGGCATACGTCTTGAGCCTAAGCCAGGGAATCAGCTCTCATCTCGAGATGATTTGGGGTACACGGAGCATTCCTCGAGTTGCTGTGCTGAAGTTGGTGTTCCTCTAGACTTGGGACAGGGTTCTCGGGGCATCTCTGGAGTTGCCTGAAGGAAGTCGAGCCACTGGTCGTGTTGAATGGGGAACCGGGAATGGCTCTGGAGTCAATGCAGGGGAATCGGGCCTCATCTCGAGTTGATTTGGTGCACATGCTGCTGCCTTGCGTTGCTGGGGTGACCTCAGGGTCCGTCTAGACTGGTGACAGTGTTCTTGGGGACTGTCTCGAGATCCATTAAGCAATTCGAAGCTCCTGACTTGTTTGAATGGGATCACGGAATAGCTCTGCATGCACTGCAGGGGAATGGGGCCTCATCTCGCCTCTAGGGGGAAGTCTCATGGTTTTTCTCGAGTTGCGACGGGGACCTGGGGTATGTTCTTGACTTACGGCGGGGATGGCCCTTCAAAACACGAGTTTCTTCAGTGACGTCAGGACTCCTGTCTAGTAACGAGGGACACCTCAGGAATCTCTTCCAGGCTTGGCAGGGCAAAAGGGACGCTTCTCGAGGTGAGGCAGGGCACCCAAGGACCCTTTCCAGTAGCCACAGGGATTTTGGGATTCCTATCAGTATTCAAGAGGAGTCAGGCATCGTCAGATTTTGAAGCAATGAATTCCGCGTGCCTCTCGACGTGTCAGCGGGATGTGAGGCATTCCGTCAAAATGAGGCATGGACCTAGGGCTTTCTCTAAGGTCTCCACAGGGGATTCAGACATCCCCTCATGTTGTGAGATGAAAGACGAGCCTGTATTAAAGCCACTGCAAGGAAATCCGACCTCCTTTCAAGTTAGGGCTTCTCGCTGTATATTCCCCTTGAGGCAGCAAACTCGGGGTCCCTCCCACATTCCTATTGCTGAGAGAAACCTCCTCCTGAGTTGCTTCTGGAAAGTTGGCATACGTCTTGAGCCTAAGCCAGGGAATCAGCTCTCATCTCGAGACAATTTGGGGGTACACGGAGCATTCCTCGAGTTGCTGTGCTGAAGTTGGTGTTACTATAGACTTGGGACAGGGTTCTCGGGGCATCTCTGGAGTTGCTTGAAGGAAGTCGAGCCACCGATCGTGTTGAATGGGGAACGGGGAATGGCTCTGGAGTCAATGGAGGGGAATCGGGCATCATCTCGAGTTGATTTGGGGCATATGGAGCGCCTTTGCGTTGCTGGGGTGACCTCAGGGTCCGTCTAGACTGGTGAAAGTGTTCTTGGGGACTGTCTCGAGATCCATTAAGCAAGTCGAAGCTCCTGACTTGTTTGAATGGTATCACGGAATAGCTCTGCACGCACTGCAGGGGAATGGGGCCTCATCTCGCCTCTAGGGGGAAGTCTCATGGTTTTTCTCGAGTTGCGGCGGGGACCTGGGGTATGTTCTCGACTTACGGCGGGGATGGCCCTTCAAAACACGAGTTTCTTCAGTGACGTCAGGACTCCTGTCTAGTAACGAGGGACACCTCAGGAATCTCTTCGAGGCTTGGCAGGGCAAAACGGACGCTTCTTGAGGTGAGACAGGCCACCCAAGGACCCTTTCCAGTAGCCACAGGGATTCTGGGATTCCTATCAGTATTCAAGAGGAGTCAGGCCTGGTCAGCTTTTGAAGCAATGAACTCCGGTGCCTCTCGAAATGTCAGCGGGATGTGAGGCATTCCGTCAAAATGAGGCAGGGACCTAGGGCTTTCTCTAAGGTCTCCACAGGTGATTCAGACATCCCTTCATGTTGTGAGATGAAAGACGAGCCTGTATTCAAGCCACTGCAAGGAAATCCAGCCTCCTTTCAAGTTAGGGCTTCTCGCTGTATATTCCCCTTGATGCAGCAAACTCGGGGTCCCTCCCACATAGCTTTTGCTGAGAGAAGCCTCCTCCTGAGGTGCTTCTGGAAAGTTGGCATACGTCTTGAGACTAAGCCAGGGAATCCGCTCTCATCTCGAGACGATTTGGGGTACACGGAGCATTCCTCGAGTTGCTGTGCTGAGGTTGGTGTTCTTCTAGACTTGGGACAGGGTTCTCGGGGCATCTCTGGAGTTGCCTGAAGGAAGTCGAGCCACCGGTCGTGTTGAATGGGGAACGGGGAATGGCTCTGGAGTCAATGCAGGGGAATCGGGCCTCATCTCGAGGTGATTTGGGGCACATGGAGCTGCTTTGCGTAGCTGGGGTGACCTCAGGGTCCGTCTAGACTTGTGACAGTGTTCTTGGGGACTGTCTCGAGATCCATTAAACAAGTCGAAGCTCCTGACTTCTTTGAATGGAATCACGGAAGAGTTCTGCATGCACTGCAGGGGAATGGGGCCTCATCTCGCCTCTAGGGGGAAGTCTCATGGTTTTTTTCGAGTTGCGGCGGGGACCTGGGGTATGTTCTCGATTTACGGCGGGGATGGCCCTTCAAAACACGAGTTTCTTCAATGACGTCAGGACTCCTGTCTAGTAACGAGGGACACCTCAGGAATCTCTTCGAGGCTTGGCAGGGCAAAAGGGACGCTTCTCGAGGTGAGGCAGGGCACCCAAGGACCCTTTCCAGTAGCCACAGGGATTCTGGGATTCCTATCAGTATTCAAGAGGAGTCAGGCATCGTCACCTTTTGAAGCAATGAACTCCGGTGACTCTCGACGTGTCAGCGGGGTGTGAGGCATTCCGTCAAAATGAGGCAGGGACCTAGGGCTTTCTCTAAGGTCTCCACAGGGGATTCAGACATCCCTTCATGTTGTGAGATGAAAGACGAGCCTGTATTCAAGCAACTGCAAGGAAATCCGGCCTCCTTTCAAGTTAGGGCTTCTCGCTGTATATTCCCCTTGAGGCAGCAAACTCGGGGTCCCTCCCACATACATATGGCTGAGAGAAGCCTCACCCTGAGGTGCTTCTGGAAAGTTGGCATACGTCTTGAGCCTAAGCCAGGGAATCAGCTCTCATCTCGAGACGATTTGGGGTACACGGAGCATTCCTCGAGTTGCTGTGCTGAAGTTGGTGTTCCTCTAGACTTGGGACAGTGTTCTCGGGCATCTGTGGAGTTGCCTGAAGGAAGTCGAGCCACCGGTCGTGTTGAATGGGGAACGGGGAATGGCTCTGGAGTCAATGCAGGGGAATCGGGCCTCATCTCGAGTTGATTTGTGGCACATGTAGCTGCTTTGTGTTGCTGGGGTGACCTCAGGGTCCGTCTAGACTGGTGACAGTGCTCTTGGGGACTGTCTCGAGATCGATTAAGCAAGTCGAAGCTCCTGACTTGTTTGAATGGGATCACGGAATAGCTCTGCATGCACTGCAGGGGAATGGGGCCTCATCTCGCCTCTAGGGGGAAGTCTCATGGTTTTTCTCGAGTTGCGGCGGGGACCTGGGGTATGTTCTCGACTTACGGCGGGGATGGCCCTTCAAAACACGAGTTTCTTCAGTGACGTCAGGACTCCTGTCTAGTAACGAGGGACACCTCAGGAATCTCTTCCAGGCTTGGCAGGGCAAAAGGGACGCTTCTCGAGGTGAGGCAGGGCACCCAAGGACCCTTTCCAGTAGCCACAGGGATTTTGGGATTCCTATCAGTATTCAAGAGGAGTCAGGCATCGTCACCTTTTGAAGCAATGAACTCTGCGTGCCTCTCGAGGTGTCAGCGGGATGTGAGGCATTCCGTTAAAATGAGGCATGGACCTAGGGCTTTCTCTAAGGTCTCCAAAGGGCATTCAGTCATCCCTTCATGTTTTGAGATCAAAGAAGAGCTGTATTCAAGCCACTGCAAGGAAATCCGGCCTCCTTTCAAGTTAGGGCTTCTCGCTGTATATTCCCATTGAGGCAGCAAACTCGGGGTCCCTCCCACATACCATTTGCTGAGAGAAGCCTCCTCCTGAGGTGCTTCTGGAAAGTTGGCATACGTCTTGAGCCTAAGCCAGGGAATCAGCTCTCATCTCGAGACGATTTGGGGTACACGGAGCATTCCTCGAGTTGCTGTGCTGAAGTTGGTGTTCCTCTAGACTTGGGACAGTGTTCTCGGGGCATCTCTGGAGTTGCCTGAAGGAAGTCGAGCCACCGGTCGTGTTGAATGGGGAACGGGGAATGGCTCTAGAGTCAATGCAGGGGAATCGGGCCTCATCTCGAGTTGATTTGGGGCACATGGAGCTGCTTTGCGTTGCTGGGGTGACCCCAGGGTCCGTCTAGACTGGTGACAGTGTTCTTGGGGACTGTCTCGAGATCCATTAAGCAAGTCGAAGCTCCTGACTTGTTTGAATGGGATCACGGAATAGCTCTGCATGCACTGCAGGGGAATGGGGCCTCATCTCGCCTCTAGGGGGAAGTCTCATGGTTTTTCTCGAGTTGCGGCGGGGACCTGGGGTATGTTCTCGATTTACGGCGGGATGGCCCTTCAAAACACGAGTTTCTTCAGTGACGTCAGGACTCCTGTCTAGTAACGAGGGACACCTCAGGAATCGCTTCGAGGCTTGGCAGGGCAAAAGGGACGCTTCTCGAGGTGAGGCAGGGCACCCAAGGACCCTTTCCTGTAGCCACAGGGATTTTGGGATTCCTATCAGTATTCAAGAGGAGTCAGGCATCGTCACATTTTTCAGAAATGAACTCTGCGTGCCTCTCGAGGTGTCAGCGGGATGTGAGGCATTCCGTCAAAATGAGGCAGGGACCTAGGGCTTTCTCTAAGGTCTCCACAGGGGATTCAGACATGCCTTCATGTTGTGAGATTAAACACGAGCCTGTATTCAAGCCACTGCAAGGAAATCCGGCCTCCTTTCAAGTTAGGGCTTCTCGCTGTATATTCCCCTTGAGGCAGCAAACTCGGGGTCCCTCCCACCTAGCTATTGCTGAGAGAAGCCTCCTCCTGAGGTGCTTCTGGAAAGTTGGCATACGTCTTGAGCCTAAGCCCGGGAATCAGCTCTCATCTCGAGACGATTTGGGGTACACGGAGCATTCCTCGAGTTGCTGTGCTGAAGTTGGTGTTCCTCTAGACTTGGGACAGTGTTCTCGGGCATCTGTGGAGTTGCCTGAAGGAAGTCGAGCCACCGGTCGTGTTGAATGGGGAACGGGGAATGGCTCTGGAGTCAATGCAGGGGAATCGGGCCTCATCTCGAGTTGATTTGGGGCACATGTAGCTGCTTTGTGTTGCTGGGGTGACCTCAGGGTCCGTCTAGACTGGTGACAGTGCTCTTGGGAACTGTCTCGAGATCGATTAAGCAAGTCGAAGCTCCTGACTTGTTTGAATGGGATCACGGAATAGCTCTGCATGCACTGCAGGGGAATGGGGCCTCATCTCGCCTCTAGGGGGAAGTCTCATGGTTTTTCTCGAGTTGCGGCGGGGACCTGGGGTATGTTCTCGACTTACGGCGGGGATGGCCCTTCAAAACACGAGTTTCTTCAGTGACGTCAGGACTCCTGTCTAGTAACGAGGGACACCTCAGGAATCTCTTCGAGGCTTGGCTGGGCAAAAGTGATGCTTCTCGAGGTCAGGCAGGGCACCCAAGGATCCTTTCCAGTAGCCACAGGGATTTTGGGATTCCTATCAGTATTCAAGAGGAGTCAGGCATCGTCACCTTTTGAAGCAATGAACTCCGCGTGCCTCTCGAGGTGTCAGCGGGATGTGAGGCATTCCGTCAAAATGAGGCTGGGACCTAGGGCTTTCTCTCAGGTCTCCACAGGGGATTCAGACATCCCTTCATGTTGTGAGATGAAAGACGAGCCTGTATTCAAGCCACTGCAAGGAAATCCGGCCACCTTTCAAGTTAGGGCTTCTCGATGTATATTCCCCTAGAGGCAGCAAACTCGGGGTCCCTCCAACATACATATTGCTGAGAGAAGCCTCCTCCTGAGGTGCTTCTGGAATGTAGGCATACGTCTTGAGCCTAAGCCAGGTAATCGGCTCTCATCTCGAGACGATTTGGGGTACACGGAGCATTCCTCGAGTTGCTGTGCTGAAGTTGGTGTTCCTCTAGACTTGGGACAGTGTTCTCGGGGCATCTGTGGAGTTGCCTGAAGGAAGTGGAGCCACCGGTCGTGTTGAATGGGGAACGGGTAATAGCTCTGGGGTCAATGCAGGGGAATCGGGCCTCATCTCGAGTTGATTTGGGGCACATGGAGCTGCTTTGCGTTGCTGGGGTGACCTCAGGGTCCGTCTAGACTGGTGACAGTGTTCTTGGGGACTGTCTCGAGATCGATTAAGCAAGTCGAAGCTCCTGACTTGTTTGAATGGGATCACGGAATAGGTCTGCATGCAGTGCAGGGGAATGGGGCCTTATCTCGCCTCTAAGGGGAAGTCTCATGGTTTTTCTCGAGTTGCGGCGGTGGCCTGGGGTATGTTCTCGACTTACGGCGGGGATGGCCCTTCAAAACACGAGTTTCTTCAGTGACGTCAGGACTCCTGTCTAGTAACGAGGGACACCTCAGGAATCTCTTCGAGGCTTGGCAGGGCAAAAGGGACGCTTCTCGAGGTGAGGCAGGGCACCCAAGGACCCTTTCAGTAGCCACAGGGATTTTGGGATTCCTATCAGTATTCAAGAGGAGTCAGGCATCGTCACCTATTGAAGCAATGAACTCCGCGTGCCTCTCGAGTTGTCAGCGGGATGTGAGGCATTCCGTCAAAATGAGGCAGGGACCTACGGCTTTCTCTAAGGTCTCCACAGGGGATTCAGACATCCCTTCATGTTGTGAGATGAAAGACGAGCCTGTATTCAAGCCACTGCAAGGAAATCCGGCCTCCTTTCAAGTTAGGGCTTCTCGCTGTATATTCCCCTTGAGGCAGCACACTCGGGGTCCCTCCCACATACCTATTGCTGAGAGAAGCCTCCTCCTGAGTTGCTTCTGGAAAGTTGGCAAATGCCTTGAGCCTAAGCCAATGTATCAGCTCTCATCTCGAGACGATTTGGGGTGCACGGAGCATTCCTCGAGTTGCTGTGCTGAAGTTGGTGTTCCTCTAGACTTGGGACAGTGTTCTCGGGGCATCTCTGGAGTTGCGTGAAGGAAGTCGAGCCACTGGTCGTGTTGAATGGGGAACGGGGAATGGCTCTGGGGTCAATGCAGGGGAATCGGGCCTCATCTCGAGTTGATTTGGGGCACATGGAGCTGCTTTGCGTTGCTGGGGTGACCTCAGGGTCCGTCTAGACTGGTGACAGTGTTCTTGGGGACTGTCTCGAGATCGATTAAGCAAGTCGAAGCTCCTGACTTGTTTGAATGGGATCACGGAATAGCTCTGCATGCACTGCAGGGGAATGGGGCCTCATCTCGCCTCTAGGGGGAAGTCTCATGGTTTTTCTCGAGTTGCGACGGGGACCTGGGGTATGTTCTCGACTTACGGCGGGGATGGCCCTTCAAAACACGAGTTTCTTCAGTGACGTCAGGACTCCTGTCTAGTAACGAGGGACACCTCAGGAATCTCTTCGAGGCTTGGCAGGGCAAAAGGGACGCTTCTCGAGGTGAGGCAGGGCACCCAAGGACCCTTTCCAGTAGCCACAGGGATTTTGGGATTCCTATCAGTATTCAAGAGGAGTCAGGCATCGTCACCTTTTGAAGCAATGAACTCCGCGTGCCTCTCGAGATGTCAGCATGATGTGAGGCATTCCGTCAAAATGAGGCAGGGACCTAGGGCTTTCTCTAAGGTCTCCACAGGGGATTCAGACATCCCTTCATGTTGTGAGATGAAAGATGAGCCTGTATTCAAGCCACTGCAGGGAAATCCGGCCTCCTTTCAAGTTAGGGCTTCTCGCTGTATATTCCCCTTGATGCAGCAAACTCGGGGTCCCTCCCACATACCTATGGCTGAGAGAAGCCTCCCCGTGAGGTGCTTCTGGAAAGTTGGCATACGTCTTGAGCCTAAGCCAGGGAATCAGCTCTCATCTCGAGACGATTTGGGGTACACGGAGCATTCCTCGAGTTGCTGTGCTGAAGTAGGTGTTCTTCTAGACTTGGGACAGGGTTCTCGGGGCATCTCTGGAGTTGCCTGAAGGAAGTCGAGCCACCGGTCGTGTTGAATGGGGAACGGGGAATGGCTCTGGAGTCAATGCAGGGGAATCGGGCCTCATCTCCAGGTGATTTGGGGCACATGGATCTGCTTTGCGTTGCTGGGGTGACCTCAGGGTCCGTCTAGACTTGTGACAGGGTTCTTGGGGACTGTCTCGAGATCCATTAAGCAAGTCGAAGCTCCTGACTTCTTTGAATGGGATCACGGAATAGCTCTGCATGCACTGCAGGGGATTGGGGCCTCATCTCTCCTCTAGGGGGAAGTCTCATGGTTTTTTTCGAGTTGCGGCGGGGACCTGGGGTATGTTCTCGACTTACGGCGGGGATGGCCCTTCAAAACACGAGTTTCTTCAATGACGTCAGGACTCCTGTCTAGTAACGAGGGACACCTCAGGAATCTCTTCGAGGATTGGCAGCGCAAAAGGTATGCTTCTCGAGGTTAGGCAGGGCACCCAACTACCCTTTCTAGTAGCCACAGGGATTCTGGGATTCCTATCAGTATTCAAGAGGAGTCAGGCATCGTCACCTTTTGAAGCAATGAACTCCGGTGCCTCTCGAAGTGTCAGCGGGATGTGAGGCATTCCGTCAAAATGAGGCAGGGACCTAGGGCTTTCTCTAATGTCTCCACAGGGGATTCAGATATCCCTTCATGTTGTGAGATGAAAGATGAGCCTGTATTCAAGCCACTGCAAGGAAATCCGGCCTCCTTTCAAGTTAGGGCTTCTCGCTGTATATTCCCCTTCATGCAACAAACTCGGGGTCCCTCCCACATACCTATGGCTGAGAGAAGCCTCCCCGTGAGGTGCTTCTGGAAAGTTGGCATACGTCTTGAGCCTAAGCCAGGGAATCAGCTCTCATCTCGAGATGATTTGGGGTACACGGAGCATTCCTCGAGTTGCTGTGCTGAAGTTGTTGTTCCTCTAGACTTGGCACAGGGTTCTCGGGGCATCTCTGGAGTTGCCTGAAGGAAGTCGAGCCACTGGTCGTGTTGAATGGGGAACCGGGAATGGCTCTGGAGTCAATGCAGGGGAATCGGGCCTCATCTCGAGTTGATTTGGTGCACATGCTGCTGCCTTGCGTTGCTGGGGTGACCTCAGGGTCCGTCTAGACTGGTGACAGTGTTCTTGGGGACTGTCTCGAGATCCATTAAGCAATTCGAAGCTCCTGACTTCTTTGAATGGGATCACGGAATAGCTCTGCATGCACTGCAGGGGAATGGGGCCTCATCTCGCCTCTAGGGGGAAGTCTCATGGTTTTTCTCGAGTTGCGACGGGGACCTGGGGTATGTTCTCGACTTACGGCGGGGATGGCCCTTCAAAACACGAGTTTCTTCAGTGACGTCAGGACTCCTGTCTAGTAACGAGGGACACCTCAGGAATCTCTTCCAGGCTTGGCAGGGCAAAAGGGACGCTTCTCGAGGTGAGGCAGGGCACCCAAGGACCCTTTCCAGTAGCCACAGGGATTTTGGGATTCCTATCAGTATTCAAGAGGAGTCAGGCATCGTCAGATTTTGAAGCAATGAACTCCGCATGCCTCTCGACGTGTCAGCGGGATGTGAGGCATTCCGTCAAAATGAGGCAGGGACCTAGGGCTTTCTCTAAGGTCTCCACAGGGGATTCAGACATCCCTTCATGTTGTGAGATGAAAGATGAGCCTGTATTCAAGCCACTGCAGGGAAATCCGGCCTCCTTTCAAGTTAGGGCTTCTCGCTGTATATTCCCCTTGATGCAGCAAACTCGGGGTCCCTCCCACATACCTATGGCTGAGAGAAGCCTCCCCGTGAGGTGCTTCTGGAAAGTTGGCATACGTCTTGAGCCTAAGCCAGGGAATCAGCTCTCATCTCGAGACGATTTGGGGTACACGGAGCATTCCTCGAGTTGCTGTGCTGAAGTTGGTGTTCTTCTAGACTTGGGACAGTGTTCTCGGGGCATCTCTGGAGTTGCCTGAAGGAAGTCGAGCCACCGGTCGTGTTGAATGGGGAACGGGGAATGGCTCTGGAGTCAATGCAGGGGAATCGGGCCTCATCTCGAGGTGATTTGGGGCACATGGAGCTGCTTTGCGTTGCTGGGGTGACCTCAGGGTCCGTCTAGACTTGTGACAGTGTTCTTGGGGACTGTCTCGAGATCCATTAAGCAAGTCGAAGCTCCTGACTTCTTTGAATGGAATCACGGAATAGTTCTACATGCACTGCAGGGGAATGGGGCCTCATCTCGCCTCTAGGGGGAAGTCTCATGGTTTTTTTCGAGTTGCGGCGGGGACCTGGGGTATGTTCTCGACTTACGGCGGGGATGGCCCTTCAAAACACGAGTTTCTTCAATGATGTCAGGACTCCTGTCTAGTAACGAGGGACACCTCAGGAATCTCTTCGAGGCTTGGCAGGGCAAAAGGGACGCTTCTCGAGGTGAGGCAGGGCACCCAAGGACCCTTTCCAGTAGCCACAGGGATTCTGGGATTCCTATCAGTATTCAAGAGGAGTCAGGCATCGTCACCTTTTGAAGCAATGAACTCCGGTGCCTCTCGAAGTGTCAGCGGGATGTGAGGCATTCCGTCAAAATGAGGCAGGGACCTAGGGCTTTCTCTAAGGTCTCCACAGGGGATTCAGACATCCCTTCATGTTGTGAGATGAAAGACGAGGCTGTATTCAAGCCACTGCAAGGAAATCCGACCTCCTTTCAAGTTAGGTCTTCTCGCTGTATATTCCCCTTGATGCAGCAAACTCGGGGACCCTCCCACATACCTATGGTTGAGAGAAGCCTCCCCGTGAGGTGCTTCTGGAAAGTTGGCATACGTCTTGAGCCTAAGCCAGGGAATCAGCTCTCATCTCGAGACGATTTGGGGTACACGGAGCATTCCTCGTGTTGCTGTGCTGAAGTTGGTGTTCTTCTAGACTTGGGACAGGGTTCTCGGGGCATCTCTGGAGTTGCCTGAAGGAAGTCGAGCCACCGGTCGTGTTGAATGGGGAACGGGGAATGGCTCTGGAGTCAATGCAGGGGAATCGGGCCTCATCTCCAGGTGATTTGGGGCACATGGATCTGCTTTGCGTTGCTGGGGTGACCTCAGGGTCCGTCTAGACTTGTGACAGGGTTCTTGGGGACTGTCTCGAGATCCATTAAGCAAGTCGAAGCTCCTGACTTCTTTGAATGGGATCACGGAATAGCTCTGCATGCACTGCAGGGGATTGGGGCCTCATCTCTCCTCTAGGGGGAAGTCTCATGGTTTTTTTCGAGTTGCGGCGGGGACCTGGGGTATGTTCTCGACTTACGGCGGGGATGGCCCTTCAAAACACGAGTTTCTTCAATGACGTCAGGACTCCTGTCTAGTAACGAGGGACACCTCAGGAATCTCTTCGAGGATTGGCAGCGCAAAAGGTATGCTTCTCGAGGTTAGGCAGGGCACCCAACTACCCTTTCTAGTAGCCACAGGGATTCTGGGATTCCTATCAGTATTCAAGAGGAGTCAGGCATCGTCACCTTTTGAAGCAATGAACTCCGGTGCCTCTCGAAGTGTCAGCGGGATGTGAGGCATTCCGTCAAAATGAGGCAGGGACCTAGGGCTTTCTCTAATGTCTCCACAGGGGATTCAGACATCCCTTCATGTTGTGAGATGAAAGATGAGACTGTATTCAAGCCACTGCAAGGAAATCCGGCCTCCTTTCAAGTTAGGGCTTCTCGCTGTATATTCCCCTTCATGCAACAAACTCGGGGTCCCTCCCACATACCTATGGCTGAGAGAAGCCTCCCCGTGAGGTGCTTCTGGAAAGTTGGCATACGTCTTGAGCCTAAGCCAGGGAATCAGCTCTCATCTCGAGATGATTTGGGGTACACGGAGCATTCCTCGAGTTGCTGTGCTGAAGTTGGTGTTCCTCTAGACTTGGCACAGCGTTCTCGGGGCATCTCTGGAGTTGCCTGAAGGAAGTCGAGCCACTGGTCGTGTTGAATGGGGAACCGGGAATGGCTCTGGAGTCAATGCAGGGGAATCGGGCCTCATCTCGAGTTGATTTGGTGCACATGCTGCTGCCTTGCGTTGCTGGGGTGACCTCAGGGTCCGTCTAGACTGGTGACAGTGTTCTTGGGGACTGTCTCGAGATCCATTAAGCAATTCGAAGCTCCTGACTTCTTTGAATGGGATCACGGAATAGCTCTGCATGCACTGCAGGGGAATGGGGCCTCATCTCGCCTCTAGGGGGAAGTCTCATGGTTTTTCTCGAGTTGCGACGGGGACCTGGGGTATGTTCTCGACTTACGGCGGGGATGGCCCTTCAAAACACGAGTTTCTTCAGTGACGTCAGGACTCCTGTCTAGTAACGAGGGACACCTCAGGAATCTCTTCCAGGCTTGGCAGGGCAAAAGGGACGCTTCTCGAGGTGAGGCAGGGCACCCAAGGACCCTTTCCAGTAGCCACAGGGATTTTGGGATTCCTATCAGTATTCAAGAGGAGTCAGGCATCGTCAGATTTTGAAGCAATGAACTCCGCATGCCTCTCGACGTGTCAGCGGGATGTGAGGCATTCCGTCAAAATGAGGCAGGGACCTAGGGCTTTCTCTAAGGTCTCCACAGGGGATTCAGACATCCCTTCATGTTGTGAGATGAAAGATGAGCCTGTATTCAAGCCACTGCAGGGAAATCCGGCCTCCTTTCAAGTTAGGGCTTCTCGCTGTATATTCCCCTTGATGCAGCAAACTCGGGGTCCCTCCCACATACCTATGGCTGAGAGAAGCCTCCCCGTGAGGTGCTTCTGGAAAGTTGGCATACGTCTTGAGCCTAAGCCAGGGAATCAGCTCTCATCTCGAGACGATTTGGGGTACACGGAGCATTCCTCGAGTTGCTGTGCTGAAGTTGGTGTTCTTCTAGACTTGGGACAGGGTTCTCGGGGCATCTCTGGAGTTGCCTGAAGGAAGTCGAGCCACCGGTCGTGTTGAATGGGGAACGGGGAATGGCTCTGGAGTCAATGCAGGGGAATCGGGCCTCATCTCGAGGTGATTTGGGGCACATGGAGCTGCTTTGCGTTGCTGGGGTGACCTCAGGGTCCGTCTAGACTTGTGACAGTGTTCTTGGGGACTGTCTCGAGATCCATTAAGCAAGTCGAAGCTCCTGACTTCTTTGAATGGAATCACGGAATAGTTCTACATGCACTGCAGGGGAATGGGGCCTCATCTCGCCTCTAGGGGGAAGTCTCATGGTTTTTTTCGAGTTGCGGCGGGGACCTGGGGTATGTTCTCGACTTACGGCGGGGATGGCCCTTCAAAACACGAGTTTCTTCAATGATGTCAGGACTCCTGTCTAGTAACGAGGGACACCTCAGGAATCTCTTCGAGGCTTGGCAGGGCAAAAGGGACGCTTCTCGAGGTGAGGCAGGGCACCCAAGGACCCTTTCCAGTAGCCACAGGGATTCTGGGATTCCTATCAGTATTCAAGAGGAGTCAGGCATCGTCACCTTTTGAAGCAATGAACTCCGGTGCCTCTCGAAGTGTCAGCGGGATGTGAGGCATTCCGTCAAAATGAGGCAGGGACCTAGGGCTTTCTCTAAGGTCTCCACAGGGGATTCAGACATCCCTTCATGTTGTGAGATGAAAGACGAGGCTGTATTCAAGCCACTGCAAGGAAATCCGGCCTCCTTTCAAGTTAGGTCTTCTCGCTGTATATTCCCCTTGATGCAGCAAACTCGGGGTCCCTCCCACATACCTATGGTTGAGAGAAGCCTCCCCGTGAGGTGCTTCTGGAAAGTTGGCATACGTCTTGAGCCTAAGCCAGGGAATCAGCTCTCATCTCGAGACGATTTGGGGTACACGGAGCATTCCTCGTGTTGCTGTGCTGAAGTTGGTGTTCTTCTAGACTTGGGACAGGGTTCTCGGGGCATCTCTGGAGTTGCCTGAAGGAAGTCGAGCCACCGGTCGTGTTGAATGGGGAACGGGGAATGGCTCTGGAGTCAATGCAGGGGAATCGGGCCTCATCTCGAGTTGATTTGGGGCACATGGAGCTGCTTTGCGTTGCTGGGGTGACCTCAGCGTCCGTCTAGACTGGTGACAGTGTTCTTGGGGACTGTCTCGAGATCCATTAAGCAAGTCGAAGCTCCTGACTTGTTTGAGTGGGATCACGGAATAGCTCTGCACGCACTGCAGGGGAATGGGGCCTCATCTCGCCTCTAGGGGGAAGTCTCATGGTTTTTCTCCAGTTGCGGTGCGGACCTGGGGTATGTTCTCGACTTACGGCGGGGATGGCCCTTCAAAACACGAGTTTCTTCAGTGACGTCAGGACTCCTGTCTAGTAATGAGGGACACCTCAGGAATCTCTTCGAGGCTTGGCAGGGCAAAAGGGACGCTTCTCGAGGTGAGGCAGGGCACCCAAGGACCCTTTCCAGTAGCCACAGGGATTCTGGGATTCCTATCAGTATTCAAGAGGAGTCAAGCATCGTCACCTTTTGAAGCAATGAACTCCGGTGCCTCTCGAAGTGTCAGCGGGATGTGAGGCATTCCGTCAAAATGAGGCAGGGACCTAGGGCTTTCTCTAAGGTCTCCACAGGGGATTCAGACATCCCTTCATGTTGTGAGATGAAAGACGAGGCTGTATTCAAGCCACTGCAAGGAAATCCGGCCTCCTTTCAAGTTAGGTCTTCTCGCTGTATATTCCCCTTGATGCAGCAAACTCGGGGTCCCTCCCACATACCTATGGTTGAGAGAAGCCTCCCCGTGAGGTGCTTCTGGAAAGTTGGCATACGTCTTGAGCCTAAGCCAGGGAATCAGCTCTCATCTCGAGACGATTTGGGGTACACGGAGCATTCCTCGTGTTGCTGTGCTGAAGTTGGTGTTCTTCTAGACTTGGGACAGGGTTCTCGGGGCATCTCTGGAGTTGCCTGAAGGAAGTCGAGCCACCGGTCGTGTTGAATGGGGAACGGGGAATGGCTCTGGAGTCAATGCAGGGGAATCGGGCCTCATCTCGAGTTGATTTGGGGCACATGGAGCTGCTTTGCGTTGCTGGGGTGACCTCAGCGTCCGTCTAGACTGGTGACAGTGTTCTTGGGGACTGTCTCGAGATCCATTAAGCAAGTCGAAGCTCCTGACTTGTTTGAGTGGGATCACGGAATAGCTCTGCACGCACTGCAGGGGAATGGGGCCTCATCTCGCCTCTAGGGGGAAGTCTCATGGTTTTTCTCCAGTTGCGGTGCGGACCTGGGGTATGTTCTCGACTTACGGCGGGGATGGCCCTTCAAAACACGAGTTTCTTCAGTGACGTCAGGACTCCTGTCTAGTAATGAGGGACACCTCAGGAATCTCTTCGAGGCTTGGCAGGGCAAAAGGGACGCTTCTCGAGGTGAGGCAGGGCACCCAAGGACCCTTTCCAGTAGCCACAGGGATTCTGGGATTCCTATCAGTATTCAAGAGGAGTCAGGCATCGTCACCTTTTGAAGCAATGAACTCCGCGTGCCTCTCGAGGTGTCAGCGGGATGTGAGGCATTCCGTCAAAATGAGGCAGGGGCCTAGGGCTTTCTTTAAGGTCTCCACAGGGGATTCAGACATCCCTTCATGTTGTGAGATGAAAGACGAGCCTGTATTCAAGCCACTGCAAGGAAATCCGGCCTCCTTTCAAGTTAGGGCTTCTCGCTCTATATTCCCCTTGAGGCAGCAAACTCGGGGTCCCTCCCACATACCTATTGCTGAGAGAAGCCTCCTCCTGAGGTCCTTCTGGAAAGTTGGCATACGTATTGAGCCTAAGCCAGGGAATCAGCTCTCATCTCGAGACGATTTGGGGTACACGGAGCATTCCTCGAGTTGCTGTGCTGAAGTTGGTGTTCCTCTAGACTTGGGACAGGGTTCTCGGGGCATCTCTGGAGTTGCGTGAAGGAAGTCAAGCCACCGGTCGTGTTGAATGGGGAACGGGGAATGGCTCTGGAGTCAATGCAGGGGAATCGGGCCTCATCTCGAGTTGATTTGGGGCACATGGAGCTGCTTTGCGTTGCTGGGGTGACCTCAGGGTCCGTCTAGACTGGTGACAGTGTTCTTGGGGACTGTCTCGAGATCCATTAAGCAAGTCGAAGCTCCTGACTAGTTTGAATGGGATCACGGAATAGCTCTGCACGCACTGCAGGGGAATGGGGCCTCATCTCGCCTCTAGGGGGAAGTCTCATGGTTTTTCTCGAGTTGCGGCGGGGACCTGGGGTATGTTCTCGACTTACGGCGGGGATGGCCCTTCAAAACACGAGTTTCTTCAGTGACGTCAGGACTCCTGTCTAGTAATGTGGGACACCTCAGGAATCTCTTCGATGCTTGGCAGGGCAAAAGGGACACTTCTCGAGGTGAGGCAGGGCACCCAAGGACCCTTTCCAGTAGCCACAGGGATTCTGGGATTCCTATCAGTATTCAAGAGGAGTCAGGCATCGTCACCTTTTGAAGCAATGAACTCCGCGTGCCTCTCGAGGTGTCAGCTGGATGTGAGGCATTCCGTCAAAATGAGGCAGGGACCTAGGGCTTTCTCTAAGGTCTCCACAGTGGATTCAGACATCCCTTCATGTTGTGAGATGAAAGACGAGCCTGTATTCAAGCCACTGCAAGGAAATCCGGCCTCCTTTCAAGTTAGGGCTTCTCGCTGTATATTCCCCTTGAGGCAGCAAACTCGGGGTCCCTCCCACATTCCTGTTGCTGAGAGAAACCTTCTCCTGAGGTGCTTCTGTAAAGTTGGCATACGTCTTGAGCCTAAGCCAGGGAATCAGCTCTCATCTAGAGACGATTTGGGGGTACACGGAGCATTCCTCGAGTTGCTGTGCTGAAGTTGGTGTTCCTCTAGACTTGCGACAGTGTTCTCGGGGCATCTCTGGAGTTGCCTGAAGGAAGTCGAGCCACCGGTCGTGTTGAATGGGGAACGGGGAATGGCTCTGGAGTCAATGCAGGGGAATCGGGCCTCATCTCGAGTTGATTTGGGGCACATGGAGCTGCTTTGCGTTGCCGGGGTGACCTCAGGGTCCGTCTAGACTGGTGACAGTGTTCTTGGGGACTGTCTCGAGATCGATTAAGCAAGTGGAAGCTCCTGACTTGTTTGAATGGGATCACGGAATAGCTCTGCACGCACTGCAGGGGAATGGGGACTCATCTCGCCTCTAGGGGGAAGTCTCATGGTTTTTCTCGAGTTGCGGCGGGGACCTGGGGTATGTTCTCGACTTACGGCGGGGATGGCCCTTCAAAACACGAGTTTCTTCAGTGACGTCAGGACTCCTGTCTAGTAACGAGGGACACCTCAGGAATCTCTTCGAGGCTTGGCAGGGCAAAAGGGACGCTTCTCGAGGTGAGGCAGGGCACCCAAGGACCCTTTCCAGTAGCCACAGGGATTCTGGGATTCCTATCAGTATTCAAGAGGAGTCAGGCATCGTCACTTTTGAAGCAATGAACTCCGCGTGCCTCTCGAGGTGTCAGCGCGATGTGAGGCATTCCGTCAAAATGAGGCAGGGACCTAGGGCTTTCTCTAAGGTCTCCACAGGGGATTCAGACATCCCTTCATGTTGTGAGATGAAAGACGAGGCTGTATTCAAGCCACTGCAAGGAAATCCGGCCTCCTTTCAAGTTAGGTCTTCTCGCTGTATATTCCCCTTGATGCAGCAAACTCGGGGTCCCTCCCACATACCTATGGTTGAGAGAAGCCTCCCCGTGAGGTGCTTCTGGAAAGTTGGCATACGTCTTGAGCCTAAGCCAGGGAATCAGCTCTCATCTCGAGACGATTTGGGGTACACGGAGCATTCCTCGTGTTGCTGTGCTGAAGTTGGTGTTCTTCTAGACTTGGGACAGGGTTCTCGGGGCATCTCTGGAGTTGCCTGAAGGAAGTCGAGCCACCGGTCGTGTTGAATGGGGAACGGGGAATGGCTCTGGAGTCAATGCAGGGGAATCGGGCCTCATCTCGAGTTGATTTGGGGCACATGGAGCTGCTTTGCGTTGCTGGGGTGACCTCAGCGTCCGTCTAGACTGGTGACAGTGTTCTTGGGGACTGTCTCGAGATCCATTAAGCAAGTCGAAGCTCCTGACTTGTTTGAGTGGGATCACGGAATAGCTCTGCACGCACTGCAGGGGAATGGGGCCTCATCTCGCCTCTAGGGGGAAGTCTCATGGTTTTTCTCCAGTTGCGGTGCGGACCTGGGGTATGTTCTCGACTTACGGTGGGGATGGCCCTTCAAAACACGAGTTTCTTCAGTGACGTCAGGACTCCTGTCTAGTAATGAGGGACACCTCAGGAATCTCTTCGAGGCTTGGCAGGGCAAAAGGGACGCTTCTCGAGGTGAGGCAGGGCACCCAAGGACCCTTTCCAGTAGCCACAGGGATTCTGGGATTCCTATCAGTATTCAAGAGGAGTCAGGCATCGTCACCTTTTGAAGCAATGAACTCCGCGTGCCTCTCGAGGTGTCAGCGGGATGTGAGGCATTCCGTCAAAATGAGGCAGGGGCCTAGGGCTTTCTTTAAGGTCTCCACAGGGGATTCAGACATCCCTTCATGTTGTGAGATGAAAGACGAGCCTGTATTCAAGCCACTGCAAGGAAATCCGGCCTCCTTTCAAGTTAGGGCTTCTCGCTCTATATTCCCCTTGAGGCAGCAAACTCGGGGTCCCTCCCACATACCTATTGCTGAGAGAAGCCTCCTCCTGAGGTCCTTCTGGAAAGTTGGCATACGTATTGAGCCTAAGCCAGGGAATCAGCTCTCATCTCGAGACGATTTGGGGTACACGGAGCATTCCTCGAGTTGCTGTGCTGAAGTTGGTGTTCCTCTAGACTTGGGACAGGGTTCTCGGGGCATCTCTGGAGTTGCGTGAAGGAAGTCGAGCCACCGGTCGTGTTGAATGGGGAACGGGGAATGGCTCTGGAGTCAATGCAGGGGAATCGGGCCTCATCTCGAGTTGATTTGGGGCACATGGAGCTGCTTTGCGTTGCTGGGGTGACCTCAGGGTCCGTCTAGACTGGTGACAGTGTTCTTGGGGACTGTCTCGAGATCCATTAAGCAAGTCGAAGCTCTTGACTAGTTTGAATGGGATCACGGAATAGCTCTGCACGCACTGCAGGGGAATGGGGCCTCATCTCGCCTCTAGGGGGAAGTCTCATGGTTTTTCTCGAGTTGCGGCGGGGACCTTGGGTATGTTCTCGACTTACGGCGGGGATGGCCCTTCAAAACACGAGTTTCTTCAGTGACGTCAGGACTCCTGTCTAGTAATGTGGGACACCTCAGGAATCTCTTCGAGGCTTGGCAGGGCAAAAGGGACGCTTCTCGAGGTGAGGCAGGGCACCCAAGGACCCTTTCCAGTAGCCACAGGGATTCTGGGATTCCTATCAGTATTCAAGAGGAGTCAGGCATCGTCACCTTTTGAAGCAATGAACTCCGCGTGCCTCTCGAGGTGTCAGCGGGATGTGAGGCATTCCGTCAAAATGAGGCAGGGACCTAGGGCTTTCTCTAAGGTCTCCACAGTGGATTCAGACATCCCTTCATGTTGTGAGATGAAAGACGAGGCTGTATTCAAGCCACTGCAAGGAAATCCGGCCTCCTTTCAAGTTAGGGCTTCTCGCTGTATATTCCCCTTGAGGCAGCAAACTCGGGGTCCCTCCCACATTCCTGTTGCTGAGAGAAACCTTCTCCTGAGGTGCTTCTGTAAAGTTGGCATACGTCTTGAGCCTAAGCCAGGGAATCAGCTCTCATCTCGAGACGATTTGGGGGTACACGGAGCATTCCTCGAGTTGCTGTGCTGAAGTTGGTGTTCCTCTAGACTTGCGACAGTGTTCTCGGGGCATCTCTGGAGTTGCCTGAAGGAAGTCGAGCCACCGGTCGTGTTGAATGGGGAACGGGGAATGGCTCTGGAGTCAATGCAGGGGAATCGGGCCTCATCTCGAGTTGATTTGGGGCACATGGAGCTGCTTTGCGTTGCCGGGGTGACCTCAGGGTCCGTCTAGACTGGTGACAGTGTTCTTGGGGACTCTCTCGAGATCGATTAAGCAAGTGGAAGCTCCTGACTTGTTTGAATGGGATCACGGAATAGCTCTGCACGCACTGCAGGGGAATGGGGACTCATCTCGCCTCTAGGGGGAAGTCTCATGGTTTTTCTCGAGTTGCGGCGGGGACCTGGGGTATGTTCTCGACTTACGGCGGGGATGGCCCTTCAAAACACGAGTTTCTTCAGTGACGTCAGGACTCCTGTCTAGTAACGAGGGACACCTCAGGAATCTCTTCGAGGCTTGGCAGGGCAAAAGGGACGCTTCTCGAGGTGAGGCAGGGCACCCAAGGACCCTTTCCAGTAGCCACAGGGATTCTGGGATTCCTATCAGTATTCAAGAGGAGTCAGGCATCGTCACTTTTGAAGCAATGAACTCCGCGTGCCTCTCGAGGTGTCAGCGCGATGTGAGGCATTCCGTCAAAATGAGGCAGGGACCTAGGGCTTTCTCTAAGGTCTCCACAGGGGATTCAGACATCCCTTCATGTTGTGAGATGAAAGACGAGGCTGTATTCAAGCCACTGCAAGGAAATCCGGCCTCCTTTCAAGTTAGGTCTTCTCGCTGTATATTCCCCTTGATGCAGCAAACTCGGGGTCCCTCCCACATACCTATGGTTGAGAGAAGCCTCCCCGTGAGGTGCTTCTGGAAAGTTGGCATACGTCTTGAGCCTAAGCCAGGGAATCAGCTCTCATCTCGAGACGATTTGGGGTACACGGAGCATTCCTCGTGTTGCTGTGCTGAAGTTGGTGTTCTTCTAGACTTGGGACAGGGTTCTCGGGGCATCTCTGGAGTTGCCTGAAGGAAGTCGAGCCACCGGTCGTGTTGAATGGGGAACGGGGAATGGCTCTGGAGTCAATGCAGGGGAATCGGGCCTCATCTCGAGTTGATTTGGGGCACATGGAGCTGCTTTGCGTTGCTGGGGTGACCTCAGCGTCCGTCTAGAGTGGTGACAGTGTTCTTGGGGACTGTCTCGAGATCCATTAAGCAAGTCGAAGCTCCTGACTTGTTTGAGTGGGATCACGGAATAGCTCTGCACGCACTGCAGGGGAATGGGGCCTCATCTCGCCTCTAGGGGGAAGTCTCATGGTTTTTCTCGAGTTGCGGCGGGGACCTGGGGTATGTTCTCGACTTACGGCGGGGATGGCCCTTCAAAACACGAGTTTCTTCAGTGACGTCAGGACTCCTGTCTAGTAATGTGGGACACCTCAGGAATCTCTTCGAGGCTTGGCAGGGCAAAAGGGACGCTTCTCGAGGTGAGGCAGGGCACCCAAGGACCCTTTCCAGTAGCCACAGGGATTCTGGGATTCCTATCAGTATTCAAGAGGAGTCAGGCATCGTCACCTTTTGAAGCAATGAACTCCGCGTGCCTCTCGAGGTGTCAGCGGGATGTGAGGCATTCCGTCAAAATGAGGCAGGGACCTAGGGCTTTCTCTAAGGTCTCCACAGTGGATTCAGACATCCCTTCATGTTGTGAGATGAAAGACGAGCCTGTATTCAAGCCACTGCAAGGAAATCCGGCCTCCTTTCAAGTTAGGGCTTCTCGCTGTATATTCCCCTTGAGGCAGCAAACTCGGGGTCCCTCCCACATTCCTATTGCTGAGAGAAACCTTCTCCTGAGGTGCTTCTGTAAAGTTGGCATACGTCTTGAGCCTAAGCCAGGGAATCAGCTCTCATCTCGAGACGATTTGGGGGTACACGGAGCATTCCTCGAGTTGCTGTGCTGAAGTTGGTGTTCCTCCAAACTTGCGACAGTGTTCTCGGGGCATCTCTGGAGTTGCCTGAAGGAAGTCGAGCCACCGGTCGTGTTGAATGGGGAACGGGGAATGGCTCTGGAGTCAATGCAGGGGAATCGGGCCTCATCTCGAGTTGATTTGGGGCACATGGAGCTGCTTTGCGTTGCCGGGGTGACCTCAGGGTCCGTCTAGACTGGTGACAGTGTTCTTGGGGACTGTCTCGAGATCGATTAAGCAAGTGGAAGCTCCTGACTTGTTTGAATGGGATCACGGAATAGCTCTGCACGCACTGCAGGGGAATGGGGACTCATCTCGCCTCTAGGGGGAAGTCTCATGGTTTTTCTCGAGTTGCGGCGGGACCTGGGGTATGTTCTCGACTTACGGCGGGGATGGCCCTTCAAAACACGAGTTTCTTCAGTGACATCAGGACTCCTGTCTAGTAACGAGGGACACCTCAGGAATCTCTTCGAGGCTTTTCAGGGCAAAAGGGACGCTTCTTGAGGTGAGGCAGGGCACCCAAGGACCCTTTCCAGTAGCCACAGGGATTCTGGGATTCCTATCAGTATTCAAGAGGAGTCAGGCATCGTCACTTTTGAAGCAATGAACTCCGCGTGCCTCTCGAGGTGTCAGCGCGATGTGAGGCATTCCGTCAAAATGAGGCAGGGACCTAGGGCTTTCTCTAAGGTCTCCACAGGGGATTCAGACATCCCTTCATGTTGTGAGATGAAAGACGAGGCTGTATTCAAGCCACTGCAAGGAAATCCGGCCTCCTTTCAAGTTAGGTCTTCTCGCTGTATATTCCCCTTGATGCAGCAAACTCGGGGTCCCTCCCACATACCTATGGTTGAGAGAAGCCTCCCCGTGAGGTGCTTCTGGAAAGTTGGCATACGTCTTGAGCCTAAGCCAGGGAATCAGCTCTCATCTCGAGACGATTTGGGGTACACGGAGCATTCCTCGTGTTGCTGTGCTGAAGTTGGTGTTCTTCTAGACTTGGGACAGGGTTCTCGGGGCATCTCTGGAGTTGCCTGAAGGAAGTCGAGCCACCGGTCGTGTTGAATGGGGAACGGGGAATGGCTCTGGAGTCAATGCAGGGGAATCGGGCCTCATCTCGAGTTGATTTGGGGCACATGGAGCTGCTTTGCGTTGCTGGGGTGACCTCAGGGTCCGTCTAGACTGGTGACAGTGTTCTTGGGGACTGTCTCGAGATCCATTAAGCAAGTCGAAGCTCCTGACTAGTTTGAATGGGATCACGGAATAGCTCTGCACGCACTGCAGGGGAATGGGGCCTCATCTCGCCTCTAGGGGGAAGTCTCATGGTTTTTCTCGACTTGCGGCGGGGACCTGGGGTATGTTCTCGACTTACGGCGGGGATGGCCCTTCAAAACACGAGTTTCTTCAGTGACGTCAGGACTCCTGTCTAGTAATGTGGGACACCTCAGGAATCTCTTCGAGGCTTGGCAGGGCAAAAGGGACGCTTCTCGAGGTGAGGCAGGGCACCCAAGGACCCTTTCCAGTAGCCACAGGGATTCTGGGATTCCTATCAGTATTCAAGAGGAGTCAGGCATCGTCACTTTTGAAGCAATGAACTCCGCGTGCCTCTCGAGGTGTCAGCGCGATGTGAGGCATTCCGTCAAAATGAGGCAGGGACCTAGGGCTTTCTCTAAGGTCTCCACAGGGGATTCAGACATCCCTTCATGTTGTGAGATGAAAGACGAGGCTGTATTCAAGCCACTGCAAGGAAATCCGGCCTCCTTTCAAGTTAGGTCTTCTCGCTGTATATTCCCCTTGATGCAGCAAACTCGGGGTCCCTCCCACATACCTATGGTTGAGAGAAGCCTCCCCGTGAGGTGCTTCTGGAAAGTTGGCATACGTCTTGAGCTTAAGCCAGGGAATCAGCTCTCATCTCGAGACGATTTGGGGTACACGGAGCATTCCTCTTGTTGCTGTGCTGAAGTTGGTGTTCTTCTAGACTTGGGACAGGGTTCTCGGGGCATCTCTGGAGTTGCCTGAAGGAAGTCGAGCCACCGGTCGTGTTGAATGGGGAACGGGGAATGGCTCTGGAGTCCATGCAGGGGAATCGGGCCTCATCTCGAGTTGATTTGGGGCACATGGAGCTGCTTTGCGTTGCTGGGGTGACCTCAGCGTCCGTCTAGACTGGTGACAGTGTTCTTGGGGACTGTCTCGAGATCCATTAAGCAAGTCGAAGCTCCTGACTTGTTTGAATGGGATCACGGAATAGCTCTGCACGCACTGCAGGGGAATGGGGCCTCATCTCGCCTCTAGGGGGAAGTCTCATGGTTTTTCTCCAGTTGCGGTGCGGACCTGGGGTATGTTCTCGACTTACGGCGGGGATGGCCCTTCAAAACACGAGTTTCTTCAGTGACGTCAGGACTCCTGTCTAGTAATGAGGGACACCTCAGGAATCTCTTCGAGGCTTGGCAGGGCAAAAGGGACGCTTCTCGAGGTGAGGCAGGGCACCCAAGGACCCTTTCCAGTAGCCACAGGGATTCTGGGATTCCTATCAGTATTCAAGAGGAGTCAGGCATCGTCACCTTTTGAAGCAATGAACTCCGCGTGCCTCTCGAGGTGTCAGCGGGATGTGAGGCATTCCGTCAACATGAGGCAGGGGCCTAGGGCTTTCTTTAAGGTCTCCACAGGGGATTCAGACATCCCTTCATGTTGTGAGATGAAAGACGAGCCTGTATTCAAGCCACTGCAAGGAAATCCGGCCTCCTTTCAAGTTAGGGCTTCTCGCTCTATATTCCCCTTGAGGCAGCAAACTCGGGGTCCCTCCCACATACCTATTGCTGAGAGAAGCCTCCTCCTGAGGTCCTTCTGGAAAGTTGGCATACGTATTGAGCCTAAGCCAGGGAATCAGCTCTCATCTCGAGACGATTTGGGGTACACGGAGCATTCCTCGAGTTGCTGTGCTGAAGTTGGTGTTCCTCTAGACTTGGGACAGGGTTCTCGGGGCATCTCTGGAGTTGCGTGAAGGAAGTCGAGCCACCGGTCGTGTTGAATGGGGAACGGGGAATGGCTCTGGAGTCAATGCAGGGGAATCGGGCCTCATCTCGAGTTGATTTGGGGCACATGGAGCTGCTTTGCGTTGCTGGGGTGACCTCAGGGTCCGTCTAGACTGGTGACAGTGTTCTTGGGGACTGTCTCGAGATCCATTAAGCAAGTCGAAGCTCCTGACTAGTTTGAATGGGATCACGGAATAGCTCTGCACGCACTGCAGGGGAATGGGGCCTCATCTCGCCTCTAGGGGGAAGTCTCATGGTTTTTCTCGACTTGCGGCGGGGACCTGGGGTATGTTCTCGACTTACGGCGGGGATGGCCCTTCAAAACACGAGTTTCTTCAGTGACGTCAGGACTCCTGTCTAGTAATGTGGGACACCTCAGGAATCTCTTCGAGGCTTGGCAGGGCAAAAGGGACGCTTCTCGAGGTGAGGCAGGGCACCCAAGGACCCTTTCCAGTAGCCACAGGGATTCTGGGATTCCTATCAGTATTCAAGAGGAGTCAGGCATCGTCACTTTTGAAGCAATGAACTCCGCGTGCCTCTCGAGGTGTCAGCGCGATGTGAGGCATTCCGTCAAAATGAGGCAGGGACCTAGGGCTTTCTCTAAGGTCTCCACAGGGGATTCAGACATCCCTTCATGTTGTGAGATGAAAGACGAGGCTGTATTCAAGCCACTGCAAGGAAATCCAGCCTCCTTTCAAGTTAGGTCTTCTCGCTGTATATTCCCCTTGATGCAGCAAACTCGGGGTCCCTCCCACATACCTATGGTTGAGAGAAGCCTCCCCGTGAGGTGCTTCTGGAAAGTTGGCATACGTCTTGAGCTTAAGCCAGGGAATCAGCTCTCATCTCGAGACGATTTGGGGTACACGGAGCATTCCTCTTGTTGCTGTGCTGAAGTTGGTGTTCTTCTAGACTTGGGACAGGGTTCTCGGGGCATCTCTGGAGTTGCCTGAAGGAAGTCGAGCCACCGGTCGTGTTGAATGGGGAACGGGGAATGGCTCTGGAGTCCATGCAGGGGAATCGGGCCTCATCTCGAGTTGATTTGGGGCACATGGAGCTGCTTTGCGTTGCTGGGGTGACCTCAGCGTCCGTCTAGACTGGTGACAGTGTTCTTGGGGACTGTCTCGAGATCCATTAAGCAAGTCGAAGCTCCTGACTTGTTTGAATGGGATCACGGAATAGCTCTGCACGCACTGCAGGGGAATGGGGCCTCATCTCGCCTCTAGGGGGAAGTCTCATGGTTTTTCTCCAGTTGCGGTGCGGACCTGGGGTATGTTCTCGACTTACGGCGGGGATGGCCCTTCAAAACACGAGTTTCTTCAGTGACGTCAGGACTCCTGTCTAGTAATGAGGGACACCTCAGGAATCTCTTCGAGGCTTGGCAGGGCAAAAGGGACGCTTCTCGAGGTGAGGCAGGGCACCCAAGGACCCTTTCCAGTAGCCACAGGGATTCTGGGATTCCTATCAGTATTCAAGAGGAGTCAGGCATCGTCACCTTTTGAAGCAATGAACTCCGCGTGCCTCTCGAGGTGTCAGCGGGATGTGAGGCATTCCGTCAAAATGAGGCAGGGACCTAGGGCTTTCTTTAAGGTCTCCACAGGGGATTCAGACATCCCTTCATGTTGTGAGATGAAAGACGAGCCTGTATTCAAGCCACTGCAAGGAAATCCGGCCTCCTTTCAAGTTAGGGCTTCTCGCTGTATATTCCCCTTGAGGCAGCAAACTCGGGGTCCCTCCCACATACCTATTGCTGAGAGAAGCCTCCTCCTGAGGTCCTTCTGGAAAGTTGGCATACGTATTGAGCCTAAGCCAGGGAATCAGCTCTCATCTCGAGACGATTTGGGGTACACGGAGCATTCCTCGAGTTGCTGTGCTGAAGTTGGTGTTCCTCTAGACTTGGGACAGGGTTCTCGGGGCATCTCTGGAGTTGCGTGAAGGAAGTCGAGCCACCGGTCGTGTTGAATGGGGAACGGGGAATGGCTCTGGAGTCAATGCAGGGGAATCGGGCCTCATCTCGAGTTGATTTGGGGCACATGGAGCTGCTTTGCGTTGCTGGGGTGACCTCAGGGTCCGTCTAGACTGGTGACAGTGTTCTTGGGGACTGTCTCGAGATCCATTAAGCAAGTCGAAGCTCCTGACTAGTTTGAATGGGATCACGGAATAGCTCTGCACGCACTGCAGGGGAATGGGGCCTCATCTCGCCTCTAGGGGGAAGTCTCATGGTTTTTCTCGAGTTGCGGCGGGGACCTGGGGTATGTTCTCGACTTACGGCGGGGATGGCCCTTCAAAACACGAGTTTCTTCAGTGACGTCAGGACTCCTGTCTAGTAATGTGGGACACCTCAGGAATCTCTTCGAGGCTTGGCAGGGCAAAAGGGACGCTTCTCGAGGTGAGGCAGGGCACCCAAGGACCCTTTCCAGTAGCCACAGGGATTCTGGGATTCCTATCAGTATTCAAGAGGAGTCAGACATCGTCACCTTTTGAAGCAATGAACTCCGCGTGCCTCTCGAGGTGTCAGCGGGATGTGAGGCATTCCGTCAAAATGATTCAGGGACCTAGGGCTTTCTCTAAGGTCTCCACAGTGGATTCAGACATCCCTTCATGTTGTGAGATGAAAGACGAGCCTGTATTCAAGCCACTGCAAGGAAATCCGGCCTCCTTTCAAGTTAGGGCTTCTCGCTGTATATTCCCCTTGAGGCAGCAAACTCGGGGTCCCTCCCACATTCCTATTGCTGAGAGAAACCTTCTCCTGAGGTGCTTCTGGAAAGTTGGCATACGTCTTGAGCCTAAGCCAGGGAATCAGCTCTCATCTCGAGACGATTTGGGGGTACACGGAGCATTCCTCGAGTTGCTGTGCTGAAGTTGGTGTTCCTCTAGACTTGCGACAGTGTTCTCGGGGCATCTCTGGAGTTGCCTGAAGGAAGTCGAGCCACCGGTCGTGTTGAATGGGGAACGGGGAATGGCTCTGGAGTCAATGCAGGGGAATCGGGCCTCATCTCGAGTTGATTTGGGGCACATGGAGCTGCTTTGCGTTGCCGGGGTGACCTCAGGGTCCGTCTAGACTGGTGACAGTGTTCTTGGGGACTGTCTCGAGATCGATTAAGCAAGTGGAAGCTCCTGACTTGTTTGAATGGGATCACGGAATAGCTCTGCACGCACTGCAGGGGAATGGGGACTCATCTCGCCTCTAGGGGGAAGTCTCATGGTTTTTCTCGAGTTGCGGCGGGGACCTGGGGTATGTTCTCGACTTACGGCGGGGATGGCCCTTCAAAACACGAGTTTCTTCAGTGACATCAGGACTCCTGTCTAGTAACGAGGGACACCTCAGGAATCTCTTCGAGGCTTGGCAGGGCAAAAGGGACGCTTCTCGAGGTGAGGCAGGGCACCCAAGGACCCTTTCCAGTAGCCACAGGGATTCTGGGATTCCTATCAGTATTCAAGAGGAGTCAGGCATCGTCACTTTTGAAGCAATGAACTCCGCGTGCCTCTCGAGGTGTCAGCGCGATGTGAGGCATTCCGTCAAAATGAGGCAGGGACCTAGGGCTTTCTCTAAGGTCTCCACAGGGGATTCAGACATCCCTTCATGTTGTGAGATGAAAGACGAGGCTGTATTCAAGCCACTGCAAGGAAATCCGGCCTCCTTTCAAGTTAGGTCTTCTCGCTGTATATTCCCCTTGATGCAGCAAAATCGGGGTCCCTCCCACATACCTATGGTTGAGAGAAGCCTCCCCGTGAGGTGCTTCTGGAAAGTTGGCATACGTCTTGAGCCTAAGCCAGGGAATCAGCTCTCATCTCGAGACGATTTGGGGTACACGGAGCATTCCTCGTGTTGCTGTGCTGAAGTTGGTGTTCTTCTAGACTTGGGACAGGGTTCTCGGGGCATCTCTGGAGTTGCCTGAAGGAAGTCGAGCCACCGGTCGTGTTGAATGGGGAACGGGGAATGGCTCTGGAGTCAATGCAGGGGAATCGGGCCTCATCTCGAGTTGATTTGGGGCACATGGAGCTGCTTTGCGTTGCTGGGGTGACCTCAGCGTCCGTCTAGACTGGTGACAGTGTTCTTGGGGACTGTCTCGAGATCCATTAAGCAAGTCGAAGCTCCTGACTTGTTTGAGTGGGATCACGGAATAGCTCTGCACGCACTGCAGGGGAATGGGGCCTCATCTCGCCTCTAGGGGGAAGTCTCATGGTTTTTCTCCAGTTGCGGTGCGGACCTGGGGTATGTTCTCGACTTACGGTGGGGATGGCCCTTCAAAACACGAGTTTCTTCAGTGACGTCAGGACTCCTGTCTAGTAATGAGGGACACCTCAGGAATCTCTTCGAGGCTTGGCAGGGCAAAAGGGACGCTTCTCGAGGTGAGGCAGGGCACCCAAGGACCCTTTCCAGTAGCCACAGGGATTCTGGGATTCCTATCAGTATTCAAGAGGAGTCAGGCATCGTCACCTTTTGAAGCAATGAACTCCGCGTGCCTCTCGAGGTGTCAGCGGGATGTGAGGCATTCCGTCAAAATGAGGCAGGGGCCTAGGGCTTTCTTTAAGGTCTCCACAGGGGATTCAGACATCCCTTCATGTTGTGAGATGAAAGACGAGCCTGTATTCAAGCCACTGCAAGGAAATCCGGCCTCCTTTCAAGTTAGGGCTTCTCGCTCTATATTCCCCTTGAGGCAGCAAACTCGGGGTCCCTCCCACATACCTATTGCTGAGAGAAGCCTCCTCCTGAGGTCCTTCTGGAAAGTTGGCATACGTATTGAGCCTAAGCCAGGGAATCAGCTCTCATCTCGAGACGATTTGGGGTACACGGAGCATTCCTCGAGTTGCTGTGCTGAAGTTGGTGTTCCTCTAGACTTGGGACAGGGTTCTCGGGGCATCTCTGGAGTTGCGTGAAGGAAGTCGAGCCACCGGTCGTGTTGAATGGGGAACGGGGAATGGCTCTGGAGTCAATGCAGGGGAATCGGGCCTCATCTCGAGTTGATTTGGGGCACATGGAGCTGCTTTGCGTTGCTGGGGTGACCTCAGGGTCCGTCTAGACTGGTGACAGTGTTCTTGGGGACTGTCTCGAGATCCATTAAGCAAGTCGAAGCTCTTGACTAGTTTGAATGGGATCACGGAATAGCTCTGCACGCACTGCAGGGGAATGGGGCCTCATCTCGCCTCTAGGGGGAAGTCTCATGGTTTTTCTCGAGTTGCGGCGGGGACCTTGGGTATGTTCTCGACTTACGGCGGGGATGGCCCTTCAAAACACGAGTTTCTTCAGTGACGTCAGGACTCCTGTCTAGTAATGTGGGACACCTCAGGAATCTCTTCGAGGCTTGGCAGGGCAAAAGGGACGCTTCTCGAGGTGAGGCAGGGCACCCAAGGACCCTTTCCAGTAGCCACAGGGATTCTGGGATTCCTATCAGTATTCAAGAGGAGTCAGGCATCGTCACCTTTTGAAGCAATGAACTCCGCGTGCCTCTCGAGGTGTCAGCGGGATGTGAGGCATTCCGTCAAAATGAGGCAGGGACCTAGGGCTTTCTCTAAGGTCTCCACAGTGGATTCAGACATCCCTTCATGTTGTGAGATGAAAGACGAGCCTGTATTCAAGCCACTGCAAGGAAATCCGGCCTCCTTTCAAGTTAGGGCTTCTCGCTGTATATTCCCCTTGAGGCAGCAAACTCGGGGTCCCTCCCACATTCCTGTTGCTGAGAGAAACCTTCTCCTGAGGTGCTTCTGTAAAGTTGGCATACGTCTTGAGCCTAAGCCAGGGAATCAGCTCTCATCTCGAGACGATTTGGGGGTACACGGAGCATTCCTCGAGTTGCTGTGCTGAAGTTGGTGTTCCTCTAGACTTGCGACAGTGTTCTCGGGGCATCTCTGGAGTTGCCTGAAGGAAGTCGAGCCACCGGTCGTGTTGAATGGGGAACGGGGAATGGCTCTGGAGTCAATGCAGGGGAATCGGGCCTCATCTCGAGTTGATTTGGGGCACATGGAGCTGCTTTGCGTTGCCGGGGTGACCTCAGGGTCCGTCTAGACTGGTGACAGTGTTCTTGGGGACTCTCTCGAGATCGATTAAGCAAGTGGAAGCTCCTGACTTGTTTGAATGGGATCACGGAATAGCTCTGCACGCACTGCAGGGGAATGGGGACTCATCTCGCCTCTAGGGGGAAGTCTCATGGTTTTTCTCGAGTTGCGGCGGGGACCTGGGGTATGTTCTCGACTTACGGCGGGGATGGCCCTTCAAAACACGAGTTTCTTCAGTGACGTCAGGACTCCTGTCTAGTAACGAGGGACACCTCAGGAATCTCTTCGAGGCTTGGCAGGGCAAAAGGGACGCTTCTCGAGGTGAGGCAGGGCACCCAAGGACCCTTTCCAGTAGCCACAGGGATTCTGGGATTCCTATCAGTATTCAAGAGGAGTCAGGCATCGTCACTTTTGAAGCAATGAACTCCGCGTGCCTCTCGAGGTGTCAGCGCGATGTGAGGCATTCCGTCAAAATGAGGCAGGGACCTAGGGCTTTCTCTAAGGTCTCCACAGGGGATTCAGACATCCCTTCATGTTGTGAGATGAAAGACGAGGCTGTATTCAAGCCACTGCAAGGAAATCCGGCCTCCTTTCAAGTTAGGTCTTCTCGCTGTATATTCCCCTTGATGCAGCAAACTCGGGGTCCCTCCCACATACCTATGGTTGAGAGAAGCCTCCCCGTGAGGTGCTTCTGGAAAGTTGGCATACGTCTTGAGCCTAAGCCAGGGAATCAGCTCTCATCTCGAGACGATTTGGGGTACACGGAGCATTCCTCGTGTTGCTGTGCTGAAGTTGGTGTTCTTCTAGACTTGGGACAGGGTTCTCGGGGCATCTCTGGAGTTGCCTGAAGGAAGTCGAGCCACCGGTCGTGTTGAATGGGGAACGGGGAATGGCTCTGGAGTCAATGCAGGGGAATCGGGCCTCATCTCGAGTTGATTTGGGGCACATGGAGCTGCTTTGCGTTGCTGGGGTGACCTCAGCGTCCGTCTAGAGTGGTGACAGTGTTCTTGGGGACTGTCTCGAGATCCATTAAGCAAGTCGAAGCTCCTGACTTGTTTGAGTGGGATCACGGAATAGCTCTGCACGCACTGCAGGGGAATGGGGCCTCATCTCGCCTCTAGGGGGAAGTCTCATGGTTTTTCTCGAGTTGCGGCGGGGACCTGGGGTATGTTCTCGACTTACGGCGGGGATGGCCCTTCAAAACACGAGTTTCTTCAGTGACGTCAGGACTCCTGTCTAGTAATGTGGGACACCTCAGGAATCTCTTCGAGGCTTGGCAGGGCAAAAGGGACGCTTCTCGAGGTGAGGCAGGGCACCCAAGGACCCTTTCCAGTAGCCACAGGGATTCTGGGATTCCTATCAGTATTCAAGAGGAGTCAGGCATCGTCACCTTTTGAAGCAATGAACTCCGCGTGCCTCTCGAGGTGTCAGCGGGATGTGAGGCATTCCGTCAAAATGAGGCAGGGACCTAGGGCTTTCTCTAAGGTCTCCACAGTGGATTCAGACATCCCTTCATGTTGTGAGATGAAAGACGAGCCTGTATTCAAGCCACTGCAAGGAAATCCGGCCTCCTTTCAAGTTAGGGCTTCTCGCTGTATATTCCCCTTGAGGCAGCAAACTCGGGGTCCCTCCCACATTCCTATTGCTGAGAGAAACCTTCTCCTGAGGTGCTTCTGTAAAGTTGGCATACGTCTTGAGCCTAAGCCAGGGAATCAGCTCTCATCTCGAGACGATTTGGGGGTACACGGAGCATTCCTCGAGTTGCTGTGCTGAAGTTGGTGTTCCTCCAAACTTGCGACAGTGTTCTCGGGGCATCTCTGGAGTTGCCTGAAGGAAGTCGAGCCACCGGTCGTGTTGAATGGGGAACGGGGAATGGCTCTGGAGTCAATGCAGGGGAATCGGGCCTCATCTCGAGTTGATTTGGGGCACATGGAGCTGCTTTGCGTTGCCGGGGTGACCTCAGGGTCCGTCTAGACTGGTGACAGTGTTCTTGGGGACTGTCTCGAGATCGATTAAGCAAGTGGAAGCTCCTGACTTGTTTGAATGGGATCACGGAATAGCTCTGCACGCACTGCAGGGGAATGGGGACTCATCTCGCCTCTAGGGGGAAGTCTCATGGTTTTTCTCGAGTTGCGGCGGGACCTGGGGTATGTTCTCGACTTACGGCGGGGATGGCCCTTCAAAACACGAGTTTCTTCAGTGACATCAGGACTCCTGTCTAGTAACGAGGGACACCTCAGGAATCTCTTCGAGGCTTTTCAGGGCAAAAGGGACGCTTCTTGAGGTGAGGCAGGGCACCCAAGGACCCTTTCCAGTAGCCACAGGGATTCTGGGATTCCTATCAGTATTCAAGAGGAGTCAGGCATCGTCACTTTTGAAGCAATGAACTCCGCGTGCCTCTCGAGGTGTCAGCGCGATGTGAGGCATTCCGTCAAAATGAGGCAGGGACCTAGGGCTTTCTCTAAGGTCTCCACAGGGGATTCAGACATCCCTTCATGTTGTGAGATGAAAGACGAGGCTGTATTCAAGCCACTGCAAGGAAATCCGGCCTCCTTTCAAGTTAGGTCTTCTCGCTGTATATTCCCCTTGATGCAGCAAACTCGGGGTCCCTCCCACATACCTATGGTTGAGAGAAGCCTCCCCGTGAGGTGCTTCTGGAAAGTTGGCATACGTCTTGAGCCTAAGCCAGGGAATCAGCTCTCATCTCGAGACGATTTGGGGTACACGGAGCATTCCTCGTGTTGCTGTGCTGAAGTTGGTGTTCTTCTAGACTTGGGACAGGGTTCTCGGGGCATCTCTGGAGTTGCCTGAAGGAAGTCGAGCCACCGGTCGTGTTGAATGGGGAACGGGGAATGGCTCTGGAGTCAATGCAGGGGAATCGGGCCTCATCTCGAGTTGATTTGGGGCACATGGAGCTGCTTTGCGTTGCTGGGGTGACCTCAGGGTCCGTCTAGACTGGTGACAGTGTTCTTGGGGACTGTCTCGAGATCCATTAAGCAAGTCGAAGCTCCTGACTAGTTTGAATGGGATCACGGAATAGCTCTGCACGCACTGCAGGGGAATGGGGCCTCATCTCGCCTCTAGGGGGAAGTCTCATGGTTTTTCTCGACTTGCGGCGGGGACCTGGGGTATGTTCTCGACTTACGGCGGGGATGGCCCTTCAAAACACGAGTTTCTTCAGTGACGTCAGGACTCCTGTCTAGTAATGTGGGACACCTCAGGAATCTCTTCGAGGCTTGGCAGGGCAAAAGGGACGCTTCTCGAGGTGAGGCAGGGCACCCAAGGACCCTTTCCAGTAGCCACAGGGATTCTGGGATTCCTATCAGTATTCAAGAGGAGTCAGGCATCGTCACTTTTGAAGCAATGAACTCCGCGTGCCTCTCGAGGTGTCAGCGCGATGTGAGGCATTCCGTCAAAATGAGGCAGGGACCTAGGGCTTTCTCTAAGGTCTCCACAGGGGATTCAGACATCCCTTCATGTTGTGAGATGAAAGACGAGGCTGTATTCAAGCCACTGCAAGGAAATCCGGCCTCCTTTCAAGTTAGGTCTTCTCGCTGTATATTCCCCTTGATGCAGCAAACTCGGGGTCCCTCCCACATACCTATGGTTGAGAGAAGCCTCCCCGTGAGGTGCTTCTGGAAAGTTGGCATACGTCTTGAGCTTAAGCCAGGGAATCAGCTCTCATCTCGAGACGATTTGGGGTACACGGAGCATTCCTCTTGTTGCTGTGCTGAAGTTGGTGTTCTTCTAGACTTGGGACAGGGTTCTCGGGGCATCTCTGGAGTTGCCTGAAGGAAGTCGAGCCACCGGTCGTGTTGAATGGGGAACGGGGAATGGCTCTGGAGTCCATGCAGGGGAATCGGGCCTCATCTCGAGTTGATTTGGGGCACATGGAGCTGCTTTGCGTTGCTGGGGTGACCTCAGCGTCCGTCTAGACTGGTGACAGTGTTCTTGGGGACTGTCTCGAGATCCATTAAGCAAGTCGAAGCTCCTGACTTGTTTGAATGGGATCACGGAATAGCTCTGCACGCACTGCAGGGGAATGGGGCCTCATCTCGCCTCTAGGGGGAAGTCTCATGGTTTTTCTCCAGTTGCGGTGCGGACCTGGGGTATGTTCTCGACTTACGGCGGGGATGGCCCTTCAAAACACGAGTTTCTTCAGTGACGTCAGGACTCCTGTCTAGTAATGAGGGACACCTCAGGAATCTCTTCGAGGCTTGGCAGGGCAAAAGGGACGCTTCTCGAGGTGAGGCAGGGCACCCAAGGACCCTTTCCAGTAGCCACAGGGATTCTGGGATTCCTATCAGTATTCAAGAGGAGTCAGGCATCGTCACCTTTTGAAGCAATGAACTCCGCGTGCCTCTCGAGGTGTCAGCGGGATGTGAGGCATTCCGTCAACATGAGGCAGGGGCCTAGGGCTTTCTTTAAGGTCTCCACAGGGGATTCAGACATCCCTTCATGTTGTGAGATGAAAGACGAGCCTGTATTCAAGCCACTGCAAGGAAATCCGGCCTCCTTTCAAGTTAGGGCTTCTCGCTGTATATTCCCCTTGAGGCAGCAAACTCGGGGTCCCTCCCACATACCTATTGCTGAGAGAAGCCTCCTCCTGAGGTCCTTCTGGAAAGTTGGCATACGTATTGAGCCTAAGCCAGGGAATCAGCTCTCATCTCGAGACGATTTGGGGTACACGGAGCATTCCTCGAGTTGCTGTGCTGAAGTTGGTGTTCCTCTAGACTTGGGACAGGGTTCTCGGGGCATCTCTGGAGTTGCGTGAAGGAAGTCGAGCCACCGGTCGTGTTGAATGGGGAACGGGGAATGGCTCTGGAGTCAATGCAGGGGAATCGGGCCTCATCTCGAGTTGATTTGGGGCACATGGAGCTGCTTTGCGTTGCTGGGGTGACCTCAGGGTCCGTCTAGACTGGTGACAGTGTTCTTGGGGACTGTCTCGAGATCCATTAAGCAAGTCGAAGCTCCTGACTAGTTTGAATGGGATCACGGAATAGCTCTGCACGCACTGCAGGGGAATGGGGCCTCATCTCGCCTCTAGGGGGAAGTCTCATGGTTTTTCTCGAGTTGCGGCGGGGACCTGGGGTATGTTCTCGACTTACGGCGGGGATGGCCCTTCAAAACACGAGTTTCTTCAGTGACGTCAGGACTCCTGTCTAGTAATGTGGGACACCTCAGGAATCTCTTCGAGGCTTGGCAGGGCAAAAGGGACGCTTCTCGAGGTGAGGCAGGGCACCCAAGGACCCTTTCCAGTAGCCACAGGGATTCTGGGATTCCTATCAGTATTCAAGAGGAGTCAGACATCGTCACCTTTTGAAGCAATGAACTCCGCGTGCCTCTCGAGGTGTCAGCGGGATGTGAGGCATTCCGTCAAAATGATTCAGGGACCTAGGGCTTTCTCTAAGGTCTCCACAGTGGATTCAGACATCCCTTCATGTTGTGAGATGAAAGACGAGCCTGTATTCAAGCCACTGCAAGGAAATCCGGCCTCCTTTCAAGTTAGGGCTTCTCGCTGTATATTCCCCTTGAGGCAGCAAACTCGGGGTCCCTCCCACATTCCTATTGCTGAGAGAAACCTTCTCCTGAGGTGCTTCTGGAAAGTTGGCATACGTCTTGAGCCTAAGCCAGGGAATCAGCTCTCATCTCGAGACGATTTGGGGGTACACGGAGCATTCCTCGAGTTGCTGTGCTGAAGTTGGTGTTCCTCTAGACTTGCGACAGTGTTCTCGGGGCATCTCTGGAGTTGCCTGAAGGAAGTCGAGCCACCGGTCGTGTTGAATGGGGAACGGGGAATGGCTCTGGAGTCAATGCAGGGGAATCGGGCCTCATCTCGAGTTGATTTGGGGCACATGGAGCTGCTTTGCGTTGCCGGGGTGACCTCAGGGTCCGTCTAGACTGGTGACAGTGTTCTTGGGGACTGTCTCGAGATCGATTAAGCAAGTGGAAGCTCCTGACTTGTTTGAATGGGATCACGGAATAGCTCTGCACGCACTGCAGGGGAATGGGGACTCATCTCGCCTCTAGGGGGAAGTCTCATGGTTTTTCTCGAGTTGCGGCGGGGACCTGGGGTATGTTCTCGACTTACGGCGGGGATGGCCCTTCAAAACACGAGTTTCTTCAGTGACATCAGGACTCCTGTCTAGTAACGAGGGACACCTCAGGAATCTCTTCGAGGCTTGGCAGGGCAAAAGGGACGCTTCTCGAGGTGAGGCAGGGCACCCAAGGACCCTTTCCAGTAGCCACAGGGATTCTGGGATTCCTATCAGTATTCAAGAGGAGTCAGGCATCGTCACTTTTGAAGCAATGAACTCCGCGTGCCTCTCGAGGTGTCAGCGCGATGTGAGGCATTCCGTCAAAATGAGGCAGGGACCTAGGGCTTTCTCTAAGGTCTCCACAGGGGATTCAGACATCCCTTCATGTTGTGAGATGAAAGACGAGGCTGTATTCAAGCCACTGCAAGGAAATCCGGCCTCCTTTCAATTTAGGTCTTCTCGCTGTATATTCCCCTTGATGCAGCAAACTCGGGGTCCCTCCCACATACCTATGGTTGAGAGAAGCCTCCCCGTGAGGTGCTTCTGGAAAGTTGGCATACGTCTTGAGCCTAAGCCAGGGAATCAGCTCTCATCTCGAGACGATTTGGGGTACACGGAGCATTCCTCGTGTTGCTGTGCTGAAGTTGGTGTTCTTCTAGACTTGGGACAGGGTTCTCGGGGCATCTCTGGAGTTGCCTGAAGGAAGTCGAGCCACCGGTCGTGTTGAATGGGGAACGGGGAATGGCTCTGGAGTCAATGCAGGGGAATCGGGCCTCATCTCGAGTTGATTTGGGGCACATGGAGCTGCTTTGCGTTGCTGGGGTGACCTCAGCGTCCGTCTAGACTGGTGACAGTGTTCTTGGGGACTGTCTCGAGATCCATTAAGCAAGTCGAAGCTCCTGACTTGTTTGAATGGGATCACGGAATAGCTCTGCACGCACTGCAGGGGAATGGGGCCTCATCTCGCCTCTAGGGGGAAGTCTCATGGTTTTTCTCCAGTTGCGGTGCGGACCTGGGGTATGTTCTCGACTTACGGCGGGGATGGCCCTTCAAAACACGAGTTTCTTCAGTGACGTCAGGACTCCTGTCTAGTAATGAGGGACACCTCAGGAATCTCTTCGAGGCTTGGCAGGGCAAAAGGGACGCTTCTCGAGGTGAGGCAGGGCACCCAAGGACCCTTTCCAGTAGCCACAGGGATTCTGGGATTCCTATCAGTATTCAAGAGGAGTCAGGCATCGTCACCTTTTGAAGCAATGAACTCCGCGTGCCTCTCGAGGTGTCAGCGGGATGTGAGGCATTCCGTCAAAATGAGGCAGGGGCCTAGGGCTTTCTTTAAGGTCTCCACAGGGGATTCAGACATCCCTTCATGTTGTGAGATGAAAGACGAGCCTGTATTCAAGCCACTGCAAGGAAATCCGGCCTCCTTTCAAGTTAGGGCTTCTCGCTCTATATTCCCCTTGAGGCAGCAAACTCGGGGTCCCTCCCACATACCTATTGCTGAGAGAAGCCTCCTCCTGAGGTCCTTCTGGAAAGTTGGCATACGTATTGAGCCTAAGCCAGGGAATCAGCTCTCATCTCGAGACGATTTGGGGTACACGGAGCATTCCTCGAGTTGCTGTGCTGAAGTTGGTGTTCCTCTAGACTTGGGACAGGGTTCTCGGGGTATCTCTGGAGTTGCGTGAAGGAAGTCGAGCCACCGGTCGTGTTGAATGGGGAACGGGGAATGGCTCTGGAGTCAATGCAGGGGAATCGGGCCTCATCTCGAGTTGATTTGGGGCACATGGAGCTGCTTTACGTTGCTGGGGTGACCTCAGCGTCCGTCTAGACTGGTGACAGTGTTCTTGGGGACTGTCTCGAGATCCATTAAGCAAGTCGAAGCTCCTGACTAGTTTGAATGGGATCACGGAATAGCTCTGCACGCACTGCAGGGGAATGGGGCCTCATCTCGCCTCTAGGGGGAAGTCTCATGGTTTTTCTCGAGTTGCGGCGGGGACCTGGGGTATGTTCTCGACTTACGGCGGGGATGGCCCTTCAAAACACGAGTTTCTTCAGTGACGTCAGGACTCCTGTCTAGTAATGTGGGACACCTCAGGAATCTCTTCGAGGCTTGGCAGGGCAAAAGGGACGCTTCTCGAGGTGAGGCAGGGCACCCAAGGACCCTTTCCAGTAGCCACAGGGATTCTGGGATTCCTATCAGTATTCAAGAGGAGTCAGGCATCGTCACCTTTTGAAGCAATGTACTCCGCGTGCCTCTCGAGGTGTCAGCGGGATGTGAGGCATTCCGTCAAAATGAGGCAGGGACCTAGGGCTTTCTCTAAGGTCTCCACAGTGGATTCAGACATCCCTTCATGTTGTGAGATGAAAGACGAGCCTGTATTCAAGCCACTGCAAGGAAATCCGGCCTCCTTTCAAGTTAGGGCTTCTCGCTGTATATTCCCCTTGAGGCAGCAAACTCGGGGTCCCTCCCACATTCCTATTGCTGAGAGAAACCTTCTCCTGAGGTGCTTCTGGAAAGTTGGCATACGTCTTGAGCCTAAGCCAGGGAATCAGCTCTCATCTCGAGACGATTTGGGGGTATACGGAGCATTCCTCGAGTTGCTGTGCTGAAGTTGGTGTTCCTCTAGACTTGCGACAGTGTTCTCGGGGCATCTCTGGAGTTGCCTGAAGGAAGTCGAGCCACCGGTCGTGTTGAATGGGGAACGGGGAATGGCTCTGGAGTCAATGCAGGGGAATCGGGCCTCATCTCGAGTTGATTTGGGGCACATGGAGCTGCTTTGCGTTGCCGGGGTGACCTCAGGGTCCGTCTAGACTGGTGACAGTGTTCTTGGGGACTGTCTCGAGAACGATTAAGCAAGTGGAAGCTCCTGACTTGTTTGAATGGGATCACGGAATAGCTCTGCACGCACTGCAGGGGAATGGGGACTCATCTCGCCTCTAGGGGGAAGTCTCATGGTTTTTCTCGAGTTGCGGCGGGACCTGGGGTATGTTCTCGACTTACTCCGGGGATGGCCCTTCAAAACACGAGTTTCTTCAGTGACATCAGGACTCCTGTCTAGTAACGAGGGACACCTCAGGAATCTCTTCGAGGCTTGGCAGGGCAAAAGGGACGCTTCTCGAGGTGAGGCAGGGCACCCAAGGACCCTTTCCAGTAGCCACAGGGATTCTGGGATTCCTATCAGTATTCAAGAGGAGTCAGGCATCGTCACTTTTGAAGCAATGAACTCCGCGTGCCTCTCGAGGTGTCAGCGCGATGTGAGGCATTCCGTCAAAATGAGGCAGGGACCTAGGGCTTTCTCTAAGGTCTCCACAGGGGATTCAGACATCCCTTCATGTTGTGAGATGAAAGACGAGGCTGTATTCAAGCCACTGCAAGGAAATCCGGCCTCCTTTCAAGTTAGGTCTTCTCGCTGTATATTCCCCTTGATGCAGCAAACTCGGGGTCCCTCCCACATACCTATGGTTGAGAGAAGCCTCCCCGTGAGGTGCTTCTGGAAAGTTGGCATACGTCTTGAGCCTAAGCCAGGGAATCAGCTCTCATCTCGAGACGATTTGGGGTACACGGAGCATTCCTCGTGTTGCTGTGCTGAAGTTGGTGTTCTTCTAGACTTGGGACAGGGTTCTCGGGGCATCTCTGGAGTTGCCTGAAGGAAGTCGAGCCACCGGTCGTGTTGAATGGGGAACGGGGAATGGCTCTGGATCAATGCAGGGGAATCGGGCCTCATCTCGAGTTGATTTGGGGCACATGGAGCTGCTTTGTGTTGCTGGGGTGACCTCAGGGTCCGTCTAGACTGGTGACAGTGTTCTTGGGGACTGTCTCGAGATCCATTAAGCAAGTGGAAGCTCCTGACTTGTTTGAATGGGATCACGGAATAGCTCTGCACGCACTGCAGGGGAATGGGGACTCATCTCGCCTCTAGGGGGAAGTCTCATGGTTTTTCTCGAGTTGCGGCGGGGACCTGGGGTATGTTCTCGACTTACGGCGGGGATGGCCCTTCAAAACACGAGTTTCTTCAGTGACATCAGGACTCCTGTCTAGTAACGAGGGACACCTCAGGAATCTCTTCGAGGCTTGGCAGGGCAAAAGGGACGCTTCTCGAGGTGAGGCAGGGCACCCAAGGACCCTTTCCAGTAGCCACAGGGATTCTGGGATTCCTATCAGTATTCAAGAGGAGTCAGGCATCGTCACTTTTGAAGCAATGAACTCCGCGTGCCTCTCGAGGTGTCAGCGCGATGTGAGGCATTCCGTCAAAATGAGGCAGGGACCTAGGGCTTTCTCTAAGGTCTCCACAGGGGATTCAGACATCCCTTCATGTTGTGAGATGAAAGACGAGGCTGTATTCAAGCCACTGCAAGGAAATCCGGCCTCCTTTCAAGTTAGGTCTTCTCGCTGTATATTCCCCTTGATGCAGCAAACTCGGGGTCCCTCCCACATACCTATGGTTGAGAGAAGCCTCCCCGTGAGGTGCTTCTGGAAAGTTGGCATACGTCTTGAGCCTAAGCCAGGGAATCAGCTCTCATCTCGAGACGATTTGGGGTACACGGAGCATTCCTCGTGTTGCTGTGCTGAAGTTGGTGTTCTTCTAGACTTGGGACAGGGTTCTCGGGGCATCTCTGGAGTTGCCTGAAGGAAGTCGAGCCACCGGTCGTGTTGAATGGGGAACGGGGAATGGCTCTGGAGTCAATGCAGGGGAATCGGGCCTCATCTCGAGTTGATTTGGGGCACATGGAGCTGCTTTGCGTTGCTGGGGTGACCTCAGCGTCCGTCTAGACTGGTGACAGTGTTCTTGGGGACTGTCTCGAGATCCATTAAGCAAGTCGAAGCTCCTGACTTGTTTGAATGGGATCACGGAATAGCTCTGCACGCACTGCAGGGGAATGGGGCCTCATCTCGCCTCTAGGGGGCAGTCTCATGGTTTTTCTCGAGTTGCGGCGGGGACCTGGGGTATGTTCTCGACTTACGGCGGGGATGGCCCTTCAAAACACGAGTTTCTTCAGTGACGTCAGGACTCCTGTCTAGTAATGTGGGACACCTCAGGAATCTCTTCGAGGCTTGGCAGGGCAAAAGGGACGCTTCTCGAGGTGAGGCAGGGCACCCAAGGACCCTTTCCAGTAGCCACAGGGATTCTGGGATTCCTATCAGTATTCAAGAGGAGTCAGGCATCGTCACCTTTTGAAGCAATGAACTCCGCGTGCCTCTCGAGGTGTCAGCGGGATGTGAGGCATTCCGTCAAAATGAGGCAGGGACCTAGGGCTTTCTCTAAGGTCTCCACAGTGGATTCAGACATCCCTTCATGTTGTGAGATGAAAGACGAGCCTGTATTCAAGCCACTGCAAGGAAATCCGGCCTCCTTTCAAGTTAGGGCTTCTCGCTGTATATTCCCCTTGAGGCAGCAAACTCGGGGTCCCTCCCACATTCCTATTGCTGAGAGAAACCTTCTCCTGAGGTGCTTCTGTAAAGTTGGCATACGTCTTGAGCCTAAGCCAGGGAATCAGCTCTCATCTCGAGACGATTTGGGGGTACACGGAGCATTCCTCGAGTTGCTGTGCTGAAGTTGGTGTTCCTCTAGACTTGCGACAGTGTTCTCGGGGCATGTCTGGAGTTGCCTGAAGGAAGTCGAGCCACCGGTCGTGTTGAATGGGGAACGGGGAATGGCTCTGGAGTCAATGCAGGGGAATCGGGCCTCATCTCGAGTTGATTTGGGGCACATGGAGCTGCTTTGCGTTGCCGGGGTGACCTCAGGGTCCGTCTAGACTGGTGACAGTGTTCTTGGGGACTGTCTCGAGATCGATTAAGCAAGTGGAAGCTCCTGACTTGTTTGAATGGGATCACGGAATAGCTCTGCACGCACTGCAGGGGAATGGGGACTCATCTCGCCTCTAGGGGGAAGTCTCATGGTTTTTCTCGAGTTGCGGCGGGGACCTGGGGTATGTTCTCGACTTACGGCGGGGATGGCCCTTCAAAACACGAGTTTCTTCAGTGACATCAGGACTCCTGTCTAGTAACGAGGGACACCTCAGGAATCTCTTCGAGGCTTGGCAGGGCAAAAGGGACGCTTCTCGAGGTGAGGCAGGGCACCCAAGGACCCTTTCCAGTAGCCACAGGGATTCTGGGATTCCTATCAGTATTCAAGAGGAGTCAGGCATCGTCACTTTTGAAGCAATGAACTCCGCGTGCCTCTCGAGGTGTCAGCGCGATGTGAGGCATTCCGTCAAAATGAGGCAGGGACCTAGGGCTTTCTCTAAGGTCTCCACAGGGGATTCAGACATCCCTTCATGTTGTGAGATGAAAGACGAGGCTGTATTCAAGCCACTGCAAGGAAATCCGGCCTCCTTTCAAGTTAGGTCTTCTCGCTGTATATTCCCCTTGATGCAGCAAACTCGGGGTCCCTCCCACATACCTATGGTTGAGAGAAGCCTCCCCGTGAGGTGCTTCTGGAAAGTTGGCATACGTCTTGAGCCTAAGCCAGGGAATCAGCTCTCATCTCGAGACGATTTGGGGTACACGGAGCATTCCTCGTGTTGCTGTGCTGAAGTTGGTGTTCTTCTAGACTTGGGACAGGGTTCTCGGGGCATCTCTGGAGTTGCCTGAAGGAAGTCGAGCCACCGGTCGTGTTGAATGGGGAACGGGGAATGGCTCTGGAGTCAATGCAGGGGAATCGGGCCTCATCTCGAGTTGATTTGGGGCACATGGAGCTGCTTTGCGTTGCTGGGGTGACCTCAGCGTCCGTCTAGACTGGTGACAGTGTTCTTGGGGACTGTCTCGAGATCCATTAAGCAAGTCGAAGCTCCTGACTTGTTTGAATGGGATCACGGAATAGCTCTGCACGCACTGCAGGGGAATGGGGCCTCATCTCGCCTCTAGGGGGAAGTCTCATGGTTTTTCTCCAGTTGCGGTGCGGACCTGGGGTATGTTCTCGACTTACGGCGGGGATGGCCCTTCAAAACACGAGTTTCTTCAGTGACGTCAGGACTCCTGTCTAGTAATGAGGGACACCTCAGGAATCTCTTCGAGGCTTGGCAGGGCAAAAGGGACGCTTCTCGAGGTGAGGCAGGGCACCCAAGGACCCTTTCCAGTAGCCACAGGGATTCTGGGATTCCTATCAGTATTCAAGAGGAGTCAGGCATCGTCACCTTTTGAAGCAATGAACTCCGCGTGCCTCTCGAGGTGTCAGCGGGATGTGAGGCATTCCGTCAAAATGAGGCAGGGGCCTAGGGCTTTCTTTAAGGTCTCCACAGGGGATTCAGACATCCCTTCATGTTGTGAGATGAAAGACGAGGCTGTATTCAAGCCACTGCAAGGAAATCCGGCCTCCTTTCAAGTTAGGTCTTCTCGCTGTATATTCCCCTTGATGCAGCAAACTCGGGGTCCCTCCCACATACCTATGGTTGAGAGAAGCCTCCCCGTGAGGTGCTTCTGGAAAGTTGGCATACGTCTTGAGCCTAAGCCAGGGAATCAGCTCTCATCTCGAGACGATTTGGGGTACACGGAGCATTCCTCGTGTTGCTGTGCTGAAGTTGGTGTTCCTCTAGACTTGGGACAGGGTTCTCGGGGCATCTCTGGAGTTGCGTGAAGGAAGTCGAGCCACCGGTCGTGTTGAATGGGGAACGGGGAATGGCTCTGGAGTCAATGCAGGGGAATCGGGCCTCATCTCGAGTTGATTTGGGGCACATGGAGCTGCTTTGCGTTGCTGGGGTGACCTCAGCGTCCGTCTAGACTGGTGACAGTGTTCTTGGGGACTGTCTCGAGATCCATTAAGCAAGTCGAAGCTCCTGACTAGTTTGAATGGGATCACGGAATAGCTCTGCACGCACTGCAGGGGAATGGGGCCTCATCTCGCCTCTAGGGGGAAGTCTCATGGTTTTTCTCGAGTTGCGGCGGGGACCTGGGGTATGTTCTCGACTTACGGCGGGGATGGCCCTTCAAAACACGAGTTTCTTCAGTGACGTCAGGACTCCTGTCTAGTAATGTGGGACACCTCAGGAATCTCTTCGAGGCTTGGCAGGGCAAAAGGGACGCTTCTCGAGGTGAGGCAGGGCACCCAAGGACCCTTTCCAGTAGCCACAGGGATTCTGGGATTCCTATCAGTATTCAAGAGGAGTCAGGCATCGTCACCTTTTGAAGCAATGAACTCCGCGTGCCTCTCGAGGTGTCAGCGGGATGTGAGGCATTCCGTCAAAATGAGGCAGGGACCTAGGGCTTTCTCTAAGGTCTCCACAGTGGATTCAGACATCCCTTCATGTTGTGAGATGAAAGACGAGCCTGTATTCAAGCCACTGCAAGGAAATCCGGCCTCCTTTCAAGTTAGGGCTTCTCGCTGTATATTCCCCTTGAGGCAGCAAACTCGGGGTCCCTCCCACATTCCTATTGCTGAGAGAAACCTTCTCCTGAGGTGCTTCTGTAAAGTTGGCATACGTCTTGAGCCTAAGCCAGGGAATCAGCTCTCATCTCGAGACGATTTGGGGGTACACGGAGCATTTCTCGAGTTGCTGTGCTGAAGTTGGTGTTCCTCTAGACTTGCGACAGTGTTCTCGGGGCATCTCTGGAGTTGCCTGAAGGAAGTCGAGCCACCGGTCGTGTTGAATGGGGAACGGGGAATGGCTCTGGAGTCAATGCAGGGGAATCGGGCCTCATCTCGAGTTGATTTGGGGCACATGGAGCTGCTTTGCGTTGCCGGGGTGACCTCAGGGTCCGTCTAGACTGGTGACAGTGTTCTTGGGGACTGTCTCGAGATCGATTAAGCAAGTGGAAGCTCCTGACTTGTTTGAATGGGATCACGGAATAGCTCTGCACGCACTGCAGGGGAATGGGGACTCATCTCGCCTCTAGGGGGAAGTCTCATGGTTTTTCTCGAGTTGCGGCGGGGACCTGGGGTATGTTCTCGACTTACGGCGGGGATGGCCCTTCAAAACACGAGTTTCTTCAGTGACATCAGGACTCCTGTCTAGTAACGAGGGACACCTCAGGAATCTCTTCGAGGCTTGGCAGGGCAAAAGGGACGCTTCTCGAGGTGAGGCAGGGCACCCAAGGACCCTTTCCAGTAGCCACAGGGATTCTGGGATTCCTATCAGTATTCAAGAGGAGTCAGGCATCGTCACTTTTGAAGCAATGAACTCCGCGTGCCTCTCGAGGTGTCAGCGCGATGTGAGGCATTCCGTCAAAATGAGGCAGGGACCTAGGGCTTTCTCTAAGGTCTCCACAGGGGATTCAGACATCCCTTCATGTTGTGAGATGAAAGACGAGGCTGTATTCAAGCCACTGCAAGGAAATCCGGCCTCCTTTCAAGTTAGGTCTTCTCGCTGTATATTCCCCTTGATGCAGCAAACTCGGGGTCCCTCCCACATACCTATGGTTGAGAGAAGCCTCCCCGTGAGGTGCTTCTGGAAAGTTGGCATACGTCTTGAGCCTAAGCCAGGGAATCAGCTCTCATCTCGAGACGATTTGGGGTACACGGAGCATTCCTCGTGTTGCTGTGCTGAAGTTGGTGTTCTTCTAGACTTGGGACAGGGTTCTCGGGGCATCTCTGGAGTTGCCTGAAGGAAGTCGAGCCACCGGTCGTGTTGAATGGGGAACGGGGAATGGCTCTGGAGTCAATGCAGGGGAATCGGGCCTCATCTCGAGTTGATTTGGGGCACATGGAGCTGCTTTGCGTTGCTGGGGTGACCTCAGCGTCCGTCTAGACTGGTGACAGTGTTCTTGGGGACTGTCTCGAGATCCATTAAGCAAGTCGAAGCTCCTGACTTGTTTGAATGGGATCACGGAATAGCTCTGCACGCACTGCAGGGGAATGGGGCCTCATCTCGCCTCTAGGGGGAAGTCTCATGGTTTTTCTCCAGTTGCGGTGCGGACCTGGGGTATGTTCTCGACTTACGGCGGGGATGGCCCTTCAAAACACGAGTTTCTTCAGTGACGTCAGGACTCCTGTCTAGTAATGAGGGACACCTCAGGAATCTCTTCGAGGCTTGGCAGGGCAAAAGGGACGCTTCTCGAGGTGAGGCAGGGCACCCAAGGACCCTTTCCAGTAGCCACAGGGATTCTGGGATTCCTATCAGTATTCAAGAGGAGTCAGGCATCGTCACCTTTTGAAGCAATGAACTCTGCGTGCCTCTCGAGGTGTCAGCGGGATGTGAGGCATTCCGTCAAAATGAGGCAGGGGCCTAGGGCTTTCTTTAAGGTCTCCACAGGGGATTCAGACATCCCTTCATGTTGTGAGATGAAAGACGAGCCTGTATTCAAGCCACTGCAAGGAAATCCGGCCTCCTTTCAAGTTAGGGCTTCTCGCTCTATATTCCCCTTGAGGCAGCAAACTCGGGGTCCATCCCACATACCTATTGCTGAGAGAAGCCTCCTCCTGAGGTCCTTCTGGAAAGTTGGCATACGTATTGAGCCTAAGCCAGGGAATCAGCTCTCATCTCGAGACGATTTGGGGTACACGGAGCATTCCTCGAGTTGCTGTGCTGAAGTTGGTGTTCCTCTAGACTTGGGACAGGGTTCTCGGGGCATCTCTGGAGTTGCGTGAAGGAAGTCGAGCCACCGGTCGTGTTGAATGGGGAACGGGGAATGGCTCTGGAGTCAATGCAGGGGAATCGGGCCTCATCTCGAGTTGATTTGGGGCACATGGAGCTGCTTTGCGTTGCTGGGGTGACCTCAGCGTCCGTCTAGACTGGTGACAGTGTTCTTGGGGACTGTCTCGAGATCCATTAAGCAAGTCGAAGCTCCTGACTAGTTTGAATGGGATCACGGAATAGCTCTGCACGCACTGCAGGGGAATGGGGCCTCATCTCGCCTCTAGGGGGAAGTCTCATGGTTTTTCTCGAGTTGCGGCGGGGACCTGGGTTATGTTCTCGACTTACGGCGGGGATGGCCCTTCAAAACACGAGTTTCTTCAGTGACGTCAGGACTCCTGTCTAGTAATGTGGGACACCTCAGGAATCTCTTCGAGGCTTGGCAGGGCAAAAGGGACGCTTCTCGAGGTGAGGCAGGGCACCCAAGGACCCTTTCCAGTAGCCACAGGGATTCTGGGATTCCTATCAGTATTCAAGAGGAGTCAGGCATCGTCACCTTTTGAAGCAATGAACTCCGCGTGCCTCTCGAGGTGTCAGCGGGATGTGAGGCATTCCGTCAAAATGAGGCAGGGACCTAGGGCTTTCTCTAAGGTCTCCACAGTGGATTCAGACATCCCTTCATGTTGTGAGATGAAAGACGAGCCTGTATTCAAGCCACTGCAAGGAAATCCGGCCTCCTTTCAAGTTAGGGCTTCTCGCTGTATATTCCCCTTGAGGCAGCAAACTCGGGGTCCCTCCCACATTCCTATTGCTGAGAGAAACCTTCTCCTGAGGTGCTTCTGTAAAGTTGGCATACGTCTTGAGCCTAAGCCAGGGAATCAGCTCTCATCTCGAGACGATTTGGGGGTACACGGAGCATTCCTCGAGTTGCTGTGCTGAAGTTGGTGTTCCTCTAGACTTGCGACAGTGTTCTCGGGGCATGTCTGGAGTTGCCTGAAGGAAGTCGAGCCACCGGTCGTGTTGAATGGGGAACGGGGAATGGCTCTGGAGTCAATGCAGGGGAATCGGGCCTCATCTCGAGTTGATTTGGGGCACATGGAGCTGCTTTGCGTTGCCGGGGTGACCTCAGGGTCCGTCTAGACTGGTGACAGTGTTCTTGGGGACTGTCTCGAGATCGATTAAGCAAGTGGAAGCTCCTGACTTGTTTGAATGGGATCACGGAATAGCTCTGCACGCACTGCAGGGGAATGGGGACTCATCTCGCCTCTAGGGGGAAGTCTCATGGTTTTTCTCGAGTTGCGGCGGGGACCTGGGGTATGTTCTCGACTTACGGCGGGGATGGCCCTTCAAAACACGAGTTTCTTCAGTGACATCAGGACTCCTGTCTAGTAACGAGGGACACCTCAGGAATCTCTTCGAGGCTTGGCAGGGCAAAAGGGACGCTTCTCGAGGTGAGGCAGGGCACCCAAGGACCCTTTCCAGTAGCCACAGGGATTCTGGGATTCCTATCAGTATTCAAGAGGAGTCAGGCATCGTCACTTTTGAAGCAATGAACTCCGCGTGCCTCTCGAGGTGTCAGCGCGATGTGAGGCATTCCGTCAAAATGAGGCAGGGACCTAGGGCTTTCTCTAAGGTCTCCACAGGGGATTCAGACATCCCTTCATGTTGTGAGATGAAAGACGAGGCTGTATTCAAGCCACTGCAAGGAAATCCGGCCTCCTTTCAAGTTAGGTCTTCTCGCTGTATATTCCCCTTGATGCAGCAAACTCGGGGTCCCTCCCACATACCTATGGTTGAGAGAAGCCTCCCCGTGAGGTGCTTCTGGAAAGTTGGCATACGTCTTGAGCCTAAGCCAGGGAATCAGCTCTCATCTCGAGACGATTTGGGGTACACGGAGCATTCCTCGTGTTGCTGTGCTGAAGTTGGTGTTCTTCTAGACTTGGGACAGGGTTCTCGGGGCATCTCTGGAGTTGCCTGAAGGAAGTCGAGCCACCGGTCGTGTTGAATGGGGAACGGGGAATGGCTCTGGAGTCAATGCAGGGGAATCGGGCCTCATCTCGAGTTGATTTGGGGCACATGGAGCTGCTTTGCGTTGCTGGGGTGACCTCAGCGTCCGTCTAGACTGGTGACAGTGTTCTTGGGGACTGTCTCGAGATCCATTAAGCAAGTCGAAGCTCCTGACTTGTTTGAATGGGATCACGGAATAGCTCTGCACGCACTGCAGGGGAATGGGGCCTCATCTCGCCTCTAGGGGGAAGTCTCATGGTTTTTCTCCAGTTGCGGTGCGGACCTGGGGTATGTTCTCGACTTACGGCGGTGATGGCCCTTCAAAACACGAGTTTCTTCAGTGACGTCAGGACTCCTGTCTAGTAATGAGGGACACCTCAGGAATCTCTTCGAGGCTTGGCAGGGCAAAAGGGACGCTTCTCGAGGTGAGGCAGGGCACCCAAGGACCCTTTCCAGTAGCCACAGGGATTCTGGGATTCCTATCAGTATTCAAGAGGAGTCAGGCATCGTCACCTTTTGAAGCAATGAACTCCGCGTGCCTCTCGAGGTGTCAGCGGGATGTGAGGCATTCCGTCAAAATGAGGCAGGGGCCTAGGGCTTTCTTTAAGGTCTCCACAGGGGATTCAGACATCCCTTCATGTTGTGAGATGAAAGACGAGCCTGTATTCAAGCCACTGCAAGGAAATCCGGCCTCCTTTCAAGTTAGGGCTTCTCGCTCTATATTCCCCTTGAGGCAGCAAACTCGGGGTCCCTCCCACATACCTATTGCTGAGAGAAGCCTCCTCCTGAGGTCCTTCTGGAAAGTTGGCATACGTATTGAGCCTAAGCCAGGGAATCAGCTCTCATCTCGAGACGATTTGGGGTACACGGAGCATTCCTCGAGTTGCTGTGCTGAAGTTGGTGTTCCTCTAGACTTGGGACAGGGTTCTCGGGGCATCTCTGGAGTTGCGTGAAGGAAGTCGAGCCACCGGTCGTGTTGAATGGGGAACGGGGAATGGCTCTGGAGTCAATGCAGGGGAATCGGGCCTCATCTCGAGTTGATTTGGGGCACATGGAGCTGCTTTGCGTTGCTGGGGTGACCTCAGGGTCCGTCTAGACTGGTGACAGTGTTCTTGGGGACTGTCTCGAGATCCATTAAGCAAGTCGAAGCTCCTGACTAGTTTGAATGGGATCACGGAATAGCTCTGCACGCACTGCAGGGGAATGGGGCCTCATCTCGCCTCTAGGGGGAAGTCTCATGGTTTTTCTCGAGTTGCGGCGGGGACCTGGGGTATGTTCTCGACTTACGGCGGGGATGGCCCTTCAAAACACGAGTTTCTTCAGTGACGTCAGGACTCCTGTCTAGTAATGTGGGACACCTCAGGAATCTCTTCGAGGCTTGGCAGGGCAAAAGGGACGCTTCTCGAGGTGAGGCAGGGCACCCAAGGACCCTTTCCAGTAGCCACAGGGATTCTGGGATTCCTATCAGTATTCAAGAGGAGTCAGGCATCGTCACCTTTTGAAGCAATGAACTCCGCGTGCCTCTCGAGGTGTCAGCGGGATGTGAGGCATTCCGTCAAAATGAGGCAGGGACCTAGGGCTTTCTCTAAGGTCTCCACAGTGGATTCAGACATCCCTTCATGTTGTGAGATGAAAGACGAGCCTGTATTCAAGCCACTGCAAGGAAATCCGGCCTCCTTTCAAGTTAGGGCTTCTCGCTGTATATTCCCCTTGAGGCAGCAAACTCGGGGTCCCTCCCACATTCCTATTGCTGAGAGAAACCTTCTCCTGAGGTGCTTCTGGAAAGTTGGCATACGTCTTGAGCCTAAGCCAGGGAATCAGCTCTCATCTCGAGACGATTTGGGGTACACGGAGCATTCCTCGTGTTGCTGTGCTGAAGTTGGTGTTCTTCTAGACTTGGGACAGGGTTCTCGGGGCATCTCTGGAGTTGCCTGAAGGAAGTCGAGCCACCGGTCGTGTTGAATGGGGAACGGGGAATGGCTCTGGAGTCAATGCAGGGGAATCGGGCCTCATCTCGAGTTGATTTGGGGCACATGGAGCTGCTTTGCGTTGCTGGGGTGACCTCAGCGTCCGTCTAGACTGGTGACAGTGTTCTTGGGGACTGTCTCGAGATCCATTAAGCAAGTCGAAGCTCCTGACTTGTTTGAATGGGATCACGGAATAGCTCTGCACGCACTGCAGGGGAATGGGGCCTCATCTCGCCTCTAGGGGGAAGTCTCATGGTTTTTCTCCAGTTGCGGTGCGGACCTGGGGTATGTTCTCGACTTACGGCGGTGATGGCCCTTCAAAACACGAGTTTCTTCAGTGACGTCAGGACTCCTGTCTAGTAATGAGGGACACCTCAGGAATCTCTTCGAGGCTTGGCAGGGCAAAAGGGACGCTTCTCGAGGTGAGGCAGGGCACCCAAGGACCCTTTCCAGTAGCCACAGGTATTCTGGGATTCCTATCAGTATTCAAGAGGAGTCAGGCATCGTCACCTTTTGAAGCAATGAACTCCGCGTGCCTCTCGAGGTGTCAGCGGGATGTGAGGCATTCCGTCAAAATGAGGCAGGGGCCTAGGGCTTTCTTTAAGGTCTCCACAGGGGATTCAGACATCCCTTCATGTTGTGAGATGAAAGACGAGCCTGTATTCAAGCCACTGCAAGGAAATCCGGCCTCCTTTCAAGTTAGGGCTTCTCGCTCTATATTCCCCTTGAGGCAGCAAACTCGGGGTCCCTCCCACATACCTATTGCTGAGAGAAGCCTCCTCCTGAGGTCCTTCTGGAAAGTTGGCATACGTATTGAGCCTAAGCCAGGGAATCAGCTCTCATCTCGAGACGATTTGGGGTACACGGAGCATTCCTCGAGTTGCTGTGCTGAAGTTGGTGTTCCTCTAGACTTGGGACAGGGTTCTCGGGGCATCTCTGGAGTTGCGTGAAGGAAGTCGAGCCACCGGTCGTGTTGAATGGGGAACGGGGAATGGCTCTGGAGTCAATGCAGGGGAATCGGGCCTCATCTCGAGTTGATTTGGGGCACATGGAGCTGCTTTGCGTTGCTGGGGTGACCTCAGGGTCCGTCTAGACTGGTGACAGTGTTCTTGGGGACTGTCTCGAGATCCATTAAGCAAGTCGAAGCTCCTGACTAGTTTGAATGGGATCACGGAATAGCTCTGCACGCACTGCAGGGGAATGGGGCCTCATCTCGCCTCTAGGGGGAAGTCTCATGGTTTTTCTCGAGTTGCGGCGGGGACCTGGGGTATGTTCTCGACTTACGGCGGGGATGGCCCTTCAAAACACGAGTTTCTTCAGTGACGTCAGGACTCCTGTCTAGTAATGTGGGACACCTCAGGAATCTCTTCGAGGCTTGGCAGGGCAAAAGGGACGCTTCTCGAGGTGAGGCAGGGCACCCAAGGACCCTTTCCAGTAGCCACAGGGATTCTGGGATTCCTATCAGTATTCAAGAGGAGTCAGGCATCGTCACCTTTTGAAGCAATGAACTCCGCGTGCCTCTCGAGGTGTCAGCGGGATGTGAGGCATTCCGTCAAAATGAGGCAGGGACCTAGGGCTTTCTCTAAGGTCTCCACAGTGGATTCAGACATCCCTTCATGTTGTGAGATGAAAGACGAGCCTGTATTCAAGCCACTGCAAGGAAATCCGGCCTCCTTTCAAGTTAGGGCTTCTCGCTGTATATTCCCCTTGAGGCAGCAAACTCGGGGTCCCTCCCACATTCCTATTGCTGAGAGAAACCTTCTCCTGAGGTGCTTCTGGAAAGTTGGCATACGTCTTGAGCCTAAGCCAGGGAATCAGCTCTCATCTCGAGACGATTTGGGGGTACACGGAGCATTCCTCGAGTTGCTGTGCTGAAGTTGGTGTTCCTCTAGACTTGCGACAGTGTTCTCGGGGCATCTCTGGAGTTGCCTGAAGGAAGTCGAGCCACCGGTCGTGTTGAATGGGGAACGGGGAATGGCTCTGGAGTCAATGCAGGGGAATCGGGCCTCATCTCGAGTTGATTTGGGGCACATGGAGCTGCTTTGCGTTGCCGGGGTGACCTCAGGGTCCGTCTAGACTGGTGACAGTGTTCTTGGGGACTGTCTCGAGAACGATTAAGCAAGTGGAAGCTCCTGACTTGTTTGAATGGGATCACGGAATAGCTCTGCACGCACTGCAGGGGAATGGGGACTCATCTCGCCTCTAGGGGGAAGTCTCATGGTTTTTCTCGAGTTGCGGCGGGACCTGGGGTATGTTCTCGACTTACGGCGGGGATGGCCCTTCAAAACACGAGTTTCTTCAGTGACATCAGGACTCCTGTCTAGTAACGAGGGACACCTCAGGAATCTCTTCGAGGCTTGGCAGGGCAAAAGGGACGCTTCTCGAGGTGAGGCAGGGCACCCAAGGACCCTTTCCAGTAGCCACAGGGATTCTGGGATTCCTATCAGTATTCAAGAGGAGTCAGGCATCGTCACTTTTGAAGCAATGAACTCCGCGTGCCTCTCGAGGTGTCAGCGCGATGTGAGGCATTCCGTCAAAATGAGGCAGGGACCTAGGGCTTTCTCTAAGGTCTCCACAGGGGATTCAGACATCCCTTCATGTTGTGAGATGAAAGACGAGGCTGTATTCAAGCCACTGCAAGGAAATCCGGCCTCCTTTCAAGTTAGGTCTTCTCGCTGTATATTCCCCTTGATGCAGCAAACTCGGGGTCCCTCCCACATACCTATGGTTGAGAGAAGCCTCCCCGTGAGGTGCTTCTGGAAAGTTGGCATACGTCTTGAGCCTAAGCCAGGGAATCAGCTCTCATCTCGAGACGATTTGGGGTACACGGAGCATTCCTCGTGTTGCTGTGCTGAAGTTGGTGTTCTTCTAGACTTGGGACAGGGTTCTCGGGGCATCTCTGGAGTTGCCTGAAGGAAGTCGAGCCACCGGTCGTGTTGAATGGGGAACGGGGAATGGCTCTGGAGTCAATGCAGGGGAATCGGGCCTCATCTCGAGTTGATTTGGGGCACATGGAGCTGCTTTGCGTTGCTGGGGTGACCTCAGCGTCCGTCTAGACTGGTGACAGTGTTCTTGGGGACTGTCTCGAGATCCATTAAGCAAGTCGAAGCTCCTGACTTGTTTGAATGGGATCACGGAATAGCTCTGCACGCACTGCAGGGGAATGGGGCCTCATCTCGCCTCTAGGGGGAAGTCTCATGGTTTTTCTCGAGTTGCGGCGGGGACCTGGGGTATGTTCTCGACTTACGGCGGGGATGGCCCTTCAAAACACGAGTTTCTTCAGTGACGTCAGGACTCCTGTCTAGTAATGTGGGACACCTCAGGAATCTCTTCGAGGCTTGGCAGGGCAAAAGGGACGCTTCTCGAGGTGAGGCAGGGCACCCAAGGACCCTTTCCAGTAGCCACAGGGATTCTGGGATTCCTATCAGTATTCAAGAGGAGTCAGGCATCGTCACCTTTTGAAGCAATGAACTCCGCGTGCCTCTCGAGGTGTCAGCGGGATGTGAGGCATTCCGTCAAAATGAGGCAGGGACCTAGGGCTTTCTCTAAGGTCTCCACAGTGGATTCAGACATCCCTTCATGTTGTGAGATGAAAGACGAGCCTGTATTCAAGCCACTGCAAGGAAATCCGGCCTCCTTTCAAGTTAGGGCTTCTCGCTGTATATTCCCCTTGAGGCAGCAAACTCGGGGTCCCTCCCACATTCCTATTGCTGAGAGAAACCTTCTCCTGAGGTGCTTCTGTAAAGTTGGCATACGTCTTGAGCCTAAGCCAGGGAATCAGCTCTCATCTCGAGACGATTTGGGGGTACACGGAGCATTCCTCGAGTTGCTGTGCTGAAGTTGGTGTTCCTCTAGACTTGCGACAGTGTTCTCGGGGCATCTCTGGAGTTGCCTGAAGGAAGTCGAGCCACCGGTCGTGTTGAATGGGGAACGGGGAATGGCTCTGGAGTCAATGCAGGGGAATCGGGCCTCATCTCGAGTTGATTTGGGGCACATGGAGCTGCTTTGCGTTGCCGGGGTGACCTCAGGGTCCGTCTAGACTGGTGACAGTGTTCTTGGGGACTGTCTCGAGATCGATTAAGCAAGTGGAAGCTCCTGACTTGTTTGAATGGGATCACGGAATAGCTCTGCACGCACTGCAGGGGAATGGGGACTCATCTCGCCTCTAGGGGGAAGTCTCATGGTTTTTCTCGAGTTGCGGCGGGGACCTGGGGTATGTTCTCGACTTACGGCGGGGATGGCCCTTCAAAACACGAGTTTCTTCAGTGACATCAGGACTCCTGTCTAGTAACGAGGGACACCTCAGGAATCTCTTCGAGGCTTGGCAGGGCAAAAGGGACGCTTCTCGAGGTGAGGCAGGGCACCCAAGGACCCTTTCCAGTAGCCACAGGGATTCTGGGATTCCTATCAGTATTCAAGAGGAGTCAGGCATCGTCACTTTTGAAGCAATGAACTCCGCGTGCCTCTCGAGGTGTCAGCGCGATGTGAGGCATTCCATCAAAATGAGGCAGGGACCTAGGGCTTTCTCTAAGGTCTCCACAGGGGATTCAGACATCCCTTCATGTTGTGAGATGAAAGACGAGGCTGTATTCAAGCCACTGCAAGGAAATCCGGCCTCCTTTCAAGTTAGGTCTTCTCGCTGTATATTCCCCTTGATGCAGCAAACTCGGGGTCCCTCCCACATACCTATGGTTGAGAGAAGCCTCCCCGTGAGGTGCTTCTGGAAAGTTGGCATACGTCTTGAGCCTAAGCCAGGGAATCAGCTCTCATCTCGAGACGATTTGGGCTACTCGGAGCATTCCTCGTGTTGCTGTGCTGAAGTTGGTGTTCTTCTAGACTTGGGACAGGGTTCTCGGGGCATCTCTGGAGTTGCCTGAAGGAAGTCGAGCCACCGGTCGTGTTGAATGGGGAACGGGGAATGGCTCTGGAGTCAATGCAGGGGAATCGGGCCTCATCTCGAGTTGATTTGGGACACATGGAGCTGCTTTGCGTTGCTGGGGTGACCTCAGCGTCCGTCTAGACTGGTGACAGTGTTCTTGGGGACTGTCTCGAGATCCATTAAGCAAGTCGAAGCTCCTGACTTGTTTGAATGGGATCACGGAATAGCTCTGCACGCACTGCAGGGGAATGGGGCCTCATCTCGCCTCTAGGGGGAAGTCTCATGGTTTTTCTCCAGTTGCGGTGCGGACCTGGGGTATGTTCTCGACTTACGGCGGGGATGGCCCTTCAAAACACGAGTTTCTTCAGTGACGTCAGGACTCCTGTCTAGTAATGAGGGACACCTCAGGAATCTCTTCGAGGCTTGGCAGGGCAAAAGGGACGCTTCTCGAGGTGAGGCAGGGCACCCAAGGACCCTTTCCAGTAGCCACAGGGATTCTGGGATTCCTATCAGTATTCAAGAGGAGTCAGGCATCGTCACCTTTTGAAGCAATGAACTCCGCGTGCCTCTCGAGGTGTCAGCGGGATGTGAGGCATTCCGTCAAAATGAGGCAGGGGCCTAGGGCTTTCTTTAAGGTCTCCACAGGGGATTCAGACATCCCTTCATGTTGTGAGATGAAAGACGAGCCTGTATTCAAGCCACTGCAAGGAAATCCGGCCTCCTTTCAAGTTAGGGCTTCTCGCTCTATATTCCCCTTGAGGCAGCAAACTCGGGGTCCCTCCCACATACCTATTGCTGAGAGAAGCCTCCTCCTGAGGTCCTTCTGGAAAGTTGGCATACGTATTGAGCCTAAGCCAGGGAATCAGCTCTCATCTCGAGACGATTTGGGGTACACGGAGCATTCCTCGAGTTGCTGTGCTGAAGTTGGTGTTCCTCTAGACTTGGGACAGGGTTCTCGGGGCATCTCTGGAGTTGCGTGAAGGAAGTCGAGCCACCGGTCATGTTGAATGGGGAACGGGGAATGGCTCTGGAGTCAATGCAGGGGAATCGGGCCTCATCTCGAGTTGATTTGGGGCACATGGAGCTGCTTTGCGTTGCTGGGTTGACCTCAGGGTCCGTCTAGACTGGTGACAGTGTTCTTGGGGACTGTCTCGAGATCCATTAAGCAAGTCGAAGCTCCTGACTAGTTTGAATGGGATCACGGAATAGCTCTGCACGCACTGCAGGGGAATGGGGCCTCATCTCGCCTCTAGGGGGAAGTCTCATGGTTTTTCTCGAGTTGCGGCGGGGACCTGGGGTATGTTCTCGACTTACGGCGGGGATGGCCCTTCAAAACACGAGTTTCTTCAGTGACGTCAGGACTCCTGTCTAGTAATGTGGGACACCTCAGGAATCTCTTCGAGGCTTGGCAGGGCAAAAGGGACGCTTCTCGAGGTGAGGCAGGGCACCCAAGGACCCTTTCCAGTAGCCACAGGGATTCTGGGATTCCTATCAGTATTCAAGAGGAGTCAGGCATCGTCACCTTTTGAAGCAATGAACTCCGCGTGCCTCTCGAGGTGTCAGCGGGATGTGAGGCATTCCGTCAAAATGAGGCAGGGACCTAGGGCTTTCTCTAAGGTCTCCACAGTGGATTCAGACATCCCTTCATGTTGTGAGATGAAAGACGAGCCTGTATTCAAGCCACTGCAAGGAAATCCGGCCTCCTTTCAAGTTAGGGCTTCTCGCTGTATATTCCCCTTGAGGCAGCAAACTCGGGGTCCCTCCCACATTCCTATTGCTGAGAGAAACCTTCTCCTGAGGTGCTTCTGTAAAGTTGGCATACGTCTTGAGCCTAAGCCAGGGAATCAGCTCTCATCTCGAGACGATTTGGGGGTACACGGAGCATTCCTCGAGTTGCTGTGCTGAAGTTGGTGTTCCTCTAGACTTGCGAAAGTGTTCTCGGGGCATCTCTGGAGTTGCCTGAAGGAAGTCGAGCCACCGGTCGTGTTGAATGGGGAACGGGGAATGGCTCTGGAGTCAATGCAGGGGAATCGGGCCTCATCTCGAGTTGATTTGGGGCACATGGAGCTGCTTTGCGTTGCCGGGGTGACCTCAGGGTCCGTCTAGACTGGTGACAGTGTTCTTGGGGACTGTCTCGAGAACGATTAAGCAAGTGGAAGCTCCTGACTTGTTTGAATGGGATCACGGAATAGCTCTGCACGCACTGCAGGGGAATGGGGACTCATCTCGCCTCTAGGGGGAAGTCTCATGGTTTTTCTCGAGTTGCGGCGGGACCTGGGGTATGTTCTCGACTTACGGCGGGGATGGCCCTTCAAAACACGAGTTTCTTCAGTGACATCAGGACTCCTGTCTAGTAACGAGGGACACCTCAGGAATCTCTTCGAGGCTTGGCAGGGCAAAAGGGACGCTTCTCGAGGTGAGGCAGGGCACCCAAGGACCCTTTCCAGTAGCCACAGGGATTCTGGGATTCCTATCAGTATTCAAGAGGAGTCAGGCATCGTCACTTTTGAAGCAATGAACTCCGCGTGCCTCTCGAGGTGTCAGCGCGATGTGAGGCATTCCGTCAAAATGAGGCAGGGACCTAGGGCTTTCTCTAAGGTCTCCACAGGGGATTGAGACATCCCTTCATGTTGTGAGATGAAAGACGAGGCTGTATTCAAGCCACTGCAAGGAAATCCGGCCTCCTTTCAAGTTAGGTCTTCTCGCTGTATATTCCCCTTGATGCAGCAAACTCGGGGTCCCTCCCACATACCTATGGTTGAGAGAAGCCTCCCCGTGAGGTGCTTCTGGAAAGTTGGCATACGTCTTGAGCCTAAGCCAGGGAATCAGCTCTCATCTCGAGACGATTTGGGGTACACGGAGCATTCCTCGTGTTGCTGTGCTGAAGTTGGTGTTCTTCTAGACTTGGGACAGGGTTCTCGGGGCATCTCTGGAGTTGCCTGAAGGAAGTCGAGCCACCGGTCGTGTTGAATGGGGAACGGGGAATGGCTCTGGAGTCAATGCAGGGGAATCGGGCCTCATCTCGAGTTGATTTGGGGCACATGGAGCTGCTTTGTGTTGCTGGGGTGACCTCAGGGTCCGTCTAGACTGGTGACAGTGTTCTTGGGGACTGTCTCGAGATCCATTAAGCAAGTGGAAGCTCCTGACTTGTTTGAATGGGATCACGGAATAGCTCTGCACGCACTGCAGGGGAATGGGGACTCATCTCGCCTCTAGGGGGAAGTCTCATGGTTTTTCTCGAGTTGCGGCGGGGACCTGGGGTATGTTCTCGACTTACGGCGGGGATGGCCCTTCAAAACACGAGTTTCTTCAGTGACATCAGGACTCCTGTCTAGTAACGAGGGACACCTCAGGAATCTCTTCGAGGCTTTGCAGGGCAAAAGGGACGCTTCTCGAGGTGAGGCAGGGCACCCAAGGACCCTTTCCAGTAGCCACAGGGATTCTGGGATTCCTATCAGTATTCAAGAGGAGTCAGGCATCGTCACTTTTGAAGCAATGAACTCCGCGTGCCTCTCGAGGTGTCAGCGCGATGTGAGGCATTCCGTCAAAATGAGGCAGGGACCTAGGGCTTTCTCTAAGGTCTCCACAGGGGATTCAGACATCCCTTCATGTTGTGAGATGAAAGACGAGGCTGTATTCAAGCCACTGCAAGGAAATCCGGCCTCCTTTCAAGTTAGGTCTTCTCGCTGTATATTCCCCTTGATGCAGCAAACTCGGGGTCCCTCCCACATACCTATGGTTGAGAGAAGCCTCCCCGTGAGGTGCTTCTGGAAAGTTGGCATATGTCTTGAGCCTAAGCCAGGGAATCAGCTCTCATCTCGAGACGATTTGGGGTACACGGAGCATTCCTCGTGTTGCTGTGCTGAAGTTGGTGTTCTTCTAGACTTGGGACAGGGTTCTCGGGGCATCTCTGGAGTTGCCTGAAGGAAGTCGAGCCACCGGTCGTGTTGAATGGGGAACGGGGAATGGCTCTGGAGTCAATGCAGGGGAATCGGGCCTCATCTCGAGTTGATTTGGGGCACATGGAGCTGCTTTGCGTTGCTGGGGTGACCTCAGCGTCCGTCTAGACTGGTGACAGTGTTCTTGGGGACTGTCTCGAGATCCATTAAGCAAGTCGAAGCTCCTGACTTGTTTGAATGGGATCACGGAATAGCTCTGCACGCACTGCAGGGGAATGGGGCCTCATCTCGCCTCTAGGGGGAAGTCTCATGGTTTTTCTCCAGTTGCGGTGCGGACCTGGGGTATGTTCTCGACTTACGGCGGGGATGGCCCTTCAAAACACGAGTTTCTTCAGTGACGTCAGGACTCCTGTCTAGTAATGAGGGACACCTCAGGAATCTCTTCGAGGCTTGGCAGGGCAAAAGGGACGCTTCTCGAGGTGAGGCAGGGCACCCAAGGACCCTTTCCAGTAGCCACAGGGATTCTGGGATTCCTATCAGTATTCAAGAGGAGTCAGGCATCGTCACCTTTTGAAGCAATGAACTCCACGTGCCTCTCGAGGTGTCAGCGGGATGTGAGGCATTCCGTCAAAATGAGGCAGGGGCCTAGGGCTTTCTTTAAGGTCTCCACAGGGGATTCAGACATCCCTTCATGTTGTGAGATGAAAGACGAGCCTGTATTCAAGCCACTGCAAGGAAATCCGGCCTCCTATCAAGTTAGGGCTTCTCGCTCTATATTCCCCTTGAGGCAGCAAACTCGGGGTCCCTCCCACATACCTATTGCTGAGAGAAGCCTCCTCCTGAGGTCCTTCTGGAAAGTTGGCATACGTATTGAGCCTAAGCCAGGGAATCAGCTCTCATCTCGAGACGATTTGGGGTACACGGAGCATTCCTCGAGTTGCTGTGCTGAAGTTGGTGTTCCTCTAGACTTGGGACAGGGTTCTCGGGGCATCTCTGGAGTTGCGTGAAGGAAGTCGAGCCACCGGTCGTGTTGAATGGGGAACGGGGAATGGCTCTGGAGTCAATGCAGGGGAATCGGGCCTCATCTCGAGTTGATTTGGGGCACATGGAGCTGCTTTGCGTTGCTGGGGTGACCTCAGGGTCCGTCTAGACTGGTGACAGTGTTCTTGGGGACTGTCTCGAGATCCATTAAGCAAGTCGAAGCTCCTGACTAGTTTGAATGGGATCACGGAATAGCTCTGCACGCACTGCAGGGGAATGGGGCCTCATCTCGCCTCTAGGGGGAAGTCTCATGGTTTTTCTCGAGTTGCGGCGGGGACCTGGGGTATGTTCTCGACTTACGGCGGGGATGGCCCTTCAAAACACGAGTTTCTTCAGTGACGTCAGGACTCCTGTCTAGTAATGTGGGACACCTCAGGAATCTCTTCGAGGCTTGGCAGGGCAAAAGGGACGCTTCTCGAGGTGAGGCAGGGCACCCAAGGACCCTTTCCAGTAGCCACAGGGATTCTGGGATTCCTATCAGTATTCAAGAGGAGTCAGGCATCGTCACCTTTTGAAGCAATGAACTCCGCGTGCCTCTCGAGGTGTCAGCGGGATGTGAGGCATTCCGTCAAAATGAGGCAGGGACCTAGGGCTTTCTCTAAGGTCTCCACAGTGGATTCAGACATCCCTTCATGTTGTGAGATGAAAGACGAGCCTGTATTCAAGCCACTGCAAGGAAATCCGGCCTCCTTTCAAGTTAGGGCTTCTCGCTGTATATTCCCCTTGAGGCAGCAAACTCGGGGTCCCTCCCACATTCCTATTGCTGAGAGAAACCTTCTCCTGAGGTGCTTCTGTAAAGTTGGCATACGTCTTGAGCCTAAGCCAGGGAATCAGCTCTCATCTCGAGACGATTTGGGGGTACACGGAGCATTCCTCGAGTTGCTGTGCTGAAGTTGGTGTTCCTCTAGACTTGCGACAGTGTTCTCGGGGCATCTCTGGAGTTGCCTGAAGGAAGTCGAGCCACCGGTCGTGTTGAATGGGGAACGGGGAATGGCTCTGGAGTCAATGCAGGGGAATCGGGCCTCATCTCGAGTTGATTTGGGGCACATGGAGCTGCTTTGCGTTGCCGGGGTGACCTCAGGGTCCGTCTAGACTGGTGACAGTGTTCTTGGGGACTGTCTCGAGATCGATTAAGCAAGTGGAAGCTCCTGACTTGTTTGAATGGGATCACGGAATAGCTCTGCACGCACTGCAGGGGAATGGGGACTCATCTCGCCTCTAGGGGGAAGTCTCATGGTTTTTCTCGAGTTGCGGCGAGGACCTGGGGTATGTTCTCGACTTACGGCGGGGATGGCCCTTCAAAACACGAGTTTCTTCAGTGACATCAGGACTCCTGTCTAGTAACGAGGGACACCTCAGGAATCTCTTCGAGGCTTGGCAGGGCAAAAGGGACGCTTCTCGAGGTGAGGCAGGGCACCCAAGGACCCTTTCCAGTAGCCACAGGGATTCTGGGATTCCTATCAGTATTCAAGAGGAGTCAGGCATCGTCACTTTTGAAGCAATGAACTCCGCGTGCCTCTCGAGGTGTCAGCGGGATGTGAGGCATTCCGTCAAAATGAGGCAGGGACCTAGGGCTTTCTCTAAGGTCTCCACAGGGGATTCAGACATCCCTTCATGTTGTGAGATGAAAGACGAGGCTGTATTCAAGCCACTGCAAGGAAATCCGGCCTCCTTTCAAGTTAGGTCTTCTCGCTGTATATTCCCCTTGATGCAGCAAACTCGGGGTCCCTCCCACATACCTATGGTTGAGAGAAGCCTCCCCGTGAGGTGCTTCTGGAAAGTTGGCATACGTCTTGAGCCTAAGCCAGGGAATCAGCTCTCATCTCGAGACGATTTGGGGTACACGGAGCATTCCTCGTGTTGCTGTGCTGAAGTTGGTGTTCTTCTAGACTTGGGACAGGGTTCTCGGGGCATCTCTGGAGTTGCCTGAAGGAAGTCGAGCCACCGGTCGTGTTGAATGGGGAACGGGGAATGGCTCTGGAGTCAATGCAGGGGAATCGGGCCTCATCTCGAGTTGATTTGGGGCACATGGAGCTGCTTTGCGTTGCTGGGGTGACCTCAGCGTCCGTCTAGACTGGTGACAGTGTTCTTGGGGACTGTCTCGAGATCCATTAAGCAAGTCGAAGCTCCTGACTTGTTTGAATGGGATCACGGAATAGCTCTGCACGCACTGCAGGGGAATGGGGCCTCATCTCGCCTCTAGGGGGAAGTCTCATGGTTTTTCTCCAGTTGCGGTGCGGACCTGGGGTATGTTCTCGACTTACGGCGGGGATGGCCCTTCAAAACACGAGTTTCTTCAGTGACGTCAGGACTCCTGTCTAGTAATGAGGGACACCTCAGGAATCTCTTCGAGGCTTGGCAGGGCAAAAGGGACGCTTCTCGAGGTGAGGCAGGGCACCCAAGGACCCTTTCCAGTAGCCACAGGGATTCTGGGATTCCTATCAGTATTCAAGAGGAGTCAGGCATCGTCACCTTTTGAAGCAATGAACTCCGCGTGCCTCTCGAGGTGTCAGCGGGATGTGAGGCATTCCGTCAAAATGAGGCAGGGGCCTAGGGCTTTCTTTAAGGTCTCCACAGGGGATTCAGACATCCCTTCATGTTGTGAGATGAAAGACGAGCCTGTATTCAAGCCACTGCAAGGAAATCCGGCCTCCTTTCAAGTTAGGGCTTCTCGCTCTATATTCCCCTTGAGGCAGCAAACTCGGGGTCCATCCCACATACCTATTGCTGAGAGAAGCCTCCTCCTGAGGTCCTTCTGGAAAGTTGGCATACGTATTGAGCCTAAGCCAGGGAATCAGCTCTCATCTCGAGACGATTTGGGGTACACGGAGCATTCCTCGAGTTGCTGTGCTGAAGTTGGTGTTCCTCTAGACTTGGGACAGGGTTCTCGGGGCATCTCTGGAGTTGCGTGAAGGAAGTCGAGCCACCGGTCGTGTTGAATGGGGATCGGGGAATGGCTCTGGAGTCAATGCAGGGGAATCGGGCCTCATCTCGAGTTGATTTGGGGCACATGGAGCTGCTTTGCGTTGCTGGGGTGACCTCAGGGTCCGTCTAGACTGGTGACAGTGTTCTTGGGGACTGTCTCGAGATCCATTAAGCAAGTCGAAGCTCCTGACTAGTTTGAATGGGATCACGGAATAGCTCTGCACGCACTGCAGGGGAATGGGGCCTCATCTCGCCTCTAGGGGGAAGTCTCATGGTTTTTCTCGAGTTGCGGCGGGGACCTGGGGTATGTTCTCGACTTACGGCGGGGATGGCCCTTCAAAACACGAGTTTCTTCAGTGACGTCAGGACTCCTGTCTAGTAACGAGGGACACCTCAGGAATCTCTTCGAGGCTTGGCAGGGCAAAAGGGACGCTTCTCGAGGTGAGGCAGGGCACCCAAGGACCCTTTCCAGTAGCCACAGGGATTCTGGGATTCCTATCAGTATTCAAGAGGAGTCAGGCATCGTCACTTTTGAAGCAATGAACTCCGCGTGCCTCTCGAGGTGTCAGCGCGATGTGAGGCATTCCGTCAAAATGAGGCAGGGACCTAGGGCTTTCTCTAAGGTCTCCACAGGGGATTCAGACATCCCTTCATGTTGTGAGATGAAAGACGAGGCTGTATTCAAGCCACTGCAAGGAAATCCGGCCTCCTTTCAAGTTAGGTCTTCTCGCTGTATATTCCCCTTGATGCAGCAAACTCGGGGTCCCTCCCACATACCTATGGTTGAGAGAAGCCTCCCCGTGAGGTGCTTCTGGAAAGTTGGCATACGTCTTGAGCCTAAGCCAGGGAATCAGCTCTCATCTCGAGACGATTTGGGGTACACGGAGCATTCCTCGTGTTGCTGTGCTGAAGTTGGTGTTCTTCTAGACTTGGGACAGGGTTCTCGGGGCATCTCTGGAGTTGCCTGAAGGAAGTCGAGCCACCGGTCGTGTTGAATGGGGAACGGGGAATGGCTCTGGAGTCAATGCAGGGGAATCGGGCCTCATCTCGAGTTGATTTGGGGCACATGGAGCTGCTTTGCGTTGCTGGGGTGACCTCAGCGTCCGTCTAGACTGGTGACAGTGTTCTTGGGGACTGTCTCGAGATCCATTAAGCAAGTCGAAGCTCCTGACTTGTTTGAATGGGATCACGGAATAGCTCTGCACGCACTGCAGGGGAATGGGGCCTCATCTCGCCTCTAGGGGGAAGTCTCATGTTTTTTCTCCAGTTGCGGTGCGGACCTGGGGTATGTTCTCGACTTACGGCGGGGATGGCCCTTCAAAACACGAGTTTCTTCAGTGACATCAGGACTCCTGTCTAGTAATGAGGGACACCTCAGGAATCTCTTCGAGGCTTGGCAGGGCAAAAGGGACGCTTCTCGAGGTGAGGCAGGGCACCCAAGGACCCTTTCCAGTAGCCACAGGGATTCTGGGATTCCTATCAGTATTCAAGAGGAGTCAGGCATCGTCACCTTTTGAAGCAATGAACTCCGCGTGCCTCTCGAGGTGTCAGCGGGATGTGAGGCATTCCGTCAAAATGAGGCAGTGGCCTAGGGCTTTCTTTAAGGTCTCCACAGGGGATTCAGACATCCCTTCATGTTGTGAGATGAAAGACGAGCCTGTATTCAAGCCACTGCAAGGAAATCCGGCCTCCTTTCAAGTTAGGGCTTCTCGCTCTATATTCCCCTTGAGGCAGTAAACTCGGGGTCCCTCCCACATACCTATTGCTGAGAGAAGCCTCCTCCTGAGGTCCTTCTGGAAAGTTGGCATACGTATTGAGCCTAAGCCAGGGAATCAGCTCTCATCTCGAGACGATTTGGGGTACACGGAGCATTCCTCGAGGTGCTGTGCTGAAGTTGGTGTTCCTCTAGACTTGGGACAGGGTTCTCGGGGCATCTCTGGAGTTGCGTGAAGGAAGTCGAGCCACCGGTCGTGTTGAATGGGGAACGGGGAATGGCTCTGGAGTCAATGCAGGGGAATCGGGCCTCATCTCGAGTTGATTTGGGGCACATGGAGCTGCTTTGCGTTGCTGGGGTGACCTCAGGGTCCGTCTAAACTGGTGACAGTGTTCTTGGGGACTGTCTCGAGATCCATTAAGCAAGTCGAAGCTCCTGACTCGTTTGAATGGGATCACGGAATAGCTCTGCACGCACTGCAGGGGAATGGGGCCTCATCTCGCCTCTAGGGGGAAGTCTCATGGTTTTTCTCGAGTTGCGGCGGGGACCTGGGGTATGTTCTCGACTTACGGCGGGGATGGCCCTTCAAAACACGAGTTTCTTCAGTGACGTCAGGACTCCTGTCTAGTAATGAGGGACACCTCAGGAATCTCTTCGAGGCTTGGCAGGGCAAAAGGGACGCTTCTCGAGGTGAGGCAGGGCACCCAAGGACCCTTTCCAGTAGCCACAGGGATTCTGGGATTCCTATCAGTATTCAAGAGGAGTCAGGCATCGTCACTTTTGAAGCAATGAACTCCGCGTGCCTCTCGAGGTGTCAGCGCGATGTGAGGCATTCCGTCAAAATGAGGCAGGGACCTAGGGCTTTCTCTAAGGTCTCCACAGGGGATTCAGACATCCCTTCATGTTGTGAGATGAAAGACGAGGCTGTATTCAAGCCACTGCAAGGAAATCCGGCCTCCTTTCAAGTTAGGTCTTCTCGCTGTATATTCCCCTTGATGCAGCAAACTCGGGGTCCCTCCCACATACCTATGGTTGAGAGAAGCCTCCCCGTGAGGTGCTTCTGGAAAGTTGGCATACGTCTTGAGCCTAAGCCAGGGAATCAGCTCTCATCTCGAGACGATTTGGGGTACACGGAGCATTCCTCGTGTTGCTGTGCTGAAGTTGGTGTTCTTCTAGACTTGGGACAGGGTTCTCGGGGCATCTCTGGAGTTGCCTGAAGGAAGTCGAGCCACCGGTCGTGTTGAATGGGGAACGGGGAATGGCTCTGGAGTCAATGCAGGGGAATCGGGCCTCATCTCGAGTTGATTTGGGGCACATGGAGCTGCTTTGCGTTGCTGGGGTGACCTCAGCGTCCGTCTAGACTGGTGACAGTGTTCTTGGGGACTGTCTCGAGATCCATTAAGCAAGTCGAAGCTCCTGACTTGTTTGAATGGGATCACGGAATAGCTCTGCACGCACTGCAGGGGAATGGGGCCTCATCTCGCCTCTAGGGGGAAGTCTCATGGTTTTTCTCCAGTTGCGGTGCGGACCTGGGGTATGTTCTCGACTTACGGCGGGGATGGCCCTTCAAAACACGAGTTTCTTCAGTGACGTCAGGACTCCTGTCTAGTAATGAGGGACACCTCAGGAATCTCTTCGAGGCTTGGCAGGGCAAAAGGGACGCTTCTCGAGGTGAGGCAGGGCACCCAAGGACCCTTTCCAGTAGCCACAGGGATTCTGGGATTCCTATCAGTATTCAAGAGGAGTCAGGCATCGTCACCTTTTGAAGCAATGAACTCCGCGTGCCTCTCGAGGTGTCAGCGGGATGTGAGGCATTCCGTCAAAATGAGGCAGGGGCCTAGGGCTTTCTTTAAGGTCTCCACAGGGGATTCAGACATCCCTTCATGTTGTGAGATGAAAGACGAGCCTGTATTCAAGCCACTGCAAGGAAATCCGGCCTCCTTTCAAGTTAGGGCTTCTCGCTCTATATTCCCCTTGAGGCAGCAAACTCGGGGTCCCTCCCACATACCTATTGCTGAGAGAAGCCTCCTCCTGAGGTCCTTCTGGAAAGTTGGCATACGTATTGAGCCTAAGCCAGGGAATCAGCTCTCATCTCGAGACGATTTGGGGTACACGGAGCATTCCTCGAGTTGCTGTGCTGAAGTTGGTGTTCCTCTAGACTTGGGACAGGGTTCTCGGGGCATCTCTGGAGTTGCGTGAAGGAAGTCGAGCCACCGGTCGTGTTGAATGGGGAACGGGGAATGGCTCTGGAGTCAATGCAGGGGAATCGGGCCTCATCTCGAGTTGATTTGGGGCACATGGAGCTGCTTTGCGTTGCTGGGGTGACCTCAGGGTCCGTCTAGACTGGTGACAGTGTTCTTGGGGACTGTCTCGAGATCCATTAAGCAAGTCGAAGCTCCTGACTAGTTTGAATGGGATCACGGAATAGCTCTGCACGCACTGCAGGGGAATGGGGCCTCATCTCGCCTCTAGGGGGAAGTCTCATGGTTTTTCTCGAGTTGCGGCGGGGACCTGGGGTATGTTCTCGACTTACGGCGGGGATGGCCCTTCAAAACACGAGTTTCTTCAGTGACGTCAGGACTCCTGTCTAGTAATGTGGGACACCTCAGGAATCTCTTCGAGGCTTGGCAGGGCAAAAGGGACGCTTCTCGAGGTGAGGCAGGGCACCCAAGGACCCTTTCCAGTAGCCACAGGGATTCTGGGATTCCTATCAGTATTCAAGAGGAGTCAGGCATCGTCACCTTTTGAAGCAATGAACTCCGCGTGCCTCTCGAGGTGTCAGCGGGATGTGAGGCATTCCGTCAAAATGAGGCAGGGACCTAGGGCTTTCTCTAAGGTCTCCACAGTGGATTCAGACATCCCTTCATGTTGTGAGATGAAAGACGAGCCTGTATTCAAGCCACTGCAAGGAAATCCGGCCTCCTTTCAAGTTAGGGCTTCTCGCTGTATATTCCCCTTGAGGCAGCAAACTCGGGGTCCCTCCCACATTCCTATTGCTGAGAGAAACCTTCTCCTGAGGTGCTTCTGTAAAGTTGGCATACGTCTTGAGCCTAAGCCAGGGAATCAGCTCTCATCTCGAGACGATTTGGGGGTACACGGAGCATTCCTCGAGTTGCTGTGCTGAAGTTGGTGTTCCTCTAGACTTGCGACAGTGTTCTCGGGGCATCTCTGGAGTTGCCTGAAGGAAGTCGAGCCACCGGTCGTGTTGAATGGGGAACGGGGAATGGCTCTGGAGTCAATGCAGGGGAATCGGGCCTCATCTCGAGTTGATTTGGGGCACATGGAGCTGCTTTGCGTTGCCGGGGTGACCTCAGGGTCCGTCTAGACTGGTGACAGTGTTCTTGGGGACTGTCTCGAGATCGATTAAGCAAGTGGAAGCTCCTGACTTGTTTGAATGGGATCACGGAATAGCTCTGCACGCACTGCAGGGGAATGGGGACTCATCTCGCCTCTAGGGGGAAGTCTCATGGTTTTTCTCGAGTTGTGGCGGGGACCTGGGGTATGTTCTCGACTTACGGCGGGGATGGCCCTTCAAAACACGAGTTTCTTCAGTGACATCAGGACTCCTGTCTAGTAACGAGGGACACCTCAGGAATCTCTTCGAGGCTTGGCAGGGCAAAAGGGACGCTTCTCGAGGTGAGGCAGGGCACCCAAGGACCCTTTCCAGTAGCCACAGGGATTCTGGGATTCCTATCAGTATTCAAGAGGAGTCAGGCATCGTCACTTTTGAAGCAATGAACTCCGCGTGCCTCTCGAGGTGTCAGCGCGATGTGAGGCATTCCGTCAAAATGAGGCAGGGACCTAGGGCTTTCTCTAAGGTCTCCACAGGGGATTCAGACATCCCTTCATGTTGTGAGATGAAAGACGAGGCTGTATTCAAGCCACTGCAAGGAAATCCGGCCTCCTTTCAAGTTAGGTCTTCTCGCTGTATATTCCCCTTGATGCAGCAAACTCGGGGTCCCTCCCACATACCTATGGTTGAGAGAAGCCTCCCCGTGAGGTGCTTCTGGAAAGTTGGCATACGTCTTGAGCCTAAGCCAGGGAATCAGCTCTCATCTCGAGACGATTTGGGGTACACGGAGCATTCCTCGTGTTGCTGTGCTGAAGTTGGTGTTCTTCTAGACTTGGGACAGGGTTCTCGGGGCATCTCTGGAGTTGCCTGAAGGAAGTCGAGCCACCGGTCGTGCTGAATGGGGAACGGGGAATGGCTCTGGAGTCAATGCAGGGGAATCGGGCCTCATCTCGAGTTGATTTGGGGCACATGGAGCTGCTTTGCGTTGCTGGGGTGACCTCAGCGTCCGTCTAGACTGGTGACAGTGTTCTTGGGGACTGTCTCGAGATCCATTAAGCAAGTCGAAGCTCCTGACTTGTTTGAATGGGATCACGGAATAGCTCTGCACGCACTGCAGGGGAATGGGGCCTCATCTCGCCTCTAGGGGGAAGTCTCATGGTTTTTCTCCAGTTGCGGTGCGGACCTGGGGTATGTTCTCGACTTACGGCGGGGATGGCCCTTCAAAACACGAGTTTCTTCAGTGACGTCAGGACTCCTGTCTAGTAATGAGGGACACCTCAGGAATCTCTTCGAGGCTTGGCAGGGCAAAAGGGACGCTTCTCGAGGTGAGGCAGGGCACCCAAGGACCCTTTCCAGTAGCCACAGGGATTCTGGGATTCCTATCAGTATTCAAGAGGAGTCAGGCATCGTCACCTTTTGAAGCAATGAACTCCGCGTGCCTCTCGAGGTGTCAGCGGGATGTGAGGCATTCCGTCAAAATGAGGCAGGGGCCTAGGGCTTTCTTTAAGGTCTCCACAGGGGATTCAGACATCCCTTCATGTTGTGAGATGAAAGACGAGCCTGTATTCAAGCCACTGCAAGGAAATCCGGCCTCCTTTCAAGTTAGGGCTTCTCGCTCTATATTCCCCTTGAGGCAGCAAACTCGGGGTCCATCCCACATACCTATTGCTGAGAGAAGCCTCCTCCTGAGGTCCTTCTGGAAAGTTGGCATACGTATTGAGCCTAAGCCAGGGAATCAGCTCTCATCTCGAGACGATTTGGGGTACACGGAGCATTCCTCGAGTTGCTGTGCTGAAGTTGGTGTTCCTTTAGACTTGGGACAGGGTTCTCGGGGCATCTCTGGAGTTGCGTGAAGGAAGTCGAGCCACCGGTCGTGTTGAATGGGGAACGGGGAATGGCTCTGGAGTCAATGCAGGGGAATCGGGCCTCATCTCGAGTTGATTTGGGGCACATGGAGCTGCTTTGCGTTGCTGGGGTGACCTCAGGGTCCGTCTAGACTGGTGACAGTGTTCTTGGGGACTGTCTCGAGATCCATTAAGCAAGTCGAAGCTCCTGACTAGTTTGAATGGGATCACGGAATAGCTCTGCACGCACTGCAGGGGAATGGGGCCTCATCTCGCCTCTAGGGGGAAGTCTCATGGTTTTTCTCGAGTTGCGGCGGGGACCTGGGGTATGTTCTCGACTTACGGCGGGGATGGCCCTTCAAAACACGAGTTTCTTCAGTGACGTCAGGACTCCTGTCTAGTAACGAGGGACACCTCAGGAATCTCTTCGAGGCTTGGCAGGGCAAAAGGGACGCTTCTCGAGGTGAGGCAGGGCACCCAAGGACCCTTTCCAGTAGCCACAGGGATTCTGGGATTCCTATCAGTATTCAAGAGGAGTCAGGCATCGTCACTTTTGAAGCAATGAACTCCGCGTGCCTCTCGAGGTGTCAGCGCGATGTGAGGCATTCCGTCAAAATGAGGCAGGGACCTAGGGCTTTCTCTAAGGTCTCCACAGGGGATTCAGACATCCCTTCATGTTGTGAGATGAAAGACGAGGCTGTATTCAAGCCACTGAAAGGAAATCCGGCCTCCTTTCAAGTTAGGTCTTCTCGCTGTATATTCCCCTTGATGCAGCAAACTCGGGGTCCCTCCCACATACCTATGGTTGAGAGAAGCCTCCCCGTGAGGTGCTTCTGGAAAGTTGGCATACGTCTTGAGCCTAAGCCAGGGAATCAGCTCTCATCTCGAGACGATTTGGGGTACACGGAGCATTCCTCGTGTTGCTGTGCTGAAGTTGGTGTTCTTCTAGACTTGGGACAGGGTTCTCGGGGCATCTCTGGAGTTGCCTGAAGGAAGTCGAGCCACCGGTCGTGTTGAATGGGGAACGGGGAATGGCTCTGGAGTCAATGCAGGGGAATCGGGCCTCATCTCGAGTTGATTTGGGGCACATGGAGCTGCTTTGCGTTGCTGGGGTGACCTCAGCGTCCGTCTAGACTGGTGACAGTGTTCTTGGGGACTGTCTCGAGATCCATTAAGCAAGTCGAAGCTCCTGACTTGTTTGAATGGGATCACGGAATAGCTCTGCACGCACTGCAGGGGAATGGGGCCTCATCTCGCCTCTAGGGGGAAGTCTCATGGTTTTTCTCCAGTTGCGGTGCGGACCTGGGGTATGTTCTCGACTTACGGCGGGGATGGCCCTTCAAAACACGAGTTTCTTCAGTGACGTCAGGACTCCTGTCTAGTAATGAGGGACACCTCAGGAATCTCTTCGAGGCTTGGCAGGGCAAAAGGGACGCTTCTCGAGGTGAGGCAGGGCACCCAAGGACCCTTTCCAGTAGCCACAGGGATTCTGGGATTCCTATCAGTATTCAAGAGGAGTCAGGCATCGTCACCTTTTGAAGCAATGAACTCCGCGTGCCTCTCGAGGTGTCAGCGGGATGTGAGGCATTCCGTCAAAATGAGGCAGGGGCCTAGGGCTTTCTTTAAGGTCTCCACAGGGGATTCAGACATCCCTTCATGTTGTGAGATGAAAGACGAGCCTGTATTCAAGCCACTGCAAGGAAATCCGGCCTCCTTTCAAGTTAGGGCTTCTCGCTCTATATTCCCCTTGAGGCAGCAAACTCGGGGTCCATCCCACATACCTATTGCTGAGAGAAGCCTCCTCCTGAGGTCCTTCTGGAAAGTTGGCATACGTATTGAGCCTAAGCCAGGGAATCAGCTCTCATCTCGAGACGATTTGGGGTACACGGAGCATTCCTCGAGTTGCTGTGCTGAAGTTGGTGTTCCTCTAGACTTGGGACAGGGTTCTCGGGGCATCTCTGGAGTTGCGTGAAGGAAGTCGAGCCACCGGTCGTGTTGAATGGGGAACGGGGAATGGCTCTGGAGTCAATGCAGGGGAATCGGGCCTCATCTCGAGTTGATTTGGGGCACATGGAGCTGCTTTGCGTTGCTGGGGTGACCTCAGGGTCCGTCTAGACTGGTGACAGTGTTCTTGGGGACTGTCTCGAGATCCATTAAGCAAGTCGAAGCTCCTGACTAGTTTGAATGGGATCACGGAATAGCTCTGCACGCACTGCAGGGGAATGGGGCCTCATCTCGCCTCTAGGGGGAAGTCTCATGGTTTTTCTCGAGTTGCGGCGGGGACCTGGGGTATGTTCTCGACTTACGGCGGGGATGGCCCTTCAAAACACGAGTTTCTTCAGTGACGTCAGGACTCCTGTCTAGTATTGTGGGACACCTCAGGAATCTCTTCGAGGCTTGGCAGGGCAAAAGGGACGCTTCTCGAGGTGAGGCAGGGCACCCAAGGACCCTTTCCAGTAGCCACAGGGATACTGGGATTCCTATCAGTATTCAAGAGGAGTCAGGCATCGTCACCTTTTGAAGCAATGAACTCCGCGTGCCTCTCGAGGTGTCAGCGGGATGTGAGGCATTCCGTCAAAATGAGGCAGGGACCTAGGGCTTTCTCTAAGGTCTCCACAGTGGATTCAGACATCCCTTCATGTTGTGAGATGAAAGACGAGCCTGTATTCAAGCCACTGCAAGGAAATCCGGCCTCCTTTCAAGTTAGGGCTTCTCGCTGTATATTCCCCTTGAGGCAGCAAACTCGGGGTCCCTCCCACATTCCTATTGCTGAGAGAAACCTTCTCCTGAGGTGCTTCTGGAAAGTTGGCATACGTCTTGAGCCTAAGCCAGGGAATCAGCTCTCATCTCGAGACGATTTGGGGGTACACGGAGCATTCCTCGAGTTGCTGTGCTGAAGTTGGTGTTCCTCTAGACTTGCGACAGTGTTCTCGGGGCATCTCTGGAGTTGCCTGAAGGAAGTCGAGCCACCGGTCGTGTTGAATGGGGAACGGGGAATGGCTCTGGAGTCAATGCAGGGGAATCGGGCCTCATCTCGAGTTGATTTGGGGCACATGGAGCTGCTTTGCGTTGCCGGGGTGACCTCAGGGTCCGTCTAGACTGGTGACAGTGTTCTTGGGGACTGTCTCGAGATCCATTAAGCAAGTCGAAGCTCCTGACTTGTTTGAATGGGATCACGGAATAGCTCTGCACGCACTGCAGGGGAAGGGGACTCATCTCGCCTCTAGGGGGAAGTCTCATGGTTTTTCTCGAGTTGCGGCGGGGACCTGGGGTATGTTCTCGACTTACGGCGGGGATGGCCCTTCAAAACACGAGTTTCTTCAGTGACATCAGGACTCCTGTCTAGTAACGAGGGACACCTCAGGAATCTCTTCGAGGCTTGGCAGGGCAAAAGGGACGCTTCTCGAGGTGAGGCAGGGCACCCAAGGACCCTTTCCAGTAGCCACAGGGATTCTGGGATTTCTATCAGTATTCAAGAGGAGTCAGGCATCGTCACTTTTGAAGCAATGAACTCCGCGTGCCTCTCGAGGTGTCAGCGCGATGTGAGGCATTCCGTCAAAATGAGGCAGGGACCTAGGGCTTTCTCTAAGGTCTCCACAGGGGATTCAGACATCCCTTCATGTTGTGAGATGAAAGACGAGGCTGTATTCAAGCCACTGCAAGGAAATCCGGCCTCCTTTCAAGTTAGGTCTTCTCGCTGTATATTCCCCTTGATGCAGCAAACTCGGGGTCCCTCCCACATACCTATGGTTGAGAGAAGCCTCCCCGTGAGGTGCTTCTGGAAAGTTGGCATACGTCTTGAGCCTAAGCCAGGGAATCAGCTCTCATCTCGAGACGATTTGGGGTACACGGAGCATTCCTCGTGTTGCTGTGCTGAAGTTGGTGTTCTTCTAGACTTGGGACAGGGTTCTCGGGGCATCTCTGGAGTTGCCTGAAGGAAGTCGAGCCACCGGTCGTGTTGAATGGGGAACGGGGAATGGCTCTGGAGTCAATGCAGGGGAATCGGGCCTCATCTCGAGTTGATTTGGGGCACATGGAGCTGCTTTGCGTTGCTGGGGTGACCTCAGCGTCCGTCTAGACTGGTGACAGTGTTCTTGGGGACTGTCTCGAGATCCATTAAGCAAGTCGAAGCTCCTGACTTGTTTGAATGGGATCACGGAATAGCTCTGCACGCACTGCAGGGGAATGGGGCCTCATCTCGCCTCTAGGGGGAAGTCTCATGGTTTTTCTCCAGTTGCGGTGCGGACCTGGGGTATGTTCTCAACTTACGGCGGGGATGGCCCTTCAAAACACGAGTTTCTTCAGTGACGTCAGGACTCCTGTCTAGTAATGAGGGACACCTCAGGAATCTCTTCGAGGCTTGGCAGGGCAAAAGGGACGCTTCTCGAGGTGAGGCAGGGCACCCAAGGACCCTTTCCAGTAGCCACAGGGATTCTGGGATTCCTATCAGTATTCAAGAGGAGTCAGGCATCGTCACCTTTTGAAGCAATGAACTCCGCGTGCCTCTCGAGGTGTCAGCGGGATGTGAGGCATTCCGTCAAAATGAGGCAGGGGCCTAGGGCTTTCTTTAAGGTCTCCACAGGGGATTCAGACATCCCTTCATGTTGTGAGATGAAAGACGAGCCTGTATTCAAGCCACTGCAAGGAAATCCGGCCTCCTTTCAAGTTAGGGCTTCTCGCTCTATATTCCCCTTGAGGCAGTAAACTCGGGGTCCCTCCCACATACCTATTGCTGAGAGAAGCCTCCTCCTGAGGTCCTTCTGGAAAGTTGGCATACGTATTGAGCCTAAGCCAGGGAATCAGCTCTCATCTCGAGACGATTTGGGGTACACGGAGCATTCCTCGAGTTGCTGTGCTGAAGTTGGTGTTCCTCTAGACTTGGGACAGGGTTCTCGGGGCATCTCTGGAGTTGCGTGAAGGAAGTCGAGCCACCGGTCGTGTTGAATGGGGAACGGGGAATGGCTCTGGAGTCAATGCAGGGGAATCGGGCCTCATCTCGAGTTGATTTGGGGCACATGGAGCTGCTTTGCGTTGCTGGGGTGACCTCAGGGTCCGTCTAAACTGGTGACAGTGTTCTTGGGGACTGTCTCGAGATCCATTAAGCAAGTCGAAGCTCCTGACTCGTTTGAATGGGATCACGGAATAGCTCTGCACGCACTGCAGGGGAATGGGGCCTCATCTCGCCTCTAGGGGGAAGTCTCATGGTTTTTCTCGAGTTGCGGCGGGGACCTGGGGTATGTTCTCGACTTACGGCGGGGATGGCCCTTCAAAACACGAGTTTCTTCAGTGACGTCAGGACTCCTGTCTAGTAATGTGGGACACCTCAGGAATCTCTTCGAGGCTTGGCAGGGCAAAAGGGACGCTTCTCGAGGTGAGGCAGGGCACCCAAGGACCCTTTCCAGTAGCCACAGGGATTCTGGGATTCCTATCAGTATTCAAGAGGAGTCAGGCATCGTCACCTTTTGAAGCAATGAACTCCGCGTGCCTCTCGAGGTGTCAGCGGGATGTGAGGCATTCCGTCAAAATGAGGCAGGGACCTAGGGCTTTCTCTAAGGTCTCCACAGGGGATTCAGACATCCCTTCATGTTGTGAGATGAAAGACGAGCCTGTATTCAAGCCACTGCAAGGAAATCCGGCCTCCTTTCAAGTTAGGGCTTCTCGCTGTATATTCCCCTTGAGGCAGCAAACTCGGGGTCCCTCCCACATACCTATTGCTGAGAGAAGCCTCCTCCTGAGGTGCTTCTGGAAAGTTGGCATACGTATTGACCCTAAGCCAGGGAATCAGCTCTCATCTCGAGACGATTTGGGGTACACGGAGCATTCCTCGAGTTGCTGTGCTGAAGTTGGTGTTCTTCTAGACTTGGGACAGGGTTCTCGGGGCATCTCTGGAGTTGCCTGAAGGAAGTCGAGCCACCGGTCGTGTTGAATGGGGAACGGGGAATGGCTCTGGAGTCAATGCAGGGGAATCGGGCCTCATCTCCAGGTGATTTGGGGCACATGGATCTGCTTTGCGTTGCTGGGGTGACCTCAGGGTCCGTCTAGACTGGTGACAGTGTTCTTGGGGACTGTCACGAGATCCATTAAGCAAGTCGAATCTCCTGACTTGTTTGAATGGGATCACGGAAGAGGTCTGCATGCACTGCAGGGGAATGGGGCCTCATCTCGCCTCTAGGGGGAAGTCTCATGGTTTTTCTCGAGTTGCGGCGGGGACCTGGGGTATTTCTTGACTTACGGCGGGAATGGCCCTTCAAAACACGAGTTTCTTCAGTGAAGTCAGGATTCCTGTCTAGTAACGAGGGACACCTCAGGAATCTCTTCGAGGCTTGGCAGTGCAAAAGGGACGGTTCTCGAGGTGAGGCAGGGCACCCAAGGACCCTTTACAGTAGCCACGGGGATATTGGGATTCCTATCAGTATTCAAGAGGAGTCAGGCATCGTCCCCATTTGAAGCAATGAACTCTGCATGCCTCTCGAGTTGTTAGCGGGATGTGAGGCATTCCATCAAAATGAGGCAGGGACCTACGGCTTTCTCTAAAATCTCCACAGGGGATTCAGACATCCCTTCATGTTGTGAGATGAAAGACGAGCCTGTTTTCAAGCCACTGCAAGGAAATCCGGCCTCCTTTCAAGTTAGGGCTTCTCGCTGTATATTCCCCTTGAGGCAGCATACTCGGGGTCCCTCCCACATACTTATTGCTGAGAGAAGCCTCCTCCTGAGGTCCTTCTGGAAAGTTGGCATACGTCTTGAGCCTAAGCCAGGGAATCAGCTCTCATCTCGAGATGATTTGGGGTACACGGAGCATTCCTCGAGTTGCTGTGCTGAAGTTGGTGTTCCTCTAGACTTGCGACAGTGTTCTCGGGGCATTTCTGGAGTTGCCTGAAGGAAGTCGAGCCGCCGGTCGTGTTGAATGGGGAACGGGGAATGGCTCTGGTGTCAATGCAGGGGAATCGGGCCTCATCTCGAGTTGATTTGGGGTACATGGAGCTGCTTTGCGTTGCTGGGGTGACCTCAGGGTCCGTCTAGACTGGTGACAGTGTTCTTGGGGAGTGTCTCGAGATCCATTAAGCAAGTCGAAGCTCCTGACTTCTTTGAATGGGATCATGGAATAGCTCTGCACGCCCTGCAGTGGAATGGGGCCTCATCTCGCCTCTAGGGGGAAGTCTCATGGTTTTTCTCGAGTTGCGGCGGGGACCTGGGGTATGTTCTCGACTTACGGCCGGGATGGCCCTTCAAAACACGAGTTTCTTCAGTGACGTCAGGACTCCTGTCTAGTAACGAGGGACACCTCAGGAATCTCTTCCAAGCTTGGCAGGGCAAAAGGGACGCTTCTCGAGGTGAGGCAGTGCACCCAAGGACCCTTTCCTGTAGCCACAGGGATTTTGGGATTCCTATCAGTATTCAAGAGGAGTCAGGCATCGTCACCTTTTGAAGCAATGAACTCCGCGTGCCTCTCGAGGTGTCAGTGGGATGTGAGGCATTCCGTCAAAATGAGGCAGGGACCTAGGGCTTTCTCTAAGGTCTCCACAGGGGATTCAGACATGCCTTCATGTTGTGAGATTAAACACGAGCCTGTATTCAAGCCACTGCAAGGAAATTGGGCCTCCTTTCAATTTAGGGCTTCTCGCTGTATATTCCCCTTGAGGCAGCAAACTCGGGGTCCCTCCCACATAGCTATTGCTGAGAGAAGCCTCCTCCTGAGGTGCTTCTGGAAAGTTGGCATACGTCTTGAGCCTAAGCCACGGAATCAGCTCTCATCTCGAGACGATTTGTGGTACACGGAGCATTCCTCGAGTTGCTGTGCTGAAGTTAGTGTTCCTCTAGACTTGGGACAGGGTTCTCGGGGCATCTCTGGAGTTGCTTGAAGGAAGTGGAGCCACCGGTCGTGTTGAATGGGGAACGGGGAATGGCTCTGGAGTCAATGCAGGGGAATCGGGCCTCATCTCGAGTTGATCTGGGGCACATGTAGCTGCTTTGTGTTGCTGGGGTGACATCAGGGTCCGTCTAGACTGGTGACAGTGCTCTTGGGGACTGTCTCGAGATCGATTAAGCAAGTCGAAGTTCCTGACTTGTTTGAATGGGATCACGGAATAGCTCTGCATGCACTGCAGGGGAATGGGGCCTCATCTCGCCTCTAGGGGGAAGTCTCATGGTTTTTCTCGAGTTGCGACGGGGACTTGGGTTATGTTCTCGACTTACGGCGGGGATGGCCCTTCAAAACACGAGTTTCTTCAGTGACGTCAGTACTCCTGTCTAGTAATGAGGGACACCTCAGGAATCTCTTCGAGGCTTGGCAGGGTAAAAGGGACGCTTCTCGAGGTGAGGCAGGGCACCCAAGGACCCTTTCCAGTAGCCACAGGGATTCTGGGATTCCTATCAGTATTCAAGAGGAGTCAGGCATCGTCACCTTTTGAAGCAATGAACTCCGCGTGCCTCTCGAGGTGTGAGCACGATATGAGGCATTCCGTCAAAATGAGGCAGGGACCTAGGGCTTTCTCTAAGGTCTCCACAGGGGATTCAGACATCCCTTCATGTTGTGAGATGAAAGACGAGCCTGTATTCAAGCCACTGCAAGGAAATCCGGCCTCCTTTCAAGTTAGGGCTTCTCGCTGTATATTCCCGTTGAGGCAGCAAACTTGGGGTCCCTCCCACATACCTATTGCTGAGAGAAGCCTCCTCCTGAGGTCCTTCTGGAAAGTTGGCATACGTATTGAGCCTAAGCCAGGGAATCAGCTCTCATCTCGAGACGATTTGGGGCCCACGGAGCATTCCTCGAGTTGCTGTGCTCAAGTTGGTATTCCTCTAGACTTGGGACACGGTTCTCGGGGCATCTCTGGAGTTGCGTGAAGGAAGTCGAGCCACCGGTCGAGTTGAATGGGGAACGGAGAATGGCTCTGGAGTCAATGCAGGGGAATCGGGCCTCATCTCGAGGTGATTTGGGGCACATGGAGCTGCTTTGCGTTGCTGGGGTGACCTCAGGGTCCGTCTAGACTTGTGACAGTGTTCTTGGGGACTGTCTCGAGATCCATTAAGCAAGTCGAAGCTCCTGACTTGTTTGAATGGAATCAAGGAATAGCTCTGCACGCACTGCAGGGGAATGGGGCCTCATCTCGCCTCTAGGGGGAAGTCTCATGGTTTTTCTCGAGTTGCGGCGGGACCTGGGGTATGTTCTCGACTTACGGCGGGGATGGTCCTTCAAAACACGAGTTCCTTCAATGACGTCAGGACTCCTGTCTAGTAACGAGGGACACCTCAGGAATCTCTTCGAGGCTTGGCAGGGCAAAAGGGACGCTTCTCGAGGTGAGGCAGGGCACCCAAGGACCCTTTCCAGTAGCCACAGGGATTCTGGGATTCCTATCAGTATTCAAGAGGAGTCAAGCATCGTCACATTTTGAAGTAATGAACTCCGCGTGCCTCTCGAGGTGTCAGCGGGATGTGAGGCATTCCGTCAAAAGGAGGCAGGGACTTAGGGCTTTCTCTAAGGTCTCCACACGGGATTCAGACATCCCTTCATGTTGTGAGATGAAAGACGAGCCTGTATTCAAGCCACTGCACAGAAATCCGGCCTCCTATCAAGTTAGGGCTTCTTGCTGTATATCCCCCTTGAGGCAGCAAACTTGGGGTCCCTCCCACATACCTATTGCTGAGAGAAGCCTCCTCCTGAGGTGCTTCTGGAAAGTTGGCATACGTCTTGGGCCTAAGCCAGGGAATCAGCTCTCATCTCGAGACGATTTGGTGGTACACAGAGCATTCCTCGAGTTGCTGAGCTGAAGTTGGTGTTCCTCTAGACTTGGGACAGGGTTCTCGGGGCATCTCTGGAGTTGCCTGAAGGAAGTCGAGTCACCGGTCGTGTTGAATGGGGAACGGGGAATGGATCTGGAGTCAATGCAGGGGAATCGGGCCTCATCTCCAGGTGATTTGGGGCACAAGGATCTGCTTTGCGTTGCTGGGGTGACCTCATGGTCCGTATAGACTTGTGACAGGGTTTTTGGGGACTGTCTCGAGATCCATTAAGCAAGTCGAAGCTCCTGACTTCTTTGAATGGGATCACGGAATAGCTCTGCATGCACTGCAGGGGATTGGGGCCTCATCTCTCCTCTAGGGGGAAGTCTCATGGTTTTTTTCGAGTTGCGGCGGGGACCTGGGGTATGTTCTCGACTTACGGCGGGGATGGCCCTTCAAAACACGAGTTTCTTCAATGACGTCAGGACTCCTGTCTAGTAACGAGGGACACCTCAGGAATCTCTTCGAGGCTTGGCAGGGCAAAAGGTATGCTTCTCGAGGTTAGGCAGGGCACCCAACTACCCTTTCTAGTAGCCACAGGGATTCTGGGATTCCTATCAGTATTCAAGAGGAGTCAGGCATCGTCACCTTTTGAAGCAATGAACTCCGGTGCCTCTCGAAGTGTCAGCGGGATGTGAGGCATTCCGTCAAAATGAGGCAGGGACCTAGGGCTTTCTCTAATGTCTCCACAGGGGATTCAGACATCCCTTCATGTTGTGAGATGAAAGATCAGCCTGTATTCAAGCCACTGCAAGGAAATCCGGCCTCCTTTCAAGTTAGGGCTTCTCGCTGTATATTCCCCTTCATGCAACAAACTCGGGGTCCCTCCTACATACCTATGGCTGAGAGAAGCCTCCCCGTGAGGTGCTTCTGGAAAGTTGGCATACGTCTTGAGCCTAAGCCAGGGAATCAGCTCTCATCTCGAGATGATTTGGGGTACACGGAGCATTCCTCGAGTTGCTGTGCTGAAGTTGGTGTTCCTCTAGACTTGGCACAGGGTTCTCGGGGCATCTCTGGAGTTGCCTGAAGGAAGTCGAGCCACCGGTCGTGTTGAATGGGGAAAGGGGAATGGCTCTGGAGTCAATGCAGGGGAATCGGGCCTCATCTCGAGTTGATTTGGTGCACATGCTGCTGCCTTGCGTTGCTGGGGTGACCTCAGGGTCCGTCTAGACTGGTGACAGTGTTCTTGGGGACTGTCTCGAGATCCATTAAGCAATTCGAAGCTCCTGACTTGTTTGAATGGGATCACGGAATAGCTCTGCATGCACTGCAGGGGAATGGGGCCTCATCTCGCCTCTACGGGGAAGTCTCATGGTTTTTCTCGAGTTGCGACGGGGACCTGGGGTATGTTCTCGACTTACGGCGGGGATGGCCCTTCAAAACACGAGTTTCTTCAGTGACGTCAGGACTCCTGTCTAGTAACGAGGGACACCTCAGGAATCTCTTACAGGCTTGGCAGGGCAAAAGGGACGCTTCTCGAGGTGAGGCAGGGCACCCAAGGACCCTTTCCAGTAGCCACAGGGATTTTGGGATTCCTATCAGTATTCAAGAGGAGTCAGGCATCGTCAGGTTTTGAAGCAATGAACTCCGCGTGCCTCTCGACGTGTCAGCGGGATGTGAGGCATTCCGTCAAAATGAGGCAGGGACCTAGGGCTTTCTCTAAGGTCTCCACAGGGGATTCAGACATCCCCTCATGTTGTGAGATGAAAGACGAGCCTGTATTAAAGCCACTGCAAGGAAATCCGGCCTCCTTTCAAGTTAGGGCTTCTCGCTGTATATTCCCCTTGATGCAGCAAACTCGGGGTCCCTCCCACATACCTATGGCTGAGAGAAGCCTCCCCGTGAGGTGCTTCTGGAAAGTTGGCATACGTCTTGAGCCTAAGCCAGGGAATCAGCTCTCATCTCGAGACGATTTGGGGTACACGGAGCATTCCTCGAGTTGCTGTGCTGAAGTTGGTGTTCTTCTAGACTTGGGACAGGGTTCTCGGGGCATCTCTGGAGTTGCGTGAAGGAAGTCGAGCCACCGGTCGTGTTGAATGGGGAACGGGGAATGGCTCTGGAGTCAATGCAGGGGAATCGGGCCTCATCTCGAGTTGATTTGGGGCACATGGAGCTGCTTTGCGTTGCTGGGGTGACCTCAGGGTCCGTCTAGACTGGTGACAGTGTTCTTGGGGACTGTCTCGAGATCCATTAAGCAAGTCGAAGCTCCTGACTAGTTTGAATGGGATCACGGAATAGCTCTGCACGCACTGCAGGGGAATGGGGCCTCATCTCGCCTCTAGGGGGAAGTCTCATGATTTTTCTCGAGTTGCGGCGGGGACCTGGGGTATGTTCTCGACTTACGGCGGGGATGGCCCTTCAAAACACGAGTTTCTTCAGTGACGTCAGGACTCCTGTCTAGTAATGTGGGACACCTCAGGAATCTCTTCGAGGCTTGGCAGGGCAAAAGGGACGCTTCTCGAGGTGAGGCAGGGCACCCAAGGACCCTTTCCAGTAGCCACAGGGATTCTGGGATTCCTATCAGTATTCAAGAGGAGTCAGGCATCGTCACCTTTTGAAGCAATGAACTCCGCGTGCCTCTCCAGGTGTCAGCGGGATGTGAGGCATTCCGTCAAAATGAGGCAGGGACCTAGGGCTTTCTCTAAGGTCTCCACAGTGGATTCAGACATCCCTTCATGTTGTGAGATGAAAGACGAGCCTGTATTCAAGCCACTGCAAGGAAATCCGGCCTCCTTTCAAGTTAGGGCTTCTCGCTGTATATTCCCCTTGAGGCAGCAAACTCGGGGTCCCTCCCACATTCCTATTGCTGAGAGAAACCTTCTCCTGAGGTGCTTCTGTAAAGTTGGCATACGTCTTGAGCCTAAGCCAGGGAATCAGCTCTCATCTCGAGACGATTTGGTGGTATACGGAGCATTCCTCGAGTTGCTGTGCTGAAGTTGGTGTTCCTCTAGACTTGCGACAGTGTTCTCGGGGCATCTCTGGAGTTGCCTGAAGGAAGTCGAGCCACCGGTCGTGTTGAATGGGGAACGGGGAATGGCTCTGGAGTCAATGCAGGGGAATCGGGCCTCATCTCGAGTTGATTTGGGGCACATGGAGCTGCTTTGCGTTGCCGGGGTGACCTCAGGGTCCGTCTAGACTGGTGACAGTGTTCTTGGGGACTGTCTCGAGATCGATTAAGCAAGTGGAAGCTCCTGACTTGTTTGAATGGGATCACGGAATAGCTCTGCACGCACTGCAGGGGAATGGGGACTCATCTCGCCTCTAGGGGGAAGTCTCATGGTTTTTCTCGAGTTGCGGCGGGGACCTGGGGTATGTTCTCGACTTACGGCGGGGATGGCCCTTCAAAACACGAGTTTCTTCAGTGACATCAGGACTCCTGTCTAGTAACGAGGGACACCTCAGGAAACTCTTCGAGGCTTGGCAGGGCAAAAGGGACGCTTCTCGAGGTGAGGCAGGGCACCCAAGGACCCTTTCCAGTAGCCACAGGGATTCTGGGATTCCTATCAGTATTCAAGAGGAGTCAGGCATCGTCACTTTTGAAGCAATGAACTCCGCGTGCCTCTCGAGGTGTCAGCGCGATGTGAGGCATTCCGTCAAAATGAGGTAGGGACCTAGGGCTTTCTCTAAGGTCTCCACAGGGGATTCAGACATCCCTCCATGTTGTGAGATGAAAGAGGAGCCTGTATTCAAGCCACTGCAAGGAAATCCGGGCTCCTTTCAAGTTAGGGCTTCTGGCTGTATATTCCCCTTGAGGCAGCAAACTCGGGGTCCCTCCCACATACTTATGGCTGAGAGAAGCCTCCCCCTGAGGTGCTTCTGGAAAGTTGGCGTACGTCTTGAGCTTAAGCCAGGGAATCAGCTCTCATCTCGAGACGATTTGGGGTACACGGAGCATTCCTCGAGTTGCTGTGCTGAAGTTGATGTTCCTCTAGACTTGGGACAGGGTTCTCGGGGCATCTCTGGAGTTGCATGAAGGAAGTCGAGCCACCGGTCGTGTTGAATGGGGAACGGGGAATGGCTCTGGAGTCAATGCAGGGGAATCGGGCCTCATCTCGAGTTGATTTGGGGCACATGGAGCTGCTTTGCGTTGCTGGGGTGACCTCAGGGTCCGTCTAGACTGGTGACAGTGTTCTTGGGGACTGTCTCGAGATCGATTAAGCAAGTCGAAACTCCTGACTTGTTTGAATGGAATCACGGAATAGCTCTGCATGCACTGCAGGGGAATGGGGCCTCATCTCGCCTCTAGGGGGAAGTCTCATGGTTTTTCTCGAGTTGGGGCAGGGACCGGGGTTATGTTCTCGACTTACGGCGGGGATGGCCCTTCAAAACACGAGTTTGTTCAGTGACGTCAGGACTCCTGTCTAGTAACGAGGGACACCTCAGGAATCTCTTCGAGGCTTGGCAGGGCAAAAGGGACGCTTCTCGAGGTGAGGCAGGGCACCCTAGGACCCTTTCCAGTAGCCACAGGGATTCTGGGATTCCTATCAGTATTCTAGAGGAGTCAGGCATCGTCACCTTTTGAAGCAATGAACTCTGCGTGCCTCTCGAGGTGTCAGCGGGATGTGAGGCATTCCGTCAAAATGAGGCAGGGACCTAGGGCTTTCTCTAAGGTCTCCACAGGGGATTCAGACATCCCTTCATATTGTGAGATGAAAGACGAGCCTGTATTCAAACCACTGCAGGAAATCCGGCCTCCTTTCAAGTTAGGGCTTCTCGCTGTATATTCCCGTTGAGGCAGCAAACTCGGGGTCCCTCCCACATACCTATTGCTGAGAGATGCCTCCTCCTGAGGTGCTTCTGGAAAGCTGGCATACGTCTAGAACCTAAGCCAGGGAATCAGCTCTCATCTCGAGACGATTTGGGGTACACGGAGCATTCCTCGAGTTGCTGTGCTGAAGTTGGTGTTCCTCTAGACTTGGGACAGTGTTCTCGGGAAATCTCTGGAGTTGCCTGAAGGAAGTCGAGCCACCGGTCGTGTTGAATGGGGAAAGGGGAATGGCTCTGGAGTCAATGCAGGGGAATCGGGCCTCATCTCGAGGTGATTTGGGGCACATGGAGCTGCTTTGCGTTGCTGGGTGACCTCAGGGTCCGTCTAGACTTGTGACAGTGTTCTTGGGGACTGTCTCGAGATCCATTAAGCAAGTCGAAGCTCCTGACTTCTTTGAATGGGATCACGGAATAGCTCTGCATGCACTGCAGGGGAATGGGGCCTCATCTCGCCTCTAGGGGGAAGTCTCATCGTTTTTTTCGAGTTGCGGCGGGGACCTGGGGTATGTTCTCGACTTACGGCGGAATGTCCCTTCAAAACACGAGTTTTTTCAATGACGTCAGGACTCCTCTCTAGTAACGAGGGACACCTCAGCAATCTCTTCGAGGCTTGGCAGGGCAAAACCGACGCTTCACGAGGTAAGGCAGGGCACCCAAGGACCCTTTCCATTAGCCACAGGGATTCTGGGATTCCTATCAGTATTCAAGAGGAGTCAGGCATCGTCACCTTTTGAAGCAATGAACTCCGGTGCCTCTCGAAGTGTCAGCGGGATGGGAGGCATTCCGTCAAAATGAGGCAGGGACCTAGGGCTTTCTCTAAGGTCTCCACAGGGGATTCAGACATCCCTTCATGTTGTGAGATGAAAGACGAGCCTGTATTAAAGCCACTGCAAGGAAATCCGGCCTCCTTTCAAGTTAGGGCTTCTCGCTGTATATTCCCCTTGAGGCAGCAAACTCGGGGTCCCTCCCACATACCTATGGCTGAGAGAAGCCTCCCCGTGAGGTGCTTCTGGAAAGTTGGCATACGTCTTGAGCCTAAGCCAGGGAATCAGCTCTCATCTCGAGACGATTTGGGGTACACGGAGCATTCCTCGAGTTGCTGTGCTGAAGTTGGTGTTCTTCTAGACTTGGGACAGGGTTCTCGGGGCATCTCTGGAGTTGCCTGAAGGAAGTCGAGCCACCGGTCGTGTTGAATGGGGAACGGGGAATGGCTCTGGAGTCAATGCAGGGGAATCGGGCCTCATCTCCAGGTGATTTGGGGCACATGGATCTGCTTTGCGTTGCTGGGGTGACCTCAGGGTCCGTCTAGACTTGTGACAGTGTTCTTGGGGACTGTCTCGAGATCCATTAAGCAAGTCGAAGCTCCTGACTTCTTTGAATGGGATCACGGAATAGCTCTGCATGCACTGCAGGGGATTGGGGCCTCATCTCGCCTCTAGGGGGAAGTCTCATGGTTTTTTTCGAGTTGCGGCGGGGACCTGGGGTATATTCTCGACTTACGGCGGGGATGGCCCTTCAAAACACGAGTTTCTTCAGTGACGTCAGGACTCCTGTCTAGTAACGAGGGACACCTCAGGAATCTCTTCGAGGCTTGGCAGGGCAAAAGGTATGCTTCTCGAGGTTAGGCAGGGCACCCAACTACCCTTTCTAGTAGCCACAGTGATTCTGGAATTCCTATCAGTATTCAAGAGGAGTCAGGCATCGTCACCTTTTGAAGCAATGAACTACGGTGCCTCTCGAAGAGTCAGCGGGATGTGAGGCATTCCGTCAAAATGAGGCAGGGACCTAGGGCTTTCTCTAATGTCTCCACAGGGGATTCAGACATCCCTTCATGTTGTGAGATGAAAGATGAGCCTGTATTCCAGCCACTGCAAGGAAATCCGGCCTCCTTTCAAGTTATGGCTTCTCGCTGTATATTCCCCTTCATGCAACAAACTCGGGGTCCCTCCCACATAACTATTGCTGAGAGAAACCTCCTCCTGAGGTGCTTCTGGAAAGTTGGCATACGTCTTGAGCCTAAGCCAGGGAATCAGCTCTCATCTCGAGACGATTTGGGGTACACGGAGCATTCCTCGAGTTGCTGTGCTGAAGTTGGTGTTCCTCTAGACTTGGGACAGGGTTCTCGGGGCATCTCTGGAGTTGCCTGAAGGAAGTCGAGCCACTGGTCGTGTTGAATGGGGAACCGGGAATGGCTCTGGAGTCAATGCAGGGGAATCGGGCCTCTTTTCGAGTTGATTTGGTGCACATGCTGCTGTCTTGCGTTGCTGGGGTGACCTCAGGGTCCGTCTACACTTGTGACAGTGTTCTTGGGGACACTTTCGAGATCCATTAAGCAAGTCGAAGCTCCAGACTTGTTTGAATGGGATGACGGAATAGCTCTGCATGCACTGCAGGGGAATGGGGCCTCATCTCGCCTCTAGGGGGAAGTCTCATTGTTTTTCTCCAGTTGCGGCGGGGACCTGGGGTATGTTCTCGAGTTACAGCGGGGATGGCCCTTCAAAACACGAGTTTCTTCAGTGACGTCAGGACTCCTGTCTTGTAACGAGGGACACCGCAGGAATCTCTTCGCGTTTGGCAAGGCAAAAGGGACGCTTCTCGAGGTGAGGCAGGGCACCCAAGGACCCTTTCCAGTAGCCACAGTGATTCTGGGAATCCTATCAGTATTCAAGAGGAGTCAGGCATCGTCACCTTTTGAGGCAATGAACTCCGCGTGCCTCTCGAGGTGTCAGCGGGATGGGAGGCATTCCGTCAAAATGAGGCAGGGACCTAGGGCTTTCTCTAAGGTCTTCACAGGGGATTCAGGCATCCCTTCATGTTGTGAGATGAAAGACGAGCCCGTATTCAAGCCACTGCAAGGAAATCCGGCCTCCTTTCAAGTTAGGGCTTCTCACTGTATATTCCCCTTGAGGCAGCAAACTCGGGGTCCCTCCCACATAACTATTGCTGAGAGAAGCCTCCTCCTGAGGTGCTTCTGGAAAGTTGGCATACGTCTTGAGCCTAAGCCAGGGAATCAGCTCTCATCTCGAGATGATTTGGGGTACACGGAGCTTTCCTCGAGTTGCTGTGTTGAAGTTGGTGTTCCTTTAGACTTGGGACAGTGTTCTCGGTGCATCTCTGGTGTTGCCTGAAGGAAGTCGAGCCACCGGTCGTGTTGAATGGGGAACGGGGAATGGCTCTGGAGTCAATGCAGGGGAATCGGGCCTCATCTCGAGTTGATTTGGGGCACATGGAGCTGCTTTGCGTTGCTGGGTTGACCTCAGGGTCGGTCTAGACTGGTGACAGTGTTCTTGGGGACTGTCTCGAGATCCATTAATCAAGTTGAAGCTCCGGACTTGTTTGAATGGGATCACGGAATAGCTCTGCATGCACTGCAGGGGAATGGGGCCTCATCTCGCCTCTAGGGGGAAGTCTCATGGTTTTTCTCGAGTTGCGGCGGGGACCTGGGGTATGTTCTCGACTTACGGCGGGGATGGCCCTTCAAAACACGAGTTTCTTCAGTGACCTCAGGACTCCTGTCTAGTAACGAGGGACACCTCAGGAATCTCTTCGAGGCTTGGCAGGGCAAAAGGGACGCTTCTCGAGGTGAGACAGGGCACCCAAGGACCCTTTCCAGTAGCCACAGGGATTTTGGGATTCCTATCAGTATTCAAGAGGAGTCAGGCATCGTCACCTTTTAAAGCAATGAACTCCGCGTGCCTCTCGAGATGTCAGCAGGATGTGAGGCATTCCGTCAAAATGAGGCAGGGACCTAGGGCTTTCTCTAAGTCTCCACAGGGGATTCAGACATCCATTCATGTTGTGAGATGAAAGACGAGCCTGTATTCAAGCCACTGGAAGAAAATCCGGCCTCCTTTCAAGTTAGGGCTTCTCGCTGTATATTCCCCTTGAGGCAGCAAACTCGGGGTCTCTCCCACATACCTATTGCTGAGAGAAGCCTCCTCCTGAGGTGCTTCTGGAAAGTTGGCATACGTCTTGAGCCTAAGCCAGGGAATCAGCTCTCATCTCGAGACGATTTGGGGTACACGGAGCATTCCTCGAGTTGCTGTGCTGAAGTTGGTGTTCCTCTAGACTTGGGACAGTGTTCTCGGGGCATCTCTGGAGTTGTCTGAAGGAAGTCGAGCCACCGGTCGTGTTGAATGGGGATCGGGGCATGGCTCTGGAGTCAATGCAGGGGAATCGGGCCTCATCTCGAGTTGATTTGGTGCACATGCTGCTGCCTTGCGTTGCTGGGGTGACCTCAGGGTCCGTCTACACTTGTGACAGTGTTCTTGGGGACTCTTTCGAGATCCATTAAGCAAGTCGAAGCTCCTGACTTGTTTGAATGGGATCACGGAATAGCTCTGCATGCACTGCAGGGGAATGGGGCCTCATCTCGCCTCTAGGGGGAAGTCTCATTGTTTTTCTCGAGTTGCGGCGGGGACCTGGGGTATGTTCTCGACTTACGGCGGGGATGGCCCTTCAAAACACGAGTTTCTACAGTGACATCAGGACTCCTGTCTAGTAATGAGGGACACCTCAGGAATCTCTTCGAGTTTGGCAAGGCAAAAGGGACGCTTCTCGAGGTGAGGCAGGGCACCCAAGGACCCTTTCCAGTAGCCACAGTGATTCTGGGAATCCTATCAGTATTCAAGAGGAGTCAGGCATCGTCACCTTTTGAGGCAATGAACTCCGCGTGCCTCTCGAGGTGTCAGCGGGATGTGAGGCATTCCGTCAAAATGAGGCAGGGACCTAGGGCTTTCTCTAAGGTCTTCACAGGGGATTCAGGCATCCCTTCATGTTGTGAGATGAAAGACGAGCCCGTATTCAAGCCACTGCAAGGAAATCCGGCCTCCTTTCAAGTTAGGGCTTCTCGCTGTATATTCCCCTTGAGGCAGCAAACTCGGGGTCCCTCCCACATACCTATTGCTGAGAAGCCTCCTCCTGAGGTGCTTCTGGAAAGTTGGCATACGTTTTGAGCCTAAGCCAGGGAATCAGCTCTCATCTGGAAACGATTTGGGGTACACGGAGCATTCCTCGAGTTGCTGTGCTGAAGTTGGTTTTCCTCTAGACTTGGGACAGGGTTCTCGGGGCATCTCTGGAGTTGCCTGAAGGAAGTGGAGCCACAGGTCGTGTTGAATGGGGAACGGGGAATGTCTCTCGAGTCAATGCACGGGAATCGGGCCTCATCTCGAGTTGATTTGGGGCACATGGAGCTGCTTTGCGTTGCTGGGGTAACCTCAGGTTCCGTCTAGACTGGTGACAGTGTTCTTGGGGACTGTCTCGAGATCCATTAATCAAGTCGAAGCTAATGAGTTGTTTGAATGGGATCACGGAATAGCTCTGCATGCACTGCAGGGGAATGGGGCCTCATCTCGCCTCTAGGGGGAAGTCTCATGATTTTTCTCGAGTTGGGGCGGAGACCTGGGGTATGATCTCGACTTACGGCGGGGATGGCCCTTCAAAACACGAGTTTCTTCAGTGACGTCAGGACTCCTGTCTAGTAACGAGGGACACCTCAGGAATCTCTTCGAGGCTTGGCTGGGCAAAAGGGACGCTTCTTGAGGTGAGTCAGGGCACCCAAGGACCCTTTCCAGTAGCCACAGGGACTCTGGGATTCCTATCAGTATTCAAGAGGAGTCAGGCATCGTCACCTTTTGAAGCAATGAACTCTGCGTGCCTCTCGAGTTGTTAGCGGGATGTGAGGCATTCCGTCAAAATGAGGCAGGGACCTACGGCTTTCTCTAAAATCTCCACAGGGGATTCAGACATCCCTTCATGTTGTGAGATGAAAGACGAGCCTGTATTTAAGCCACTGCAAGGAAATCCGGCCTCCTTTCAAGTTAGGGCTTCTCGCTGTATATTCCCGTTGAGGCAGCAAACTCGGGGTCCCTCCCACATAACTATTGCTGAGAGAAGCCTCCTCCTGAGGTGCTTCTGGAAAGTTGGCATACGTCTTGAGCCTAAGCCAGGGAATCAGCTCTCATCTCGAGATGATTTGGGGTACACGGAGCTTTCCTCGAGTTGCTGTGTTGAAGTTGGTGTTCCTCTAGACTTGGGACAGTGTTCTCGGTGCATCTCTGGTGTTGCCTGAAGGAAGTTGAGCCACCGGTCGTGTTGAATGGGGAACGGGGAATGGCTCTGGAGTCAATGCAGGTGAATCGGGCCTCATCTCGAGTTGATTTGGGGCACATGGAGCTGCTTTGCGTTGCTGGGGTGACCTCAGGGTCCGTCTAGACTGGTGACAGTGTTCTTGGGGACTGTCTCGAGATCCATTAATCAAGTCGAAGCTCCTGACTTGTTTGAATGGGATCACGGAATAGCTCTGCATGCACTGCAGGGGAATGGGGCCTCATCTCGAGTTGATATGGGGCACATGGAGCTGCTTTGCGTTGCTGGGGTGACCTCAGGGTCCCTCTAGACTGGTGACAGTGTTCTTGGGGACTGTCTCGAGATCCATTAAGCAAGTCGAAGCTCCTGAATTGTTTGAATGGTATCACGGAATAGCTCTGCACGCACTGCAGGGAAATGGGGCCTCATCTCGCCTCTAGGGGGAAGTCTCATGGTTTTTCTCGACTTGCGGCGGGGACCTGGGGTATGTTCTCGACTTACGGCGGGGATGGCCCTTCAAAACACGAGTTTCTTCTGTGACATCAGGACTCCTGTCTAGTAACGAGGGACACCTCAGGAATCTCTTCGAGGCTTGGCAGGGCAAAAGGGATGCTTCTCGAGGTGAGGCAGGGCACCCAAGGACCCTTTCCAGTAGCCACAGGGATTCTGGGATTCCTATCAGTATTCAAGAGGAGTCAGGCATCGTCACCTTTTGAAGCAATGAACTCCTCGTGCCTCTCGAGATGTCAGCGGGGTTTGAGGCATTCCGTCAAAATGAGGCAGGGACCTAGGGCTTTCTCTAAGTCTCCACAGGGGATTCAGACATCCCTTCATGTTGTGAGATGAAAGACGAGCCTGTATTCAAGCCACTGCAAGGAAATCCGGCCTCCTTTCAAGTTAGGGCTTCTCGCTGTATATTCCCCTTGAGGCAGCAAACTCGGGGTCCCTCCCACATACCTATTGCTGAGAGAAGCCTCCTCCTGAGGTGCTTCTGGAAAGTTGGCATACGTCTTGAGCCTAAGCCAGGAAATCAGCTCTCATCTCGAGACGACTTGGGGTACAGGGAGCATTCCTCGAGTTGCTGTGCTGAAGTTGGTGTTCCTCTAGACTTGGGACAGTGATTTTGGGGCATCTCTGGAGTTGCCTGAAGGAAGTCGAGCCGCCGGTCGTGTTGAATGGGGAACGGGGAATGGCTCTGGAGTCAATGCAGGGCAATTGGGCCTCATCTCGAGTTGATTTGGGGCACATGGAGCTGCTTTGCGTTGCTGGGGTGACCTCAGGGTCCGTCTAGACTGGTGACAGTGTTCTTGGGGACTGTCACGAGATCCATTAAGCAAGTCGAATCTCCTGACTTGTTTGAATGGGATCACGGAAGAGGTCTGCATGCACTGCAGGGGAATGGGGCCTCATCTCGCCTCTAGGGGGAAGTCTCATGGTTTTTCTCGAGTTGCGGCGGGGACCTGGGGTATTTCTTGACTTACGGCGGGGATGGCCCTTCAAAACAGGAGTTTCTTCAGTGACGTCAGGATTCCTGTCTAGTAACGAGGGACACCTCAGGAATCTCTTCGAGGCTTGGCAGTGCAAAAGGGACGCTTCTCGAGGTGAGGCAGGGCACCCAAGGACCCTTTACAGTAGCCACGGGGATTTTGGGATTCCTATCAGTATTCAAGAGGAGTCAGGCATCGTCCCCATTTGAAGCAATGAACTCTGCATGCCTCTCGAGTTGTTAGCGGGATGTGAGGCATTCCATCAAAATGAGGCAGGGACCTACGGCTTTCTCTAAAATCTCCACAGGGGATTCAGACATCCCTTCATGTTGTGAGATGAAAGACGAGCCTGTATTCAAGCCACTGCAAGGAAATCCGGCCTACTTTCAAGTTAGGGCTTCTCGCTGTATATTCCCCTTGAGGCAGCAAACTCGGGGTCCCTCCCACATACCTATTGCTGAGAGAAGCCTTCTCCTGAGGTGCTTCTGGAATGTTGGCATACGTCTTGAGCCTAAGCCAGGAAATCAGCTCTCATCTCGAGACGATTTGGGGTACACGGAGCATTCCTCGAGTTGCTGTGCTGAAGTTGGTGTTCCTCTAGACTTGGGACAGTGTTCTCGAGGCATCTCTGGAGTTGCCTGAAGGAAGTCGAGCCGCCGGTCGTGTTGAATGGGGAACGGGGAATGACTCTGGAGTCAATGCAGGGCAATCGGGCCTCATCTCGAGTTGATTCGGGGCACATGGAGCTGCTTTGCGTTGCTGGGGTGACCTCAGGTTCCGTCTAGACTGCTGACAGTGTTCTTGGGGACTCTCTCGAGATCCATTAAGCAAGTCGAAGCTCCTGACTTGTTTGAATGGGATCACGGAATAGCTCTGCACGCACTGCAAGGGAATGTGGCCTCATCTCGCCTCTAGGGGGAACTCTCATGGTTTTTCTCGAGTTGCGGCGGGGACCTGGGGTATGTTCTCGACTTACGGCGGGGATGGCCATTCAAAACACGAGTTTCTTCAGTGACGTCAGGACTCCTGTCTAGTAACGAGGGACATCTCAGGAATCTCTTCGAGGCTTAGCAGGGCAAAAGGGACGCTTCTCGAGGTGAGGCAGGGCACCCAAGGACCCTTTCCAGTAGCCACAGGGATTCTTCGATTCCTATCAGTATTCAACAGAAGTCAGGCATCCTCACTTTTTAAAGCAATGAACTCCGCGTGCCTTTCGACGTGTTAGCGGAATGAGAGGCATTCCGTCAAAATGAGGCAGGGACCTAGCGCTTTCTCTAAGGTCTCCACAGGGGATTCAGACATCCCTTCATGTTGTGAGATGAAAGACGAGCCTGTATTCAAGCCACTGCAAGGAAATCTGGCCTCCTTTCAAGTTAGGGCTTCTCGCTGTATATTCCCCTTGAGGCAGCATACTCGGGGTCCCTCCCACATACTTATTGCTGAGAGAAGCCTCCTCCTGAGGTACTTCTGGAAAGTTGGCATACGTCTTGAGCCTAAGCCAGGGAATCAGCTCTCATCTCGAGATGATTTGGGGTACACGGAGCATTCCTCGAGTTGCTGTGCTGAAGTTGGTGTTCCTCTAGACTTGCGACAGTGTTCTCGGGGCATCTCTGGAGTTGCCTGAAGGAAGTCGAGCCACCGGTCGTGTTGAATGGGGAACGGGGAATGGCTCTGGTGTCAATGCAGGGGAATCGGGCCTCATCTCGAGTTGATTTTGAGAACATGGAGCTGCTTTGCGTTGCTGGGGTGACCTCAGGGTCCGTCTAGACTGGTGACAGTGTTCTTGGGGAGTGTCTCGAGATCCATTAAGCAAGTCGAAGCTCCTGACTTCTTTGAATGGGATCATGGAATAGCTCTGCACGCCCTGCAGTGGAATGGGGCCTCATCTCGCCTCTAGGGGGAAGTCTCATGGTTTTTCTCGAGTTGCGGCGGGGACCTGGGGTATGTTCTCGACTTACGGCGGGGATGGCCCTTCAAAACACGAGTTTCTTCAGTGACGTCAGGACTCCTGTCTAGTAACGAGGGACACCTCAGGAATCTCTTCGAGGCTTGGGAGGGCAAAAGGGACGCTTCTCGAGGTGAGGCAGGGCACCCAAGGACCCTTTCCAGTAGCCACAGGGATTTTGGGATTCCTATCAGTATTCAAGAGGAGTCAGGCATCGTCACCTTTTGAAGCAATGAACTCCGCGTGCCTCTCGAGGTGTCAGCGGGATGTGAGGCATTCCGTCAAAATGAGGCAGGGACCTAGGGCTTTCTCTAAGGTCTCCACAGGGGATTCAGACATCCCTTCATGTTGTGAGATGAAAGACGAGCCTGTATTCAAGCCACTGCAAGGAAATCCGGCCTGCTTTCAAGTTAGGGCTTCTCGCTGTATATTCCCCTTGAGGCAGCAAACTCGGGGTCCCTCCCACATACCCATTGCTGAGAGAAGCCTCCTCCTGAGGTGCTTCTGGAAAGTTGGCATACGTCTTGAGCCTAAGCCAGGAAATCAGCTCTCATCTCGAGACGATTTGGGGTACAGGGGCATTCCTCGAGTTGCTGTGCTGAAGTTGGTCTTCCTCTAGACTTGGGACAGTGATTTCGGGGCATCTCTGGAGTTGCCTGAAGGAAGTCGAGCCGCCGGTCGTGTTGAATGGGGAACGGGGAATGGCTCTGGAGTCAATGCAGGGCAATTGGGCCTCATCTCGAGTTGATTTGGGGCACATGGAGCTGCTTTGTGTTGCTGGGGTGACCTCAGGGTCCGTCTAGACTGGTGACAGTGTTCTTGGGGACTGTCACGAGATCCATTAAGCAAGTCGAATCTCCTGACTTGTTTGAATGGGATCACGGAAGAAGTCTGCATGCACTGCAGGGGAATGGGGCCTCATCTCGCCTCTAGGGGGAAGTCTCATGGTTTTTCTCGAGTTGCGGCGGGGACCTGGGGTATTTCTTGACTTACGGCGGGGATGGCCCTTCAAAACACGAGTTTCTTCAGTGACGTCAGGATTCCTGTCTAGTAACGAGGGACACCTCAGGAATCTCTTCGAGGCTTGGCAGTGCAAAAGGGACGCTTCTCGAGGTGAGGCAGGGCACCCAAGGACCCTTTACAGTAGCCACGGGGATTTTTGGATTCCTATCAGTATTCAAGAGGAGTCAGGCATCATCCCCATTTGAAGCAATGAACTCTGCATGCCTCTCGAGTTGTTAGCGGGATGTGAGGCATTCCATCAAAATGAGGCAGGGACCTACGGCTTTCTCTAAAATCTCCACAGGGGATTCAGACATCCCTTCATGTTGTGAGATGAAAGACGAGCCTGTATTCAAGCCACTGCAAGGAAATCCGGCCTACTTTCAAGTTAGGGCTTCTCGCTGTATATTCCCCTTGAGGCAGCAAACTCGGGGTCCCTCCCACATACCTATTGCTGAGAGAAGCCTTCTCCTGAGGTGCTTCTGGAAAGTTGGCATACGTCTTGAGCCTAAGCCAGGAAATCAGCTCTCATCTCGAGACGATTTGGGGTACACGGAGCATTCCTCGAGTTGCTGTGCTGAAGTTGGTGTTCCTCTAGACTTGGGACAGTGTTCTCGAGGCATCTCTGGAGTTGCCTGAAGGAAGTCGAGCCGCCGGTCGTGTTGAATGGGGAACGGGGAATGACTCTGGAGTCAATGCAGGGCAATCGGGCCTCATCTCGAGTTGATTCGGGGCACATGGAGCTGCTTTGCGTTGCTGGGGTGACCTCAGGTTCCGTCTAGACTGCTGACAGTGTTCTTGGGGACTCTCTCGAGATCCATTAAGCAAGTCGAAGCTCCTGACTTGTTTGAATGGGATCACGGAATAGCTCTGCACGCACTGCAAGGGAATGTGGCCTCATCTCGCCTCTAGGGGGAACTCTCATGGTTTTTCTCGAGTTGCGGCGGGGACCTGGGGTATGTTCTCGACTTACGGCGGGGATGGCCCTTCAAAACACGAGTTTCTTCAGTGACGTCAGGACTCCTGTCTAGTAACGAGGGACATCTCAGGAATCTCTTCGAGGCTTAGCAGGGCAAAAGGGACGCTTCTCGAGGTGAGGCAGGGCACCCAAGGACCCTTTCCAGTAGCCACAGGGATTCTGCGATTCCTATCAGTATTCAAGAGAAGTCAGGCATCCTCACCTTTTAAAGCAATGAACTCCGCGTGCCTTTCGACGTGTTAGCGGAATGAGAGGCATTCCGTCAAAATGAGGCAGGGACCTAGCGCTTTCTCTAAGGTCTCCACAGGGGATTCAGACATCCCTTCATGTTGTGAGATGAAAGACGAGCCTGTATTCAAGCCACTGCAAGGAAATCCGGCCTCCTTTCAAGTTAGGGCTTCTCGCTGTATATTCCCCTTGAGGCAGCATACTCGGGGTCCCTCCCACATACTTATTGCTGAGAGAAGCCTCCTCCTGAGGTACTTCTGGAAAGTTGGCATACGTCTTGAGCCTAAGCCAGGGAATCAGCTCTCATCTCGAGATGATTTGGGGTACACGGAGCATTCCTCGAGTTGCTGTGCTGAAGTTGGTGTTCCTCTAGACTTGCGACAGTGTTCTCGGGGCATCTCTGGAGTTGCCTGAAGGAAGTCGAGCCACCGGTCGAGTTGAATGGGGAACGGAGAATGGCTCTGGAGTCAATGCAGGGGAATCGGGCCTCATCTCGACGTGATTTGGGGCACATGGAGCTGCTTTGCGTTGCTGGGGTGACCTCAGGGTCCGTCTAGACTTGTGACAGTGTTCTTGGGGACTGTCTCGAGATCCATTAAGCAAGTCGAAGCTCCTGACTTCTTTGAATGGGATCATGGAATAGCTCTGCACGCCCTGCAGTGGAATGGGGCCTCATCTCGCCTCTAGGGGGAAGTCTCATGGTTTTTCTCGAGTTGCGGCGGGGACCTGGGGTATGTTCTCGACTTACGGCGGGGATGGCCCTTCAAAACACGAGTTTCTTCAGTGACGTCAGGACTCCTGTCTAGTAACGAGGGACACCTCAGGAATCTCTTCGAGGCTTGGGAGGGCAAAAGGGACGCTTCTCGAGGTGAGGCAGGGCACCCAAGGACCCTTTCCAGTAGCCACAGGGATTTTGGGATTCCTATCAGTATTCAAGAGGAGTCAGGCATCGTCACCTTTTGAAGCAATGAACTCCGCGTGCCTCTCGAGGTGTCAGCGGGATGTGAGGCATTCCGTCAAAATGAGGCAGGGACCTAGGGCTTTCTCTAAGGTCTCCACAGGGGATTCAGACATCCCTTCATGTTGTGAGATGAAAGACGAGCCTGTATTCAAGCCACTGCAAGGAAATCCGGCCTGCTTTCAAGTTAGGGCTTCTCGCTGTATATTCCCCTTGAGGCAGCAAACTCGGGGTCCCTCCCACATACCCATTGCTGAGAGAAGCCTCCTCCTGAGGTGCTTCTGGAAAGTTGGCATACGTCTTGAGCCTAAGCCAGGAAATCAGCTCTCATCTCGAGACGATTTGGGGTACAGGGGCATTCCTCGAGTTGCTGTGCTGAAGTTGGTCTTCCTCTAGACTTGGGACAGTGATTTCGGGGCATCTCTGGAGTTGCCTGAAGGAAGTCGAGCCGCCGGTCGTGTTGAATGGGGAACGGGGAATGGCTCTGGAGTCAATGCAGGGCAATTGGGCCTCATCTCGAGTTGATTTGGGGCACATGGAGCTGCTTTGTGTTGCTGGGGTGACCTCAGGGTCCGTCTAGACTGGTGACAGTGTTCTTGGGGACTGTCACGAGATCCATTAAGCAAGTCGAATCTCCTGACTTGTTTGAATGGGATCACGGAAGAAGTCTGCATGCACTGCAGGGGAATGGGGCCTCATCTCGCCTCTAGGGGGAAGTCTCATGGTTTTTCTCGAGTTGCGGCGGGGACCTGGGGTATTTCTTGACTTACGGCGGGGATGGCCCTTCAAAACACGAGTTTCTTCAGTGACGTCAGGATTCCTGTCTAGTAACGAGGGACACCTCAGGAATCTCTTCGAGGCTTGGCAGTGCAAAAGGGACGCTTCTCGAGGTGAGGCAGGGCACCCAAGGACCCTTTACAGTAGCCACGGGGATTTTTGGATTCCTATCAGTATTCAAGAGGAGTCAGGCATCATCCCCATTTGAAGCAATGAACTCTGCATGCCTCTCGAGTTGTTAGCGGGATGTGAGGCATTCCATCAAAATGAGGCAGGGACCTACGGCTTTCTCTAAAATCTCCACAGGGGATTCAGACATCCCTTCATGTTGTGAGATGAAAGACGAGCCTGTATTCAAGCCACTGCAAGGAAATCCGGCCTACTTTCAAGTTAGGGCTTCTCGCTGTATATTCCCCTTGAGGCAGCAAACTCGGGGTCCCTCCCACATACCTATTGCTGAGAGAAGCCTTCTCCTGAGGTGCTTCTGGAAAGTTGGCATACGTCTTGAGCCTAAGCCAGGAAATCAGCTCTCATCTCGAGACGATTTGGGGTACACGGAGCATTCCTCGAGTTGCTGTGCTGAAGTTGGTGTTCCTCTAGACTTGGGACAGTGTTCTCGAGGCATCTCTGGAGTTGCCTGAAGGAAGTCGAGCCGCCGGTCGTGTTGAATGGGGAACGGGGAATGACTCTGGAGTCAATGCAGGGCAATCGGGCCTCATCTCGAGTTGATTCGGGGCACATGGAGCTGCTTTGCGTTGCTGGGGTGACCTCAGGTTCCGTCTAGACTGCTGACAGTGTTCTTGGGGACTCTCTCGAGATCCATTAAGCAAGTCGAAGCTCCTGACTTGTTTGAATGGGATCACGGAATAGCTCTGCACGCACTGCAAGGGAATGTGGCCTCATCTCGCCTCTAGGGGGAACTCTCATGGTTTTTCTCGAGTTGCGGCGGGGACCTGGGGTATGTTCTCGACTTACGGCGGGGATGGCCCTTCAAAACACGAGTTTCTTCAGTGACGTCAGGACTCCTGTCTAGTAACGAGGGACATCTCAGGAATCTCTTCGAGGCTTAGCAGGGCAAAAGGGACGCTTCTCGAGGTGAGGCAGGGCACCCAAGGACCCTTTCCAGTAGCCACAGGGATTCTGCGATTCCTATCAGTATTCAAGAGAAGTCAGGCATCCTCACCTTTTAAAGCAATGAACTCCGCGTGCCTTTCGACGTGTTAGCGGAATGAGAGGCATTCCGTCAAAATGAGGCAGGGACCTAGCGCTTTCTCTAAGGTCTCCACAGGGGATTCAGACATCCCTTCATGTTGTGAGATGAAAGACGAGCCTGTATTCAAGCCACTGCAAGGAAATCCGGCCTCCTTTCAAGTTAGGGCTTCTCGCTGTATATTCCCCTTGAGGCAGCATACTCGGGGTCCCTCCCACATACTTATTGCTGAGAGAAGCCTCCTCCTGAGGTACTTCTGGAAAGTTGGCATACGTCTTGAGCCTAAGCCAGGGAATCAGCTCTCATCTCGAGATGATTTGGGGTACACGGAGCATTCCTCGAGTTGCTGTGCTGAAGTTGGTGTTCCTCTAGACTTGCGACAGTGTTCTCGGGGCATCTCTGGAGTTGCCTGAAGGAAGTCGAGCCACCGGTCGAGTTGAATGGGGAACGGAGAATGGCTCTGGAGTCAATGCAGGGGAATCGGGCCTCATCTCGACGTGATTTGGGGCACATGGAGCTGCTTTGCGTTGCTGGGGTGACCTCAGGGTCCGTCTAGACTTGTGACAGTGTTCTTGGGGACTGTCTCGAGATCCATTAAGCAAGTCGAAGCTCCTGACTTGTTTGAATGGAATCAAGGAATAGCTCTGCACGCACTGCAGGGGAATGGGGCCTCATCTCGCCTCTAGGGGGAAGTCTCATGGATTTTCTCGAGTTGCGGCGGGGACCTGGGGTATGTTCTCGACTTACGGCGGGATGGCCCTTCAAAACACGAGTTTCTTCAGTGACGTCAGGACTCCTGTCTAGTAACGAGGGACACCTCAGGAATCTCTTCGAGGCTTGGGAGCGCAAAAGGGACGCTTCTCGAGGTGAGGCAGGGCACCCAAGGACCCTTTCCAGTAGCCACAGGGATTTTGGGATTCCTATCAGTATTCAAGAGGAGTCAGGCATCGTCACCTTTTGAAGCAATGAACTCCGCGTGCCTCTCGAGGTGTCAGCGGGATGCGAGGCATTCCGTCAAAATGAGGCAGGGACCTAGGGCTTTCTCTAAGGTCTCCACAGGGGATTCAGACATCCCTTCATGTTGTGAGATGAAAGACGAGCCTGTATTCAAGCCACTGCAAGGAAATCCGGCCTGCTTTCAAGTTAGGGCTTCTCGCTGTATATTCCCCTTGAGGCAGCAAACTCGGGGTCCCTCCCACATACCTATTGCTGAGAGAAGCCTCCTCCTGAGGTGCTTCTGGAAAGTTGGCATACGTCTTGAGCCTAAGCCAGGGAATCAGCTCTCATCTCAAGAAGATTTGGGTTACACGGAGCATTCCTCGAGTAGCTGTGCTGAAGTTGGTGTTCCTCTAGACTTGGGACAGTGTTCTCGGGACATCTCTGGAGTTGCCTGAAGGAAGTCGAGCCACCGGTCATGTTGAATGGGGAACGGGGAATGGCTCTGGAATCAATGCAAGGGAATCGGGACTCATCTCGAGTTGATTTGGGGCACATGGAGCTGCTTTGCGTTGCTGGGGTGACCTCAGGGTCCGTCTAGACTGGTGACAGTGTTCTTGGGGACTGTCTCGAGATCCATTAAGCAAGTCGAAGCTCCTGACTTGTTTGAATGGAATCAAGGAATAGCTCTGCACGCACTGCAGGGGAATGGGGCCTCATCTCGCCTCTAGGGGGAAGTCTCATGGTTTTTCTCGAGTTGCGGCGGGACCTGGGGTATGTTCTTGACTTACGGCGGGGATGGCCCTTCTAAACACGAGTTTCTTCAGAGACGTCAGGACTCCTGTCTAGTAACGAGGGACACCTCAGGAATCTCTTCGAGGCTTGGCAGGGCAAAAGGGACGCTTCTCGAGGTGAGGCAGGGCACCCAAGGACCCTTTCCAGTAGCCACAGGGATTCTGGGATTCCTATCAGTATTCAAGAGGAGTCAGGCATCGTCACCTTTTGAAGCAATGAACTCCGGTGCCTCTCGAGGTGTCAGCGGGATGTGAGGCATTCCGTCAAAATGAGGCAGGGACCTAGGGCTTTCTCTAAGGTCTCCACAGCGGATTCAGACATCCCTTTATGTTGTGAGATGAAAGACGAGACTGTATTCAAGCCACTGCAAGGAAATCCAGCCTCCTTTCAAGTTAGGGCTTCTCGCTGTATATTCCCCTTGAGGCAGCAAACTCGGGGTCCCTCCCACATTCCTATTGCTGAGAGAAACCTCCTCCTGAGGTGCTTCTGGAAAGTTGGCATACGTCTTGAGCCTAACCCAGGGAATCAGCTCTCATCTCGAGACGATTTGGGGGTACACGGAGCATTCCTCGAGTTGCTGTGCTGAAGTTGGTGTTCCTCTAGACTTGGGACAGGGTACTCGGGGCATCTCTGGAGTTGCTTGAAGGAAGTGGAGCCACCGGTCGTGTTGAATGGGGAACGGGGAATGGCTCTGGAGTCAATGCAGGGGAATCGGGCCTCATCTCGAGTTGATCTGGGGCACATGTAGCTGCTTTGTGTTGCTGGGGTGACCTCAGGGTCCGTCTAGACTGGTGACAGTGCTCTTGGGAACTGTCTCGAGATCGATTAAGCAAGTCGAAGTTCCTGACTTGTTTGAATGGGATCACGGAATAGCTCTGCATGCACTGCATGGGAATGGGGCCTCATCTCGCCTCTAGGGGGAAGTCTCATGGTTTTTCTCGAGTTGTGACGGGGACTTGGGTTATTTTCTCGACTTACGGCGGGGATGGCCCTTCAAAACACGAGTTTCTTCAGTGACGTCAGTACTCCTGTCTAGTAACGAGGGACACCTCAGGAATCTCTTCGAGGCTTGGCAGGGTAAAAGGGACGCTTCTCGAGGTGAGGCAGGGCACCCAAGGACCCTTTCCTGTAGCCACAGGGATTCTGGGATTCCTATCAGTATTCAAGAGGAGTCAGGCATCGTCACCTTTTGAAGCAATGAACTCCGCGTGCCTCTCGAGGTGTGAGCGCGATGTGAGGCATTCCGTCAAAATGAGGCAGGGACCTAGGGCTTTCTCTAAGGTCTCCACAGGGGATTCAGACATCCCTTCATGTTGTGAGATGAAAGACGAGCCTGTATTCAAGCCACTGCAAGGAAATCCGGCCTCCTTTCAAGTTAGGGCTTCTCGCTGTATATTCCCCTTGAGGCAGCATACTCGGGGTCCCTCCCACATACTTATTGCTGAGAGAAGCCTCCTCCTGAGGTACTTCTGGAAAGTTGGCATACGTCTTGAGCCTAAGCCAGGGAATCAGCTCTCATCTCGAGATGATTTGGGGTACACGGATCATTCCTCGAGTTGCTGTGCTGAAGTTGGTGTTCCTCTAGACTTGGGACAGTGTTCTCGGGGCATCTCTGGAGTTGCCTGAAGGAAGTCGAGCCACCGGTCGAGTTGAATGGGGAACGGAGAATGGCTCTGGAGTCAATGCAGGGGAATCGGGCCTCATCTCGACGTGATTTGGGGCACATGGAGCTCCTTTGCGTTGCTGGGGTGACCTCAGGGTCCGTCTAGACTTGTGACAGTGTTCTTGGGGACTGTCTCGAGATCCATTAAGCAAGTCGAAGCTCCTGACTTGTTTGAATGGAATCAAGGAATAGCTCTGCACGCACTGCAGGGGAATGGGGCCTCATCTCGCCTCTAGGGGGAAGTCTCATGGATTTTCTCGAGTTGCGGCGGGGACCTGGGGTATGTTCTCGACTTACGGCGGGATGGCCCTTCAAAACACGAGTTTCTTCTGTGACGTCAGGACTCCTGTCTAGTAACGAGGGACACCTCAGGAATCTCTTCGAGGCTTGGGAGCGCAAAAGGGACGCTTCTCGAGGTGAGGCAGGGCACCCAAGGACCCTTTCCAGTAGCCACAGGGATTCTGGGATTCCTATCAGTATTCAAGAGGAGTCAGGCATCTTCAGCTTTTGAAGCAATGAACTCCTCGTGCCTCTCGAGGTGTCAGCGGGATGTGAGGCATTCCGTCAAAATGAGGCAGGGAACTAGGGCTTTCTCTAAGGTATCCACAGGGGATTCAGACATTCCTTCATGTCGTGAGATGAAAGACAAGCCTGTATTCAAGCCACTGCAAGGAAATCCGGCCTCCTTTCAAGTTAGGGATTCTCGCTGTATATTCCCCTTGAGGCAGCAAACTCGGGGTCCCTCCCACATACATATTGCTGAGAGAAGCCTCCTCCTGAGGTCCTTCTGGAAAGTTGGCATACGTCTTGAGCCTAAGCCAGGGAATCAGCTCTCATCTCGAAATGATTTGGGGTACACGGAGCATTCCTCGAGTTGCTGTGCTGAAGTTGGTGTTCCTCTAGACTTGGGACAGTGTTCTCGGGGCATCTCTGGAGTTGCGTGAAGGAAGTCGAGCCACTGGTCGTGTTGAATGGGGAACGGGGAATGGCTCTGGAGTCAATGCAGGGGAATCGGGCCTCATCTCGAGTTGATTTGGGGCACATGGAGCTGCTTTGCGTTGCTGGGGTGACCTCAGCGTCCGTCTAGACTGGTGACAGTGTTCTTGGGGACTCTCTCGAGATCCATTAAGCAAGTCGAAGCTCCTGACTTGTTTGAATGGGATCACGGAATAGCTCTGCATGCACTGCAGGGGAATGGGGCCTCATCTCGCCTCTAGGGGGAAGTCTCATGGATTTTCTCGAGTTGCGGCGGGGACCTGGGGTATGTTCTCGACTTACAGCGGGGATGGCCCTTCAAAACACGAGTTTCTTCAGTGACGTCAGGACTCCTGTCTAGTAACGAGGGACACCTCAGGAATCTCTTCGAGGCTTGGCAGGGCAAAAGGGACGCTTCTCGAGGTGAGGCAGGGCACCCAAGGACCCTTTCCTGTAGCCACAGGGATTTTGGGATTCCTATCAGTATTCAAGAGGAGTCAGGCATCGTCACCTTTTGAAGCAATGAACTCCGCGTGCCTCTCGATGTGTCAGCGGGATGTGAGGCATTCGGTCAAAATGAGGCAGGGACCTAGGGCTTTCTCTAAGGTCTCCACAGGGGATTCAGACATGCCTTCATGTTGTGAGATGAAACATGAGCCTGTATTCAAGCCACTGCAAGGAAATCTGGCCTCCTTTCAATTTAGGGCTTCTCGCTGTATATTCCCCTTGAGGCAGCAAACTTGGGGTCCCTCCCACATACCTATTGCTGAGAGAAGCCTCCTCCTGAGGTTCTTCTGGAAAGTTGGCATACGTCTTGAGCCTAAGCCAGGGAATCAGCTCTCATCTCGAGACGATTTGGGGTACACGGAGCATTCCTCGAGTTGCTGTGCTGAAGTTGGTGTTCCTCTAGACTTGGGACAGTGTTCTCGGGGCATCTCTGGAGTTGCCTGAAGGAAGTCGAGCCACCGGTCGTGTTGAATGGGGACCAGGGAATGGCTCTGGAGTCAATGCAGGGGAATCGGGCCTCATCTGGAGTTGATTTGGGGCACATGGAGCTGCTTTGCGTTGCTGGGGTGGCCTCAGGGTCCGTCTAGACTGGTGACAGTGTTCTTGGGGACTGTCTCGAGATCCATTAAGCAAGTCGAAGCTCCTGACTTGTTTGAATGGGATCAGGGAATAGCTCTGCATGCACTGCAGGGGAATGGGGCCTCATCTCGCCTCAAGGGGGAAGTCTCATGGTTTTTCTCGAGTTGTGGCAGGGACCTGGGTTATGTTCTCGACTTACGGCTGGGAAGGCCCTTCAAAACACGAGTTTCTTCAGTGACGTCAGGACTCCTGTCTAGTAACGAGGGACACCTCAGGAATCTCTTCGAGGCTTGACAGGGCAAAACGGACGCTTCTCGAGGTGAGGCAGGGCACCCAAGGACCCTTTCCAGTAGCCACGGGGATTTTGGGATTCCTATGAGTATTCAAGAAGAGTCAGGCATCGTCACCTTTTGAAGAAATGAACTCTGCGTGCCTCTCGAGGTGTCAGCGGGATGTGAGGCATTCCGTCAAAATGAGGCAGGGACCTACGGCTTTCTCTAAGGTCTCCACAGTGGATTCCGACATCCCTTCATGTTGTGAGATGAAAGACGAGCCTGTATTCAAGCCACTGCAAGGAAATCCGGCCTCCTTTCAAGTTAGGGCTTCTCGCTCTATATTCCCCTTGAGGCAGCAAATTCGGGGTCCCTCCCACACACTTATTGCTGTGAGAATCCTCCTCCTGAGGTGCTTCTGGAAAGTTGGCATACGTATTGACCCTAAGCCCGGGCATCAGCTCTCATCTCGAGACGATTTGGGGTACACGGAGCATTCCTCGAGTTGCTGTGCTGAAGTTGGTGTTCCTCTAGACTTGGGAGAGTGTTCTCGGGGCATCTCTGGAGTTGCCTGAAGGAAGTCGAGCCACCGGTCGTGTTGAATGGGGAACGGGGAATGGCTCTGGAGTCAATGCAGGGGAATCGGGCCTCATCTCGAGTTGATTTGGGGCACATGGAGCTGCATTGCGTTGCTGGGGTGACCTCAGCGTCCGTCTAGACTGGTGACAGTGTTCTTGGGGACTCTCTCGAGATCCATTAAGCAAGTCGAAGCTCCTGACTTGTTTGAATGGGATCAAGGAATAGCTCTGCATGCACTGCAGGGGAATGGGGCCTCATCTCGCCTCTAGGGGGAAGTCTCATGGATTTTCTCGAGTTGCGGCGGGGACCTGGGGTATGTTCTCGACTTACGGCGGGGATGGCCCTTCAAAACACGAGTTTCTTCAGTGACGTCAGGACTCCTGTCTAGTAACGAGGGACACCTCAGGAATCTCTTCCAAGCTTGGCAGGGCAAAAGGGACGCTTCTCGAAGTGAGGCAGGGCACACAAGGACCCTTTCCAGTAGCCACAGGGATTTTGGGATTCCTATCAGTATTCAAGAGGAGTCAGGCATCGTCACCTTTTGAAGCAATGAACTCTGCGTGCCTCTCGAGGTGTCAGCGGAATGTGAGGCATTCCGTCAAAATGAGGCATGGACCTAGGGCTTTCTCTAAGGTCTCCAAAGGGCATTCAGTCATCCCTTCATGTTTTGAGATCAAAGAAGAGCCTGTATTCAAGCCACTGCAAGGAAATCCGGCCTCCTTTCACGTTAGGGCTTCTCGCTGTATATTCCCCTTGAGGCAGCAAACTCGGGGTCCCTCCCACATACCTATTGCTGAGAGAAGCCTCCTCCTGAGGTGCTTCTGGAAAGTTGGCATACGTCTTGAGCCTAAGCCAGGGAATCAGCTCTCATCTCGAGACGATTTGGGGTACACGGAGCATTCCTCGAGTTGCTGTGCTGAAGTTGGTGTTCCTCTAGACTTGGGAGAGTGTTCTCGGGGCATCTCTGGAGTTGCCTGAAGGAAGTCGAGCCACCGGTCGTGTTGAATGGGGAACGGGGAACGGCTCTGGAGTCAATGCAGGGGAATCGGGCCTCATCTCGAGTTGATTTGGGGCACATGGAGCTGCTTTGCGTTGCTGGGGTGACCTCAGCGTCCGTCTAGACTGGTGACAGTGTTCTTGGGGACTGTCTCGAGATCCATTAAGCAAGTCGAATCTCCTGACTTGTTTGAATGGGATCAAGGAATAGCTCTGCATGCACTGCAGGGGAATGGGGCCTCATCTCGCCTCTAGGGGGAAGTCTCATGGTTTTACTCAAGTTGCGGCGGGGACCTGCGGTATGTTCTCGACTTACGGCGGGATGGCCCTTCAAAACACGAGTTTCTTCAGTGACGTCAGGACTCCTGTTTAGTAACGAAGGACACCTCAGGAATCTCTTCGAGGCTTGGCAGGGCAAAAGGGACGCTTCTCGAGGTGAGGCAGGGCACCCAAGGACCCTTTCCTGTAGCCACAGGGATTTTCGTATTCCTATCAGTATTCAAGAGGAGTCAGGCATTGTCACATTTTGAAGCAATGAACTCGGCGTGCCTCTCGAGGTGTCAGCGGGATGTGAGGCATTCCTTCAAAATGAGGCAGGGACCTAGGGCTTTCTCTAAGGTCTCCACAGGGGATTCAGACATGCCTTCATGTTGTGAGATTAAACACGAGCCTGTATTCAAGCCACTGCAAGGAAATAGGGCCTCCTTTCAATTTAGGGCTTCTCGCTGTATATTCCCCTTGAGGCAGCATACTCGGGGTCCCTCCCACATAGCTATTGCTGAGAGAAGCCTCCTCCTGAGGTTCTTCTGGAAAGTTGGCATACGTCTTGAGCCTAAGCCAGGGAATCAGCTCTCATCTCGAGACGATTTGGGGTACACGGAGCATTCCTCGAGTTGCTGTGCTGAAGTTGGTGTTCCTCTAGACTTGGGACAGTGTTCTCGGGGCATCTCTGGAGTTGCCTGAAGGAAGTCGAGCCACCGGTCGTGTTGAATGGGGAACGGGGAATGGCTCTGGAGTCAATGCAGGGGAATCGGGCCTCATCTCGAGTTGATTTGGGGCACATGGAGCTGCTTTGCGTTGCTGGGGTGACCTCAGCGTCCGTCTAGACTGGTGACAGTGTTCTTGAGGACTGTCTCGAGATCCATCAAGCAAGTCGAAGCTCCTGACTTGTTTGAATGGGATCACGGAATAGCTCTGCATGCACTGCAGGGGAATGGGGCCTCATCTCGCCTCTAGGGGGAAGTCTCATGGTTTTTCTCGAGTTGCGGCGGGGACCTGGGGTATGTTCTCGACTTAAGGCGGGATGGCCCTTCAAAACACGAGTTTCTTCAGTGACGTCAGGACTCCTGTCTAGTAACGAGGGACACCTCAGGAATCTCTTCCAAGCTTGGCAGGGCAAAAGGGACGCTTCTCGAGGTGAGGCAGGGCACCCAAGGACCCTTTCCAGTAGCCACAGGGATTTTGGGATTCCTATCAGTATTCAAGAGGAGTCAGGCATCGTCACCTTTTGAAGCAATGAACTCTGCGTGCCTCTCGAGGTGTCAGCGGGATGTGAGGCATTCCGTCAAAATGAGGCATGGACCTAGGGCTTTCTCTAAGGTCTCCACAGGGCATTCAGTCATCCCTTCATGTTTTGAGATCAAAGAAGAGCCTGTATTCAAGCCACTGCAAGGAAATCCGGCCTCTTTCAAGTTAGGGCTTCTCGCTGTATATTCCCCTTGAGGCAGCAAACTCGGGGTCCCTCCCACATACCTATTGCTGAGAGAAGCCTCCTCCTGAGGTGCTTCTGGAAAGTTGGCATACGTCTTGAGCCTAAGCCAGGGAATCAGCTCTCATCTCGAGACGATTTGGGGTACACGGAGCATTCCTCGAGTTGCTGTGCTGAAGTTGGTGTTCCTCTAGACTTGGGACAGTGTTCTCGGGGCATCTCTGGAGTTGCCTGAAGGAAGTCGAGCCACCGGTCGTGTTGAATGGGGAACGGGGAATGGCTCTGGAGTCAATGCAGGGGAATCGGGCCTCATCTCGAGTTGATTTGGGGCACATGGAGCTGCTTTGCGTTGTTGGGGTGACCTCAGCGTCCGTCTAGACTGGTGACAGTGTTCTTGGGGACTGTCTCGAGATCCATTAAGCAAGTCGAAGCTCCTGACTTGTTTGAATGGGATCACGGAATAGCTCTGCATGCTCTGCAGGGGAATGGGGCCTCATCTCGCCTCTAGAGGGAAGTCTCATGGTTTTTCTCGAGTTGCGGCGGGGACCTGGGGTATGTTCTCGACTTACGGCGGGATGGCCCTTCAAAACACGAGTTTCTTCAGTGACGTCAGGACTCCTGTCTAGTAACGAGGGACACCTCAGGAATCTCTTCGAGGCTTGGCAGGGCAAAAGGGACGCTTCTCGAGGTGAGGCAGGGCACCCAAGGACCCTTTCCTGTAGCCACAGGGATTTTGGGATTCCTATCAGTATTCAAGAGGAGTCAGGCATCGTCACGTTTTGAAGCAATGAACTCCGCGTGCCTCTCGAGGTGTCAGCGGGATGTGAGGCATTCCTTCAAAATGAGGCAGGGACCTATGGCTTTCTCTAAGGTCTCCACAGGGGATTCAGACATGCCTTCATGTTGTGAGATTAAACACGAGCCTGTATTCCAGCCACTGCAAGGAAATCGGGCCTCATTTCAATTTAGGGCTTCTCGCTGTATATTCCCCTTGAGGCAGCAAACTCGGGGTCCCTCCCACATACCTATTGCTGAGAGAAGCCTCCTCCTGAGGTGCTTCTGGAAAGTTGGCATACGTCTTGAGCCTAAGCCAGGGAATCAGCTCTCATCTCGAGACGATTTGGGGTACACGGAGCATTCCTCGAGTTGCTGTGCTGAAGTTGGTGTTCCTCTAGACTTGGGACAGTGTTCTCGGGGCATCTGTTTAGTTGCCTGAAGGAAGTCGAGCCACCGGTCGTGTTGAATGGGGAACGGGGAATGGCTCTGGAGTCAATGCAGGGGAATCGGGCCTCATCTCGAGTTGATTTGGGGCACATGGAGCTGCTTTGCGTTGTTGGGGTGACCTCAGCGTCCGTCTAGAATGGTGAAAGTGTTCTTGGGGACTGTCTCGAGATCCATTAAGCAAGTCGAAGCTCCTGACTTGTTTGAATGGGATCACGGAATAACTGCATGCACTGCAGGGGAATGGGGCCTCATCTCGCCTCTAGGGGGAAGTCTCATGGTTTTTCTCGAGTTGCGGCGGGGACCTGTGGTATGTTCTCGACTTATGACGGGGATGGCCCTTCAAAACACGAGTTTCTTCAGTGACGTCAGGACTCCTGTCTAGTAACGAGGGACACCTCAGGAATCTCTTCGAGGCTTGGCAGGGCAAAAGGGACGCTTCTCGAGGTGAGGCAGGGCACCCAAAGACCCTTTCCTGTAGCCACAGGGATTTTGGGATTCCTATCAGTATTCAAGAGGAGTCAGGCATCGTCACCTTTTGAAGCAATGAACTCCGCATGCCTCTCGAGGTGTCAGCGGGTTGTGAGGCAGTCCTTCAAAATGAGGCAGGGACCTAGGGCTTTCTCTAAGGTCTCCACAGGGGATTCAGACATGCCTTCATGTTGTGAGATTAAACACGAGCCAGTATTCAAGCCACTGCAAGGAAATCGGGCCTCCTTTCAATTTAGGGCTTCTCGCTGTATATTCCCCTTGAGGCAGCAAACTCGGGGTCCCTCCCACATAGCTATTGCTGAGAGAAGCCTCCTCCTGAGGTTCTTCTGGAAAGTTGGCATACGTCTTGACCCTAAGCCAGGGAATCAGCTCTCATCTCGAGACGATTTGGTGTACACGGAGCATTCCTCGAGTTGCTGTGCTGAAGTTGGTGTTCCTCTAGACTTGGGACAGTGTTCTCGGGGCATCTCTGGAGTTGCCTGAAGGAAGTCGAGCCACCGTTCGTGTTGAATGGGGAACGGGGAATGGCTCTGGAGTCAATGCAGGGGAATCGGGCCTCATCTCGAGTTGATTTGGGGCACATGGAGCTGCTTTGCGTTGCTGGGATGGCCTCAGGGTCCGTCTAGACTGGTGACAGTGTTCTTGGGGACTGTCTCGAGATCCATTAAGCAAGTCGAAGCTCCTGACTTGTTTGAATGGGATCACGGAATAGCTCTGCATGCACTGCAGGGGAATGGGGCCTCATCTCGCCTCTAGGGGGAAGTCTCATTGTTTTTCTCGAGTTGCGGCAGGGACCTGGGGTATGTTCTCGACTTACGGCGGGGAAGGCCATTCAAAACACGAGTTTCTTCAGTGACGTCAGGACTCCTGTCTAGTAACGAGGGACACCTCAGGAATCTCTTCCAAGCTTGGCAGGGCAAAAGGGACGCTTCTCGAGGTGAGGCAGGGCACCCAAGGACCCTTTCCAGTAGCCACAGGGATTTTGGGATTCCTATCAGTATTCAAGAGGAGTCAGGCATCGTCACCTTTTGAAGCAATGAACTCTGCGTGCCTCTCGAGGTGTCAGCGGGATGTGAGGCATTCCGTCAAAATGAGGCATGGACCTAGGGCTTTCTCTAAGGTCTCCACAGGGCATTCAGTCATCCCTTCATGTTTTGAGATCAAAGAAGAGCCTGTATTCAAGCCACTGCAGGGAAATCCGGCCTCCTTTCAAGTTAGGGCTTCTCGCTGTATATTCCCCTTGAGGCAGCAAACTCGGGGTCCCTCCCACATACCTATTGCTGAGAGAAGCCTCCTCCTGAGGTGCTTCTGGAAAGTTGGCATACGTCTGGAGCCTAAGCCAGGGAATCACCTCTCATCTCGAGACGATTTGGGGTACACGGAGCATTCCTCGATTTGCTGTGCTGAAGTTGGTGTTCCTCTAGACTTGGGACAGTGTTCTCGGGGCATCTCTGGAGTTACCTGAAGGAAGTCGAGCCACCGGTCATGTTGAATGCGGAACGGGGAATGGCTCTGGAGTCAATGCAGGGGAATCGGGCCTCATCTCGAGTTGATTTGGGTCACATGGAGCTGCTTTGCGTTGCTGGGGTGACCTCAGGGTCTGTCTAGACTGGTGACAGTGTTCTTGGGGACTCTCTCGAGATCCATTAAGCAAGTCGAAGCTCCTGACTTGTTTGAATGGGATCACGGAATAGCTCTGCATGCACTGCAGGGGAATGGGGCCTCATCTCGCCTCTAGGGGGAAGTCTCATGGTTTTACTCGAGTTGCGGCGGGGACCTGGGGTATGTTCTCGACTTACGGCGGGATGGCCCTTCAAAACACGAGTTTCTTCAGTGACGTCAGGACTCCTGTCTAGTAACGAGGGACACCTCAGGAATCTCTTCCAAGCTTGGCAGGGCAAAAGGGACGCTTCTCGAGGTGAGGCAGTGCACCCAAGGACCCTTTCCTGTAGCCACAGGGATTTTGGGATTCCTATCAGTATTCAAGAGGAGTCAGGCATCGTCACCTTTTGAAGCAATGAACTCCGCGTGCCTCTCGAGGTGTCAGCGGGATGTGAGGCATTCCGTCAAAATGAGGCAGGGACCTAGGGCTTTCTCTAAGGTCTCCACAGGGGATTCAGACATGCCTTCATGTTGTGAGATTAAACACGAGCCTGTATTCAAGCCACTGCAAGGAAATTGGGCCTCCTTTCAATTTAGGGCTTCTCGCTGTATATTCCCCTTGAGGCAGCAAACTCGGGGTCCCTCCCACATAGCTATTGCTGAGAGAAGCCTCCTCCTGAGGTGCTTCTGGAAAGTTGGCATACGTCTTGAGCCTAAGCCACGGAATCAGCTCTAATCTCGAGACGATTTGTGGTACACGGAGCATTCCTCGAGTTGCTGTGCTGAAGTTAGTGTTCCTCTAGACTTGGGACAGTGTTCTCGGGGCATCTCTGGAGTTGCCTGAAGGAAGTCGAGCCACCGGTCGTGTTGAATGGGGAACGGGGAATGGCTCTGGAGTCAATGCAGGGGAATCGGGCCTCATCTCGAGTTGATTTGGGGCACATGCAGCTGCTTTGCGTTGCTGGGGTGGCCTCAGGGTCCGTCTAGACTGGTGACAGTGTTCTTGGGGACTGTCTCGAGATCGATTAAGCAAGTCGAAGCTCCTGACTTGTTTGAATGGGATCACGGAATAGCTCTGCATGCACTGCAGGGGAATGGGGCCTCATCTCGCCTCTAGGGGGAAGTCTCATGGTTTTTCTCGAGTTGCGGCAGGGACCTGGGGTATGTTCTCGACTTACGGCGGGGAAGGCCCTTCAAAACACGAGTTTCTTCAGTGACGTCAGGACTCCTGTCTAGTAACGAGGGACACCTCAGGAATCTCTTCGAGGTTTGGCAGGGCAAAACGGACGCTTCTCGAGGTGAGGCAGGGCACCCAAGACCCTTTCCAGTAGCCACGGGGATTTTGGGATTCCTATCAGTATTCAAGAAGAGTCAGGCATCGTCACTTTTGAAGCAATGAACTCTGCGTGCCTCTCGAGGTGTCAGCGGGATGTGAGGCATTCCGTCAAAATGAGGCAGGGACCTAGGGCTTTCTCTAAGGTCTCCACAGTGGATTCCGACATCCCTTCATGTTGTGAGATGAAAGACGAGCCTGTATTCAAGCCACTGCAAGGAAATCCGGCCTCCTTTCAAGTTAGGGCTTCTCGCTGTATATTCCCCTTGAGGCAGCAAACTCGGGGTCCCTCCCACATACCTATTGCTGAGAGAAGCCTCCTCCTGAGGTGCTTCTGGAAAGTTGGCATACGTATTGACCCTAAGCCAGGGAATCAGCTCTCATCTCGAGACGATTTGGGGTACACGGAGCATTCCTCGAGTTGCTGTGCTGAAGTTGGTGTTCCTCTAGACTTCGGACAGTGTTCTCGGGGAATCTCTGGAGTTGCCTGAAGGAAGTAGAGCCACCGGTCGTGTGGAATGGGGATCGGGGAATGGCTCTGGAGTCAATGCAGGGGAATCGGGCCTCATCTCGAGTTGATTTGGGTCACATGGAGCTGCTTTGCTTTGCTGGGGTGACCTCAGCGTCCGTCTAGACTGGTGACATTGTTCTTGGGGACTGTCTCGAGATCCATTAAACAAGTCGAATCTCCTGACTTGTTTGAATGGGATCACGGAATAGCTCTGCATGCACTGCAGGGGAATGGGGCCTCATATCGCCTCTAGGGGGAAGTCTCATGGTTTTTCTCGAGTTGCGGCGGGGACCTGGGGTATGTTCTCGACTTACTCCGGGGATGGCCCTTCAAAACACGAGTTTTTTCAGTGACGTCAGGACTCCTGTCTAGTAACGAGGGACACCTCAGGAATCTCTTCCAAGCTTGGCAGGGCAAAAGGGACGCTTCTCGAGGTGAGGCAGGGCACCCAAGGACCCTTTCCAGTAGCCACAGGGATTTTGGGATTCCTATCAGTATTCAAGAGGAGTCAGGCATCGTCACCTTTTGAAGCAATGAACTCTGCGTGCCTCTCGAGGTGTCAGCGGGATGTGAGGCATTCCGTCAAAATGAGGCATGGACCTAGGGCTTTCTCTAAGGTCTCCACAGGGCATTCAGTCATCCCTTCATGTTTTGAGATCAAAGAAGAGCCTGTATTCAAGCCACTGCAGGGAAATCCGGCCTCCTTTCAAGTTAGGGCTTCTCGCTGTATATTCCCCTTGAGGCAGCAATCTCGGGGTCCCTCCCACATACCTATTGCTGAAAGAAGCCTCCTCCTGAGGTGCTTCTGGAAAGTTGGCATATGTCTTAAGCCTAAGCCAGGGAATCAGCTCTCATCTCGAGACGATTTGGGGTACACGGAGCATTCCTCGATTTGCTGTGCTGAAGTTGGTGTTCCTCTAGACTTGGGACAGTGTTCTCGGGGCATCTCTGGAGTTACCTGAAGGAAGTCGAGCCACCGGTCATGTTGAATGCGGAACGGGGAATGGCTCTGGAGTCAATGCAGGGGAATCGGGCCTCATCTCGAGTTGATTTGGGTCACATGGAGCTGCTTTGCGTTGCTGGGGTGACCTCAGGGTCTGTCTAGACTGGTGACAGTGTTCTTGGGGACTGTCTCGAGATCCATTAAGCAAGTCGAAGCTCCTGACTTGTTTGAATGGGATCACGGAATAGCTCTCCATGCACTGCAGGGGAATGGGGCCTCATCTCGCCTCTAGGGGGAAGTCTCATGGTTTTACTCGAGTTGCGGCGGGGACCTGGCGTATGTTCTCGACTTACGGCGGGATGGCCCTTCAAAACACGAGTTTCTTCAGTGACGTCAGGACTCCTGTCTAGTAACGAGGGACACCTCAGGAATCTCTTCCAAGCTTGGCAGGGCAAAAGGGACGCTTCTCGAGGTGAGGCAGTGCACCCAAGGACCCTTTCCTGTAGCCACAGGGATTTTGGGATTCCTATCAGTATTCAAGAGGAGTCAGGCATCGTCACCTTTTGAAGCAATGAACTCTGCGTGCCTCTCGAGGGGTCAACGGGATGTGAGGCATTCCGTCAAAATGAGGCAGGGACCTAGGGCTTTCTCTAAGGTCTCCACAGTGGATTCCGTCATCCCTTCATGTTGTGAGATGAAAGACGAGCCTGTATTCAAGCCACTGCAAGGAAATCCGGCCTCCTTTCAAGTTAGGGCTTCTCGCTGTACATTCCCCTTGAGGCAGCAAACTCGGGGTCCCTCCCACATACCTATTGCTGAGAGAAGCCTCCTCCTGAGGTGCTTCTGGAAAGTTGGCATACGTATTGACCCTAAGCCAGGGAATCAGCTCTCATCTCGAGACGATTTGGGGTACACGGAGCATTCCTCGAGTTGCTGTGCTGAAGTTGGTGTTCCTCTAGACTTGGGACAGTTTTCTCGGGGAATCTCTGGAGTTGCCTGAAGGAAGTCGAGCCACCGGTCGTGTTGAATGGGGATCGGGGAATGGCTCTGGAGTCAATGCAGGGGAATCGGGCCTCATCTCGAGTTGATTTGGGGCACATGGAGCTGCTTTGCGTTGCTGGGGTGACCTCAGCGTCCGTCTAGACTGGTGACAGTGTTCTTGGGGACTGTCTCGAGATCCATTAAGCAAGTCGAATCTCCTGACTTGTTTGAATGGGATCACGGAATAGCTCTGCATGCACTGCAGGGGAATGGGGCCTCATCTCGCCTCTAGGGGGAAGTCTCATGGTTTTTCTCGAGTTGCGGCGGGGACCTGGGGTATGTTCTCGACTTACGGCGGGGATGGCCCTTCAAAACACGAGTTTCTTCAGTGACGTCAGGACTCCTGTCTAGTAACGAGGGACACCTCAGGAATCTCTTCCAAGCTTGGCAGGGCAAAAGGGACGCTTCTCGAGGTGAGGCAGGGCACCCAAGGACCCTTTCCAGTAGCCACAGGGATTTTGGGATTCCTATCAGTATTCAAGAGGAGTCAGGCATCGTCACCTTTTGAAGCAATGAACTCTGCGTGCCTCTCAAGGTGTCAGCGGGATGTGAGGCATTCCGTCAAAATGAGGCATGGACCAAGGGCTTTCTCTAAGGTCTCCACAGGGCATTCAGTCATCCCTTCATGTTTTGAGATCAAAGAAGAGCCTGTATTCAAGCCACTGCAGGGAAATCCGGCCTCCTTTCAAGTTAGGGCTTCTCGCTGTATATTCCCCTTGAGGCAGCAAACTCGGGGTCCCTCCCACATACCTATTGCTGAGAGAAGCCTCCTCCTGAGGTGCTTCTGGAAAGTTGGCATATGTCTTGAGCCTAAGCCAGGGAATCACCTCTCATCTCGAGACGATTTGGGGTACACGGAGCATTCCTCGATTTGCTGTGCTGAAGTTGGTGTTCCTCTAGACTTGGGACAGTGTTCTCGGGGCATCTCTGGAGTTACCTGAAGGAAGTCGAGCCACCGGTCATGTTGAATGCGGAACGGGGAATGGCTCTGGAGTCAATGCAGGGGAATCGGGCCTCATCTCGAGTTGATTTGGGTCACATGGAGCTGCTTTGCGTTGCTGGGGTGACCTCAGGGTCTGTCTAGACTGGTGACAGTGTTCTTGGGGACTGTCTCGAGATCCATTAAGCAAGTCGAAGCTCCTGACTTGTTTGAATGGGATCACGGAATAGCTCTGCATGCACTGCAGGGGAATGGGGCCTCATCTCGCCTCTAGGGGGAAGTCTCATGGTTTTACTCGAGTTGCGGCGGGGACCTGGGGTATGTTCTCGACTTACGGCGGGGATGGCCCTTCAAAACACGAGTTTCTTCAGTGACGTCAGGACTCCTGTCTAGTAACGAGGGACACCTCAGGAATCTCTTCCAAGCTTGGCAGGGCAAAAGGGACGCTTCTCGAGGTGAGGCAGTGCACCCAAGGACCCTTTCCTGTAGCCACAGGGATTTTGGGATTCCTATCAGTATTCAAGAGGAGTCAGGCATCGTCACCTTTTGAAGCAATGAACTCCGCGTGCCTCTCGAGGTGTCAGCGGGATGTGAGGCATTCCTTCAAAATGAGGCAGGGACCTAGGGCTTTCTCTAAGGTCTCCACAGGGGATTCAGACATGCCTTCATGTTGTGAGATTAAACACGAGCCTGTATTCAAGCCACTGCAAGGAAATTGGGCCTCCTTTCAATTTAGGGCTTCTCGCTGTATATTCCCCTTGAGGCAGCAAACTCGGGGTCCCTCCCACATAGCTATTGCTGAGAGAAGCCTCCTCCTGAGGTGCTTCTGGAAAGTTGGCATACGTCTTGAGCCTAAGCCACGGAATCAGCTCTCATCTCGAGACGATTTGTGGTACACGGAGCATTCCTCGAGTTGCTGTGCTGAAGTTAGTGTTCCTCTAGACTTGGGACAGTGTTCTCGGGGCATCTCTGGAGTTGCCTGAAGGAAGTCGAGCCACCGGTCGTGTTGAATGGGGAACGGGGAATGGCTCTGGAGTCAATGCAGGGGAATCGGGCCTCATCTCGAGTTGATTTGGGGCACATGCAGCTGCTTTGCGTTGCTGGGGTGGCCTCAGGGTCCGTCTAGACTGGTGACAGTGTTCTTGGGGACTGTCTCGAGATCGATTAAGCAAGTCGAAGCTCCTGACTTGTTTGAATGGGATCACGGAATAGCTCTGCATGCACTACAGGGGAATGGGGCCTCATCTCGCCTCTAGGGGGAAGTCTCATGGTTTTTCTCGAGTTGCGGCAGGGACCTGGGGTATGTTCTCGACTTACGGCGGGGAAGGCCCTTCAAAACACGAGTTTCTTCAGTGACGTCAGGACTCCTGTCTAGTAACGAGGGACACCTCAGGAATCTCTTCGAGGCTTGGCAGGGCAAAACGGACGCTTCTCGAGGTGAGGCAGGGCACCCAAGGACCCTTTCCAGTAGCCACGGGGATTTTGGGATTCCTATCAGTATTCAAGAAGAGTCAGGCATCGTCACCTTTTGAAGCAATGAACTCTGCGTGCCTCTCGAGGTGTCAACGGGATGTGAGGCATTCCGTCAAAATGAGGCAGGGACCTAGGGCTTTCTCTAAGGTCTCCACAGTGGATTCCGTCATCCCTTCATGTTGTGAGATGAAAGACGAGCCTGTATTCAAGCCACTGCAAGGAAATCCGGCCTCCTTTCAAATTAGGGCTTCTCGCTGTATATTCCCCTTGAGGCAGCAAACTCGGGGTCCCTCCCACATACCTATTGCTGAGAGAAGCCTCCTCCTGAGGTGCTTCTGGAAAGTTGGCATACGTATTGACCCTAAGCCAGGGAATCAGCTCTCATCTCGAGACGATTTGGGGTACACGGAGCATTCCTCGAGTTGCTGTGCTGAAGTTGGTGTTCCTCTAGACTTGGGACAGTTTTCTCGGGGAATCTCTGGAGTTGCCTGAAGGAAGTCGAGCCACCGGTCGTGTTGAATGGGGATCGGGGAATGGCTCTGGAGTCAATGCAGGGGAATCGGGCCTCATCTCGAGTTGATTTGGGGCACATGGAGCTGCTTTGCGTTGCTGGGGTGACCTCAGCGTCCGTCTAGACTGGTGACAGTGTTCTTGGGGACTGTCTCGAGATCCATTAAGCAAGTCGAATCTCCTGACTTGTTTGAATGGGATCACGGAATAGCTCTGCATGCACTGCAGGGGAATGGGGCCTCATCTCGCCTCTAGGGGGAAGTCTCATGGTTTTTCTCGAGTTGCGGCGGGGACCTGGGGTATGTTCTCGACTTACGGCGGGGATGGCCCTTCAAAACACGAGTTTCTTCAGTGACGTCAGGACTCCTGTCTAGTAACGAGGGACACCTCAGGAATCTCTTCCAAGCTTGGCAGGGCAAAAGGGACGCTTCTCGAGGTGAGGCAGGGCACCCAAGGACCCTTTCCAGTAGCCACAGGGATTTTGGGATTCCTATCAGTATTCAAGAGGAGTCAGGCATCGTCACCTTTTGAAGCAATGAACTCTGCGTGCCTCTCAAGGTGTCAGCGGGATGTGAGGCATTCCGTCAAAATGAGGCATGGACCAAGGGCTTTCTCTAAGGTCTCCACAGGGCATTCAGTCATCCCTTCATGTTTTGAGATCAAAGAAGAGCCTGTATTCAAGCCACTGCAGGGAAATCCGGCCTCCTTTCAAGTTAGGGCTTCTCGCTGTATATTCCCCTTGAGGCAGCAAACTCGGGGTCCCTCCCACATACCTATTGCTGAGAGAAGCCTCCTCCTGAGGTGCTTCTGGAAAGTTGGCATATGTCTTGAGCCTAAGCCAGGGAATCAGCTCTCATCTCGAGACGATTTGGGGTACACGGAGCATTCCTCGATTTGCTGTGCTGAAGTTGGTGTTCCTCTAGACTTGGGACAGTGTTCTCGGGGCATCTCTGGAGTTACCTGAAGGAAGTCGAGCCACCGGTCATGTTGAATGCGGAACGGGGAATGGCTCTGGAGTCAATGCAGGGGAATCGGGCCTCATCTCGAGTTGATTTGGGTCACATGGAGCTGCTTTGCGTTGCTGGGGTGACCTCAGGGTCTGTCTAGACTGGTGACAGTGTTCTTGGGGACTGTCTCGAGATCCATTAAGCAAGTCGAAGCTCCTGACTTGTTTGAATGGGATCACGGAATAGCTCTCCATGCACTGCAGGGGAATGGGGCCTCATCTCGCCTCTAGGGGGAAGTCTCATGGTTTTACTCGAGTTGCGGCGGGGACCTGGCGTATGTTCTCGACTTACGGCGGGATGGCCCTTCAAAACACGAGTTTCTTCAGTGACGTCAGGACTCCTGTCTAGTAACGAGGGACACCTCAGGAATCTCTTCCAAGCTTGGCAGGGCAAAAGGGACGCTTCTCGAGGTGAGGCAGTGCACCCAAGGACCCTTTCCTGTAGCCACAGGGATTTTGGGATTCCTATCAGTATTCAAGAGGAGTCAGGCATCGTCACCTTTTGAAGCAATGAACTCTGCGTGCCTCTCGAGGTGTCAACGGGATGTGAGGCATTCCGTCAAAATGAGGCAGGGACCTAGGGCTTTCTCTAAGGTCTCCACAGTGGATTCCGTCATCCCTTCATGTTGTGAGATGAAAGACGAGCCTGTATTCAAGCCACTGCAAGGAAATCCGGCCTCCTTTCAAGTTAGGGCTTCTCGCTGTACATTCCCCTTGAGGCAGCAAACTCGGGGTCCCTCCCACATACCTATTGCTGAGAGAAGCCTCCTCCTGAGGTGCTTCTGGAAAGTTGGCATACGTATTGACCCTAAGCCAGGGAATCAGCTCTCATCTCGAGACGATTTGGGGTACACGGAGCATTCCTCGAGTTGCTGTGCTGAAGTTGGTGTTCCTCTAGACTTGGGACAGTTTTCTCGGGGAATCTCTGGAGTTGCCTGAAGGAAGTCGAGCCACCGGTCGTGTTGAATGGGGATCGGGGAATGGCTCTGGAGTCAATGCAGGGGAATCGGGCCTCATCTCGAGTTGATTTGGGGCACATGGAGCTGCTTTGCGTTGCTGGGGTGACCTCAGCGTCCGTCTAGACTGGTGACAGTGTTCTTGGGGACTGTCTCGAGATCCATTAAGCAAGTCGAATCTCCTGACTTGTTTGAATGGGATCACGGAATAGCTCTGCATGCACTGCAGGGGAATGGGGCCTCATCTCGCCTCTAGGGGGAAGTCTCATGGTTTTTCTCGAGTTGCGGCGGGGACCTGGGGTATGTTCTCGACTTACGGCGGGGATGGCCCTTCAAAACACGAGTTTCTTCAGTGACGTCAGGACTCCTGTCTAGTAACGAGGGACACCTCAGGAATCTCTTCCAAGCTTGGCAGGGCAAAAGGGACGCTTCTCGAGGTGAGGCAGGGCACCCAAGGACCCTTTCCAGTAGCCACAGGGATTTTGGGATTCCTATCAGTATTCAAGAGGAGTCAGGCATCGTCACCTTTTGAAGCAATGAACTCCGCGTGCCTCTCGAGGTGTCAGCGGGATGTGAGGCATTCCTTCAAAATGAGGCAGGGACCTAGGGCTTTCTCTAAGGTCTCCACAGGGGATTCAGACATGCCTTCATGTTGTGAGATTAAACACGAGCCTGTATTCAAGCCACTGCAAGGAAATTGGGCCTCCTTTCAATTTAGGGCTTCTCGCTGTATATTCCCCTTGAGGCAGCAAACTCGGGGTCCCTCCCACATAGCTATTGCTGAGAGAAGCCTCCTCCTGAGGTGCTTCTGGAAAGTTGGCATACGTCTTGAGCCTAAGCCACGGAATCAGCTCTCATCTCGAGACGATTTGTGGTACACGGAGCATTCCTCGAGTTGCTGTGCTGAAGTTAGTGTTCCTCTAGACTTGGGACAGTGTTCTCGGGGCATCTCTGGAGTTGCCTGAAGGAAGTCGAGCCACCGGTCGTGTTGAATGGGGAACGGGGAATGGCTCTGGAGTCAATGCAGGGGAATCGGGCCTCATCTCGAGTTGATTTGGGGCACATGCAGCTGCTTTGCGTTGCTGGGGTGGCCTCAGGGTCCGTCTAGACTGGTGACAGTGTTCTTGGGGACTGTCTCGAGATCGATTAAGCAAGTCGAAGCTCCTGACTTGTTTGAATGGGATCACGGAATAGCTCTGCATGCACTGCAGGGGAATGGGGCCTCATCTCGCCTCTAGGGGGAAGTCTCATGGTTTTTCTCGAGTTGCGGCAGGGACCTGGGGTATGTTCTCGACTTACGGCGGGGAAGGCCCTTCAAAACACGAGTTTCTTCAGTGACGTCAGGACTCCTGTCTAGTAACGAGGGACACCTCAGGAATCTCTTCGAGGCTTGGCAGGGCAAAACGGACGCTTCTCGAGGTGAGGCAGGGCACCCAAGGACCCTTTCCAGTAGCCACGGGGATTTTGGGATTCCTATCAGTATTCAAGAAGAGTCAGGCATCGTCACCTTTTGAAGCAATGAACTCTGCGTGCCTCTCGAGGTGTCAACGGGATGTGAGGCATTCCGTCAAAATGAGGCAGGGACCTAGGGCTTTCTCTAAGGTCTCCACAGGGGATTCCGTCATCCCTTCATGTTGTGAGATGAAAGACGAGCCTGTATTCAAGCCACTGCAAGGAAATCCGGCCTCCTTTCAAGTTAGGGCTTCTCGCTCTATATTCCCTTTGAGGCAGCAAACTCGGGGTCCCTCCCACATACCTATTGCTGAGAGAAGCCTCCTCCTGAGGTGCTTCTGGAAAGTTGGCATACGTATTGACCCTAAGCCAGGGAATCAGCTCTCATCTCGAGACGATTTGGGGTACACGGAGCATTCCTCGAGTTGCTGTGCTGAAGTTGGTGTTCCTCTAGACTTGGGACAGTTTTCTCGGGGAATCTCTGGAGTTGCCTGAAGGAAGTCGAGCCACCGGTCGTGTTGAATGGGGATCGGGGAATGGCTCTGGAGTCAATGCAGGGGAATCGGGCCTCATCTCGAGTTGATTTGGGGCACATGGAGCTGCTTTGCGTTGCTGGGGTGACCTCAGCGTCCGTCTAGACTGGTGACAGTGTTCTTGGGGACTGTCTCGAGATCCATTAAGCAAGTCGAATCTCCTGACTTGTTTGAATGGGATCACGGAATAGCTCTGCATGCACTGCAGGGGAATGGGGCCTCATCTCGCCTCTAGGGGGAAGTCTCATGGTTTTTCTCGAGTTGCGGCGGGGACCTGGGGTATGTTCTCGACTTACGGCGGGGATGGCCCTTCAAAACACGAGTTTCTTCAGTGACGTCAGGACTCCTGTCTAGTAACGAGGGACACCTCAGGAATCTCTTCCAAGCTTGGCAGGGCAAAAGGGACGCTTCTCGAGGTGAGGCAGGGCACCCAAGGACCCTTTCCAGTAGCCACAGGGATTTTGGGATTCCTATCAGTATTCAAGAGGAGTCAGGCATCGTCACCTTTTGAAGCAATGAACTCTGCGTGCCTCTCAAGGTGTCAGCGGGATGTGAGGCATTCCGTCAAAATGAGGCATGGACCAAGGGCTTTCTCTAAGGTCTCCACAGGGCATTCAGTCATCCCTTCATGTTTTGAGATCAAAGAAGAGCCTGTATTCAAGCCACTGCAGGGAAATCCGGCCTCCTTTCAAGTTAGGGCTTCTCGCTGTATATTCCCCTTGAGGCAGCAAACTCGGGGTCCCTCCCACATACCTATTGCTGAGAGAAGCCTCCTCCTGAGGTGCTTCTGGAAAGTTGGCATATGTCTTGAGCCTAAGCCAGGGAATCAGCTCTCATCTCGAGACGATTTGGGGTACACGGAGCATTCCTCGAGTTGCTGTGCTGAAGTTGGTGTTCCTCTAGATTTGGGACAGTGTTCTCGGGGAATCTCTGGAGTTGCCTGAAGGAAGTCGAGCCACCGGTCGTGTTGAATGGGGATCGGGGAATGGCTCTGGAGTCAATGCAGGGGAATCGGGCCTCATCTCGAGTTGATTTGGGGCACATGGAGCTGCTTTGCGTTGCTGGGGTGACCTCAGGGTCCGTCTAGACTGGTGACAGTGTTCTTGGGGACTGTCTCGAGATCCATTAAGCAAGTCGAATCTCCTGACTTGTTTGAATGGGATCACGGAATAGCTCTGCATGCACTGCAGGGGAATGGGGCCTCATCTCGCCTCTAGGGGGAAGTCTCATGGTTTTTCTCGAGTTGCGGCGGGGACCTGGGGTATGTTCTCGACTTACGGCGGGGATGGCCCTTCAAAACACGAGTTTCTTCAGTGACGTCAGGACTCCTGTCTAGTAACGAGGGACACCTCAGGAATCTCTTCCAAGCTTGGCAGGGCAAAAGGGACGCTTCTCGAGGTGAGGCAGGGCACCCAAGGACCCTTTCCAGTAGCCACAGGGATTTTGGGATTCCTATCAGTATTCAAGAGGAGTCAGGCATCGTCACCTTTTGAAGCAATGAACTCTGCGTGCCTCTCGAGGTGTCAGCGGGATGTGAGGCATTCCGTCAAAATGAGGCAAGGACCTAGGGCTTTCTCTAACGTCTCCACAGGGCATTAAGTCATCCATTCATGTTTTGAGATCAAAGAAGAGCCTGTATTCAAGCCACTGCAGGGAAATCCGGCCTCCTTTCAAGTTAGGGCTTCTCGCTGTATATTCCCCTTGAGGCAGCAAACTCGGGGTCCCTCCCACATACCTATTGCTGAGAGAAGCCTCCTCCTGAGGTGCTTCTGGAAAGTTGGCATACGTCTTGAGCCTAAGCCAGGGAATCAGCTCTCATCTCGAGACGATTTGGGGAACACGGAGCATTCCTCGATTTGCTGTGCTGAAGTTGGTGTTCCTCTAGACTTGGGACAGTGTTCTCGGGGCATCTCTGGAGTTACCTGAAGGAAGTCGAGCCACCGGTCATGTTGAATGCGGAACGGGGAATGGCTCTGGAGTCAATGCAGGGGAATCGGGCCTCATCTCGAGTTGATTTGGGTCACATGGAGCTGCTTTGCGTTGCTGGGGTGACCTCAGGGTCTGTCTAGACTGGTGACAGTGTTCTTGGGGACTGTCTCGAGATCCATTAAGCAAGTCGAAGCTCCTGACTTGTTTGAATGGGATCACGGAATAGCTCTCCATGCACTGCAGGGGAATGGGGCCTCATCTCGCCTCTAGGGGGAAGTCTCATGGTTTTACTCGAGTTGCGGCGGGGACCTGGGGTATGTTCTCGACTTACGGCGGGATGGCCCTTCAAAACACGAGTTTCTTCAATGACGTCAGGACTCCTGTCTAGTAACGAGGGACACCTCAGGAATCTCTTCCAAGCTTGGCAGGGCAAAAGGGACGCTTCTCGAGGTGAGGCAGTGCACCCAAGGACCCTTTCCTGTAGCCACAGGGATTTTGGGATTCCTATCAGTATTCAAGAGGAGTCAGGCATCGTCACCTTTTGAAGCAATGAACTCCGCGTGCCTCTCGAGGTGTCAGCGGGATGTGAGGCATTCCGTCAAAATGAGGCAGGGACCTAGGGCTTTCTCTAAGGTCTCCACAGGGGATTCAGACATGCCTTCATGTTGTGAGATTAAACACGAGCCTGTATTCAAGCCACTGCAAGGAAATCAGGCCTCCTTTCAATTTAGGGCTTCTCGCTGTATATTCCCCTTGAGGCAGCAAACTCGGGGTCCCTCCCACATAGCTATTGCTGAGAGAAGCCTCCTCCTGAGGTGCTTCTGGAAAGTTGGCATACGTCTTGAGCCTAAGCCAGGGAATCAGCTCTCATCTCGAGACGATTTGGGGTACACGGAGCATTCCTCGAGTTGCTGTGCTGAAGTTGGTGTTCCTCTAGACTTGGGACAGTGTTCTCGGGGCATCTCTGGAGTTGCCTGAAGGAAGTCGAGCCACCGGTCGTGTTGAATGGGGAACGGGGAATGGCTCTGGAGTCAATGCAGGGGAATCGGGCCTCATCTCGAGTTGATTTGGGGCACATGCAGCTGCTTTGCGTTGCTGGGGTGGCCTCAGGGTCCGTCTAGACTGGTGACAGTGTTCTTGGGGACTGTCTCGAGATCGATTAAGCAAGTCGAAGCTCCTGACTTGTTTGAATGGGATCACGGAATAGCTCTGCATGCACTGCAGGGGAATGGGGCCTCATCTCGCCTCTAGGGGGAAGTCTCATGGTTTTTCTCGAGTTGCGGCAGGGACCTGGGGTATGTTCTCGACTTACGGCGGGGAAGGCCCTTCAAAACACGAGTTTCTTCAGTGACGTCAGGACTCCTGTCTAGTAACGAGGGACACCTCAGGAATCTCTTCGAGGCTTGGCAGGGCAAAACGGAGGCTTCTCGAGGTGAGGCAGGGCACCCAAGGACCCTTTCCAGTAGCCACGGGGATTTTGGGATTCCTATCAGTATTCAAGAAGAGTCAGGCATCGTCACCTTTTGAAGCAATGAACTCTGCGTGCCTCTCGACGTGTCAACGGGATGTGAGGCATTCCGTCAAAATGAGGCAGGGACCTAGGGCTTTCTCTAAGGTCTCCACAGTGGATTCCGTCATCCCTTCATGTTGTGAGATGAAAGACGAGCCTGTATTCAAGCCACTGCAAGGAAATCCGGCCTCCTTTCAAGTTAGGGCTTCTCGCTGTATATTCCCCTTGAGGCAGCACACTCGGGGTCCCTCCCACATACCTATTGCTGAGAGAAGCCTCCTCCTGAGGTGCTTCTGGAAAGTTGGCATACGTATTGACCCTAAGCCAGGGAATCAGCTCTCATCTCGAGACGATTTGGGGCACACGGAGCATTCCTCGAGTTGCTGTGCTGAAGTTGGTGCTCCTCTAGATTTGGGACAGTGTTCTCGGGGAATCTCTGGAGTTGCCTGAAGGAAGTCGAGCCACCGGTCGTGTTGAATGGGGATCGGGGAATGGCTCTGGAGTCAATGAAGGGGAATCGGGCCTCATCTCGAGTTGATTTGGGGCACATGGAGCTGCTTTGCGTTGCTGGGGTGACCTCAGGGTCCGTCTAGACTGGTGACAGTGTTCTTGGGGACTGTCTCGAGATCGATTAAGCAAGTCAAATCTCCTGACTTGTTTGAATGGGATCACGGAATAGCTCTGCATGCACTGCAGGGGAATGGGGCCTCATCTCGCCTCTAGGGGGAAGTCTCATGGTTTTACTCGAGTTGAGGCGGGGACCTGGGGTATGTTCTCGACTTACGGCGGGATGGCCCTTCAAAACACGAGTTTCTTCAGTGACGTCAGGACTCCTGTCTAGTAACGAGGGACACCTCAGGAATCTCTTCCAAGCTTGGCAGGGCAAAAGGGACGCTTCTCGAGGTGAGGCAGTGCACCCAAGGACCCTTTCCTGTAGCCACAGGGATTTTGGGATTCCTATCAGTATTCAAGAGGAGTCAGGCATCGTCACCTTTTGAAGCAATGAACTCCGCGTGCCTCTCGAGGTTTCAGCGGGATGTGAGGCATTCCGTCAAAATGAGGCAGGGACCTAGGGCTTTCTCTAAGGTCTCCACAGGGGATTCAAACATGCCTTCATGTTGTGAGATTAAACACGAGCCTGTATTCAAGCCACTGCAAGGAAATTGGGCCTCCTTTCAATTTAGGGCTTCTCGCTGTATATTCCCCTTGAGGCAGCAAACTCGGGGTCCCTCCCACATAGCTATTGCTGAGAGAAGCCTCCTCCTGAGGTGCTTCTGGAAAGTTGGCATACGTCTTGAGCCTAAGCCAGGGAATCAGCTCTCATCTCGAGACGATTTGGGGTACACGGAGCATTCCTCGAGTTGCTGTGCTGAAGTTAGTGTTCCTCTAGACTTGGGACAGTGTTCTCGGGGCATCTCTGGAGTTGCCTGAAGGAAGTCGAGCCACCGGTCGTGTTGAATGGGGAAAGGGGAATGGCTCTGGAGTCAATGCAGGGGAATCGGGCCTCATCTCGAGTTGATTTGGGGCACATGCAGCTGCTTTGCGTTGCTGGGGTGGCCTCAGGGTCCGTCTAGACTGGTGACAGTGTTCTTGGGGACTGTCTCGAGATCGATTAAGCAAGTCGAAGCTCCTGACTTGTTTGAATGGGATCACGGAATAGCTCTGCATGCACTGCAGGGGAATGGGGCCTCATCTCGCCTCTAGGGGGAAGTCTCATGGTTTTTCTCGAGTTGCGGCAGGGACCTGGGGTATGTTCTCGACTTACGGCGGGGAAGGCCCTTCAAAACACCAGTTTCTTCAGTGACGTCAGGACTCCTTTCTAGTAACGAGGGACACCTCAGGAATCTCTTCGAGGCTTGGCAGGGCAAAACGGACGCTTCTCGAGGTGAGACAGGGCACCCAAGGACCCTTTCCAGTAGCCACGGGGATTTTGGGATTCCTATCAGTATTCAAGAAGAGTCAGGCATCGTCACCTTTTGAAGCAATGAACTCTGCGTGAATCTCGAGGTGTCAACATGATGTGAGGCATTCCGTCAAAATGAGGCATGGACCTAGGGCTTTCTCTAAGGTCTCCACAGTGGATTCCGACATCCCTTCATGTTGTGAGATGAAAGACGAGACTGTATTCAAGCCACTGCAAGGAAATCCGGCCTCCTTTCAAGTTAGGGCTTCTCGCTGTATATTCCCCTTGAGGCAGCAAACTCGGGGTCCCTCCCACATACCTATTGCTGAGAGAAGCCTCCTCCTGAGGTGCTTCTGGAAAGTTGGCATACGTATTGACCCTAAGCCAGGGAATCAGCTCTCATCTCGAGACGATTTGGGGTACACGGAGCATTCCTCGAGTTGCTGTGCTGAAGTTGGTGTTCCTCTAGACTTGGGACAGTGTTCTCGGGGAATCTCTGGAGTTGCCTGAAGGAAGTCGAGCCACCGGTCGTGTTGAATGGGGATCGGGGAATGGCTCTGGAGTCAATGCAGGGGAATCGGGCCTCATCTCGAGTTGATTTGGGGCACATGGAGCTGCTTTGCGTTGCTGGGGTGACCTCAGCGTCCGTCTAGACTGGTGACAGTGTTCTTGGGGACTGTCTCGAGATCCATTAAGCAAGTCGAATCTCCTGACTTGTTTGAATGGGATCACGGAATAGCTCTGCATGCACTGCAGGGGAATGGGGCCTCATCTCGCCTCTAGGGGGAAGTCTCATGTTTTTTCTCGAGTTGCGGCGGGGACCTGGGGTATGTTCTCGACTTACGGCGGGGATGGCCCTTCAAAACACGAGTTTCTTCAGTGACGTCAGGACTCCTGTCTAGTAACGAGGGACACCTCAGGAATCTCTTCCAAGCTTGGCAGGGCAAAAGGGACGCTTCTCGAGGTGAGGCAGGGCACCCAAGGACCCTTTCCAGTAGCCACAGGGATTTTGGGATTCCTATCAGTATTCAAGAGGAGTCAGGCATCGTCACCTTTTGAAGCAATGAACTCTGCGTGCCTCTCGAGGTGTCAGCGGGATATGAGGCATTCCGTCAAAATGAGGCATGGACCTAGGGCTTTCTGTAAGGTCTCCACAGGGCATTCAGTCATCCCTTCATGTTTTGAGATCAAAGAAGAGCCTGTATTCAAGCCACTGCAAGGAAATCCGGCCTCCTTTCAAGTTAGGGCTTCTCGCTGTATATTCCCCTTGAGGCAGCAAACTCGGGGTCCCTCCCACATAGCTATTGCTGAGAGAAGCCTCCTCCTGAGGTTCTTCTGGAAAGTTGGCATACGTCTTGAGCCTAACCAAGGAATCAGCACTCATCTCGAGACGATTTGGGGTACACGGAGCATTCCTCGAGTTGCTGTGCTGAAGTTGGTGTTCCTCTAGACTTGTGACAGTGTTCTCGGGGCATCTCTGGAGTTCCCTGAAGGAAGTCGAGCCACCGGTCGTGTTGAATGGGGAACGGGGAATGGCTCTGGAGTCAATGCAGGGGAATCGGGCCTCATCTCGAGTTGATTTGGGGCACATGTAGCTGCTTTGTGTTGCTGGGGTGACCTCAGGGTCCGTCTAGACTGGTGACAGTGCTCTTGGGGACTGTCTCGAGATCGATTAAGCAAGTCGAAGCTCCTGACTTGTTTGAATGGGATCACGGAATAGCTCTGCATGCACTGCAGGGGAATGGGGCCTCATCTCGCCTCTAGGGGGAAGTCTCATGGTTTTTCTCGAGTTGCGGCGGGGACCTGGGGTATGTTCTCGACTTACGGCGGGGATGGCCCTTCAAAACACGAGTTTCTTCAGTGACGTCAGGACTCCTGTCTAGTAATGAGGGACACCTCAGGAATCTCTTCGAGGCTTGGCTGGGCAAAAGTGATGCTTCTCGAGGTCAGGCAGGGCACCCAAGGATCCTTTCCAGTAGCCACAGGGATTTTGGGATTCCTATCAGTATTCAAGAGGAGTCAGGCATCGTCACCTTTTGAAGCAATGAACTCCGCGTGCCTCTCGAGGTGTCAGCGGGATGTGAGGCATTCCGTCAAAATGAGGCTGGGACCTAGGGCTTTCTCTCAGGTCTCCACAGGGGATTCAGACATCCCTTCATGTTGTGAGATGAAAGACGAGCCTGTATTCAAGCCACTGCAAGGAAATCCGGCCACCTTTCAAGTTAGGGCTTCTCGATGTATATTCCCCTTGAGGCAGCAAACTCGGGGTCCCTCCAACATACATATTGCTGAGAGAAGCCTCCTCCTGAGGTGCTTCTGGAATGTAGGCATACGTCTTGAGCCTAAGCCAGGTAATCGGCTCTCATCTCGAGACGATTTGGGGTACACGGAGCATTCCTCGAGTTGCTGTGCTGAAGTTGGTGTTCCTCTAGACTTGGGACAGTGTTCTCGGGGCATCTCTGGAGTTGCCTGAAGGAAGTGGAGCCACCGGTCGTGTTGAATGGGGAACGGGTAATAGCTCTGGGGTCAATGCAGGGGAATCGGGCCTCATCTCGAGTTGATTTGGGGCACATGGAGCTGCTTTGCGTTGCTGGGGTGACCTCAGCGTCCGTCTAGACTGGTGACAGTGTTCTTGGGGACTGTCTCGAGATCGATTAAGCAAGTCGAAGCTCCTGACTTGTTTGAATGGGATCACGGAATAGGTCTGCATGCAGTGCAGGGGAATGGGGCCTTATCTCGCCTCTAAGGGGAAGTCTCATGGTTTTTCTCGAGTTGCGGCGGGGGCCTAGGGTATGTTCTCGACTTACGGCGGGGATGGCCCTTCAAAACACGAGTTTCTTCAGTGACGTCAGGACTCCTGTCTAGTAACGAGGGACACCTCAGGAATCTCTTCGAGGCTTGGCAGGGCAAAACGGACGCTTCTCGAGGTGAGGCAGGGCACCCAAGGACCCTTTCAGTAGCCACAGTGATTTTGGGATTCCTATCAGTATTCAAGAGGAGTCAGGCATCGTCACCTATTGAAGCAATGAACTCCGCGTGCCTCTCGAGTTGTCAGCGGGATGTGAGGCATTCCGTCAAAATGAGGCAGGGACCTACGGCTTTCTCTAAGGTCTCCACAGGGGATTCAGACATCCCTTCATGTTGTGAGATGAAAGACGAGCCTGTATTCAAGCCACTGCAAGGAAATCCGGCCTCCTTTCAAGTTAGGGCTTCTCGCTGTATATTCCCCTTGAGGCAGCACACTCGGGGTCCCTCCCACATACCTATTGCTGAGAGAAGCCTCCTCCTGAGTTGCTTCTGGAAAGTTGGCAAATGCCTTGAGCCTAAGCCAATGTATCAGCTCTCATCTCGAGACGATTTGGGGTGCACGGAGCATTCCTCGAGTTGCTGTGCTGAAGTTGGTGTTCCTCTAGACTTGGGACAGTGTTCTCGGGGCATCTCTGGAGTTGCGTGAAGGAAGTCGAGCCACCGGTCGTGTTGAATGGGGAACGGGGAATGGCTCTGGGGTCAATGCAGGGGAATCGGGCCTCATCTCGAGTTGATTTGGGGCACATGGAGCTGCTTTGCGTTGCTGGGGTGACCTCAGGGTCCGTCTAGACTGGTGACAGTGTTCTTGGGGACTGTCTCGAGATCCATTAAGCAAGTCGAAGCTCCTGACTTGTTTGAATGGGATCACGGAATACCTCTGCATGCACTGCAGGGGAATGGGGCCTCATCTCGCCTCTAGGGGGAAGTCTCATGGTTTTTCTCGAGTTGCGACGGGGACCTGGGGTATGTTCTCGACTTACGGCGGTGATGGCCCTTCAAAACATGAGTTTCTTCAGTGACGTCAGGACTCCTGTCTAGTAACGAGGGACACCTCAGGAATCTCTTCCAGGCTTGGCAGGGCAAAAGGGACGCTTCTCGAGGTGAGGCAGGGCACCCAAGGACCCTTTCCAGTAGCCACAGGGATTTTGGGATTCCTATCAGTATTCAAGAGGAGTCAGGCATCGTCACCTTTTGAAGCAATGAACTCTGCGTGCCTCTCGAGGTGTCAGCGGGATGTGAGGCATTCCGTTAAAATGAGGCATGGACCTAGGGCTTTCTCTAAGGTCTCCAAAGGGCATTCAGTCATCCCTTCATGTTTTGAGATCAAAGAAGAGCTGTATTCAAGCCACTGCAAGGAAATCCGGCCTCCTTTCAAGTTAGGGCTTCTCGCTGTATATTCCCATTGAGGCAGCAAACTCGGGGTCCCTCCCACATACCTATTGCTGAGAGAAGCCTCCTCCTGAGGTGCTTCTGGAAAGTTGGCATACGTCTTGAGCCTAAGCCAGGGAATCAGCTCTCATCTCGAGACGATTTGGGGTACACGGAGCATTCCTCGAGTTGCTGTGCTGAAGTTGGTGTTCCTCTAGACTTGGGACAGTGTTCTCGGGGCATCTCTGGAGTTGCCTGAAGGAAGTCGAGCCACCGGTCGTGTTGAATGGGGAACGGGGAATGGCTCTAGAGTCAATGCAGGGGAATCGGGCCTCATCTCGAGTTGATTTGGGGCACATGGAGCTGCTTTGCGTTGCTGGGGTGACCTCAGCGTCCGTCTAGACTGGTGACAGTGTTCTTGGGGACTGTCTCGAGATCCATTAAGCAAGTCGAATCTCCTGACTTGTTTGAATGGGATCACGGAATAGCTCTGCATGCACTGCAGGGGAATGGGGCCTCATCTCGCCTCTAGGGGGAAGTCTCATGTTTTTTCTCGAGTTGCGGCGGGGACCTGGGGTATGTTCTCGACTTACGGCGGGGATGGCCCTTCAAAACACGAGTTTCTTCAGTGACGTCAGGACTCCTGTCTAGTAACGAGGGACACCTCAGGAATCTCTTCCAAGCTTGGCAGGGCAAAAGGGACGCTTCTCGAGGTGAGGCAGGGCACCCAAGGACCCTTTCCAGTAGCCACAGGGATTTTGGGATTCCTATCAGTATTCAAGAGGAGTCAGGCATCGTCACCTTTTGAAGCAATGAACTCCGCGTGCCTCTCGAGGTGTCAGCGGGATGTGAGGCATTCCGTCAAAATGAGGCAGGGACCTAGGGCTTTCTCTAAGGTCTCCACAGGGGATTCAGTCATGCCTTCATGTTGTGAGATTAAACACGAGCCTTTATTCAAGCCACTGCAAGGAAATCTGGCCTCCTTTCAAGTTAGGGCTTCTCGCTGTATATTCCCCTTGAGGCAGCACACTCGGGGTCCCTCCCACATACCTATTGCTGAGAGAAGCCTCCTCCTGAGTTGCTTCTGGAAAGGTGGCAAATGCCTTGAGCCTAAGCCAATGTATCAGCTCTCATCTCGAGACGATTTGGGGTGCACGGAGCATTCCTCGAGTTGCTGTGCTGAAGTTGGTGTTCCTCTAGACTTGGGACAGTGTTCTCGGGGCATCTCTGGAGTTGCGTGAAGGAAGTCGAGCCACCGGTCGTGTTGAATGGGGAACGGGGAATGGCTCTGGGGTCAATGCAGGGGAATCGGGCCTCATCTCGAGTTGATTTGGGGCACATGGAGCTTCTTTGCGTTGCTGGGGTGACCTCAGGGTCCGTCTAGACTGGTGACAGTGCTCTTGGGGACTGTCTCGAGATCGAATAAGCAAGTCGAAGCTCCTGACTTGTTTGAATGGGATCACGGAATAGCTCTGCATGCACTGCAGGGGAATGGGGCCTCATCTCGCCTCTAGGGGGAAGTCTCATGGTTTTTCTCGAGTTGCGGCGGGGACCTGGGGTATGTTCTCGACTTACGGCGGGGATGGCCCTTCAAAACACGAGTTTTTTCAGTGACGTCAGGACTCCTGTCTAGTAACGAGGGACACCTCAGGAATCTCTTCGAGGCTTGGCTGGGCAAAAGTGATGCTTCTCGAGGTCAGGCAGGGCACCCAAGGATCCTTTCCAGTAGCCACAGGGATTTTGGGATTCCTATCAGTATTCAAGAGGAGTCAGGCATCGTCACCTTTTGAAGCAATGAACTCCGCGTGCCTCTCGAGGTGTCAGCGGGATGTGAGGCATTCCGTCAAAATGAGGCTGGGACCTAGGGCTTTCTCTCAGGTCTCCACAGGGGATTCAGACATCCCTTCATGTTGTGAGATGAAAGAAGAGCTGTATTCAAGCCACTGCAAGGAAATCCGGCCTCCTTTCAAGTTAGGGCTTCTCGCTGTATATTCCCATTGAGGCAGCAAACTCGGGGTCCCTCCCACATACCTATTGCTGAGAGAAGCCTCCTCCTGAGGTGCTTCTGGAAAGTTGGCATACGTCTTGAGCCTAAGCCAGGGAATCAGCTCTCATCTCGAGACGATTTGGGGTACACGGAGCATTCCTCGAGTTGCTGTGCTGAAGTTGGTGTTCCTCTAGGCTTGGGACAGTGTTCTCGGGGCATCTCTGGAGTTGCCTGAAGGAAGTCGAGCCACCGGTCGTGTTGAATGGGGAACGGGGAATGGCTCTAGAGTCAATGCAGGGGAATCGGGCCTCATCTCGAGTTGATTTGGGGCACATGGAGCTGCTTTGCGTTGCTGGGGTGACCTCAGCGTCCGTCTAGACTGGTGACAGTGTTCTTGGGGACTGTCTCGAGATCCATTAAGCAAGTCGAATCTCCTGACTTGTTTGAATGGGATCACGGAATAGCTCTGCATGCACTGCAGGGGAATGGGGCCTCATCTCGCCTCTAGGGGGAAGTCTCATGTTTTTTCTCGAGTTGCGGCGGGGACCTGGGGTATGTTCTCGACTTACGGCGGGGATGGCCCTTCAAAACACGAGTTTCTTCAGTGACGTCAGGACTCCTGTCTAGTAACGAGGGACACCTCAGGAATCTCTTCCAAGCTTGGCAGGGCAAAAGGGACGCTTCTCGAGGTGAGGCAGGGCACCCAAGGACCCTTTCCAGTAGCCACAGGGATTTTGGGATTCCTATCAGTATTCAAGAGGAGTCAGGCATCGTCACCTTTTGAAGCAATGAACTCCGCGTGCCTCTCGAGGTGTCAGCGGGATGTGAGGCATTCCGTCAAAATGAGGCAGGGACCTAGGGCTTTCTCTAAGGTCTCCACAGGGGATTCAGTCATGCCTTCATGTTGTGAGATTAAACACGAGCCTTTATTCAAGCCACTGCAAGGAAATCCGGCCTCCTTTCAAGTTAGGGCTTCTCGCTGTATATTCCCCTTGAGGCAGCACACTCGGGGTCCCTCCCACATACCTATTGCTGAGAGAAGCCTCCTCCTGAGTTGCTTCTGGAAAGTTGGCAAATGCCTTGAGCCTAAGCCAATGTATCAGCTCTCATCTCGAGACGATTTGGGGTGCACGGAGCATTCCTCGAGTTGCTGTGCTGAAGTTGGTGTTCCTCTAGACTTGGGACAGTGTTCTCGGGGCATCTCTGGAGTTGCGTGAAGGAAGTCGAGCCACCGGTCGTGTTGAATGGGGAACGGGGAATGGCTCTGGGGTCAATGCAGGGGAATCGGGCCTCATCTCGAGTTGATTTGGGGCACATGGAGCTGCTTTGCGTTGCTGGGGTGACCTCAGGGTCCGTCTAGACTGGTGACAGTGCTCTTGGGGACTGTCTCGAGATCGAATAAGCAAGTCGAAGCTCCTGACTTGTTTGAATGGGATCACGGAATAGCTCTGCATGCACTGCAGGGGAATGGGGCCTCATCTCGCCTCTAGGGGGAAGTCTCATGGTTTTTCTCGAGTTGCGGCGGGGACCTGGGGTATGTTCTCGACTTACGGCGGGGATGGCCCTTCAAAACACGAGTTTCTTCAGTGACGTCAGGACTCCTGTCTAGTAACGAGGGACACCTCAGGAATCTCTTCGAGGCTTGGCTGGGCAAAAGTGATGCTTCTCGAGGTCAGGCAGGGCACCCAAGGATCCTTTCCAGTAGCCACAGGGATTTTGGGATTCCTATCAGTATTCAAGAGGAGTCAGGCATCGTCACCTTTTGAAGCAATGAACTCCGCGTGCCTCTCGAGGTGTCAGCGGGATGTGAGGCATTCCGTCAAAATGAGGCTGGGACCTAGGGCTTTCTCTCAGGTCTCCACAGGGGATTCAGACATCCCTTCATGTTGTGAGATGAAAGACGAGCCTGTATTCAAGCCACTGCAAGGAAATCCGGCCACCTTTCAAGTTAGGGCTTCTCGATGTATATTCCCCTTGAGGCAGCAAACTCGGGGTCCCTCCAACATACATATTGCTGAGAGAAGCCTCCTCCTGAGGTGCTTCTGGAATGTAGGCATACGTCTTGAGCTTAAGCCAGGTAATCGGCTCTCATCTCGAGACGATTTGGGGTACACGGAGCATTCCTCGAGTTGCTGTGCTGAAGTTGGTGTTCCTCTAGACTTGGGACAGTGTTCTCGGGGCATCTCTGGAGTTGCGTGAAGGAAGTCGAGCCACCGGTCGTGTTGAATGGGGAACGGGGAATGGCTCTGGAGTCAATGCAGGGGAATCGGGCCTCATCTCGAGTTGATTTGGGGCACATGGAGCTGCTTTGCGTTGCTGGGGTGACCTCAGGGTCCGTCTAGACTGGTGACAGTGTTCTTGGGGACTGTCTCGAGATCCATTAAGCAAGTCGAATCTCCTGACTTGTTTGAATGGGATCACGGAATAGCTCTGCATGCACTGCAGGGGAATGGGGCCTCATCTCGCCTCTAGGGGGAAGTCTCATGTTTTTTCTCGAGTTGCGGCGGGGACCTGGGGTATGTTCTCGACTTACGGCGGGGATGGCCCTTCAAAACACGAGTTTCTTCAGTGACGTCAGGACTCCTGTCTAGTAACGAGGGACACCTCAGGAATCTCTTCCAAGCTTGGCAGGGCAAAAGCGACGCTTCTCGAGGTGAGGCAGGGCACCCAAGGACCCTTTCCAGTAGCCACAGGGATTTTGGGATTCCTATCAGTATTCAAGAGGAGTCAGGCATCGTCACCTTTTGAAGCAATGAACTCTGCGTGCCTCTCGAGGTGTCAGCGGGATGTGAGGCATTCCGTCAAAATGAGGCATGGACCTAGGGCTTTCTCTAAGGTCTCCACAGGGCATTCAGTCATCCCTTCATGTTTTGAGATCAAAGAAGAGCCTGTATTCAAGCCACTGCAGGGAAATCCGGCCTCCTTTCAAGTTAGGGCTTCTCGCTGTATATTCCCCTTGAGGCAGCAAACTCGGGGTCCCTCCCACATACCTATTGCTGAGAGAAGCCTCCTCCTGAGGTGCTTCTGGAAAGTTGGCATACGTCTTGAGCCTAAGCCAGGGAATCACCTCTCATCTCGAGACGATTTGGGGTACACGGAGCATTCCTCGATTTGCTGTGCTGAAGTTGGTGTTCCTCTAGACTTGGGACAGTGTTCTCGGGGCATCTCTGGAGTTACCTGAAGGAAGTCGAGCCACCGGTCATGTTGAATGCGGAACGGGGAATGGCTCTGGAGTCAATGCAGGGGAATCGGGCCTCATCTCGAGTTGATTTGGGTCACATGGAGCTGCTTTGCGTTGCTGGGGTGACCTCAGGGTCTGTCTAGACTGGTGACAGTGTTCTTGGGGACTGTCTCGAGATCCATTAAGCAAGTCGAAGCTCCTGACTTGTTTGAATGGGATCACGGAATAGCTCTGCATGCACTGCAGGGGAATGGGGCCTCATCTCGCCTCTAGGGGGAAGTCTCATGGTTTTACTCGAGTTGCGGCGGGGACCTGGGGTATGTTCTCGACTTACGGCGGGATGGCCCTTCAAAACACGAGTTTCTTCAGTGACGTCAGGACTCCTGTCTAGTAACGAGGGACACCTCAGGAATCTCTTCCAAGCTTGGCAGGGCAAAAGGGACGCTTCTCGAGGTGAGGCAGTGCACCCAAGGACCCTTTCCTGTAGCCACAGGGATTTTGGGATTCCTATCAGTATTCAAGAGGAGTCAGGCATCGTCACCTTTTGAAGCAATGAACTCCGCGTGCCTCTCGAGGTGTCAGCGGGATGTGAGGCATTCCGTCAAAATGAGGCAGGGACCTAGGGCTTTCTCTAAGGTCTCCACAGGGGATTCAGACATGCCTTCATGTTGTGAGATTAAACACGAGCCTGTATTCAAGCCACTGCAAGGAAATTGGGCCTCCTTTCAATTTAGGGCTTCTCGCTGTATATTCCCCTTGAGGCAGCAAACTCGGGGTCCCTCCCACATAGCTATTGCTGAGAGAAGCCTCCTCCTGAGGTGCTTCTGGAAAGTTGGCATACGTCTTGAGCCTAAGCCAGGGAATCAGCTCTCATCTCGAGACGATTTGGGGTACACGGAGCATTCCTCGAGTTGCTGTGCTGAAGTTAGTGTTCCTCTAGACTTGGGACAGTGTTCTCGGGGCATCTCTGGAGTTGCCTGAAGGAAGTCGAGCCACCGGTCGTGTTGAATGGGGAACGGGGAATGACTCTGGAGTCAATGCAGGGGAATCGGGCCTCATCTCGAGTTGATTTGGGGCACATGGAGCTGCTTTGCGTTGCTGGGGTGGCCTCAGGGTCCATCTAGACTGGTGACAGTGTTCTTGGGGACTGTCTCGAGATCGATTAAGCAAGTCGAAGCTCCTGACTTGTTTGAATGGGATCACGGAATAGCTCTGCATGCACTGCAGGGGAATGGGGCCTCATCTCGCCTCTAGGGGGAAGTCTCATGGTTTTTCTCGAGTTGCGGCGGGGACCTGGGGTATGTTCTCGACTTACGGCGGGGAAGGCCCTTCAAAACACGAGTTTCTTCAGTGACGTCAGGACTCCTGTCTAGTAACGAGGGACACCTCAGGAATATCTTCGAGGTTTGGCAGGGCAAAACGGACGCTTCTCGAGGTGATGCAGGGCACCCAAGGATCCTTTCCAGTAGCCACAGGGATTTTGGGATTCCTATCAGTATTCAAGAGGAGTCAGGCATTGTCACCTTTTGAAGCAATGAACTCTGCGTGCCTCTCGAGGTGTCAGCGGGATGTGAGGCATTCCGTCAAAATGAGGCATGGACCTAGGGCTTTCTCTAAGGTCTCCACAGGGCATTCAGTCATCCCTTCATGTTTTGAGATCAAAGAAGAGCCTGTATTCAAGCCACTGCAGGGAAATCCGGCCTCCTTTCAAGTTAGGGCTTCTCGCTGTATATTCCCCTTGAGGCAGCAAACTCGGGGTCCCTCCCACATACCTATTGCTGAGAGAAGCCTCCTCCTGAGGTGCTTCTGGAAAGTTGGCATACGTCTTGAGCCTAAGCCAGGGAATCAGCTCTCATCTCGAGACGATTTGGGGTACACGGAGCATTCCTCGATTTGCTGTGCTGAAGTTGGTGTTCCTCTAGACTTGGGACAGTGTTCTCGGGGCATCTCTGGAGTTACCTGAAGGAAGTCGAGCCACCGGTCATGTTGAATGCGGAACGGGGAATGGCTCTGGAGTCAATGCAGGGGAATCGGGCCTCATCTCGAGTTGATTTGGGTCACATGGAGCTGCTTTGCGTTGCTGGGGTGACCTCAGGGACTGTCTAGACTGGTGACAGTGTTCTTGGGGACTGTCTCGAGATCCATTAAGCAAGTCGAAGCTCCTGACTTGTTTGAATGGGATCACGGAATAGCTCTGCATGCACTGCAGGGGAATGGGGCCTCATCTCGCCTCTAGGGGGAAGTCTCATGGTTTTACTCGAGTTGCGGCGGGGACCTGGGGTATGTTCTCGACTTACGGCGGGATGGCCCTTCAAAACACGAGTTTCTTCAGTGACGTCAGGACTCCTGTCTAGTAACGAGGGACACCTCAGGAATCTCTTCCAAGCTTGGCAGGGCAAAAGGGACGCTTCTCGAGGTGAGGCAGTGCACCCAAGGACCCTTACCTGTAGCCACAGGGATTTTGGGATTCCTATCAGTATTCAAGAGGAGTCAGGCATCGTCACCTTTTGAAGCAATGAACTCCGCGTGCCTCTCGAGGTGTCAGCGGGATGTGAGGCATTCCGTCAAAATGAGGCAGGGACCTAGGGCTTTCTCTAAGGTCTCCACAGGGGATTCAGACATGCCTTCATGTTGTGAGATTAAACACGAGCCTGTATTCAAGCCACTGCAAGGAAATCAGGCCTCCTTTCAATTTAGGGCTTCTCGCTGTATATTCCCCTTGAGGCAGCAAACTCGGGGTCCCTCCCACATAGCTATTGCTGAGAGAAGCCTCCTCCTGAGGTGCTTCTGGAAAGTTGGCATACGTCTTGAGCCTAAGCCAGGGAATCAGCTCTCATCTCGAGACGATTTGGGGTACACGGAGCATTCCTCGAGTTGCTGTGCTGAAGTTAGTGTTCCTCTAGACTTGGGACAGTGTTCTCGGGGCATCTGTGGAGTTGCCTGAAGGAAGTGGAGCCACCGGTCGTGTTGAATGGGGAACGGGGAATGGCTCTGGAGTCAATGCAGGGGAATCGGGCCTCATCTCGAGTTGATTTGTGGCACATGCAGCTGCTTTTCGTTGCTGGGGTGGCCTCAGGGTCCGTCTAGACTGGTGACAGTGTTCTTGGGGACTGTCTCGAGATCGATTGAGCAAGTCGAAGCTCCTGACTTGTTTGAATGGGATCACGGAATAGCTCTGCATGCACTGCAGGGGAATGGGGCCTCATCTCGCCTCTAGGGGGAAGTCTCATGGTTTTTCTCGAGTTGCGGCAGGGACCTGGGGTATGTTCTCGACTTACGGCGGGGAAGGCCCTTCAAAACACGAGTTTCTTCAGTGACGTCAGGACTCCTGTCTAGTAACGAGGGACACTTCAGGAATCTCTTCGAGGCTTGGCAGGGCAAAAGGGACGCTTCTCGAGGTGAGGCAGGGCACCCAAGGACCCTTTCCAGTAGCCACGGGGATTTTGGGATTCCTATCAGTATTCAAGAAGAGTCAGGCATCGTCACCTTTTGAAGCAATGAACTCTGCGTGCCTCTCGACGTGTCAACGGGATGTGAGGCATTCCGTCAAAATGAGGCAGGGACCTAGGGCTTTCTCTAAGGTCTCCACAGTGGATTCCGTCATCCCTTCATGTTGTGAGATGAAAGACGAGCCTGTATTCAAGCCACTGCAAGGAAATCCGGCCTCCTTTCAAGTTAGGGCTTCTCACTGTATATTCCCCTTGAGGCAGCAAACTCGGGGTCCCTCCCACATACCTATTGCAGAGAGAAGCCTCCTCCTGAGGTGCTTCTGGAAAGTTGGCATACGTATTGACCCTAAGCCAGGGAATCAGCTCTCATCTCGAGACGATTTGGGGTACACGGAGCATTCCTCGAGTTGCTGTGCTGAAGTTGGTGTTCCTCTAGATTTGGGACAGTGTTCTCGGGGAATCTCTGGAGTTGCCTGAAGGAAGTCGAGCCAACGGTCGTGTTGAATGGGGATCGGGGAATGGCTCTGGAGTCAATGCAGGGGAATCGGGCCTCATCTCGAGTTGATTTGGGGCACATGGAGCTGCTTTGCGTTGCTGGGGTGACCTCAGGGTCCGTCTAGACTGGTGACAGTGTTCTTGGGGACTGTCTCGAGATCCATTAAGCAAGTCGAATCTCCTGACTTGTTTGAATGGGATCACGGAATAGCTCTGCATGCACTGCAGGGGAATGGGGCCTCATCTCGCCTCTAGGGGGAAGTCTCATGTTTTTTCTCGAGTTGCGGCGGGGACCTGGGGTATGTTCTCGACTTACGGCGGGGATGGCCCTTCAAAACACGAGTTTCTTCAGTGACGTCAGGACTCCTGTCTAGGAACGAGGGACACCTCAGGAATCTCTTCCAAGCTTGGCAGGGCAAAAGCGACGCTTCTCGAGGTGAGGCAGGGCACCCAAGGACCCTTTCCAGTAGACACAGGGATTTTGGGATTCCTATCAGTATTCAAGAGGAGTCAGGCATCGTCACCTTTTGAAGCAATGAACTCTGCGTGCCTCTCGAGGTGTCAGCGGGATGTGAGGCATTCCGTCAAAATGAGGCATGGACCTAGGGCTTTCTCTAAGGTCTCCACAGGGCATTCAGTCATCCCTTCATGTTTTGAGATCAAAGAAGAGCCTGTATTCAAGCCACTGCAAGGAAATTGGGCCTCCTTTCAATTTAGGGCTTCTCGCTGTATATTCCCCTTGAGGCAGCAAACTCGGGGTCCCTCCCACATAGCTATTGCTGAGAGAAGCCTCCTCCTGAGGTGCTTCTGGAAAGTTGGCATACGTCTTGAGCCTAAGCCAGGGAATCAGCTCTCATCTCGAGACGATTTGGGGTACACGGAGCATTCCTCGAGTTGCTGTGCTGAAGTTAGTGTTCCTCTAGACTTGGGACAGTGTTCTCGGGGCATCTCTGGAGTTGCCTGAAGGAAGTCGAGCCACCGGTCGTGTTGAATGGGGAACGGGGAATGGCTCTGGAGTCAATGCAGGGGAATCGGGCCTCATCTCGAGTTGATTTGGGGCACATGGAGCTGCTTTGCGTTGCTGGGGTGGCCTCAGGGTCCATCTAGACTGGTGACAGTGTTCTTGGGGACTGTCTCGAGATCGATTAAGCAAGTCGAAGCTCCTGACTTGTTTGAATGGGATCACGGAATAGCTCTGCATGCACTGCAGGGGAATGGGGCCTCATCTCGCCTCTAGGGGGAAGTCTCATGGTTTTTCTCGAGTTGCGGCGGGGACCTGGGGTATGTTCTCGACTTACGGCGGGGAAGGCCCTTCAAAACACGAGTTTCTTCAGTGACGTCAGGACTCCTGTCTAGTAACGAGGGACACCTCAGGAATATCTTCGAGGTTTGGCAGGGCAAAACGGACGCTTCTCGAGGTGATGCAGGGCACCCAAGGATCCTTTCCAGTAGCCACAGGGATTTTGGGATTCCTATCAGTATTCAAGAGGAGTCAGGCATTGTCACCTTTTGAAGCAATGAACTCTGCGTGCCTCTCGAGGTGTCAGCGGGATGTGAGGCATTCCGTCAAAATGAGGCATGGACCTAGGGCTTTCTCTAAGGTCTCCACAGGGCATTCAGTCATCCCTTCATGTTTTGAGATCAAAGAAGAGCCTGTATTCAAGCCACTGCAGGGAAATCCGGCCTCCTTTCAAGTTAGGGCTTCTCGCTGTATATTCCCCTTGAGGCAGCAAACTCGGGGTCCCTCCCACATACCTATTGCTGAGAGAAGCCTCCTCCTGAGGTGCTTCTGGAAAGTTGGCATACGTCTTGAGCCTAAGCCAGGGAATCAGCTCTCATCTCGAGACGATTTGGGGTACACGGAGCATTCCTCGAGTTGCTGTGCTGAAGTTGGTGTTCCTCTAGACTTGGGACAGTGTTCTCGGGGCATCTCTGGAGTTACCTGAAGGAAGTCGAGCCTCCGGTAATGTTGAATGCGGAACGGGGAATGGCTCTGGAGTCAATGCAGGGGAATCGGGCCTCATCTCGAGTTGATTTGGGTCACATGGAGGTGCTTTGCGTTGCTGGGGTGACCTCAGGGACTGTCTAGACTGGTGACAGTGTTCTTGGGGACTGTCTCGAGATCCATTAAGCAAGTCGAAGCTCCTGACTTGTTTGAATGGGATCACGGAATAGCTCTGCATGCACTGCAGGGGAATGGGGCCTCATCTCGCCTCTAGGGGGAAGTCTCATGGTTTTTCTCGAGTTGCGGCGGGGACCTGGGGTATGTTCTCGACTTACGGCGGGGATGGCCCTTCAAAACACGAGTTTCTTCAGTGACGTCAGGACTCCTGTCTAGTAACGAGGGACACCTCAGGAATCTCTTCCAAGCTTGGCAGGGCAAAAGGGACGCTTCTCGAGGTGAGGCAGTGCACCCAAGGACCCTTTCCTGTAGCCACAGGGATTTTGGGATTCCTATCAGTATTCAAGAGGAGTCAGGCATCGTCACCTTTTGAAGCAATGAACTCCGCGTGCCTCTCGAGGTGTCAGCGGGATGTGAGGCATTCCTTCAAAATGAGGCAGGGACCTAGGGCTTTCTCTAAGGTCTCCACAGGGGATTCAGACATGCCTTCATGTTGTGAGATTAAACACGAGCCTGTATTCAAGCCACTGCAAGGAAATTGGGCCTCCTTTCAATTTAGGGCTTCTCGCTGTATATTCCCCTTGAGGCAGCAAACTCGGGGTCCCTCCCACATAGCTATTGCTGAGAGAAGCCTCCTCCTGAGGTGCTTCTGGAAAGTTGGCATACGTCTTGAGCCTAAGCCACGGAATCAGCTCTCATCTCGAGACGATTTGTGGTACACGGAGCATTCCTCGAGTTGCTGTGCTGAAGTTAGTGTTCCTCTAGACTTGGGACAGTGTTCTCGGGGCATCTCTGGAGTTGCCTGAAGGAAGTCGAGCCACCGGTTGTGTTGAATGGGGAACGGGGAATGGCTCTGGAGTCAATGCAGGGGAATCGGGCCTCATCTCGAGTTGATTTGGGGCACATGCAGCTGCTTTGCGTTGCTGGGGTGGCCTCAGGGTCCGTCTAGACTGGTGACAGTGTTCTTGGGGACTGTCTCGAGATCGATTAAGCAAGTCGAAGCTCCTGACTTGTTTGAATGGGATCACGGAATAGCTCTGCATGCACTACAGGGGAATGGGGCCTCATCTCGCCTCTAGGGGGAAGTCTCATGGTTTTTCTCGAGTTGCGGCAGGGACCTGGGGTATGTTCTCGACTTACGGCGGGGAAGGCCCTTCAAAACACGAGTTTCTTCAGTGACGTCAGGACTCCTGTCTAGTAACGAGGGACACCTCAGGAATCTCTTCGAGGCTTGGCAGGGCAAAACGGACGCTTCTCGAGGTGAGGCAGGGCACCCAAGGACCCTTTCCAGTAGCCACGGGGATTTTGGGATTCCTATCAGTATTCAAGAAGAGTCAGGCATCGTCACCTTTTGAAGCAATGAACTCTGCGTGCCTCTCGAGGTGTCAACGGGATGTGAGGCATTCCGTCAAAATGAGGCAGGGACCTAGGGCTTTCTCTAAGGTCTCCACAGTGGATTCCGTCATCCCTTCATGTTGTGAGATGAAAGACGAGCCTGTATTCAAGCCACTGCAAGGAAATCCGGCCTCCTTTCAAATTAGGGCTTCTCGCTGTATATTCCCCTTGAGGCAGCAAACTCGGGGTCCCTCCCACATACCTATTGCTGAGAGAAGCCTCCTCCTGAGGTGCTTCTGGAAAGTTGGCATACGTATTGACCCTAAGCCAGGGAATCAGCTCTCATCTCGAGACGATTTGGGGTACACGGAGCATTCCTCGAGTTGCTGTGCTGAAGTTGGTGTTCCTCTAGACTTGGGACAGTTTTCTCGGGGAATCTCTGGAGTTGCCTGAAGGAAGTCGAGCCACCGGTCGTGTTGAATGGGGATCGGGGAATGGCTCTGGAGTCAATGCAGGGGAATCGGGCCTCATCTCGAGTTGATTTGGGGCACATGGAGCTGCTTTGCGTTGCTGGGGTGACCTCAGCGTCCGTCTAGACTGGTGACAGTGTTCTTGGGGACTGTCTCGAGATCCATTAAGCAAGTCGAATCTCCTGACTTGTTTGAATGGGATCACGGAATAGCTCTGCATGCACTGCAGGGGAATGGGGCCTCATCTCGCCTCTAGGGGGAAGTCTCATGGTTTTTCTCGAGTTGCGGCGGGGACCTGGGGTATGTTCTCGACTTACGGCGGGGATGGCCCTTCAAAACACGAGTTTCTTCAGTGACGTCAGGACTCCTGTCTAGTAACGAGGGACACCTCAGGAATCTCTTCCAAGCTTGGCAGGGCAAAAGGGACGCTTCTCGAGGTGAGGCAGGGCACCCAAGGACCCTTTCCAGTAGCCACAGGGATTTTGGGATTCCTATCAGTATTCAAGAGGAGTCAGGCATCGTCACCTTTTGAAGCAATGAACTCTGCGTGCCTCTCAAGGTGTCAGCGGGATGTGAGGCATTCCGTCAAAATGAGGCATGGACCAAGGGCTTTCTCTAAGGTCTCCACAGGGCATTCAGTCATCCCTTCATGTTTTGAGATCAAAGAAGAGCCTGTATTCAAGCCACTGCAGGGAAATCCGGCCTCCTTTCAAGTTAGGGCTTCTCGCTGTATATTCCCCTTGAGGCAGCAAACTCGGGGTCCCTCCCACATACCTATTGCTGAGAGAAGCCTCCTCCTGAGGTGCTTCTGGAAAGTTGGCATATGTCTTGAGCCTAAGCCAGGGAATCAGCTCTCATCTCGAGACGATTTGGGGTACACGGAGCATTCCTCGATTTGCTGTGCTGAAGTTGGTGTTCCTCTAGACTTGGGACAGTGTTCTCGGGGCATCTCTGGAGTTACCTGAAGGAAGTCGAGCCACCGGTCATGTTGAATGCGGAACGGGGAATGGCTCTGGAGTCAATGCAGGGGAATCGGGCCTCATCTCGAGTTGATTTGGGTCACATGGAGCTGCTTTGCGTTGCTGGGGTGACCTCAGGGTCTGTCTAGACTGGTGACAGTGTTCTTGGGGACTGTCTCGAGATCCATTAAGCAAGTCGAAGCTCCTGACTTGTTTGAATGGGATCACGGAATAGCTCTCCATGCACTGCAGGGGAATGGGGCCTCATCTCGCCTCTAGGGGGAAGTCTCATGGTTTTACTCGAGTTGCGGCGGGGACCTGGCGTATGTTCTCGACTTACGGCGGGATGGCCCTTCAAAACACGAGTTTCTTCAGTGACGTCAGGACTCCTGTCTAGTAACGAGGGACACCTCAGGAATCTCTTCCAAGCTTGGCAGGGCAAAAGGGACGCTTCTCGAGGTGAGGCAGTGCACCCAAGGACCCTTTCCTGTAGCCACAGGGATTTTGGGATTCCTATCAGTATTCAAGAGGAGTCAGGCATCGTCACCTTTTGAAGCAATGAACTCTGCGTGCCTCTCGAGGTGTCAACGGGATGTGAGGCATTCCGTCAAAATGAGGCAGGGACCTAGGGCTTTCTCTAAGGTCTCCACAGTGGATTCCGTCATCCCTTCATGTTGTGAGATGAAAGACGAGCCTGTATTCAAGCCACTGCAAGGAAATCCGGCCTCCTTTCAAGTTAGGGCTTCTCGCTGTACATTCCCCTTGAGGCAGCAAACTCGGGGTCCCTCCCACATACCTATTGCTGAGAGAAGCCTCCTCCTGAGGTGCTTCTGGAAAGTTGGCATACGTATTGACCCTAAGCCAGGGAATCAGCTCTCATCTCGAGACGATTTGGGGTACACGGAGCATTCCTCGAGTTGCTGTGCTGAAGTTGGTGTTCCTCTAGACTTGGGACAGTTTTCTCGGGGAATCTCTGGAGTTGCCTGAAGGAAGTCGAGCCACCGGTCGTGTTGAATGGGGATCGGGGAATGGCTCTGGAGTCAATGCAGGGGAATCGGGCCTCATCTCGAGTTGATTTGGGGCACATGGAGCTGCTTTGCGTTGCTGGGGTGACCTCAGGGTCCGTCTAGACTGGTGACAGTGTTCTTGGGGACTGTCTCGAGATCCATTAAGCAAGTCGAATCTCCTGACTTGTTTGAATGGGATCACGGAATAGCTCTGCATGCACTGCAGGGGAATGGGGCCTCATCTCGCCTCTAGGGGGAAGTCTCATGGTTTTTCTCGAGTTGCGGCGGGGACCTGGGGTATGTTCTCGACTTACGGCGGGGATGGCCCTTCAAAACACGAGTTTCTTCAGTGACGTCAGGACTCCTGTCTAGTAACGAGGGACACCTCAGGAATCTCTTCCAAGCTTGGCAGGGCAAAAGGGACGCTTCTCGAGGTGAGGCAGGGCACCCAAGGACCCTTTCCAGTAGCCACAGGGATTTTGGGATTCCTATCAGTATTCAAGAGGAGTCAGGCATCGTCACCTTTTGAAGCAATGAACTCCGCGTGCCTCTCGAGGTGTCAGCGGGATGTGAGGCATTCCTTCAAAATGAGGCAGGGACCTAGGGCTTTCTCTAAGGTCTCCACAGGGGATTCAGACATGCCTTCATGTTGTGAGATTAAACACGAGCCTGTATTCAAGCCACTGCAAGGAAATTGGGCCTCCTTTCAATTTAGGGCTTCTCGCTGTATATTCCCCTTGAGGCAGCAAACTCGGGGTCCCTCCCACATAGCTATTGCTGAGAGAAGCCTCCTCCTGAGGTGCTTCTGGAAAGTTGGCATACGTCTTGAGCCTAAGCCACGGAATCAGCTCTCATCTCGAGACGATTTGTGGTACACGGAGCATTCCTCGAGTTGCTGTGCTGAAGTTAGTGTTCCTCTAGACTTGGGACAGTGTTCTCGGGGCATCTCTGGAGTTGCCTGAAGGAAGTCGAGCCACCGGTCGTGTTGAATGGGGAACGGGGAATGGCTCTGGAGTCAATGCAGGGGAATCGGGCCTCATCTCGAGTTGATTTGGGGCACATGCAGCTGCTTTGCGTTGCTGGGGTGGCCTCAGGGTCCGTCTAGACTGGTGACAGTGTTCTTGGGGACTGTCTCGAGATCGATTAAGCAAGTCGAAGCTCCTGACTTGTTTGAATGGGATCACGGAATAGCTCTGCATGCACTGCAGGGGAATGGGGCCTCATCTCGCCTCTAGGGGGAAGTCTCATGGTTTTTCTCGAGTTGCGGCAGGGACCTGGGGTATGTTCTCGACTTACGGCGGGGAAGGCCCTTCAAAACACGAGTTTCTTCAGTGACGTCAGGACTCCTGTCTAGTAACGAGGGACACCTCAGGAATCTCTTCGAGGCTTGGCAGGGCAAAACGGACGCTTCTCGAGGTGAGGCAGGGCACCCAAGGACCCTTTCCAGTAGCCACGGGGATTTTGGGATTCCTATCAGTATTCAAGAAGAGTCAGGCATCGTCACCTTTTGAAGCAATGAACTCTGCGTGCCTCTCGAGGTGTCAACGGGATGTGAGGCATTCCGTCAAAATGAGGCAGGGACCTAGGGCTTTCTCTAAGGTCTCCACAGTGGATTCCGTCATCCCTTCATGTTGTGAGATGAAAGACGAGCCTGTATTCAAGCCACTGCAAGGAAATCCGGCCTCCTTTCAAGTTAGGGCTTCTCGCTCTATATTCCCTTTGAGGCAGCAAACTCGGGGTCCCTCCCACATACCTATTGCTGAGAGAAGCCTCCTCCTGAGGTGCTTCTGGAAAGTTGGCATACGTATTGACCCTAAGCCAGGGAATCAGCTCTCATCTCGAGACGATTTGGGGTACACGGAGCATTCCTCGAGTTGCTGTGCTGAAGTTGGTGTTCCTCTAGACTTGGGACAGTTTTCTCGGGGAATCTCTGGAGTTGCCTGAAGGAAGTCGAGCCACCGGTCGTGTTGAATGGGGATCGGGGAATGGCTCTGGAGTCAATGCAGGGGAATCGGGCCTCATCTCGAGTTGATTTGGGGCACATGGAGCTGCTTTGCGTTGCTGGGGTGACCTCAGCGTCCGTCTAGACTGGTGACAGTGTTCTTGGGGACTGTCTCGAGATCCATTAAGCAAGTCGAATCTCCTGACTTGTTTGAATGGGATCACGGAATAGCTCTGCATGCACTGCAGGGGAATGGGGCCTCATCTCGCCTCTAGGGGGAAGTCTCATGGTTTTTCTCGAGTTGCGGCGGGGACCTGGGGTATGTTCTCGACTTACGGCGGGGATGGCCCTTCAAAACACGAGTTTCTTCAGTGACGTCAGGACTCCTGTCTAGTAACGAGGGACACCTCAGGAATCTCTTCCAAGCTTGGCAGGGCAAAAGGGACGCTTCTCGAGGTGAGGCAGGGCACCCAAGGACCCTTTCCAGTAGCCACAGGGATTTTGGGATTCCTATCAGTATTCAAGAGGAGTCAGGCATCGTCACCTTTTGAAGCAATGAACTCTGCGTGCCTCTCAAGGTGTCAGCGGGATGTGAGGCATTCCGTCAAAATGAGGCATGGACCAAGGGCTTTCTCTAAGGTCTCCACAGGGCATTCAGTCATCCCTTCATGTTTTGAGATCAAAGAAGAGCCTGTATTCAAGCCACTGCAGGGAAATCCGGCCTCCTTTCAAGTTAGGGCTTCTCGCTGTATATTCCCCTTGAGGCAGCAAACTCGGGGTCCCTCCCACATACCTATTGCTGAGAGAAGCCTCCTCCTGAGGTGCTTCTGGAAAGTTGGCATACGTATTGACCCTAAGCCAGGGAATCAGCTCTCATCTCGAGACGATTTGGGGTACACGGAGCATTCCTCGAGTTGCTGTGCTGAAGTTGGTGTTCCTCTAGATTTGGGACAGTGTTCTCGGGGAATCTCTGGAGTTGCCTGAAGGAAGTCGAGCCACCGGTCGTGTTGAATGGGGATCGGGGAATGGCTCTGGAGTCAATGCAGGGGAATCGGGCCTCATCTCGAGTTGATTTGGGGCACATGGAGCTGCTTTGCGTTGCTGGGGTGACCTCAGGGTCCGTCTAGACTGGTGACAGTGTTCTTGGGGACTCTCTCGAGATCCATTAAGCAAGTCGAAGCTCCTGACTTGTTTGAATGGGATCACGGAATAGCTCTGCATGCACTGCAGGGGAATGGGGCCTCATCTCGCCTCTAGGGGGAAGTCTCATGGTTTTTCTCGAGTTGCGGCGGGGACCTGGGGTATGTTCTCGACTTACGGCGGGGATGGCCCTTCAAAACACGAGTTTCTTCAGTGACGTCAGGACTCCTGTCTAGTAACGAGGGACACCTCAGGAATCTCTTCCAAGCTTGGCAGGGCAAAAGGGACGCTTCTCGAGGTGAGGCAGGGCACCCAAGGACCCTTTCCAGTAGCCACAGGGATTTTGGGATTCCTATCAGTATTCAAGAGGAGTCAGGCATCGTCACCTTTTGAAGCAATGAACTCTGCGTGCCTCTCGAGGTGTCAGCGGGATGTGAGGCATTCCGTCAAAATGAGGCAAGGACCTAGGGCTTTCTCTAACGTCTCCACAGGGCATTAAGTCATCCATTCATGTTTTGAGATCAAAGAAGAGCCTGTATTCAAGCCACTGCAGGGAAATCCGGCCTCCTTTCAAGTTAGGGCTTCTCGCTGTATATTCCCCTTGAGGCAGCAAACTCGGGGTCCCTCCCACATACCTATTGCTGAGAGAAGCCTCCTCCTGAGGTGCTTCTGGAAAGTTGGCATACGTCTTGAGCCTAAGCCAGGGAATCAGCTCTCATCTCGAGACGATTTGGGGAACACGGAGCATTCCTCGATTTGCTGTGCTGAAGTTGGTGTTCCTCTAGACTTGGGACAGTGTTCTCGGGGCATCTCTGGAGTTACCTGAAGGAAGTCGAGCCACCGGTCATGTTGAATGCGGAACGGGGAATGGCTCTGGAGTCAATGCAGGGGAATCGGGCCTCATCTCGAGTTGATTTGGGTCACATGGAGCTGCTTTGCGTTGCTGGGGTGACCTCAGGGTCTGTCTAGACTGGTGACAGTGTTCTTGGGGACTGTCTCGAGATCCATTAAGCAAGTCGAAGCTCCTGACTTGTTTGAATGGGATCACGGAATAGCTCTCCATGCACTGCAGGGGAATGGGGCCTCATCTCGCCTCTAGGGGGAAGTCTCATGGTTTTACTCGAGTTGCGGCGGGGACCTGGGGTATGTTCTCGACTTACGGCGGGATGGCCCTTCAAAACACGAGTTTCTTCAATGACGTCAGGACTCCTGTCTAGTAACGAGGGACACCTCAGGAATCTCTTCCAAGCTTGGCAGGGCAAAAGGGACGCTTCTCGAGGTGAGGCAGTGCACCCAAGGACCCTTTCCTGTAGCCACAGGGATTTTGGGATTCCTATCAGTATTCAAGAGGAGTCAGGCATCGTCACCTTTTGAAGCAATGAACTCCGCGTGCCTCTCGAGGTGTCAGCGGGATGTGAGGCATTCCGTCAAAATGAGGCAGGGACCTAGGGCTTTCTCTAAGGTCTCCACAGGGGATTCAGACATGCCTTCATGTTGTGAGATTAAACACGAGCCTGTATTCAAGCCACTGCAAGGAAATCAGGCCTCCTTTCAATTTAGGGCTTCTCGCTGTATATTCCCCTTGAGGCAGCAAACTCGGGGTCCCTCCCACATAGCTATTGCTGAGAGAAGCCTCCTCCTGAGGTGCTTCTGGAAAGTTGGCATACGTCTTGAGCCTAAGCCAGGGAATCAGCTCTCATCTCGAGACGATTTGGGGTACACGGAGCATTCCTCGAGTTGCTGTGCTGAAGTTGGTGTTCCTCTAGACTTGGGACAGTGTTCTCGGGGCATCTCTGGAGTTGCCTGAAGGAAGTCGAGCCACCGGTCGTGTTGAATGGGGAACGGGGAATGGCTCTGGAGTCAATGCAGGGGAATCGGGCCTCATCTCGAGTTGATTTGGGGCACATGCAGCTGCTTTGCGTTGCTGGGGTGGCCTCAGGGTCCGTCTAGACTGGTGACAGTGTTCTTGGGGACTGTCTCGAGATCGATTAAGCAAGTCGAAGCTCCTGACTTGTTTGAATGGGATCACGGAATAGCTCTGCATGCACTGCAGGGGAATGGGGCCTCATCTCGCCTCTAGGGGGAAGTCTCATGGTTTTTCTCGAGTTGCGGCAGGGACCTGGGGTATGTTCTCGACTTACGGCGGGGAAGGCCCTTCAAAACACGAGTTTCTTCAGTGACGTCAGGACTCCTGTCTAGTAACGAGGGACACCTCAGGAATCTCTTCGAGGCTTGGCAGGGCAAAACGGAGGCTTCTCGAGGTGAGGCAGGGCACCCAAGGACCCTTTCCAGTAGCCACGGGGATTTTGGGATTCCTATCAGTATTCAAGTAGAGTCAGGCATCGTCACCTTTTGAAGCAATGAACTCTGCGTGCCTCTCGACGTGTCAACGGGATGTGAGGCATTCCGTCAAAATGAGGCAGGGACCTAGGGCTTTCTCTAAGGTCTCCACAGTGGATTCCGTCATCCCTTCATGTTGTGAGATGAAAGACGAGCCTGTATTCAAGCCACTGCAAGGAAATCCGGCCTCCTTTCAAGTTAGGGCTTCTCGCTGTATATTCCCCTTGAGGCAGCACACTCGGGGTCCCTCCCACATACCTATTGCTGAGAGAAGCCTCCTCCTGAGGTGCTTCTGGAAAGTTGGCATACGTATTGACCCTAAGCCAGGGAATCAGCTCTCATCTCGAGACGATTTGGGGCACACGGAGCATTCCTCGAGTTGCTGTGCTGAGGTTGGTGTTCCTCTAGATTTGGGACAGTGTTCTCGGGGAATCTCTGGAGTTGCCTGAAGGAAGTCGAGCCACCGGTCGTGTTGAATGGGGATCGGGGAATGGCTCTGGAGTCAATGAAGGGGAATCGGGCCTCATCTCGAGTTGATTTGGGGCACATGGAGCTGCTTTGCGTTGCTGGGGTGACCTCAGGGTCCGTCTAGACTGGTGACAGTGTTCTTGGGGACTGTCTCGAGATCGATTAAGCAAGTCGAATCTCCTGACTTGTTTGAATGGGATCACGGAATAGCTCTGCATGCACTGCAGGGGAATGGGGCCTCATCTCGCCTCTAGGGGGAAGTCTCATGGTTTTACTCGAGTTGAGGCGGGGACCTGGGGTATGTTCTCGACTTACGGCGGGATGGCCCTTCAAAACACGAGTTTCTTCAGTGACGTCAGGACTCCTGTCTAGTAACGAGGGACACCTCAGGAATCTCTTCCAAGCTTGGCAGGGCAAAAGGGACGCTTCTCGAGGTGAGGCAGTGCACCCAAGGACCCTTTCCTGTAGCCACAGGGATTTTGGGATTCCTATCAGTATTCAAGAGGAGTCAGGCATCGTCACCTTTTGAAGCAATGAACTCCGCGTGCCTCTCGAGGTTTCAGCGGGATGTGAGGCATTCCGTCAAAATGAGGCAGGGACCTAGGGCTTTCTCTAAGGTCTCCACAGGGGATTCAAACATGCCTTCATGTTGTGAGATTAAACACGAGCCTGTATTCAAGCCACTGCAAGGAAATTGGGCCTCCTTTCAATTTAGGGCTTCTCGCTGTATATTCCCCTTGAGGCAGCAAACTCGGGGTCCCTCCCACATAGCTATTGCTGAGAGAAGCCTCCTCCTGAGGTGCTTCTGGAAAGTTGGCATACGTCTTGAGCCTAAGCCAGGGAATCAGCTCTCATCTCGAGACGATTTGGGGTACACGGAGCATTCCTCGAGTTGCTGTGCTGAAGTTAGTGTTCCTCTAGACTTGGGACAGTGTTCTCGGGGCATCTCTGGAGTTGCCTGAAGGAAGTCGAGCCACCGGTCGTGTTGAATGGGGAAAGGGGAATGGCTCTGGAGTCAATGCAGGGGAATCGGGCCTCATCTCGAGTTGATTTGGGGCACATGCAGCTGCTTTGCGTTGCTGGGGTGGCCTCAGGGTCCGTCTAGACTGGTGACAGTGTTCTTGGGGACTGTCTCGAGATCGATTAAGCAAGTCGAAGCTCCTGACTTGTTTGAATGGGATCACGGAATAGCTCTGCATGCACTGCAGGGGAATGGGGCCTCATCTCGCCTCTAGGGGGAAGTCTCATGGTTTTTCTCGAGTTGCGGCAGGGACCTGGGGTATGTTCTCGACTTACGGCGGGGAAGGCCCTTCAAAACACCAGTTTCTTCAGTGACGTCAGGACTCCTGTCTAGTAACGAGGGACACCTCAGGAATCTCTTCGAGGCTTGGCAGGGCAAAACGGACGCTTCTCGAGGTGAGACAGGGCACCCAAGGACCCTTTCCAGTAGCCACGGGGATTTTGGGATTCCTATCAGTATTCAAGAAGAGTCAGGCATCGTCACCTTTTGAAGCAATGAACTCTGCGTGAATCTCGAGGTGTCAACATGATGTGAGGCATTCCGTCAAAATGAGGCATGGACCTAGGGCTTTCTCTAAGGTCTCCACAGTGGATTCCGACATCCCTTCATGTTGTGAGATGAAAGACGAGACTGTATTCAAGCCACTGCAAGGAAATCCGGCCTCCTTTCAAGTTAGGGCTTCTCGCTGTATATTCCCCTTGAGGCAGCAAACTCGGGGTCCCTCCCACATACCTATTGCTGAGAGAAGCCTCCTCCTGAGGTGCTTCTGGAAAGTTGGCATACGTATTGACCCTAAGCCAGGGAATCAGCTCTCATCTCGAGACGATTTGGGGTACACGGAGCATTCCTCGAGTTGCTGTGCTGAAGTTGGTGTTCCTCTAGACTTGGGACAGTGTTCTCGGGGAATCTCTGGAGTTGCCTGAAGGAAGTCGAGCCACCGGTCGTGTTGAATGGGGATCGGGGAATGGCTCTGGAGTCAATGCAGGGGAATCGGGCCTCATCTCGAGTTGATTTGGGGCACATGGAGCTGCTTTGCGTTGCTGGGGTGACCTCAGCGTCCGTCTAGACTGGTGACAGTGCTCTTGGGGACTGTCTCGAGATCGATTAAGCAAGTCGAAGCTCCTGACTTGTTTGAATGGGATCACGGAATAGCTCTGCATGCACTGCAGGGGAATGGGGCCTCATCTCGCCTCTAGGGGGAAGTCTCATGGTTTTTCTCGAGTTGCGGCGGGGACCTGGGGTATGTTCTCGACTTACGGCGGGGATGGCCCTTCAAAACACGAGTTTCTTCAGTGACGTCAGGACTCCTGTCTAGTAACGAGGGACACCTCAGGAATCTCTTCGAGGCTTGGCTGGGCAAAAGTGATGCTTCTCGAGGTCAGGCAGGGCACCCAAGGATCCTTTCCAGTAGCCACAGGGATTTTGGGATTCCTATCAGTATTCAAGAGGAGTCAGGCATCGTCACCTTTTGAAGCAATGAACTCCGCGTGCCTCTCGAGGTGTCAGCGGGATGTGAGGCATTCCGTCAAAATGAGGCTGGGACCTAGGGCTTTCTCTCAGGTCTCCACAGGGGATTCAGACATCCCTTCATGTTGTGAGATGAAAGACGAGCCTGTATTCAAGCCACTGCAAGGAAATCCGGCCACCTTTCAAGTTAGGGCTTCTCGATGTATATTCCCCTTGAGGCAGCAAACTCGGGGTCCCTCCAACATACATATTGCTGAGAGAAGCCTCCTCCTGAGGTGCTTCTGGAATGTAGGCATACGTCTTGAGCCTAAGCCAGGTAATCGGCTCTCATCTCGAGACGATTTGGGGTACACGGAGCATTCCTCGAGTTGCTGTGCTGAAGTTGGTGTTCCTCTAGACTTGGGACAGTGTTCTCGGGGCATCTCTGGAGTTGCCTGAAGGAAGTGGAGCCACCGGTCGTGTTGAATGGGGAACGGGTAATAGCTCTGGGGTCAATGCAGGGGAATCGGGCCTCATCTCGAGTTGATTTGGGGCACATGGAGCTGCTTTGCGTTGCTGGGGTGACCTCAGCGTCCGTCTAGACTGGTGACAGTGTTCTTGGGGACTGTCTCGAGATCGATTAAGCAAGTCGAAGCTCCTGACTTGTTTGAATGGGATCACGGAATAGGTCTGCATGCAGTGCAGGGGAATGGGGCCTTATCTCGCCTCTAAGGGGAAGTCTCATGGTTTTTCTCGAGTTGCGGCGGGGGCCTGGGGTATGTTCTCGACTTACGGCGGGGATGGCCCTTCAAAACACGAGTTTCTTCAGTGACGTCAGGACTCCTGTCTAGTAACGAGGGACACCTCAGGAATCTCTTCGAGGCTTGGCAGGGCAAAACCGACGCTTCTCGAGGTGAGGCAGGGCACCCAAGGACCCTTTCAGTAGCCACAGTGATTTTGGGATTCCTATCAGTATTCAAGAGGAGTCAGGCATCGTCACCTATTGAAGCAATGAACTCCGCGTGCCTCTCGAGTTGTCAGCGGGATGTGAGGCATTCCGTCAAAATGAGGCAGGGACCTACGGCTTTCTCTAAGGTCTCCACAGGGGATTCAGACATCCCTTCATGTTGTGAGATGAAAGACGAGCCTGTATTCAAGCCACTGCAAGGAAATCCGGCCACCTTTCAAGTTAGGGCTTCTCGCTGTATATTCCCCTTGAGGCAGCACACTCGGGGTCCCTCCCACATACCTATTGCTGAGAGAAGCCTCCTCCTGAGTTGCTTCTGGAAAGTTGGCAAATGCCTTGAGCCTAAGCCAATGTATCAGCTCTCATCTCGAGACGATTTGGGGTGCACGGAGCATTCCTCGAGTTGCTGTGCTGAAGTTGGTGTTCCTCTAGACTTGGGACAGTGTTCTCGGGGCATCTCTGGAGTTGCGTGAAGGAAGTCGAGCCACCGGTCGTGTTGAATGGGGAACGGGGAATGGCTCTGGGGTCAATGCAGGGGAATCGGGCCTCATCTCGAGTTGATTTGGGGCACATGGAGCTGCTTTGCGTTGCTGGGGTGACCTCAGGGTCCGTCTAGACTGGTGACAGTGTTCTTGGGGACTGTCTCGAGATCCATTAAGCAAGTCGAAGCTCCTGACTTGTTTGAATGGGATCACGGAATACCTCTGCATGCACTGCAGGGGAATGGGGCCTCATCTCGCCTCTAGGGGGAAGTCTCATGGTTTTTCTCGAGTTGCGACGGGTCCTGGGGTATGTTCTCGACTTACGGCGGTGATGGCCCTTCAAAACATGAGTTTCTTCAGTGACGTCAGGACTCCTGTCTAGTAACGAGGGACACCTCAGGAATCTCTTCCAGGCTTGGCAGGGCAAAAGGGACGCTTCTCGAGGTGAGGCAGGGCACCCAAGGACCCTTTCCAGTAGCCACAGGGATTTTGGGATTCCTATCAGTATTCAAGAGGAGTCAGGCATCGTCACCTTTTGAAGCAATGAACTCTGCGTGCCTCTCGAGGTGTCAGCGGGATGTGAGGCATTCCGTTAAAATGAGGCATGGACCTAGGGCTTTCTCTAAGGTCTCCAAAGGGCATTCAGTCATCCCTTCATGTTTTGAGATCAAAGAAGAGCTGTATTCAAGCCACTGCAAGGAAATCCGGCCTCCTTTCAAGTTAGGGCTTCTCGCTGTATATTCCCATTGAGGCAGCAAACTCGGGGTCCCTCCCACATACCTATTGCTGAGAGAAGCCTCCTCCTGAGGTGCTTCTGGAAAGTTGGCATACGTCTTGAGCCTAAGCCAGGGAATCAGCTCTCATCTCGAGACGATTTGGGGTACACGGAGCATTCCTCGAGTTGCTGTGCTGAAGTTGGTGTTCCTCTAGACTTGGGACAGTGTTCTCGGGGCATCTCTGGAGTTGCCTGAAGGAAGTCGAGCCACCGGTCGTGTTGAATGGGGAACGGGGAATGGCTCTAGAGTCAATGCAGGGGAATCGGGCCTCATCTCGAGTTGATTTGGGGCACATGGAGCTGCTTTGCGTTGCTGGGGTGACCTCAGCGTCCGTCTAGACTGGTGACAGTGTTCTTGGGGACTGTCTCGAGATCCATTAAGCAAGTCGAATCTCCTGACTTGTTTGAATGGGATCACGGAATAGCTCTGCATGCACTGCAGGGGAATGGGGCCTCATCTCGCCTCTAGGGGGAAGTCTCATGTTTTTTCTCGAGTTGCGGCGGGGACCTGGGGTATGTTCTCGACTTACGGCGGGGATGGCCCTTCAAAACACGAGTTTCTTCAGTGACGTCAGGACTCCTGTCTAGTAACGAGGGACACCTCAGGAATCTCTTCCAAGCTTGGCAGGGCAAAAGGGACGCTTCTCGAGGTGAGGCAGGGCACCCAAGGACCCTTTCCAGTAGCCACAGGGATTTTGGGATTCCTATCAGTATTCAAGAGGAGTCAGGCATCGTCACCTTTTGAAGCAATGAACTCCGCGTGCCTCTCGAGGTGTCAGCGGGATGTGAGGCATTCCGTCAAAATGAGGCAGGGACCTAGGGCTTTCTCTAAGGTCTCCACAGGGGATTCAGTCATGCCTTCATGTTGTGAGATTAAACACGAGCCTTTATTCAAGCCACTGCAAGGAAATCTGGCCTCCTTTCAAGTTAGGGCTTCTCGCTGTATATTCCCCTTGAGGCAGCACACTCGGGGTCCCTCCCACATACCTATTGCTGAGAGAAGCCTCCTCCTGAGTTGCTTCTGGAAAGGTGGCAAATGCCTTGAGCCTAAGCCAATGTATCAGCTCTCATCTCGAGACGATTTGGGGTGCACGGAGCATTCCTCGAGTTGCTGTGCTGAAGTTGGTGTTCCTCTAGACTTGGGACAGTGTTCTCGGGGCATCTCTGGAGTTGCGTGAAGGAAGTCGAGCCACCGGTCGTGTTGAATGGGGAACGGGGAATGGCTCTGGGGTCAATGCAGGGGAATCGGGCCTCATCTCGAGTTGATTTGGGGCACATGGAGCTGCTTTGCGTTGCTGGGGTGACCTCAGGGTCCGTCTAGACTGGTGACAGTGCTCTTGGGGACTGTCTCGAGATCGAATAAGCAAGTCGAAGCTCCTGACTTGTTTGAATGGGATCACGGAATAGCTCTGCATGCACTGCAGGGGAATGGGGCCTCATCTCGCCTCTAGGGGGAAGTCTCATGGTTTTTCTCGAGTTGCGGCGGGGACCTGGGGTATGTTCTCGACTTACGGCGGGGATGGCCCTTCAAAACACGAGTTTTTTCAGTGACGTCAGGACTCCTGTCTAGTAACGAGGGACACCTCAGGAATCTCTTCGAGGCTTGGCTGGGCAAAAGTGATGCTTCTCGAGGTCAGGCAGGGCACCCAAGGATCCTTTCCAGTAGCCACAGGGATTTTGGGATTCCTATCAGTATTCAAGAGGAGTCAGGCATCGTCACCTTTTGAAGCAATGAACTCCGCGTGCCTCTCGAGGTGTCAGCGGGATGTGAGGCATTCCGTCAAAATGAGGCTGGGACCTAGGGCTTTCTCTCAGGTCTCCACAGGGGATTCAGACATCCCTTCATGTTGTGAGATGAAAGAAGAGCTGTATTCAAGCCACTGCAAGGAAATCCGGCCTCCTTTCAAGTTAGGGCTTCTCGCTGTATATTCCCATTGAGGCAGCAAACTCGGGGTCCCTCCCACATACCTATTGCTGAGAGAAGCCTCCTCCTGAGGTGCTTCTGGAAAGTTGGCATACGTCTTGAGCCTAAGCCAGGGAATCAGCTCTCATCTCGAGACGATTTGGGGTACACGGAGCATTCCTCGAGTTGCTGTGCTGAAGTTGGTGTTCCTCTAGGCTTGGGACAGTGTTCTCGGGGCATCTCTGGAGTTGCCTGAAGGAAGTCGAGCCACCGGTCGTGTTGAATGGGGAACGGGGAATGGCTCTAGAGTCAATGCAGGGGAATCGGGCCTCATCTCGAGTTGATTTGGGGCACATGGAGCTGCTTTGCGTTGCTGGGGTGACCTCAGCGTCCGTCTAGACTGGTGACAGTGTTCTTGGGGACTGTCTCGAGATCCATTAAGCAAGTCGAATCTCCTGACTTGTTTGAATGGGATCACGGAATAGCTCTGCATGCACTGCAGGGGAATGGGGCCTCATCTCGCCTCTAGGGGGAAGTCTCATGTTTTTTCTCGAGTTGCGGCGGGGACCTGGGGTATGTTCTCGACTTACGGCGGGGATGGCCCTTCAAAACACGAGTTTCTTCAGTGACGTCAGGACTCCTGTCTAGTAACGAGGGACACCTCAGGAATCTCTTCCAAGCTTGGCAGGGCAAAAGGGACGCTTCTCGAGGTGAGGCAGGGCACCCAAGGACCCTTTCCAGTAGCCACAGGGATTTTGGGATTCCTATCAGTATTCAAGAGGAGTCAGGCATCGTCACCTTTTGAAGCAATGAACTCCGCGTGCCTCTCGAGGTGTCAGCCGGATGTGAGGCATTCCGTCAAAATGAGGCAGGGACCTAGGGCTTTCTCTAAGGTCTCCACAGGGGATTCAGTCATGCCTTCATGTTGTGAGATTAAACACGAGCCTTTATTCAAGCCACTGCAAGGAAATCCGGCCTCCTTTCAAGTTAGGGCTTCTCGCTGTATATTCCCCTTGAGGCAGCACACTCGGGGTCCCTCCCACATACCTATTGCTGAGAGAAGCCTCCTCCTGAGTTGCTTCTGGAAAGTTGGCAAATGCCTTGAGCCTAAGCCAATGTATCAGCTCTCATCTCGAGACGATTTGGGGTGCACGGAGCATTCCTCGAGTTGCTGTGCTGAAGTTGGTGTTCCTCTAGACTTGGGACAGTGTTCTCGGGGCATCTCTGGAGTTGCGTGAAGGAAGTCGAGCCACCGGTCGTGTTGAATGGGGAACGGGGAATGGCTCTGGGGTCAATGCAGGGGAATCGGGCCTCATCTCGAGTTGATTTGGGGCACATGGAGCTGCTTTGCGTTGCTGGGGTGACCTCAGGGTCCGTCTAGACTGGTGACAGTGCTCTTGGGGACTGTCTCGAGATCGAATAAGCAAGTCGAAGCTCCTGACTTGTTTGAATGGGATCACGGAATAGCTCTGCATGCACTGCAGGGGAATGGGGCCTCATCTCGCCTCTAGGGGGAAGTCTCATGGTTTTTCTCGAGTTGCGGCGGGGACCTGGGGTATGTTCTCGACTTACGGCGGGGATGGCCCTTCAAAACACGAGTTTCTTCAGTGACGTCAGGACTCCTGTCTAGTAACGAGGGACACCTCAGGAATCTCTTCGAGGCTTGGCTGGGCAAAAGTGATGCTTCTCGAGGTCAGGCAGGGCACCCAAGGATCCTTTCCAGTAGCCACAGGGATTTTGGGATTCCTATCAGTATTCAAGAGGAGTCAGGCATCGTCACCTTTTGAAGCAATGAACTCCGCGTGCCTCTCGAGGTGTCAGCGGGATGTGAGGCATTCCGTCAAAATGAGGCTGGGACCTAGGGCTTTCTCTCAGGTCTCCACAGGGGATTCAGACATCCCTTCATGTTGTGAGATGAAAGACGAGCCTGTATTCAAGCCACTGCAAGGAAATCCGGCCACCTTTCAAGTTAGGGCTTCTCGATGTATATTCCCCTTGAGGCAGCAAACTCGGGGTCCCTCCCACATACCTATTGCTGAGAGAAGCCTCCTCCTGAGGTGCTTCTGGAAAGTTGGCATACGTCTTGAGCCTAAGCCAGGGAATCACCTCTCATCTCGAGACGATTTGGGGTACACGGAGCATTCCTCGATTTGCTGTGCTGAAGTTGGTGTTCCTCTAGACTTGGGACAGTGTTCTCGGGGCATCTCTGGAGTTACCTGAAGGAAGTCGAGCCACCGGTCATGTTGAATGCGGAACGGGGAATGGCTCTGGAGTCAATGCAGGGGAATCGGGCCTCATCTCGAGTTGATTTGGGTCACATGGAGCTGCTTTGCGTTGCTGGGGTGACCTCAGGGTCTGTCTAGACTGGTGACAGTGTTCTTGGGGACTGTCTCGAGATCCATTAAGCAAGTCGAAGCTCCTGACTTGTTTGAATGGGATCACGGAATAGCTCTGCATGCACTGCAGGGGAATGGGGCCTCATCTCGCCTCTAGGGGGAAGTCTCATGGTTTTACTCGAGTTGCGGCGGGGACCTGGGGTATGTTCTCGACTTACGGCGGGATGGCCCTTCAAAACACGAGTTTCTTCAGTGACGTCAGGACTCCTGTCTAGTAACGAGGGACACCTCAGGAATCTCTTCCAAGCTTGGCAGGGCAAAAGGGACGCTTCTCGAGGTGAGGCAGTGCACCCAAGGACCCTTTCCTGTAGCCACAGGGATTTTGGGATTCCTATCAGTATTCAAGAGGAGTCAGGCATCGTCACCTTTTGAAGCAATGAACTCCGCGTGCCTCTCGAGGTGTCAGCGGGATGTGAGGCATTCCGTCAAAATGAGGCAGGGACCTAGGGCTTTCTCTAAGGTCTCCACAGGGGATTCAGACATGCCTTCATGTTGTGAGATTAAACACGAGCCTGTATTCAAGCCACTGCAAGGAAATTGGGCCTCCTTTCAATTTAGGGCTTCTCGCTGTATATTCCCCTTGAGGCAGCAAACTCGGGGTCCCTCCCACATAGCTATTGCTGAGAGAAGCCTCCTCCTGAGGTGCTTCTGGAAAGTTGGCATACGTCTTGAGCCTAAGCCAGGGAATCAGCTCTCATCTCGAGACGATTTGGGGTACACGGAGCATTCCTCGAGTTGCTGTGCTGAAGTTAGTGTTCCTCTAGACTTGGGACAGTGTTCTCGGGGCATCTCTGGAGTTGCCTGAAGGAAGTCGAGCCACCGGTCGTGTTGAATGGGGAACGGGGAATGACTCTGGAGTCAATGCAGGGGAATCGGGCCTCATCTCGAGTTGATTTGGGGCACATGGAGCTGCTTTGCGTTGCTGGGGTGGCCTCAGGGTCCATCTAGACTGGTGACAGTGTTCTTGGGGACTGTCTCGAGATCGATTAAGCAAGTCGAAGCTCCTGACTTGTTTGAATGGGATCACGGAATAGCTCTGCATGCACTGCAGGGGAATGGGGCCTCATCTCGCCTCTAGGGGGAAGTCTCATGGTTTTTCTCGAGTTGCGGCGGGGACCTGGGGTATGTTCTCGACTTACGGCGGGGAAGGCCCTTCAAAACACGAGTTTCTTCAGTGACGTCAGGACTCCTGTCTAGTAACGAGGGACACCTCAGGAATATCTTCGAGGTTTGGCAGGGCAAAACGGACGCTTCTCGAGGTGATGCAGGGCACCCAAGGATCCTTTCCAGTAGCCACAGGGATTTTGGGATTCCTATCAGTATTCAAGAGGAGTCAGGCATTGTCACCTTTTGAAGCAATGAACTCTGCGTGCCTCTCGAGGTGTCAGCGGGATGTGAGGCATTCCGTCAAAATGAGGCATGGACCTAGGGCTTTCTCTAAGGTCTCCACAGGGCATTCAGTCATCCCTTCATGTTTTGAGATCAAAGAAGAGCCTGTATTCAAGCCACTGCAGGGAAATCCGGCCTCCTTTCAAGTTAGGGCTTCTCGCTGTATATTCCCCTTGAGGCAGCAAACTCGGGGTCCCTCCCACATACCTATTGCTGAGAGAAGCCTCCTCCTGAGGTGCTTCTGGAAAGTTGGCATACGTCTTGAGCCTAAGCCAGGGAATCAGCTCTCATCTCGAGACGATTTGGGGTACACGGAGCATTCCTCGATTTGCTGTGCTGAAGTTGGTGTTCCTCTAGACTTGGGACAGTGTTCTCGGGGCATCTCTGGAGTTACCTGAAGGAAGTCGAGCCACCGGTCATGTTGAATGCGGAACGGGGAATGGCTCTGGAGTCAATGCAGGGGAATCGGGCCTCATCTCGAGTTGATTTGGGTCACATGGAGCTGCTTTGCGTTGCTGGGGTGACCTCAGGGACTGTCTAGACTGGTGACAGTGTTCTTGGGGACTGTCTCGAGATCCATTAAGCAAGTCGAAGCTCCTGACTTGTTTGAATGGGATCACGGAATAGCTCTGCATGCACTGCAGGGGAATGGGGCCTCATCTCGCCTCTAGGGGGAAGTCTCATGGTTTTACTCGAGTTGCGGCGGGGACCTGGGGTATGTTCTCGACTTACGGCGGGATGGCCCTTCAAAACACGAGTTTCTTCAGTGACGTCAGGACTCCTGTCTAGTAACGAGGGACACCTCAGGAATCTCTTCCAAGCTTGGCAGGGCAAAAGGGACGCTTCTCGAGGTGAGGCAGTGCACCCAAGGACCCTTACCTGTAGCCACAGGGATTTTGGGATTCCTATCAGTATTCAAGAGGAGTCAGGCATCGTCACCTTTTGAAGCAATGAACTCCGCGTGCCTCTCGAGGTGTCAGCGGGATGTGAGGCATTCCGTCAAAATGAGGCAGGGACCTAGGGCTTTCTCTAAGGTCTCCACAGGGGATTCAGACATGCCTTCATGTTGTGAGATTAAACACGAGCCTGTATTCAAGCCACTGCAAGGAAATCAGGCCTCCTTTCAATTTAGGGCTTCTCGCTGTATATTCCCCTTGAGGCAGCAAACTCGGGGTCCCTCCCACATAGCTATTGCTGAGAGAAGCCTCCTCCTGAGGTGCTTCTGGAAAGTTGGCATACGTCTTGAGCCTAAGCCAGGGAATCAGCTCTCATCTCGAGACGATTTGGGGTACACGGAGCATTCCTCGAGTTGCTGTGCTGAAGTTAGTGTTCCTCTAGACTTGGGACAGTGTTCTCGGGGCATCTGTGGAGTTGCCTGAAGGAAGTGGAGCCACCGGTCGTGTTGAATGGGGAACGGGGAATGGCTCTGGAGTCAATGCAGGGGAATCGGGCCTCATCTCGAGTTGATTTGTGGCACATGCAGCTGCTTTTCGTTGCTGGGGTGGCCTCAGGGTCCGTCTAGACTGGTGACAGTGTTCTTGGGGACTGTCTCGAGATCGATTGAGCAAGTCGAAGCTCCTGACTTGTTTGAATGGGATCACGGAATAGCTCTGCATGCACTGCAGGGGAATGGGGCCTCATCTCGCCTCTAGGGGGAAGTCTCATGGTTTTTCTCGAGTTGCGGCAGGGACCTGGGGTATGTTCTCGACTTACGGCGGGGAAGGCCCTTCAAAACACGAGTTTCTTCAGTGACGTCAGGACTCCTGTCTAGTAACGAGGGACACTTCAGGAATCTCTTCGAGGCTTGGCAGGGCAAAAGGGACGCTTCTCGAGGTGAGGCAGGGCACCCAAGGACCCTTTCCAGTAGCCACGGGGATTTTGGGATTCCTATCAGTATTCAAGAAGAGTCAGGCATCGTCACCTTTTGAAGCAATGAACTCTGCGTGCCTCTCGACGTGTCAACGGGATGTGAGGCATTCCGTCAAAATGAGGCAGGGACCTAGGGCTTTCTCTAAGGTCTCCACAGTGGATTCCGTCATCCCTTCATGTTGTGAGATGAAAGACGAGCCTGTATTCAAGCCACTGCAAGGAAATCCGGCCTCCTTTCAAGTTAGGGCTTCTCACTGTATATTCCCCTTGAGGCAGCAAACTCGGGGTCCCTCCCACATACCTATTGCAGAGAGAAGCCTCCTCCTGAGGTGCTTCTGGAAAGTTGGCATACGTATTGACCCTAAGCCAGGGAATCAGCTCTCATCTCGAGACGATTTGGGGTACACGGAGCATTCCTCGAGTTGCTGTGCTGAAGTTGGTGTTCCTCTAGATTTGGGACAGTGTTCTCGGGGAATCTCTGGAGTTGCCTGAAGGAAGTCGAGCCAACGGTCGTGTTGAATGGGGATCGGGGAATGGCTCTGGAGTCAATGCAGGGGAATCGGGCCTCATCTCGAGTTGATTTGGGGCACATGGAGCTGCTTTGCGTTGCTGGGGTGACCTCAGGGTCCGTCTAGACTGGTGACAGTGTTCTTGGGGACTGTCTCGAGATCCATTAAGCAAGTCGAATCTCCTGACTTGTTTGAATGGGATCACGGAATAGCTCTGCATGCACTGCAGGGGAATGGGGCCTCATCTCGCCTCTAGGGGGAAGTCTCATGTTTTTTCTCGAGTTGCGGCGGGGACCTGGGGTATGTTCTCGACTTACGGCGGGGATGGCCCTTCAAAACACGAGTTTCTTCAGTGACGTCAGGACTCCTGTCTAGTAACGAGGGACACCTCAGGAATCTCTTCCAAGCTTGGCAGGGCAAAAGCGACGCTTCTCGAGGTGAGGCAGGGCACCCAAGGACCCTTTCCAGTAGCCACAGGGATTTTGGGATTCCTATCAGTATTCAAGAGGAGTCAGGCATCGTCACCTTTTGAAGCAATGAACTCTGCGTGCCTCTCGAGGTGTCAGCGGGATGTGAGGCATTCCGTCAAAATGAGGCATGGACCTAGGGCTTTCTCTAAGGTCTCCACAGGGCATTCAGTCATCCCTTCATGTTTTGAGATCAAAGAAGAGCCTGTATTCAAGCCACTGCAGGGAAATCCGGCCTCCTTTCAAGTTAGGGCTTCTCGCTGTATATTCCCCTTGAGGCAGCAAACTCGGGGTCCCTCCCACATACCTATTGCTGAGAGAAGCCTCCTCCTGAGGTGCTTCTGGAAAGTTGGCATACGTCTTGAGCCTAAGCCAGGGAATCACCTCTCATCTCGAGACGATTTGGGGTACACGGAGCATTCCTCGATTTGCTGTGCTGAAGTTGGTGTTCCTCTAGACTTGGGACAGTGTTCTCGGGGCATCTCTGGAGTTACCTGAAGGAAGTCGAGCCACCGGTCATGTTGAATGCGGAACGGGGAATGGCTCTGGAGTCAATGCAGGGGAATCGGGCCTCATCTCGAGTTGATTTGGGTCACATGGAGCTGCTTTGCGTTGCTGGGGTGACCTCAGGGTCTGTCTAGACTGGTGACAGTGTTCTTGGGGACTGTCTCGAGATCCATTAAGCAAGTCGAAGCTCCTGACTTGTTTGAATGGGATCACGGAATAGCTCTGCATGCACTGCAGGGGAATGGGGCCTCATCTCGCCTCTAGGGGGAAGTCTCATGGTTTTACTCGAGTTGCGGCGGGGACCTGGGGTATGTTCTCGACTTACGGCGGGATGGCCCTTCAAAACACGAGTTTCTTCAGTGACGTCAGGACTCCTGTCTAGTAACGAGGGACACCTCAGGAATCTCTTCCAAGCTTGGCAGGGCAAAAGGGACGCTTCTCGAGGTGAGGCTGTGCACCCAAGGACCCTTTCCTGTAGCCACAGGGATTTTGGGATTCCTATCAGTATTCAAGAGGAGTCAGGCATCGTCACCTTTTGAAGCAATGAACTCCGCGTGCCTCTCGAGGTGTCAGCGGGATGTGAGGCATTCCGTCAAAATGAGGCAGGGACCTAGGGCTTTCTCTAAGGTCTCCACAGGGGATTCAGACATGCCTTCATGTTGTGAGATTAAACACGAGCCTGTATTCAAGCCACTGCAAGGAAATTGGGCCTCCTTTCAATTTAGGGCTTCTCGCTGTATATTCCCCTTGAGGCAGCAAACTCGGGGTCCCTCCCACATAGCTATTGCTGAGAGAAGCCTCCTCCTGAGGTGCTTCTGGAAAGTTGGCATACGTCTTGAGCCTAAGCCAGGGAATCAGCTCTCATCTCGAGACGATTTGGGGTACACGGAGCATTCCTCGAGTTGCTGTGCTGAAGTTAGTGTTCCTCTAGACTTGGGACAGTGTTCTCGGGGCATCTCTGGAGTTGCCTGAAGGAAGTCGAGCCACCGGTCGTGTTGAATGGGGAACGGGGAATGGCTCTGGAGTCAATGCAGGGGAATCGGGCCTCATCTCGAGTTGATTTGGGGCACATGGAGCTGCTTTGCGTTGCTGGGGTGGCCTCAGGGTCCATCTAGACTGGTGACAGTGTTCTTGGGGACTGTCTCGAGATCGATTAAGCAAGTCGAAGCTCCTGACTTGTTTGAATGGGATCACGGAATAGCTCTGCATGCACTGCAGGGGAATGGGGCCTCATCTCGCCTCTAGGGGGAAGTCTCATGGTTTTTCTCGAGTTGCGGCGGGGACCTGGGGTATGTTCTCGACTTACGGCGGGGAAGGCCCTTCAAAACACGAGTTTCTTCAGTGACGTCAGGACTCCTGTCTAGTAACGAGGGACACCTCAGGAATATCTTCGAGGTTTGGCAGGGCAAAACGGACGCTTCTCGAGGTGATGCAGGGCACCCAAGGATCCTTTCCAGTAGCCACAGGGATTTTGGGATTCCTATCAGTATTCAAGAGGAGTCAGGCATTGTCACCTTTTGAAGCAATGAACTCTGCGTGCCTCTCGAGGTGTCAGCGGGATGTGAGGCATTCCGTCAAAATGAGGCATGGACCTAGGGCTTTCTCTAAGGTCTCCACAGGGCATTCAGTCATCCCTTCATGTTTTGAGATCAAAGAAGAGCCTGTATTCAAGCCACTGCAGGGAAATCCGGCCTCCTTTCAAGTTAGGGCTTCTCGCTGTATATTCCCCTTGAGGCAGCAAACTCGGGGTCCCTCCCACATACCTATTGCTGAGAGAAGCCTCCTCCTGAGGTGCTTCTGGAAAGTTGGCATACGTCTTGAGCCTAAGCCAGGGAATCAGCTCTCATCTCGAGACGATTTGGGGTACACGGAGCATTCCTCGAGTTGCTGTGCTGAAGTTGGTGTTCCTCTAGACTTGGGACAGTGTTCTCGGGGCATCTCTGGAGTTACCTGAAGGAAGTCGAGCCACCGGTCATGTTGAATGCGGAACGGGGAATGGCTCTGGAGTCAATGCAGGGGAATCGGGCCTCATCTCGAGTTGATTTGGGTCACATGGAGGTGCTTTGCGTTGCTGGGGTGACCTCAGGGACTGTCTAGACTGGTGACAGTGTTCTTGGGGACTGTCTCGAGATCCATTAAGCAAGTCGAAGCTCCTGACTTGTTTGAATGGGATCACGGAATAGCTCTGCATGCACTGCAGGGGAATGGGGCCTCATCTCGCCTCTAGGGGGAAGTCTCATGGTTTTACTCGAGTTGCGGCGGGGACCTGGGGTATGTTCTCGACTTACGGCGGGATGGCCCTTCAAAACACGAGTTTCTTCAGTGACGTCAGGACTCCTGTCTAGTAACGAGGGACACCTCAGGAATCTCTTCCAAGCTTGGCAGGGCAAAAGGGACGCTTCTCGAGGTGAGGCAGTGCACCCAAGGACCCTTACCTGTAGCCACAGGGATTTTGGGATTCCTATCAGTATTCAAGAGGAGTCAGGCATCGTCACCTTTTGAAGCAATGAACTCCGCGTGCCTCTCGAGGTGTCAGCGGGATGTGAGGCATTCCGTCAAAATGAGGCAGGGACCTAGGGCTTTCTCTAAGGTCTCCACAGGGGATTCAGACATGCCTTCATGTTGTGAGATTAAACACGAGCCTGTATTCAAGCCACTGCAATTAAATCAGGCCTCCTTTCAATTTAGGGCTTCTCGCTGTATATTCCCCTTGAGGCAGCAAACTCGGGGTCCCTCCCACATAGCTATTGCTGAGAGAAGCCTCCTCCTGAGGTGCTTCTGGAAAGTTGGCATACGTCTTGAGCCTAAGCCAGGGAATCAGCTCTCATCTCGAGACGATTTGGGGTACACGGAGCATTCCTCGAGTTGCTGTGCTGAAGTTAGTGTTCCTCTAGACTTGGGACAGTGTTCTCGGGGCATCTCTGGAGTTGCCTGAAGGAAGTGGAGCCACCGGTCGTGTTGAATGGGGAACGGGGAATGGCTCTGGAGTCAATGCAGGGGAATCGGGCCTCATCTCGAGTTGATTTGTGGCACATGCAGCTGCTTTGCGTTGCTGGGGTGGCCTCAGGGTCCGTCTAGACTGGTGACAGTGTTCTTAGGGACTGTCTCGAGATCGATTAAGCAAGTCGAAGCTCCTGACTTGTTTGAATGGGATCACGGAATAGCTCTGCATGCACTGCAGGGGAATGGGGCCTCATCTCGCCTCTAGGGGGAAGTCTCATGGTTTTTCTCGAGTTGCGGCAGGGACCTGGGGTATGTTCTCGACTTACGGCGGGGAAGGCCCTTCAAAACACGAGTTTCTTCAGTGACGTCAGGACTCCTGTCTAGTAACGAGGGACACCTCAGGAATCTCTTCGAGGCTTGGCAGGGCAAAAGGGACGCTTCTCGAGGTGAGGCAGGGCACCCAAGGACCCTTTCCAGTAGCCACAGGGATTTTTGGATTCCTATCAGTATTCAAGAGGAGTCAGGCATCGTCACCTTTTGAAGCAATGAACTCTGCGTGCCTCTCGAGGTGTCAGCGGGATGTGAGGCATTCCGTCAAAATGAGGCATGGACCTAGGGCTTTCTCTAAGGTCTCCACAGGGGATTCAGTCATGCCTTCATGTTGTGAGATTAAACACGAGCCTTTATTCAAGCCACTGCAAGGAAATCGGGCCTCCTTTCAATTTCGGGATTCTCGCTCTATATTCCCCTTGAGGCAGAAAACTCGGGGTCCCTCCCACATAGCTATTGCTGAGAGATGCCTCCTCCTGAGGTTCTTCTGGAAAGTTGGCATACGTCTTGAGCCTAACCAAGGAATCAGCACTCATCTCGAGACGATTTGCGGTACACGGAGCATTCCTCGAGTTGCTGTGCTGAAGTTGGTGTTCCTCTAGACTTGGGACAGTGTTCTCGGGGCATCTCTGGAGTTGCCTGAAGGAAGTCGAGCCACCGGTCGTGTTGAATGGGGAACGGGGAATGGCTCTGGAGTCAATGCAGGGGAATCGGGCCTCATCTCGAGTTGATTTGGGGCACATGTAACTGCTTTGTGTTGCTGGGGTGACCTCAGGGTCCGTCTAGACTGGTGACAGTGTTCTTGGGGACTGTCTCGAGATCCATTAAGCAAGTCGAAGCTCCTGACTTGTTTGAATGGGATCACGGAATACCTCTGCATGCACTGCAGGGGAATGGGGCCTCATCTCGCCTCTAGGGGGAAGTCTCATGGTTTTTCTCGAGTTGCGACGGGGACCTGGGGTATGTTCTCGACTTACGGCGGTGATGGCCCTTCAAAACACGAGTTTCTTCAGTGACGTCAGGACTCCTGTCTAGTAACGAGGGACACCTCAGGAATCTCTTCCAGGCTTGGCAGGGCAAAAGGGACGCTTCTCGAGGTGAGGCAGGGCACCCAAGGACCCTTTCCAGTAGCCACAGGGATTTTGGGATTCCTATCAGTATTCAAGAGGAGTCAGGCATCGTCACCTTTTGAAGCAATGAACTCTGCGTGCCTCTCGAGGTGTCAGCGGGATGTGAGGCATTCCGTTAAAATGAGGCATGGACCTAGGGCTTTCTCTAAGGTCTCCAAAGGGCATTCAGTCATCCCTTCATGTTTTGAGATCAAAGAAGAGCTGTATTCAAGCCACTGAAAGGAAATCCGGCCTCCTTTCAAGTTAGGGCTTCTCGCTGTATATTCCCATTGAGGCAGCAAACTCGGGGTCCCTCCCACATACCTATTGCTGAGAGAAGCCTCCTCCTGAGGTGCTTCTGGAAAGTTGGCATACGTCTTGAGCCTAAGCCAGGGAATCAGCTCTCATCTCAAGACGATTTGGGGTACACGGAGCATTCCTCGAGTTGCTGTGCTGAAGTTGGTGTTCCTCTAGACTTGGGACAGTGTTCTCGGGGCATCTCTGGAGTTGCCTGAAGGAAGTCGAGCCACCGGTCGTGTTGAATGGGGAACGGGGAATGGCTCTAGAGTCAATGCAGGGGAATCGGGCCTCATCTCGAGTTGATTTGGGGCACATGGAGCTGCTTTGCGTTGCTGGGGTGACCTCAGGGTCCGTCTAGACTGGTGACAGTGTTTTTGGGGACTGTCTCGAGATCCATTAAGCAAGTCGAATCTCCTGACTTGTTTGAATGGGATCACGGAATAGCTCTGCATGCACTGCAGGGGAATGGGGCCTCATCTCGCCTCTAGGGGGAAGTCTCATGTTTTTTCTCGAGTTGCGGCGGGGACTTTGGGTATGTTCTCGACTTACGGCGGGATGGCCCTTCAAAACACGAGTTTCTTCAGTGACGTCAGGACTCCTGTTTAGTAACGAGGGACACCTCAGGAATCTCTTCGAGGCTTGGCAGGGCAAAAGGGACGCTTCTCGAGGTGAGGCAGGGCACCCAAGGACCCTTTCCTGTAGCCACAGGGATCTTGGGATTCCTATCAGTATTCAAGAGGAGTCAGGCATCGTCACCTTTTGAAGCAATGAACTCCGCGTGCCTCTCGAGGTGTCAGCGGGATGTGAGGCATTCCGTCAAAATGAGGCAGGGACCTAGGGCTTTCTCTAAGGTCTCCACAGGGGATTCAGTCATGCCTTCATGTTGTGAGATTAAACACGAGCCTTTATTCAAGCCACTGCAAGGAAATCGGGCCTCCTTTCAATTTTGGGATTCTCGCTCTATATTCCCCTTGAGGCAGAAAACTCGGGGTCCCTCCCACATAGCTATTGCTGAGAGAAGCCTCCTCCTGAGGTTCTTCTGGAAAGTTGGCATACGTCTTGAGCCTAACCAAGGAATCAGCACTCATCTCGAGACGATTTGGGGTACACGGAGCATTCCTCGAGTTGCTGTGCTGAAGTTGGTGTTCCTCTAGACTTGGGACAGTGTTCTCGGGGCATCTCTGGAGTTGCCTGAAGGAAGTCGAGCCACCGGTCGTGTTGAATGGGGAACGGGGAATGGCTCTGGAGTCAATGCAGGGGAATCGGGCCTCATCTCGAGTTGATTTGGGGCACATGTAGCTGCTTTGTGTTGCTGGGGTGACCTCAGGGTCCGTCTAGACTGGTGACAGTGCTCTTGGGGACTGTCTCGAGATCGATTAAGCAAGTCGAAGCTCCTGACTTGTTTGAATGGGATCACGGAATAGCTCTGCATGCACTGCAGGGGAATGGGGCCTCATCTCGCCTCTAGGGGGAAGTCTCATGTTTTTTCTCGAGTTGCGGCGGGGACTTGGGGTATGTTCTCGACTTACGGCGGGATGGCCCTTCAAAACACGAGTTTCTTCAGTGACGTCAGGACTCCTGTTTAGTAACGAGGGACACCTCAGGAATCTCTTCGAGGCTTGGCAGGGCAAAAGGGACGCTTCTCGAGGTGAGGCAGGGCACCCAAGGACCCTTTCCTGTAGCCACAGGGATTTTGGGATTCCTATCAGTATTCAAGAGGAGTCAGGCATCGTCACCTTTTGAAGCAATGAACTCCACGTGCCTCTCGAGGTGTCAGCGGGATGTGAGGCATTCCGTCAAAATGAGGCAGGGACCTAGGGCTTTCTCTAAGGTCTCCACAGGGGATTCAGTCATGCCTTCATGTTGTGAGATTAAACACGAGCCTTTATTCAAGCCACTGCAAGGAAATCGGGCCTCCTTTCAATTTTGGGATTCTCGCTCTATATTCCCCTTGAGGCAGAAAACTCGGGGTCCCTCCCACATAGCTATTGCTGAGAGAAGCCTCCTCCTGAGGTTCTTCTGGAAAGTTGGCATACGTCTTGAGCCTAACCAAGGAATCAGCACTCATCTCGAGACGATTTGGGGTACACGGAGCATTCCTCGAGTTGCTGTGCTGAAGTTGGTGTTCCTCTAGACTTGGGACAGTGTTCTCGGGGCATCTCTGGAGTTGCCTGAAGGAAGTCGAGCCACCGGTCGTGTTGAATGGGGAACGGGGAATGGCTCTGGAGTCAATGCAGGGGAATCGGGCCTCATCTCGAGTTGATTTGGGGCACATGTAGCTGCTTTGTGTTGCTGGGGTGACCTCAGGGTCCGTCTAGACTGGTGACAGTGCTCTTGGGGACTGTCTCGAGATCGATTAAGCAAGTCGAAGCTCCTGACTTGTTTGAATGGGATCACGGAATAGCTCTGCATGCACTGCAGGGGAATGGGGCCTCATCTTGCCTCTAGGGGGAAGTCTCATGGTTTTTCTCGAGTTGCGGCGGGGACCTGGGGTATGTTCTCGACTTACGGCGGGGATGGCCCTTCAAAACACGAGTTTCTTCAGTGACGTCAGGACTCCTGTCTAGTAACGAGGGACACCTCAGGAATCTCTTCGAGGCTTGGCTGGGCAAAAGTGATGCTTCTCGAGGTCAGGCAGGGCACCCAAGGATCCTTTCCAGTAGCCACAGGGATTTTGGGATTCCTATCAGTATTCAAGAGGAGTCAGGCATCGTCACCTTTTGAAGCAATGAACTAAGCGTGCCTCTCGAGGTGTCAGCGGGATGTGAGGCATTCCGTCAAAATGAGGCTGGGACCTAGGGCTTTCTCTCAGGTCTCCACAGGGGATTCAGACATCCCTTCATGTTGTGAGATGAAAGACGAGCCTGTATTCAAGCCACTGCAAGGAAATCCGGCCACCTTTCAAGTTAGGGCTTCTCGATGTATATTCCCCTTGAGGCAGCAAACTCGGGGTCCCTCCAACATACATATTGCTGAGAGAAGCCTCCTCCTGAGGTGCTTCTGGAATGTAGGCATACGTCTTGAGCTTAAGCCAGGTAATCGGCTCTCATCTCGAGACGATTTGGGGTACCGGAGCATTCCTCGAGTTGCTGTGCTGAAGTTGGTGTTCCTCTAGACTTGGGACAGTGTTCTCGGGGCATCTCTGGAGTTGCCTGAAGGAAGTGGAGCCCCCGGTCGTGTTGAATGGGGAACGGGTAATAGCTCTGGGGTCAATGCAGGGGAATCGGGCCTCATCTCGAGTTGATTTGGGGCACATGGAGCTGCTTTGCGTTGCTGGGGTGACCTCAGGGTCCGTCTAGACTGGTGACAGTGTTCTTGGGGACTGTCTCGAGATCGATTAAGCAAGTCGAAGCTCCTGACTTGTTTGAATGGGATCACGGAATAGGTCTGCATGCAGTGCAGGGGAATGGGGCCTTATCTCGCCTCTAAGGGGAAGTCTCATGGTTTTTCTCGAGTTGCGGCGGGGGCCGGGGGTATGTTCTCGACTTACGGCGGGGATGGCCCTTCAAAACACGAGTTTCTTCAGTGACGTCAGGACTCCTGTCTAGTAACGAGGGACACCTCAGGAATCTCTTCGAGGCTTGGCAGGGCAAAAGGGACGCTTCTCGAGGTGAGGCAGGGCACCCAAGGACCCTTTCAGTAGCCACAGGGATTTTGGGATTCCTATCAGTATTCAAGAGGAGTCAGGCATCGTCACCTATTGAAGCAATGAACTCCGCGTGCCTCTCGAGTTGTCAGCGGGATGTGAGGCATTCCGTCAAAATGAGGCAGGGACCTACGGCTTTCTCTAAGGTCTCCACAGGGGATTCAGACATCCCTTCATGTTGTGAGATGAAAGACGAGCCTGTATTCAAGCCACTGCAAGGAAATCCGGCCTCCTTTCAAGTTAGGTCTTCTCGCTGTATATTCCCCTTGAGGCAGCACACTCGGGGTCCCTCCCACATACCTATTGCTGAGAGAAGCCTCCTCCTGAGTTGCTTCTGGAAAGTTGGCAAATGCCTTGAGCCTAAGCCAATGTATCAGCTCTCATCTCGAGACGATTTGGGGTGCACGGAGCATTCCTCGAGTTGCTGTGCTGAAGTTTTTGTTCCTCTAGACTTGGGACAGTGTTCTCGGGGCATCTCTGGAGTTGCGTGAAGGAAGTCGAGCCACCGGTCGTGTTGAATGGGGAACGGGGAATGGCTCTGGGGTCAATGCAGGGGAATCGGGCCTCATCTCGAGCTGATTTGGGGCACATGGAGCTGCTTTGCGTTGCTGGGGTGACCTCAGGGTCCGTCTAGACTGGTGACAGTGTTCTTGGGGACTGTCTCGAGATCCATTAAGCAAGTCGAAGCTCCTGACTTGTTTGAATGGGATCACGGAATAGCTCTGCATGCACTGCAGGGGAATGGGGCCTCATCTCGCCTCTAGGGGGAAGTCTCATGGTTTTTCTCGAGTTGCGACGGGGACCTGGGGTATGTTCTCGACTTACGGCGGTGATGGCCCTTCAAAACACGAGCTTCTTCAGTGACGTCAGGACTCCTGTCTAGTAACGAGGGACACCTCAGGAATCTCTTCCAGGCTTGGCAGGGCAAAAGGGACGCTTCTCGAGGTGAGGCAGGGCACCCAAGGACCCTTTCCAGTAGCCACAGGGATTTTGGGATTCCTATCAGTATTCAAGAGGAGTCAGGCATCGTCACCTTTTGAAGCAATGAACTCTGCGTGCCTCTCGAGGTGTCAGCGGGATGTGAGGCATTCCGTTAAAATGAGGCATGGACCTAGGGCTTTCTCTAAGGTCTCCAAAGGGCATTCAGTCATCCCTTCATGTTTTGAGATCAAAGAAGAGCTGTATTCAAGCCACTGCAAGGAAATCTGGCCTCCTTTCAAGTTAGGGCTTCTCGCTGTATATTCCCATTGAGGCAGCAAACTCGGGGTCCCTCCCACATACCTATTGCTGAGAGAAGCCTCCTCCTGAGGTGCTTCTGGAAAGTTGGCATACGTCTTGAGCCTAAGCCAGGGAATCAGCTCTCATCTCGAGACGATTTGGGGTACACGGAGCATTCCTCGAGTTGCTGTGCTGAAGTTGGTGTTCCTCTAGACTTGGGAGAGTGTTCTCGGGGCATCTCTGGAGTTGCCTGAAGGAAGTCGAGCCACCGGTCGTGTTGAATGGGGAACGGGGAATGGCTCTAGAGTCAATGCAGGGGAATCGGGCCTCATCTCGAGTTGATTTGGGGCACATGGAGCTGCTTTGCGTTGCTGGGGTGACCCCAGGGTCCGTCTAGACTGGTGACAGTGTTCTTGGGGACTGTCTCGAGATCCATTAAGCAAGTCGAAGCTCCTGACTTGTTTGAATGGGATCACGGAATAGCTCTGCATGCACTGCAGGGGAATGGGGCCTCATCTCGCCTCTAGGGGGAAGTCTCATGGTTTTACTCGAGTTGCGGCGGGGACCTGGGGTATGTTCTCGACTTACGGCGGGGATGGCCCTTCAAAACACGAGTTTCTTCAGTGACGTCAGGACTCCTGTCTAGTAACGAGGGACACCTCAGGAATCTCTTCGAGGCTTGGCTGGGCAAAAGTGATGCTTCTCGAGGTCAGGCAGGGCACCCAAGGATCCTTTCCAGTAGCCACAGGGATTTTGGGATTCCTATCAGTATTCAAGAGGAGTCAGGCATCGTCACCTTTTGAAGCAATGAACTAAGCGTGCCTCTCGAGGTGTCAGCGGGATGTGAGGCATTCCGTCAAAATGAGGCTGGGACCTAGGGCTTTCTCTCAGGTCTCCACAGGGGATTCAGACATCCCTTCATGTTGTGAGATGAAAGACGAGCCTGTATTCAAGCCACTGCAAGGAAATCCGGCCACCTTTCAAGTTAGGGCTTCTCGATGTATATTCCCCTTGAGGCAGCAAACTCGGGGTCCCTCCAACATACATATTGCTGAGAGAAGCCTCCTCCTGAGGTGCTTCTGGAATGTAGGCATACGTCTTGAGCTTAAGCCAGGTAATCGGCTCTCATCTCGAGACGATTTGGGGTACCGGAGCATTCCTCGAGTTGCTGTGCTGAAGTTGGTGTTCCTCTAGACTTGGGACAGTGTTCTCGGGGCATCTCTGGAGTTGCCTGAAGGAAGTGGAGCCCCCGGTCGTGTTGAATGGGGAACGGGTAATAGCTCTGGGGTCAATGCAGGGGAATCGGGCCTCATCTCGAGTTGATTTGGGGCACATGGAGCTGCTTTGCGTTGCTGGGGTGACCTCAGGGTCCGTCTAGACTGGTGACAGTGTTCTTGGGGACTGTCTCGAGATCGATTAAGCAAGTCGAAGCTCCTGACTTGTTTGAATGGGATCACGGAATAGGTCTGCATGCAGTGCAGGGGAATGGGGCCTTATCTCGCCTCTAAGGGGAAGTCTCATGGTTTTTCTCGAGTTGCGGCGGGGGCCGGGGGTATGTTCTCGACTTACGGCGGGGATGGCCCTTCAAAACACGAGTTTCTTCAGTGACGTCAGGACTCCTGTCTAGTAACGAGGGACACCTCAGGAATCTCTTCGAGGCTTGGCAGGGCAAAAGGGACGCTTCTCGAGGTGAGGCAGGGCACCCAAGGACCCTTTCAGTAGCCACAGGGATTTTGGGATTCCTATCAGTATTCAAGAGGAGTCAGGCATCGTCACCTATTGAAGCAATGAACTCCGCGTGCCTCTCGAGTTGTCAGCGGGATGTGAGGCATTCCGTCAAAATGAGGCAGGGACCTACGGCTTTCTCTAAGGTCTCCACAGGGGATTCAGACATCCCTTCATGTTGTGAGATGAAAGACGAGCCTGTATTCAAGCCACTGCAAGGAAATCCGGCCTCCTTTCAAGTTAGGTCTTCTCGCTGTATATTCCCCTTGAGGCAGCACACTCGGGGTCCCTCCCACATACCTATTGCTGAGAGAAGCCTCCTCCTGAGTTGCTTCTGGAAAGTTGGCAAATGCCTTGAGCCTAAGCCAATGTATCAGCTCTCATCTCGAGACGATTTGGGGTGCACGGAGCATTCCTCGAGTTGCTGTGCTGAAGTTTTTGTTCCTCTAGACTTGGGACAGTGTTCTCGGGGCATCTCTGGAGTTGCGTGAAGGAAGTCGAGCCACCGGTCGTGTTGAATGGGGAACGGGGAATGGCTCTGGGGTCAATGCAGGGGAATCGGGCCTCATCTCGAGCTGATTTGGGGCACATGGAGCTGCTTTGCGTTGCTGGGGTGACCTCAGGGTCCGTCTAGACTGGTGACAGTGTTCTTGGGGACTGTCTCGAGATCCATTAAGCAAGTCGAAGCTCCTGACTTGTTTGAATGGGATCACGGAATAGCTCTGCATGCACTGCAGGGGAATGGGGCCTCATCTCGCCTCTAGGGGGAAGTCTCATGGTTTTTCTCGAGTTGCGACGGGGACCTGGGGTATGTTCTCGACTTACGGCGGTGATGGCCCTTCAAAACACGAGCTTCTTCAGTGACGTCAGGACTCCTGTCTAGTAACGAGGGACACCTCAGGAATCTCTTCCAGGCTTGGCAGGGCAAAAGGGACGCTTCTCGAGGTGAGGCAGGGCACCCAAGGACCCTTTCCAGTAGCCACAGGGATTTTGGGATTCCTATCAGTATTCAAGAGGAGTCAGGCATCGTCACCTTTTGAAGCAATGAACTCTGCGTGCCTCTCGAGGTGTCAGCGGGATGTGAGGCATTCCGTTAAAATGAGGCATGGACCTAGGGCTTTCTCTAAGGTCTCCAAAGGGCATTCAGTCATCCCTTCATGTTTTGAGATCAAAGAAGAGCTGTATTCAAGCCACTGCAAGGAAATCTGGCCTCCTTTCAAGTTAGGGCTTCTCGCTGTATATTCCCATTGAGGCAGCAAACTCGGGGTCCCTCCCACATACCTATTGCTGAGAGAAGCCTCCTCCTGAGGTGCTTCTGGAAAGTTGGCATACGTCTTGAGCCTAAGCCAGGGAATCAGCTCTCATCTCGAGACGATTTGGGGTACACGGAGCATTCCTCGAGTTGCTGTGCTGAAGTTGGTGTTCCTCTAGACTTGGGAGAGTGTTCTCGGGGCATCTCTGGAGTTGCCTGAAGGAAGTCGAGCCACCGGTCGTGTTGAATGGGGAACGGGGAATGGCTCTAGAGTCAATGCAGGGGAATCGGGCCTCATCTCGAGTTGATTTGGGGCACATGGAGCTGCTTTGCGTTGCTGGGGTGACCCCAGGGTCCGTCTAGACTGGTGACAGTGTTCTTGGGGACTGTCTCGAGATCCATTAAGCAAGTCGAAGCTCCTGACTTGTTTGAATGGGATCACGGAATAGCTCTGCATGCACTGCAGGGGAATGGGGCCTCATCTCGCCTCTAGGGGGAAGTCTCATGGTTTTACTCGAGTTGCGGCGGGGACCTGGGGTATGTTCTCGACTTACGGCGGGATGGCCCTTCAAAACACGAGTTTCTTCAGTGACGTCAGGACTCCTGTCTAGTAACGAGGGACACCTCAGGAATCTCTTCGAGGCTTGGCAGGGCAAAAGGGACGCTTCTCGAGGTGAGGCAGGGCACCCAAGGACCCTTTCCTGTAGCCACAGGGATTTTGGGATTCCTATCAGTATTCAAGAGGAGTCAGGCATCGTCACATTTTGAAGAAATGAACTCCGCGTGCCTCTCGAGGTGTCAGCGGGATGTGAGGCATTCCGTCAAAATGAGGCAGGGACCTAGGGCTTTCTCTAAGGTCTCCACAGGGGATTCAGACATGCCTTCATGTTGTGAGATTAAACACGAGCCTGTATTCAAACCACTGCAAGGAAATCGGGCCTCCTTTCAATTTAGGGCTTCTCGCTGTATATTCCCCTTGAGGCAGCAAACTCGGGGTCCCTCCCACATAGCTATTGCTGAGAGAAGCCTCCTCCTGAGGTGCTTCTGGAAAGTTGGCATACGTCTTGAGCCTAAGCCAGGGAATCAGCTCTCATCTCGAGACGATTTGGGGTACACGGAGCATTCCTCGAGTTGCTGTGCTGAAGTTGGTGTTCCTCTAGACTTGGGACAGTGTTCTCGGGGCATCTCTGGAGTTGCCTGAAGGAAGTCGAGCCACCGGTCGTGTTGAATGGGGAACGGGGAATGGCTCTGGAGTCAATGCAGGGGAATCGGGCCTCATCTCGAGTTGATTTGGGGCACATGTAGCTGCTTTGTGTTGCTGGGGTGACCTCAGGGTCCGTCTAGACTGGTGACAGTGCTCTTGGGGACTGTCTCGAGATCGATTAAGCAAGTCGAAGCTCCTGACTTGTTTGAATGGGATCACGGAATAGCTCTGCATGCACTGCAGGGGAATGGGGCCTCATCTCGCCTCTAGGGGGAAGTCTCATGGTTTTTCTCGAGTTGCGGCGGGGACCTGGGGTATGTTCTCGACTTACGGCGGGGATGGCCCTTCAAAACACGAGTTTCTTCAGTGACGTCAGGACTCCTGTCTAGTAACGAGGGACACCTCAGGAATCTCTTCGAGGCTTGGCAGGGCAAAAGGGACGCTTCTCGAGGTGAGGCAGGGCACCCAAGGACCCTTTCAGTAGCCACAGGGATTTTGGGATTCCTATCAGTATTCAAGAGGAGTCAGGCATCGTCACCTATTGAAGCAATGAACTCCGCGTGCCTCTCGAGTTGTCAGCGGGATGTGAGGCATTCCGTCAAAATGAGGCAGGGACCTAGGGCTTTCTCTAAGGTCTCCACAGGGGATTCAGACATCCCTTCATGTTGTGAGATGAAAGACGAGCCTGTATTCAAGCCACTGCAAGGAAATCCGGCCTCCTTTCAAGTTAGGGCTTCTCGCTGTATATTCCCCTTGAGGTAGCACACTCGGGGTCCCTCCCACATACCTATTGCTGAGAGAAGCCTTCTCCTGAGTTGCTTCTGGAAAGTTGGCAAATGCCTTGAGCCTAAGCCAATGTATCAGCTCTCATCTCGAGACGATTTGGGGTGCACGGAGCATTCCTCGAGTTGCTGTGCTGAAGTTGGTGTTCCTCTAGACTTGGGACAGTGTTCTCGGGGCATCTCTGGAGTTGCCTGAAGGAAGTCGAGCCACCGGTCGTGTTGAATGGGGAACGGGGAATGGCTCTGGGGTCAATGCAGGGGAATCGGGCCTCATCTCGAGTTGATTTGGGGCACATGGAGCTGCTTTGCGTTGCTGGGGTGACCTCAGGGTCCGTCTAGACTGGTGACAGTGTTCTTGGGGACTGTCTCGAGATCCATTAAGCAAGTCGAAGCTCCTGACTTGTTTGAATGGGATCACGGAATACCTCTGCATGCACTGCAGGGGAATGGGGCCTCATCTCGCCTCTAGGGGGAAGTCTCATGGTTTTTCTCGAGTTGCGACGGGGACCTGGGGTATGTTCTCGACTTACGGCGGTGATGGCCCTTCAAAACACGAGTTTCTTCAGTGACGTCAGGACTCCTGTCTAGTAACGAGGGACACCTCAGGAATCTCTTCCAGGCTTGGCAGGGCAAAAGGGACGCTTCTCGAGGTGAGGCAGGGCACCCAAGGACCCTTTCCAGTAGCCACAGGGATTTTGGGATTCCTATCAGTATTCAAGAGGAGTCAGGCATCGTCACCTTTTGAAGCAATGAACTCTGCGTGCCTCTCGAGGTGTCAGCGGGATGTGAGGCATTCCGTTAAAATGAGGCATGGACCTAGGGCTTTCTCTAAGGTCTCCAAAGGGCATTCAGTCATCCCTTCATGTTTTGAGATCAAAGAAGAGCTGTATTCAAGCCACTGCAAGGAAATCCGGCCTCCTTTCAAGTTAGGGCTTCTCGCTGTATATTCCCATTGAGGCAGCAAACTCGGGGTCCCTCCCACATACCTATTGCTGAGAGAAGCCTCCTCCTGAGGTGCTTCTGGAAAGTTGGCATACGTCTTGAGCCTAAGCCAGGGAATCAGCTCTCATCTCGAGACGATTTGGGGTACACGGAGCATTCCTCGAGTTGCTGTGCTGAAGTTGGTGTTCCTCTAGACTTGGGACAGTGTTCTCGGGGCATCTCTGGAGTTGCCTGAAGGAAGTCGAGCCACCGGTCGTGTTGAATGGGGAACGGGGAATGGCTCTAGAGTCAATGCAGGGGAATCGGGCCTCATCTCGAGTTGATTTGGGGCACATGGAGCTGCTTTGCGTTGCTGGGGTGACCTCAGGGTCCGTCTAGACTGGTGACAGTGTTCTTGGGGACTGTCTCGAGATCCATTAAGCAAGTCGAATCTCCTGACTTGTTTGAATGGGATCACGGAATAGCTCTGCATGCACTGCAGGGGAATGGGGCCTCATCTCGCCTCTAGGGGGAAGTCTCATGTTTTTTCTCGAGTTGCGGCGGGGACTTGGGGTATGTTCCCGACTTACGGCGGGATGGCCCTTCAAAACACGAGTTTCTTCAGTGACGTCAGGACTCCTGTTTAGTAACGAGGGACACCTCAGGAATCTCTTCGAGGCTTGGCAGGGCAAAAGGGACGCTTCTCGAGGTGAGGCAGGGCACCCAAGGACCCTTTCCTGTAGCCACAGGGATTTTGGGATTCCTATCAGTATTCAAGAGGAGTCAGGCATCGTCACCTTTTGAAGCAATGAACTCCACGTGCCTCTCGAGGTGTCAGCGGGATGTGAGGCATTCCGTCAAAATGAGGCAGGGACCTAGGGCTTTCTCTAAGGTCTCCACAGGGGATTCAGTCATGCCTTCATGTTGTGAGATTAAACACGAGCCTTTATTCAAGCCACTGCAAGGAAATCGGGCCTCCTTTCAATTTTGGGATTCTCGCTCTATATTCCCCTTGAGGCAGAAAACTCGGGGTCCCTCCCACATAGCTATTGCTGAGAGAAGCCTCCTCCTGAGGTTCTTCTGGAAAGTTGGCATACGTCTTGAGCCTAACCAAGGAATCAGCACTCATCTCGAGACGATTTGGGGTACACGGAGCATTCCTCGAGTTGCTGTGCTGAAGTTGGTGTTCCACTAGACTTGGGACAGTGTTCTCGGGGCATCTCTGGAGTTGCCTGAAGGAAGTCGAGCCACCGGTCGTGTTGAATGGGGAACGGGGAATGGCTCTGGAGTCAATGCAGGGGAATCGGGCCTCATCTCGAGTTGATTTGGGGCACATGTAGCTGCTTTGTGTTGCTGGGGTGACCTCAGGGTCCGTCTAGACTGGTGACAGTGCTCTTGGGGACTGTCTCGAGATCGATTAAGCAAGTCGAAGCTCCTGACTTGTTTGAATGGGATCACGGAATAGCTCTGCATGCACTGCAGGGGAATGGGGCCTCATCTTGCCTCTAGGGGGAAGTCTCATGGTTTTTCTCGAGTTGCGGCGGGGACCTGGGGTATGTTCTCGACTTACGGCGGGGATGGCCCTTCAAAACACGAGTTTCTTCAGTGACGTCAGGACTCCTGTCTAGTAACGAGGGACACCTCAGGAATCTCTTCGAGGCTTGGCTGGGCAAAAGTGATGCTTCTCGAGGTCAGGCAGGGCACCCAAGGATCCTTTCCAGTAGCCACAGGGATTTTGGGATTCCTATCAGTATTCAAGAGGAGTCAGGCATCGTCACCTTTTGAAGCAATGAACTCCGCGTGCCTCTCGAGGTGTCAGCGGGATGTGAGGCATTCCGTCAAAATGAGGCTGGGACCTAGGGCTTTCTCTCAGGTCTCCACAGGGGATTCAGACATCCCTTCATGTTGTGAGATGAAAGACGAGCCTGTATTCAAGCCACTGCAAGGAAATCCGGCCACCTTTCAAGTTAGGGCTTCTCGATGTATATTCCCCTTGAGGCAGCAAACTCGGGGTCCCTCCAACATACATATTGCTGAGAGAAGCCTCCTCCTGAGGTGCTTCTGGAATGTAGGCATACGTCTTGAGCTTAAGCCAGGTAATCGGCTCTCATCTCGAGACGATTTGGGGTACCGGAGCATTCCTCGAGTTGCTGTGCTGAAGTTGGTGTTCCTCTAGACTTGGGACAGTGTTCTCGGGGCATCTCTGGAGTTGCCTGAAGGAAGTGGAGCCACCGGTCGTGTTGAATGGGGAACGGGTAATAGCTCTGGGGTCAATGCAGGGGAATCGGGCCTCATCTCGAGTTGATTTGGGGCACATGGAGCTGCTTTGCGTTGCTGGGGTGACCTCAGGGTCCGTCTAGACTGGTGACAGTGTTCTTGGGGACTGTCTCGAGATCGATTAAGCAAGTCGAAGCTCCTGACTTGTTTGAATGGGATCACGGAATAGGTCTGCATGCAGTGCAGGGGAATGGGGCCTTATCTCGCCTCTAAGGGGAAGTCTCATGGTTTTTCTCGAGTTGCGGCGGGGGCCGGGGGTATGTTCTCGACTTACGGCGGGGATGGCCCTTCAAAACACGAGTTTCTTCAGTGACGTCAGGACTCCTGTCTAGTAACGAGGGACACCTCAGGAATCTCTTCGAGGCTTGGCAGGGCAAAAGGGACGCTTCTCGAGGTGAGGCAGGGCACCCAAGGACCCTTTCAGTAGCCACAGGGATTTTGGGATTCCTATCAGTATTCAAGAGGAGTCAGGCATCGTCACCTATTGAAGCAATGAACTCCGCGTGCCTCTCGAGTTGTCAGCGGGATGTGAGGCATTCCGTCAAAATGAGGCAGGGACCTACGGCTTTCTCTAAGGTCTCCACAGGGGATTCAGACATCCCTTCATGTTGTGAGATGAAAGACGAGCCTGTATTCAAGCCACTGCAAGGAAATCCGGCCTCCTTTCAAGTTAGGGCTTCTCGCTGTATATTCCCCTTGAGGTAGCACACTCGGGGTCCCTCCCACATACCTATTGCTGAGAGAAGCCTTCTCCTGAGTTGTTTCTGGAAAGTTGGCAAATGCCTTGAGCCTAAGCCAATGTATCAGCTCTCATCTCGAGACGATTTGGGGTGCACGGAGCATTCCTCGAGTTGCTGTGCTGAAGTTGGTGTTCCTCTAGACTTGGGACAGTGTTCTCGGGGCATCTCTGGAGTTGCCTGAAGGAAGTCGAGCCACCGGTCGTGTTGAATGGGGAACGGGGAATGGCTCTGGGGTCAATGCAGGGGAATCGGGCCTCATCTCGAGTTGATTTGGGGCACATGGAGCTGCTTTGCGTTGCTGGGGTGACCTCAGGGTCCGTCTAGACTGGTGACAGTGTTCTTGGGGACTGTCTCGAGATCCATTAAGCAAGTCGAAGCTCCTGACTTGTTTGAATGGGATCACGGAATAGCTCTGCATGCACTGCAGGGGAATGGGGCCTCATCTCGCCTCTAGGGGGAAGTCTCATGGTTTTTCTCGAGTTGCGACGGGGACCTGGGGTATGTTCTCGACTTACGGCGGTGATGGCCCTTCAAAACACGAGTTTCTTCAGTGACGTCAGGACTCCTGTCTAGTAATGAGGGACACCTCAGGAATCTCTTCCAGGCTTGGCAGGGCAAAAGGGACGCTTCTCGAAGTGAGGCAGGGCACCCAAGGACCCTTTCCAGTAGCCACAGGGATTTTGGGATTCCTATCAGTATTCAAGAGGAGTCAGGCATCGTCACCTTTTGAAGCAATGAACTCTGCGTGCCTCTCGAGGTGTCAGTGGGATGTGAGGCATTCCGTTAAAATGAGGCATGGACCTAGGGCTTTCTCTAAGGTCTCCAAAGGGCATTCAGTCATCCCTTCATGTTTTGAGATCAAAGAAGAGCTGTATTCAAGCCACTGCAAGGAAATCCGGCCTCCTTTCAAGTTAGGGCTTCTCGCTGTATATTCCCATTGAGGCAGCAAACTCGGGGTCCCTCCCACATACCTATTGCTGAGAGAAGCCTCCTCCTGAGGTGCTTCTGGAAAGTTGGCATACGTCTTGAGCCTAAGCCAGGGAATCAGCTCTCATCTCGAGACGATTTGGGGTACACGGAGCATTCCTCGAGTTGCTGTGCTGAAGTTGGTGTTCCTCTAGACTTGGGACAGTGTTCTCGGGGCATCTCGGGAGTTGCCTGAAGGAAGTCGAGCCACCGGTCGTGTTGAATGGGGAACGGGGAATGGCTCTAGAGTCAATGCAGGGGAATCGGGCCTCATCTCGAGTTGATTTGGGTCACATGGAGCTGCTTTGCGTTGCTGGGGTGACCCCAGGGTCCGTCTAGACTGGTGACAGTGTTCTTGGGGACTGTCTCGAGATCCATTAAGCAAGTCGAAGCTCCTGACTTGTTTGAATGGTATCACGGAATAGCTCTGCATGCACTGCAGGGGAATGGGGCCTCATCTCGCCTCTAGGGGGAAGTCTTATGGTTTTTCTCGAGTTGCGGCGGGGACCTGGGGTATGTTCTCGACTTAGGGCGGGATGGCCCTTCAAAACACGAGTTTCTTCAGTGACGTCAGGACTCCTGTCTAGTAACGAGGGACACCTCAGGAATCTCTTCGAGGCTTGGCAGGGCAAAAGGGACGCTTCTCGAGGTGAGGCAGGGCACCCAAGGACCCTTTCCTGTAGCCACAGGGATTTTGGGATTCCTATCAGTATTCAAGAGGAGTCAGGCATCGTCACATTTTGAAGAAATGAACTCCGCGTGCCTCTCGAGGTGTCAGCGGGATGTGAGGCATTCCGTCAAAATGAGGCAGGGACCTAGGGCTTTCTCTAAGGTCTCCACAGGGGATTCAGACATGCCTTCATGTTGTGAGATTAAACACGAGCCTGTATTCAAGCCACTGCAAGGAAATCGGGCCTCCTTTCAATTTAGGGCTTCTCGCTGTATATTCCCCTTGAGGCGGCAAACTCGGGGTCCCTCCCACATAGCTATTGCTGAGAGAAGCCTCCTCCTGAGGTGCTTCTGGAAAGTTCGCATACGTCTTGAGCCTAAGCCAGGGAATCAGCTCTCATCTCGAGACGATTTGGGGTACACGGAGCATTCCTCGAGTTGCTGTGCTGAAGTTGGTGTTCCTCTAGACTTGGCACAGTGTTCTCGGGGCATCTGTGGAGTTGCCTGAAGGAAGTCGAGCCACCGGTCGTGTTGAATGGGGAACGGGGAATGGCTCTGGAGTCAATGCAGGGGAATCGGGCCTCATCTCGAGTTGATTTGGGGCACATGGAGCTGCTTTGCGTTGCTGGGGTGACCTCAGTGTCCGTCTAGACTGGTGACAGTGTTCTTGGGGACTGTCTCGAGATCGATTAAGCAAGTCGAAGCTCCTGACTTGTTTGAATGGGATCACGGAATAGCTCTGCATGCTCTGCAGGGGAATGGGGCCTCATCTCGCCTCTAGGGTGAAGTCTCATGGTTTTTCTCGAGTTGCGGCGGGGACCTGGGGTATGTTCTCGACTTACGGCGGGGATGGCCCTTCAAAACACGAGTTTCTTCAGTGACGTCAGGACTCCTGTCTAGTAACGAGGGACACCTCAGGAATCTCTTCGAGGCTTGGCAGGGCAAAAGGGACGCTTCTCGAGGTGAGGCAGGGCACCCAAGGACCCTTTCCAGTAGCCACAGGGATTTTGGGATTCCTATCAGTATTCAAGAGGAGTCAGGCATCGTCACCTTTTGAAGCAATGAACTCTGCGTGCCTCTCGAGGTGTCAGCGGGATGTGAGGCATTCCGTCAAAATGAGGCATGGACCTACGGCTTTCTCTAAGGTCTCCACAGGGCATTCAGTCATCCCTTTATGTTTTGAGATCAAAGAAGAGCCTGTATTCAAGCCACTGCAAGGAAATCCGGCCTCCTTTCAAGTTAGGGCTTCTCACTGTATATTCCCCTTGAGGCAGCAAACTCGGGGTCCCTCCCACATACCTATTGCTGAGAGAAGCCTCCTCTTGAGTTGCTTCTGGAAAGTTGGCATACGTATTGACCCTAAGCCAGGGAATCAGCTCTCATCTCGAGACGATTTGGGGTACACGGAGCATTCCTCGAGTTGCTGTGCTGAAGTTGGTGTTCCTCTAGACTTGGGACAGTGTTCTCGGGGCATCTCTGGAGTTGCCTGAAGGAAGTCGAGCCACCGGTCGTGTTGAATGGGGAACGGGGAATGGCTCTGGAGTCAATGCAGGGGAATCGGGCCTCATCTCGAGTTGATTTGGGGCACATGTAGCTGCTTTGCGTTGCTGGGGTGACCTCAGGGTCTGTCTAGACTGGTGACAGTGTTCTTGGGGACTGTCTCGAGATCCATTAAGCAAGTCGAAGCTCCTGACTTGTTTGAATGGGATCACGGAATAGCTCTCCATGCACTGCAGGGGAATGGGGCCTCATCTCGCCTCTAGGGGGAAGTCTCATGGTTTTACTCGAGTTGCGGCGGGGACCTGGCGTATGTTCTCGACTTACGGCGGGATGGCCCTTCAAAACACGAGTTTCTTCAGTGACGTCAGGACTCCTGTCTAGTAACGAGGGACACCTCAGGAATCTCTTCCAAGCTTGGCAGGGCAAAAGGGACGCTTCTCGAGGTGAGGCACTGCACCCAAGGACCCTTTCCTGTAGCCACAGGGATTTTGGGATTCCTATCAGTATTCAAGAGGAGTCAGGCATCGTCACCTTTTGAAGCAATGAACTCCGCGTGCCTCTCGAGGTGTCAGCGGGATGTGAGGCATTCCGTCAAAATGAGGCAGCGACCTAGGGCTTTCTCTAAGGTCTCCACAGGGGATTCAGACATGCCTTCATGTTGTGAGATTAAACACGAGCCTGTATTCAAGCCACTGCAAGGAAATCAGGCCTCCTTTCAATTTAGGGCTTCTCGCTGTATATTCCCCTTGAGGCAGCAAACTCGGGGTCCCTCCCACATAGCTATTGCTGAGAGAAGCCTCCTCCTGAGGTGCTTCTGGAAAGTTGGCATACGTCTTGAGCCTAAGCCAGGGAATCAGCTCTCATCTCGAGACGATTTGGGGTACACGGAGCATTCCTCGAGTTGCTGTGCTGAAGTTGGTGTTCCTCTAGACTTGGGACAGTGTTCTCGGGGCATCTCTGGAGTTGCCTGAAGGAAGTCGAGCCACCGGTCGTGTTGAATGGGGAACGGGGAATGGCTCTGGGGTCAATGCAGGGGAATCGGGCCTCATCTCGAGTTGATTTGGGGCACATGCAGCTGCTTTGCGTTGCTGGGGTGGCCTCAGGGTCCGTCTAGACTGGTGACAGTGTTCTTGGGGACTGTCTCGAGATCCATTAAGCAAGTCCAAGCTCCTGACTTGTTTGAATGGGATCACGGAATAGCTCTGCATGCACTGCAGGGGAATGGGGCCTCATCTCGCCTCTAGGGGGAAGTCTCATGGTTTTTCTCGAGTTGCGGCAGGGACCTGGGGTATGTTCTCGACTTACGGCGGGGAAGGCCCTTCAAAACACGAGTTTCTTCAGTGACGTCAGGACTCCTGTCTAGTAACGAGGGACACCTCAGGAATCTCTTCGAGGCTTGGCAGGGCAAAACGGATGCTTCTCGAGGTGAGGCAGGGCACCCAAGGACCCTTTCCAGTAGCCACGGGGATTTTGGGATTCCTATCAGTATTCAAGAAGAGTCAGGCATCGTCACCTTTTGAAGCAATGAACTCTGCGTGCCTCTCGAGGTGTCAACGGGATGTGAGGCATTCCGTCAAAATGAGGCAGGGACCTAGGGCTTTCTCTAAGGTCTCCACAGTGGATTCCGTCATCCCTTCATGTTGTGAGATGAAAGACGAGCCTGTATTGAAGCCACTGCAAGGAAATCCGGCCTCCTTTCAAGTTAGGGCTTCTCGCTGTATATTCCCCTTGAGGCAGCAAACTCGGGGTCCCTCCCACATACCTATTGCTGAGAGAAGCCTCCTCCTGAGGTGCTTCTGGAAAGTTGGCATACGTATTGACCCTAAGCCAGGGAATCAGCTCTCATCTCGAGACGATTTGGGGTACACGGAGCATTCCTCGAGTTGCTGTGCCGAAGTTGGTGTTCCTCTAGACTTGGGACAGTTTTCTCGGGGAATCTCTGGAGTTGCCTGAAGGAAGTCGAGCCACCGGTCGTGTTGAATGGGGATCGGAGAATGGCTCTGGAGTCAATGCAGGGGAATCGGGCCTCATCTCGAGTTGATTTGGGGCACATGGAGCTGCTTTGCGTTGCTGGGGTGACCTCAGCGTCCGTCTAGACTGGTGACAGTGTTCTTGGGGACTGTCTCGAGATCCATTAAGCAAGTCGAATCTCCTGACTTGTTTGAATGGGATCACGGAATAGCTCTGCATGCACTGCAGGGGAATGGGGCCTCATCTCGCCTCTAGGGGGAAGTCTCATGGTTTTTCTCGAGTTGCGGCGGGGACCTGGGGTATGTTCTCGACTTACGGCGGGGATGGCCCTTCAAAACACGAGTTTCTTCAGTGACGTCAGGACTCCTGTCTAGTAACGAGGGACACCTCAGGAATCTCTTCCAAGCTTGGCAGGGCAAAAGGGACGCTTCTCGAGGTGAGGCAGGGCACCCAAGGACCCTTTCCAGTAGCCACAGGGATTTTGGGATTCCTATCAGTATTCAAGAGGAGTCAGGCATCGTCACCTTTTGAAGCAATGAACTCTGCGTGCCTCTCGAGGTGTCAGCGGGATGTGAGGCATTCCGTCAAAATGAGGCATGGACCTAGGGCTTTCTCTAAGGTCTCCACAGGGCATTCAGTCATCCCTTCATGTTTTGAGATCAAAGAAGAGCCTGTATTCAAGCCACTGCAGGGAAATCCAGCCTCCTTTCAAGTTAGGGCTTCTCGCTGTATATTCCCCTTGAGGCAGCAAACTCGGGGTCCCTCCCACATACCTATTGCTGAGAGAAGCCTCCTCCTGAGGTGCTTCTGGAAAGTTGGCATATGTCTTGAGCCTAAGCCAGGGAATCACCTCTCATCTCGAGACGATTTGGGGTACACGGAGCATTCCTCGATTTGCTGTGCTGAAGTTGGTGTTCCTCTAGACTTGGGACAGTGTTCTCGGGGCATCTCTGGAGTTACCTGAAGGAAGTCGAGCCACCGGTCATGTTGAATGCGGAAAGGGGAATGGCTCTGGAGTCAATGCAGGGGAATCGGGCCTCATCTCGAGTTGATTTGGGTCACATGGAGCTGCTTTGCGTTGCTGGGGTGACCTCAGGGTCTGTCTAGACTGGTGACAGTGTTCTTGGGGACTGTCTCGAGATCCATTAAGCAAGTCGAAGCTCCTGACTTGTTTGAATGGGATCACGGAATAGCTCTGCATGCACTGCAGGGGAATGGGGCCTCATCTCGCCTCTAGGGGGAAGTCTCATGGTTTTACTCGAGTTGCGGCGGGGACCTGGGGTATGTTCTCGACTTACGGCGGGATGGCCCTTCAAAACACGAGTTTCTTCAGTGACGTCAGGACTCCTGTCTAGTAACGAGGGACACCTCAGGAATCTCTTCCAAGCTTGGCAGGGCAAAAGGGACGCTTCTCGAGGTGAGGCAGTGCACCCAAGGACCCTTTCCTGTAGCCACAGGGATTTTGGGATTCCTATCAGTATTCAAGAGGAGTCAGGCATCGTCAGCTTTTGAAGCAATGAACTCCGCGTGCCTCTCGAGGTGTCAGCGGGATGTGAGGCATTCCGTCAAAATGAGGCAGGGACCTAGGGCTTTCTCTAAGGTCTCCACAGGGGATTCAGACATGCCTTCATGTTGTGAGATTAAACACGAGCCTGTATTCAAGCCACTGCAAGGAAATCAGGCCTCCTTTCAAGTTAGGGCTTCTCGCTGTATATTCCCCTTGAGGCAGCAAACTCGGGGTCCCTCCCACATACCTATTGCTGAGAGAAGCCTCCTCCTGAGGTGCTTCTGGAAAGTTGGCATACGTATTGACCCTAAGCCAGGGAATCAGCTCTCATCTCGAGACGATTTGGGGTACACGGAGCATTCCTCGAGTTGCTGTGCTGAAGTTGGTGTTCCTCTAGACTTCGGACAGTGTTCTCGGGGAATCTCTGGAGTTGCCTGAAGGAAGTCGAGCCACCGGTCGTGTTGAATGGGGAACGGGGAATGGCTCTGGAGTCAATGCAGGGGAATCGGGCCTCATCTCGAGTTGATTTGGGGCACATGGAGCTGCTTTGCGTTGCTGGGGTGACCTCAGCGTCCGTCTAGACTGGTGACATTGTTCTTGGGGACTGTCTCGAGATCCATTAAGCAAGTCGAATCTCCTGACTTGTTTGAATGGGATCACGGAATAGCTCTGCATGCACTGCAATGGAATGGGGCCTCATCTCGCCTCTAGGGGGAAGTCTCATGGTTTTTCTCGAGTTGCGGCGGGGACCTGGGGTATGTTCTCGACTTACGGCGGGGATGGCCCTTCAAAACACGAGTTTCTTCAGTGACGTCAGGACTCCTGTCTAGTAACGAGGGACACCTCAGGAATCTCTTCCAAGCTTGGCAGGGCAAAAGGGACGCTTCTCGAGGTGAGGCAGGGCACCCAAGGACCCTTTCCAGTAGCCACAGGGATTTTGGGATTCCTATCAGTATTCAAGAGGAGTCAGGCATCGTCACCTTTTGAAGCAATGAACTCTGCGTGCCTCTCGAGGTGTCAGCGGGATGTGAGGCATTCCGTCAAAATGAGGCATGGACCTAGGGCTTTCTCTAAGGTCTCCACAGGGCATTCAGTCATCCCTTCATGTTTTGAGATCAAAGAAGAGCCTGTATTCAAGCCACTGCAGGGAAATCCGGCCTCCTTTCAAGTTAGGGCTTCTCGCTGTATATTCCCCTTGAGGCAGCAAACTCGGGGTCCCTCCCACATACCTATTGCTAAGAGAAGCCTCCTCCTGAGGTGCTTCTGGAAAGTTGGCATACGTCTTGAGCCTAAGCCAGGGAATCAGCTCTCATCTCGAGACGATTTGGGGTACACGGAGCATTCCTCGATTTGCTGTGCTGAAGTTGGTGTTCCTCTAGACTTGGGACAGTGTTCTCGGGGCATCTCTGGAGTTACCTGAAGGAAGTCGAGCCACCGGTCATGTTGAATGCGGAACGGGGAATGGCTCTGGAGTCAATGCAGGGGAATCGGGCCTCATCTCGAGTTGATTTGGGTCACATGGAGCTGCTTTGCGTTGCTGGGGTGACCTCAGGGTCTGTCTAGACTGGTGACAGTGTTCCTGGGGACTGTCTCGAGATCCATTAAGCAAGTCGAAGCTCCTGACTTGTTTGAATGGGATCACGGAATAGCTCTGCATGCACTGCAGGGGAATGGGGCCGCATCTCGCCTCTAGGGGGAAGTCTCATGGTTTTACTCGAGTTGCGGCGGGGACCTGGGGTATGTTCTCCACTTACGGCAGGATGGCCCTTCAAAACACGAGTTTCTCCAGTGACGTCAGGACTCCTGTCTAGTAACGAGGGACACCTCAGGAATCTCTTCCAAGCTTGGCAGGGCAAAAGGGACGCTTCTCGAGGTGAGGCAGTGCACCCAAGGACCCTTTCCTGTAGCTACAGGGATTTTGGGATTCCTATCAGTATTCAAGAGGAGTCAGGCATCGTCACCTTTTGAAGCAATGAACTCCGCGTGCCTCTCGAGGTGTCAGCGGGATGTGAGGCATTCCGTCAAAATGAGGCAGGGACATAGGGCTTTCTCTAAGGTCTCCACAGGGGATTCAGACATGCCTTCATGTTGTGAGATTAAACACAAGCCTGTATTCAAGCCACTGCAAGGAAATCAGGCCTCCTTTCAATTTAGGGCTTCTCGCTGTATATTCCCCTTGAGGCAGCAAACTCGGGGTCCCTCCCACATAGCTATTGCTGAGAGAAGCCTCCTCCTGAGGTGCTTCTGGAAAGTTGGCATACGTCTTGAGCCTAAGCCAGGGAATCAGCTCTCATCTCGAGACGATTTGGGGTACACGGAGCATTCCTCGAGTTGCTGTGCTGAAGTTAGTGTTCCTCTAGACTTGGGACAGTGTTCTCGGGGCATCTCTGGAGTTGCCTGAAGGAAGTCGAGCCACCGGTCGTGTTGAATGGGGAACGGGGAATGGCTCTGGAGTCAATGCAGGGGAATCGGGCCTCATCTCGAGTTGATTTGGGGCACATGCAGCTGCTTTGCGTTGCTGGGGTGGCCTCAGGGTCCGTCTAGACTGGTGACAGTGTTCTTGGGGACTGTCTCGAGATCCATTAAGCAAGTCGAAGCTCCTGACTTGTTTGAATGGGATCACGGAATAGCTCTGCATGCACTGCAGGGGAATGGGGCCTCATCTCGCCTCTAGGGGGAAGTCTCATGGTTTTTCTCGAGTTGCGGCGGGGGCCTGGGGTATGTTCTCGACTTACGGCGGGGATGGCCCTTCAAAACACGAGTTTCTTCAGTGACGTCAGGACTCCTGTCTAGTAACGAGGGACACCTCAGGAATCTCTTCCAAGCTTGGCAGGGCAAAAGGGACGCTTCTCGAGGTGAGGCAGGGCACCCAAGGACCCTTTCCAGTAGCCACAGGGATTTTGGGATTCCTATCAGTATTCAAGAGGAGTCAGGCATCGTCACCTTTTGAAGCAATGAACTCTGCGTGCCTCTCGAGGTGTCAGCGGGATGTGAGGCATTCCGTCAAAATGAGGCATGGACCTAGGGCTTTCTCTAAGGTCTCCACAGGGCATTCAGTCATCCCTTCATGTTTTGAGATCAAAGAAGAGCCTGTATTCAAGCCACTGCAGGGAAATCCGGCCTCCTTTCAAGTTAGGGCTTCTCGCTGTATATTCCCCTTGAGGCAGCAAACTCAGGGTCCCTCCCACATACCTATTGCTGAGAGAAGCCTCCTCCTGAGGTGCTTCTGGAAAGTTGGCATACGTCTTGAGCCTAAGCCAGGGAATCAGCTCTTATCTCGAGACGATTTGGGGTACACGGAGCATTCCTCGATTTGCTGTGCTGAAGTTGGTGTTCCTCTAGACTTGGGACAGTGTTCTCGGGGCATCTCTGGAGTTACCTGAAGGAAGTCGAGCCACCGGTCATGTTGAATGCGGAACGGGGAATGGCTCTGGAGTCAATGCAGGGGAATCGGGCCTCATCTCGAGTTGATTTGGGTCACATGGAGCTGCTTTGCGTTGCTGGGGTGACCTCAGGGTCTGTCTAGACTGGTGACAGTGTTCTTGGGGATTGTCTCGAGATCCATTAAGCAAGTCGAAGCTCCTGACTTGTTTGAATGGGATCACGGAATAGCTCTGCATGCACTGCAGGGGAATGGGGCCTCATCTCGCCTCTAGGGGGAAGTCTCATGGTTTTACTCGAGTTGCGGCGGGGACCTGGGGTATGTTCTCGACTTACGGCGGGATGGCCCTTCAAAACACGAGTTTCTTCAGTGACGTCAGGATTCCTGTCTAGTAACGAGGGACACCTCAGGAATCTCTTCCAAGCTTGGCAGGGCAAAAGGGACGCTTCTCGAGGTGAGGCAGTGCACCCAAGGACCCTATCCTGTAGCTACAGGGATTTTGGGATTCCTATCAGTATTCAAGAGGAGTCAGGCATCGTCACCTTTTGAAGCAATGAACTCCGCGTGCCTCTCGAGGTGTCAGCGGGATGTGAGGCATTCCGTCAAAATGAGGCAGGGACCTGGGCTTTCTCTAAGGTCTCCACAGGGGATTCAGACATGCCTTCATGTTGTGAGATTAAACACAAGCCTGTATTCAAGCCATTGCAAGGAAATCAGGCCTTCTTTCAATTTAGGGCTTCTCGCTGTATATTCCCCTTGAGGCAGCAAACTCGGGGTCCCTCCCACATAGCTATTGCTGAGAGAAGCCTCCTCCTGAGGTGCTTCTGGAAAGTTGGCATACGTCTTGAGCCTAAGCCAGGGAATCAGCTCTCATCTCGAGACGATTTGGGGTACACGGAGCATTCCTCGAGTTGCTGTGCTGAAGTTAGTGTTCCTCTAGACTTGGGACAGTGTTCTCGGGGCATCTCTGGAGTTGCCTGAAGGAAGTCGAGCCACCGGTCGTGTTGAATGTGGAACGGGGAATGGCTCTGGAGTCAATGCAGGGGAATCGGGCCTCATCTCGAGTTGATTTGGGGCACATGCAGCTGCTTTGCGTTGCTGGGGTGGCCTCAGGGTCCGTCTAGACTGGTGACAGTGTTCTTGGGGACTGTCTCGAGATCCATTAAGCAAGTCCAAGCTCCTGACTTGTTTGAATGGGATCACGGAATAGCTCTGCATGCACTGCAGGGGAATGGGGCCTCATCTCGCCTCTAGGGGGAAGTCTCATGGTTTTTCTCGAGTTGCGGCAGGGACCTGGGGTATGTTCTCGACTTACGGCGGGGAAGGCCCTTCAAAACACGAGTTTCTTCAGTGACGTCAGGACTCCTGTCTAGTAACGAGGGACACCTCAGGAATCTCTTCGAGGCTTGGCAGGGCAAAACGGATGCTTCTCGAGGTGAGGCAGGGCACCCAAGGACCCTTTCCAGTAGCCACGGGGATTTTGGGATTCCTATCAGTATTCAAGAAGAGTCAGGCATCGTCACCTTTTGAAGCAATGAACTCTGCGTGCCTCTCGAGGTGTCAACGGGATGTGAGGCATTCCGTCAAAATGAGGCAGGGACCTAGGGCTTTCTCTAAGGTCTCCACAGTGGATTCCGTCATCCCTTCATGTTGTGAGATGAAAGACGAGCCTGTATTGAAGCCACTGCAAGGAAATCCGGCCTCCTTTCAAGTTAGGGCTTCTCGCTGTATATTCCCCTTGAGGCAGCAAACTCGGGGTCCCTCCCACATACCTATTGCTGAGAGAAGCCTCCTCCTGAGGTGCTTCTGGAAAGTTGGCATACGTATTGACCCTAAGCCAGGGAATCAGCTCTCATCTCGAGACGATTTGGGGTACACGGAGCATTCCTCGAGTTGCTGTGCCGAAGTTGGTGTTCCTCTAGACTTGGGACAGTTTTCTCGGGGAATCTCTGGAGTTGCCTGAAGGAAGTCGAGCCACCGGTCGTGTTGAATGGGGATCGGAGAATGGCTCTGGAGTCAATGCAGGGGAATCGGGCCTCATCTCGAGTTGATTTGGGGCACATGGAGCTGCTTTGCGTTGCTGGGGTGACCTCAGCGTCCGTCTAGACTGGTGACAGTGTTCTTGGGGACTGTCTCGAGATCCATTAAGCAAGTCGAATCTCCTGACTTGTTTGAATGGGATCACGGAATAGCTCTGCATGCACTGCAGGGGAATGGGGCCTCATCTCGCCTCTAGGGGGAAGTCTCATGGTTTTTCTCGAGTTGCGGCGGGGACCTGGGGTATGTTCTCGACTTACGGCGGGGATGGCCCTTCAAAACACGAGTTTCTTCAGTGACGTCAGGACTCCTGTCTAGTAACGAGGGACACCTCAGGAATCTCTTCCAAGCTTGGCAGGGCAAAAGGGACGCTTCTCGAGGTGAGGCAGGGCACCCAAGGACCCTTTCCAGTAGCCACAGGGATTTTGGGATTCCTATCAGTATTCAAGAGGAGTCAGGCATCGTCACCTTTTGAAGCAATGAACTCTGCGTGCCTCTCGAGGTGTCAGCGGGATGTGAGGCATTCCGTCAAAATGAGGCATGGACCTAGGGCTTTCTCTAAGGTCTCCACAGGGCATTCAGTCATCCCTTCATGTTTTGAGATCAAAGAAGAGCCTGTATTCAAGCCACTGCAGGGAAATCCAGCCTCCTTTCAAGTTAGGGCTTCTCGCTGTATATTCCCCTTGAGGCAGCAAACTCGGGGTCCCTCCCACATACCTATTGCTGAGAGAAGCCTCCTCCTGAGGTGCTTCTGGAAAGTTGGCATATGTCTTGAGCCTAAGCCAGGGAATCACCTCTCATCTCGAGACGATTTGGGGTACACGGAGCATTCCTCGATTTGCTGTGCTGAAGTTGGTGTTCCTCTAGACTTGGGACAGTGTTCTCGGGGCATCTCTGGAGTTACCTGAAGGAAGTCGAGCCACCGGTCATGTTGAATGCGGAAAGGGGAATGGCTCTGGAGTCAATGCAGGGGAATCGGGCCTCATCTCGAGTTGATTTGGGTCACATGGAGCTGCTTTGCGTTGCTGGGGTGACCTCAGGGTCTGTCTAGACTGGTGACAGTGTTCTTGGGGACTGTCTCGAGATCCATTAAGCAAGTCGAAGCTCCTGACTTGTTTGAATGGGATCACGGAATAGCTCTGCATGCACTGCAGGGGAATGGGGCCTCATCTCGCCTCTAGGGGGAAGTCTCATGGTTTTACTCGAGTTGCGGCGGGGACCTGGGGTATGTTCTCGACTTACGGCGGGATGGCCCTTCAAAACACGAGTTTCTTCAGTGACGTCAGGACTCCTGTCTAGTAACGAGGGACACCTCAGGAATCTCTTCCAAGCTTGGCAGGGCAAAAGGGACGCTTCTCGAGGTGAGGCAGTGCACCCAAGGACCCTTTCCTGTAGCCACAGGGATTTTGGGATTCCTATCAGTATTCAAGAGGAGTCAGGCATCGTCAGCTTTTGAAGCAATGAACTCCGCGTGCCTCTCGAGGTGTCAGCGGGATGTGAGGCATTCCGTCAAAATGAGGCAGGGACCTAGGGCTTTCTCTAAGGTCTCCACAGGGGATTCAGACATGCCTTCATGTTGTGAGATTAAACACGAGCCTGTATTCAAGCCACTGCAAGGAAATCAGGCCTCCTTTCAAGTTAGGGCTTCTCGCTGTATATTCCCCTTGAGGCAGCAAACTCGGGGTCCCTCCCACATACCTATTGCTGAGAGAAGCCTCCTCCTGAGGTGCTTCTGGAAAGTTGGCATACGTATTGACCCTAAGCCAGGGAATCAGCTCTCATCTCGAGACGATTTGGGGTACACGGAGCATTCCTCGAGTTGCTGTGCTGAAGTTGGTGTTCCTCTAGACTTCGGACAGTGTTCTCGGGGAATCTCTGGAGTTGCCTGAAGGAAGTCGAGCCACCGGTCGTGTTGAATGGGGAACGGGGAATGGCTCTGGAGTCAATGCAGGGGAATCGGGCCTCATCTCGAGTTGATTTGGGGCACATGGAGCTGCTTTGCGTTGCTGGGGTGACCTCAGCGTCCGTCTAGACTGGTGACATTGTTCTTGGGGACTGTCTCGAGATCCATTAAGCAAGTCGAATCTCCTGACTTGTTTGAATGGGATCACGGAATAGCTCTGCATGCACTGCAATGGAATGGGGCCTCATCTCGCCTCTAGGGGGAAGTCTCATGGTTTTTCTCGAGTTGCGGCGGGGACCTGGGGTATGTTCTCGACTTACGGCGGGGATGGCCCTTCAAAACACGAGTTTCTTCAGTGACGTCAGGACTCCTGTCTAGTAACGAGGGACACCTCAGGAATCTCTTCCAAGCTTGGCAGGGCAAAAGGGACGCTTCTCGAGGTGAGGCAGGGCACCCAAGGACCCTTTCCAGTAGCCACAGGGATTTTGGGATTCCTATCAGTATTCAAGAGGAGTCAGGCATCGTCACCTTTTGAAGCAATGAACTCTGCGTGCCTCTCGAGGTGTCAGCGGGATGTGAGGCATTCCGTCAAAATGAGGCATGGACCTAGGGCTTTCTCTAAGGTCTCCACAGGGCATTCAGTCATCCCTTCATGTTTTGAGATCAAAGAAGAGCCTGTATTCAAGCCACTGCAGGGAAATCCGGCCTCCTTTCAAGTTAGGGCTTCTCGCTGTATATTCCCCTTGAGGCAGCAAACTCGGGGTCCCTCCCACATACCTATTGCTGAGAGAAGCCTCCTCCTGAGGTGCTTCTGGAAAGTTGGCATACGTCTTGAGCCTAAGCCAGGGAATCAGCTCTCATCTCGAGACGATTTGGGGTACACGGAGCATTCCTCGATTTGCTGTGCTGAAGTTGGTGTTCCTCTAGACTTGGGACAGTGTTCTCGGGGCATCTCTGGAGTTACCTGAAGGAAGTCGAGCCACCGGTCATGTTGAATGCGGAACGGGGAATGGCTCTGGAGTCAATGCAGGGGAATCGGGCCTCATCTCGAGTTGATTTGGGTCACATGGAGCTGCTTTGCGTTGCTGGGGTGACCTCAGGGTCTGTCTAGACTGGTGACAGTGTTCCTGGGGACTGTCTCGAGATCCATTAAGCAAGTCGAAGCTCCTGACTTGTTTGAATGGGATCACGGAATAGCTCTGCATGCACTGCAGGGGAATGGGGCCGCATCTCGCCTCTAGGGGGAAGTCTCATGGTTTTACTCGAGTTGCGGCGGGGACCTGGGGTATGTTCTCCACTTACGGCAGGATGGCCCTTCAAAACACGAGTTTCTCCAGTGACGTCAGGACTCCTGTCTAGTAACGAGGGACACCTCAGGAATCTCTTCCAAGCTTGGCAGGGCAAAAGGGACGCTTCTCGAGGTGAGGCAGTGCACCCAAGGACCCTTTCCTGTAGCTACAGGGATTTTGGGATTCCTATCAGTATTCAAGAGGAGTCAGGCATCGTCACCTTTTGAAGCAATGAACTCCGCGTGCCTCTCGAGGTGTCAGCGGGATGTGAGGCATTCCGTCAAAATGAGGCAGGGACATAGGGCTTTCTCTAAGGTCTCCACAGGGGATTCAGACATGCCTTCATGTTGTGAGATTAAACACAAGCCTGTATTCAAGCCACTGCAAGGAAATCAGGCCTCCTTTCAATTTAGGGCTTCTCGCTGTATATTCCCCTTGAGGCAGCAAACTCGGGGTCCCTCCCACATAGCTATTGCTGAGAGAAGCCTCCTCCTGAGGTGCTTCTGGAAAGTTGGCATACGTCTTGAGCCTAAGCCAGGGAATCAGCTCTCATCTCGAGACGATTTGGGGTACACGGAGCATTCCTCGAGTTGCTGTGCTGAAGTTAGTGTTCCTCTAGACTTGGGACAGTGTTCTCGGGGCATCTCTGGAGTTGCCTGAAGGAAGTCGAGCCACCGGTCGTGTTGAATGGGGAACGGGGAATGGCTCTGGAGTCAATGCAGGGGAATCGGGCCTCATCTCGAGTTGATTTGGGGCACATGCAGCTGCTTTGCGTTGCTGGGGTGGCCTCAGGGTCCGTCTAGACTGGTGACAGTGTTCTTGGGGACTGTCTCGAGATCCATTAAGCAAGTCGAAGCTCCTGACTTGTTTGAATGGGATCACGGAATAGCTCTGCATGCACTGCAGGGGAATGGGGCCTCATCTCGCCTCTAGGGGGAAGTCTCATGGTTTTACTCGAGTTGCGGCGGGGACCTGGGGTATGTTCTCGACTTACGGCGGGATGGCCCTTCAAAACACGAGTTTCTTCAGTGACGTCAGGATTCCTGTCTAGTAACGAGGGACACCTCAGGAATCTCTTCCAAGCTTGGCAGGGCAAAAGGGACGCTTCTCGAGGTGAGGCAGTGCACCCAAGGACCCTATCCTGTAGCTACAGGGATTTTGGGATTCCTATCAGTATTCAAGAGGAGTCAGGCATCGTCACCTTTTGAAGCAATGAACTCCGCGTGCCTCTCGAGGTGTCAGCGGGATGTGAGGCATTCCGTCAAAATGAGGCAGGGACCTGGGCTTTCTCTAAGGTCTCCACAGGGGATTCAGACATGCCTTCATGTTGTGAGATTAAACACAAGCCTGTATTCAAGCCATTGCAAGGAAATCAGGCCTTCTTTCAATTTAGGGCTTCTCGCTGTATATTCCCCTTGAGGCAGCAAACTCGGGGTCCCTCCCACATAGCTATTGCTGAGAGAAGCCTCCTCCTGAGGTGCTTCTGGAAAGTTGGCATACGTCTTGAGCCTAAGCCAGGGAATCAGCTCTCATCTCGAGACGATTTGGGGTACACGGAGCATTCCTCGAGTTGCTGTGCTGAAGTTAGTGTTCCTCTAGACTTGGGACAGTGTTCTCGGGGCATCTCTGGAGTTGCCTGAAGGAAGTCGAGCCACCGGTCGTGTTGAATGTGGAACGGGGAATGGCTCTGGAGTCAATGCAGGGGAATCGGGCCTCATCTCGAGTTGATTTGGGGCACATGCAGCTGCTTTGCGTTGCTGGGGTGGCCTCAGGGTCCGTCTAGACTGGTGACAGTGTTCTTGGGGACTGTCTCGAGATCGATTAAGCAAGTCGAAGCTCCTGACTTGTTTGAATGGGATCACGGAATAGCTCTGCATGCACTGCAGGGGAATGGGGCCTCATCTCGCCTCTAGGGGGAAGTCTCATGGTTTTTCTCGAGTTGCGGCAGGGACCTGGGGTATGTTCTCGATTTACGGCGGGGAAGGCCCTTCAAAACACGAGTTTCTTCAGTGACGTCAGGACTCCTGTCTAGTAACGAGGGACACCTCAGGAATCTCTTCGAGGTTTGGCAGGGCAAAACGGACGCTTCTCGAGGTGAGGCAGGGCACCCAAGGACCCTTTCCAGTAGCCACGGGGATTTTGGGATTCCTATCAGTATTCAAGAAGAGTCAGGCATCGTCACCTTTTGAAGCAATGAACTCTGCGTGCCTCTCGAGGTGTCAGCGGGATGTGAGGCATTCCGTCAAAATGAGGCAGGGACCTAGGGCTTTCTCTAAGGTCTCCACAGTGGATTCCGTCATCCCTTCATGTTGTGAGATGAAAGACGAGCCTGTATTCAAGCCACTGCAAGGAAATCCGGCCTCCTTTCAAGTTAGGGCTTCTCGCTGTATATTCCCCTTGAGGCAGCAAACTCGGGGTCCCTCCCACATACCTATTGCTGAGAGAAGCCTCCTCCTGAGGTGCTTCTGGAAAGTTGGCATACGTATTGACCCTAAGCCAGGGAATCAGCTCTCATCTCGAGACGATTTGGGGTACACGGAGCATTCCTCGAGTTGCTGTGCTGAAGTTGGTGTTCCTCTAGACTTCGGACAGTGTTCTCGGGGAATCTCTGGAGTTGCCTGAAGGAAGTCGAGCCACAGGTCGTGTTGAATGGGTATCGGGGAATGGCTCTGGAGTCAATGCAGGGGAATCGGGCCTCATCTCGAGTTGATTTGGGGCACATGGAGCTGCTTTGCGTTGCTGGGGTGACCTCAGCGTCCGTCTAGACTGGTGACATTGTTCTTGGGGACTGTCGCGAGATCCATTAAGCAAGTCGAATCTCCTGACTTGTTTGAATGGGATCACGGAATAGCTCTGCATGCACTGCAGGGGAATGGGGCCTCATCTCGCCTCTAGGGGGAAGTCTCATGGTTTTTCTCGAGTTGCGGCGGGGACCTGGGGTATGTTCTCGACTTACGGCGGGGATGGCCCTTCAAAACACGAGTTTCTTCAGTGACGTCAGGACTCCTGTCTAGTAACGAGGGACACCTCAGGAATCTCTTCCAAGCTTGGCAGGGCAAAAGGGACGCTTCTCGAGGTGAGGCAGGGCACCCAAGGACCCTTTCCAGTAGCCACAGGGATTTTGGGATTCCTATCAGTATTCAAGAGGAGTCAGGCATCGTCACCTTTTGAAGCAATGAACTCTGCGTGCCTCTCGAGGTGTCAGCGGGATGTGAGGCATTCCGTCAAAATGAGGCATGGACCTAGGGCTTTCTCTAAGGTCTCCACAGGGCATTCAGTCATCCCTTCATGTTTTGAGATCAAAGAAGAGCCTGTATTCAAGCCACTGCAGGGAAATCCGGCCTCCTTTCAAGTTAGGGCTTCTCGCTGTATATTCCCCTTGAGGCAGCAAACTCGGGGTCCCTCCCACATACCTATTGCTGAGAGAAGCCTCCTCCTGAGGTGCTTCTGGAAAGTTGGCATACGTCTTGAGCCTAAGCCAGGGAATCACCTCTCATCTCGAGACGATTTGGGGTACACGGAGCATTCCTCGATTTGCTGTGCTGAAGTTGGTGTTCCTCTAGACTTGGGACAGTGTTCTCGGGGCATCTGTGGAGTTACCTGAAGGAAGTCGAGCCACCGGTCATGTTGAATGCGGAACGGGGAATGGCTCTGGAGTCAATGCAGGGGAATCGGGCCTCATCTCGAGTTGATTTTGGTCACATGGAGCTGCTTTGCGTTGCTGGGGTGACCTCAGGGTCTGTCTAGACTGGTGACAGTGTTCTTGGGGACTGTCTCGAGATCCATTAAGCAAGTCGAAGCTCCTGACTTGTTTGAATGGGATCACGGAATAGCTCTGCATGCACTGCAGGGGAATGGGGCCTCATCTCGCCTCTAGGGGGAAGTCTCATGGTTTTACTCGAGTTGCGGCGGGGACCTGGGGTATGTTCTCGACTTACGGCGGGATGGCCCTTCAAAACACGAGTTTCTTCAGTGACGTCAGGACTCCTGTCTAGTAACGAGGGACACCTCAGGAATCTCTTCCAAGCTTGGCAGGGCAAAAGGGACGCTTCTCGAGGTGAGGCAGTGCACCCAAGGACCCTTTCCTGTAGCCACAGGGATTTTGGGATTCCTATCAGTATTCAAGAGGAGTCAGGCATCGTCACCTTTTGAAGCAATGAACTCCGCGTGCCTCTCGAGGTGTCAGCGGGATGTGAGGCATTCCGTCAAAATGAGGCAGGGACCTAGGGCTTTCTCTAAGGTCTCCACAGGGGATTCAGACATGCCTTCATGTTGTGAGATTAAACACGAGCCTGTATTCAAGCCACTGCAAGGAAATCAGGCCTCCTTTCAATTTAGGGCTTCTCGCTGTATATTCCCCTTGAGGCAGCAAACTCGGGGTCCCTCCCACATAGCTATTGCTGAGAGAAGCCTCCTCCTGAGGTGCTTCTGGAAAGTTGGCATACGTCTTGAGCCTAAGCCAGGGAATCAGCTCTCATCTCGAGACGATTTGGGGTACACGGAGCATTCCTCGAGTTGCTGTGCTGAAGTTAGTGTTCCTCTAGACTTGGGACAGTGTTTTCGGGGCATCTCTGGAGTTGCCTGAAGGAAGTCGAGCCACCGGTCGTGTTGAATGGGGAACGGGGAATGGCTCTGGAGTCAATGCAGGGGAATCGGGCCTCATCTCGAGTTGATTTGGGGCACATGCAGCTGCTTTGCGTTGCTGGGGTGGCCTCAGGGTCCGTCTAGACTGGTGACAGTGTTCTTGGGGACTGTCTCGAGATCCATTAAGCAAGTCGAAGCTCCTGACTTGTTTGAATGGGATCACGGAATAGCTCTGCATGCACTGCAGGGGAATGGGGCCTCATCTCGCCTCTAGGGGGAAGTCTCATGGTTTTTCTCGAGTTGCGGCAGGGACCTGGGGTATGTTCTCGACTTACGGCGGGGAAGGCCCTTCAAAACACGAGTTTCTTCAGTGACGTCAGGACTCCTGTCTAGTAACGAGGGACACCTCAGGAATCTCTTCGAGGCTTGGCAGGGCAAAACGGACGCTTCTCGAGGTGAGGCAGGGCACCCAAGGACCCTTTCCAGTAGCCACAGGGATTTTGGGATTCCTATCAGTATTCAAGAGGAGTCAGGCATCGTCACCTTTTGAAGCAATGAACTCCGCGTGCCTCTCGAGGTGTCAGCGGGATGTGAGGCATTCCGTCAAAATGAGGCAGGGACCTAGGGCTTTCTCTAAGGTCTCCACAGGGGATTCAGTCATGCCTTCATGTTGTGAGATTAAACACGAGCCTTTATTCAAGCCACTGCAAGGAAATCGGGCCTCCTTTCAATTTTGGGCTTCTCGCTCTATATTCCCCTTGAGGCAGAAAACTCGGGGTCCCTCCCACATAGCTATTGCTGAGAGAAGCCTCCTCCTGAGGTTCTTCTGGAAAGTTGGCATACGTGTTGAGCCTAACCAGGGAATCAGCACTCATCTCGAGACGATTTGGGGTACACGGAGCATTCCTCGAGTTGCTGTGCTGAAGTTGGTGTTCCTCTAGACTTGGGACAGTGTTCTCAGGGCATCTCTGGAGTTGCCTGAAGGAAGTCGAGCCACCGGTCGTGTTGAATGGGGAACGGGGAATGGCTCTGGAGTCAATGCAGGGGAATCGGGCCTCATCTCTAGTTGATTTGGGGCACATGTAGCTGCTTTGTGTTGCTGGGGTGACCTCAGGGTCCGTCTAGACTGGTGACAGTGCTCTTGGGTACTGTCTTGAGATCGATTAAGCAAGTCGAAGCTCCTGACTTGTTTGAATGGGATCACGGAATAGCTCTGCATGCACTGCAGGGGAATGGGGCCTCATCTCGCCTCTAGGGGGAAGTCTCATGGTTTTTCTCGAGTTGCAGCGGGGACCTGGGGTATGTTCTCGACTTACGGCGGGGATGGCCGTTCAAAACACGAGTTTCTTCAGTGACGTCAGGACTCCTGTCTAGTAACGAGGGACACCTCAGGAATCTCTTCGAGGCTTGGCTGGGCAAAAGTGATGCTTCTCGAGGTCAGGCAGGGCACCCAAGGATCCTTTCCAGTAGCCACAGGGATTTTGGGATTCCTATCAGTATTCAAGAGGAGTCAGGCATCGTCACCTTTTGAAGCAATGAACTCCGCGTGCCTCTCGAGGTGTCAGCGGGATGTGAGGCATTCCGTCAAAATGAGGCTGGGACCTAGGGCTTTCTCTCAGGTCTCCACAGGGGATTCAGACATCCCTTCATGTTGTGAGATGAAAGACGAGCCTGTATTCAAGCCACTGCAAGGAAATCCGGCCACCTTTCAAGTTAGGGCTTCTCGATGTATATTCCCCTTGAGGCAGCAAACTCGGGGTCCCTCCAACATACATATTGCTGAGAGAAGCCTCCACCTGAGGTGCTTCTGGAATGTAGGCATACGTCTTGAGCCTAAGCCAGGTAATCGGCTCTCATCTCGAGACGATTTGGGGTTCACGGAGCATTCCTCGAGTTGCTGTGCTGAAGTTGGTGTTCCTCTAGACTTGGGACAGTGTTCTCGGGGCATCTCTGGAGTTGCCTGAAGGAAGTGGAGCCACCGGTCGTGTTGAATGGGGAACGGGTAATAGCTCTGGGGTCAATGCAGGGGAATCGGGCCTCATCTCGAGTTGATTTGGGGCACATGGAGCTGCTTTGCGTTGCTGGGGTGACCTCAGGGTCCGTCTAGACTGGTGACAGTGTTCTTGGGGACTGTCTCGAGATCGATTAAGCAAGTCGAAGCTCCTGACTTGTTTGAATGGGATCACGGAATAGGTCTGCATGCAGTGCAGGGGAATGGGGCCTTATCTCGCCTCTAAGGGGAAGTCTCATGGTTTTTCTCGAGTTGCGGCGGGGACTTGGGGTATGTTCTCGACTTTCGGCGGGGATGGCCCTTCAAAACACGAGTTTCTTCAGTGACGTCAGGACTCCTGTCTAGTAACGAGGGACACCTCAGGAATCTCTTCGAGGCTTGGCAGGGCAAAAGGGACGCTTCTCGAGGTGAGGCAGGGCACCCAAGGACCCTTTCAGTAGCCACAGGGATTTTGGGATTCCTATCAGTATTCAAGAGGAGTCAGGCATCGTCACCTATTGAAGCAATGAACTCCGCGTGCCTCTCGAGTTGTCAGCGGGATGTGACGCATTCCGTCAAAATGAGACAGGGACCTATGGCTTTCTCTAAGGTCTCCACAGGGGATTCAGACATCCCTTCATGTTGTGAGATGAAAGACGAGCCTGTATTCAAGCCACTGCAAGGAAATCCGGCCTCCTTTCAAGTTAGGGCTTCTCGCTGTATATTCCCCTTGAGGCAGCACACTCGGGGTCCCTCCCACATACCTATTGCTGAGAGAAGCCTCCTCCTGAGTTGCTTCTGGAAAGTTGGCAAATGCCTTGAGCCTAAGCCAATGTATCAGCTCTCATCTCGAGACGATTTGGGGTACACGGAGCATTCCTCGAGTTGCTATGCTGAAGTTGGTGTTCCTCTAGACTTGGGACAGTGTTCTCGGGGCATCTCTGGAGTTGCGTGAAGGAAGTCGAGCCACCGGTCGTGTTGAATGGGGAACGGGGAATGGCTCTGGGGTCAATGCAGGGGAATCGGGCCTCATCTCGAGTTGATTTGGGGCACATGGAGCTGCTTTGCGTTGCTGGGGTGACCTCAGGGTCCGTCTAGACTGGTGACAGTGTTCTTGGGGACTGTCTCGAGATCCATTAAGCAAGTCGAAGCTCCTGACTTGTTTGAATGGGATCACGGAATAGCTCTGCATGCACTGCAGGGGAATGGGGCCTCATCTCGCCTCTAGGGGGAAGTCTCATGGTTTTTCTCGAGTTGCGACGGGGACCTGGGGTATGTTCTCGACTTACGGCGGTGATGGCCCTTCAAAACACGAGTTTCTTCAGTGACGTCAGGACTCCTGTCTAGTAACGAGGGACACCTCAGGAATCTCTTCCAGGCTTGGCAGGGCAAAAGGGACGCTTCTCGAGGTGAGGCAGGGCACCCAAGGACCCTTTCCAGTAGCCACAGGGATTTTGGGATTCCTATCAGTATTCAAGAGGAGTCAGGCATCGTCACCTTTTGAAGCAATGAACTCTGCGTGCCTCTCGAGGTGTCAGCAGGATGTGAGGCATTCCGTTAAAATGAGGCATGGACCTAGGGCTTTCTCTAAGGTCTCCAAAGGGCATTCAGTCATCCCTTCATGTTTTGAGATCAAAGAAGAGCTGTATTCAAGCCACTGCAAGGAAATCCGGCCTCCTTTCAAGTTAGGGCTTCTCGCTGTATATTCCCCTTGAGGCAGCAAACTCGGGGTCCCTCCCACATAGCTATTGCTGAGAGAAGCCTCCTCCTGAGGTGCTTCTGGAAAGTTGGCATACGTCTTGAGCCTAAGCCAGGGAATCAGCTCGCATCTCGAGACGATTTGGGGTACACGGAGCATTCCTCGAGTTGCTGTGCTGAAGTTGGTGTTCCTCTAGACTTGGGACAGTGTTCTCGGGGCATCTCTGGAGTTGCCTGAAGGAAGTCGAGCCACCGGTCGTGTTGAATGGGGAACGGGGAATGGCTCTGGAGTCAATGCAGGGGAATCGGGCCTCATCTCGAGTTGATTTGGGGCACATGTAGCTGCTTTGTGTTGCTGGGGTGACCTCAGGGTCCGTCTAGACTGGTGACAGTGCTCTTGGGGACTATCTCGAGATCGATTAAGCAAGTCGAAGCTCCTGACTTGTTTGAATGGGATCACGGAATAGCTCTGCATGCACTGCAGGGGAATGGGGCCTCATCTCGCCTCTAGGGGGAAGTCTCATGGTTTTTCTCGAGTTGCGGCGGGGACCTGGGGTATGTTCTCGACTTACGGCGGGGATGGCCCTTCAAAACACGAGTTTCTTCAGTGACGTCAGGACTCCTGTCTAGTAACGAGGGACACCTCAGGAATCTCTTCGAGGCTTGGCTGGGCAAAAGTGATGCTTCTCGAGGTCAGGCAGGGCACCCAAGGATCCTTTCCAGTAGCCACAGGGATTTTGGGATTCCTGTCAGTATTCAAGAGGAGTCAGGCATCGTCAAATTTTGAATCAATGAACTCTGCGTGCCTCTCGAGGTGTCAGCGGGATGTGAGGCATTCCGTCAAAATGAGGCATGGACCTAGGGCTTTCTCTAAGGTCTCCACAGGGCATTCAGTCATCCCTTCATGTTTTGAGATCAAAGAAGAGCCTGTATTCAAGCCACTGCAGGGAAATCCGGCCTCCTTTCAAGTTAGGGCTTCTCGCTGTATATTCCCCTTGAGGCAGCAAACTCGGGGACCCTCCCACATACCTATTGCTGAGAGAAGCCTCCTCCTGAGGTGCTTCTGGAAAGTTGGCATACGTCTTGAGCCTAAGCCAGGGAATCAGCTCTCATCTCGAGACGATTTGGGGTACACGGAGCATTCCTCGATTTGCTGTGCTGAAGTTGGTGTTCCTCTAGACTTGGGACAGTGTTCTCGGGGCATCTCTGGAGTTACCTGAAGGAAGGCGAGCCACCGGTCATGTTGAATGCGGAACGGGGAATGGCTCTGGAGTCAATGCAGGGGAATCGGGCCTCATCTCGAGTTGATTTGGGTCACATGGAGCTGCTTTGCGTTGCTGGGGTGACCTCAGGGTCTGTCTAGACTGGTGACAGTGTTCTTGGGGACTGTCTCGAGATCCATTAAGCAAGTCGAAGCTCCTGACTTGTTTGAATGGGATCACGGAATAGCTCTGCATGCACTGCAGGGGAATGGGGCCTCATCTCGCCTCTAGGGGGAAGTCTCATGGTTTTACTCGAGTTGCGGCGGGGACCTGGGGTATGTTCTCGACTTACGCCGGGATGGCCCTTCAAAACACGAGTTTCTTCAGTGACGTCAGGACTCCTGTCTAGTAACGAGGGACACCTCAGGAATCTCTTCCAAGCTTGGCAGGGCAAAAGGGACGCTTCTCGAGGTGAGGCAGTGCACCCAAGGACCCTTTCCTGTAGCCACAGGGATTTTGGGATTCCTATCAGTATTCAAGAGGAGTCAGGCATCGTCACCTTTTGAAGCAATGAACTCCGCGTGCCTCTCGAGGTGTCAGCGGGATGTGAGGCATTCCGTCAAAATGAGGCAGGGACCTAGGGCTTTCTCTAAGGTCTCCACAGGGGATTCAGACATGCCTTCATGTTGTGAGATTAAACACGAGCCTGTATTCAAGCCACTGCAAGGAAATCAGGCCTCCTTTCAATTTAGGGCTTCTCGCTGTATATTCCCCTTGAGGCAGCAAACTCGGGGTCCCTCCCACATAGCTATTGCTGAGAGAAGCCTCCTCCTGAGGTGCTTCTGGAAAGTTGGCATACGTCTTGAGCCTAAGCCAGGGAATGAGCTCTCATCTCGAGACGATTTGGGGTACACGGAGCATTCCTCGAGTTGCTGTGCTGAAGTTAGTGTTCCTCTAGACTTGGGACAGTGTTCTTGGGGCATCTCTGGAGTTCCCTGAAGGAAGTCGAGCGACCGGTCGTGTTGAATGGGGAACGGGGAATGGCTCTGGAGTCAATGCAGGGGAATCGGGCCTCATCTCGAGTTGATTTGGGGCACATGCAGCTGCTTTGCGTTGCTGGGGTGGCCTCAGGGTCCGTCTAGACTGGTGACAGTGTTCTTGGGGACTTTCTCGAGATCGATTAAGCAAGTCGAAGCTCCTGACTTGTTTGAATGGGATCACGCAATAGCTCTGCATGCACTGCAGGGGAATGGGGCCTCATCTCGCCTCTAGGGGGAAGTCTCATGGTTTTTCTCGAGTTGCGGCAGGGACCTGGGGTATGTTCTCGACTTACGGCGGGGAAGGCCCTTCAAAACACGAGTTTCTTCAGTGACGTCAGGACTCCTGTCTAGTAACGAGGGACACCTCAGGAATCTCTTCGAGGCTTGGCAGGGCAAAACGGACGCTTCTCGAGGTGAGGCAGGGCACCCAAGGACCCTTTCCAGTAGCCACAGGGATTTTGGGATTCCTATCAGTATTCAAGAGGAGTCAGGCATCGTCACCTTTTGAAGCAATGAACTCCGCGTGCCTCTCGAGGTGTCAGCGGGATGTGAGGCATTCCGTCAAAATGAGGCAGGGACCTAGGGCTTTCTCTAAGGTCTCCACAGGGGATTCAGTCATGCCTTCATGTTGTGAGATTAAACACGAGCCTTTATTCAAGCCACTGCAAGGAAATCGGGCCTCCTTTCAATTTTGGGCTTCTCGCTCTATATTCCCCTTGAGGCAGAAAACTCGGGGTCCCTCCCACATAGCTATTGCTGAGAGAAGCCTCCTCCTGAGGTTCTTCTGGAAAGTTGGCATACGTGTTGAGCCTAACCAGGGAATCAGCACTCATCTCGAGACGATTTGGGGTACACGGAGCATTCCTCGAGTTGCTGTGCTGAAGTTGGTGTTCCTCTAGACTTGGGACAGTGTTCTCAGGGCATCTCTGGAGTTGCCTGAAGGAAGTCGAGCCACCGGTCGTGTTGAATGGGGAACGGGGAATGGCTCTGGAGTCAATGCAGGGGAATCGGGCCTCATCTCTAGTTGATTTGGGGCACATGTAGCTGCTTTGTGTTGCTGGGGTGACCTCAGGGTCCGTCTAGACTGGTGACAGTGCTCTTGGGTACTGTCTTGAGATCGATTAAGCAAGTCGAAGCTCCTGACTTGTTTGAATGGGATCACGGAATAGCTCTGCATGCACTGCAGGGGAATGGGGCCTCATCTCGCCTCTAGGGGGAAGTCTCATGGTTTTTCTCGAGTTGCAGCGGGGACCTGGGGTATGTTCTCGACTTACGGCGGGGATGGCCGTTCAAAACACGAGTTTCTTCAGTGACGTCAGGACTCCTGTCTAGTAACGAGGGACACCTCAGGAATCTCTTCGAGGCTTGGCTGGGCAAAAGTGATGCTTCTCGAGGTCAGGCAGGGCACCCAAGGATCCTTTCCAGTAGCCACAGGGATTTTGGGATTCCTATCAGTATTCAAGAGGAGTCAGGCATCGTCACCTTTTGAAGCAATGAACTCCGCGTGCCTCTCGAGGTGTCAGCGGGATGTGAGGCATTCCGTCAAAATGAGGCTGGGACCTAGGGCTTTCTCTCAGGTCTCCACAGGGGATTCAGACATCCCTTCATGTTGTGAGATGAAAGACGAGCCTGTATTCAAGCCACTGCAAGGAAATCCGGCCACCTTTCAAGTTAGGGCTTCTCGATGTATATTCCCCTTGAGGCAGCAAACTCGGGGTCCCACCAACATACATATTGCTGAGAGAAGCCTCCACCTGAGGTGCTTCTGGAATGTAGGCATACGTCTTGAGCCTAAGCCAGGTAATCGGCTCTCATCTCGAGACGATTTGGGGTTCACGGAGCATTCCTCGAGTTGCTGTGCTGAAGTTGGTGTTCCTCTAGACTTGGGACAGTGTTCTCGGGGCATCTCTGGAGTTGCCTGAAGGAAGTGGAGCCACCGGTCGTGTTGAATGGGGAACGGGTAATAGCTCTGGGGTCAATGCAGGGGAATCGGGCCTCATCTCGAGTTGATTTGGGGCACATGGAGCTGCTTTGCGTTGCTGGGGTGACCTCAGGGTCCGTCTAGACTGGTGACAGTGTTCTTGGGGACTGTCTCGAGATCGATTAAGCAAGTCGAAGCTCCTGACTTGTTTGAATGGGATCACGGAATAGGTCTGCATGCAGTGCAGGGGAATGGGGCCTTATCTCGCCTCTAAGGGGAAGTCTCATGGTTTTTCTCGAGTTGCGGCGGGGACTTGGGGTATGTTCTCGACTTTCGGCGGGGATGGCCCTTCAAAACACGAGTTTCTTCAGTGACGTCAGGACTCCTGTCTAGTAACGAGGGACACCTCAGGAATCTCTTCGAGGCTTGGCAGGGCAAAAGGGACGCTTCTCGAGGTGAGGCAGGGCACCCAAGGACCCTTTCAGTAGCCACAGGGATTTTGGGATTCCTATCAGTATTCAAGAGGAGTCAGGCATCGTCACCTATTGAAGCAATGAACTCCGCGTGCCTCTCGAGTTGTCAGCGGGATGTGACGCATTCCGTCAAAATGAGACAGGGACCTATGGCTTTCTCTAAGGTCTCCACAGGGGATTCAGACATCCCTTCATGTTGTGAGATGAAAGACGAGCCTGTATTCAAGCCACTGCAAGGAAATCCGGCCTCCTTTCAAGTTAGGGCTTCTCGCTGTATATTCCCCTTGAGGCAGCACACTCGGGGTCCCTCCCACATACCTATTGCTGAGAGAAGCCTCCTCCTGAGTTGCTTCTGGAAAGTTGGCAAATGCCTTGAGCCTAAGCCAATGTATCAGCTCTCATCTCGAGACGATTTGGGGTACACGGAGCATTCCTCGAGTTGCTATGCTGAAGTTGGTGTTCCTCTAGACTTGGGACAGTGTTCTCGGGGCATCTCTGGAGTTGCGTGAAGGAAGTCGAGCCACCGGTCGTGTTGAATGGGGAACGGGGAATGGCTCTGGGGTCAATGCAGGGGAATCGGGCCTCATCTCGAGTTGATTTGGGGCACATGGAGCTGCTTTGCGTTGCTGGGGTGACCTCAGGGTCCGTCTAGACTGGTGACAGTGTTCTTGGGGACTGTCTCGAGATCCATTAAGCAAGTCGAAGCTCCTGACTTGTTTGAATGGGATCACGGAATAGCTCTGCATGCACTGCAGGGGAATGGGGCCTCATCTCGCCTCTAGGGGGAAGTCTCATGGTTTTTCTCGAGTTGCGACGGGGACCTGGGGTATGTTCTCGACTTACGGCGGTGATGGCCCTTCAAAACACGAGTTTCTTCAGTGACGTCAGGACTCCTGTCTAGTAACGAGGGACACCTCAGGAATCTCTTCCAGGCTTGGCAGGGCAAAAGGGACGCTTCTCGAGGTGAGGCAGGGCACCCAAGGACCCTTTCCAGTAGCCACAGGGATTTTGGGATTCCTATCAGTATTCAAGAGGAGTCAGGCATCGTCACCTTTTGAAGCAATGAACTCTGCGTGCCTCTCGAGGTGTCAGCAGGATGTGAGGCATTCCGTTAAAATGAGGCATGGACCTAGGGCTTTCTCTAAGGTCTCCAAAGGGCATTCAGTCATCCCTTCATGTTTTGAGATCAAAGAAGAGCTGTATTCAAGCCACTGCAAGGAAATCCGGCCTCCTTTCAAGTTAGGGCTTCTCGCTGTATATTCCCCTTGAGGCAGCAAACTCGGGGTCCCTCCCACATAGCTATTGCTGAGAGAAGCCTCCTCCTGAGGTGCTTCTGGAAAGTTGGCATACGTCTTGAGCCTAAGCCAGGGAATCAGCTCGCATCTCGAGACGATTTGGGGTACACGGAGCATTCCTCGAGTTGCTGTGCTGAAGTTGGTGTTCCTCTAGACTTGGGACAGTGTTCTCGGGGCATCTCTGGAGTTGCCTGAAGGAAGTCGAGCCACCGGTCGTGTTGAATGGGGAACGGGGAATGGCTCTGGAGTCAATGCAGGGGAATCGGGCCTCATCTCGAGTTGATTTGGGGCACATGTAGCTGCTTTGTGTTGCTGGGGTGACCTCAGGGTCCGTCTAGACTGGTGACAGTGCTCTTGGGGACTATCTCGAGATCGATTAAGCAAGTCGAAGCTCCTGACTTGTTTGAATGGGATCACGGAATAGCTCTGCATGCACTGCAGGGGAATGGGGCCTCATCTCGCCTCTAGGGGGAAGTCTCATGGTTTTTCTCGAGTTGCGGCGGGGACCTGGGGTATGTTCTCGACTTACGGCGGGGATGGCCCTTCAAAACACGAGTTTCTTCAGTGACGTCAGGACTCCTGTCTAGTAACGAGGGACACCTCAGGAATCTCTTCGAGGCTTGGCTGGGCAAAAGTGATGCTTCTCGAGGTCAGGCAGGGCACCCAAGGATCCTTTCCAGTAGCCACAGGGATTTTGGGATTCCTGTCAGTATTCAAGAGGAGTCAGGCATCGTCACCTTTTGAATCAATGAACTCTGCGTGCCTCTCGAGGTGTCAGCGGGATGTGAGGCATTCCGTCAAAATGAGGCATGGACCTAGGGCTTTCTCTAAGGTCTCCACAGGGCATTCAGTCATCCCTTCATGTTTTGAGATCAAAGAAGAGCCTGTATTCAAGCCACTGCAGGGAAATCCGGCCTCCTTTCAAGTTAGGGCTTCTCGCTGTATATTCCCCTTGAGGCAGCAAACTCGGGGACCCTCCCACATACCTATTGCTGAGAGAAGCCTCCTCCTGAGGTGCTTCTGGAAAGTTGGCATACGTCTTGAGCCTAAGCCAGGGAATCAGCTCTCATCTCGAGACGATTTGGGGTACACGGAGCATTCCTCGATTTGCTGTGCTGAAGTTGGTGTTCCTCTAGACTTGGGACAGTGTTCTCGGGGCATCTCTGGAGTTACCTGAAGGAAGGCGAGCCACCGGTCATGTTGAATGCGGAACGGGGAATGGCTCTGGAGTCAATGCAGGGGAATCGGGCCTCATCTCGAGTTGATTTGGGTCACATGGAGCTGCTTTGCGTTGCTGGGGTGACCTCAGGGTCTGTCTAGACTGGTGACAGTGTTCTTGGGGACTGTCTCGAGATCCATTAAGCAAGTCGAAGCTCCTGACTTGTTTGAATGGGATCACGGAATAGCTCTGCATGCACTGCAGGGGAATGGGGCCTCATCTCGCCTCTAGGGGGAAGTCTCATGGTTTTACTCGAGTTGCGGCGGGGACCTGGGGTATGTTCTCGACTTACGCCGGGATGGCCCTTCAAAACACGAGTTTCTTCAGTGACGTCAGGACTCCTGTCTAGTAACGAGGGACACCTCAGGAATCTCTTCCAAGCTTGGCAGGGCAAAAGGGACGCTTCTCGAGGTGAGGCAGTGCACCCAAGGACCCTTTCCTGTAGCCACAGGGATTTTGGGATTCCTATCAGTATTCAAGAGGAGTCAGGCATCGTCACCTTTTGAAGCAATGAACTCCGCGTGCCTCTCGAGGTGTCAGCGGGATGTGAGGCATTCCGTCAAAATGAGGCAGGGACCTAGGGCTTTCTCTAAGGTCTCCACAGGGGATTCAGACATGCCTTCATGTTGTGAGATTAAACACGAGCCTGTATTCAAGCCACTGCAAGGAAATCAGGCCTCCTTTCAATTTAGGGCTTCTCGCTGTATATTCCCCTTGAGGCAGCAAACTCGGGGTCCCTCCCACATAGCTATTGCTGAGAGAAGCCTCCTCCTGAGGTGCTTCTGGAAAGTTGGCATACGTCTTGAGCCTAAGCCAGGGAATGAGCTCTCATCTCGAGACGATTTGGGGTACACGGAGCATTCCTCGAGTTGCTGTGCTGAAGTTAGTGTTCCTCTAGACTTGGGACAGTGTTCTTGGGGCATCTCTGGAGTTCCCTGAAGGAAGTCGAGCGACCGGTCGTGTTGAATGGGGAACGGGGAATGGCTCTGGAGTCAATGCAGGGGAATCGGGCCTCATCTCGAGTTGATTTGGGGCACATGCAGCTGCTTTGCGTTGCTGGGGTGGCCTCAGGGTCCGTCTAGACTGGTGACAGTGTTCTTGGGGACTGTCTCGAGATCGATTAAGCAAGTCGAAGCTCCTGACTTGTTTGAATGGGATCACGCAATAGCTCTGCATGCACTGCAGGGGAATGGGGCCTCATCTCGCCTCTAGGGGGAAGTCTCATGGTTTTTCTCGAGTTGCGGCAGGGACCTGGGGTATGTTCTCGACTTACGGCGGGGAAGGCCCTTCAAAACACGAGTTTCTTCAGTGACGTCAGGACTCCTGTCTAGTAACGAGGGACACCTCAGGAATCTCTTCGAGGCTTGGCAGGGCAAAACGGACGCTTCTCGAGGTGAGGCAGGGCACCCAAGGACCCTTTCCAGTAGCCACGGGGATTTTGGGATTCCTATCAGTATTCAAGAGGAGTCAGGCATCGTCACCTTTTGAAGCAATGAACTCAGCGTGCATCTCGAGGTGTCAGCGGGATGTGAGGCATTCCGTCAAAATGAGGCATGGACCTACGGCTTTCTCTAAGGTCTCCACAGGGCATTCAGTCATCCCTTCATGTTTTGAGATCAAAGAAGAGCCTGTATTCAAGCCACTGCAGGGAAATCCGGCCTCCTTTCAAGTTAGGGCTTCTCGCTGTATATTCCCCTTGAGGCAGCAAACTCGGGGTCCCTCCCACATACCTATTGCTGAGAGAAGCCTCCTCCTGAGGTGCTTCTGGAAAGTTGGCATACGTCTTGAGCCTAAGCCAGGGAATCACCTCTCATCTCGAGACGATTTGGGGTACACGGAGCATTCCTCGATTTGCTGTGCTGAAGTTGGTGTTCCTCTAGACTTGAGACAGTGTTCTCGGGGCATCTCTGGAGTTACCTGAAGGCAGTCGAGCCACCGGTCATGTTGAATGCGGAGCGGGGAATGGCTCTGGAGTCAATGCAGGGGAATCGGGCCTCATCTCGAGTTGATTTGGGGCACATGCAGCTGCTTTGCGTTGCTGGGGTGACCTCAGCGTCCGTCTAGACTGGTGACAGTGTTCTTGGGGACTGTCTCGAGATCCATTAAGCAAGTCGAATCTCCTGACTTGTTTGAATGGGATCACGGAATAGCTCTGCATGCACTGCAGGGGAATGGGGCCTCATCTCGCCTCTAGGGGGAAGTCTCATGTTTTTTCTCGAGTTGCGGCGGGGACCTGGGTTATGTTCTCGACTTACGGCGGGGATGGCCCTTCAAAACACGAGTTTCTTCAGTGACGTCAGGACTCCTGTCTAGTAATGAGGGACACCTCAGGAATATCTTCCAAGCTTGGCAGGGCAAAAGGGACGCTTCTCGAGGTGAGGCAGGGCACCCAAGGACCCTTTCCAGTAGCCACAGGGATTTTGGGATTCCTATCAGTATTCAAGAAGAGTCAGGCATTGTCACCTTTTGAAGCAATGAACTCTGCGTGCCTCTCGAGGTGTCAGCGGGATGTGAGGCATTCCGTCAAAATGAGGCATGGACCTAGGGCTTTCTCTAAGGTCTCCACAGGGCATTCAGTCATCCCTTCATGTTTTGAGATCAAAGAAGAGCCTGTATTCAAGCCACTGCAGGGAAATCCGGCCTCCTTTCAAGTTAGGGCTTCTCGCTGTATATTCCCCTTGAGGCAGCAAACTCGGGGTCCCTCCCACATACCTATTGCTGAGAGAAGCCTCCTCCTGAGGTGCTTCTGGAAAGTTGGCATACGTCTTGAGCCTAAGCCAGGGAATCAGCTCTCATCTCGAGACGATTTGGGGTACACGGAGCATTCCTCGAGTTGCTGTGCTGAAGTTGGTGTTCCTCTAGACTTGGGACAGTGTTCTCGGGGCATCTCTGGAGTTACCTGAAGGAAGTCGAGCCACCGGTCGTGTTGAATGGGGAACGGGGAATGGCTCTGGAGTCAATGCAGGGGAATCGGGCCTCATCTCGAGTTGATTTTGGGCACATGGAGCTGCTTTGCGTTGCTGGGGTGACCTCAGCGTCCGTCTAGACTGGTGACAGTGTTCTTGGGGACTGTCTCGAGATCCATTAAGCAAGTCGAAGCTCCTGACTTGTTTGAATGGGTTCACGGAATAGCTGTGCATGCACTGCAGGGGAATGGGGCCTCATCTCGCCTCTAGGGGGAAGTCTCATGGTTTTTCTCGAGTTGCGGCGGGGACTTGGGGTATGTTCTCGACTTACGGCGGGATGGCCCTTCAAAACACGAGTTTCTTCAGTGACGTCAGGACTCCTGTTTAGTAACGAGGGACACCTCAGGAATCTCTTCGAGGCTTGGCAGGGCAAAAGGGACGCTTCTCGAGGTGAGGCAGGGCACCCAAGGACCCTTTCCTGTAGCCACAGGGATTTTGGGATTCCTATCAGTATTCAAGAGGAGTCAGGCATCGTCACCTTTTGAAGCAATGAACTCCACGTGCCTCTCGAGGTGTCAGCGGGATGTGAGGCATTCCGTCAAAATGAGGCAGGGACCTAGGGCTTTCTCTAATGTCTCCACAGGGGATTCAGTCATGCCTTCATGTTGTGAGATTAAACACGAGCCTTTATTCAAGCCACTGCAAGGAAATCGGGCCTCCTTTCAATTTTGGGATTCTCGCTCTATATTCCCCTTGAGGCAGAAAACTCGGGGTCCCTCCCACATAGCTATTGCTGAGAGAAGCCTCCTCCTGAGGTTCTTCTGGAAAGTTGGCATACGTCTTGAGCCTAACCAAGGAATCAGCACTAATCTCGAGACGATTTGGGGTACACGGAGCATTCCTCGAGTTGCTGTGCTGAAGTTGGTGTTCCTCTAGACTTGGGACAGTGTTCTCGGGGCATCTCTGGAGTTGCCTGAAGGAAGTCGAGCCACCGGTCGTGTTGAATGGGGAACGGGGAATGGCTCTGGAGTCAATGCAGTGGAATCGGGCCTCATCTCGAGTTGATTTGGGGCACATGGAGCTGCTTTGTGTTGCTGGGGTGACCTCAGGGTCCGTCTAGACTGGTGACAGTGCTCTTGGGGACTGTCTCGAGATCGATTAAGCAAGTCGAAGCTCCTGACTTGTTTGAATTGGATCACGGAATAGCTCTGCATGCACTGCAGGGGAATGGGGCCTCATCTCGCCTCTAGGGGGAAGTCTCATGGTTTTTCTCGAGTTGCGGCGGGGACCTGGGGTATGTTCTCGACTTACGGCGGGGATGGCCCTTCAAAACACGAGTTTCTTCAGTGACGTCAGGACTCCTGTCTAGTAACGAGGGACACCTCAGGAATCTCTTCGAGGCTTGGCTGGGCAAAAGTGATGCTTCTCGAGGTCAGGCAGGGCACCCAAGGATCCTTTCCAGTAGCCACAGGGATTTTGGGATTCCTATCAGTATTCAAGAGGAGTCAGGCATCGTCACCTTTTGAAGCAATGAACTCCGCGTGCCTCTCGAGGTGTCAGCGGGATGTGAGGCATTCCGTCAAAATGAGGCTGGGACCTAGGGCTTTCTCTCAGGTCTCCACAGGGGATTCAGACATCCCTTCATGTTGTGAGATGAAAGACGAGCCTGTATTCAAGCCACTGCAAGGAAATCCGGCCACCTTTCAAGTTAGGGCTTCTCGATGTATATTCCCCTTGAGGCAGCAAACTCGGGGTCCCTCCAACATACATATTGCTGAGAGAAGCCTCCTCCTGAGGTGCTTCTGGAATGTAGGCATACGTCTTGAGCTTAAGCCAGGTAATCGGCTCTCATCTCGAGACGATTTGGGGTACACGGAGCATTCCTCGAGTTGCTGTGCTGAAGTTGGTGTTCCTCTAGACTTGGGACAGTGTTCTCGGGGCATCTCTGGAGTTGCCTGAAGGAAGTGGAGCCACCGGTCGTGTTGAATGGGGAACGGGTAATAGCTCTGGGGTCAATGCAGGGGAATCGGGCCTCATCTCGAGTTGATTTGGGGCACATGGAGCTGCTTTGCGTTGCTGGGGTGACCTCAGGGTCCGTCTAGACTGGTGACAGTTTTCTTGGGGACTGTCTCGAGATCGATTAAGCAAGTCGAAGCTCCTGACTTATTTGAATGGGATCACGGAATAGGTCTGCATGCAGTGCAGGGGAATGGGGCCTTATCTCGCCTCTAAGGGGAAGTCTCATGGTTTTTCTCGAGTTGCGGCGGGGGCCTGGGGTATGTTCTCGACTTACGGCGGGGATGGCCCTTCAAAACACGAGTTTCTTCAGTGACGTCAGGACTCCTGTCTAGTAACGAGGGACACCTCAGGAATCTCTTCGAGGCTTGGCAGGGCAAAAGGGACGCTTCTCGAGGTGAGGCAGGGCACCCAAGGACCCTTTCAGTAGCCACAGGGATTTTGGGATTCCTATCAGTATTCAAGAGGAGTCAGGCATCGTCACCTATTGAAGCAATGAACTCCGCGTGCCTCTCGAGTTGTCAGCGGGATGTGAGGCATTCCGTCAAAATGAGGCAGGGACCTAGGGCTTTCTCTAAGGTCTCCACAGGGGATTCAGACATCCCTTCATGTTGTGAGATGAAAGACGAGCCTGTATTCAAGCCACTGCAAGGAAATCCGGCCTCCTTTCAAGTTAGGGCTTCTCGCTGTATATTCCCCTTGAGGCAGCACACTCGGGGTCCCTCCCACATACCTATTGCTGAGAGAAGCCTCCTCCTGAGTTGCTTCTGGAAAGTTGGCAAATGCCTTGAGCCTAAGCCAATGTATCAGCTCTCATCTCGAGACGATTTGGGGTGCACGGAGCATTCCTCGAGTTGCTGTGCTGAAGTTTTTGTTCCTCTAGACTTGGGACAGTGTTCTCAGGGCATCTCTGGAGTTGCGTGAAGGAAGTCGAGCCACCGGTCGTGTTGAATGGGGAACGGGGAATGGCTCTGGGGTCAATGCAGGGGAATCGGGCCTCATCTCGAATTTATTTGGGGCACATGGAGCTGCTTTGCGTTGCTGGGGTGACCTCAGGGTCCGTCTAGACTGGTGACAGTGTTCTTGGGGACTGTCTCGAGATCCATTAAGCAAGTCGAAGCTCCTGACTTGTTTGAATGGGATCACGGAATACCTCTGCATGCACTGCAGGGGAATGGGGCCTCATCTCGCCTCTAGGGGGAAGTCTCATGGTTTTTCTCGAGTTGCGACGGGGACCTGGGGTATGTTCTCGACTTACGGCGGTGATGGCCCTTCAAAACACGAGTTTCTTCAGTGACGTCAGGACTCCTGTCTAGTAACGAGGGACACCTCAGGAATCTCTTCCAGGCTTGGCAGGGCAAAAGGGACGCTTCTCGAGGTGAGGCAGGGCACCCAAGGACCCTTTCCAGTAGCCACAGGGATTTTGGGATTCCTATCAGTATTCAAGAGGAGTCAGGCATCGTCACCTTTTGAAGCAATGAACTCTGCGTGCCTCTCGAGGTGTCAGCGGGATGTGAGGCATTCCGTTAAAATGAGGCATGGACCTAGGGCTTTCTCTAAGGTCTCCAAAGGGCATTCAGTCATCCCTTCATGTTTTGAGATCAAAGAAGAGCTGTATTCAAGCCACTGCAAGGAAATCCGGCCTCCTTTCAAGTTAGGGCTTTTCGCTGTATATTCCCATTGAGGCAGCAAACTCGGGGTCCCTCCCACATACCTATTGCTGAGAGAAGCCTCCTCCTGAGGTGCTTCTGGAAAGTTGGCATACGTCTTGAGCCTAAGCCAGGGAATCAGCTCTCATCTCGAGACGATTTGGGGTACACGGAGCATTCCTCGAGTTGCTGTGCTGAAGTTGGTGTTCCTCTAGACTTGGGACAGTGTTCTCGGGGCATCTCTGGAGTTGCCTGAAGGAAGTCGAGCCACCAGTCGTGTTGAATGGGGAACGGGGAATGGCTCTAGAGTCAATGCAGGGGAATCGGGCCTCATCTCGAGTTGATTTGGGGCACATGGAGCTGCTTTGCGTTGCTGGGGTGACCCCAGGGTCCATCTAGACTGGTGACAGTGTTCTTGGGGACTGTCTCGAGATCCATTAAGCAAGTCGAAGCTCCTGACTTGTTTGAATGGGATCACGGAATAGCTCTGCATGCACTGCAGGGGAATGGGGCCTCATCTCGCCTCTAGGGGGAAGTCTCATGGTTTTTCTCGAGTTGCGGCGGGGACCTGGGGTATGTTCTCGACTTACGGCGGGATGGCCCTTCAAAACACGAGTTTCTTCAGTGACGTCAGGACTCCTGTCTAGTAACGAGGGACACCTCAGGAATCTCTTCGAGGCTTGGCAGGGCAAAAGGGACGCTTCTCGAGGTGAGGCAGGGCACCCAAGGACCCTTTCCGGTAACCACAGGGATTTTGGGATTCCTATCAGTATTCAAGAGGAGTCAGGCATTGTCACATTTTGAAGAAATGAACTTCGCGTGCCTCTCGAGGTGTCAGCGGGATGTGAGGCATTCCGTCAAAATGAGGCAGGGACCTAGGGCTTTCTCTAAGGTCTCCACAGGGGATTCAGACATGCCTTCATGTTGTGAGATTAAACACGAGCCTGTATTCAAGCCACTGCAAGGAAATCGGGCCTCCTTTCAATTTAGGGCTTCTCGCTGTATATTCCCCTTGAGGCAGCAAACTCGGGGTCCCTCCCACATAGCTATTGCTGAGAGAAGCCTCCTCCTGAGGTGCTTCTGGAAAGTTGGCATACGTCTTGAGCCTAAGCCAGGGAATCAGCTCTCATCTCGAGACGATTTGGGGTACACGGAGCATTCCTCGAGTTGCTGTGCTGAAGTTGGTGTTCCGCTAGACTTGGGACAGTGTTCTCGGGGCATCTGTGGAGTTGCCTGAAGGAAGTCGAGCCACCGGTCGTGTTGAATGGGGAACGGGGAATGGCTCTGGAGTCAATGCAGGGGAATCGGGCCTCATCTCGAGTTGATTTGGGGCACATGTAGCTGCTTTGTGTTGCTGGGGTGACCTCAGGGTCCGTCTAGACTGGTGACAGTGCTCTTGGGGACTGTCTCGAGATCGATTAAGCAAGTCGAAGCTCCTGACTTGTTTGAATGGGATCACGGAATAGCTCTGCATGCACTGCAGGGGAATGGGGCCTCATCTCGCCTCTAGGGGGAAGTCTCATGGTTTTTCTCGAGTTGCGGCGGGGACCTGGGGTATGTTCTCGACTTACGGCGGGGATGGCCCTTCAAAACACGAGTTTCTTCAGTGACGTCAGGACTCCTGTCTAGTAACGAGGGACACCTCAGGAATCTCTTCGAGGCTTGGCTGGGCAAAAGTGATGCTTCTCGAGGTCAGGCAGGGCACCCAAGGATCCTTTCCAGTAGCCACAGGGATTTTGGGATTCCTATCAGTATTCAAGAGGAGTCAGGCATCGTCACCTTTTGAAGCAATGAACTCCGCGTGCCTCTCGAGGTGTCAGCGGGATGTGAGGCATTCCGTCAAAATGAGGCTGGGACCTAGGGCTTTCTCTCAGGTCTCCACAGGGGATTCAGACATCCCTTCATGTTGTGAGATGAAAGACGAGCCTGTATTCAAGCCACTGCAAGGAAATCCGGCCACCTTTCAAGTTAGGGCTTCTCGATGTATATTCCCCTTGAGGCAGCAAACTCGGGGTCCCTCCAACATACATATTGCTGAGAGAAGCCTCCTCCTGAGGTGCTTCTGGAATGTAGGCATACGTCTTGAGCCTAAGCCAGGTAATCGGCTCTCATCTCGAGACGATTTGGGGTACACGGAGCATTCCTCGAGTTGCTGTGCTGAAGTTGGTGTTCCTCTAGACTTGGGACAGTGTTCTCGGGGCATCTCTGGAGTTGCCTGAAGGAAGTGGAGCCACCGGTCGTGTTGAATGGGGAAGGGGTAATAGCTCTGGGGTCAATGCAGGGGAATCGGGCCTCATCTCGAGTTGATTTGGGGCACATGGAGCTGCTTTGCGTTGCTGGGGTGACCTCAGGGTCCGTCTAGACTGGTGACAGTGTTCTTGAGGACTGTCTCGAGATCGATTAAGCAAGTCGAAGCTCCTGACTTGTTTGAATGGGATCACGGAATAGGTCTGCATGCAGTGCAGGGGAATGGGGCCTTATCTCGCCTCTAAGGGGAAGTCTCATGGTTTTTCTCGAGTTGCGGCGGGGGCCTGGGGTATGTTCTCGACTTACGGCGGGGATGGCCCTTCAAAACACGAGTTTCTTCAGTGACGTCAGGACTCCTGTCTAGTAACGAGGGACACCTCAGGAATCTCTTCGAGGCTTGGCAGGGCAAAAGGGACGCTTCTCGAGGTGAGGCAGGGCACCCAAGGACCCTTTCAGTAGCCACAGGGATTTTGGGATTCCTATCAGTATTCAAGAGGAGTCAGGCATCGTCACCTATTGAAGCAATGAACTCCGCGTGCCTCTCGAGTTGTCAGCGGGATGTGAGGCATTCCGTCAAAATGAGGCAGGGACCTACGGCTTTCTCTAAGTTCTCCACAGGGGATTCAGACATCCCTTCATGTTGTGAGATGAAAGACGAGCCTGTATTCAAGCCACTGCAAGGAAATCCGGCCTCCTTTCAAGTTAGGGCTTCTCGCTGTATATTCCCCTTGAGGCAGCACACTCGGGGTCCCTCCCACATACCTATTGCTGAGAGAAGCCTCCTCCTGAGTTGCTTCTGGAAAGTTGGCAAATGCCTTGAGCCTAAGCCAATGTATCAGCTCTCATCTCGAGACGATTTGGGGTGCACGGAGCATTCCTCGAGTTGCTGTGCTGAAGTTTTTGTTCCTCTAGACTTGGGACAGTGTTCTCGGGGCATCTCTGGAGTTGCGTGAAGGAAGTCGAGCCACCGGTCGTATTGAATGGGGAACGGGGAATGGCTCTGGGGTCAATGCAGGGGAATCGGGCCTCATCTCGAGTTGATTTGGGGCACATGGAGCTGCTTTGCGTTGCTGGGGTGACCTCAGGGTCCGTCTAGACTGGTGACAGTGTTCTTGGGGACTGTCTCGAGATCCATTAAGCAAGTCGAAGCTCCTGACTTGTTTGAATGGGATCACGGAATACCTCTGCATGCACTGCAGGGGAATGGGGCCTCATCTCGCCTCTAGGGGGAAGTCTCATGGTTTTTCTCGAGTTTCGACGGGGACCTGGGGTATGTTCTCGACTTACGGCGGTGATGGCCCTTCAAAACACGAGTTTCTTCAGTGACGTCAGGACTCCTGTCTAGTAACGAGGGACACCTCAGGAATCTCTTCCAGGCTTGGCAGGGCAAAAGGGACGCTTCTTGAGGTGAGGCAGGGCACCCAAGGACCCTTTCCAGTAGCCACAGGGATTTAGGGATTCCTATCAGTATTCAAGAGGAGTCAGGCATCGTCACCTTTTGAAGCAATGAACTCTGCGTGCCTCTCGAGGTGTCAGCGGGATGTGAGGCATTCCGTTAAAATGAGGCATGGACCTAGGGCTTTCTCTAAGGTCTCCAAAGGACATTCAGTCATCCCTTCATGTTTTGAGATCAAAGAAGAGCTGTATTCAAGCCACTGCAAGGAAATCCGGCCTCCTTTCAAGTTAGGGCTTCTCGCTGTATATTCCCATTGAGGCAGCAAACTCGGGGTCCCTCCCACATACCTATTGCTGAGAGAAGCCTCCTCCTGAGGTGCTTCTGGAAAGTTGGCATACGTCTTGAGCCTAAGCCAGGGAATCAGCTCTCATCTCGAGACGATTTGGGGTACACGGAGCATTCCTCGAGTTGCTGTGCTGAAGTTGGTGTTCCTCTAGACTTGGGACAGTGTTCTCGGGGCATCTCTGGAGTTGCCTGAAGGAAGTCGAGCCACCAGTCGTGTTGAATGGGGAACGGGGAATGGCTCTAGAGTCAATGCAGGGGAATCGGGCCTCATCTCGAGTTGATTTGGGGCATATGGAGCTGCTTTGCGTTGCTGGGGTGACCCCAGGGTCCGTCTAGACTGGTGACAGTGTTCTTGGGGACTGTCTCGAGATCCATTAAGCAAGTCGAAGCTCCTGACTTGTTTGAATGGGATCACGGAATAGCTCTGCATGCACTGCAGGGGAATGGGGCCTCATCTCGCCTCTAGGGGGAAGTCTCATGGTTTTTCTCGAGTTGCGGCGGGGACCTGGGGTATGTTCTCGACTTACGGCGGGATGGCCCTTCAAAACACGAGTTTCTTCAGTGACGTCAGGACTCCTGTCTAGTAACGAGGGACACCTCAGGAATCTCTTCGAGGCTTGGCAGGGCAAAAGGGACGCTTCTCGAGGTGAGGCAGGGCACCCAAGGACCCTTTCCTGTAGCCACAGGGATTTTGGGATTCCTATCAGTATTCAAGAGGAGTCAGGCATCGTCACATTTTGAAGCAATGAACTCTGCGTGCCTCTCGAGGTGTCAGCGGGATGTGAGGCATTCCGTCAAAATGAGGCAGGGACCTAGGGCTTTCTCTAAGGTCTCCACAGGGGATTCAGACATGCCTTCATGTTGTGAGATTAAACACGAGCCTGTATTCAAGCCACTGCAAGGAAATCGGGCCTCCTTTCAATTTAGGGCTTCTCGCTGTATATTCCCCTTGAGGCAGCAAACTCGGGGTCCCTCCCACATAGCTATTGCTGAGAGAAGCCTCCTCCTGAGGTGCTTCTGGAAAGTTGGCATACGTCTTGAGCCTAAGCCAGGGAATCAGCTCTCATCTCGAGACGATTTGGGGTACACGGAGCATTCCTCGAGTTGCTGTGCTGAAGTTGGTGTTCCTCTAGACTTGGGACAGTGTTCTCGGGGCATCTCTGGAGTTGCCTGAAGGAAGTCGAGCCACCGGTCGTGTTGAATGGGGAAAGGGGAATGGCTCTGGAGTCAATGCAGGGGAATCGGGCCTCATCTCGAGTTGATTTGGGGCACATGCAGCTGCTTTGCGTTGCTGGGGTGGCCTCAGGGTCCGTCTAGACTGGTGACAGTGTTCTTGGGGACTGTCTCGAGATCGATTAAGCAAGTCGAAGCTCCTGACTTGCTTGAATGGGATCACGGAATAGCTCTGCATGCACTGCAGGGGAATGGGGCCTCATCTCGCCTCTAGGGGGAAGTCTCATGGTTTTTCTCGAGTTGCGGCAGGGACCTGGGGTATGTTCTCGACTTACGGCGGGGAAGGCCCTTCAAAACACCAGTTTCTTCAGTGACGTCAGGACTCCTGTCTAGTAACGAGGGACACCTCAGGAATCTCTTCGAGGCTTGGCAGTGCAAAACGGACGCTTCTCGAGGTGAGGCAGGGCACCCAAGGACCCTTTCCAGTAGCCACGGGGATTTTGGGATTCCTATCAGTATTCAAGAAGAGTCAGGCATCGTCACCTTTTGAAGCAATGAACTCTGCGTGAATCTCGAGGTGTCAACATGATGTGAGGCATTCCGTCAAAATGAGGCAGGGACCTAGGGCTTTCTCTAAGGTCTCCACAGTGGATTCCGACATCCCTTCATGTTGTGAGATGAAAGACGAGCCTGTATTCAAGCCACTGCAAGGAAATTGGGCCTCCTTTCAATTTAGGGCTTCTCGCTGTATATTCCCCTTGAGGCAGCAAACTCGGGGTCCCTCCAACATACATATTGCTGAGAGAAGCCTCCTCCTGAGGTGCTTCTGGAATGTAGGTATACGTCTTGAGCTTAAGCCAGGTAATCGGCTCTCATCTCGAGACGATTTGGGGTACACGGAGCATTCCTCGAGTTGCTGTGCTGAAGTTGGTGTTCCTCTAGACTTGGGACAGTGTTCTCGGGGCATCTCTGGAGTTGCCTGAAGGAAGTGGAGCCACCGGTCGTGTTGAATGGGGAACGGGTAATAGCTCTGGGGTCAATGCAGGGGAATCGGGCCTCATCTCGAGTTGATTTGGGGCACATGGAGCTGCTTTGCGTTGCTGGGGTGACCTCAGGGTCCGTCTAGACTGGTGACAGTGTTCTTGGGGACTGTCTCGAGATCGATTAAGCAAGTCGAATCTCCTGACTTGTTTGAATGGGATCACGGAATAGGTCTGCATGCAGTGCAGGGGAATGGGGCCTTATCTCGCCTCTAAGGGGAAGTCTCATGGTTTTTCTCGAGTTGCGGCGGGGGCCTGGGGTATGTTCTCGACTTACGGCGGGGATGGCCCTTCAAAACACGAGTTTCTTCAGTGACGTCAGGACTCCTGTCTAGTAACGAGGGACACCTCAGGAATCTCTTCGAGGCTTGGCAGGGCAAAAGGGACGCTTCTCGAGGTGAGGCAGGGCACCCAAGGACCCTTTCCTGTAGCCACAGGGATTTTGGGATTCCTATCAGTATTCAAGAGGAGTCAGGCATCGTCACCTATTGAAGCAATGAACTCCGCGTGCCTCTCGAGTTGTCAGCGGGATGTGAGGCATTCCGTCAAAATGAGGCAGGGACCTACGGCTTTCTCTAAGGTCTCCACAGGGGATTCAGACATCCCTTCATGTTGTGAGATGAAAGACGAGCCTGTATTCAAGCCACTGCAAGGAAATCCGGCCTCCTTTCAAGTTAGGGCTTCTCGCTGTATATTCCCCTTGAGGCAGCACACTCGGGGTCCCTCCCACATACCTATTGCTGAGAGAAGCCTCCTCCTGAGTTGCTTCTGGAAAGTTGGCAAATGCCTTGAGCCTAAGCCAATGTATCAGCTCTCATCTCGAGACGATTTGGGGTGCACGGAGCATTCCTCGAGTTGCTGTGCTGAAGTTTTTGTTCCTCTAGACTTGGGACAGTGTTCTCAGGGCATCTCTGGAGTTGCGTGAAGGAAGTCGAGCCACCGGTCGTGTTGAATGGGGAACGGGGAATGGCTCTGGGGTCAATGCAGGGGAATCGGGCCTCATCTCGAGTTGATTTGGGGCACATGGAGCTGCTTTGCGTTGCTGGGGTGACCTCAGGGTCCGTCTAGACTGGTGACAGTGTTCTTGGGGACTGTCTCGAGATCCATTAAGCAAGTCGAAGCTCCTGACTTGTTTGAATGGGATCACGGAATACCTCTGCATGCACTGCAGGGGAATGGGGCCTCATCTCGCCTCTAGGGGGAAGTCTCATGGTTTTTCTCGAGTTGCGACGGGGACCTGGGGTATGTTCTCGACTTACGGCGGTGATGGCCCTTCAAAACACGAGTTTCTTCAGTGACGTCAGGACTCCTGTCTAGTAACGAGGGACACCTCAGGAATCTCTTCCAGGCTTGGCAGGGCAAAAGGGACGCTTCTCGAGGTGAGGCAGGGCACCCAAGGACCCTTTCCAGTAGCCACAGGGATTTTGGGATTCCTATCAGTATTCAAGAGGAGTCAGGCATCGTCACCTTTTGAAGCAATGAACTCTGCGTGCCTCTCGAGGTGTCAGCGGGATGTGAGGCATTCCGTTAAAATGAGGCATGGACCTAGGGCTTTCTCTAAGGTCTCCAAAGGGCATTCAGTCATCCCTTCATGTTTTGAGATCAAAGAAGAGCTGTATTCAAGCCACTGCAAGGAAATCCGGCCTCCTTTCAAGTTAGGGCTTCTCGCTGTATATTCCCATTGAGGCAGCAAACTGGGGGTCCCTCCCACATACCTATTGCTGAGAGAAGCCTCCTCCTGAGGTGCTTCTGGAAAGTTGGCATACGTCTTGAGCCTAAGCCAGGGAATCAGCTCTCATCTCGAGACGATTTGGGGTACACGGAGCATTCCTCGAGTTGCTGTGCTGAAGTTGGTGTTCCTCTAGACTTGGGACAGTGTTCTCGGGGCATCTCTGGAGTTGAATGAAGGAAGTCGAGCCACCAGTCGTGTTGAATGGGGAACGGGGAATGGCTCTAGAGTCAATGCAGGGGAATCGGGCCTCATCTCGAGTTGATTTGGGGCACATGGAGCTGCTTTGCGTTGCTGGGGTGACCCCAGGGTCCGTCTAGACTGGTGACAGTGTTCTTGGGGACTGTCTCGAGATCCATTAAGCAAGTCGAAGCTCCTGACTTGTTTGAATGGGATCACGGAATAGCTCTGCATGCACTGCAGGGGAATGGGGCCTCATCTCGCCTCTAGGGGGAAGTCTCATGGTTTTTCTCGAGTTGCGGCGGGGACCTGGGGTATGTTCTCGACTTACGGCGGGATGGCCCTTCAAAACACGAGTTTCTTCAGTGACGTCAGGACTCCTGTCTAGTAACGAGGGACACCTCAGGAATCTCTTCGAGGCTTGGCAGGGCAAAAGGGACGCTTCTCGAGGTGAGGCAGGGCACCCAAGGACCCTTTCCTGTAGCCACAGGGATTTTGGGATTCCTATCAGTATTCAAGAGGAGTCAGGCATCGTCACATTTTGAAGAAATGAACTCCGCGTGCCTCTCGAGGTGTCAGCGGGATGTGAGGCATTCCGTCAAAATGAGGCAGGGACCTAGGGCTTTCTCTAAGGTCTCCACAGGGGATTCAGACATGCCTTCATGTTGTGAGATTAAACACGAGCCTGTATTCAAGCCACTGCAAGGAAATCGGGCCTCCTTTCAATTTAGGGCTTCTCGCTGTATATTCCCCTTGAGGCAGCAAACTCGGGGTCCCTCCCACATAGCTATTGCTGAGAGAAGCCTCCTCCTGAGGTGCTTCTGGAAAGTTGGCATACGTCTTGAGCCTAAGCCAGGGAATCAGCTCTCATCTCGAGACGATTTGGGGTACACGGAGCATTCCTCGAGTTGCTGTGCTGAAGTTGGTGTTCCGCTAGACTTGGGACAGTGTTCTCGGGGCATCTGTGGAGTTGCCTGAAGGAAGTCGAGCCACCGGTCGTGTTGAATGGGGAACGGGGAATGGCTCTGGAGTCAATGCAGGGGAATCGGGCCTCATCTCGAGTTGATTTGGGGCACATGTAGCTGCTTTGTGTTGCTGGGGTGACCTCAGGGTCCGTCTAGACTGGTGACAGTGCTCTTGGGGACTGTCTCGAGATCGATTAAGCAAGTCGAAGCTCCTGACTTGTTTGAATGGGATCACGGAATAGCTCTGCATGCACTGCAGGGGAATGGGGCCTCATCTCGCCTCTAGGGGGAAGTCTCATGGTTTTTCTCGAGTTGCGGCGGGGACCTGGGGTATGTTCTCGACTTACGGCGGGGATGGCCCTTCAAAACACGAGTTTCTTCAGTGACGTCAGGACTCCTGTCTAGTAACGAGGGACACCTCAGGAATCTCTTCGAGGCTTGGCTGGGCAAAAGTGATGCTTCTCGAGGTCAGGCAGGGCACCCAAGGATCCTTTCCAGTAGCCACAGGGATTTTGGGATTCCTATCAGTATTCAAGAGGAGTCAGGCATCGTCACCTTTTGAAGCAATGAACTCCGCGTGCCTCTCGAGGTGTCAGCGGGATGTGAGGCATTCCGTCAAAATGAGGCTGGGACCTAGGGCTTTCTCTCAGGTCTCCACAGGGGATTCAGACATCCCTTCATGTTGTGAGATGAAAGACGAGCCTGTATTCAAGCCACTGCAAGGAAATCCGGCCACCTTTCAAGTTAGGGCTTCTCGATGTATATTCCCCTTGAGGCAGCAAACTCGGGGTCCCTCCAACATACATATTGCTGAGAGAAGCCTCCTCCTGAGGTGCTTCTGGAATGTAGGCATACGTCTTGAGCCTAAGCCAGGTAATCGGCTCTCATCTCGAGACGATTTGGGGTACACGGAGCATTCCTCGAGTTGCTGTGCTGAAGTTGGTGTTCCTCTAGACTTGGGACAGTGTTCTCGGGGCATCTCTGGAGTTGCCTGAAGGAAGTGGAGCCACCGGTCGTGTTGAATGGGGAACGGGTAATAGCTCTGGGGTCAATGCAGGGGAATCGGGCCTCATCTCGAGTTGATTTGGGGCACATGGAGCTGCTTTGCCTTGCTGGGGTGACCTCAGGGTCCGTCTAGACTGGTGACAGTGTTCTTGGGGACTGTCTCGAGATCGATTAAGCAAGTCGAAGCTCCTGACTTGTTTGAATGGGATCACGGAATAGGTCTGCATGCAGTGCAGGGGAATGGGGCCTTATCTCGCCTCTAAGGGGAAGTCTCATGGTTTTTCTCGAGTTGCGGCGGGGGCCTGGGGTATGTTCTCGACTTACGGCGGGGATGGCCCTTCAAAACACGAGTTTCTTCAGTGACGTCAGGACTCCTGTCTAGTAACGAGGGACACCTCAGGAATCTCTTCGAGGCTTGGCAGGGCAAAAGGGACGCTTCTCGAGGTGAGGCAGGGCACCCAAGGACCCTTTCAGTAGCCACAGGGATTTTGGGATTCCTATCAGTATTCAAGAGGAGTCAGGCATCGTCACCTATTGAAGCAATGAACTCCGCGTGCCTCTCGAGTTGTCAGCGGGATGTGAGGCATTCCGTCAAAATGAGGCAGGGACCTAGGGCTTTCTCTAAGGTCTCCACAGGGGATTCAGACATCCCTTCATGTTGTGAGATGAAAGACGAGCCTGTATTCAAGCCACTGCAAGGAAATCCGGCCTCCTTTCAAGTTAGGGCTTCTCGCTGTATATTCCCCTTGAGGCAGCAAACTCGGGGTCCCTCCCACATACCTATTGCTGAGAGAAGCCTCCTCCTGAGTTGCTTCTGGAAAGTTGGCAAATGCCTTGAGCCTAAGCCAATGTATCAGCTCTCATCTCGAGACGATTTCGGGTGCACGGAGCATTCCTCGAGTTGCTGTGCTGAAGTTGGTGTTCCTCTAGACTTGGGACAGTGTTCTCGGGGCATCTCTGGAATTGCGTGAAGGAAGTCGAGCCACCGGTCGTGTTGAATGGGGAACGGGGAATGGCTCTGGGGTCAATGCAGGGGAATCGGGCCTCATCTCGAGTTGATTTGGGGCACATGGAGCTGCTTTGCGTTGCTGGGGTGACCTCAGGGTCCGTCTAGACTGGTGACAGTGTTCTTGGGGACTGTCTCGAGATCCATTAAGCAAGTCGAAGCTCCTGACTTGTTTGAATGGGATCACGGAATACCTCTGCATGCACTGCAGGGGAATGGGGCCTCATCTCGCCTCTAGGGGGAAGTCTCATGGTTTTTCTCGAGTTGCGACGGGGACCTGGGGTATGTTCTCGACTTACGGCGGGGATGGCCCTTCAAAACTCGAGTTTCTTCAGTGACGTCAGGACTCCTGTCTAGTAACGAGGGACACCTCAGGAATCTCTTCCAGGCTTGGCAGGGCAAAAGGGACGCTTCTCGAGGTGAGGCAGGGCACCCAAGGACCCTTTCCAGTAGCCACAGGGATTTTGGGATTCCTATCAGTATTCAAGAGGAGTCAGGCATCGTCACCTTTTGAAGCAATGAACTCTGCGTGCCTCTCGAGGTGTCAGCGGGATGTGAGGCATTCCGTTAAAATGAGGCATGGACCTAGGGCTTTCTCTAAGGTCTCCAAAGGGCATTCAGTCATCCCTTCATGTTTTGAGATCAAAGAAGAGCTGTATTCAAGCCACTGCAAGGAAATCCGGCCTCCTTTCAAGTTAGGGCTTCTCGCTGTATATTCCCATTGAGGCAGCAAACTCGGGGTCCCTCCCACATACCTATTGCTGAGAGAAGCCTCCTCCTGAGGTGCTTCTTGAAAGTTGGCATACGTCTTGAGCCTAAGCCAGGGAATCAGCTCTCATCTCGAGACGATTTGGGGTACACGGAGCATTCCTCGAGTTGCTGTGCTGAAGTTGGTGTTCCTCTAGACTTGGGACAGTGTTCTCGGGGCATCTCGGGAGTTGCCTGAAGGAAGTCGAGCCACCGGTCGTGTTGAATGGGGAACGGGGAATGGCTCTAGAGTCAATGCAGGGGAATCGGGCCTCATCTCGAGTTGATTTGGGGCACATGGAGCTGCTTTGCCTTGCTGGGGTGACCCCAGGGTCCGTCTAGACTGGTGACAGTGTTCTTGGGGACTGTCTCGAGATCCATTAAGCAAGTCGAAGCTCCTGACTTGTTTGAATGGGATCACGGAATAGCTCTGCATGCACTGCAGGGGAATGGGGCCTCATCTCGCCTCTAGGGGGAAGTCTCATGGTTTTTCTCGAGTTGCGGCGGGGACCTGGGGTATGTTCTCGACTTAGGGCGGGATGGCCCTTCAAAACACGAGTTTCTTCAGTGACGTCAGGACTCCTGTCTAGTAACGAGGGACACCTCAGGAATCTCTTCGAGGCTTGGCAGGGCAAAAGGGACGCTTCTCGAGGTGAGGCAGGGCACCCAAGGACCCTTTCCTGTAGCCACAGGGATTTTGGGATTCCTATCAGTATTCAAGAGGAGTCAGGCATCGTCACATTTTGAAGAAATGAACTCCGCGTGCCTCTCGAGGTGTCAGCGGGATGTGAGGCATTCCGTCAAAATGAGGCAGGGACCTAGGGCTTTCTCTAAGGTCTCCACAGGGGATTCAGACATGCCTTCATGTTGTGGGATTAAACACGAGCCTGTATTCAAGCCACTGCAAGGAAATCGGGCCTCCTTTCAATTTAGGGCTTCTCGCTGTATATTCCCCTTGAGGCGGCAAACTCGGGGTCCCACCCACATAGCTATTGCTGAGAGAAGCCTCCTCCTGAGGTGCTTCTGGAAAGTTGGCATACGTCTTGAGCCTAAGCCAGGGAATCAGCTCTCATCTCGAGACGATTTGGGTTACACGGAGCATTCCTCGAGTTGCTGTGCTGAAGTTGGTGTTCCTCTAGACTTGGGACAGTGTTCTCGGGGCATCTGTGGAGTTGCCTGAAGGAAGTCGAGCCACCGGTCGTGTTGAATGGGGAACGGGGAATGGCTCTGGAGTCAATGCAGGGGAATCGGGCCTCATCTCGAGTTGATTTGGGGCACATGGAGCTGCTTTGCGTTGCTGGGGTGACCTCAGTGTCCGTCTAGACTGGTGACAGTGTTCTTGGGGACTGTCTCGAGATCGATTAAGCAAGTCGAAGCTCCTGACTTGTTTGAATGGGATCACGGAATAGCTCTGCATGCTCTGCAGGGGAATGGGGCCTCATCTCGCCTCTAGGGGGAAGTCTCATGGTTTTTCTCGAGTTGCGGCGGGGACCTGGGGTATGTTCTCGACTTACGGCGGGGATGGCCCTTCAAAACACGAGTTTCTTCAGTGACGTCAGGACTCCTGTCTAGTAACGAGGGACACCTCAGGAATCTCTTCCAAGCTTGGCAGGGCAAAAGGGACGCTTCTCGAGGTGAGGCACTGCACCCAAGGACCCTTTCCTGTAGCCACAGGGATTTTGGGATTCCTATCAGTATTCAAGAGGAGTCAGGCATCGTCACCTTTTGAAGCAATGAACTCCGCGTGCCTCTCGAGGTGTCAGCGGGATGTGAGGCATTCCGTCAAAATGAGGCAGGGACCTAGGGCTTTCTCTAAGGTCTCCACAGGGGATTCAGACATGCCTTCATGTTGTGAGATTAAACACGAGCCTGTATTAAAGCCACTGCAAGGAAATCGGGCCTCCTTTCAATTTAGGGCTTCTCGCTGTATATTCCCCTTGAGGCAGCAAACTCGGGGTCCCTCCCACATAGCTATTGCTGAGAGAAGCCTCCTCCTGAGGTGCTTCTGGAAAGTTGGCATACGTCTTGAGCCTAAGCCAGGGAATCAGCTCTCATCTCGAGACGATTTGGGGTACACGGAGCATTCCTCGAGTTGCTGTGCTGAAGTTGGTGTTCCTCTAGACTTGGGACAGTGTTCTCGGGGCATCTGTGGAGTTGCCTGAAGGAAGTCGAGCCACCGGTCGTGTTGAATGTGGAACGGGGAATGGCTCTGGAGTCAATGCAGGGGAATCGGGCCTCATCTCGAGTTGATTTGGGGCACATGTAGCTGCTTTGTGTTGCTGGGGTGACCTCAGGGTCCGTCTAGACTGGTGACAGTGCTCTTGGGGACTGTCTCGAGATCGATTAAGCAAGTCGAAGCTCCTGACTTGTTTGAATGGGATCACGGAATAGCTCTGCATGCACTGCAGGGGAATGGGGCCTCATCTCGCCTCTAGGGGGAAGTCTCATGGTTTTTCTCGAGTTGCGGCGGGGACCTGGGGTATGTTCTCGACTTACGGCGGGGATGGCCCTTCAAAACACGAGTTTCTTCAGTGACGTCAGGACTCCTGTCTAGTAACGAGGGACACCTCAGGAATCTCTTCGAGGCTTGGCTGGGCAAAAGTGATGCTTCTCGAGGTCAGGCAGGGCACCCAAGGATCCTTTCCAGTAGCCACAGGGATTTTGGGATTCCTATCAGTATTCAAGAGGAGTCAGGCATCGTCACCTTTTGAAGCAATGAACTCCGCGTGCCTCTCGAGGTGTCAGCGGGATGTGAGGCATTCCGTCAAAATGAGGCTGGGACCTAGGGCTTTCTCTCAGGTCTCCACAGGGGATTCAGACATCCCTTCATGTTGTGAGATGAAAGACGAGCCTGTATTCAAGCCACTGCAAGGAAATCCGGCCACCTTTCAAGTTAGGGCTTCTCGATGTATATTCCCCTTGAGGCAGCAAACTCGGGGTCCCTCCAACATACATATTGCTGAGAGAAGCCTCCTCCTGAGGTGCTTCTGGAATGTAGGCATACGTCTTGAGCCTAAGCCAGGTAATCGGCTCTCATCTCGAGACGATTTGGGGTACACGGAGCATTCCTCGAGTTGCTGTGCTGAAGTTGGTGTTCCTCTAGACTTGGGACAGTGTTCTCGGGGCATCTCTGGAGTTGCCTGAAGGAAGTGGAGCCACCGGTCGTGTTGAATGGGGAACGGGTAATAGCTCTGGGGTCAATGCAGGGGAATCGGGCCTCATCTCGAGTTGATTTGGGGCACATGGAGCTGCTTTTCGTTGCTGGGGTGACCTCAGGGTCCGTCTAGACTGGTGACAGTGTTCTTGGGGACTGTCTCGAGATCGATTAAGCAAGTCGAAGCTCCTGACTTGTTTGAATGGGATCACGGAATAGGTCTGCATGCAGTGCAGGGGAATGGGGCCTTATCTCGCCTCTAAGGGGAAGTCTCATGGTTTTTCTCGAGTTGCGGCGGGGGCCTGGGGTATGTTCTCGACTTACGGCGGGGATGGCCCTTCAAAACACGAGTTTCTTCAGTGACGTCAGGACTCCTGTCTAGTAACGAGGGACACCTCAGGAATCTCTTCGAGGCTTGGCAGGGCAAAAGGGACGCTTCTCGAGGTGAGGCAGGGCACCCAAGGACCCTTTCAGTAGCCACAGGGATTTTGGGATTCCTATCAGTATTCAAGAGGAGTCAGGCATCGTCACCTATTGAAGCAATGAACTCCGCGTGCCTCTCGAGTTGTCAGGGGGATGTGAGGCATTCCGTCAAAATGAGGCAGGGACCTACGGCTTTCTCTAAGGTCTCCACAGGGGATTCAGACATCCCTTCATGTTGTGAGATGAAAGACGAGCCTGTATTCAAGCCACTGCAAGGAAATCCGGCCTCCTTTCAAGTTAGGGCTTCTCGCTGTATATTCCCCTTGAGGCAGCACACTCGGGGTCCCTCCCACATACCTATTGCTGAGAGAAGCCTCCTCCTGAGTTGCTTCTGGAAAGTTGGCAAATGCCTTGAGCCTAAGCCAATGTATCAGCTCTCATCTCGAGACGATTTGGGGTGCACGGAGCATTCCTCGAGTTGCTGTGCTGAAGTTGGTGTTCCTCTAGACTTGGGAAAGTGTTCTCGGGGCATCTCTGGAGTTGCGTGAAGGAAGTCGAGCCACCGGTCGTGTTGAATGGGGAACGGGGAATGGCTCTGGGGTCAATGCAGGGGAATCGGGCCTCATCTCGAGTTGATTTGGGGCACATGGAGCTGCTTTGCGTTGCTGGGGTGACCTCAGGGTCCGTCTAGACTGGTGACAGTGTTCTTGGGGACTGTCTCGAGATCCATTAAGCAAGTCGAAGCTCCTGACTTGTTTGAATGGGATCACGGAATACCTCTGCATGCACTGCAGGGGAATGGGGCCTCATCTCGCCTCTAGGGGGAAGTCTCATGGTTTTTCTCGAGTTGCGACGGGGACCTGGGGTGTGTTCTCGACTTACGGCGGTTATGGCCCTTCAAAACACGAGTTTCTTCAGTGACGTCAGGACTCCTGTCTAGTAACGAGGGACACCTCAGGAATCTCTTCCAGGCTTGGCAGGGCAAAAGGGACGCTTCTCGAGGTGAGGCAGGGCACCCAAGGACCCTTTCCAGTAGCCACAGGGATTTTGGGATTCCTATCAGTATTCAAGAGGAGTCAGGCATCGTCACCTTTTGAAGCAATGAACTCTGCGTGCCTCTCGAGGTGTCAGCGGGATGTGAGGCATTCCGTTAAAATGAGGCATGGACCTAGGGCTTTCTCTAAGGTCTCCAAAGGGCATTCAGTCATCCCTTCATGTTTTGAGATCAAAGAAGAGCTGTATTCAAGCCACTGCAAGGAAATCCGGCCTCCTTTCAAGTTAGGGCTTCTCGCTGTATATTCCCATTGAGGCAGCAAACTCGGGGTCCCTCCCACATACCTATTGCTGAGAGAAGCCTCCTCCTGAGGTGCTTCTGGAAAGTTGGCATACGTCTTGAGCCTAAGCCAGGGAATCAGCTCTCATCTCGAGACGATTTGGGGTACACGGAGCATTCCTCGAGTTGCTGTGCTGAAGTTGGTGTTCCTCTAGACTTGGGACAGTGTTCTCGGGGCATCTCGGGAGTTGCCTGAAGGAAGTCGAGCCACCGGTCGTGTTGAATGGGGAACGGGGAATGGCTCTAGAGTCAATGCAGGGGAATCGGGCCTCATCTCGAGTTGATTTGGGGCACATGGAGCTGCTTTGCCTTGCTGGGGTGACCCCAGGGTCCGTCTAGACTGGTGACAGTGTTCTTGGGGACTGTCTCGAGATCCATTAAGCAAGTCGAAGCTCCTGACTTGTTTGAATGGGATCACGGAATAGCTCTGCATGCACTGCAGGGGAATGGGGCCTCATCTCGCCTCTAGGGGGAAGTCTCATGGTTTTTCTCGAGTTGCGGCGGGGACCTGGGGTATGTTCTCGACTTACGGCGGGATGGCCCTTCAAAACACGAGTTTCTTCAGTGACGTCAGGACTCCTGTCTAGTAACGAGGGACACCTCAGGAATCTCTTCGAGGCTTGGCAGGGCAAAAGGGACGCTTCTCGAGGTGAGGCAGGGCACCCAAGGACCCTTTCCTGTAGCCACAGGGATTTTGGGATTCCTATCAGTATTCAAGAGGAGTCAGGCATCGTCACATTTTGAAGAAATGAACTCCGCGTGCCTCTCGAGGTGTCAGCGGGATGTGAGGCATTCCGTCAAAATGAGGCAGGGACCTAGGGCTTTCTCTAAGGTCTCCACAGGGGATTCAGACATGCCTTCATGTTGTGAGATTAAACACGAGCCCGTATTCAAGCCACTGCAAGGAAATCGGGCCTCCTTTCAATTTAGGGCTTCTCGCTGTATATTCCCCTTGAGGCGGCAAACTCGGGGTCCCTCCCACATAGCTATTGCTGAGAGAAGCCTCCTCCTGAGGTGCTTCTGGAAAGTTGGCATACGTCTTGAGCCTAAGCCAGGGAATCAGCTCTCATCTCGAGACGATTTGGGGTACACGGAACATTCCTCGAGTTGCTGTGCTGAAGTTGGTGTTCCTCTAGACTTGGGACAGTGTTCTCGGGGCATCTGTGGAGTTGCCTGAAGGAAGTCGAGCCACCGGTCGTGTTGAATGGGGAACGGGGAATGGCTCTGGAGTCAATGCAGGGGAATCGGGCCTCATCTCGAGTTGATTTGGGGCACATGGAGCTGCTTTGCGTTGCTGGGGTGACCTCAGTGTCCGTCTAGACTGGTGACAGTGTTCTTGGGGACTGTCTCGAGATCGATTAAGCAAGTCGAAGCTCCTGACTTGTTTGAATGGGATCACGGAATAGCTCTGCATGCTCTGCAGGGGAATGGGGCCTCATCTCGCCTCTAGGGGGAAGTCTCATGGTTTTTCTCCAGTTGCGGCGGGGACCTGGGGTATGTTCTCGACTTACGGCGGGGATGGCCCTTCAAAACACGAGTTTCTTCAGTGACGTCAGGACTCCTGTCTAGTAACGAGGGACACCTCAGGAATCTCTTCGATGCTTGGCAGGGCAAAAGGGACGCTTCTCGAGGTGAGGCAGGGCACCCAAGGACCCTTTCCAGTAGCCACAGGGATTTTGGGATTCCTATCAGTATTCAAGAGGAGTCAGGCATCGTCACCTTTTGAAGCAATGAACTCCGCGTGCCTCTCGAGGTGTCAGCGGGATGTGAGGCTTTCCGTCAAAATGAGGCAGGGACCTAGGGCTTTCTCTAAGGTCTCCACAGGGGATTCAGACATGCCTTCATGTTGTGAGATTAAACACGAGTCTGTATTCAAGCCACTGCAAGGAAATCAGGCCTCCTTTCAATTTAGGGCTTCTCGCTGTATATTCCCCTTGAGGCAGCAAACTCGGGGTCCCTCCCACATAGCTATTGCTGAGAGAAGCCTCCTCCTGAGGTGCTTCTGGAAAGTTGGCATACGTCTTGAGCCTAAGCCAGGGAATCAGCTCTCATCTCGAGACGATTTGGGGTACACGGAGCATTCCTCGAGTTGCTGTGCTGAAGTTGGTGTTCCTCTAGACTTGGGACAGTGTTCTCGGGGCATCTCTGGAGTTGCCTGAAGGAAGTCGAGCCACCGGTCGTGTTGAATGGGGAACGGGGAATGGCTCTGGAGTCAATGCAGGGGAATCGGGCCTCATCTCGAGTTGATTTGGGGCACATGGAGCTGCTTTGCGTTGCTGGGGTGGCCTCAGGGTCCGTCTAGACTGGTGACAGTGTTCTTGGGGACTGTCTCGAGATCCATTAAGCAAGTCGAAGCTCCTGACTTGTTTGAATGGGATCACGGAATAGCTCTGCATGCACTGCAGGGGAATGGGGCCTCATCTCGCCTCTAGGGGGAAGTCTCATGGTTTTTCTCGAGTTGCGGCAGGGACCTGGGGTATGTTCTCGACTTACGGCGGGGAAGGCCCTTCAAAACACGAGTTTCTTCAGTGACGTCAGGACTCCTGTCTAGTAACGAGGGACACCTCAGGAATCTCTTCGAGGCTTGGCAGGGCAAAACGGATGCTTCTCGAGGTGAGGCAGGGCACCCAAGGACCCTTTCCAGTAGCCACGGGGATTTTGGGATTCCTATCAGTATTCAATAAGAGTCAGGCATCGTCACCTTTTGAAGCAATGAACTCTGCGTGCCTCTCGAGGTGTCAACGGGATGTGAGGCATTCCGTCAAAATGAGGCAGGGACCTAGGGCTTTCTCTAAGGTCTCCACAGTGGATTCCGTCATCCCTTCATGTTGTGAGATGAAAGACGAGCCTGTATTCAAGCCACTGCAAGGAAATCCGGCCTCCTTTCAAGTTAGGGCTTCTCGCTGTATATTCCCCTTGAGGCAGCAAACTCGGGGTCCCTCCCACATACCTATTGCTGAGAGAAGCCTCCTCCTGAGGTGCTTCTGGAAAGTTGGCATATGTCTTGAGCCTAAGCCAGGGAATCACCTCTCATCTCGAGACGATTTGGGGTACACGGAGCATTCCTCGATTTGCTGTGCTGAAGTTGGTGTTCCTCTAGACTTGGGACAGTGTTCTCGGGGCATCTCTGGAGTTACCTGAAGGAAGTCGAGCCACCGGTCATGTTGAATGCGGAACGGGGAATGGCTCTGGAGTCAATGCAGGGGAATCGGGCCTCATCTCGAGTTGATTTGGGTCACATGGAGCTGCTTTGCGTTGCTGGGGTGACCTCAGGGTCTGTCTAGACTGGTGACAGTGTTCTTGGGGACTGTCTCGAGATCGATTAAGCAAGTCGAAGCTCCTGACTTGTTTGAATGGGATCACGGAATAGCTCTGCATGCACTGCAGGGGAATGGGGCCTCATCTCGCCTCTAGGGGGAAGTCTCATGGTTTTACTCGAGTTGCGGCGGGGACCTGGGGTATGTTCTCGACTTACGGCGGGATGGCCCTTCAAAACACGAGTTTCTTCAGTGACGTCAGGACTCCTGTCTAGTAACGAGGGACACCTCAGGAATCTCTTCCAAGCTTGGCAGGGCAAAAGGGACGCTTCTCGAGGTGAGGCAGTGCACCCAAGGACCCTTTCCTGTAGCCACAGGGATTTTGAGATTCCTATCAGTATTCAAGAGGAGTCAGGCATCGTCACCTTTTGAAGCAATGAACTCCGCGTGCCTCTAGAGGTGTCAGCGGGATGTGAGGCATTCCGTCAAAATGAGGCAGGGACCTAGGGCTTTCTCTAAGGTCTCCACAGGGGATTCAGACATGCCTTCATGTTGTGAGATTAAACACGAGCCTGTATTCAAGCCACTGCAAGGAAATTGGGCCTCCTTTCAATTTAGGGCTTCTCACTGTATATTCCCCTTGAGGCAGCAAACTCGGGGTCCCTCCCACATAGCTATTGCTGAGAGAAGCCTCCTCCTGAGGTGCTTCTGGAAAGTTGGCATAGGTCTTGAGCCTAAGCCAGGGAATCAGCTCTCATCTCGAGACGATTTGGGGTACACGGAGCATTCCTCGAGTTGCTGTGCTGAAGTTAGTGTTCCTCTAGACTTGGGACAGTGTTCTCGGGGCATCTCTGGAGTTGCCTGAAGGAAGTCGAGCCACCGGTCGTGTTGAATGGGGAACGGGGAATGGCTCTGGAGTCAATGCAGGGGAATCGGGCCTCATCTCGAGTTGATTTGGGGCACATGCAGCTGCTTTGCGTTGCTGGGGTGGCCTCAGGGTCCATCTAGACTGGTGACAGTGTTCTTGGGGACTGTCTCGAGATCGATTAAGCAAGTCGAAGCTCCTGACTTGTTTGAATGGGATCACGGAATAGCTCTGCATGCACTGCAGGGGAATGGGGCCTCATCTCGCCTCTAGGGGGAAGTCTCATGGTTTTTCTCGAGTTGCGGCAGGGACCTGGGGTATGTTCTCGACTTACGGCGGGGAAGGCCCTTCAAAACACGAGTTTCTTCAGTGACGTCAGGACTCCTGTCTAGTAACGAGGGACACCTCAGGAATCTCTTCGAGGTTTGGCAGGGCAAAACGGACGCTTCTCGAGGTGAGGCAGGGCACCCAAGGACCCTTTCCAGTAGCCACGGGGATTTTGGGATTCCTATCAGTATTCAAGAAGAGTCAGGCATCGTCACCTTTTGAAGCAATGAACTCTGCGTGCCTCTCGAGGTGTCAGCGGGATGTGAGGCATTCCGTCAAAATGAGGCAGGGACCTAGGGCTTTCTCTAAGGTCTCCACAGTGGATTCCGACATCCCTTCATGTTGTGAGATGAAAGACGAGCCTGTATTCAAGCCACTGCAAGGAAATCCGGCCTCCTTTCAAGTTAGGGCTTCTCGCTGTATATTCCCCTTGAGGCAGCAAACTCGGGGTCCCTCCCACATACCTATTGCTGAGAGAAGCCTCCTCCTGAGGTGCTTCTGGAAAGTTGGCATACGTATTGACCCTAAGCCAGGGAATCAGCTCTCATCTCGAGACGATTTGGGGTACACGGAGCATTCCTCGAGTTGCTGTGCTGAAGTTGGTGTTCCTCTAGACTTCGGACAGTGTTCTCGGGGAATCTCTGGAGTTGCCTGAAGGAAGTCGAGCCACCGGTCGTGTTGAATGGGGATCGGGGAATGGCTCTGGAGTCAATGCAGGGGAATCAGTCCTCATCTCGAGTTGATTTGGGGCACATGGAGCTGCTTTGCGTTGCTGGGGTGACCTCAGTGTCCGTCTAGACTGGTGACATTGTTCTTGGGGACTGTCTCGAGATCCATTAAGCAAGTCGAATCTCCTGACTTGTTTGAATGGGATCACGGAATAGCTCTGCATGCACTGCAGGGGAATGGGGCCTCATCTCGCCTCTAGGGGGAAGTCTCATGGTTTTTCTCGAGTTGCGGCGGGGACCTGGGGTATGTTCTCGACTTACGGCGGGATGGCCCTTCAAAACACGAGTTTCTTCAGTGACGTCAGGACTCCTGTCTAGTAACGAGGGACACCTCAGGAATCTCTTCCAAGCTTGGCAGGGCAAAAGGGACGCTTCTCGAGGTGAGGCAGGGCACCCAAGGACCCTTTCCAGTAGCCACAGGGATTTTGGGATTCCTATCAGTATTCAAGAAGAGTCAGGCATTGTCACCTTTTGAAGCAATGAACTCTGCGTGCCTCTCGAGGTGTCAGCGGGATGTGAGGCATTCCGTCAAAATGAGGCATGGACCTAGGGCTTTCTCTAAGGTCTCCACAGGGCATTCAGTCATCCCTTCATGTTTTGAGATCAAAGAAGAGCCTGTATTCAAGCCACTGCAGGGAAATCCGGCCTCCTTTCAAGTTAGGGCTTCTCGCTGTATATTCCCCTTGAGGCAGCAAACTCGGGGTCCCTCCCACATACCTATTGCTGAGAGAAGCCTCCTCCTGAGGTGCTTCTGGAAAGTTGGCATACGTCTTGAGCCTAAGCCAGGGAATCAGCTCTCATCTCGAGACGATTTGGGGTACACGGAGCATTCCTCGAGTTGCTGTGCTGAAGTTGGTGTTCCTCTAGACTTGGGACAGTGTTCTCGGGGCATCTCTGGAGTTACCTGAAGGAAGTCGAGCCACCGGTCTTGTTGAATGGGGAACGGGGAATGGCTCTGGAGTCAATGCAGTGGAATCGGGCCTCATCTCGAGTTGATTTGTGGCACATGGAGCTGCTTTGTGTTGCTGGGGTGACCTCAGGGTCCGTCTAGACTGGTGACAGTGATCTTGGGGACTGTCTCGAGATCGATTAAGCAAGTCGAAGCTCCTGACTTGTTTGAATTGGATCACGGAATAGCTCTGCATGCACTGCAGGGGAATGGGGCCTCATCTCGCCTCTAGGGGGAAGTCTCATGGTTTTTCTCGAGTTGCGGCGGGGACCTGGGGTATGTTCTCGACTTACGGCGGGGATGGCCCTTCAAAACACGAGTTTCTTCAGTGACGTCAGGACTCCTGTCTAGTAACGAGGGACACCTCAGGAATCTCTTCGAGGCTTGGCTGGGCAAAAGTGATGCTTCTCGAGGTCAGGCAGGGCACCCAAGGATCCTTTCCAGTAGCCACAGGGATTTTGGGATTCCTATCAGTATTCAAGAGGAGTCAGGCATCGTCACCTTTTGAAGCAATGAACTCCGCGTGCCTCTCGAGGTGTCAGCGGGATGTGAGGCATTCCGTCAAAATGAGGCTGGGACCTAGGGCTTTCTCTCAGGTCTCCACAGGGGATTCAGACATCCCTTCATGTTGTGAGATGAAAGACGAGCCTGTATTCAAGCCACTGCAAGGAAATCCGGCCACCTTTCAAGTTAGGGCTTCTCGATGTATATTCCCCTTGAGGCAGCAAACTCGGGGTCCCTCCAACATACATATTGCTGAGAGAAGCCTCCTCCTGAGGTGCTTCTGGAATGTAGGCATACGTCTTGAGCTTAAGCCAGGAAATCGGCTCTCATCTCGAGACGATTTGGGGTACACGGAGCATTCCTCGAGTTGCTGTGCTGAAGTTGGTGTTCCTCTAGACTTGGGACAGTGTTCTCGGGGCATCTCTGGAGTTGCCTGAAGGAAGTGGAGCCACCGGTCGTGTTGAATGGGGAACGGGTAATAGCTCTGGGGTCAATGCAGGGGAATCGGGCCTCATCTCGAGTTGATTTGGGGCACATGGAGCTGCTTTGCGTTGCTGGGGTGACCTCAGGGTCCGTCTAGACTGGTGACAGTGTTCTTGGGGACTGTCTCGAGATCGATTAAGCAAGTCGAAGCTCCTGACTTGTTTGAATGGGATCACGGAATAGGTCTGCATGCAGTGCAGGGGAATGGGGCCTTATCTCGCCTCTAAGGGGAAGTCTCATGGTTTTTCTCGAGTTGCGGCGGGGGCCTGGGGTATGTTCTCGACTTACGGCGGGGATGGCCCTTCAAAACACGAGTTTCTTCAGTGACGTCAGGACTCCTGTCTAGTAACGAGGGACACCTCAGGAATCTCTTCGAGGCTTGGCAGGGCAAAAGGGACGCTTCTCGAGGTGAGGCAGGGCACCCAAGGACCCTTTCAGTAGCCACAGGGATTTTGGGATTCCTATCAGTATTCAAGAGGAGTCAGGCATCGTCACCTATTGAAGCAATGAACTCCGCGTGACTCTCGAGTTGTCAGCGGGATGTGAGGCATTCCGTCAAAATGAGGCAGGGACCTACGGCTTTCTCTAAGGTCTCCACAGGGGATTCAGACATCCCTTCATGTTGTGAGATGAAAGACGAGCCTGTATTCAAGCCACTGCAAGGAAATCCGGCCTCCTTTCAAGTTAGGGCTTCTCGCTGTATATTCCCCTTGAGGCAGCACACTCGGGGTCCCTCCCACATACCTATTGCTGAGAGAAGCCTCCTCCTGAGTTGCTTCTGGAAAGTTGGCAAATGCCTTGAGCCTAAGCCAATGTATCAGCTCTCATCTCGAGACGATTTGGGGTGCACGGAGCATTCCTCGAGTTGCTGTGCTGAAGTTTTTGTTCCTCTAGACTTGGGACAGTGTTCTCAGGGCATCTCTGGAGTTGCGTGAAGGAAGTCGAGCCACCGGTCGTGTTGAATGGGGAACGGGGAATGGCTCTGGGGTCAATGCAGGGGAATCGGGCCTCATCTCGAGTTGATTTGGGGCACATGGAGCTGCTTTGCGTTGCTGGGGTGACCTCAGGGTCCGTCTAGACTGGTGACAGTGTTCTTGGGGACTGTCTCGAGATCCATTAAGCAAGTCGAAGCTCCTGACTTGTTTGAATGGGATCACGGAATACCTCTGCATGCACTGCAGGGGAATGGGGCCTCATCTCGCCTCTAGGGGGAAGTCTCATGGTTTTTCTCGAGTTGCGACGGGGACCTGGGGTATGTTCTCGACTTACGGCGGTGATGGCCCTTCAAAACACGAGTTTCTTCAGTGACGTCAGGACTCCTGTCTAGTAACGAGGGACACCTCAGGAATCTCTTCCAGGCTTGGCAGGGCAAAAGGGACGCTTCTCGAGGTGAGGCAGGGCACCCAAGGACCCTTTCCAGTAGCCACAGGGATTTTGGGATTCCTATCAGTATTCAAGAGGAGTCAGGCATCGTCACCTTTTGAAGCAATGAACTCTGCGTGCCTCTCGAGGTGTCAGCGGGATGTGAGGCATTCCGTTAAAATGAGGCATGGACCTAGGGCTTTCTCTAAGGTCTCCAAAGGGCATTCAGTCATCCCTTCATGTTTTGAGATCAAAGAAGAGCTGTATTCAAGCCACTGCAAGGAAATCCGGCCTCCTTTCAAGTTAGGGCTTCTCGCTGTATATTCCCATTGAGGCAGCAAACTCGGGGTCCCTCCCACATACCTATTGCTGAGAGAAGCCTCCTCCTGAGGTGCTTCTGGAAAGTTGGCATACGTCTTGAGCCTAAGCCAGGGAATCAGCTCTCATCTCGAGACGATTTGGGGTACACGGAGCATTCCTCGAGTTGCTGTGCTGAAGTTGGTGTTCCTCTAGACTTGGGACAGTGTTCTCGGGGCATCTCTGGAGTTGAATGAAGGAAGTCGAGCCACCAGTCGTGTTGAATGGGGAACGGGGAATGGCTCTAGAGTCAATGCAGGGGAATCGGGCCTCATCTCGAGTTGATTTGGGGCACATGGAGCTGCTTTGCGTTGCTGGGGTGACCCCAGGGTCCGTCTAGACTGGTGACAGTGTTCTTGGGGACTGTCTCGAGATCCATTAAGCAAGTCGAAGCTCCTGACTTGTTTGAATGGGATCACGGAATAGCTCTGCATGCACTGCAGGGGAATGGGGCCTCATCTCGCCTCTAGGGGGAAGTCTCATGGTTTTTCTCGAGTTGCGGCGGGGACCTGGGGTATGTTCTCGACTTACGGCGGGATGGCCCTTCAAAACACGAGTTTCTTCAGTGACGTCAGGACTCCTGTCTAGTAACGAGGGACACCTCAGGAATCTCTTCGAGGCTTGGCAGGGCAAAAGGGACGCTTCTCGAGGTGAGGCAGGGCACCCAAGGACCCTTTCCTGTAGCCACAGGGATTTTGGGATTCCTATCAGTATTCAAGAGGAGTCAGGCATCGTCATATTTTGAAGAAATGAACTCCGCGTGCCTCTCGAGGTGTCAGCGGGATGTGAGGCATTCCGTCAAAATGAGGCAGGGACCTAGGGCTTTCTCTAAGGTCTCCACAGGGGATTCAGACATGCCTTCATGTTGTGAGATTAAACACGAGCCTGTATTCAAGCCACTGCAAGGAAATCGGGCCTCCTTTCAATTTAGGGCTTCTCGCTGTATATTCCCCTTGAGGCAGCAAACTCGGGGTCCCTCCCACATACCTATTGCTGAGAGAAGCCTCCTCCTGAGTTGCTTCTGGAAAGTTGGCATACGTCTTGAGCCTAAGCCAGGGAATCAGCTCTCATCTCGAGACGATTTGGGGTACACGGAGCATTCCTCGAGTTGCTGTGCTGAAGTTGGTGTTCCGCTAGACTTGGGACAGTGTTCTCGGGGCATCTGTGGAGTTGCCTGAAGGAAGTCGAGCCACCGGTCGTGTTGAATGGGGAACGGGGAATGGCTCTGGAGTCAATGCAGGGGAATCGGGCCTCATCTCGAGTTGATTTGGGGCACATGTAGCTGCTTTGTGTTGCTGGGGTGACCTCAGGGTCCGTCTAGACTGGTGACAGTGCTCTTGGGGACTGTCTCGAGATCGATTAAGCAAGTCGAAGCTCCTGACTTGTTTGAATGGGATCACGGAATAGCTCTGCATGCACTGCAGGGGAATGGGGCCTCATCTCGCCTCTAGGGGGAAGTCTCATGGTTTTTCTCGAGTTGCGGCGGGGACCTGGGGTATGTTCTCGACTTACGGCGGGGATGGCCCTTCAAAACACGAGTTTCTTCAGTGACGTCAGGACTCCTGTCTAGTAACGAGGGACACCTCAGGAATCTCTTCGAGGCTTGGCTGGGCAAAAGTGATGCTTCTCGAGGTCAGGCAGGGCACCCAAGGATCCTTTCCAGTAGCCACAGGGATTTTGGGATTCCTATCAGTATTCAAGAGGAGTCAGGCATCGTCACCTTTTGAAGCAATGAACTCCGCGTGCCTCTCGAGGTGTCAGCGGGATGTGAGGCATTCCGTCAAAATGAGGCTGGGACCTAGGGCTTTCTCTCAGGTCTCCACAGGGGATTCAGACATCCCTTCATGTTGTGAGATGAAAGACGAGCCTGTATTCAAGCCACTGCAAGGAAATCCGGCCACCTTTCAAGTTAGGGCTTCTCGATGTATATTCCCCTTGAGGCAGCAAACTCGGGGTCCCTCCAACATACATATTGCTGAGAGAAGCCTCCTCCTGAGGTGCTTCTGGAATGTAGGCATACGTCTTGAGCCTAAGCCAGGTAATCGGCTCTCATCTCGAGACGATTTGGGGTACACGGAGCATTCCTCGAGTTGCTGTGCTGAAGTTGGTGTTCCTCTAGACTTGGGACAGTGTTCTCGGGGCATCTCTGGAGTTGCCTGAAGGAAGTGGAGCCACCGGTCGTGTTGAATGGGGAACGGGTAATAGCTCTGGGGTCAATGCAGGGGAATCGGGCCTCATCTCGAGTTGATTTGGGGCACATGGAGCTGCTTTGCGTTGCTGGGGTGACCTCAGGGTCCGTCTAGACTGGTGACAGTGTTCTTGGGGACTGTCTCGAGATCGATTAAGCAAGTCGAAGCTCCTGACTTGTTTGAATGGGATCACGGAATAGGTCTGCATGCAGTGCAGGGGAATGGGGCCTTATCTCGCCTCTAAGGGGAAGTCTCATGGTTTTTCTCGAGTTGCGGCGGGGGCCTGGGGTATGTTCTCGACTTACGGCGGGGATGGCCCTTCAAAACACGAGTTTCTTCAGTGACGTCAGGACTCCTGTCTAGTAACGAGGGACACCTCAGGAATCTCTTCGAGGCTTGGCAGGGCAAAACGGACGCTTCTCGAGGTGAGGCAGGGCACCCAAGGACCCTTTCAGTAGCCACAGGGATTTTGGGATTCCTATCAGTATTCAAGAGGAGTCAGGCATCGTCACCTATTGAAGCAATGAACTCCGCGTGCCTCTCGAGTTGTCAGCGGGATGTGAGGCATTCCGTCAAAATGAGGCAGGGACCTACGGCTTTCTCTAAGGTCTCCACAGGGGATTCAGACATCCCTTCATGTTGTGAGATGAAAGACGAGCCTGTATTCAAGCCACTGCAAGGAAATCCGGCCTCCTTTCAAGTTAGGGCTTCTCGCTGTATATTCCCCTTGAGGCAGCACACTCGGGGTCCCTCCCACATACCTATTGCTGAGAGAAGCCTCCTCCTGAGTTGCTTCTGGAAAGTTGGCAAATGCCTTGAGCCTAAGCCAATGTATCAGCTCTCATCTCGAGACGATTTGGGGTGCACGGAGCATTCCTCGAGTTGCTGTGCTGAAGTTTTTGTTCCTCTAGACTTGGGACAGTGTTCTCGGGGCATCTCTGGAGTTGCGTGAAGGAAGTCGAGCCACCGGTCGTGTTGAATGGGGAACGGGGAATGGCTCTGGGGTCAATGCAGGGGAATCGGGCCTCATCTCGAGTTGATTTGGGGCACATGGAGCTGCTTTGCGTTGCTGGGGTGACCTCAGGGTCCGTCTAGACTGGTGACAGTGTTCTTGGGGACTGTCTCGAGATCCATTAAGCAAGTCGAAGCTCCTGACTTGTTTGAATGGGATCACGGAATACCTCTGCATGCACTGCAGGGGAATGGGGCCTCATCTCGCCTCTAGGGGGAAGTCTCATGGTTTTTCTCGAGTTGCGGCGGGGGCTTGGGGTATGTTCTCGACTTACGGCGGTGATGGCCCTTCAAAACACGAGTTTCTTCAGTGACGTCAGGACTCCTGTCTAGTAACGAGGGACACCTCAGGAATCTCTTCCAGGCTTGGCAGGGCAAAAGGGACGCTTCTCGAGGTGAGGCAGGGCACCCAAGGACCCTTTCCAGTAGCCACAGGGATTTTGGGATTCCTATCAGTATTCAAGAGGAGTCAGGCATCGTCACCTTTTGAAGCAATGAACTCTGCGTGCCTCTCGAGGTGTCAGCGGGATGTGAGGCATTCCGTTAAAATGAGGCATGGACCTAGGGCTTTCTCTAAGGTCTCCAAAGGGCATTCAGTCATCCCTTCATGTTTTGAGATCAAAGAAGAGCTGTATTCAAGCCACTGCAAGGAAATCCGGCCTCCTTTCAAGTTAGGGCTTCTCGCTGTATATTCCCATTGAGGCAGCAAACTCGGGGTCCCTCCCACATACCTATTGCTGAGAGAAGCCTCCTCCTGAGGTGCTTCTGGAAAGTTGGCATACGTCTTGAGCCTAAGCCAGGGAATCAGCTCTCATCTCGAGACGATTTGGGGTACACGGAGCATTCCTCGAGTTGCTGTGCTGAAGTTGGTGTTCCTCTAGACTTGGGACAGTGTTCTCAGGGCATCTCTGGAGTTGCCTGAAGGAAGTCGAGCCACCAGTCGTGTTGAATGGGGAACGGGGAATGGCTCTAGAGTCAATGCAGGGGAATCGGGCCTCATCTCGAGTTGATTTGGGGCACATGGAGCTGCTTTGCGTTGCTGGGGTGAACCCAGGGTCCGTCTAGACTGGTGACAGTGTTCTTGGGGACTGTCTCGATATCCATTAAGCAAGTCGAAGCTCCTGACTTGTTTGAATGGGATCACGGAATAGCTCTGCATGCACTGCAGGGGAATGGGGCCTCATCTCGCCTCTAGGGGGAAGTCCCATGGTTTTTCTCGAGTTGCGGCGGGGACCTGGGGTATGTTCTCGACTTACGGCGGGATGGCCCTTCAAAACACGAGTTTCTTCAGTGACGTCAGGACTCCTGTCTAGTAACGAGGGACACCTCAGGAATCTCTTCGAGGCTTGGCAGGGCAAAAGGGACGCTTCTCGAGGTGAGGCAGGGCACCCAAGGACCCTTTCCTGTAGCCACAGGGATTTTGGGATTCCTATCAGTATTCAAGAGGAGTCAGGCATCGTCACCTTTTGAAGCAATGAACTCTGCGTGCCTCTCGAGGTGTCAGCGGGATGTGAGGCATTCCGTCAAAATGAGGCAGGGACCTAGGGCTTTCTCTAAGGTCTCCACAGGGGATTCAGACATGCCTTCATGTTGTGAGATTAAACACGAGCCTGTATTCAAGCCACTGCAAGGAAATCGGGCCTCCTTTCAATTTAGGGCTTCTCGCTGTATATTCCCCTTGAGGCAGCAAACTCGGGGTCCCTCCCACATAGCTATTGCTGAGAGAAGCCTCCTCCTGAGGTGCTTCTGGAAAGTTGGCATACGTCTTGAGCCTAAGCCAGGGAATCAGCTCTCATCTCGAGACGATTTGGGGTACACGGAGCATTCCTCGAGTTGCTGTGCTGAAGTTGGTGTTCCTCTAGACTTGGGACAGTGTTCTCGGGGCATCTGTGGAGTTGCATGAAGGAAGTCGAGCCACCGGTCGTGTTGAATGGGGAACGGGGAATGGCTCTGGAGTCAATGCAGGGGAATCGGGCCTCATCTCGAGTTGATTTGGGGCACATGGAGCTGCTTTGTGTTGCTGGGGTGACCTCAGGGTCCGTCTAGACTCGTGACAGTGCTCTTGGGGACTGTCTCGAGATCGATTAAGCAAGTCGAAGCTCCTGACTTGTTTGAATGGGATCACGGAATAGCTGTGCATGCACTGCAGGGGAATGGGGCCTCATCTCGCCTCTAGGGGGAAGTCTCATGGTTTTTCTCGAGTTGCGGCGGGGACCTGGGGTATGTTCTCGACTTACGGCGGGGATGGCCCTTCAAAACACGAGTTTCTTCAGTGACGTCAGGACTCCTGTCTAGTAACGAGGGACACCTCAGGAATCTCTTCGAGGCTTGGCTGGGCAAAAGTGATGCTTCTCGAGGTCAGGCAGGGCACCCAAGGATCCTTTCCAGTAGCCACAGGGATTTTGGGATTCCTATCAGTATTCAAGAGGAGTCAGGCATCGTCACCTTTTGAAGCAATGAACTCCGCGTGCCTCTCGAGGTGTCAGCGGGATGTGAGGCATTCCGTCAAAATGAGGCTGGGACCTAGGGCTTTCTCTCAGGTCTCCACAGGGGATTCAGACATCCCTTCATGTTGTGAGATGAAAGACGAGCCTGTATTCAAGCCACTGCAAGGAAATCCGGCCACCTTTCAAGTTAGGGCTTCTCGATGTATATTCCCCTTGAGGCAGCAAACTCGGGGTCCCTCCAACATACATATTGCTGAGAGAAGCCTCCTCCTGAGGTGCTTCTGGAATGTAGGCATACGTCTTGAGCCTAAGCCAGGTAATCGGCTCTCATCTCGAGACGATTTGGGGTACACGGAGCATTCCTCGAGTTGCTGTGCTGAAGTTGGTGTTCCTCTAGACTTGGGACAGTGTTCTCGGGGCATCTCTGGAGTTGCCTGAAGGAAGTGGAGCCACCGGTCGTGTTGAATGGGGAACGGGTAATAGCTCTGGGGTCAATGCAGGGGAATCGGGCCTCATCTCGAGTTGATTTGGGGCACATGGAGCTGCTTTTCGTTGCTGGGGTGACCTCAGGGTCCGTCTAGACTGGTGACAGTGTTCTTGGGGACTGTCTCGAGATCGATTAAGCAAGTCGAAGCTCCTGACTTGTTTGAATGGGATCACGGAATAGGTCTGCATGCAGTGCAGGGGAATGGGGCCTTATCTCGCCTCTAAGGGGAAGTCTCATGGTTTTTCCCGAGTTGCGGTGGGGGCCTGGGGTATGTTCTCGACTTACGGCGGGGATGGCCCTTCAAAACACGAGTTTCTTCAGTGACGTCAGGACTCCTGTCTAGTAACGAGGGACACCTCAGGAATCTCTTCGAGGCTTGGCAGGGCAAAAGGGACGCTTCTCGAGGTGAGGCAGGGCACCCAAGGACCCTTTCAGTAGCCACAGGGATTTTGGGATTCCTATCAGTATTCAAGAGGAGTCAGGCATCGTCACCTATTGAAGCAATGAACTCCGCGTGCCTCTCGAGTTGTCAGCGGGATGTGAGGCATTCCGTCAAAATGAGGCAGGGACCTAGGGCTTTCTCTAAGGTCTCCACAGGGGATTCAGACATCCCTTCATGTTGTGAGATGAAAGACGAGCCTGTATTCAAGCCACTGCAAGGAAATCCGGCCTCCTTTCAAGTTAGGGCTTCTCGCTGTATATTCCCCTTGAGGCAGCACACTCGGGGTCCCTCCCACATACCTATTGCTGAGAGAAGCCTCCTCCTGAGTTGCTTCTGGAAAGTTGGCAAATGCCTTGAGCCTAAGCCAATGTATCAGCTCTCATCTCGAGACGATTTGGGGTGCACGGAGCATTCCTCGAGTTGCTGTGCTGAAGTTGGTGTTCCTCTAGACTTGGGACAGTGTTCTCGGGGCATCTCTGGAATTGCGTGAAGGAAGTCGAGCCACCGGTCGTGTTGAATGGGGAACGGGGAATGGCTCTGGGGTCAATGCAGGGGAATCGGGCCTCATCTCGAGTTGATTTGGGGCACATGGAGCTGCTTTGCGTTGCTGGGGTGACCTCAGGGTCCGTCTAGACTGGTGACAGTGTTCTTGGGGACTGTCTCGAGATCCATTAAGCAAGTCGAAGCTCCTGACTTGTTTGAATGGGATCACGGAATACCTCTGCATGCACTGCAGGGGAATGGGGCCTCATCTCGCCTCTAGGGGGAAGTCTCATGGTTTTTCTCGAGTTGCGACGGGGACCTGGGGTATGTTCTCGACTTACGGCGGTGATGGCCCTTCAAAACTCGAGTTTCTTCAGTGACGTCAGGACTCCTGTCTAGTAACGAGGGACACCTCAGGAATCTCTTCGAGGCTTGGCAGGGCAAAAGGGACGCTTCTCGAGGTGAGGCAGGGCACCCAAGGACCCTTTCCAGTAGCCACAGGGATTTTGGGATTCCTATCAGTATTCAAGAGGAGTCAGGCATCGTCACCTTTTGAAGCAATGAACTCTGCGTGCCTCTCGAGGTGTCAGCGGGATGTGAGGCATTCCGTTAAAATGAGGCATGGACCTAGGGCTTTCTCTAAGGTCTCCAAAGGGCATTCAGTCATCCCTTCATGTTTTGAGATTAAACACGAGCCTGTATTCAAGCCACTGCAAGGAAATCGGGCCTCCTTTCAATTTAGGGCTTCTCGCTGTATATTCCCCTTGAGGCGGCAAACTCGGGGTCCCTCCCACATAGCTATTGCTGAGAGAAGCCTCCTCCTGAGGTGCTTCTGGAAAGTTGGCATACGTCTTGAGCCTAAGCCAGGGAATCAGCTCTCATCTCGAGACGATTTGGGTTACACGGAGCATTCCTCGAGTTGCTGTGCTGAAGTTGGTGTTCCTCTAGACTTGGGACAGTGTTCTCGGGGCATCTGTGGAGTTGCCTGAAGGAAGTCGAGCCACCGGTCGTGTTGAATGGGGAACGGGGAATGGCTCTGGAGTCAATGCAGGGGAATCGGGCCTCATCTCGAGTTGATTTGGGGCACATGGAGCTGCTTTGCGTTGCTGGGGTGACCTCAGTGTCCGTCTAGACTGGTGACAGTGTTCTTGGGGACTGTCTCGAGATCGATTAAGCAAGTCGAAGCTCCTGACTTGTTTGAATGGGATCACGGAATAGCTCTGCATGCTCTGCAGGGGAATGGGGCCTCATCTCGCCTCTAGGGGGAAGTCTCATGGTTTTTCTCGAGTTGCGGCGGGGACCTGGGGTATGTTCTCGACTTACGGCGGGGATGGCCCTTCAAAACACGAGTTTCTTCAGTGACGTCAGGACTCCTGTCTAGTAACGAGGGACACCTCAGGAATCTCTTCCAAGCTTGGCAGGGCAAAAGGGACGCTTCTCGAGGTGAGGCACTGCACCCAAGGACCCTTTCCTGTAGCCACAGGGATTTTGGGATTCCTATCAGTATTCAAGAGGAGTCAGGCATCGTCACCTTTTGAAGCAATGAACTCCGCGTGCCTCTCGAGGTGTCAGCGGGATGTGAGGCATTCCGTCAAAATGAGGCAGGGACCTAGGGCTTTCTCTAAGGTCTCCACAGGGGATTCAGACATGCCTTCATGTTGTGAGATTAAACACGAGCCTGTATTAAAGCCACTGCAAGGAAATCGGGCCTCCTTTCAATTTAGGGCTTCTCGCTGTATATTCCCCTTGAGGCAGCAAACTCGGGGTCCCTCCCACATAGCTATTGCTGAGAGAAGCCTCCTCCTGAGGTGCTTCTGGAAAGTTGGCATACGTCTTGAGCCTAAGCCAGGGAATCAGCTCTCATCTCGAGACGATTTGGGGTACACGGAGCATTCCTCGAGTTGCTGTGCTGAAGTTGGTGTTCCTCTAGACTTGGGACAGTGTTCTCGGGGCATCTGTGGAGTTGCCTGAAGGAAGTCGAGCCACCGGTCGTGTTGAATGGGGAACGGGGAATGGCTCTGGAGTCAATGCAGGGGAATCGGGCCTCATCTCGAGTTGATTTGGGGCACATGTAGCTGCTTTGTGTTGCTGGGGTGACCTCAGGGTCCGTCTAGACTGGTGACAGTGCTCTTGGGGACTGTCTCGAGATCGATTAAGCAAGTCGAAGCTCCTGACTTGTTTGAATGGGATCACGGAATAGCTCTGCATGCACTGCAGGGGAATGGGGCCTCATCTCGCCTCTAGGGGGAAGTCTCATGGTTTTTCTCGAGTTGCGGCGGGGACCTGGGGTATGTTCTCGACTTACGGCGGGGATGGCCCTTCAAAACACGAGTTTCTTCAGTGACGTCAGGACTCCTGTCTAGTAACGAGGGACACCTCAGGAATCTGTTCGAGGCTTGGCTGGGCAAAAGTGATGCTTCTCGAGGTCAGGCAGGGCACCCAAGGATCCTTTCCAGTAGCCACAGGGATTTTGGGATTCCTATCAGTATTCAAGAGGAGTCAGGCATCGTCACCTTTTGAAGCAATGAACTCCGCGTGCCTCTCGAGGTGTCAGCGGGATGTGAGGCATTCCGTCAAAATGAGGCTGGGACCTAGGGCTTTCTCTCAGGTCTCCACAGGGGATTCAGACATCCCTTCATGTTGTGAGATGAAAGACGAGCCTGTATTCAAGCCACTGCAAGGAAATCCGGCCACCTTTCAAGTTAGGGCTTCTCGATGTATATTCCCCTTGAGGCAGCAAACTCAGGGTCCCTCCAACATACATATTGCTGAGAGAAGCCTCCTCCTGAGGTGCTTCTGGAATGTAGGCATACGTCTTGAGCCTAAGCCAGGTAATCGGCTCTCATCTCGAGACGATTTGGGGTACACGGAGCATTCCTCGAGTTGCTGTGCTGAAGTTGGTGTTCCTCTAGACTTGGGACAGTGTTCTCGGGGCATCTCTGGAGTTGCCTGAAGGAAGTGGAGCCACCGGTCGTGTTGAATGGGGAACGGGTAATAGCTCTGGGGTCAATGCAGGGGAATCGGGCCTCATCTCGAGTTGATTTGGGGCACATGGAGCTGCTTTGCGTTGCTGGGGTGACCTCAGGGTCCGTCTAGACTGGTGACAGTGTTCTTGGGGACTGTCTCGAGATCGATTAAGCAAGTCGAAGCTCCTGACTTGTTTGAATGGGATCACGGAATAGGTCTGCATGCAGTGCAGGGGAATGGGGCCTTATCTCGCCTCTAAGGGGAAGTCTCTTGGTTTTTCTCGAGTTGCGGCGGGGGCCTGGGGTATGTTCTCGACTTTCGGCGGGGATGGCCCTTCAAAACACGAGTTTCTTCAGTGACGTCAGGACTCCTGTCTAGTAACGAGGGACACCTCAGGAATCTCTTCGAGGCTTGGCAGGGCAAAAGGGACGCTTCTCGAGGTGAGGCAGGGCACCCAAGGACCCTTTCAGTAGCCACAGGGATTTTGGGATTCCTATCAGTATTCAAGAGGAGTCAGGCATCGTCACCTATTGAAGCAATGAACTCCGCGTGCCTCTCGAGTTGTCAGCGGGATGTGAGGCATTCCGTCAAAATGAGGCAGGGACCTAGGGCTTTCTCTAAGGTCTCCACAGGGGATTCAGACATGCCTTCATGTTGTGAGATTAAACACGAGCCTGTATTCAAGCCACTGCAAGGAAATCGGGCCTCCTTTCAATTTAGGGCTTCTCGCTGTATATTCCCCTTGAGGCGGCAAACTCGGGGTCCCTCCCACATAGCTATTGCTGAGAGAAGCCTCCTCCTGAGGTGCTTCTGGAAAGTTGGCATACGTCTTGAGCCTAAGCCAGGGAATCAGCTCTCATCTCGAGACGATTTGGGGTACACGGAGCATTCCTCGAGTTGCTGTGCTGAAGTTGGTGTTCCTCTAGACTTGGGACAGTGTTCTCGGGGCATCTGTGGAGTTGCCTGAAGGAAGTCGAGCCACCGGTCGTGTTGAATGGGGAACGGGGAATGGCTCTGGAGTAAATGCAGGGGAATCGGGCCTCATCTCGAGTTGATTTGGGGCACATGGAGCTGCTTTGCGTTGCTGGGGTGACCTCAGTGTCCGTCTAGACTGGTGACAGTGTTCTTGGGGACTGTCTCGAGATCGATTAAGCAAGTCGAAGCTCCTGACTTGTTTGAATGGGATCACGGAATAGCTCTGCATGCTCTGCAGGGGAATGGGGCCTCATCTCGCCTCTAGGGGGAAGTCTCATGGTTTTTCTCGAGTTGCGGCGGGGACCTGGGGTATGTTCTCGACTTACGGCGGGGATGGCCCTTCAAAACACGAGTTTCTTCAGTGACGTCAGGACTCCTGTCTAGTAACGAGGGACACCTCAGGAATCTCTTCGAGGCTTGGCAGGGCAAAAGGGACGCTTCTCGAGGTGAGGCAGGGCACCCAAGGACCCTTTCCAGTAGCCACAGGGATTTTGGGATTCCTATCAGTATTCAAGAGGAGTCAGGCATCGTCACCTTTTGAAGCAATGAACTCTGCGTGCCGCTCGAGGTGTCAGCGGGATGTGAGGCATTCCGTCAAAATGAGGCATGGACCTACGGCTTTCTCTAAGGTCTCCACAGGGCATTCAGTCATCCCTTTATGTTTTGAGATCAAAGAAGAGCCTGTATTCAAGCCACTGCAAGGAAATCCGGCCTCCTTTCAAGTTAGGGCTTCTCGCTGTATATTCCCCTTGAGGCAGCAAACTCGGGGTCCCTCCCACATACCTATGGCTGAGAGAAGCCTCCTCTTGAGGTGCTTCTGGAAAGTTGGCATACGTCTTGAGCCTAAGCCAGGGAATCAGCTCTCATCTCGAGACGATTTGGGGTACACGGAGCATTCCTCGAGTTGCTGTGCTGAAGTTGGTCTTCCTCTAGACTTGGGACAGTGTTCTCGGGGCATCTCTGGAGTTGCCTGAAGGAAGTCGAGCCACCGGTCGTGTTGAATGGGGAACGGGGAATGGCTCTGGAGTCAATGCAGGGGAATCGGGCCTCATCTCGAGTTGATTTGGGGCACATGGAGCTGCTTTGCGTTGCTGGGGTGGCCTCAGGGTCCGTCTAGACTGGTGACAGTGTTCTTGGGGACTGTCTCGAGATCCATTAAGCAAGTCGAAGCTCCTGACTTGTTTGAATGGGATCACGGAATAGCTCTGCATGCACTGCAGGGGAATGGGGCCTCATCTCGCCTCTAGGGGGAAGTCTCATGGTTTTTCTCGAGTTGCGGCAGGGACCTGGGGTATGTTCTCGACTTACGGCGGGGAAGGCCCTTCAAAACACGAGTTTCTTCAGTGACGTCAGGACTCCTGTCTAGTAACGAGGGACACCTCAGGAATCTCTTCGAGGCTTGGCAGGGCAAAACGGATGCTTCTCGAGGTGAGGCAGGGCACCCAAGGACCCTTTCCAGTAGCCACGGGGATTTTGGGATTCCTATCAGTATTCAAGAAGAGTCAGGCATCGTCACCTTTTGAAGCAATGAACTCTGCGTGCCTCTCGAGGTGTCAACGGGATGTGAGGCATTCCGTCAAAATGAGGCAGGGACCCAGGGCTTTCTCTAAGGTCTCCACAGTGGATTCCGTCATCCCTTCATGTTGTGAGATGAAAGACGAGCCTGTATTCAAGCCACTGCAAGGAAATCCGGCCTCCTTTCAAGTTAGGGCTTCTCGCTGTATATTCCCCTTGAGGCAGCAAACTCGGGGTCCCTCCCGCATACCTATTGCTGAGAGAAGCCTCCTCCTGAGGTGCTTCTGGAAAGTTGGCATACGTATTGACCCTAAGCCAGGGAATCAGCTCTCATCTCGAGACGATTTGGGGTACACGGAGCATTCCTCGAGTTGCTGTGCCGAAGTTGGTGTTCCTCTAGACTTGGGACAGTTTTCTCGGGGAATCTCTGGAGTTGCCTGAAGGAAGTCGAGCCACCGGTCGTGTTGAATGGGGATCGGGGAATGGCTCTGGAGTCAATGCAGGGGAATCGGGCCTCATCTCGAGTTGATTTGGGGCACATGGAGCTGCTTTGCGTTGCTGGGGTGACCTCAGTGTCCGTCTAGACTGGTGACAGTGTTCTTGGGGACTGTCTCGAGATCCATTAAGCAAGTCGAATCTCCTGACTTGTTTGAATGGGATCACGGAATAGCTCTGCATGCACTGCAGGGGAATGGGGCCTCATCTCGCCTCTAGGGGGAAGTCTCATGGTTTTTCTCGAGTTGCGGCGGGGACCTGGGGTATGTTCTCGACTTACGGCGTGGATGGCCCTTCAAAACACGAGTTTCTTCAGTGACGTCAGGACTCCTGTCTAGTAATGAGGGACACCTCAGGAATCTCTTCCAAGCTTGGCAGGGCAAAAGGGACGCTTCTCGAGGTGAGGCAGGGCACCCAAGGACCCTTTCCAGTAGCCACAGGGATTTTGGGATTCCTATCAGTATTCAAGAGGAGTCAGGCATCGTCACCTTTTGAAGCAATGAACTCTGCGTGCCTCTCGAGGTGTCAGCGGGATGTGAGGCATTCCGTCAAAATGAGGCATGGACCTAGGGCTTTCTCTAAGGTCTCCACAGGGCATTCAGTCATCCCTTCATGTTTTGAGATCAAAGAAGATCCTGTATTCAAGCCACTGCAGGGAAATCCGGCCTCCTTTCAAGTTAGGGCTTCTCGCTGTATATTCCCCTTGAGGCACCAAACTCGGGGTCCCTCCCACATACCTATTGCTGAGAGAAGCCTCCTCCTGAGGTGCTTCTGGAAAGTTGGCATATGTCTTGAGCCTAAGCCAGGGAATCACCTCTCATCTCGAGACGATTTGGGGTACACGGAGCATTCCTCGATTTGCTGTGCTGAAGTTGGTGTTCCTCTAGACTTGGGACAGTGTTCTCGGGGCATCTCTGGAGTTACCTGAAGGAAGTCGAGCCACCGGTCATGTTGAATGCGGAACGGGGAATGGCTCTGGAGTCAATGCAGGGGAATCGGGCCTCATCTCGAGTTGATTTGGGTCACATGGAGCTGCTTTGCGTTGCTGGGGTGAACTCAGGGTCTGTCTAGACTGGTGACAGTGTTCTTGGGGACTGTCTCGAGATCCATTAAGCAAGTCGAAGCTCCTGACTTGTTTGAATGGGATCACGGAATAGCTCTCCATGCACTGCAGGGGAATGGGGCCTCATCTCGCCTCTAGGGGGAAGTCTCATGGTTTTACTCGAGTTGCGGCGGGGACCTGGCGTATGTTCTCGACTTACGGCGGGATGGCCCTTCAAAACACGAGTTTCTTCAGTGACGTCAGGACTCCTGTCTAGTAACGAGGGACACCTCAGGAATCTCTTCCAAGCTTGGCAGGGCAAAAGGGACGCTTCTCGAGGTGAGGCAGTGCACCCAAGGACCCTTTCCTGTAGCCACAGGGATTTTGGGATTCCTATCAGTATTCAAGAGGAGTCAGGCATCGTCACCTTTTGAAGCAATGAACTCCGCGTGCCTCTCGAGGTGTCAGCGGGATGTGAGGCATTCCGTCAAAATGAGGCAGGGACCTAGGGCTTTCTCTAAGGTCTCCACAGGGGATTCAGACATGCCTTCATGTTGTGAGATTAAACACGAGCCTGTATTCAAGCCACTGCAAGGAAATTGGGCCTCCTTTCAATTTAGGGCTTCTCGCTGTATATTCCCCTTGAGGCAGCAAACTCGGGGTCCCTCCCACATAGCTATTGCTGAGAGAAGCCTCCTCCTGAGGTGCTTCTGGAAAGTTGGCATACGTCTTGAGCCTAAGCCAGGGAATCAGCTCTCATCTCGAGACGATTTGGGGTACACGGAGCATTCCTCGAGTTGCTGTGCTGAAGTTAGTGTTCCTCTAGACTTGGGACAGTGTTCTCGGGGCATCTCTGGAGTTGCCTGAAGGAAGTCGAGCCTCCGGTCGTGTTGAATGGGGAACGGGGAATGGCTCTGGAGTCAATGCAGGGGAATCGGGCCTCATCTCGAGTTGATTTGGGGCACATGCAGCTGCTTTGCGTTGCTGGGGTGGCCTCAGGGTCCATCTAGACTGGTGACAGTGTTCTTGGGGACTGTCTCGAGATCGATTAAGCAAGTCGAAGCTCCTGACTTGTTTGAATGGGATCACGGAATAGCTCTGCATGCACTGCTGGGGAATGGGGCCTCATCTCGCCTCTAGGGGGAAGTCTCTTGGTTTTTCTCGAGTTGCGGCAGGGACCTGAGGTATGTTCTCGACTTACGGCGGGGAAGGCCCTTCAAAACACGAGTTTCTTCAGTGACGTCAGGACTCCTGTCTAGTAACGAGGGACACCTCAGGAATCTCTTCGAGGTTTGGCAGGGCAAAACGGACGGTTCTCGAGGTGAGGCAGGGCACCCAAGGACCCTTTCCAGTAGCCACGGGGATTTTGGGATTCCTATCAGTATTCAAGAAGAGTCAGGCATCGTCACCTTTTGAAGCAATGAACTCTGCGTGCCTCTCGAGGTGTCAGCGGGATGTGAGGCATTCCGTCAAAATGAGGCAGGGACCTAGGGCTTTCTCTCAGGTCTCCACAGTGGATTCCGTCATCCCTTCATGTTGTGAGATGAAAGACGAGCCTGTATTCAAGCCACTGCAAGGAAATCCGGCCTCCTTTCAAGTTAGGGCTTCTCGCTGTATATTCCCCTTGAGGCAGCAAACTCGGGGTCCCTCCCACATACCTATTGCTGAGAGAAGCCTCCTCCTGAGGTGCTTCTGGAAAGTTGGCATACGTCTTGAGCCTAAGCCAGGGAATCAGCTCTCATCTCGAGACGATTTGGGGTACACGGAGCATTCCTCGATTTGCTGTGCTGAAGTTGGTGTTCCTCTAGACTTGAGACAGTGTTCTCGGGGCATCTCTGGAGTTACCTGAAGGAAGTCGAGCCACCGGTCATGTTGAATGCGGAGCGGGGAATGGCTCTGGAGTCAATGCAGGGGAATCGGGCCTCATCTCGAGTTGATTTGGGTCACATGGAGCAGCTTTGCGTTGCTGGGGTGACCTCAGGGTCTGTCTAGACTGGTGACAGGGTTCTTGGGGACTGTCTCGAGATCCATTAAGCAAGTCGAAGCTCCTGACTTGTTTGAATGGGATCACGGAATAGCTCTGCATGCACTGCAGGGGAATGGGGCCTCATCTCGCCTCTAGGGGGAAGTCTCATGGTTTTACTCGAGTTGCGGCGGGGACCTGGGGTATGTTCTCGACTTACGGCGGGATGGCCCTTCAAAACACGAGTTTCTTCAGTGACGTCAGGACTCCTGTCTAGTAACGAGGGACACCTCAGGAATCTCTTCCAAGCTTGGCAGGGCAAAAGGGACGCTTCTCGAGGTGAGGCAGTGCACCCAAGGACCCTTTCCTGTAGCCACAGGGATTTTGGGATTCCTATCAGTATTCAAGAGGAGTCAGGCATCGTCACCTTTTGAAGCAATTAACTCCGCGTGCCTCTCGAGGTGTCAGCGGGATGTGAGGCATTCCGTCAAAATGAGGCAGGGACCTAGGGCTTTCTCTAAGGTCTCCACAGGGGATTCAGACATGCCTTCATGTTGTGAGATTAAACACGAGCCTGTATTCAAGCCACTGCAAGGAAATTGGGCCTCCTTTCAATTTAGGGCTTCTCGCTGTATATTCCCCTTGAGGCAGCAAACTCGGGGTCCCTCCCACATAGCTATTGCTGAGAGAGCCTCCTCCTGATGTGCTTCTGGAAAGTTGGCATACGTCTTGAGCCTAAGCCAGGGAATCAGCTCTCATCTCGAGACGATTTGGGGTACACGGAGCATTCCTCGAGTTGCTGTGCTGAAGTTAGTGTTCCTCTAGACTTGGGACAGTGTTCTCGGGGCATCTCTGGAGTTGCCTGAAGGAAGTCGAGCCACCGGTCGTGTTGAATGGGGAAAGGGGAATGGCTCTGGAGTCAATGCAGGGGAATCGGGCCTCATCTCGAGTTGATTTGGGGCACATGCAGCTGCTTTGCGTTGCTGGGGTGGCCTCAGGGTCCGTCTAGACTGGTGACAGTGTTCTTGGGGACTGTCTCGAGATCGATTAAGCAAGTCGAAGCTCCTGACTTGTTTGAATGGGATCACGGAATAGCTCTGCATGCACTGCAGGGGAATGGGGCCTCATCTCGCCTCTAGGGGGAAGTCTCATGGTTTTTCTCGAGTTGCGGCAGGGACCTGGGGTATGTTCTCGACTTACGGCGGGGAAGGCCCTTCAAAACACCAGTTTCTTCAGTGACGTCAGGACTCCTGTCTAGTAACGAGGGACACCTCAAGAATCTCTTCGAGGCTTGGCAGGGCAAAACGGACGCTTCTCGAGGTGAGGCAGGGCACCCAAGGACCCTTTCCAGTAGCCACGGGGATTTTGGGATTCCTATCAGTATTCAAGAAGAGTCAGGCATCGTCACCTTTTGAAGCAATGAACTCTGCGTGAATCTCGAGGTGTCAACATGATGTGAGGCATTCCGTCAAAATGAGGCAGGGACCTACGGCTTTCTCTAAGGTCTCCACAGTGGATTCCGACATCCCTTCATGTTGTGAGATGAAAGACGAGCCTGTATTCAAGCCAGTGCAAGGAAATCCGGCCTCCTTTCAAGTTAGGGCTTCTCGCTGTATATTACCCATGAGGCAGCAAACTCGGGGTCCCTCCCACATACCTATTGCTGAGAGAAGCCTCCTCCTGAGGTGCTTCTGGAAAGTTGGCATACGTATTGACCCTAAGCCAGGGAATCAGCTCTCATCTCGAGACGATTTGGGGTACACGGAGCATTCCTCGAGTTGCTGTGCTGAAGTTGGTGTTCCTCTAGACTTGGGACAGTGTTCTCGGGGAATCTCTGGAGTTGCCTGAAGGAAGTCGAGCCACCGGTCGTGTTGAATGGGGATCGGGGAATGGCTCTGGAGTCAATGCAGGGGAATCGGGCCTCATCTCGAGGTGATTTGGGGCACATGGAGCTGCTTTGCGTTGCTGGGGTGACCTCAGCATCCGTCTAGACTGGTGACAGTGTTCTTGGGGACTGTCTCGAGATCCATTAAGCAAGTCGAATCTCCTGACTTGTTTGAATGGGATCACGGAATAGCTCTGCATGCACTGCAGGGGAATGGGGCCTCATCTCGCCTCTAGGGGGAAGTCTCATGTTTTTTCTCGAGTTGCGGCGGGGACCTGGGGTATGTTCTCGACTTATGGCGGGGATGGCCCTTCAAAACACGAGTTTCTTCAGTGACGTCAGGACTCCTGTCTAGTAATGAGGGACACCTCAGGAATCTCTTCCAAGCTTGGCAGGGCAAAAGGGACGCTTCTCGAGGTGAGGCAGGGCACCCAAGGACCCTTTCCAGTAGCCACAGGGATTTTGGGATTCCTATCAGTATTCAAGAGGAGTCAGGCATCGTCACCTTTTGAAGCAATGAACTCTGCGTGCCTCTCGAGGTGTCAGCGGGATGTGAGGCATTCCGTCAAAATGAGGCATGGACCTAGGGCTTTCTCTAAGGTCTCCACAGGGCATTCAGTCATCCCTTCATGTTTTGAGATCAAAGAAGAGCCTGTATTCAAGCCACTGCAGGGAAATCCGGCCTCCTTTCAAGTTAGGGCTTCTCGCTGTATATTCCCCTTGAGGCAGCAAACTCGGGGTCCCTCCCACATACCTATTGCTGAGAGAAGCCTCCTCCTGAGGTGCTTCTGGAAAGTTGGCATACGTCTTGAGCCTAAGCCAGGGAATCAGCTCTCATCTCGAGACGATTTGGGGTACACGGAGCATTCCTCGAGTTGCTGTGCTGAAGTTGGTGTTCCTCTAGACTTGGGACAGTGTTCTCGGGGCATCTCTGGAGTTACCTGAAGGAAGTCGAGCCACCGGTCGTGTTGAATGGGGAACGGGGAATGGCTCTGGAGTCAATGCAGGGGAATCGGGCCTCATCTCGAGTTGATTTTGGGCACATGGAGCTGCTTTGCGTTGCTGGGGTGACCTCAGCGTCCGTCTAGACTGGTGACAGTGTTCTTGGGGACTGTCTCGAGATCGATTAAGCAAGTCGAAGCTCCTGACTTGTTTGAATGGGATCACGGAATAGCTGTGCATGCACTGCAGGGGAATGGGGCCTCATCTCGCCTCTAGGGGGAAGTCTCATGGTTTTTCTCGAGTTGCGGCGGGGACTTGGGGTATGTTCTCGACTTACGGCGGGATGGCCCTTCAAAACACGAGTTTCTTCAGTGACGTCAGGACTCCTGTTTAGTAACGAGGGACACCTCAGGAATCTCTTCGAGGCTTGGCAGGGCAAAAGGGACGCTTCTCGAGGTGAGGCAGGGCACCCAAGGACCCTTTCCTGTAGCCACAGGGATTTTGGGATTCCTATCAGTATTCAAGAGGATTCAGGCATCGTCACCTTTTGAAGCAATGAACTCCACGTGCCTCTCGAGGTGTCAGCTGGATGTGAGGCATTCCGTCAAAATGAGGCAGGGACCTAGGGCTTTCTCTAAGGTCTCCACAGGGGATTCAGTCATGCCTTCATGTTGTGAGATTAAACACGAGCCTTTATTCAAGCCACTGCAAGGAAATCGGGCCTCCTTTCAATTTTGGGATTCTCGCTCTATATTCCCCTTGAGGCAGAAAACTCGGGGTCCCTCCCACATAGCTATTGCTGAGAGAAGCCTCCTCCTGAGGTTCTTCTGGAAAGTTGGCATACGTCTTGAGCCTAACCAAGGAATCAGCACTCATCTCGAGACGATTTGGGGTACACGGAGCATTCCTCGAGTTGCTGTGCTGAAGTTGGTGTTCCTCTAGACTTGGGACAGTGTTCTCGGGGCATCTCTGGAGTTGCCTGAAGGAAGTGGAGCCACCGGTCGTGTTGAATGGGGAACGGGTAATAGCTCTGGGGTCAATGCAGGGGAATCGGGCCTCATCTCGAGTTGATTTGGGGCACATGGAGCTGCTTTGCGTTGCTGGGGTGACCTCAGGGTCCGTCTAGACTGGTGACAGTGTTCTTGGGGACTGTCTCGAGATCGATTAAGCAAGTCGAAGCTCCTGACTTGTTTGAATGGGATCACGGAATAGGTCTGCATGCAGTGCAGGGGAATGGGGCCTTATCTCGCCTCTAAGGGGAAGTCTCATGGTTTTTCTCGAGTTGCGGCGGGGGCCTGGGGTATGTTCTCGACTTACGGCGGGGATGGCCCTTCAAAACACGAGTTTCTTCAGTGACGTCAGGACTCCTGTCTAGTAACGAGGGACACCTCAGGAATCTCTTCGAGGCTTGGCAGGGCAAAAGGGACGCTTCTCGAGGTGAGGCAGGGCACCCAAGGACCCTTTCCTGTAGCCACAGGGATTTTGGGATTCCTATCAGTATTCAAGAGGAGTCAGGCATCGTCACATTTTGAAGAAATGAACTCCGCGTGCCTCTCGAGGTGTCAGCGGGATGTGAGGCATTCCGTCAAAATGAGGCAGGGACCTAGGGCTTTCTCTAAGGTCTCCACAGGGGATTCAGACATGCCTTCATGTTGTGAGATTAAACACGAGCCTGTATTCAAGCCACTGCAAGGAAATCGGGCCTCCTTTCAATTTAGGGCTTCTCGCTGTATATTCCCCTTGAGGCAGCAAACTCGGGGTCCCTCCCACATAGCTATTGCTGAGAGAAGCCTCCTCCTGAGGTGCTTCTGGAAAGTTGGCATACGTCTTGAGCCTAAGCCAGGGAATCAGCTCTCATCTCGAGACGATTTGGGGTACACGGAGCATTCCTCGAGTTGCTGTGCTGAAGTTGGTGTTCCTCTAGACTTGGGACAGTGTTCTCGGGGCATCTGTGGAGTTGCCTGAAGGAAGTCGAGCCACCGGTCGTGTTGAATGGGGAACGGGGAATGGCTCTGGAGTCAATGCAGGGGAATCGGGCCTCATCTCGAGTTGATTTGGGGCACATGTAGCTGCTTTGTGTTGCTGGGGTGACCTCAGGGTCCGTCTAGACTGGTGACAGTGCTCTTGGGGACTGTCTCGAGATCGATTAAGCAAGTCGAAGCTCCTGACTTGTTTGAATGGGATCACGGAATAGCTCTGCATGCACTGCAGGGGAATGGGGCCTCATCTCGCCTCTAGGGGGAAGTCTCATGGTTTTTCTCGAGTTGCGGCGGGGACCTGGGGTATGTTCTCGACTTACGGCGGGGATGGCCCTTCAAAACACGAGTTTCTTCAGTGACGTCAGGACTCCTGTCTAGTAACGAGGGACTCCTCAGGAATCTCATCGAGGCTTGGCTGGGCAAAAGTGATGCTTCTCGAGGTCAGGCAGGGCACCCAAGGATCCTTTCCAGTAGCCACAGGGATTTTGGGATTCCTATCAGTATTCAAGAGGAGTCAGGCATCGTCACCTTTTGAAGCAATGAACTCCGCGTGCCTCTCGAGGTGTCAGCGGGATGTGAGGCATTCCGTCAAAATGAGGCTGGGACCTAGGGCTTTCTCTCAGGTCTCCACAGGGGATTCAGACATCCCTTCATGTTGTGAGATGAAAGACGAGCCTGTATTCAAGCCACTGCAAGGAAATCCGGCCACCTTTCAAGTTAGGGCTTCTCGATGTATATTCCCCTTGAGGCAGCAAACTCGGGGTCCCTCCAACATACATATTGCTGAGAGAAGCCTCCTCCTGAGGTGCTTCTGGAATGTAGGCATACGTCTTGAGCCTAAGCCAGGTAATCGGCTCTCATCTCGAGACGATTTGGGGTACACGGAGCATTCCTCGAGTTGCTGTGCTGAAGTTGGTGTTCCTCTAGACTTGGGACAGTGTTCTCGGGGCATCTCTGGAGTTGCCTGAAGGAAGTGGAGCCACCGGTCGTGTTGAATGGGGAACGGGTAATAGCTCTGGGGTCAATGCAGGGGAATCGGGCCTCATCTCGAGTTGATTTGGGGCACATGGAGCTGCTTTTCGTTGCTGGGGTGACCTCAGGGTCCGTCTAGACTGGTGACAGTGTTCTTGGGGACTGTCTCGAGATCGATTAAGCAAGTCGAAGCTCCAGACTTGTTTGAATGGGATCACGGAATAGGTCTGCATGCAGTGCAGGGGAATGGGGCCTTATCTCGCCTCTAAGGGGAAGTCTCATGGTTTTTCTCGAGTTGCGGCGGGGGCCTGGGGTATGTTCTCGACTTACGGCGGGGATGGCCCTTCAAAACACGAGTTTCTTCAGTGACGTCAGGACTCCTGTCTAGTAATGAGGGACACCTCAGGAATCTCTTCCAAGCTTGGCAGGGCAAAAGGGACGCTTCTCGAGGTGAGGCAGGGCACCCAAGGACCCTTTCCAGTAGCCACAGGGATTTTGGGATTCCTATCAGTATTCAAGAGGAGTCAGGCATCGTCACCTTTTGAAGCAATGAACTCTGCGTGCCTCTCGAGGTGTCAGCGGGATGTGAGGCATTCCGTCAAAATGAGGCATGGACCTAGGGCTTTCTCTAAGGTCTCCACAGGGCATTCAGTCATCCCTTCATGTTTTGAGATCAAAGAAGAGCCTGTATTCAAGCCACTGCAGGGAAATCCGGCCTCCTTTCAAGTTAGGGCTTCTCGCTGTATATTCCCCTTGAGGCAGCAAACTCGGGGTCCCTCCCACATACCTATTGCTGAGAGAAGCCTCCTCCTGAGGTGCTTCTGGAAAGTTGGCATACGTCTTGAGCCTAAGCCAGGGAATCAGCTCTCATCTCGAGACGATTTGGGGTACACGGAGCATTCCTCGAGTTGCTGTGCTGAAGTTGGTGTTCCTCTAGACTTGGGACAGTGTTCTCGGGGCATCTCTGGAGTTACCTGAAGGAAGTCGAGCCACCGGTCGTGTTGAATGGGGAACGGGGAATGGCTCTGGAGTCAATGCAGGGGAATCGGGCCTCATCTCGAGTTGATTTTGGGCACATGGAGCTGCTTTGCGTTGCTGGGGTGACCTCAGCGTCGGTCTAGACTGGTGACAGTGTTCTTGGGGACTGTCTCGAGATCGATTAAGCAAGTCGAAGCTCCTGACTTGTTTGAATGGGATCACGGAATAGCTGTGCATGCACTGCAGGGGAATGGGGCCTCATCTCGCCTCTAGGGGGAAGTCTCATGGTTTTTCTCGAGTTGCGGCGGGGACTTGGGGTATGTTCTCGACTTACGGCGGGATGGCCCTTCAAAACACGAGTTTCTTCAGTGACGTCAGGACTCCTGTTTAGTAACGAGGGACACCTCAGGAATCTCTTCGAGGCTTGGCAGGGCAAAAGGGACGCTTCTCGAGGTGAGGCAGGGCACCCAAGGACCCTTTCCTGTAGCCACAGGGATTTTGGGATTCCTATCAGTATTCAAGAGGATTCAGGCATCGTCACCTTTTGAAGCAATGAACTCCACGTGCCTCTCGAGGTGTCAGCTGGATGTGAGGCATTCCGTCAAAATGAGGCAGGGACCTAGGGCTTTCTCTAAGGTCTCCACAGGGGATTCAGTCATGCCTTCATGTTGTGAGATTAAACACGAGCCTTTATTCAAGCCACTGCAAGGAAATCGGGCCTCCTTTCAATTTTGGGATTCTCGCTCTATATTCCCCTTGAGGCAGAAAACTCGGGGTCCCTCCCACATAGCTATTGCTGAGAGAAGCCTCCTCCTGAGGTTCTTCTGGAAAGTTGGCATACGTCTTGAGCCTAACCAAGGAATCAGCACTCATCTCGAGACGATTTGGGGTACACGGAGCATTCCTCGAGTTGCTGTGCTGAAGTTGGTGTTCCTCTAGACTTGGGACAGTGTTCTCGGGGCATCTCTGGAGTTGCCTGAAGGAAGTCGAGCCACCGGTCGTGTTGAATGGGGAACGGGGAATGGCTCTGGAGTCAATGCAGGGGAATCGGGCCTCATCTCGAGTTGATTTGGGGCACATGTAGCTGCTTTGTGTTGCTGGGGTGACCTCAGGGTCCGTCTAGACTGGTGACAGTGCTCTTGGGGACTGTCTCGAGATCGATTAAGCAAGTCGAAGCTCCTGACTTGTTTGAATGGGATCACGGAATAGCTCTGCATGCACTGCAGGGGAATGGGGCCTCATCTCGCCTCTAGGGGGAAGTCTCATGGTTTTTCTCGAGTTGCGGCGGGGACCTGGGGTATGTTCTCGACTTACGGCGGGGATGGCCCTTCAAAACACGAGTTTCTTCAGTGACGTCAGGACTCCTGTCTAGTAACGAGGGACACCTCAGGAATCTCTTCGAGGCTTGGCTGGGCAAAAGTGATGCTTCTCGAGGTGAGGCAGGGCACGCAAGGATCCTTTCCAGTAGCCACAGGGATTTTGGGATTCCTATCAGTATTCAAGAGGAGTCAGGCATCGTCACCTTTTGAAGCAATGAACTCCGCGTGCCTCTCGAGGTGTCAGCGGGATGTGAGGCATTCCGTCAAAATGAGGCTGGGACCTAGGGCTTTCTCTCAGGTCTCCACAGGGGATTCAGACATCCCTTCATGTTGTGAGATGAAAGACGAGCCTGTATTCAAGCCACTGCAAGGAAATCCGGCCACCTTTCAAGTTAGGGCTTCTCGATGTATATTCCCCTTGAGGCAGCAAACTCGGGGTCCCTCCAACATACATATTGCTGAGAGAAGCCTCCTCCTGAGGTGCTTCTGGAATGTAGGCATACGTCTTGAGCTTAAGCCAGGTAATCGGCTCTCATCTCGAGACGATTTGGGTTACACGGAGCATTCCTCGAGTTGCTGTGCTGACGTTGGTGTTCCTCTAGACTTGGGACAGTGTTCTCGGGGCATCTCTGGAGTTGCCTGAAGGAAGTGGAGCCACCGGTCGTGTTGAATGGGGAACGGGTAATAGCTCTGGGGTCAATGCAGGGGAATCGGGCCTCATCTCGAGTTGATTTGGGGCACATGGAGCTGCTTTGCGTTGCTGGGGTGACCTCAGGGTCCGTCTAGACTGGTGACAGTGTTCTTGGGGACTGTCTCGAGATCGATTAAGCAAGTCGAAGCTCCTGACTTGTTTGAATGGGATCACGGAATAGGTCTGCATGCAGTGCAGGGGAATGGGGCCTTATCTCGCCTCTAAGGGGAAGTCTCATGGTTTTTCTCGAGTTGCGGCGGGGGCCTGGGGTATGTTCTCGACTTACGGCGGGGATGGCCCTTCAAAACACGAGTTTCTTCAGTGACGTCAGGACTCCTGTCTAGTAACGAGGGACACCTCAGGAATCTCTTCGAGGCTTGGCAGGGCAAAAGGGACGCTTCTCGAGGTGAGGCAGGGCACCCAAGGACCCTTTCCTGTAGCCACAGGGATTTTGGGATTCCTATCAGTATTCAAGAGGAGTCAGGCATCGTCACATTTTGAAGAAATGAACTCCGCGTGCCTCTCGAGGTGTCAGCGGGATGTGAGGCATTCCGTCAAAATGAGGCAGGGACCTAGGGCTTTCTCTAAGGTCTCCACAGGGGATTCAGACATGCCTTCATGTTGTGAGATTAAACACGAGCCTGTATTCAAGCCACTGCAAGGAAATCGGGCCTCCTTTCAATTTAGGGCTTCTCGCTGTATATTCCCCTTGAGGCAGCAAACTCGGGGTCCCTCCCACATAGCTATTGCTGAGAGAAGCCTCCTCCTGAGGTGCTTCTGGAAAGTTGGCATACGTCTTGAGCCTAAGCCAGGGAATCAGCTCTCATCTCGAGACAATTTGGGGTACACGGAGCATTCCTCGAGTTGCTGTGCTGAAGTTGGTGTTCCTCTAGACTTGGGACAGTGTTCTCGGGGCATCTGTGGAGTTGCCTGAAGGAAGTCGAGCCACCGGTCGTGTTGAATGGGGAACGGGGAATGGCTCTGGAGTCAATGCAGGGGAATCGGGCCTCATCTCGAGTTGATTTGGGGCACATGTAGCTGCTTTGTGTTGCTGGGGTGACCTCAGGGTCCGTCTAGACTGGTGACAGTGCTCTTGGGGACTGTCTCGAGATCGATTAAGCAAGTCGAAGCTCCTGACTTGTTTGAATGGGATCACGGAATAGCTCTGCATGCACTGCAGGGGAATGGGGCCTCATCTCGCCTCTAGGGGGAAGTCTCATGGTTTTTCTCGAGTTGCGGCGGGGACCTGGGGTATGTTCTCGACTTACGGCGGGGATGGCCCTTCAAAACACGAGTTTCTTCAGTGACGTCAGGACTCCTGTCTAGTAACGAGGGACACCTCAGGAATCTCTTCGAGGCTTGGCTGGGCAAAAGTGATGCTTCTCGAGGTCAGGCAGGGCACCCAAGGATCCTTTCCAGTAGCCACAGGGATTTTGGGATTCCTATCAGTATTCAAGAGGAGTCAGGCATCGTCACCTTTTGAAGCAATGAACTCCGCGTACCTCTCGAGGTGTCAGCGGGATGTGAGGCATTCCGTCAAAATGAGGCTGGGACCTAGGGCTTTCTCTCAGGTCTCCACAGGGGATTCAGACATCCCTTCATGTTGTGAGATGAAAGACGAGCCTGTATTCAAGCCACTGCAAGGAAATCCGGCCACCTTTCAAGTTAGGGCTTCTCGATGTATATTCCCCTTGAGGCAGCAAACTCGGGGTCCCTCCAACATACATATTGCTGAGAGAAGCCTCCTCCTGAGGTGCTTCTGGAATGTAGGCATACGTCTTGAGCCTAAGCCAGGTAATCGGCTCTCATCTCGAGACGATTTGGGGTACACGGAGCATTCCTCGAGTTGCTGTGCTGAAGTTGGTGTTCCTCTAGACTTGGGACAGTGTTCTCGGGGCATCTCTGGAGTTGCCTGAAGGAAGTGGAGCCACCGGTCGTGTTGAATGGGGAACGGGTAATAGCTCTGGGGTCAATGCAGGGGAATCGGGCCTCATCTCGAGTTGATTTGGGGCACATGGAGCTGCTTTTCGTTGCTGGTGTGACCTCAGGGTCCGTCTAGACTGGTGACAGTGTTCTTGGGGACTGTCTCGAGATCGATTAAGCAAGTCGAAGCTCCAGACTTGTTTGAATGGGATCACGGAATAGGTCTGCATGCAGTGCAGGGGAATGGGGCCTTATCTCGCCTCTAAGGGGAAGTCTCATGGTTTTTCTCGAGTTGCGGCGGGGGCCTGGGGTATGTTCTCGACTTACGGCGGGGATGGCCCTTCAAAACACGAGTTTCTTCAGTGACGTCAGGACTCCTGTCTAGTAACGAGGGACACCTCAGGAATCTCTTCGAGGCTTGGCAGGGCAAAAGGGACGCTTCTCGAGGTGAGGCAGGGCACCCAAGGACCCTTTCAGTAGCCACAGGGATTTTGGGATTCCTATCAGTATTCAAGAGGAGTCAGGCATCGTCACCTATTGAAGCAATGAACTCCGCGTGCCTCTCGAGTTGTCAGCGGGATGTGAGGCATTCCGTCAAAATGAGGCAGGGACCTACGGCTTTCTCTAAGGTCTCCACAGGGGATTCAGACATCCCTTCATGTTGTGAGATGAAAGACGAGCCTGTATTCAAGCCACTGCAAGGAAATCCGGCCTCCTTTCAAGTTAGGGCTTCTCGCTGTATATTCCCCTTGAGGCAGCACACTCGGGGTCCCTCCCACATACCTATTGCTGAGAGAAGCCTCCTCCTGAGTTGCTTCTGGAAAGTTGGCAAATGCCTTGAGCCTAAGCCAATGTATCAGCTCTCATCTCGAGACGATTTGGGGTGCACGGAGCATTCCTCGAGTTGCTGTGCTGAAGTTGGTGTTCCTCTAGACTTGGGACAGTGTTCTCGGGGCATCTCTGGAGTTGCGTGAAGGAAGTCGAGCCACCGGTCGTGTTGAATGGGGAACGGGGAATGGCTCTGGGGTCAATGCAGGGGAATCGGGCCTCATCTCGAGTTGATTTGGGGCACATGGAGCTGCTTTGCGTTGCTGGGGTGACCTCAGGGTCCGTCTAGACTGGTGACAGTGTTCTTGGGGACTGTCTCGAGATCCATTAAGCAAGTCGAAGCTCCTGACTTGTTTGAATGGGATCACGGAATACCTCTGCATGCACTGCAGGGGAATGGGGCCTCATCTCGCCTCTAGGGGGAAGTCTCATGGTTTTTCTCGAGTTGCGACAGGGACCTGGGGTATGTTCTCGACTTACGGCGGTTATGGCCCTTCAAAACACGAGTTTCTTCAGTAACGTCAGGACTCCTGTCTAGTAACGAGGGACACCTCAGGAATCTCTTCCAGGCTTGGCAGGGCAAAAGGGACGCTTCTCGAGGTGAGGCAGGGCACCCAAGGACCCTTTCCAGTAGCCACAGGGATTTGGGGATTCCTATCAGTATTCAAGAGGAGTCAGGCATCGTCACCTTTTGAAGCAATGAACTCTGCGTGCCTCTCGAGGTGTCAGCGGGATGTGAGGCATTCCGTTAAAATGAGGCATGGACCTAGGGCTTTCTCTAAGGTCTCCAAAGGGCATTCAGTCATCCCTTCATGTTTTGAGATCAAAGAAGAGCTGTATTCAAGCCACTGCAAGGAAATCCGGCCTCCTTTCAAGTTAGGGCTTCTCGCTGTATATTCCCATTGAGGCAGCAAACTCGGGGTCCCTCCCACATACCTATTGCTGAGAGAAGCCTCCTCCTGAGGTGCTTCTGGAAAGTTGGCATACGTCTTGAGCCTAAGCCAGGGAATCAGCTCTCATCTCGAGACGATTTGGGGTACACGGAGCATTCCTCGAGTTGCTGTGCTGAAGTTGGTGTTCCTCTAGACTTGGGACAGTGTTCTCGGGGCATCTCGGGAGTTGCCTGAAGGAAGTCGAGCCACCGGTCGTGTTGAATGGGGAACGGGGAATGGCTCTAGAGTCAATGCAGGGGAATCGGGCCTCATCTCGAGTTGATTTGGGGCACATGGAGCTGCTTTGCCTTGCTGGGGTGACCCCAGGGTCCGTCTAGACTGGTGACAGTGTTCTTGGGGACTGTCTCTAGATCCATTAAGCAAGTCGAAGCTCCTGACTTGTTTGAATGGGATCACGGAATAGCTCTGCATGCACTGCAGGGGAATGGGGCCTCATCTCGCCTCTAGGGGGAAGTCTCTTGGTTTTTCTCGAGTTGCGGCGGGGACCTGGGGTATGTTCTCGACTTACGGCGGGATGGCCCTTCAAAACACGAGTTTCTTCAGTGACGTCAGGACTCCTGTCTAGTAACGAGGGACACCTCAGGAATCTCTTCGAGGCTTGGCAGGGCAAAAGGGACGCTTCTCGAGGTGAGGCAGGGCACCCAAGGACCCTTTCCTGTAGCCACAGGGATTTTGGGATTCCTATCAGTATTCAAGAGGAGTCAGGCATCGTCACATTTTGAAGAAATGAACTCCGCGTGCCTCTCGAGGTGTCAGCGGGATGTGAGGCATTCCGTCAAAATGAGGCAGGGACCTAGGGCTTTCTCTAAGGTCTCCACAGGGGATTCAGACATGCCTTCATGTTGTGAGATTAAACACGAGCCTGTATTCAAGCCACTGCAAGGAAATCGGGCCTCCTTTCAATTTAGGGCTTCTCGCTGTATATTGCCCTTGAGGCGGCAAACTCGGGGTCCCTCCCACATAGCTATTGCTGAGAGAAGCCTCCTCCTGAGGTGCTTCTGGAAAGTTGGCATACGTCTTGAGCCTAAGCCAGGGAATCAGCTCTCATCTCGAGACGATTTGGGGTACACGGAACATTCCTCGAGTTGCTGTGCTGAAGTTGGTGTTCCTCTAGACTTGGGACAGTGTTCTCGGGGCATCTGTGGAGTTGCCTGAAGGAAGTCGAGCCACCGGTCGTGTTGAATGGGGAACGGGGAATGGCTCTGGAGTCAATGCAGGGGAATCGGGCCTCATCTCGAGTTGATTTGGGGCACAAGGAGCTGCTTTGCGTTGCTGGGGTGACCTCAGTGTCCGTCTAGACTGGTGACAGTGTTCTTGGGGACTGTCTCGAGATCGATTAAGCAAGTCGAAGCTCCTGACTTGTTTGAATGGGATCACGGAATAGCTCTGCATGCTCTGCAGGGGAATGGGGCCTCATCTCGCCTCTAGGGGGAAGTCTCATGGTTTTTCTCGAGTTGCGGCGGGGACCTGGGGTATGTTCTCGACTTACGGCGGGGATGGCCCTTCAAAACACGAGTTTCTTCAGTGACGTCAGGACTCCTGTCTAGTAACGAGGGACACCTCAGGAATCTCTTCGATGCTTGGCAGGGCAAAAGGGACGCTTCTCGAGGTGAGGCAGGGCACCCAAGGACCCTTTCCAGTAGCCACAGGGATTTTGGGATTCCTATCAGTATTCAAGAGGAGTCAGGCATCGTCACCTTTTGAAGCAATGAACTCCGCGTGCCTCTCGAGGTGTCAGCGGGATGTGAGGCATTCCGTCAAAATGAGGCAGCGACCTAGGGCTTTCTCTAAGGTCTCCACAGGGGATTCAGACATGCCTTCATGTTGTGAGATTAAACACGAGCCTGTATTCAAGCCACTGCAAGGAAATCAGGCCTCCTTTCAATTTAGGGCTTCTCGCTGTATATTCCCCTTGAGGCAGCAAACTCGGGGTCCCTCCCACATAGCTATTGCTGAGAGAAGCCTCCTCCTGAGGTGCTTCTGGAAAGTTGGCATACGTCTTGAGCCTAAGCCAGGGAATCAGCTCTCATCTCGAGACGATTTGGGGTACACGGAGCATTCCTCGAGTTGCTGTGCTGAAGTTGGTGTTCCTCTAGACTTGGGACAGTGTTCTCGGGGCATCTCTGGAGTTGCCTGAAGGAAGTCGAGCCACCGGTCGTGTTGAATGGGGAACGGGGAATGGCTGTGGAGTCAATGCAGGGGAATCGGGCCTCATCTCGAGTTGATTTGGGGCACATGGAGCTGCTTTGCGTTGCTGGGGTGGCCTCAGGGTCCGTCTAGACTGGTGACAGTGTTCTTGGGGACTGTCTCGAGATCCATTAAGCAAGTCGAAGCTCCTGACTTGTTTGAATGGGATCACGGAATAGCTCTGCATGCACTGCAGGGGAATGGGGCCTCATCTCGCCTCTAGGGGGAAGTCTCATGGTTTTTCTCGAGTTGCGGCAGGGACCTGGGGTATGTTCTCGACTTACGGTGGGAAGGCCCTTCAAAACACGAGTTTCTTCAGTGACGTCAGGACTCCTGTCTAGTAACGAGGGACACCTCAGGAATCTCTTCGAGGCTTGGCAGGGCAAAACGGATGCTTCTCGAGGTGAGGCAGGGCACCCAAGGACCCTTTCCAGTAGCCACGGGGATTTTGGGATTCCTATCAGTATTCAATAAGAGTCAGGCATCGTCACCTTTTGAAGCAATGAACTCTGCGTGCCTCTCGAGGTGTCAGCGGGATGTGAGGCATTCCGTCAAAATGAGGCAGGGACCTAGGGCTTTCTCTAAGGTCTCCACAGTGGATTCCGTCATCCCTTCATGTTGTGAGATGAAAGACGAGCCTGTATTCAAGCCACTGCAAGGAAATCTGGCCTCCTTTCAAGTTAGGGCTTCTCGCTGTATATTCCCCTTGAGGCAGCAAACTCGGGGTCCCTCCCACATACCTATTGCTGAGAGAAGCCTCCTCCTGAGGTGCTTCTATAAAGTTGGCATACATATTGACCCTAAGCCAGGGAATCAGCTCTCATCTCGAGACGATTTGGAGTACACGGAGCATTCCTCGAGTTGCTGTGCCGAAGTTGGTGTTCCTCTAGACTTGGGAAAGTTTTCTCGGGGAATCTCTGGAGTTGCCTGAAGGAAGTCGAGCCACCGGTCGTGTTGAATGGGGATCGGGGAATGGCTCTGGAGTCAATGCAGGGGAATCGGGCCTCATCTCGAGTTGATTTGGGGCACATGGAGCTGCTTTGCGTTGCTGGGGTGACCTCAGCGTCCGTCTAGACTGGTGACAGTGTTCTTGGGGACTGTCTCGAGATCCATTAAGCAAGTCGAATCTCCTGACTTGTTTGAATGGGATCACGGAATAGCTCTGCATGCACTGCAGGGGAATGGGGCCTCATCTCGCCTCTAGGGGGAAGTCTCATGTTTTTTCTCGAGTTGCGGCGGGGACCTGGGGTATGTTCTCGACTTACGGCGGGGATGGCCCTTCAAAACACGAGTTTCTTCAGTGACGTCAGGACTCCTGTCTAGTAACGAGGGACACCTCAGGAATCTCTTCCAAGCTTGGCAGGGCAAAAGGGACGCTTCTCGAGGTGAGGCAGGGCACCCAAGGACCCTTTCCAGTAGCCACAGGGATTTTGGGATTCCTATCAGTATTCAAGAGGAGTCAGGCATCGTCACCTTTTGAAGCAATGAACTCTGCGTGCCTCTCGAGGTGTCAGCGGGATGTGAGGCATTCCGTCAAAATGAGGCATGGACCTAGGGCTTTCTCTAAGGTCTCCACAGGGCATTCAGTCATCCCTTCATGTTTTGAGATCAAAGAAGAGCCTGTATTCAAGCCACTGCAGGGAAATCCGGCCTCCTTTCAAGTTAGGGCTTCTCGCTGTATATTCCCCTTGAGGCAGCAAACTCGGGGTCCCTCCCACATACCTATTGCTGAGAGAAGCCTCCTCCTGAGGTGCTTCTGGAAAGTTGGCATATGTCTTGAGCCTAAGCCAGGGAATCACCTCTCATCTCGAGACGATTTGGGGTACACGGAGCATTCCTCGATTTGCTGTGCTGAAGTTGGTGTTCCTCTAGACTTGGGACAGTGTTCTCGGGGCATCTCTGGAGTTACCTGAAGGAAGTCGAGCCACCGGTCATGTTGAATGCGGAACGGGGAATGGCTCTGGAGTCAATGCAGGGGAATCGGGCCTCATCTCGAGTTGATTTGGGTCACATGGAGCTGCTTTGCGTTGCTGGGGTGACCTCAGGGTCTGTCTAGACTGGTGACAGTGTTCTTGGGGACTGTCTCGAGATCGATTAAGCAAGTCGAAGCTCCTGACTTGTTTGAATGGGATCACGGAATAGCTCTGCATGCACTGCAGGGGAATGGGGCCTCATCTCGCCTCTAGGGGGAAGTCTCATGGTTTTACTCGAGTTGCGGCGGGGACCTGGGTTATGTTCTCGACTTACGGCGGGATGGCCCTTCAAAACACGAGTTTCTTCAGTGACGTCAGGACTCCTGTCTAGTAACGAGGGACACCTCAGGAATCTCTTCCAAGCTTGGCAGGGCAAAAGGGACGCTTCTCGAGGTGAGGCAGTGCACCCAAGGACCCTTTCCTGTAGCCACAGGGATTTTGGGATTCCTATCAGTATTCAAGAGGAGTCAGGCATCGTCACCTTTTGAAGCAATGAACTCCGCGTGCCTCTCGAGGTGTCAGCGGGATGTGAGGCATTCCGTCAAAATGAGGCAGGGACCTAGGGCTTTCTCTAAGGTCTCCACAGGGGATTCAGACATGCCTTCATGTTGTGAGATTAAACACGAGCCTGTATTCAAGCCACTGCAAGGAAATTGGGCCTCCTTTCAATTTAGGGCTTCTCGCTGTATATTCCCCTTGAGGCAGCAAACTCGGGGTCCCTCCCACATAGCTATTGCTGAGAGAAGCCTCCTTCTGAGGTGCTTCTGGAAAGTTGGCATAGGTCTTGAGCCTAAGCCAGGGAATCAGCTCTCATCTCGAGACGATTTGGGGTACACGGAGCATTCCTCGAGTTGCTGTGCTGAAGTTAGTGTTCCTCTAGACTTGGGACAGTGTTCTCGGGGCATCTCTGGAGTTGCCTGAAGGAAGTCGAGCCACCGGTCGTGTTGAATGGGGAACGGGGAATGGCTCTGGAGTCAATGCAGGGGAATCGGGCCTCATCTCGAGTTGATTTGGGGCACATGCAGCTGCTTTGCGTTGCTGGGGTGGCCTCAGGGTCCGTCTAGACTGGTGACAGTGTTCTTGGGGACTGTCTCGAGATCGATTAAGCAAGTCGAAGCTCCTGACTTGTTTGAATGGGATCACGGAATAGCTCTGCATGCACTGCAGGGGAATGGGGCCTCATCTCGCCTCTAGGGGGAAGTCTCATGGTTTTTCTCGAGTTGCGGCAGGGACCTGGGGTATGTTCTCGACTTACGGCGGGGAAGGCCCTTCAAAACACGAGTTTCTTCAGTGACGTCAGGACTCCTGTCTAGTAACGAGGGACACCTCAGGAATCTCTTCGAGGTTTGGCAGGGCAAAACGGACGCTTCTCGAGGTGAGGCAGGGCACCCAAGGACCCTTTCCAGTAGCCACGGGGATTTTGGGATTCCTATCAGTATTCAAGAAGAGTCAGGCATCGTCACCTTTTGAAGCAATGAACTCTGCGTGCCTCTCGAGGTGTCAGCGGGATGTGAGGCATTCCGTCAAAATGAGGCATGGACCTAGGGCTTTCTCTAAGGTCTCCACAGGGCATTCAGTCATCCCTTCATGTTTTGAGATCAAAGAAGAGCCTGTATTCAAGCCACTGCAGGGAAATCCGGCCTCCTTTCAAGTTAGGGCTTCTCGCTGTATATTCCCCTTGAGGCAGCAAACTCGGGGTCCCTCCCACATACCTATTGCTGAGAGAAGCCTCCTACTGAGGTGCTTCTGGAAAGTTGGCATACGTCTTGAGCCTAAGCCAGGGAATCAGCTCTCATCTCGAGACGATTTGGGGTACACGGAGCATTCCTCGAGTTGCTGTGCTGAAGTTGGTGTTCCTCTAGACTTGGGACAGTGTTCTCGGGGCATCTCTGGAGTTACCTGAAGGAAGTCGAGCCACCGGTCATGTTGAATGCGGAACGGGGAATGGCTCTGGAGTCAATGCAGGGGAATCGGGCCTCATCTCGAGTTGATTTGGGGCACATGGAGCTGCTTTGCGTTGCTGGGGTGACCTCAGGGTCTGTCTAGACTGGTGACAGTGTTCTTGGGGACTGTCTCGAGATCCATTAAGCAAGTCGAAGCTCCTGACTTGTTTGAATGGGATCACGGAATAGCTCTGCATGCACTGCAGGGGAATGGGGCCTCATCTCGCCTCTAGGGGGAAGTCTCATGGTTTTACTCGAGTTGCGGCGGGGACCTGGGGTATGTTCTCGACTTATGGCGGGATGGCCCTTCAAAACACGAGTTTCTTCAGTGACGTCAGGACTCCTGTCTAGTAACGAGGGACACCTCAGGAATCTCTTCCAAGCTTGGCAGGGCAAAAGGGACGCTTCTCGAGGTGAGGCAGTGCACCCAAGGACCCTATCCTGTAGCTACAGGGATTTTGGGATTCCTATCAGTATTCAAGAGGAGTCAGGCATCGTCACCTTTTGAAGCAATGAACTCCGCGTGCCTCTCGAGGTGTCAGCGGGATGTGAGGCATTCCGTCAAAATGAGGCAGGGACCTAGGGCTTTCTCTAAGGTCTCCACAGGGGATTCAGACATGCCTTCATGTTGTGAGGTTAAACACAAGCCTGTATTCAAGCCACTGCAAGGAAATCAGGCCTCCTTTCAATTTAGGGCTTCTCGCTGTATATTCCCCTTGAGGCAGCAAACTCGGGGTCCCTCCCACATATCTATTGCTGAGAGAAGCCTCCTCCTGAGGTGCTTCTGGAAAGTTGGCATACGTCTTGAGCCTAACCAGGGAATCAGCTCTCATCTCGAGACGATTTGGGGTACACGGAGCATTCCTCGAGTTGCTGTGCTGAAGTTAGTGTTCCTCTAGACTTGGGACAGTGTTCTCGGGGCATCTCTGGAGTTGCCTGAAGGAAGTCGAGCCACCGTTCGTGTTGAATGGGGAACGGGGAATGGCTCTGGAGTCAATGCAGGGGAATCGGGCCTCATCTCGAGTTGATTTGGGGCACATGGAGCTGCTTTGCGTTGCTGGGGTGGCCTCAGGGTCCGTCTAGACTGGTGACAGTGTTCTTGGGGACTGTCTCGAGATCGATTAAGCAAGTCGAAGCTCCTGACTTGTTTGAATGGGATCACGGAATAGCTCTGCATGCACTGCAGGGGAATGGGGCCTCATCTCGCCTCTAGGGGGAAGTCTCATGGTTTTTCTCGAGTTGCGGCAGGGACCTGGGGTATGTTCTCGACTTACGGCGGGGAAGGCCCTTCAAAACACGAGTTTCTTCAGTGACGTCAGGACTCCTGTCTAGTAACGAGGGACACCTCAGGAATCTCTTCGAGGTTTGGCAGGGCAAAACGGACGCTTCTCGAGGTGAGGCAGGGCACCCAAGGACCCTTTCCAGTAGCCACGGGGATTTTGGGATTCCTATAAGTATTCAAGAAGAGTCAGGCATCGTCACCTTTTGAAGCAATGAACTCTGCGTGCCTCTCGAGGTGTCAGCGAGATGTGAGGCATTCCGTCAAAATGAGGCAGGGACCTAGGGCTTTCTCTAAGGTCTCCACAGTGGATTCCGACATCCCTTCATGTTGTGAGATGAAAGACGAGCCTGTATTCAAGCCACTGCAAGGAAATCCGGCCTCCTTTCAAGTTAGGGCTTCTCGCTGTATATTCCCCTTTAGGCAGCAAACTCGGGGTCCCTCCCACATACCTATTGCTGAGAGAAGCCTCCTCCTGAGGTGCTTCTGGAAAGTTGGCATACGTATTGACCCTAAGCCAGGGAATCAGCTCTCATCTCGAGACGATTTGGGGTACACGGAGCATTCCTCGAGTTGCTGTGCTGAAGTTGGTGTTCCTCTAGACTTCGGACAGTGTTCTCGGGGAATCTCTGGAGTTGCCTGAAGGAAGACGAGCCACCGGTCGTGTTGAATGGGTATCGGCGAATGGCTCTGGAGTCAATGCAGGGGAATCGGGCCTCATCTCGAGTTGATTTGGGGCACATGGAGCTGCTTTGCGTTGCTGGGGTGACCTCAGCGTCCGTCTAGACTGGTGACAGTGTTCTTGGGGACTGTCTCGAGATCCATTAAGCAAGTCGAATCTCCTGACTTGTTTGAATGGGATCACGGAATAGCTCTGCATGCACTGCAGGGGAATGGGGCCTCATCTCGCCTCTAGGGGGAAGTCTCATGGTTTTTCTCGAGTTGCGGCGGGGGCCTGGGGTATGTTCTCGACTTACGGCGGGGATGGCCCTTCAAAACACGAGTTTCTTCAGTGACGTCAGGACTCCTGTCTAGTAACGAGGGACACCTCAGGAATCTCTTCCAAGCTTGGCAGGGCAAAAGGGACGCTTCTCGAGGTGAGGCAGGGCACCCAAGGACCCTTTCCAGTAGCCACAGGGATTTTGGGATTCCTATCAGTATTCAAGAGGAGTCAGGCATCGTCACCTTTTGAAGCAATGAACTCTGCGTGCCTCTCGAGGTGTCAGCGGGATGTGAGGCATTCCGTCAAAATGAGGCATGGACCTAGGGCTTTCTCTAAGGTCTCCACAGGGCATTCAGTCATCCCTTCATGTTTTGAGATCAAAGAAGAGCCTGTATTCAAGCCACTGCAGGGAAATCCGGCCTCCTTTCAAGTTAGGGCTTCTCGCTGTATATTCCCCTTGAGGCAGCAAACTCGGGGTCCCTCCCACATACCTATTGCTGAGAGAAGCCTCCTCCTGAGGTGCTTCTGGAAAGTTGGCATACGTCTTGAGCCTAAGCCAGGGAATCAGCTCTCATCTCGAGACGATTTGGGGTACACGGAGCATTCCTCGAGTTGCTGTGCTGAAGTTGGTGTTCCTCTAGACTTGGGACAGTGTTCTCGGGGCATCTCTGGAGTTACCTGAAGGAAGTCGAGCCACCGGTCATGTTGAATGCGGAACGGGGAATGGCTCTGGAGTCAATGCAGGGGAATCGGGCCTCATCTCGAGTTGATTTGGGTCACATGGAGCTGCTTTGCGTTGCTGGGGTGACCTCAGGGTCTGTCTAGACTGGTGACAGTGTTCTTGGGGACTGTCTCGAGATCCATTAAGCAAGTCGAAGCTCCTGACTTGTTTGAATGGGATCACGGAATAGCTCTGCATGCACTGCAGGGGAATGGGGCCTCATCTCGCCTCTAGGGGGAAGTCTCATGGTTTTACTCGAGTTGCGGCGGGGACCTGGGGTATGTTCTCGACTTACGGCGGGATGGCCCTTCAAAACACGAGTTTCTTCAGTGACGTCAGGACTCCTGTCTAGTAACGAGGGACACCTCAGGAATCTCTTCCAAGCTTGGCAGGGCAAAAGGGACGCTTCTCGAGGTGAGGCAGTGCACCCAAGGACCCTTTCCTGTAGCCACAGGGATTTTGGGATTCCTATCAGTATTCAAGAGGAGTCAGGCATCGTCACCTTTTGAAGCAATGAACTCCGCGTGCCTCTCGAGGTGTCAGCGGGATGTGAGGCATTCCGTCAAAATGAGGCAGGGACCTAGGGCTTTCTCTAAGGTCTCCACAGGGGATTCAGACATGCCTTCATGTTGTGAGATTAAACACGAGCCTGTATTCAAGCCACTGCAAGGAAATCAGGCCTCCTTTCAATTTAGGGCTTCTCGCTGTATATTCCCCTTGAGGCAGCAAACTCGGGGTCCCTCCCACATAGCTATTGCTGAGAGAAGCCTCCTCCTGAGGTGCTTCTGGAAAGTTGGCATACGTCTTGAGCCTAAGCCAGGGAATCAGCTCTCATCTCGAGACGATTTGGGGTACACGGAGCATTCCTCGAGTTGCTGTGCTGAAGTTAGTGTTCCTCTAGACTTGGGACAGTGTTCTCGGGGCATCTCTGGAGTTGCCTGAAGGAAGTCGAACCACCGGTCGTGTTGAATGGGGAACGGGGAATGGCTCTGGAGTCAATGCAGGGGAATCGGGCCTCATCTCGAGTTGATTTGGGGCACATGCAGCTGCTTTGCGTTGCTGGGGTGGTCTCAGGGTCCGTCTAGACTGGTGACAGTGTTCTTGGGGACTGTCTCGAGATCGATTAAGCAAGTCGAAGCTCCTGACTTGTTTAAATGGGATCACGGAATAGCTCTGCATGCACTGCAGGGGAATGGGGCCTCATCTCGCCTCTAGGGGGAAGTCTCATGGTTTTTCTCGAGTTGCGGCGGGGGCCTGGGGTATGTTCTCGACTTACGGCGGGGAAGGCCCTTCAAAACACGAGTTTCTTCAGTGACGTCAGGACTCCTGTCTAGTAACGAGGGACACCTCAGGAATCTCTTCGAGGCTTGGCAGGGCAAAACGGACGCTTCTCGAGGTGAGGCAGGGCACCCAAGGACCCTTTCCAGTAGCCACGGGGATTTTGGGATTCCTATCAGTATTCAAGAAGAGTCAGGCATCGTCACCTTTTGAAGCAATGAACTCTGCGTGCCTCTCGAGGTGTCAGCGGGATGTGAGGCATTCCGTCAAAATGAGGCAGGGACCTAGGGCTTTCTCTAAGGTCTCCACAGTGGATTCCGTCATCCCTTCATGTTGTGCGATGAAAGACGAGCCTGTATTCAAGCCACTGCAAGGAAATCCGGCCTCCTTTCAAGTTAGGGCTTCTCGCTGTATATTCCCCTTGAGGCAGCAAACTCGGGGTCCCTCCCACATACCTATTGCTGAGAGAAGCCTCCTCCTGAGGTGCTTCTGGAAAGTTGGCATACGTATTGACCCTAAGCCAGGGAATCAGCTCTCATCTCGAGACGATTTGGGGTACACGGAGCATTCCTCGAGTTGCTGTGCTGAAGTTGGTGTTCCTCTAGATTTGGGACAGTGTTCTCGGGGAATCTCTGGAGTTGCCTGAAGGAAGTCGAGCCACCGGTCGTGTTGAATGGGGATCGGGGAATGGCTCTGGAGTCAATGCAGGGGAATCGGGCCTCATCTCGAGTTGATTTGGGGCACATGGAGCTGCTTTGCGTTGCTGGGGTGACCTCAGGGTCCGTCTAGACTGGTGACAGTGTTCTTGGGGACTGTCTCGAGATCCATTAAGCAAGTCGAATCTCCTGACTTGTTTGAATGGGATCACGGAATAGCTCTGCATGCACTGCAGGGGAATGGGGCCTCATCTCGCCTCTAGGGGGAAGTCTCATGGTTTTTCTCGAGTTGCGGCGGGGACCTGGGGTATGTTCTCGACTTACGGCGGGGATGGCCCTTCAAAACACGAGTTTCTTCAGTGACGTCAGGACTCCTGTCTAGTAACGAGGGACACCTCAGGAATCTCTTCCAAGCTTGGCAGGGCAAAAGGGACGCTTCTCGAGGTGAGGCAGGGCACCCAAGGACCCTTTCCAGTAGCCACAGGGATTTTGGGATTCCTATCAGTATTCAAGAGGAGTCAGGCATCGTCACCTTTTGAAGCAATGAACTCTGCGTGGCTCTCGAGGTGTCAGCGGGATGTGAGGCATTCCGTCAAAATGAGGCATGGACCTAGGGCTTTCTCTAAGGTCTCCACAGGGCATTCAGTCATCCCTTCATGTTTTGAGATCAAAGAAGAGCCTGTTTTCAAGCCACTGCAGGGAAATCCGGCCTCCTTTCAAGTTAGGGCTTCTCGCTGTATATTCCCCTTGAGGTAGCAAACTCGGGGTCCCTCCCACATAGCTATTGCTGAGAGAAGCCTCCTCCTGAGGTGCTTCTGGAAAGTTGGCATACGTCTTGAGCCTAAGCCAGGGAATCACCTCTCATCTCGAGACGATTTGGGGTACACGGAGAATTCCTCGATTTGCTGTGCTGAAGTTGGTGTTCCTCTAGACTTGGGACAGTGTTCTTGGGGCATCTCTGGAGTTACCTGAAGGAAGTCGAGCCACCGGTCATGTTGAATGCGGAACGGGGAATGGCTCTGGAGTCAATGCAGGGGAATCGGGCCTCATCTCGAGTTGATTTGGGTCACATGGAGCTGCTTTGCGTTGCTGGTGTGACCTCAGGGTCTGTCTAGACTGGTGACAGTGTTCTTGGGGACTGTCTCGAGATCCATTAAGCAAGTCGAAGCTCCTGACTTGTTTGAATGGGATCACGGAATAGCTCTCCATGCACTGCAGGGGAATGGGGCCTCATCTCGCCTCTAGGGGGAAGTCTCATGGTTTTACTCGAGTTGCAGCGGGGACCTGGGGTATGTTCTCGACTTACGGCGGGATGGCCCTTCAAAACACGAGTTTCTTCAGTGACGTCAGGACTCCTGTCTAGTAACGAGGGACACCTCAGGAATCTCTTCCAAGCTTGGCAGGGCAAAAGGGACGCTTCTCGAGGTGAGGCAGTGCACCCAAGGACCCTTTCCTGTAGCCACAGGGATTTTGGGATTCCTATCAGTATTCAAGAGGAGTCAGGCATTGTCACCTTTTGAAGCAATGAACTCCGCGTGCCTCTCGAGGTGTCAGCGGGATGTGAGGCATTCCGTCAAAATGAGGCAGGGACCTAGGGCTTTCTCTAAGGTCTCCACAGGGGATTCAGACATGCCTTCATGTTGTGAGATTAAACACGAGCCTGTATTCAAGCCACTGCAAGGAAATTGGGCATCCTTTCAATTTAGGGCTTCTCGCTGTATATTCCCCTTGAGGCAGCAAACTCGGGGTCCCTCCCACATAGCTATTGCTGAGAGAAGCCTCCTCCTGAGGTGCTTCTGGAAAGTTGGCATACGTCTTGAGCCTAAGCCAGGGAATCAGCTCTCATCTCGAGACGATTTGGGGTACACGGAGCATTCCTCGAGTTGCTGTGCTGAAGTTAGTGTTCCTCTAGACTTGGGACAGTGTTCTCGGGGCATCTCTGGAGTTGCCTGAAGGAAGTCGAGCCACCGGTCGTGTTGAATGGGGAAAGGGGAATGGCTCTGGAGTCAATGCAGGGGAATCGGGCCTCATCTCGAGTTGATTTGGGGCACATGCAGCTGCTTTTCGTTGCTGGGGTGGCCTCAGGGTCCGTCTAGACTGGTGACAGTGTTCTTGGGGACTGTCTCGAGATCGATTAAGCAAGTCGAAGCTCCTGACTTGTTTGAATGGGATCACGGAATAGCTCTGCATGCACTGCAGGGGAATGGGGCCTCATCTCGCCTCTAGGGGGAAGTCTCATGGTTTTTCTCGAGTTGCGGCGGGGACCTGGGGTATGTTCTCGACTTACGGCGGGATGGCCCTTCAAAACACGAGTTTCTTCAGTGACGTCAGGACTCCTGTCTAGTAACGAGGGACACCTCAGGAATCTCTTCGAGGCTTGGCAGGGCAAAACGGACGCTTCTCGAGGTGAGGCAGGGCACCCAAGGACCCTTTCCAGTAGCCACGGGGATTTTGGGATTCCTATCAGTATTCAAGAAGAGTCAGGCATCGTCACCTTTTGAAGCAATGAACTCTGCGTGCCTCTCGAGGTGTCAGCGGGATGTGAGGCATTCCGTCAAAATGAGGCAGGGACCTAGGGCTTTCTCTAAGGTCTCCACAGTGGATTCCGTCATCCCTTCATGTTGTGCGATGAAAGACGAGCCTGTATTCAAGCCACTGCAAGGAAATCCGGCCTCCTTTCAAGTTAGGGCTTCTCGCTGTATATTCCCCTTGAGGCAGCAAACTCGGGGTCCCTCCCACATACCTATTGCTGAGAGAAGCCTCCTCCTGAGGTGCTTCTGGAAAGTTGGCATACGTATTGACCCTAAGCCAGGGAATCAGCTCTCATCTCGAGACGATTTGGGGTACACGGAGCATTCCTCGAGTTGCTGTGCTGAAGTTGGTGTTCCTCTAGATTTGGGACAGTGTTCTCGGGGAATCTCTGGAGTTGCCTGAAGGAAGTCGAGCCACCGGTCGTGTTGAATGGGGATCGGGGAATGGCTCTGGAGTCAATGCAGGGGAATCGGGCCTCATCTCGAGTTGATTTGGGGCACATGGAGCTGCTTTGCGTTGCTGGGGTGACCTCAGGGTCCGTCTAGACTGGTGACAGTGTTCTTGGGGACTGTCTCGAGATCCATTAAGCAAGTCGAATCTCCTGACTTGTTTGAATGGGATCACGGAATAGCTCTGCATGCACTGCAGGGGAATGGGGCCTCATCTCGCCTCTAGGGGGAAGTCTCATGGTTTTTCTCGAGTTGCGGCGGGGACCTGGGGTATGTTCTCGACTTACGGCGGGGATGGCCCTTCAAAACACGAGTTTCTTCAGTGACGTCAGGACTCCTGTCTAGTAACGAGGGACACCTCAGGAATCTCTTCCAAGCTTGGCAGGGCAAAAGGGACGCTTCTCGAGGTGAGGCAGGGCACCCAAGGACCCTTTCCAGTAGCCACAGGGATTTTGGGATTCCTATCAGTATTCAAGAGGAGTCAGGCATCGTCACCTTTTGAAGCAATGAACTCTGCGTGGCTCTCGAGGTGTCAGCGGGATGTGAGGCATTCCGTCAAAATGAGGCATGGACCTAGGGCTTTCTCTAAGGTCTCCACAGGGCATTCAGTCATCCCTTCATGTTTTGAGATCAAAGAAGAGCCTGTTTTCAAGCCACTGCAGGGAAATCCGGCCTCCTTTCAAGTTAGGGCTTCTCGCTGTATATTCCCCTTGAGGTAGCAAACTCGGGGTCCCTCCCACATAGCTATTGCTGAGAGAAGCCTCCTCCTGAGGTGCTTCTGGAAAGTTGGCATACGTCTTGAGCCTAAGCCAGGGAATCACCTCTCATCTCGAGACGATTTGGGGTACACGGAGAATTCCTCGATTTGCTGTGCTGAAGTTGGTGTTCCTCTAGACTTGGGACAGTGTTCTTGGGGCATCTCTGGAGTTACCTGAAGGAAGTCGAGCCACCGGTCATGTTGAATGCGGAACGGGGAATGGCTCTGGAGTCAATGCAGGGGAATCGGGCCTCATCTCGAGTTGATTTGGGTCACATGGAGCTGCTTTGCGTTGCTGGTGTGACCTCAGGGTCTGTCTAGACTGGTGACAGTGTTCTTGGGGACTGTCTCGAGATCCATTAAGCAAGTCGAAGCTCCTGACTTGTTTGAATGGGATCACGGAATAGCTCTCCATGCACTGCAGGGGAATGGGGCCTCATCTCGCCTCTAGGGGGAAGTCTCATGGTTTTACTCGAGTTGCAGCGGGGACCTGGGGTATGTTCTCGACTTACGGCGGGATGGCCCTTCAAAACACGAGTTTCTTCAGTGACGTCAGGACTCCTGTCTAGTAACGAGGGACACCTCAGGAATCTCTTCCAAGCTTGGCAGGGCAAAAGGGACGCTTCTCGAGGTGAGGCAGTGCACCCAAGGACCCTTTCCTGTAGCCACAGGGATTTTGGGATTCCTATCAGTATTCAAGAGGAGTCAGGCATTGTCACCTTTTGAAGCAATGAACTCCGCGTGCCTCTCGAGGTGTCAGCGGGATGTGAGGCATTCCGTCAAAATGAGGCAGGGACCTAGGGCTTTCTCTAAGGTCTCCACAGGGGATTCAGACATGCCTTCATGTTGTGAGATTAAACACGAGCCTGTATTCAAGCCACTGCAAGGAAATTGGGCATCCTTTCAATTTAGGGCTTCTCGCTGTATATTCCCCTTGAGGCAGCAAACTCGGGGTCCCTCCCACATAGCTATTGCTGAGAGAAGCCTCCTCCTGAGGTGCTTCTGGAAAGTTGGCATACGTCTTGAGCCTAAGCCAGGGAATCAGCTCTCATCTCGAGACGATTTGGGGTACACGGAGCATTCCTCGAGTTGCTGTGCTGAAGTTAGTGTTCCTCTAGACTTGGGACAGTGTTCTCGGGGCATCTCTGGAGTTGCCTGAAGGAAGTGGAGCCACCGGTCGTGTTGAATGGGGAACGGGTAATAGCTCTGGGGTCAATGCAGGGGAATCGGGCCTCATCTCGAGTTGATTTGGGGCACATGGAGCTGCTTTGCGTTGCTGGGGTGACCTCAGGGTCCGTCTAGACTGGTGACAGTGTTCTTGGGGACTGTCTCGAGATCGATTAAGCAAGTCGAAGCTCCTGACTTGTTTGAATGGGATCACGGAATAGGTCTGCATGCAGTGCAGGGGAATGGGGCTTTATCTCGCCTCTAAGGGGAAGTCTCATGGTTTTTCTCGAGTTGCGGCGGGGGCTTGGGGTATGTTCTCGACTTACGGCGGGGATGGCCCTTCAAAACACGAGTTTCTTCAGTGACGTCAGGACTCCTGTCTAGTAACGAGGGACACCTCAGGAATCTCTTCGAGGCTTGGCAGGGCAAAAGGGACGCTTCTCGAGGTGAGGCAGGGCACCCAAGGACCCTTTCAGTAGCCACAGGGATTTTGGGATTCCTATCAGTATTCAAGAGGAGTCAGGCATCGTCACCTATTGAAGCAATGAACTCCGCGTGCCTCTCGAGTTGTCAGCGGGATGTGAGGCATTCCGTCAAAATGAGACAGGGACCTATGGCTTTCTCTAAGGTCTCCACAGGGGATTCAGACATCCCTTCATGTTGTGAGATGAAAGACGAGCCTGTATTCAAGCCGCTGCAAGGAAATCCGGCCTCCTTTCAAGTTAGGGCTTCTCGCTGTATATTCCCCTTGAGGCAGCACACTCGGGGTCCCTCCCACATACCTATTGCTGAGAGAAGCCTCCTCCTGAGTTGCTTCTGGAAAGTTGGCAAATGCCTTGAGCCTAAGCCAATGTATCAGCTCTCATCTCGAGACGATTTGGGGTGCACGGAGCATTCCTCGAGTTGCTGTGCTGAAGTTGGTGTTCCTCTAGACTTGGGACAGTGTTCTCTGGGCATCTCTGGAGTTGCGTGAAGGAAGTCGAGCCACCGGTCGTGTTGAATGGGGAACGGGGAATGGCTCTGGGGTCAATGCAGGGGAATCGGGCCTCATCTCGAGTTGATTTGGGGCACATGGAGCTACTTTGCGTTGCTGGGGTGACCTCAGGGTCTGTCTAGACTGGTGACAGTGTTCTTGGGGACTGTCTCGAGATCCATTAAGCAAGTCGAAGCTCCTGACTTGTTTGAATGGGATCACGGAATAGCTCTGCATGCACTGCAGGGGAATGGGGCCTCATCTCGCCTCTAGGGGGAAGTCTCATGGTTTTACTCGAGTTGCGGCGGGGACCTGGGGTATGTTCTCGACTTACGGCGGGATGGCCCTTCAAAACACGAGTTTCTTCAGTGACGTCAGGACTCCTGTCTAGTAACGAGGGACACCTCAGGAATCTCTTCCAGGCTTGGCAGGGCAAAAGGGACGCTTCTCGAGGTGAGGCAGGGCACCCAAGGACCCTTTCCAGTAGCCACAGGGATTTTGGGATTCCTATCAGTATTCAAGAGGAGTCAGGCATCGTCACCTTTTGAAGCAATGAACTCTGCGTGCCTCTCGAGGTGTCAGCGGGATGTGAGGCATTCCGTTAAAATGAGGCATGGACCTAGGGCTTTCTCTAAGGTCTCCAAAGGGCATTCAGTCATCCCTTCATGTTTTGAGATCAAAGAAGAGCCTGTATTCAAGCCACTGCAGGGAAATCCGGCCTCCTTTCAAGTTAGGGCTTCTCGCTGTATATTCCCCTTGAGGCAGCAAACTCGGGGTCCCTCCCACATACCTATTGCTGAGAGAAGCCTCCTCCTGAGGTGCTTCTGGAAAGTTGGCATACGTCTTGAGCCTAAGCCAGGGAATCAGCTCTCATCTCGAGACGATTTGGGGTACACGGAGCATTCCTCGAGTTGCTGTGCTGAAGTTGGTGTTCCTCTAGACTTGGGACAGTGTTCTCGGGGCATCTCTGGAGTTACCTGAAGGAAGTCGAGCCACCGGTCGTGATGAATGGGGAACGGGGAATGGCTCTGGAGTCAATGCAGGGGAATCGGGCCTCATCTCGAGTTGATTTGGGGCACATGGAGCTGCTTTGCGTTGCTGGGGTGACGTCAGCGTCCGTCTAGACTGGTGACAGTGTTCTTGGGGACTGTCTCGAGATCCATTAAGCAAGTCGAAGCTCCTGACTTGTTTGAATGGGATCACGGAATACCTCTGCATGCACTGCAGGGGAATGGGGCCTCATCTCGCCTCTAGGGGGAAGTCTCATGGTTTTTCTCGAGTTGCGGCGGGGACCTGGGGTATGTTCTCGACTTACGGCGGGATGGCCCTTCAAAACACGAGTTTCTTCAGTGACGTCAGGACTCCTGTTTAGTAACGAGGGACACCTCAGGAATCTCTTCGAGGCTTGGCAGGGCAAAAGGGACGCTTCTCGAGGTGAGGCAGGGCACCCAAGGACCCTTTCCTGTAGCCACAGGGATTTTGGGATTCCTATCAGTATTCAAGAGGAGTCAGGCATCGTCACCTTTTGAAGCAATGAACTCCGCGTGCCTCTCGAGGTGTCAGCGGGATGTGAGGCATTCCGTCAAAATGATGCAGGGACCTAGGGCTTTCTCTAAGGTCTCCACAGGGGATTCAGTCATGCCTTCATGTTGTGAGATTAAACACGAGCCTTTATTCAAGCCACTGCAAGGAAATCGGGCCTCCTTTCAATTTTGGGCTTCTCGCTCTATATTCCCCTTGAGGCAGAAAACTCGGGGTCCCTCCCACATAGCTATTGCTGAGAGAAGCCTCCTCCTGAGGTTCTTCTGGAAAGTTGGCATACGTCTTGAGCCTAACCAAGGAATCAGCACTCATCTCGAGACAATTTGGGGTACACGGAGCATTCCTCGAGTTGCTGTGCTGAAGTTGGTGTTCCTCTAGACTTGGGACAGTGTTCTCAGGGCATCTCTGGAGTTGCGTGAAGGAAGTCGAGCCACCGGTCGTGTTGAATGGGGAACGGGGAATGGCTCTGGAGTCAATGCAGGGGAATCGGGCCTCATCTCGAGTTGATTTGGGGCACATGGAGCTGCTTTGTGTTGCTGGGGTGACCTCAGGGTCCGTCTAGACTGGTGACAGTGCTCTTGGGTACTGTCTTGAGATCGATTAAGCAAGTCGAAGCTCCTGACTTGTTTGAATGGGATCACGGAATAGCTCTGCATGCACTGCAGGGGAATGGGGCCTCATCTCGCCTCTAGGGGGAAGTCTCATGGTTTTTCTCGAGTTGCGGCGGGGACCTGGGGTATGTTCTCGACTTACGGCGGGGATGGCCCTTCAAAACACGAGTTTCTTCAGTGACGTCAGGACTCCTGTCTAGTAACGAGGGACACCTCAGGAATCTCTTCGAGGCTTGGCTGGGCAAAAGTGATGCTTCTCGAGGTCAGGCAGGGCACCCAAGGATCCTTTCCAGTAGCCACAGGGATTTTGGGATTCCTATCAGTATTCAAGAGGAGTCAGGCATCGTCACCTTTTGAAGCAATGAACTCCGCGTGCCTCTCGAGGTGTCAGCGGGATGTGAGGCATTCCGTCAAAATGAGGCTGGGACCTAGGGCTTTCTCTCAGGTCTCCACAGGGGATTCAGACATCCCTTCATGTTGTGAGATGAAAGACGAGCCTGTATTCAAGCCACTGCAAGGAAATCCGGCCACCTTTCAAGTTAGGGCTTCTCGATGTATATTCCCCTTGAGGCAGCAAACTCGGGGTCCCTCCTACATACATATTGCTGAGAGAAGCCTCCTCCTGAGGTGCTTCTGGAATGTAGGCATACGTCTTGAGCCTAAGCCAGGTAATCGGCTCTCATCTCGAGACGATTTGGGGTACACGGAGCATTCCTCGAGTTGCTGTGCTGAAGTTGGTGTTCCTCTAGACTTGGGACAGTGTTCTCGGGGCATCTCTGGAGTTGCCTGAAGGAAGTGGAGCCACCGGTCGTGTTGAATGGGGAACGGGTAATAGCTCTGGGGTCAATGCAGGGGAATCGGGCCTCATCTCGAGTTGATTTGGGGCACATGGAGCTGCTTTGCGTTGCTGGGGTGACCTCAGGGTCCGTCTAGACTGGTGACAGTGTTCTTGGGGACTGTCTCGAGATCCATTAAGCAAGTCGAAGCTCCTGACTTGTTTGAATGGGATCACGGAATAGGTCTGCATGCAGTGCAGGGGAATGGGGCCTCATCTCGCCTCTAAGGGGAAGTCTCATGGTTTTTCTCGAGTTGCGGCGGGGGCTTGGGGTATGTTCTCGACTTACGGCGGGGATGGCCCTTCAAAACACGAGTTTCTTCAGTGACGTCAGGACTCCTGTCTAGTAACGAGGGACACCTCAGGAATCTCTTCGAGGCTTGGCAGGGCAAAAGGGACGCTTCTCGAGGTGAGGCAGGGCACCCAAGGACCCTTTCAGTAGCCACAGGGATTTTGGGATTCCTATCAGTATTCAAGAGGAGTCAGGCATCGTCACCTTTTGAAGCAATGAACTCTGCGTGCCTCTCGAGGTGTCAGCGGGATGTGAGGCATTCCGTCAAAATGAGGCATGGACCTAGGGCTTTCTCTAAGGTCTCCAAAGGGCATTCAGTCATCCCTTCATGTTTTGAGATCAAAGAAGAGCTGTATTCAAGCCACTGCAAGGAAATCCGGCCTCCTTTCAAGTTAGGGCTTCTCGCTGTATATTCCCATTGAGGCAGCAAACTCGGGGTCCCTCCCACATACCTATTGCTGAGAGAAGCCTCCTCCTGAGGTGCTTCTGGAAAGTTGGCATACGTCTTGAGCCTAAGCCAGGGAAACAGCTCTCATCTCGAGACGATTTGGGGTACACGGAGCATTCCTCGAGTTGCTGTGCTGAAGTTGGTGTTCCTCTAGACTTGGGACAGTGTTCTCGGGGCATCTCTGGAGTTGCCTGAAGGAAGTCGAGCCACCGGTCGTGTTGAATGGGGAACGGGGAATGGCTCTAGAGTCAATGCAGGGGAATCGGGCCTCATCTCGAGTTGATTTGGGGCACATGGAGCTGCTTTGCATTGCTGGGGTGACCCCAGGGTCCGTCTAGACTGGTGACAGTGTTCTTGGGGACTGTCTCGAGATCCATTAAGCAAGTCGAAGCTCCTGACTTGTTTGAATGGGATCACGGAATAGCTCTGCATGCACTGCAGGGGAATGGGGCCTCATCTCGCCTCTAGGGGGAAGTCTCATGGTTTTTCTCGAGTTGCGGCGGGGACCTGGGGTATGTTCTCGACTTACGGCGGGATGGCCCTTCAAAACACGAGTTTCTTCAGTGAAGTCAGGACTCCTGTCTAGTAACGAGGGACACCTCAGGAATCTCTTCGAGGCTTGGCAGGGCAAAAGGGACGCTTCTCGAGGTGAGGCAGGGCACCCAAGGACCCTTTCCTGTAGCCACAGGGATTTTGGGATTCCTATCAGTATTCAAGAGGAGTCAGGCATCGTCACATTTTGAAGAAATGAACTCCGCGTGCCTCTCGAGGTGTCAGCGGGATGTGAGGCATTCCGTCAAAATGAGGCAGGGACCTAGGGCTTTCTCTAAGGTCTCCACAGGGGATTCAGACATCCCTTCATGTTGTGAGATGAAAGACGAGCCTGTATTCAAGCCACTGCAAGGAAATCCGGCCTCCTTTCAAGTTAGGGCTTCTCGCTGTATATTCCCCTTGAGGCAGCACACTCGGGGTCCCTCCCACATACCTATTGCTGAGAGAAGCCTCCTCCTGAGGTGCTTCTGGAAAGTTGGCATACGTCTTGAGCCTAAGCCAGGGAATCAGCTCTCATCTCGAGACGATTTGGGGTACACGGAGCATTCCTCGAGTTGCTGTGCTGAAGTTGGTGTTCCGCTAGACTTGGGACAGTGTTCTCGGGGCATCTGTGGAGTTGCCTGAAGGAAGTCGAGCCACCGGTCGTGTTGAATGGGGAACGGGGAATGGCTCTGGAGTCAATGCAGGGGAATCGGGCCTCATCTCGAGTTGATTTGGGGCACATGTAGCTGCTTTGTGTTGCTGGGGTGACCTCAGGGTCCGTCTAGACTGGTGACAGTGCTCTTGGGGACTGTCTCGAGATCGATTAAGCAAGTCGAAGCTCCTGACTTGTTTGAATGGGATCACGGAATAGCTCTGCATGCACTGCAGGGGAATGGGGCCTCATCTCGCCTCTAGGGGGAAGTCTCATGGTTTTTCTCGAGTTGCGGCGGGGACCTGGGGTATGTTCTCGACTTACGGCGGGGATGGCCCTTCAAAACACGAGTTTCTTCAGTGACGTCAGGACTCCTGTCTAGTAACGAGGGACACCTCAGGAATCTCTTCGAGGCTTGGCTGGGCAAAAGTGATGCTTCTCGAGGTCAGGCAGGGCACCCAAGGATCCTTTCCAGTAGCCACAGGGATTTTGGGATTCCTATCAGTATTCAAGAGGAGTCAGGCATCGTCACCTTTTGAAGCAATGAACTCCGCGTGCCTCTCGAGGTGTCAGCAGGATGTGAGGCATTCCGTCAAAATGAGGCTGGGACCTAGGGCTTTCTCTCAGGTCTCCACAGGGGATTCAGACATCCCTTCATGTTGTGAGATGAAAGACGAGCCTGTATTCAAGCCACTGCAAGGAAATCCGGCCACCTTTCAAGTTAGGGCTTCTCGATGTATATTCCCCTTGAGGCAGCAAACTCGGGGTCCCTCCAACATACATATTGCTGAGAGAAGCCTCCTCCTGAGGTGCTTCTGGAATGTAGGCATACGTCTTGAGCCTAAGCCAGGTAATCGGCTCTCATCTCGAGACGATTTGGGGTACACGGAGCATTCCTCGAGTTGCTGTGCTGAAGTTGGTGTTCCTGTAGACTTGGGACAGTGTTCTCGGGGCATCTCTGGAGTTGCCTGAAGGAAGTGGAGCCACCGGTCGTGTTGAATGGGGAACGGGTAATAGCTCTGGGGTCAATGCAGGGGAATCGGGCCTCATCTCGAGTTGATTTGGGGCACATGGAGCTGCTTTTCGTTGCTGGGGTGACCTCAGGGTCCGTCTAGACTGGTGACAGTGTTCTTGGGGACTGTCTCGAGATCGATTAAGCAAGTCGAAGCTCCTGACTTGTTTGAATGGGATCACGGAATAGGTCTGCATGCAGTGCAGGGGAATGGGGCCTTATCTCGCCTCTAAGGGGAAGTCTCATGGTTTTTCTCGAGTTGCGGCAGGGGCCTGGGGTATGTTCTCGACTTACGGCGGGGATGGCCCTTCAAAACACGAGTTTCTTCAGTGACGTCAGGACTCCTGTCTAGTAACGAGGGACACCTCAGGAATCTCTTCGAGGCTTGGCAGGGCAAAAGGGACGCTTCTCGAGGTGAGGCAGGGCACCCAAGGACCCTTTCAGTAGCCACAGGGATTTTGGGATTCCTATCAGTATTCAAGAGGAGTCAGGCATCGTCACCTATTGAAGCAATGAACTCCGCGTGCCTCTCGAGTTGTCAGCGGGATGTGAGGCATTCCGTCAAAATGAGGCAGGGACCTACGGCTTTCTCTAAGGTCTCCACAGGGGATTCAGACATCCCTTCATGTTGTGAGATGAAAGACGAGCCTGTATTCAAGCCACTGCAAGGAAATCCGGCCTCCTTTCAAGTTAGGGCTTCTCGCTGTATATTCCCCTTGAGGCAGCACACTCGGGGTCCCTCCCACATACCTATTGCTGAGAGAAGCCTCCTCCTGAGTTGCTTCTGGAAAGTTGGCAAATGCCTTGAGCCTAAGACAATGTATCAGCTCTCATCTCGAGACGATTTGGGGTGCACGGAGCATTCCTCGAGTTGCTGTGCTGAAGTTGGTGTTCTTCTAGACTTGGGACAGTGTTCTCGGGGCATCTCTGGAGTTGCGTGAAGGAAGTCGATCCACCGGTCGTGTTGAATGGGGAACGGGGAATGGCTCTGGGGTCAATGCAGGGGAATCGGGCCTCATCTCGAGTTGATTTGGGGCACATGGAGCTGCTTTGCGTTGCTGGGGTGACCTCAGGGTCCGTCTAGACTGGTGACAGTGTTCTTGGGGACTGTCTCGAGATCCATTAAGCAAGTCGAAGCTCCTGACTTGTTTGAATGGGATCACGGAATACCTCTGCATGCACTGCAGGGGAATGGGGCCTCATCTCGCCTCTAGGGGGAAGTCTCATGGTTTTTCTCGAGTTGCGACGGGGACCTGGGGTATGTTCTCGACTTACGGCGGTGATGGCCCTTCAAAACACGAGTTTCTTCAGTGACGTCAGGACTCCTGTCTAGTAACGAGGGACACCTCAGGAATCTCTTCCAGGCTTGGCAGGGCAAAAGGGACGCTTCTCGAGGTGAGGCAGGGCACCCAAGGACCCTTTCCAGTAGCCACAGGGATTTTGGGATTCCTATCAGTATTCAAGAGGAGTCAGGCATCGTCACCTTTTGAAGCAATGAACTCTGCGTGCCTCTCGAGGTGTCAGCGGGATGTGAGGCATTCCGTTAAAATGAGGCATGGACCTAGGGCTTTCTCTAAGGTCTCCAAAGGGCATTCAGTCATCCCTTCATGTTTTGAGATCAAAGAAGAGCTGTATTCAAGCCACTGCAAGGAAATCCGGCCTCCTTTCAAGTTAGGGCTTCTCGCTGTATATTCCCATTGAGGCAGCAAACTCGGGGTCCCTCCCACATACCTATTGCTGAGAGAAGCCTCCTCCTGAGGTGCTTCTGGAAAGTTGGCATACGTCTTGAGCCTAAGCCAGGGAATCAGCTCTCATCTCGAGACGATTTGGGGTACACGGAGCATTCCTCGAGTTGCTGTGCTGAAGTTGGTGTTCCTCTAGACTTGGGACAGTGTTCTCGGGGCATCTCGGGAGTTGCCTGAAGGAAGTCGAGCCACCGGTCGTGTTGAATGGGGAACGGGGAATGGCTCTAGAGTCAATGCAGGGGAATCGGGCCTCATCTCGAGTTGATTTGGGGCACATGGAGCTGCTTTGCCTTGCTGGGGTGACCCCAGGGTCCGTCTAGACTGGTGACAGTGTTCTTGGGGACTGTCTCGAGATCCATTAAGCAAGTCGAAGCTCCTGACTTGTTTGAATGGGATCACGGAATAGCTCTGCATGCACTGCAGGGGAATGGGGCCTCATCTCGCCTCTAGGGGGAAGTCTCATGGTTTTTCTCGAGTTGCGGCGGGGACCTGGGGTATGTTCTCGACTTACGGCGGGATGGCCCTTCAAAACACGAGTTTCTTCAGTGACGTCAGGACTCCTGTCTAGTAACGAGGGACACCTCAGGAATCTCTTCGAGGCTTGGCAGGGCAAAAGGGACGCTTCTCGAGGTGAGGCAGGGCACCCAAGGACCCTTTCCTGTAGCCACAGGGATTTTGGGATTCCTATCAGTATTCAAGAGGAGTCAGGCATCGTCACATTTTGAAGAAATGAACTCCGCGTGCCTCTCGAGGTGTCAGCGGGATGTGAGGCATTCCGTCAAAATGAGGCAGGGACCTAGGGCTTTCTCTAAGGTCTCCACAGCTGATTCAGACATGCCTTCATGTTGTGAGATTAAACACGAGCCTGTATTCAAGCCACTGCAAGGAAATCGGGCCTCCTTTCAATTTAGGGCTTCTCGCTGTATATTCCCCTTGAGGCGGCAAACTCGGGGTCCCTCCCACATAGCTATTGCTGAGAGAAGCCTCCTCCTGAGGTGCTTCTGGAAAGTTGGCATACGTCTTGAGCCTAAGCCAGGGAATCAGCTCTCATCTCGAGACGATTTGGGGTACACGGAGCATTCCTCGAGTTGCTGTGCTGAAGTTGGTGTTCCTCTAGACTTGGGACAGTGTTCTCGGGGCATCTGTGGAGTTGCCTGAAGGAAGTCGAGCCACCGGTCGTGTTGAATGGGGAACGGGGAATGGCTCTGGAGTCAATGCAGGGGAATCGGGCCTCATCTCGAGTTGATTTGGGGCACATGGAGCTGCTTTGCGTTGCTGGGGTGGCCTCAGGGTCCGTCTAGACTGGTGACAGTGTTCTTGGGGACTGTCTCGAGATCCATTAAGCAAGTCGAAGCTCCTGACTTGTTTGAATGGGATCACGGAATAGCTCTGCATGCACTGCAGGGGAATGGGGCCTCATCTCGCCTCTAGGGGGAAGTCTCATGGTTTTTCTCGAGTTGCGGCAGGGACCTGGGGTATGTTCTCGACTTACGGCGGGGAAGGCCCTTCAAAACACGAGTTTCTTCAGTGACGTCAGGACTCCTGTCTAGTAACGAGGGACACCTCAGGAATCTCTTCGAGGCTTGGCAGGGCAAAACGGATGCTTCTCGAGGTTAGGCAGGGCACCCAAGGACCCTTTCCAGTAGCCACGGGGATTTTGGGATTCCTATCAGTATTCAAGAAGAGTCAGGCATCGTCACCTTTTGAAGCAATGAACTCTGCGTGCCTCTCGAGGTGTCAACGGGATGTGAGGCATTCCGTCAAAATGAGGCAGGGACCTAGGGCTTTCTCTAAGGTCTCCACAGTGGATTCCGTCATCCCTTCATGTTGTGAGATGAAAGACGAGCCTGTATTCAAGCCACTGCAAGGAAATCCGGCCTCCTTTCAAGTTAGGGCTTCTCGCTGTATATTCCCCTTGAGGCAGCAAACTCGGGGTCCCTCCCACATACCTATTGCTGAGAGAAGCCTCCTCCTGAGGTGCTTCTGGAAAGTTGGCATACGTCTTGAGCCTAAGCCAGGGAATCAGCTCTCATCTCGAGACGATTTGGGGTACACGGAGCATTCCTCGAGTTGCTGTGCTGAAGTTGGTGTTCCTCTAGACTTGGGACAGTTTTCTCGGGGAATCTCTGGAGTTGCCTGAAGGAAGTCGAGCCACCGGTCGTGTTGAATGGGGATCGGGGAATGGCTCTGGAGTCAATGCAGGGGAATCGGGCCTCATCTCGAGTTGATTTGTGGCACATGCAGCTGCTTTGCGTTGCTGGGGTGACCTCAGCGTCCGTCTAGACTGGTGACAGTGTTCTTGGGGACTGTCTCGAGATCCATTAAGCAAGTCGAATCTCCTGACTTGTTTGAATGGGATCACGGAATAGCTCTGCATGCACTGCAGGGGAATGGGGCCTCATCTCGCCTCTAGGGGGAAGTCTCATGGTTTTTCTCGAGTTGCGGCGGGGACCTGGGGTATGTTCTCGACTTACGGCGGGGATGGCCCTTCAAAACACGAGTTTCTTCAGTGACGTCAGGACTCCTGTCTAGTAACGAGGGACACCTCAGGAATCTCTTCCAAGCTTGGCAGGGCAAAAGGGACGCTTCTCGAGGTGAGGCAGGGCACCCAAGGACCCTTTCCAGTAGCCACAGGGATTTTGGGATTCCTATCAGTATTCAAGAGGAGTCAGGCATCGTCACCTTTTGAAGCAATGAACTCTGCGTGCCTCTCGAGGTGTCAGCGGGATGTGAGGCATTCCGTCAAAATGAGGCATGGACCTAGGGCTTTCTCTAAGGTCTCCACAGGGCATTCAGTCATCCCTTCATGTTTTGAGATCAAAGAAGAGCCTGTATTCAAGCCACTGCAGGGAAATCCGGCCTCCTTTCAAGTTAGGGCTTCTCGCTGTATATTCCCCTTGAGGCAGCAAACTCGGGGTCCCTCCCACATACCTATTGCTGAGAGAAGCCTCCTTCTGAGGTGCTTCTGGAAAGTTGGCATATGTCTTGAGCCTAAGCCAGGGAATCACCTCTCATCTCGAGACGATTTGGGGTACACGGAGCATTCCTCGATTTGCTGTGCTGAAGTTGGTGTTCCTCTAGACTTGGGACAGTGTTCTCGGGGCATCTCTGGAGTTACCTGAAGGAAGTCGAGCCACCGGTCATGTTGAATGCGGAACGGGGAATGGCTCTGGAGTCAATGCAGGGGAATCGGGCCTCATCTCGAGTTGATTTGGGTCACATGGAGCTGCTTTGCGTTGCTGGGGTGACCTCAGGGTCTGTCTAGACTGGTGACAGTGTTCTTGGGGACTGTCTCGAGATCCATTAAGCAAGTCGAAGCTCCTGACTTGTTTGAATGGGATCACGGAATAGCTCTGCATGCACTGCAGGGGAATGGGGCCTCATCTCGCCTCTAGGGGGAAGTCTCATGGTTTTACTCGAGTTGCGGCGGGGACCTGGGGTATGTTCTCGACTTACGGCGGGATGGCCCTTCAAAACACGAGTTTCTTCAGTGACGTCAGGACTCCTGTCTAGTAACGAGGGACACCTCAGGAATCTCTTCGAGGTTTGGCAGGGCAAAACGGACGCTTCTCGAGGTGAGGCAGGGCACCCAAGGACCCTTTCCAGTAGCCACGGGGATTTTGGGATTCCTATCAGTATTCAAGAAGAGTCAGGCATCGTCACCTTTTGAAGCAATGAACTCTGCGTGCCTCTCGAGGTGTCAGCGGGATGTGAGGCATTCCGTCAAAATGAGGCAGGGACCTAGGGCTTTCTCTAAGGTCTCCACAGTGGATTCCGACATCCCTTCATGTTGTGAGATGAAAGACGAGCCAGTATTCAAGCCACTGCAAGGAAATCCGGCCTCCTTTCAAGTTAGGGCTTCTCGCTGTATATTCCCCTTGAGGCAGCAAACTCGGGGTCCCTCCCACATACCTATTGCTGAGAGAAGCCTCCTCCTGAGGTGCTTCTGGAAAGTTGGCATACGTATTGACCCTAAGCCAGGGAATCAGCTCTCATCTCGAGACGATTTGGGGTACACGGAGCATTCCTCGAGTTGCTGTGCTGAAGTTGGTGTTCCTCTAGACTTCGGACAGTGTTCTCGGGGAATCTCTGGAGTTGCCTGAAGGAAGTCGAGCCACCGGTCGTGTTGAATGGGGATCGGGGAATGGCTCTGGAGTCAATGCAGGGGAATCGGGCCTCATCTCGAGTTGATTTGGGGCACATGCAGCTGCTTTGCGTTGCTGGGGTGACCTCAGTGTCCGTCTAGACTGGTGACATTGTTCTTGGGGACTGTCTCGAGATCCATTAAGCAAGTCGAATCTCCTGACTTGTTTGAATGGGATCACGGAATAGCTCTGCATGCACTGCAGGGGAATGGGGCCTCATCTCGCCTCTAGGGGGAAGTCTCATGGTTTTTCTCGAGTTGCGGCGGGGACCTGGGGTATGTTCTCGACTTACGGCGGGGATGGCCCTTCAAAACACGAGTTTCTTCAGTGACGTCAGGACTCCTGTCTAGTAACGAGGGACAACTCAGGAATCTCTTCCAAGCTTGGCAGGGAAAAGGGACGCTTCTCGAGGTGAGGCAGGGCACCCAAGGACCCTTTCCAGTAGCCACAGGGATTTTGGGATTCCTATCAGTATTCAAGAGGAGTCAGGCATCGTCACCTTTTGAAGCAATGAACTCTGCGTGCCTCTCGAGGTGTCAGCGGGATGTGAGGCATTCCGTCAAAATGAGGCATGGACCTAGGGCTTTCTCTAAGGTCTCCACAGGGCATTCAGTCATCCCTTCATGTTTTGAGATCAAAGAAGAGCCTGTATTCAAGCCACTGCAGGGAAATCCGGCCTCCTTTCAAGTTAGGGCTTCTCGCTGTATATTCCCCTTGAGGCAGCAAACTCGGGGTCCCTCCCACATACCTATTGCTGAGAGAAGCCTCCTCCTGAGGTGCTTCTGGAAAGTTGGCATACGTCTTGAGCCTAAGCCAGGGAATCAGCTCTCATCTCGAGACGATTTGGGGTACACGGAGCATTCCTCGATTTGCTGTGCTGAAGTTGGTGTTCCTCTAGACTTGGGACAGTGTTCTCGGGGCATCTCTGGAGTTACCTGAAGGAAGTCGAGCCACCGGTCATGTTGAATGCGGAACGGGGAATGGCTCTGGAGTCAATGCAGGGGAATCGGGCCTCATCTCGAGTTGATTTGGGTCACATGGAGCTGCTTTGCGTTGCTGGGGTGACCTCAGGGTCTGTCTAGACTGGTGACAGTGTTCTTGGGGACTGTCTCGAGATCCATTAAGCAAGTCGAAGCTCCTGACTTGTTTGAATGGGATCACGGAATAGCTCTGCATGCACTGCAGGGGAATGGGGCCTCATCTCGCCTCTAGGGGGAAGTCTCATGGTTTTACTCGAGTTGCGGCGGGGACCTGGGGTATGTTCTCGCCTTACGGCAGGATGGCCCTTCAAAACACGAGTTTCTTCAGTGACGTCAGGACTCCTGTCTAGTAACGAGGGACACCTCAGGAATCTCTTCCAAGCTTGGCAGGGCAAAAGGGACGCTTCTCGAGGTGAGGCAGTGCACCCAAGGACCCTTTCCTGTAGCTACAGGGATTTTGGGATTCCTATCAGTATTCAAGAGGAGTCAGGCATCGTCACCTTTTGAAGCAATGAACTCCGCGTGCCTCTCGAGGTGTCAGCGGGATGTGAGGCATTCCGTCAAAATGAGGCAGGGACATAGGGCTTTCTCTAAGGTCTCCACAGGGGATTCAGACATGCCTTCATGTTGTGAGATTAAACACAAGCCTGTATTCAAGCCACTGCTAGGAAATCAGGCCTCCTTTCAATTTAGGGCTTCTCGCTGTATATTCCCCTTGAGGCAGCAAATTCGGGGTCCCTCCCACATAGCTATTGCTGAGAGAAGCCTCCTCCTGAGGTGCTTCTGGAAAGTTGGCATACGTCTTGATCCTAAGCCAGGGAATCAGCTCTCATCTCGAGACGATTTGGGGTACACGGAGCATTCCTCGAGTTGCTGTGCTGAAGTTAGTGTTCCTCTAGACTTGGGACAGTGTTCTCGGGGCATCTCTGGAGTTGCCTGAAGGAAGTCGAGCCACCGGTCGTGTTGAATGGGGAACGGGGAATGGCTCTGGAGTCAATGCAGGGGAATCGGGCCTCATCTCGAGTTGATTTGGGGCACATGCAGCTGCTTTGCGTTGCTTGGGTGGCCTCAGGGTCTGTCTAGACTGGTGACAGTGTTCTTGGGGACTGTCTCGAGATCGATTAAGCAAGTCGAAGCTCCTGACTTGTTTGAATGGGATCACGGAATAGCTCTGCATGCACTGCAGGGGAATGGGGCCTCATCTCGCCTCTAGGGGGAAGTCTCATGGTTTTTCTCGAGTTGCGGCAGGGACCTGGGGTATGTTCTCGACTTACGGCGGGGAAGGCCCTTCAAAACACGAGTTTCTTCAGTGACGTCAGGACTCCTGTCTAGTAACGAGGGACACCTCAGGAATCTCTTCGAGGTTTGGCAGGGCAAAACGAACGCTTCTCGAGGTGAGGCAGGGCACCCAAGGACCCTTTCCAGTAGCCACGGGGATTTTGGGATTCCTATCAGTATTCAAGAAGAGTCAGGCATCGTCACCTTTTGAAGCAATGAACTCTGCGTGCCTCTCGAGGTGTCAGCGGGATGTGAGGCATTCCGTCAAAATGAGGCAGGGACCTAGGGCATTCTCTAAGGTCTCCACAGTGGATTCCGACATCCCTTCATGTTGTGAGATGAAAGACGAGCCTGTATTCAAGCCACTGCAAGGAAATCTGGCCTCCTTTCAAGTTAGGGCTTCTCGCTGTATATTCCCCTTAAGGCAGCAAACTCGGGGTCCCTCCCACATACCTATTGCTGAGAGAAGCCTCCTCCTGAGGTGCTTCTGGAAAGTTGGCATACGTATTGACCCTAAGCCAGGGAATCAGCTCTCATCTCGAGACGATTTGGGGTACACGGAGCATTCCTCGAGTTGCTGTGCTGAAGTTGGTGTTCCTCTAGACTTCGGACAGTGTTCTCGGGGAATTTCTGGAGTTGCCTGAAGGAAGTCGAGCCACCGGTCGTGTTGAATGGGGAACGGGGAATGGCTCTGGAGTCAATGCAGGGGAATCGGGCCTCATCTCGAGTTGATTTGGGGCACATGGAGCTGCTTTGCGTTGCTGGGGTGACCTCAGCGTCCGTCTAGACTGGTGACATTGTTCTTGGGGACTTTCTCGAGATCCATTAAGCAAGTCGAATCTCCTGACTTGTTTGAATAGGATCACGGAATAGCTCTGCATGCACTGCAGGGGAATGGGGCCTCATCTCGCCTCTAGGGGGAAGTCTCATGGTTTTTCTCGAGTTGCGGCGGGGACCTGGGGTATGTTCTCGACTTACGGCGGGGATGGCCCTTCAAAACACGAGTTTCTTCAGTGACGTCAGGACTCCTGTCTAGTAACGAGGGACACCTCAGGAATCTCTTCGAGGCTTGGCAGGGCAAAACGGATGCTTCTCGAGGTGAGGCAGGGCACCCAAGGACCCTTTCCAGTAGCCACGGGGATTTTGGGATTCCTATCAGTATTCAAGAAGAGTCAGGCATCGTCACCTTTTGAAGCAATGAACTCTGCGTGCCTCTCGAGGTGTCAACGGGATGTGAGGCATTCCGTCAAAATGAGGCAGGGACCTAGGGCTTTCTCTAAGGTCTCCACAGTGGATTCCGTCATCCCTTCATGTTGTGAGATGAAAGACGAGCCTGTATTCAAGCCACTGCAAGGAAATCCGGCCTCCTTTCAAGTTAGGGCTTCTCGCTGTATATTCCCCTTGAGGCAGCAAACTCGGGGTCCCTCCCACATACCTATTGCTGAGAGAAGCCTCCTCCTGAGGTGCTTCTGGAAAGTTGGCATACGTCTTGAGCCTAAGCCAGGGAATCAGCTCTCATCTCGAGACGATTTGGGGTACACGGAGCATTCCTCGAGTTGCTGTGCTGAAGTTGGTGTTCCTCTAGACTTGGGACAGTTTTCTCGGGGAATCTCTGGAGTTGCCTGAAGGAAGTCGAGCCACCGGTCGTGTTGAATGGGGATCGGGGAATGGCTCTGGAGTCAATGCAGGGGAATCGGGCCTCATCTCGAGTTGATTTGGGGCACATGCAGCTGCTTTGCGTTGCTGGGGTGACCTCAACGTCCGTCTAGACTGGTGACAGTGTTCTTGGGGACTGTCTCGAGATCCATTAAGCAAGTCGAATCTCCTGACTTGTTTGAATGGGATCACGGAAGAGCTCTGCATGCACTGCAGGGGAATGGGGCCTCATCTCGCCTCTAGGGGGAAGTCTCATGGTTTTTCTCGAGTTGCGGCGGGGACCTGGGGTATGTTCTCGACTTACGGCGGGGATGGCCCTTCAAAACACGAGTTTCTTCAGTGACGTCAGGACTCCTGTCTAGTAACGAGGGACACCTCAGGAATCTCTTCCAAGCTTGGCAGGGCAAAAGGGACGCTTCTCGAGGTGAGGCAGGGCACCCAAGGACCCTTTCCAGTAGCCACAGGGATTTTGGGATTCCTATCAGTATTCAAGAGGAGTCAGGCATCGTCACCTTTTGAAGCAATGAACTCTGCGTGCCTCTCGAGGTGTCAGCGGGATGTGAGGCATTCCGTCAAAATGAGGCATGGACCTAGGGCTTTCTCTAAGGTCTCCACAGGGCATTCAGTCATCCCTTCATGTTTTGAGATCAAAGAAGAGCCTGTATTCAAGCCACTGCAGGGAAATCCGGCCTCCTTTCAAGTTAGGGCTTCTCGCTGTATATTCCCCTTGAGGCAGCAAACTCGGGGTCCCTCCCACATACCTATTGCTGAGAGAAGCCTCCTTCTGAGGTGCTTCTGGAAAGTTGGCATATGTCTTGAGCCTAAGCCAGGGAATCACCTCTCATCTCGAGACGATTTGGGGTACACGGAGCATTCCTCGATTTGCTGTGCTGAAGTTGGTGTTCCTCTAGACTTGGGACAGTGTTCTCGGGGCATCTCTGGAGTTACCTGAAGGAAGTCGAGCCACCGGTCATGTTGAATGCGGAACGGGGAATGGCTCTGGAGTCAATGCAGGGGAATCGGGCCTCATCTCGAGTTGATTTGGGTCACATGGAGCTGCTTTGCGTTGCTGGGGTGACCTCAGGGTCTGTCTAGACTGGTGACAGTGTTCTTGGGGACTGTCTCGAGATCCATTAAGCAAGTCGAAGCTCCTGACTTGTTTGAATGGGATCACGGAATAGCTCTGCATGCACTGCAGGGGAATGGGGCCTCATCTCGCCTCTAGGGGGAAGTCTCATGGTTTTACTCGAGTTGCGGCGGGGACCTGGGGTATGTTCTCGACTTACGGCGGGATGGCCCTTCAAAACACGAGTTTCTTCAGTGACGTCAGGACTCCTGTCTAGTAACGAGGGACACCTCAGGAATCTCTTCGAGGTTTGGCAGGGCAAAACGGACGCTTCTCGAGGTGAGGCAGGGCACCCAAGGACCCTTTCCAGTAGCCACGGGGATTTTGGGATTCCTATCAGTATTCAAGAAGAGTCAGGCATCGTCACCTTTTGAAGCAATGAACTCTGCGTGCCTCTCGAGGTGTCAGCGGGATGTGAGGCATTCCGTCAAAATGAGGCAGGGACCTAGGGCTTTCTCTAAGGTCTCCACAGTGGATTCCGACATCCCTTCATGTTGTGAGATGAAAGACGAGCCAGTATTCAAGCCACTGCAAGGAAATCCGGCCTCCTTTCAAGTTAGGGCTTCTCGCTGTATATTCCCCTTGAGGCAGCAAACTCGGGGTCCCTCCCACATACCTATTGCTGAGAGAAGCCTCCTCCTGAGGTGCTTCTGGAAAGTTGGCATACGTATTGACCCTAAGCCAGGGAATCAGCTCTCATCTCGAGACGATTTGGGGTACACGGAGCATTCCTCGAGTTGCTGTGCTGAAGTTGGTGTTCCTCTAGACTTCGGACAGTGTTCTCGGGGAATCTCTGGAGTTGCCTGAAGGAAGTCGAGCCACCGGTCTTGTTGAATGGGGATCGGGGAATGGCTCTGGAGTCAATGCAGGGGAATCGGGCCTCATCTCGAGATGATTTGGGGCACATGCAGCTGCTTTGCGTTGCTGGGGTGACCTCAGTGTCCGTCTAGACTGGTGACATTGTTCTTGGGGACTGTCTCGAGATCCATTAAGCAAGTCGAATCTCCTGACTTGTTTGAATGGGATCACGGAATAGCTCTGCATGCACTGCAGGGGAATGGGGCCTCATCTCGCCTCTAGGGGGAAGTCTCATGGTTTTTCTCGAGTTGCGGCGGGGACCTGGGGTATGTTCTCGACTTACGGCGGGGATGGCCCTTCAAAACACGAGTTTCTTCAGTGACGTCAGGACTCCTGTCTAGTAACGTGGGACACCTCAGGAATCTCTTCCAAGCTTGGCAGGGCAAAAGGGACGCTTCTCGAGGTGAGGCAGGGCACCCAAGGACCCTTTCCAGTAGCCACAGGGATTTTGGGATTCCTATCAGTATTCAAGAGGAGTCAGGCATCGTCACCTTTTGAAGCAATGAACTCTGCGTGCCTCTCGAGGTGTCAGCGGGATGTGAGGCATTCCGTCAAAATGAGGCATGGACCTAGGGCTTTCTCTAAGGTCTCCACAGGGCATTCAGTCATCCCTTCATGTTTTGAGATCAAAGAAGAGCCTGTATTCAAGCCACTGCAGGGAAATCCGGCCTCCTTTCAAGTTAGGGCTTCTCGCTGTATATTCCCCTTGAGGCAGCAAACTCGGGGTCCCTCCCACATACCTATTGCTGAGAGAAGCCTCCTCCTGAGGTGCTTCTGGAAAGTTGGCATACGTCTTGAGCCTAAGCCAGGGAATCAGCTCTCATCTCGAGACGATTTGGGGTACACGGAGCATTCCTCGATTTGCTGTGCTGAAGTTGGTGTTCCTCTAGACTTGGGACAGTGTTCTCGGGGCATCTCTGGAGTTACCTGAAGGAAGTCGAGCCACCGGTCATGTTGAATGCGGAACGGGGAATGGCTCTGGAGTCAATGCAGGGGAATCGGGCCTCATCTCGAGTTGATTTGGGTCACATGGAGCTGCTTTGCGTTGCTGGGGTGACCTCAGGGTCTGTCTAGACTGGTGACAGTGTTCTTGGGGACTGTCTCGAGATCCATTAAGCAAGTCGAAGCTCCTGACTTGTTTGAATGGGATCACGGAATAGCTCTGCATGCACTGCAGGGGAATGGGGCCTCATCTCGCCTCTAGGGGGAAGTCTCATGGTTTTACTCGAGTTGCGGCGGGGACCTGGGGTATGTTCTCGACTTACGGCGGGATGGCCCTTCAAAACACGAGTTTCTTCAGTGACGTCAGGACTCCTGTCTAGTAACGAGGGACACCTCAGGAATCTCTTCGAGGTTTGGCAGGGCAAAACGGACGCTTCTCGAGGTGAGGCAGGGCACCCAAGGACCCTTTCCAGTAGCCACGGGGATTTTGGGATTCCTATCAGTATTCAAGAAGAGTCAGGCATCGTCACCTTTTGAAGCAATGAACTCTGCGTGCCTCTCGAGGTGTCAGCGGGATGTGAGGCATTCCGTCAAAATGAGGCAGGGACCTAGGGCTTTCTCTAAGGTCTCCACAGTGGATTCCGACATCCCTTCATGTTGTGAGATGAAAGACGAGCCTGTATTCAAGCCACTGCAAGGAAATCCGGCCTCCTTTCAAGTTAGGGCTTCTCGCTGTATATTCCCCTTGAGGCAGCAAACTCGGGGTCCCTCCCACATACCTATTGCTGAGAGAAGCCTCCTCCTGAGGTGCTTCTGGAAAGTTGGCCTACGTATTGACCCTAAGCCAGGGAATCAGCTCTCATCTCGAGACGATTTGGGGTACACGGAGCATTCCTCGAGTTGCTGTGCTGAAGTTGGTGTTCCTCTAGACTTCGGACAGTGTTCTCGGGGAATCTCTGGAGTTGCCTGAAGGAAGTCGAGCCACCGGTCGTGTTGAATGGGTATCGGGGAATGGCTCTGGAGTCAATGCAGGGGAATCGGGCCTCATCTCGAGTTGATTTGGGGCACATGGAGCTGCTTTGCGTTGCTGGGGTGACCTCAGCGTCCGTCTAGACTGTGACATTGTTCTTGGGGACTGTCTCGAGATCCATTAAGCAAGTCGAATCTCCTGACTTGTTTGAATGGGATCACGGAATAGCTCTGCATGCACTGCAGGGGAATGGGGCCTCATCTCGCCTCTAGGGGGAAGTCTCATGGTTTTTCTCGAGTTGCGGCGGGGGCCTGGGGTATGTTCTCGACTTACGGCGGGGATGGCCCTTCAAAACACGAGTTTCTTCAGTGACGTCAGGACTCCTGTCTAGTAACGAGGGACACCTCAGGAATCTCTTCCAAGCTTGGCAGGGCAAAAGGGACGCTTCTCGAGGTGAGGCAGGGCACCCAAGGACCCTTTCCAGTAGCCACAGGGATTTTGGGATTCCTATCAGTATTCAAGAGGAGTCAGGCATCGTCACCTTTTGAAGCAATGAACTCTGCGTGCCTCTCGAGGTGTCAGCGGGATGTGAGGCATTCCGTCAAAATGAGGCATGGACCTAGGGCTTTCTCTAAGGTCTCCACAGGGCATTCAGTCATCCCTTCATGTTTTGAGATCAAAGAAGAGCCTGTATTCAAGCCACTGCAGGGAAATCCGGCCTCCTTTCAAGTTAGGGCTTCTCGCTGTATATTCCCCTTGAGGCAGCAAACTCGGGGTCCCTCCCACATACCTATTGCTGAGAGAAGCCTCCTCCTGAGGTGCTTCTGGAAAGTTGGCATACGTCTTGAGCCTAAGCCAGGGAATCAGCTCTCATCTCGAGACGATTTGGGGTACACGGAGCATTCCTCGAGTTGCTGTGCTGAAGTTGGTGTTCCTCTAGACTTGGGACAGTGTTCTCGGGGCATCTCTTGAGTTACCTGAAGGAAGTCGAGCCACCGGTCATGTTGAATGCGGAACGGGGAATGGCTCTGGAGTCAATGCAGGGGAATCGGGCCTCATCTCGAGTTGATTTGGGTCACATGGAGCTGCTTTGCGTTGCTGGGGTGACCTCAGGGTCTGTCTAGACTGGTGACAGTGTTCTTGGGGACTGTCTCGAGATCCATTAAGCAAGTCGAAGCTCCTGACTTGTTTGAATGGGATCACGGAATAGCTCTGCATGCACTGCAGGGGAATGGGGCCTCATCTCGCCTCTAGGGGGAAGTCTCATGGTTTTACTCGAGTTGCGGCGGGGACCTGGCGTATGTTCTCGACTTACGGCGGGATGGCCCTTCAAAACACGAGTTTCTTCAGTGACGTCAGGACTCCTGTCTAGTAACGAGGGACACCTCAGGAATCTCTTCCAAGCTTGGCAGGGCAAAACGGACGCTTCTCGAGGTGAGGCAGTGCACCCAAGGACCCTTTCCTGTAGCCACAGGGATTTTGGGATTCCTATCAGTATTCAAGAGGAGTCAGGCATCGTCACCTTTTGAAGCAATGAACTCCGCGTGCCTCTCGAGGTGTCAGCGGGATGTGAGGCATTCCGTCAAAATGAGGCAGGGACCTAGGGCTTTCTCTAAGGTCTCCACAGGGGATTCAGACATGCCTTCATGTTGTGAGATTAAACACGAGCCTGTATTCAAGCCACTGCAAGGAAATCAGGCCTCCTTTCAATTTAGGGCTTCTCGCTGTATATTCCCCTTGAGGCAGCAAACTCGGGGTCCCTCCCACATAGCTATTGCTGAGAGAAGCCTCCTCCTGAGGTGCTTCTGGAAAGTTGGCATACGTCTTGAGCCTAAGCCAGGGAATCAGCTCTCATCTCGAGACGATTTGGGGTACACGGAGCATTCCTCGAGTTGCTGTGCTGAAGTTAGTGTTCCTCTAGACTTGGGACAGTGTTCTCGGGGCATCTCTGGAGTTGCCTGAAGGAAGTCGAGCCACCGGTCGTGTTGAATGGGGAACGGGGAATGGCTCTGGAGTCAATGCAGGGGAATCGGGCCTCATCTCGAGTTGATTTGGGGCACATGCAGCTGCTTTGCGTTGCTGGGGTGGTCTCAGGGTCCGTCTAGACTGGTGACAGTGTTCTTGGGGACTGTCTCGAGATCGATTAAGCAAGTCGAAGCTCCTGACTTGTTTGAATGGGATCACGGAATAGCTCTGCATGCACTGCAGGGGAATGGGGCCTCATCTCGCCTCTAGGGGGAAGTCTCATGGTTTTTCTCGAGTTGCGGCAGGGACCTGGGGTATGTTCTCGACTTACGGCGGGGAAGGCCCTTCAAAACACGAGTTTCTTCAGTGACGTCAGGACTCCTGTCTAGTAACGAGGGACACCTCAGGAATCTCTTCGAGGCTTGGCAGGGCAAAACGGACGCTTCTCGACATGAGGCAGGGCACCCAAGGAACCTTTCCAGTAGCCACGGGGATTTTGGGATTCCTATCAGTATTCAAGAAGAGTCAGGCATCGTCACCTTTTGAAGCAATGAACTCTGCGTGCCTCTCGAGGTGTCAGCGGGATGTGAGGCATTCCGTCAAAATGAGGCAGGGACCTAGGGCTTTCTCTAAGGTCTCCACAGTGGATTCCGTCATCCCTTCATGTTGTGAGATGAAAGACGAGCCTGTATTCAAGCCACTGCAAGGAAATCCGGCCTCCTTTCAAGTTAGGGCTTCTCGCTGTATATTCCCCTTGAGGCAGCAAACTCGGGGTCCCTCCCACATACCTATTGCTGAGAGAAGCCTCCTCCTGAGGTGCTTCTGGAAAGTTGGCATACGTATTGACCCTAAGCCAGGGAATCAGCTCTCATCTCGAGACGATTTGGGGTACACGGAGCATTCCTCGAGTTGCTGTGCTGAAGTTGGTGTTCCTCTAGATTTGGGACAGTGTTCTCGGGGAATCTCTGGAGTTGCCTGAAGGAAGTCGAGCCACCGGTCGTGTTGAATGGGGATCGGGGAATGGCTCTGGAGTCAATGCAGGGGAATCCGGCCTCATCTCGAGTTGATTTGGGGCACATGGAGCTGCTTTGCGTTGCTGGGGTGACCTCAGGGTCCGTCTAGACTGGTGACAGTGTTCTTGGGGACTGTCTCGAGATCCATTAAGCAAGTCGAATCTCCTGACTTGTTTGAATGGGATCACGGAATAGCTCTGCATGCACTGCAGGGGAATGGGGCCTCATCTCGCCTCTAGGGGGAAGTCTCATGGTTTTTCTCGAGTTGCGGCGGGGACCTGGGGTATGTTCTCGACTTACGGCGGGGATGGCGCTTCAAAACACGAGTTTCTTCAGTGACGTCAGGACTCCTGTCTAGTAACGAGGGACACCTCAGGAATCTCTTCCAAGCTTGGCAGGGCAAAAGGGACGCTTCTCGAGGTGAGGCAGGGCACCCAAGGACCCTTTCCAGTAGCCACAGGGATTTTGGGATTCCTATCAGTATTCAAGAGGAGTCAGGCATCGTCACCTTTTGAAGCAATGAACTCTGCGTGGCTCTCGAGGTGTCAGCGGGATGTGAGGCATTCCGTCAAAATGAGGCATGGACCTAGGGCTTTCTCTAAGGTCTCCACAGGGCATTCAGTCATCCCTTCATGTTTTGAGATCAAAGAAGAGCCTGTTTTCAAGCCACTGCAGGGAAATCCGGCCTCCTTTCAAGTTAGGGCTTCTCGCTGTATATTCCCCTTGAGGCAGCAAACTCGGGGTCCCTCCCACATACCTATTGCTGAGAGAAGCCTCCTCCTGAGGTGCTTCTGGAAAGTTGGCATACGTCTTGAGCCTAAGCCAGGGAATCAGCTCTCATCTCGAGACGATTTGGGGTACACGGAGCATTCCTCGATTTGCTGTGCTGAAGTTGGTGTTCCTCTAGACTTGGGACAGTGTTCTCGGGGCATCTCTGGAGTTACCTGAAGGAAGTCGAGCCACCGGTCATGTTGAATGCGGAACGGGGAATGGCTCTGGAGTCAATGCAGGGGAATCGGGCCTCATCTCGAGTTGATTTGGGTCACATGGAGCTGCTTTGCGTTGCTGGGGTGACCTCAGGGTCTGTCTAGACTGGTGACAGTGTTCTTGGGGACTGTCTCGAGATCCATTAAGCAAGTCGAAGCTCCTGACTTGTTTGAATGGGATCACGGAATAGCTCTGCATGCACTGCAGGGGAATGGGGCCTCATCTCGCCTCTAGGGGGAAGTCTCATGGTTTTACTCGAGTTGCGGCGGGGACCTGGGGTATGTTCTCGCCTTACGGCGGGATGGCCCTTCAAAACACGAGTTTCTTCAGTGACGTCAGGACTCCTGTCTAGTAACGAGGGACACCTCAGGAATCTCTTCGAGGTTTGGCAGGGCAAAACGGACGCTTCTCGAGGTGAGGCAGGGCACCCAAGGACCCTTTCCAGTAGCCACGGGGATTTTGGGATTCCTATCAGTATTCAAGAAGAGTCAGGCATCGTCACCTTTTGAAGCAATGAACTCTGCGTGCCTCTCGAGGTGTCAGCGGGATGTGAGGCATTCCGTCAAAATGAGGCAGGGACCTAGGGCTTTCTCTAAGGTCTCCACAGTGGATTCCGACATCCCTTCATGTTGTGAGATGAAAGACGAGCCTGTATTCAAGCCACTGCAAGGAAATCCGGCCTCCTTTCAAGTTAGGGCTTCTCGCTGTATATTCCCCTTGAGGCAGCAAACTCGGGGTCCCTCCCACATACCTATTGCTGAGAGAAGCCTCCTCCTGAGGTGCTTCTGGAAAGTTGGCCTACGTATTGACCCTAAGCCAGGGAATCAGCTCTCATCTCGAGACGATTTGGGGTACACGGAGCATTCCTCGAGTTGCTGTGCTGAAGTTGGTGTTCCTCTAGACTTCGGACAGTGTTCTCGGGGAATCTCTGGAGTTGCCTGAAGGAAGTCGAGCCACCGGTCGTGTTGAATGGGTATCGGGGAATGGCTCTGGAGTCAATGCAGGGGAATCGGGCCTCATCTCGAGTTGATTTGGGGCACATGGAGCTGCTTTGCGTTGCTGGGGTGACCTCAGGGTCCGTCTAGACTGGTGACATTGTTCTTGGGGACTGTCTCGAGATCCATTAAGCAAGTCGAATCTCCTGACTTGTTTGAATGGGATCACGGAATAGCTCTGCATGCACTGCAGGGGAATGGGGCCTCATCTCGCCTCTAGGGGGAAGTCTCATGGTTTTTCTCGAGTTGCGGCGGGGGCCTGGGGTATGTTCTCGACTTACGGCGGGGATGGCCCTTCAAAACACGAGTTTCTTCAGTGACGTCAGGACTCCTGTCTAGTAACGAGGGACACCTCAGGAATCTCTTCCAAGCTTGGCAGGGCAAAAGGGACGCTTCTCGAGGTGAGGCAGGGCACCCAAGGACCCTTTCCAGTAGCCACAGGGATTTTGGGATTCCTATCAGTATTCAAGAGGAGTCAGGCATCGTCACCTTTTGAAGCAATGAACTCTGCGTGCCTCTCGAGGTGTCAGCGGGATGTGAGGCATTCCGTCAAAATGAGGCATGGACCTAGGGCTTTCTCTAAGGTCTCCACAGGGCATTCAGTCATCCCTTCATGTTTTGAGATCAAAGAAGAGCCTGTATTCAAGCCACTGCAGGGAAATCCGGCCTCCTTTCAAGTTAGGGCTTCTCGCTGTATATTCCCCTTGAGGCAGCAAACTCGGGGTCCCTCCCACATACCTATTGCTGAGAGAAGCCTCCTCCTGAGGTGCTTCTGGAAAGTTGGCATACGTCTTGAGCCTAAGCCAGGGAATCAGCTCTCATCTCGAGACGATTTGGGGTACACGGAGCATTCCTCGTGTTGCTGTGCTGAAGTTGGTGTTCCTCTAGACTTGGGACAGTGTTCTCGGGGCATCTCTGGAGTTACCTGAAGGAAGTCGAGCCACCGGTCATGTTGAATGCGGAACGGGGAATGGCTCTGGAGTCAATGCAGGGGAATCGGGCCTCATCTCGAGTTGATTTGGGTCACATGGAGCTGCTTTGCGTTGCTGGGGTGACCTCAGGGTCTGTCTAGACTGGTGACAGTGTTCTTGGGGACTGTCTCGAGATCCATTAAGCAAGTCGAAGCTCCTGACTTGTTTGAATGGGATCACGGAATAGCTCTGCATGCACTGCAGGGGAATGGGGCCTCATCTCGCCTCTAGGGGGAAGTCTCATGGTTTTACTCGAGTTGCGGCGGGGACCTGGGGTATGTTCTCGACTTACGGCGGGATGGCCCTTCAAAACACGAGTTTCTTCAGTGACGTCAGGACTCCTGTCTAGTAACGAGGGACACCTCAGGAATCTCTTCCAAGCTTGGCAGGGCAAAACGGACGCTTCTCGAGGTGAGGCAGTGCACCCAAGGACCCTTTCCTGTAGCCACAGGGATTTTGGGATTCCTATCAGTATTCAAGAGGAGTCAGGCATCGTCACCTTTTGAAGCAATGAACTCCGCGTGCCTCTCGAGGTGTCAGCGGGATGTGAGGCATTCCGTCAAAATGAGGCAGGGACCTAGGGCTTTCTCTAAGGTCTCCACAGGGGATTCAGACATGCCTTCATGTTGTGAGATTAAACACGAGCCTGTATTCAAGCCACTGCAAGGAAATCAGGCCTCCTTTCAATTTAGGGCTTCTCGCTGTATATTCCCCTTGAGGCAGCAAACTCGGGGTCCCTCCCACATAGCTATTGCTGAGAGAAGCCTCCTCCTGAGGTGCTTCTGGAAAGTTGGCATACGTCTTGAGCCTAAGCCAGGGAATCAGCTCTCATCTCGAGACGATTTGGGGTATACGGAGCATTCCTCGAGTTGCTGTGCTGAAGTTAGTGTTCCTCTAGACTTGGGACAGTGTTCTCGGGGCATCTCTGGAGTTGCCTGAAGGAAGTCGAGCCACCGGTCGTGTTGAATGGGGAACGGGGAATGGCTCTGGAGTCAATGCAGGGGAATCGGGCCTCATCTCGAGTTGATTTGGGGCACATGCAGCTGCTTTGCGTTGCTGGGGTGGTCTCAGGGTCCGTCTAGACTGGTGACAGTGTTCTTGGGGACTGTCTCGAGATCGATTAAGCAAGTCGAAGCTCCTGACTTGTTTGAATGGGATCACGGAATAGCTCTGCATGCACTGCAGGGGAATGGGGCCTCATCTCGCCTCTAGGGGGAAGTCTCATGGTTTTTCTCGAGTTGCGGCAGGGACCTGGGGTATGTTCTCGACTTAAGGCGGGGAAGGCCCTTCAAAACACGAGTTTCTTCAGTGACGTCAGGACTCCTGTCTAGTAACGAGGGACACCTCAGGAATCTCTTCGAGGCTTGGCAGGGCAAAACGGACGCTTCTCGACATGAGGCAGGGCACCCAAGGACCCTTTCCAGTAGCCACGGGGATTTTGGGATTCCTATCAGTATTCAAGAAGAGTCAGGCATCGTCACCTTTTGAAGCAATGAACTCTGCGTGCCTCTCGAGGTGTCAGCGGGATGTGAGGCATTCCGTCAAAATGAGGCAGGGACCTAGGGCTTTCTCTAAGGTCTCCACAGTGGATTCCGTCATCCCTTCATGTTGTGAGATGAAAGACGAGCCTGTATTCAAGCCACTGCAAGGAAATCCGGCCTCCTTTCAAGTTAGGGCTTCTCGCTGTATATTCCCCTTGAGGCAGCAAACTCGGGGTCCCTCCCACATACCTATTGCTGAGAGAAGCCTCCTCCTGAGGTGCTTCTGGAAAGTTGGCATACGTATTGACCCTAAGCCAGGGAATCAGCTCTCATCTCGAGACGATTTGGGGTACACGGAGCATTCCTCGAGTTGCTGTGCTGAAGTTGGTGTTCCTCTAGATTTGGGACAGTGTTCTCGGGGAATCTCTGGAGTTGCCTGAAGGAAGTCGAGCCACCGGTCGTGTTGAATGGGGATCGGGGAATGGCTCTGGAGTCAATGCAGGGGAATCCGGCCTCATCTCGAGTTGATTTGGGGCACATGGAGCTGCTTTGCGTTGCTGGGGTGACCTCAGGGTCCGTCTAGACTGGTGACAGTGTTCTTGGGGACTGTCTCGAGATCCATTAAGCAAGTCGAATCTCCTGACTTGTTTGAATGGGATCACGGAATAGCTCTGCATGCACTGCAGGGGAATGGGGCCTCATCTCGCCTCTAGGGGGAAGTCTCATGGTTTTTCTCGAGTTGCGGCGGGGACCTGGGGTATGTTCTCGACTTACGGCGGGGATGGCCCTTCAAAACACGAGTTTCTTCAGTGACGTCAGGACTCCTGTCTAGTAACGAGGGACACCTCAGGAATCTCTTCCAAGCTTGGCAGGGCAAAAGGGACGCTTCTCGAGGTGAGGCAGGGCACCCAAGGACCCTTTCCAGTAGCCACAGGGATTTTGGGATTCCTATCAGTATTCAAGAGGAGTCAGGCATCGTCACCTTTTGAAGCAATGAACTCTGCGTGGCTCTCGAGGTGTCAGCGGGATGTGAGGCATTCCGTCAAAATGAGGCATGGACCTAGGGCTTTCTCTAAGGTCTCCACAGGGCATTCAGTCATCCCTTCATGTTTTGAGATCAAAGAAGAGCCTGTTTTCAAGCCACTGCAGGGAAATCCGGCCTCCTTTCAAGTTAGGGCTTCTCGCTGTATATTCCCCTTGAGGCAGCAAACTCGGGGTCCCTCCCACATACCTATTGCTGAGAGAAGCCTCCTCCTGAGGTGCTTCTGGAAAGTTGGCATACGTCTTGAGCCTAAGCCAGGGAATCAGCTCTCATCTCGAGACGATTTGGGGTACACGGAGCATTCCTCGATTTGCTGTGCTGAAGTTGGTGTTCCTCTAGACTTGGGACAGTGTTCTCGGGGCATCTCTGGAGTTACCTGAAGGAAGTCGAGCCACCGGTCATGTTGAATGCGGAACGGGGAATGGCTCTGGAGTCAATGCAGGGGAATCGGGCCTCATCTCGAGTTGATTTGGGTCACATGGAGCTGCTTTGCGTTGCTGGGGTGACCTCAGGGTCTGTCTAGACTGGTGACAGTGTTCTTGGGGACTGTCTCGAGATCCATTAAGCAAGTCGAAGCTCCTGACTTGTTTGAATGGGATCACGGAATAGCTCTCCATGCACTGCAGGGGAATGGGGCCTCATCTCGCCTCTAGGGGGAAGTCTCATGGTTTTACTCGAGTTGCAGCGGGGACCTGGGGTATGTTCTCGACTTACGGCGGGATGGCCCTTCAAAACACGAGTTTCTTCAGTGACGTCAGGACTCCTGTCTAGTAACGAGGGACACCTCAGGAATCTCTTCCAAGCTTGGCAGGGCAAAAGGGACGCTTCTCAAGGTGAGGCAGTGCACCCAAGGACCCTTTCCTGTAGCCACAGGGATTTTGGGATTCCTATCAGTATTCAAGAGGAGTCAGGCATTGTCACCTTTTGAAGCAATGAACTCCGCGTGCCTCTCGAGGTGTCAGCGGGATGTGAGGCATTCCGTCAAAATGAGGCAGGGACCTAGGGCTTTCTCTAAGGTCTCCACAGGGGATTCAGACATGCCTTCATGTTGTGAGATTAAACACGAGCCTGTATTCAAGCCACTGCAAGGAAATCAGGCCTCCTTTCAATTTAGGGCTTCTCGCTGTATATTCCCCTTGAGGCAGCAAACTCGGGGTCCCTGCCACATAGCTATTGCTGAGAGAAGCCTCCTCCTGAGGTGCTTCTGGAAAGTTGGCATACGTCTTGAGCCTAAGCCAGGGAATCAGCTCTCATCTCGAGACGATTTGGGGTACACGGAGCATTCCTCGAGTTGCTGTGCTGAAGTTAGTGTTCCTCTAGACTTGGGACAGTGTTCTCGGGGCATCTCTGGAGTTGCCTGAAGGAAGTCGAGCCACCGGTCGTGTTGAATGGGGAAAGGGGAATGGCTCTGGAGTCAATGCAGGGGAATCGGGCCTCATCTCGAGTTGATTTGGGGCACATGCAGCTGCTTTTCGTTGCTGGGGTGGCCTCAGGGTCCGTCTAGACTGGTGACAGTGTTCTTGGGGACTGTCTCGAGATCGATTAAGCAAGTCGAAGCTCCTGACTTGTTTGAATGGGATCACGGAATAGCTCTGCATGCACTGCAGGGGAATGGGGCCTCATCTCGCCTCTAGGGGGAAGTCTCATGGTTTTTCTCGAGTTGCGGCAGGGACCTGGGGTATGTTCTCGACTTACGGCGGGATGGCCCTTCAAAACACGAGTTTCTTCAGTGACGTCAGGACTCCTGTCTAGTAATGAGGGACACCTCAGGAATCTCTTCGAGGCTTGGCTGGGCAAAAGTGATGCTTCTCGAGGTCAGGCAGGGCACCCAAGGATCCTTTCCAGTAGCCACAGGGATTTTGGGATTCCTATCAGTATTCAAGAGGAGTCAGGCATCGTCACCTTTTGAAGCAATGAACTCCGCGTGCCTCTCGAGGTGTCAGCGGGATGTGAGGCATTCCGTCAAAATGAGGCTGGGACCTAGGGCTTTCTCTCAGGTCTCCACAGGGGATTCAGACATCCCTTCATGTTGTGAGATGAAAGACGAGCCTGTATTCAAGCCACTGCAAGGAAATCCGGCCACCTTTCAAGTTAGGGCTTCTCGATGTATATTCCCCTTGAGGCAGCAAACTCGGGGTCCCTCCAACATACATATTGCTGAGAGAAGCCTCCTCCTGAGGTGCTTCTGGAATGTAGGCATACGTCTTGGGCCTAAGCCAGGTAATCGGCTCTCATCTCGAGACGATTTGGGGTACACGGAGCATTCCTCGAGTTGCTGTGCTGAAGTTGGTGTTCCTCTAGACTTGGGACAGTGTTCTCGGGGCATCTCTGGAGTTGCCTGAAGGAAGTGGAGCCACCGGTCGTGTTGAATGGGGAACGGGTAATAGCTCGGGGGTCAATGCAGGGGAATCGGGCCTCATCTCGAGTTGATTTGGGGCACATGGAGCTGCTTTGCGTTGCTGGGGTGACCTCAGGGTCCGTCTAGACTGGTGACAGTGTTCTTGGGGACTGTCTCGAGATCGATTAAGCAAGTCGAAGCTCCTGACTTGTTTGAATGGGATCACGGAATAGGTCTGCATGCAGTGCAGGGGAATGGGGCCTTATCTCGCCTCTAAGGGGAAGTCTCATGGTTTTTCTCGAGTTGCGGCGGGGGCCTGGGGTATGTTCTCGACTTACGGCGGGGATGGCCCTTCAAAACACGAGTTTCTTCAGTGACGTCAGGACTCCTGTCTAGTAACGAGGGACACCTCAGGAATCTCTTCCAAGCTTGGCAGGGCAAAAGGGACGCTTCTCGAGGTGAGGCAGGGCACCCAAGGACCCTTTCCAGTAGCCACAGGGATTTTGGGATTCCTATCAGTATTCAAGAGGAGTCAGGCATCGTCACCTTTTGAAGCAATGAACTCTGCGTGGCTCTCGAGGTGTCAGCGGGATGTGAGGCATTCCGTCAAAATGAGGCATGGACCTAGGGCTTTCTCTAAGGTCTCCACAGGGCATTCAGTCATCCCTTCATGTTTTGAGATCAAAGAAGAGCCTGTTTTCAAGCCACTGCAGGGAAATCCGGCCTCCTTTCAAGTTAGGGCTTCTCGCTGTATATTCCCCTTGAGGCAGCAAACTCGGGGTCCCTCCCACATACCTATTGCTGAGAGAAGCCTCCTCCTGAGGTGCTTCTGGAAAGTTGGCATACGTCTTGAGCCTAAGCCAGGGAATCAGCTCTCATCTCGAGACGATTTGGGGTACACGGAGCATTCCTCGATTTGCTGTGCTGAAGTTGGTGTTCCTCTAGACTTGGGACAGTGTTCTCGGGGCATCTCTGGAGTTACCTGAAGGAAGTCGAGCCACCGGTCATGTTGAATGCGGAACGGGGAATGGCTCTGGAGTCAATGCAGGGGAATCGGGCCTCATCTCGAGTTGATTTGGGTCACATGGAGCTGCTTTGCGTTGCTGGGGTGACCTCAGGGTCTGTCTAGACTGGTGACAGTGTTCTTGGGGACTGTCTCGAGATCCATTAAGCAAGTCGAAGCTCCTGACTTGTTTGAATGGGATCACGGAATAGCTCTGCATGCACTGCAGGGGAATGGGGCCTCATCTCGCCTCTAGGGGGAAGTCTCATGGTTTTACTCGAGTTGCAGTGGGGACCTGGGGTATGTTCTCGACTTACGGCGGGATGGCCCTTCAAAACACGAGTTTCTTCAGTGACGTCAGGACTCCTGTCTAGTAACGAGGGACACCTCAGGAATCTCTTCCAAGCTTGGCAGGGCAAAAGGGACGCTTCTCGAGGTGAGGCAGTGCACCCAAGGACCCTTTCCTGTAGCCACAGGGATTTTGGGATTCCTATCAGTATTCAAGAGGAGTCAGGCATTGTCACCTTTTGAAGCAATGAACTCCGCGTGCCTCTCGAGGTGTCAGCGGGATGTGAGGCATTCCGTCAAAATGAGGCAGGGACCTAGGGCTTTCTCTAAGGTCTCCACAGGGGATTCAGACATGCCTTCATGTTGTGAGATTAAACACGAGCCTGTATTCAAGCCACTGCAAGGAAATCAGGCCTCCTTTCAATTTAGGGCTTCTCGCTGTATATTCCCCTTGAGGCAGCAAACTCGGGGTCCCTCCCACATAGCTATTGCTGAGAGAAGCCTCCTCCTGAGGTGCTTCTGGAAAGTTGGCATACGTCTTGAGCCTAAGCCAGGGAATCAGCTCTCATCTCGAGACGATTTGGGGTACACGGAGCATTCCTCGAGTTGCTGTGCTGAAGTTAGTGTTCCTCTAGACTTGGGACAGTGTTCTCGGGGCATCTCTGGAGTTGCCTGAAGGAAGTCGAGCCACCGGTCGTGTTGAATGGGGAAAGGGGAATGGCTCTGGAGTCAATGCAGGGGAATCGGGCCTCATCTCGAGTTGATTTGGGGCACATGCAGCTGCTTTTCGTTGCTGGGGTGGCCTCAGGGTCCGTCTAGACTGGTGACAGTGTTCTTGGGGACTGTCTCGAGATCGATTAAGCAAGTCGAAGCTCCTGACTTGTTTGAATGGGATCACGGAATAGCTCTGCATGCACTGCAGGGGAATGGGGCCTCATCTCGCCTCTAGGGGGAAGTCTCATGGTTTTTCTCGAGTTGCGGCAGGGACCTGGGGTATGTTCTCGACTTACGGCGGGATGGCCCTTCAAAACACGAGTTTCTTCAGTGACGTCAGGACTCCTGTCTAGTAATGAGGGACACCTCAGGAATCTCTTCGAGGCTTGGCTGGGCAAAAGTGATGCTTCTCGAGGTCAGGCAGGGCACCCAAGGATCCTTTCCAGTAGCCACAGGGATTTTGGGATTCCTATCAGTATTCAAGAGTAGTCAGGCATCGTCACCTTTTGAAGCAATGAACTCCGCGTGCCTCTCGAGGTGTCAGCGGGATGTGAGGCATTCCGTCAAAATGAGGCTGGGACCTAGGGCTTTCTCTCAGGTCTCCACAGGGGATTCAGACATCCCTTCATGTTGTGAGATGAAAGACGAGCCTGTATTCAAGCCACTGCAAGGAAATCCGGCCTCCTTTCAAGTTAGGGCTTCTCGATGTATATTCCCCTTGAGGCAGCAAACTCGGGGTCCCTCCAACATACATATTGCTGAGAGAAGCCTCCTCCTGAGGTGCTTCTGGAATGTAGGCATACGTCTTGAGCCTAAGCCAGGTAATCGGCTCTCATCTCGAGACGATTTGGGGTACACGGAGCATTCCTCGAGTTGCTGTGCTGAATTTGGTGTTCCTCTAGACTTGGGACAGTGTTCTCGGGGCATCTCTGGAGTTGCCTGAAGGAAGTGGAGCCACCGGTCGTGTTGAATGGGGAACGGGTAATAGCTCTGGGGTCAATGCAGGGGAATCGGGCCTCATCTCGAGTTGATTTGGGGCACATGGAGCTGCTTTGCGTTGCTGGGGTGACCTCAGGGTCTGTCTAGACTGGTGACAGTGTTCTTGGGGACTGTCTCGAGATCCATTAAGCAAGTCGAAGCTCCTGACTTGTTTGAATGGGATCACGGAATAGCTCTGCATGCACTGCAGGGGAATGGGGCCTCATCTCGCCTCTAGGGGGAAGTCTCATGGTTTTACTCGAGTTGCAGCGGGGACCTGGGGTATGTTCTCGACTTACGGCGGGATGGCCCTTCAAAACACGAGTTTCTTCAGTGACGTCAGGACTCCTGTCTAGTAACGAGGGACACCTCAGGAATCTCTTCCAAGCTTGGCAGGGCAAAAGGGACGCTTCTCGAGGTGAGGCAGTGCACCCAAGGACCCTTTCCTGTAGCCACAGGGATTTTGGGATTCCTATCAGTATTCAAGAGGAGTCAGGCATTGTCACCTTTTGAAGCAATGAACTCCGCGTGCCTCTCGAGGTGTCAGCGGGATGTGAGGCATTCCGTCAAAATGAGGCAGGGACCTAGGGCTTTCTCTAAGGTCTCCACAGGGGATTCAGACATGCCTTCATGTTGTGAGATTAAACACGAGACTGTATTCAAGCCACTGCAAGGAAATCAGGCCTCCTTTCAATTTAGGGCTTCTCGCTGTATATTCCCCTTGAGGCAGCAAACTCGGGGTCCCTCCCACATAGCTATTGCTGAGAGAAGCCTCCTCCTGAGGTGCTTCTGGAAAGTTGGCATACGTCTTGAGCCTAAGCCAGGGAATCAGCTCTCATCTCGAGACGATTTGGGGTACACGGAGCATTCCTCGAGTTGCTGTGCTGAAGTTAGTGTTCCTCTAGACTTGGGACAGTGTTCTCGGGGCATCTCTGGAGTTGCCTGAAGGAAGTCGAGCCACCGGTCGTGTTGAATGGGGAAAGGGGAATGGCTCTGGAGTCAATGCAGGGGAATCGGGCCTCATCTCGAGTTGATTTGGGGCACATGCAGCTGCTTTTCGTTGCTGGGGTGGCCTCAGGGTCCGTCTAGACTGGTGACAGTGTTCTTGGGGACTGTCTCGAGATCGATTAAGCAAGTCGAAGCTCCTGACTTGTTTGAATGGGATCACGGAATAGCTCTGCATGCACTGCAGGGGAATGGGGCCTCATCTCGCCTCTAGGGGGAAGTCTCATGGTTTTTCTCGAGTTGCGGCAGGGACCTGGGGTATGTTCTCGACTTACGGCGGGATGGCCCTTCAAAACACGAGTTTCTTCAGTGACGTCAGGACTCCTGTCTAGTAATGAGGGACACCTCAGGAATCTCTTCGAGGCTTGGCTGGGCAAAAGTGATGCTTCTCGAGGTCAGGCAGGGCACCCAAGGATCCTTTCCAGTAGCCACAGGGATTTTGGGATTCCTATCAGTATTCAAGAGTAGTCAGGCATCGTCACCTTTTGAAGCAATGAACTCCGCGTGCCTCTCGAGGTGTCAGCGGGATGTGAGGCATTCCGTCAAAATGAGGCTGGGACCTAGGGCTTTCTCTCAGGTCTCCACAGGGGATTCAGACATCCCTTCATGTTGTGAGATGAAAGACGAGCCTGTATTCAAGCCACTGCAAGGAAATCCGGCCTCCTTTCAAGTTAGGGCTTCTCGATGTATATTCCCCTTGAGGCAGCAAACTCGGGGTCCCTCCAACATACATATTGCTGAGAGAAGCCTCCTCCTGAGGTGCTTCTGGAATGTAGGCATACGTCTTGAGCCTAAGCCAGGTAATCGGCTCTCATCTCGAGACGATTTGGGGTACACGGAGCATTCCTCGAGTTGCTGTGCTGAATTTGGTGTTCCTCTAGACTTGGGACAGTGTTCTCGGGGCATCTCTGGAGTTGCCTGAAGGAAGTGGAGCCACCGGTCGTGTTGAATGGGGAACGGGTAATAGCTCTGGGGTCAATGCAGGGGAATCGGGCCTCATCTCGAGTTGATTTGGGGCACATGGAGCTGCTTTGCGTTGCTGGGGTGACCTCAGGGTCCGTCTAGACTGGTGACAGTGTTCTTGGGGACTGTCTCGAGATCGATTAAGCAAGTCGAAGCTCCTGACTTGTTTGAATGGGATCACGGAATAGGTCTGCATGCAGTGCAGGGGAATGGGGCCTTATCTCGCCTCTAAGGGGAAGTCTCATGGTTTTTCTCGAGTTGCGGCGGGGCCCTGGGGTATGTTCTCGACTTACGGCGGGGATGGCCCTTCAAAACACGAGTTTCTTCAGTGACGTCAGGACTCCTGTCTAGTAACGAGGGACACCTCAGGAATCTCTTCGAGGCTTGGCAGGGCAAAAGGGACGCTTCTCGAGGTGAGGCAGGGCACCCAAGGACCCTTTCAGTAGCCACAGGGATTTTGGGATTCCTATCAGTATTCAAGAGGAGTCAGGCATCGTCACCTATTGAAGCAATGAACTCCGCGTGTCTCTCGAGTTGTCAGCGGGATGTGAGGCATTCCGTCAAAATGAGACAGGGACCTATGGCTTTCTCTAAGGTCTCCACAGGGGATTCAGACATCCCTTCATGTTGTGAGATGAAAGACGAGCCTGTATTCAAGCCACTGCAAGGAAATCCGGCCTCCTTTCAAGTTAGGGCTTCTCGCTGTATATTCCCCTTGAGGCAGCACACTCGGGGTCCCTCCCACATACCTATTGCTGAGAGAAGCCTCCTCCTGAGTTGCTTCTGGAAAGTTGGCAAATGCCTTGAGCCTAAGCCAATGTATCAGCTCTCATCTCGAGACGATTTGGGGTGCACGGAGCATTCCTCGAGTTGCTGTGCTGAAGTTGGTGTTCCTCTAGACTTGGGACAGTGTTCTCGGGGCATCTCTGGAGTTGCGTGAAGGAAGTCGAGCCACCGGTCGTGTTGAATGGGGAACGGGGAATGGCTCTGGGGTCAATGCAGGGGAATCGGGCCTCATCTCGAGTTGATTTGGGGCACATGGAGCTGCTTTGCGTTGCTGGGGTGACCTCAGGGTCCGTCTAGACTGGTGACAGTGTTCTTGGGGACTGTCTAGAGATCCATTAAGCAAGTCGAAGCTCCTGACTTGTTTGAATGGGATCACGGAATACCTCTGCATGCACTGCAGGGGAATGGGGCCTCATCTCGCCTCTAGGGGGAAGTCTCATGGTTTTTCTCGAGTTGCCACGGGGACCTGGGGTATGTTCTCGACTTACGGCGGGGATGGCCCTTCAAAACACGAGTTTCTTCAGTGACGTCAGGACTCCTGTCTAGTAACGAGGGACACCTCAGGAATCTCTTCCAGGCTTGGCAGGGCAAAAGGGACGCTTCTCGAGGTGAGGCAGGGCACCCAATGACCCTTTCCAGTAGCCACAGGGATTTTGGGATTCCTATCAGTATTCAAGAGGAGTCAGGCATCGTCACCTTTTGAAGCAATGAACTCTGCGTGCCTCTCGAGGTGTCAGCGGGATGTGAGGCATTCCGTTAAAATGAGGCATGGACCTAGGGCTTTCTCTAAGGTCTCCAAAGGGCATTCAGTCATCCCTTCATGTTTTGAGATCAGAGAAGAGCTGTATTCAAGCCACTGCAAGGAAATCCGGCCTCCTTTCAAGTTAGGGCTTCTCGCTGTATATTCCCATTGAGGCAGCAAACTCGGGGTCCCTCCCACATACCTATTGCTGAGAGAAGCCTCCTCCTGAGGTGCTTCTGGAAAGTTGGCATACGTCTTGAGCCTAAGCCAGGGAATCAGCTCTCATCTCGAGACGATTTGGGGTACACGGAGCATTCCTCGAGTTGCTGTGCTGAAGTTGGTGTTCCTCTAGACTTGGGACAGTGTTCTCGGGGCATCTCTGGAGTTGCCTGAAGGAAGTCGAGCCACCGGTCGTGTTGAATGGGGAACGGGGAATGGCTCTGGAGTCAATGCAGGGGAATCGGGCCTCATCTCGAGTTGATTTGGGGCACATGGAGCTGCTTTGCATTGCTGGGGTGACCCCAGGGTCCGTCTAGACTGGTGACAGTGTTCTTGGGGACTGTCTCGAGATCCATTAAGCAAGTCGAAGCTCCTGACTTGTTTGAATGGGATCACGGAATAGCTCTGCATGCACTGCAGGGGAATGGGGCCTCATCTCGCCTCTAGGGGGAAGTCTCATGGTTTTTCTCGAGTTGCGGCGGGGACCTGGGGTATGTTCTCGACTTACGGCGGGATGGCCCTTCAAAACACGAGTTTCTTCAGTGACGTCAGGACTCCTGTCTAGTAACGAGGGACACCTCAGGAATCTCTTCGAGGCTTGGCAGGTCAAAAGGGACGCTTCTCGAGGTGAGGCAGGGCACCCAAGGACCCTTTCCTGTAGCCACAGGGATTTTGGGATTCCTATCAGTATTCAAGAGGAGTCAGGCATCGTCACATTTTGAAGAAATGAACTCCGCGTGCCTCTCGAGGTGTCAGCGGGATGTGAGGCATTCCGTCAAAATGAGGCAGGGACCTAGGGCTTTCTCTAAGGTCTCCACAGGGGATTCAGACATCCCTTCATGTTGTGAGATGAAAGACGAGCCTGTATTCAAGCCACTGCAAGGAAATCCGGCCTCCTTTCAAGTTAGGGCTTCTCGCTGTATATTCCCCTTGAGGCAGCACACTCGGGGTCCCTCCCACATACCTATTGCTGAGAGAAGCCTCCTCCTGAGTTGCTTCTGGAAAGTTGGCAAATGCCTTGAGCCTAAGCCAATGTATCAGCTCTCATCTCGAGACGATTTGGGGTGCACGGAGCATTCCTCGAGTTGCTGTGCTGAAGTTGGTGTTCCTCTAGACTTGGGACAGTGTTCTCGGGGCATCTCTGGAGTTGCGTGAAGGAAGTCGAGCCACCGGTCGTGTTGAATGGGGAACGGGGAATGGCTCTGGGGTCAATGCAGGGGAATCGGGCCTCATCTCGAGTTGATTTGGGGCACATGGAGCTGCTTTGCGTTGCTGGGGTGACCTCAGGGTCCGTCTAGACTGGTGACAGTGTTCTTGGGGACTGTCTCGAGATCCATTAAGCAAGTCGAAGCTCCTGACTTGTTTGAATGGGATCACGGAATACCTCTGCATGCACTGCAGGGGAATGGGGCCTCATCTCGCCTCTAGGGGGAAGTCTCATGGTTTTTCTCGAGTTGCGACGGGGACCTGGGGTATGTTCTCGACTTACGGCGGTGATGGCCCTTCAAAACACGAGTTTCTTCAGTGACGTCAGGACTCCTGTCTAGTAACGAGGGACACCTCAGGAATCTCTTCCAGGCTTGGCAGGGCAAAAGGGACGCTTCTCGAGGTGAGGCAGGGCACCCAAGGACCCTTTCCAGTAGCCACAGGGATTTTGGGATTCCTATCAGTATTCAAGAGGAGTCAGGCATCGTCACCTTTTGAAGCAATGAACTCCGCGTGCCTCTCGAGGTGTCAGCGGGATGTGAGGCATTCCGTCAAAATGAGGCAGGGACCTAGGGCTTTCTCTAAGGTCTCCACAGGGGATTCAGACATGCCTTCATGTTGTGAGATTAAACACGAGCCTGTATTCAAGCCACTGCAAGGAAATCGGGCCTCCTTTCAATTTAGGGCTTCTCGCTGTATATTCCCCTTGAGGCAGCAAACTCGGGGTCCCTCCCACATAGCTATTGCTGAGAGAAGCCTCCTCCTGTGGTGCTTCTGGAAAGTTGGCATACGTCTTGAGCCTAAGCCAGGGAATCAGCTCTCATCTCGAGACGATTTGGGGTACACGGAGCATTCCTCGAGTTGCTGTGCTGAAGTTGGTGTTCCTCTAGACTTGGGACAGTGTTCTCGGGGCATCTCTGGAGTTACCTGAAGGAAGTCGAGCCACCGGTCGTGATGAATGGGGAACGGGGAATGGCTCTGGAATCAATGCAGGGGAATCGGGCCTCATCTCGAGTTGATTTGGGGCACATGGAGCTGCTTTGCGTTGCTGGGGTGACGTCAGCGTCCGTCTAGACTGGTGACAGTGTTCTTGGGGACTGTCTCGAGATCCATTAAGCAAGTCGAAGCTCCTGACATGTTTGAATGGGATCACGGAATAGCTGTGCATGCACTGCAGGGGAATGGGGCCTCATCTCGCCTCTAGGGGGAAGTCTCATGGTTTTTCTCGAGTTGCGGCGGGGACCTGGGGTATGTTCTCGACTTACGGCGGGATGGCCCTTCAAAACACGAGTTTCTTCAGTGACGTCAGGACTCCTGTTTAGTAACGAGGGACACCTCAGGAAACTCTTCGAGGCTTGGCAGGGCCAAAGGGACGCTTCTCGAGGTGAGGCAGGGCACCCAAGGACCCTTTCCTGTAGCCACAGGGATTTTGGGATTCCTATCAGTATTCAAGAGGAGTCAGGCATCGTCACCTTTTGAAGCAATGAACTCCGCGTGCCTCTCGAGGTGTCAGCGGGATGTGAGGCATTCCGTCAAAAGGAGGCAGGGACCTAGGGCTTTCTCTAAGGTCTCCACAGGGGATTCAGTCATGCCTTCATGTTGTGAGACTAAACACGAGCCTTTATTCAAGCCACTGCAAGGAAATCGGGCCTCCTTTCAATTTTGGGCTTCTCGCTCTATATTCCCCTTGAGGCAGAAAACTCGGGGTCCCTCCCACATAGCTATTGCTGAGAGAAGCCTCCTCCTGAGGTTCTTCTGGAAAGTTGGCATACGTCTTGAGCCTAACCAAGAAATCAGCACTCATCTCGAGACGATTTGGGGTACACGGAGCATTCCTCGAGTTGCTGTGCTGAAGTTGGTGTTCCTCTAGACTTGGGACAGTGTTCTCGGGGCATCTCTGGAGTTGCCTGAAGGAAGTCGAGCCACCGGTCGTGTTGAATGGGGAACGGGGAATGGCTCTGGAGTCAATGCAGGGGAATCGGGCCTCATCTCGAGTTGATTTGGGGCACATGTAGCTGCTTTGTGTTGCTGGGGTGACTTCAGGGTCCGTCTAGACTGGTGACAGTGCTCTTGGGGACTGTTTCGAGATCGATTAAGCAAGTCGAAGCTCCTGACTTGTTTGAATGGGATCACGGAATAGCTCTGCATGCACTGCAGGGGAATGGGGGCTCATCTCGCCTCTAGGGGGAAGTCTCATGGTTTTTCTCGAGTTGCGGCGGGGACCTGGGGTATGTTCTCGACTTACGGCGGGGATGGCCCTTCAAAACACGAGTTTCTTCAGTGACGTCAGGACTCCTGTCTAGTAACGAGGGATACCTCAGGAATCTCTTCGAGGCTTGGCTGGGCAAAAGTGATGCTTCTCGAGGTCAGGCAGGGCACCCAAGTATCCTTTCCAGTAGCCACAGGGATTTTGGGATTCCTATCAGTATTCAAGAGGAGTCAGGCATCGTCACCTTTTGAAGCAATGAACTCCGCGTGCCTCTCGAGGTGTCAGCGGGATGTGAGGCATTCCGTCAAAATGAGGCTGGGACCTAGGGCTTTCTCTCAGGTCTCCACAGGGGATTCAGACATCCCTTCATGTTGTGAGATGAAAGACGAGCCTGTATTCAAGCCACTGCAAGGAAATCCGGCCACCTTTCAAGTTAGGGCTTCTCGATGTATATTCCCCTTGAGGCAGCAAACTCGGGGTCCCTCCAACATACATATTGCTGAGAGAAGCCTCCTCCTGAGGTGCTTCTGGAATGTAGGCATACGTCTTGAGCCTAAGCCAGGTAATCGGCTCTCATCTCGAGACGATTTGGGTACACGGAGCATTCCTCGAGTTGCTGTGCTGAAGTTGGTGTTCCTCTAGACTTGGGACAGTGTTCTCGGGGCATCTCTGGAGTTGCCTGAAGGAAGTGGAGCCACCGGTCGTGTTGAATGGGGAACGGGTAATGGCTCTGGGTTCAATGCAGGGGAATCGGGCCTCATCTCGAGTTGATTTGGGGCACATGGAGCTGCTTTGCGTTGCTGGGGTGACCTCAGGGTCCGTCTAGACTGGTGACAGTGTTCTTGGGGACTGTCTCGAGATCGATTAAGCAAGTCGAAGCTCCTGACTTGTTTGAATGGGATCACGGAATAGGTCTGCATGCAGTGCAGGGGAATGGGGCCTTATCTCGCCTCTAAGGGGAAGTCTCATGGTTTTTCTCGAGTTGCGGCGGGGGCCTGGGGTATGTTCTCGACTTACGGCGGGGATGGCCCTTCAAAACACGAGTTTCTTCAGTGACGTCAGGACTCCTGTCTAGTAACGAGGGACACCTCAGGAATCTCTTCGAGGCTTGGCAGGGCAAAAGGGACGCTTCTCGAGGTGAGGCAGGGCACCCAAGGACCCTTTCAGTAGCCACAGGGATTTTGGGATTCCTATCAGTATTCAAGAGGAGTCAGGCATCGTCACCTATTGAAGCAATGAACTCCGCGTGCCTCTCGAGTTGTCAGCGGGATGTGAGGCATTCCGTCAAAATGAGGCAGGGACCTACGGCTTTCTCTAAGGTCTCCACAGGGGATTCAGACATCCCTTCATGTTGTGAGATGAAAGACGAGCCTGTATTCAAGCCACTGCAAGGAAATCCGGCCTCCTTTCAAGTTAGGTCTTCTCGCTGTATATTCCCCTTGAGGCAGCACACTCGGGGTCCGTCCCACATACCTATTGCTGAGAGAAGCCTCCTCCTGAGTTGCTTCTGGAAAGTTGGCAAATGCCTTGAGCCTAAGCCAATGTATCAGCTCTCATCTCGAGACGATTTGGGGTGCACGGAGCATTCCTCGAGTTGCTGTGCTGAAGTTGGTGTTCCTCTAGACTTGGGACAGTGTTCTCGGGGCATCTGTGGAGTTGCGTGAAGGAAGTCGAGCCACCGGTCGTGTTGAATGGGGAACGGGGAATGGCTCTGGGGTCAATGCAGGGGAATCGGGCCTCATCTCGAGTTGATTTGGGGCACATGGAGCTGCTTTGCGTTGCTGGGGTGACCTCAGGGTCCGTCTAGACTGGTGACAGTGTTCTTGGGGACTGTCTCGAGATCCATTAAGCATGTCGAAGCTCCTGACTTGTTTGAATGGGATCACGGAATACCTCTGCATGCACTGCAGGGGAATGGGGCCTCATCTCGCCTCTAGGGGGAAGTCTCATGGTTTTTCTCGAGTTGCGACGGGGACCTGGGGTATGTTCTCGACTTACGGCGGTGATGGCCCTTCAAAACACGAGTTTCTTCAGTGACGTCAGGACTCCTGTCTAGTAACGAGGGACACCTCAGGAATCTCTTTCAGGCTTGGCAGGGCAAAAGGGACGCTTCTCGAGGTGAGGCAGGGCACCCAAGGACCCTTTCCAGTAGCCACAGGGATTTTGGGATTCCTATCAGTATTCAAGAGGAGTCAGGCATCGTCACCTTTTGAAGCAATGAAATCTGCGTGCCTCTCGAGGTGTCAGCGGGATGTGAGGCATTCCCTTAAAATGAGGCATGGACCTAGGGCTTTCTCTAAGGTCTCCAAAGGGCATTCAGTCATCCCTTCATGTTTTGAGATCAAAGTAGAGCTGTATTCATGCCACTGCAAGGAAATCCGGCCTCCTTTCAAGTTAGGGCTTCTCGCTGTATATTCCCATTGAGGCAGCAAACTCGGGGTCCCTCCCACATACCTATTGCTGAGAGAAGCCTCCTCCTGAGGTGCTTCTGGAAAGTTGGCATACGTCTTGAGCCTAAGCCAGGGAATCAGCTCTCATCTCGAGACGATTTGGGGTACACGGAGCATTCCGCGAGTTGCTGTGCTGAAGTTGGTGTTCCTCTAGACTTGGGACAGTGTTCTCGGGGCATCTCTGGAGTTGCCTGAAGGAAGTGGAGCCACCGGTCGTGTTGACTGGGGAACGGGGAATGGCTCTAGAGTCAATGCAGTGGAATCGGGCCTCATCTCGAGTTGATTTGGGGCACATGGAGCTGCTTTGCGTTGCTGGGGTGACCCCAGGGTCCGTCTAGACTGGAGACAGTGTTCTTGGGGACTGTCTCGAGATCCATTAAGCAAGTCGAAGCTCCTGACTTGTTTGAATGGGATCACGGAATAGCTCTGCATGCACTGCAGGGGAATGGGGCCTCATCTCGCCTCTAGGGGGAAGTCTCATGGTTTTTCTCGAGTTGCGGCGGGGACCTGAGGTATGTTCTCGACTTACGGCGGGATGGCCCTTCAAAACACGAGTTTCTTCAGTGACGTCAGGACTCCTGTCTAGTAACGAGGGACACCTCAGGAATCTCTTCGAGGCTTGGCAGGGCAAAAGTGACGCTTCTCGAGGTGAGGCAGGGCACCCAAGGACCCTTTCCTGTAGCCACAGGGATTTTGGGATTCCTATCAGTATTCAAGAGGAGTCAGGCATCGTCACATTTTGAAGCAATGAACTCCGCGTGCCTCTCGAGGTGTCAGCGGGATGTGAGGCATTCCGTCAAAATGAGGCAGGGACCTAGGGCTTTCTCTAAGGTCTCCACAGGGGATTCAGACATGCCTTCATGTTGTGAGATTAAACACGAGCCTGTATTCAAGCCACTGCAAGGAAATCGGGCCTCCTTTCAATTTAGGGCTTCTCGCTGTATATTCCCCTTGAGGCAGCAAACTCGGGGTCCCTCCCACATAGCTATTGCTGAGAGAAGCCTCCTCCTGAGGTGCTTCTGGAAAGTTGGCATACGTCTTGAGCCTAAGCCAGGGAATCAGCTCTCATCTCGAGACGATTTGGGGTGCACGGAGCATTCCTCGAGTTGCTGTGCTGAAGTTGGTGTTCCTCTAGACTTGGGACAGTGTTCTCGGGGCATCTCTGGAGTTGCCTGAAGGAAGTGGAGCCACCGGTCGTGTTGAATGGGGAACTGGGAATGGCTCTGGAGTCAATGCAGGGGAATCGGGCCTCATCTCGAGTTGATTTGGGGCACATGTAGCTGCTTTCTGTTGCTGGGGTGACCTCAGGGTCCGTCTAGACTGGTGACAGTGCTCTTGGGGACTATCTCGAGATCGATTAAGCAAGTCGAAGCTCCTGACTTGTTTGAATGGGATCACGGAATAGCTCTGCATGCACTGCAGGGGAATGGGGCCTCATCTCGCCTCTAGGGGGAAGTCTCATGGTTTTTCTCGAGTTGCGGCGGGGACCTGGGGTATGTTCTCGACTTACGGCGGGGATGGCCCTTCAAAACACGAGTTTCTTCAGTGACGTCAGGACTCCTGTCTAGTAACGAGGGACACCTCAGGAATCTCTTCGAGGCTTGGCTGGGCAAAAGTGATGCTTCTCGAGGTCAGGCAGGGCACCCAAGGATCCTTTCCAGTAGCCACAGGGATTTTGGGATTCCTATCAGTATTCAAGAGGAGTCAGGCATCGTCACCTTTTGAAGCAATGAACTCCGCGTGCCTCTCGAGGTGTCAGCGGGATGTGAGGCATTCCGTCAAAATGAGGCTGGGACCTAGGGCTTTCTCTCAGGTCTCCACAGGGGATTCAGACATCCCTTCATGTTGTGAGATGAAAGACGAGCCTGTATTCAAGCCACTGCAAGGAAATCCGGCCACCTTTCAAGTTAGGGCTTCTCGATGTATATTCCCCTTGAGGCAGCAAACTCGGGGTCCCTCCAACATACATATTGCTGAGAGAAGCCTCCTCCTGAGGTGCTTCTGGAATGTAGGCATACGTCTTGAGCCTAAGCCAGGTAATCGGCTCTCATCTCGAGACGATTTGGGGTACACGGAGCATTCCTCGAGTTGCTGTGCTGAAGTTGGTGTTCCTCTAGACTTGGGACAGTGTTCTCGGGGCATCTCTGGAGTTGCCTGAAGGAAGTGGAGCCACCGGTCGTGTTGAATGGTAAACGGGTAATAGCTCTGGGGTCAATGCAGGGGAATCGGGCCTCATCTCGAGTTGATTTGGGGCACATGGAGCTGCTTTGCGTTGCTGGGGTGACCTCAGGGTCCGTCTAGACTGGTGACAGTGTTCTTGGGGACTGTCTCGAGATCCATTAAGCAAGTCGAAGCTCCTGACTTGTTTGAATGGGATCACGGAATAGGTCTGCATGCAGTGCAGGGGAATGGGGCCTTATCTCGCCTCTAAGGGGAAGTCTCATGGTTTTTCTCGAGTTGCGGCGGGGGCCTGGGGTATGTTCTCGACTTACGGCGGGGATGGCCCTTCAAAACACGAGTTTCTTCAGTGACGTCAGGACTCCTGTCTAGTAACGAGGGACACCTCAGGAATCTCTTCGAGGCTTGGCAGGGCAAAAGGGACGCTTCTCGAGGTGAGGCAGGGCACCCAAGGACCCTTTCAGTAGCCACAGGGATTTTGGGATTCCTATCAGTATTCAAGAGGAGTCAGGCATCGTCACCTATTGAAGCAATGAACTCCGCGTGCCTCTCGAGTTGTCAGCGGGATGTGAGGCATTCCGTCAAAATGAGGCAGGGACCTACGGCTTTCTCTAAGGTCTCCACAGGGGATTCAGACATCCCTTCATGTTGTGAGATGAAAGACGAGCCTGTATTCAAGCCACTGCAAGGAAATCCGGCCTCCTTTCAAGTTAGGGCTTCTCGCTGTATATTCCCCTTGAGGCAGCACACTCGGGGTCCTTCCCACATACCTATTGCTGAGAGAAGCCTCTTCCTGAGTTGCTTCTGGAAAGTTGGCAAATGCCTTGAGCCTAAGCCAATGTATCAGCTCTCATCTCGAGACGATTTGGGGTGCACGGAGCATTCCTCGAGTTGCTGTGCTGAAGTTGGTGTTCCTCTAGACTTGGGACAGTGTTCTCGGGGCATCTCAGGAGTTGCGTGAAGGAAGTCGAGCCACCGGTCGTGTTGAATGGGGAACGGGGAATGGCTCTGGGGTCAATGCAGGGGAATCGGGCCTCATCTCGAGTTGATTTGGGGCACATGGAGCTGCTTTGCGTTGCTGGGGTGACCTCAGGGTCCGTCTAGACTGGTGACAGTGTTCTTGGGGACTGTCTCGAGATCCATTAAGCAAGTCGAAGATCCTGACTTGTTTGAATGGGATCACGGAATAGCTCTGCATGCTCTGCAGGGGAATGGGGCCTCATCTCGCCTCTAGGGGGAAGTCTCATGGTTTTTCTCGAGTTGCGACGGGGACCTGGGGTATGTTCTCGACTTACGGCGGTGATGGCCCTTCAAAACACGAGTTTCTTCAGTGACGTCAGGACTCCTGTCTAGTAACGAGGGACACCTCAGGAATCTCTTCCAGGCTTGGCAGGGCAAAAGGGACGCTTCTCGAGGTGAGGCAGGGCACCCAAGGACCCTTTCAGTAGCCACAGGGATTTTGGGATTCCTATCAGTATTCAAGAGGAGTCAGGCATCGTCACCTTTTGAAGCAATGAACTCTGCGTGCCTCTCGAGGTGTCAGCGGGATGTGAGGCATTCCGTTAAAACGAGGCATGGACCTAGGGCTTTCTCTAAGGTCTCCAAAGGGCATTCAGTCATCCCTTCGTGTTTTGAGATCAAAGAAGAGCTGTATTCAAGCCACTGCAAGGAAATCCGGCCTCCTTTCAAGTTAGGGCTTCTCGCTGTATATTCCCATTGAGGCAGCAAACTCGGGGTCCCTCCCACATACCTATTGCTGAGAGAAGCCTCCTCCTGAGGTGCTTCTGGAAAGTTGGCATACGTCTTGAGCCTAAGCCAGGGAATCAGCTCTCATCTCGAGACGATTTGGGGTACACGGAGCATTCCTCGAGTTGCTGTGCTGAAGTTGGTGTTCCTCTACACTTGGGACAGTGTTCTCGGGGCATCTCTGGAGTTGCCTGAAGGAAGTGGAGCCACCGGTCGTGTTGAATGGGGAACGGGGAATGGCTCTAGAGTCAATGCAGGGGAATCGGGCCTCATCTCGAGTTGATTTGGGGCACATGGAGCTGCTTTGCGTTGCTGGGGTGACCCCAGGGTCCGTCTAGACTGGTGACAGTGTTCTTGGGACTGTCTCGAGATCCATTAAGCAAGTCGAAGCTCCTGACTTGTTTGAATGGGATCACGGAATATCTCTGCATGCACTGCAGGGGAATGGGGCCTCATCTCGCCTCTAGGGGGAAGTCTCATGGTTTTTCTCGAGTTGCGGCGGGGACCTGGGGTATGTTCTCGACTTACGGCGGGATGGCCCTTCAAAACACGAGTTTCTTCAGTGACGTCAGGACTCCTGTCTAGTAACGAGGGACACCTCAGGAATCTCTTCGAGGCTTGGCAGGGCAAAAGGGACGCTTCTCGAGGTGAGGCAGGGCACCCAAGGACCCTTTCCTGTAGCCACAGGGATTTTGGGATTCCTATCAGTATTCAAGAGGAGTCAGGCATCGTCACATTTTGAAGAAATGAACTCCGCGTGCCTCTCGAGGTGTCAGCGGGATGTGAGGCATTCCGTCAAAATGAGGCAGGGACCTAGGGCTTTCTCTAAGGTCTCCACAGGGGATTCAGACATGCCTTCATGTTGTGAGATTAAACACGAGCCTGTATTCAAGCCACTGCAAGGAAATCGGGCCTCCTTTCAATTTAGGGCTTCTCGCTGTATATTCCCCTTGAGGCAGCAAACTCGGGGTCCCTCCCACATAGCTATTGCTGAGAGAAGCCTCCTCCTGAGGTGCTTCTGGAAAGTTGGCATACGTCTTGAGCCTAAGCCAGGGAATCAGCTCTCATCTCGAGACGATTTGGGGTACACGGAGCATTCCTCGAGTTGCTGTGCTGAAGTTGGTGTTCCTCTAGACTTGGGACAGTGTTCTCGGGGCATCTCTGGAGTTGCCTGAAGGAAGTCGAGCCACCGGTCGTGTTGAATGGGGAACGGGGAATGGCTCTGGAGTCAATGCAGGGGAATCGGGCCTCATCTCGAGTTGATTTGGGGCACATGGAGCTGCTTTGCATTGCTTGGGTGACCTCAGCGTCCGTCTAGACTGGTGACAGTGTTCTTGGGGACTGTCTCGAGATCCATTAAGCAAGTCGAAGCTCCTGACTTGCTTGAATGGGATCACGGAATAGCTCTGCATGCACTGCAGGGGAATGGGGCCTCATCTCGCCTCTAGGGGGAAGTCTCATTGTTTTTCTCGAGTTGCGGCGGGGACCTGGGGTATGTTCTCGACTTACGGCGGGATGGCCCTTCAAAACACGAGTTTCTTCAGTGACGTCAGGACTCCAGTCTAGTAACGAGGGACACCTCAGGAATCTCTTCGAGGCTTGGCAGGGCAAAAGGGACGCTTCTCGAGTTGAGGCAGGGCAGCCAAGGACACTTTCCAGTAGCCACAGGGATTTTGGGATTCCTATCAGTATTCAAGAGGAGTCAGGCATCGTCACCTTTTGAAGCAATGAACTCCGCGTGCCTCTCGAGGTGTCAGCGGGATGTGAGGCATTCCGTCAAAATGAGGCATGGACCTAGGGCTTTCTCTATGGACTCCACAGGGCATTCAGACATCCCTTCATGTTCTAAGATCAAAGAAGAGCCTGTATTCAAGCCACTGCAAGGAACTCCGGCCTCCGTTCAAGTTAGGGCTTCTCGCTGTATATTCCCCTTGAGGCAGCAAACTCGGGGTCCCTCCAACATACCTATTGCCGAGAGAAGCCTCCTCCTGAGGTTCTTCTGGAAAGTTGGCATACGTCTTGAGCCTAAGCCAGAGAATGAGCTCTCATCTAGAGACGATTTGGGGTACACGGAGCATTCCTCGAGTTGCTGTGCTGAAGTTGGTGTTCCTCTAGACTTGGGACAGTGTTCTCGGGACGGAGTTACCTGAAGGAAGTCGAGCCACCGGTCGTGTTGAATGGGGAACGGGGAATGGCTCTGGAGTCAATGCAGGGGAATCGGGCCTCATCTCGAGTTGATTTGGGGCACATGGATCTGCTTTGCATTGCTGGGGTGACCTCAGGGTCCGTCTAGACTGGTGACAGTGTTCTTGGGGACTGTCTCGAGATCCATTAAGCAAGTCGAAGCTCCTGATTGTTTGAATGGGATCACGGAATAGCTCTGCATGCACTGCAGGGGAATGGGGCCTCATCTCGCCTCTTGGGGGAAGTCTCATGGTTTTTCTCGAGTTGCGGTGGGGACCTGGGGTATGTTCTCGACTTACGGCGGGGATGGCCCTTCAAAACACGAGTTTCTTCAGTGACGTCAGGACTCCTGTCTTGTAACGAGGGACACCTCAGGAATCTCTTCGAGGCTTGGCAGGGCAAAAGGGATGCTTCTCGAGGTGAGGCAGGGAACCCAAGGACCCTTTCCTGTAGCCACAGGGATTTTGGGATTCCTATCAGTATTCAAGAGGAGTCAGGCATCGTCACCTTTTGGAGCAATGAACTCCACGTGCCTCTCGAGGTGTCAGCGGGATGTGAGGCATTCCGTCAAAATGTGGCAGGGACCTAGGGCTTTCTCTAAGGACTCCACAGGGAATTCAGACATCCCTTCATGTTCTGAGATCAAAGAAGAGCCTGTATTCAAGCCACTGCAAGGAAATCCGGCCTCCTTTCAAGTTAGGGCTTCTCGCTGTATATTCCCCTTGAGGCAGCAAACTCGGGGTCCCTCCCACATACCTATTGCTGAGAGAAGCCTCCTCCTGAGGTGCTTCTGGAAAGTTGGCATACGTCTTGAGCCTAAGCCAGGGAATCAGCTCTCATCTCGAGACGATTTGGGGTACACGGAGCATTCCTCGAGTTGCTTTGCTGGAGTTGGTATTCCTCTAGACTTGGGACAGTGTTCTCGGGGCATCTCTGGAGTTGCCTGAAGGAAGTCGAGCAACCGGTCGTGTTGAATGGGGAACGGGGAATGGATCTGGAGTCAATGCAGGGGAATCGGGCCTCATCTCGAGTTGATTTGGGGCACATGCAGCTGCTTTGCGTTGCTGAGGTGACCTCAGGGTCCGTCTAGACTGGTGACAGTGTACTTGGGGACTGTCTCGAGATCCATTAAGCAATTCGAAGCTCCTGACTTGTTTGAATGGGATCACGGAATAGCTCTGCATGCACTGCAGGGGAATGGGGCCTCATCTTGCCTCTAGGGGGAAGTCTCATGGTTTTTCTCGAGTTGCGGCGGGGACCTGGGGTATGTTCTCGACTTACGGCGGGGATGGCCCTTCAAAACACGAGTTTCTTCAGTGACGTCAGGACTCCTGTCTAGTAACGAGGGACACCTCAGGAATCTCTTCCAGGTTTGGCAGGGCAAAAGGGACGCATCTCCAGGTGAGGCAGGGCACCCAAGGACACTTTCCTGTAGCCTCAGGGATTTTGGGATTACTATCAGTATTCAAGAGGAGTCAGGCATCGTCACCTTTTGAAGCAATGAACTCCGCGTTCCTCTCGAGGTGTCAGCGGGATGTGAGGCATTCCGTCAAAATGAGGCAGGGACCTAGGTCTTTCTCTAAGGTCTCCACAGGGGATTCAGACATGCCTTCATGTTGTGAGATGAAACATGAGCCTGTATTCAAGCCACTGCAAGGAAATCTGGCCTCTTTTCAATTTAGGGCTTCTCGCTGTATATTCCCCTTGATGCAGCAAACTCGGGGTCCCTCCCACATTCCTATTGCTGAGAGAAGCCTCCTCCTGAGGTGCTTCTGGAAAGTTGGCATACGTCTTGAGCCTAAGCCAGGGAATCAGCTCTCATCTCGAGACGATTTGGGGTTCACGGAGCATTCCTCGAGTTGCTGTGCTGAAGTTGGTATTCCTCTAGACTTGGGACAGTGTTCTCGGGGCATCTCTGGAGTTGCCTGAAGGAAGTCGAGCCACCGGTCGTGTTGAATGGGGAACGGGGAATGGCTCTGGAGTCAATGCAGGGGAATCGGGCCTCATCTCGAGTTGATTTTGGGTACATGGAGCTGCTTTGCGTTGCTGGGGTGGCCTCAGGGTCCGTCTAGACTGGTGACAGTGTTCTTGGGGACTGTCTCGAGATCCATTAAGCAAGTCGAAGCTCCTGACTTGTTTGAATGGGATCACGGAATAGCTCTGCATGCACTGCAGGGGAATGGGGCCTCATCTCGCCTCTAGGGGGAAGTCTCATGGTTTTTCTCAAGTTGCGGCGGGGACCTGGGGTATGTTCTCGACTTACGGCGGGGATGGCCCTTCAAAACACGAGTTTCTTCAGTGACGTCAGGACTCCTGTCTAGTAACGAGGGACAACTCAGGAATCTCTTCGAGGCTTGGCAGGGCAAAACTGACGCTTCTCGAGGTGAGGCAGGGCACCCAAGGACCCTTTCCAGTAGCCACGGGGATTTTGGGATTCCTATCAGTATTAAAGAAGAGTCAGGCATCGTCACCTTTTGAAGCAGTGAACTCCACGTGCCTCTCGAGGTGTCAACGGGATGTGAGGCATTCCGTCAAAATGAGGCAGGGACCTAGGGCTTTCTCTAAGGTCTCCACAGGGGATTCCGACATCCCTTCATGTTGTGAGATGAAAGACGAGCCTGTATTCAAGCCCGTGCAAGGAAATCCGGCCTCCTTTCAAGTTAGGGCTTCTCGCTGTATATTCCCCTTGAGGCAGCAAACTCGGGGTCCTCCCACATACCTATTGCTGAGAGAAGCCTCCTCCTGAGGTGCTTCTGGAAAGTTGGCATACGTCTTGAGCCTAAGCCAGGGAATCAGCTCTCATCTCGAGACGATTTGGGGTACACGGAGCATTCCTCGAGTTGCTGTGCTGAAGTTGGTGTTTCTCTAGACTTGGGACAGTGTTCTCCGGGCATCTCTGGAGTTACCTGAAGGAAGTCGAGCCACCGGTCGTGTTGAATGGGGAACGGGGAATGGCTCTGGAGTCAATGCAGGGGAATCGGGCCTCATCTCGAGTTGATTTGGGGCACATGGAGCTGCTTTGTGTTGCTGGGGTGACCTCATGGTCCATCTAGACTGGTGACAGTGTTCTTGGGGACTGTCTCGAAACCCATTAAGCAAGTCGAAGCTCCTGACTTGTTTGAATGGGATCACGGAATAGCTCTGCATGCACTGCAGGGGAATGGGGCCTCATCTCGCCTCTAGGGGGAAGTCTCATGGTTTTTCTCGAGTTGTGGCGGGGACCTGGGGTATGTTCTCGACTTACGGCGGGGATGGCCCTTCAAAACACGAGTTTCTTCAGTGACGTCAGGACTCCTGTCTAGTAACGAGGGACACCTCAGGAATCTCTTCGAGGCTTGGCAGGGCAAAAGGGACGCTTCTCGAGGTGAGGCAGGGCACCCAAGGACCCTTTCCAGTAGCCACAGGGATTTTGGGATTCCTATCAGTATTCAAGAGGAGTCAGGCATCGTTACCTTTTGAAGCCATGAACTCTGCGTGCCTCTCGAGGTGTCAGCGGGATGTGAGGCATTCCGTCAAAATGAGGCATGGACCTAGGGCTTTCTCTAAGGTCTCCACAGGGCATTCAGTCATCCCTTCATGTTTTGAGATCAAAGAAGAGCCTGTATTCAAGCCACTGCAAGGAAATCCGGCCTCCTTTCAAGTTAGGGCTTCTCGCTGTATATTCCCCTTGAGGCAGCAAACTCGGGGTCCCTCCCACATACCTATTGCTGAGAGAAGCCTCATCCTGAGGTGCTTCTGGAAAGTTGGCATACGTCTTGAGCCTAAGCCAGAGAATCAGCTCTCATCTCGAGACGATTTCGGGTACACGGAGCATTCCTCGAGTTGCTGTGCTGAAGTTGGTGTTCCTCTAGACTTGGGACAGTGTTCTCGGGGCATCTCTGGAGTTGCCTGAAGGAAGTCGAGCCACCGGTCGTGTTGAATGGGGAACGGGGAATGGCTCTGGAGTCAATGCAGGGGAATCGGGCCTCATCTCGAGTTGATTTGGGGCACATGGAGCTGCTTTGCGTTGCTGGGGTGACCTCAGCGTCCGTCTAGACTGGTGACAGTGTTCTTGGGGACTGTCTCGAGATCCATTAAGCACGTCGAAGCTCCTGACTTGTTTGAATGGGATCACGGAATAGCTCTGCATGCACTGCAGGGGAATGGGGCCTCATCTCGCCTCTAGGGGGAAGTCTCATGGTTTTTCTCGAGTTGCGGCGGGGACCTGGGGTATGTTCTCGACTTACGGCGGGATGGCCCTTCAAAACACGAGTTTCTTCAGTGACGTCAGGACTCCTGTCTAGTAACGAGGGACACCTCAGGAATCTCTTCGAGGTTTGGCAGGGCAAAACGGACGCTTCTCGAGGTGAGGCAGGGCACCCAAGGACCCTTTCCAGTAGCCACGGGGATTTTGGGATTCCTATCAGTATTCAAGAAGAGTCAGGCATCGTCACCTTTTGAAGCAATGAACTCTGCGTGCCTCTCGAGGTGTCAGCGGGATGTGAGGCATTGCGTCAAAATGAGGCAGGGACCTAGGGCTTTCTCTAAGGTCTCCACAGTGGATTCCGACATCCCTTCATGTTGTGAGATGAAAGACGAGCCTGTATTCAAGCCACTGCAAGGAAATTCGGCCTCCTTTCAAATTAGGGCTTCTCGCTGTATATTCCCCTTGAGGCAGCAAACTCGGGGTCCCTCCCACATACCTATTGCTGAGAGAAGCCTCCTCCTGAGGTGCTTCTGGAAAGTTGGCATACGTATTGACCCTAAGCCAGGGAATCAGCTCTCATCTCGAGACGATTTGGGGTACACGGAGCATTCCTCGAGTTGCTGTGCTGAAGTTGGTGTTCCTCTAGACTTGGGACAGTTTTCTCGGGGAATCTCTGGAGTTGCCTGAAGGAAGTCGAGCCACCGGTCGTGTTGAATGGGGATCGGGGAATGGCTCTGGAGTCAATGCAGGGGAATCGGGCCTCATCTCGAGTTGATTTGGGACACATGGAGCTGCTTTGCTTTGCTGGGGTGACCTCAGCGTCCGTCTAGACTGGTGACAGTGTTCTTGGGGACTGTCTCGAGATCCATTAAGCAAGTCGAATCTCCTGACTTGTTTGAATGGGATCACGGAATAGCTCTGCATGCACTGCAGGGGAATGGGGCCTCATCTCGCCTCTAGGGGGAAGTCTCATGGTTTTTCTCGAGTTGCGGCGGGGACCTGGGGTATGTTCTCGACTTACGGCGGGATGGCCCTTCAAAACACGAGTTTCTTCAGTGACGTCAGGACTCCTGTCTAGTAACGAGGGACACCTCAGGAATCTCTTCGAGGCTTGTAAGGGCAAAAGGGACGCTTCTCCAGGTGAGGCAGTGCACCCAAGGACCCTTTCCTGTAGCCACAGGGATTTTGGGATTCCTATCAGTATTCAAGAGGAGTCAGGCATCGTCACCTTTTGAAGCAATGAACTCCGCGTGCCTCTCGAGGTGTCAGCGGGATGTGAGGCATTCCGTCAAAATGAGGCAGGGACCTAGGGCTTTCTTTAAGGTCTCCACAGGGGATTCAGACAGGCTTCATGTTGTGAGATTAAACACGAGCCTGTATTCAAGCCACTGCAAGGAAATTGGGCCTCCTTTCAATTTAGGGCTTCTCGCTGTATATTCCCCTTGAGGCAGCAAACTCGGGGTCCCTCCCACATAGCTATTGCTGAGAGAAGCCTCCTCCTGAGGTGCTTCTGGAAAGTTGGCATACGTCTTGAGCCTAAGCCAGGGAATCAGCTCTCATCTCGAGACGATTTGGGGTACACGGAGCATTCCTCGAGTTGCTGTGCTGAAGTTAGTGTTCCTCTAGACTTGGGACAGTGTTCTCGGGGCATCTCTGGAGTTGCCTGAAGGAAGTCGAGCCACCGGTCGTGTTGAATGGGGAACGGGGAATGGCTCTGGAGTCAATGCAGGGGAATCGGGCCTCATCTCGAGTTGATTTGGGGCACATGGAGCTGCTTTGCGTTGCTGGGGTGGCCTCAGGTTCCGTCTAGACTGGTGACAGTGTTCTTGGGGACTGTCTCGAGATCGATTAAGCAAGTCGAAGCTCCTGACTTGTTTGAATGGGATCACGGAATAGCTCTGCATGCACTGCAGGGGAATGGGGCCTCATCTCGCCTCTAGGGGGAAGTCTCAAGGTTTTTCTCGAGTTGCGGCAGGGACCTGGGGTATGTTCTCGACTTACGGCGGGGAAGGCCCTTCAAAACACGAGTTTCTTCAGTGACGTCAGGACTCCTGTCTAGTAACGAGGGACACCTCAGGAATCTCTTCGAGGTTTGGCAGGGCAAAACGGACCCTTCTCGAGGTGAGGCAGGGCACCCAAGGACCCTTTCCAGTAGCCACGGGGATTTTGGGATTCCTATCAGTATTCAAGAAGAGTCAGGCATCGTCACCTTTTGAAGCAATGAACTCTGCGTGCCTCTCGAGGTGTCAGCGGGATGTGAGGCATTCCGTCAAAATGAGGCAGGGACCTAGGGCTTTCTCTAAGGTCTCCACAGTGGATTCCGACATCCCTTCATGTTGTGAGATGAAAGACGAGCCTGTATTCAAGCCACTGCAAGGAAATCCGGCCTCCTTTCAAATTAGGGCTTCTCGCTGTATATTCCCCTTGAGGCAGCAAACTCGGGGTCCCTCCCACATACCTATTGCTGAGAGAAGCCTCCTCCTGAGGTGCTTCTGGAAAGTTGGCATACGTATTGACCCTAAGCCAGGGAATCAGCTCTCATCTCGAGACGATTTGTGGTACACGGAGCATTCCTCGAGTTGCTGTGCTGAAGTTGGTGTTCCTCTAGACTTGGGACAGTTTTCTCGGGGAATCTCTGGAGTTGCCTGAAGGAAGTCGAGCCACCGGTCGTGTTGAATGGGGATCGGGGAATGGCTCTGGAGTCAATGCAGGGGAATCGGGCCTCATCTCGAGTTGATTTGGGGCACATGGAGCTGCTTTGCTTTGCTGGGGTGACTTCAGCGTCCGTCTAGACTGGAGACAGTGTTCTTGGGGACTGTCTCGAGATCCATTAAGCAAGTCGAATCTCCTGACTTGTTTGAATGGGATCACGGAATAGCTCTGCATGCACTGCAGGGGAATGGGGCCTCATCTCGCCTCTAGGGGGAAGTCTCATGGTTTTTCTCGAGTTGCGGCGGGGACCTGGGGTATGTTCTCGACTTACGGCAGGGATGGCCCTTCAAAACACGAGTTTCTTCAGTGACGTCAGGACTCCTGTCTAGTAACGAGGGACACCTCAGGAATCTCTTCGAGGCTTGGCAGGGCAAAAGGGACGCTTCTCGAGGTGAGGCAGTGCACCCAAGGACCCTTTCCTGTAGCCACAGGGATTTTGGGATTCCTATCAGTATTCAAGATGAGTCAGGCATCGTCACCTTTTGAAGCAATGAACTCCGCATGCCTCTCGAGGTGTCAGCGGGTTGTGAGGCAGTCCTTCAAAATGAGGCAGGGACCTAGGGCTTTCTCTAAGGTCTCCACAGGGGATTCAGACATGCCTTCATGTTGTGAGATTAAACACGAGCCTGTATTCAAGCCACTGCAAGGAAATCGGGCCTCCTTTCAATTTAGGGCTTCTCGCTGTATATTCCCCTTGAGGCAGCAAACTCGGGGTCCCTCCCACATAGCTATTGCTGAGAGAAGCCTCCTCCTGAGGTTCTTCTGGAAAGTTGGCATACGTCTTGAGCCTAAGCCAGGGAATCAGCTCTCATCTCGAGACGATTTGGTGTACACGGAGCATTCCTCAAGTTGCTGTGCTGAAGTTGGTGTTCCTCTAGACTTGGGACAGTGTTCTCGGGGCATCTCTGGAGTTGCCTGAAGGAAGTCGAGCCACCGTTCGTGTTGAATGGGGAACGGGGAATGGCTCTGGAGTCAATGCAGGGGAATCGGGCTTCATCTCGAGTTGATTTGGGGCACATGGAGCTGCTTTGCGTTGCTGGGGTGGCCTCAGGGTCCGTCTAGACTGGTGACAGTGTTCTTGGGGACTGTCTCGAGATCGATTAAGCAAGTCGAAGCTCCTGACTTGTTTGAATGGGATCACGGAATAGCTCTGCATGCACTGCAGGGGAATGGGGCCTCATCTCGCCTCTAGGGGGAAGTCTCATGGTTTTTCTCGAGTTGCGGCGGGGACCTGGGTTATGTTTTCGACTTAAGGCGGGGATGGCCCTTCAAAACACGAGTTTCTTCAGTGACGTCAGGACTCCTGTCTAGTAACGAGGGACACCTCAGGAATCTCTTCCAAGCTTGGCAGGGCAAAAGAGACGCTTCTCGAGGTGAGGCAGGGCACCCAAGGACCCTTTCCAGTAGCCACAGTGATTTTGGGATTCCTATCAGTATTCAAGAGGAGTCAGGCATCGTCACCTTTTGAAGCAATGAACTCTGCGTGCCTCTCGAGGTGTCAGCGGGATGTGAGGCATTCCGTCAAAATGAGGCATGGACTTAGGGCTTTCTCTAAGGTCTCCACAGGGCATTCAGTAATCCCTTCATGTTTTGAGATCAAAGAAGAGCCTGTATTCAAGCCACTGCAGGGAAATCCGGCCTCCTTTCAAGTTAGGGCTTCTCGCTGTATATTCCCCTTGAGGCAGCAAACTCGGGGTCCCTCCCACATACCTATTGCTGAGAGAAGCCTCCTCCTGAGGTGCTTCTGGGAAGTTGGCATACGTCTTGAGCCTAAGCCAGGGAATCACCTCTCATCTCGAGACGATTTGGGGTACACGGAGCATTCCTCGATTTGCTGTGCTGAAGTTGGTGTTCCTCTAGACTTGGGACAGTGTTCTCGGGGCATCTCTGGAGTTACCTGAAGGAAGTCGAGCCACCGGTCATGTTGAATGCGGAACGGGGAATGGCTCTGGAGTCAATGAAGGGGAATCGGGCCTCATCTCGAGTTGATTTGGGTCACATGGAGCTGCTTTGCGTTGCTGGGGTGACCTCAGGATCTGTCTAGACTGGTGACAGTGTTCTTGGGGACTGTCTCGAGATCCATTAAGCAAGTCGAAGCTCCTGACTTGTTTGAATGGGATCACGGAATAGCTCTGCATGCACTGCAGGGGAATGGGGCCTCATCTCGCCTCTAGGGGGAAGTCTCATGGTTTTACTCGAGTTGCGGCGGGGACCTGGGGTATGTTCTCGACTTACGGCGGGATGGCCCTTCAAAACACGAGTTTCTTCAGTGACGTCAGGACTCCTGTCTAGTAACGAGGGACACCTCAGGAATCTCTTCCAAGCTTGGCAGGGCAAAAGGGACGCTTCTCGAGGTGAGGCAGTGCACCCAAGGACCCTTTCCTGTAGCCACAGGGATTTTGGGATTCCTATCAGTATTCAAGAGGAGTCAGGCATCGTCACCTTTTGAAGCAATGAACTCCGCGTGCCTCTCGAGGTGTCAGTGGGATGTGAGGCATTCCGTCAAAATGAGGCAGGGACCTAGGGCTTTCTTTAAGGTCTCCACAGGGGATTCAGACAGGCTTCATGTTGTGAGATTAAACACGAGCCTGTATTCAAGCCACTGCAAGGAAATTGGGCCTCCTTTCAATTTAGGGCTTCTCGCTGTATATTCCCCTTGAGGCAGCAAACTCGGGGTCCCTCCCACATAGCTATTGCTGAGAGAAGCCTCCTCCTGAGGTGCTTCTGGAAAGTTGGCATACGTCTTGAGCCTAAGCCAGGGAATCAGCTCTCATCTCGAGACGATTTGGGGTACACGGAGCATTCCTCGAGTTGCTGTGCTGAAGTTAGTGTTCCTCTAGACTTGGGACAGTGTTCTCGGGGCATCTCTGGAGTTGCCTGAAGGAAGTCGAGCCACCGGTCGTGTTGAATGGGGAACGGGGAATGGCTCTGGAGTCAATGCAGGGGAATCGGGCCTCATCTCGAGTTGATTTGGGGCACATGGAGCTGCTTTGCGTTGCTGGGGTGGCCTCAGGGTCCGTCTAGACTGGTGACAGTGTTCTTGGGGACTGTCTCGAGATCGATTAAGCAAGTCGAAGCTCCTGACTTGTTTGAATGGGATCACGGAATAGCTCTGCATGCACTGCAGGGGAATGGGGCCTCATCTCGCCTCTAGGGGGAAGTCTCATGGTTTTTCTCGAGTTGCGGCAGGGACCTGGGGTATGTTCTCGACTTACGGCGGGGAAGGCCCTTCAAAACACGAGTTTCTTCAGTGACGTCAGGACTCCTGTCTAGTAACGAGGGACACCTCAGGAATCTCTTCGAGGTTTGGCAGGGCAAAACGGACCCTTCTCGAGGTGAGGCAGGGCACCCAAGGACCCTTTCCAGTAGCCACGGTGATTTTGGGATTCCTATCAGTATTCAAGAAGAGTCAGGCATCGTCACCTTTTGAAGCAATGAACTCTGCGTGCCTCTCGAGGTGTCAGCGGGATGTGAGGCATTCCGTCAAAATGAGGCAGGGACCTAGGGCTTTCTCTAAGGTCTCCACAGTGGATTCCGACATCCCTTCATGTTGTGAGATGAAAGACGAGCCTGTATTCAAGCCACTGCAAGGAAATCCGGCCTCCTTTCAAATTAGGGCTTCTCGCTGTATATTCCCCTTGAGGCAGCAAACTCGGGGTCCCTCCCACATACCTATTGCTGAGAGAAGCCTCCTCCTGAGGTGCTTCTGGAAAGTTGGCATACGTATTGACCCTAAGCCAGGGAATCAGCTCTCATCTCGAGACGATTTGTGGTACACGGAGCATTCCTCGAGTTGCTGTGCTGAAGTTGGTGTTCCTCTAGACTTGGGACAGTGTTCTCGGGGCATCTCTGGAGTTGCCTGAAGGAAGTCGAGCCACCGTTCGTGTTGAATGGGGAACGGGGAATGGCTCTGGAGTCAATGCAGGGGAATCGGGCTTCATCTCGAGTTGATTTGGGGCACATGGAGCTGCTTTGCGTTGCTGGGGTGGCCTCAGGGTCCGTCTAGACTGGTGACAGTGTTCTTGGGGACTGTCTCGAGATCGATTAAGCAAGTCGAAGCTCCTGACTTGTTTGAATGGGATCACGGAATAGCTCTGCATGCACTGCAGGGGAATGGGGCCTCATCTCGCCTCTAGGGGGAAGTCTCATGGTTTTTCTCGAGTTGCGGCGGGGACCTGGGTTATGTTCTCGACTTACGGCGGGGATGGCCCTTCAAAACACGAGTTTCTTCAGTGACGTCAGGACTCCTGTCTAGTAACGAGGGACACCTCAGGAATCTCTTCCAAGCTTGGCAGGGCAAAAGAGACGCTTCTCGAGGTGAGGCAGGGCACCCAAGGACCCTTTCCAGTAGCCACAGTGATTTTGGGATTCCTATCAGTATTCAAGAGGAGTCAGGCATCGTCACCTTTTGAAGCAATGAACTCTGCGTGCCTCTCGAGGTGTCAGCGGGATGTGAGGCATTCCGTCAAAATGAGGCATGGACCTAGGGCTTTCTCTAAGGTCTCCACAGGGCATTCAGTCATCCCTTCATGTTTTGAGATCAAAGAAGAGCCTGTATTCAAGCCACTGCAGGGAAATCCGGCCTCCTTTCAAGTTAGGGCTTCTCGCTGTATATTCCCCTTGAGGCAGCAAACTCGGGGTCCCTCCCACATACCTATTGCTGAGAGAAGCCTCCTCCTGAGGTGCTTCTGGGAAGTTGGCATACGTCTTGAGCCTAAGCCAGGGAATCACCTCTCATCTCGAGACGATTTGGGGTACACGGAGCATTCCTCGATTTGCTGTGCTGAAGTTGGTGTTCCTCTAGACTTGGGACAGTGTTCTCGGGGCATCTCTGGAGTTACCTGAAGGAAGTCGAGCCACCGGTCATGTTGAATGCGGAACGGGGAATGGCTCTGGAGTCAATGAAGGGGAATCGGGCCTCATCTCGAGTTGATTTGGGTCACATGGAGCTGCTTTGCGTTGCTGGGGTGACCTCAGGGTCTGTCTAGACTGGTGACAGTGTTCTTGGGGACTGTCTCGAGATCCATTAAGCAAGTCGAAGCTCCTGACTTGTTTGAATGGGATCACGGAATAGCTCTGCATGCACTGCAGGGGAATGGGGCCTCATCTCGCCTCTAGGGGGAAGTCTCATGGTTTTACTCGAGTTGCGGCGGGGACCTGGGGTATGTTCTCGACTTACGGCGGGATGGCCCTTCAAAACACGAGTTTCTTCAGTGACGTCAGGACTCCTGTCTAGTAACGAGGGACACCTCAGGAATCTCTTCCAAGCTTGGCAGGGCAAAAGGGACGCTTCTCGAGGTGAGGCAGTGCACCCAAGGACCCTTTCCTGTAGCCACAGGGATTTTGGGATTCCTATCAGTATTCAAGAGGAGTCAGGCATCGTCACCTTTTGAAGCAATGAACTCCGCGTGCCTCTCGAGGTGTCAGCGGGATGTGAGGCATTCCGTCAAAATGAGGCAGGGACCTAGGGCTTTCTTTAAGGTCTCCACAGGGGATTCAGACAGGCTTCATGTTGTGAGATTAAACACGAGCCTGTATTCAAGCCACTGCAAGGAAATTGGGCCTCCTTTCAATTTAGGGCTTCTCGCTGTATATTCCCCTTGAGGCAGCAAACTCGGGGTCCCTCCCACATAGCTATTGCTGAGAGAAGCCTCCTCCTGAGGTGCTTCTGGAAAGTTGGCATACGTCTTGAGCCTAAGCCAGGGAATCAGCTCTCATCTCGAGACGATTTGGGGTACACGGAGCATTCCTCGAGTTGCTGTGCTGAAGTTAGTGTTCCTCTAGACTTGGGACAGTGTTCTCGGGGCATCTCTGGAGTTGCCTGAAGGAAGTCGAGCCACCGGTCGTGTTGAATGGGGAACGGGGAATGGCTCTGGAGTCAATGCAGGGGAATCGGGCCTCATCTCGAGTTGATTTGGGGCACATGGAGCTGCTTTGCGTTGCTGGGGTGGCCTCAGGGTCCGTCTAGACTGGTGACAGTGTTCTTGGGGACTGTCTCGAGATCGATTAAGCAAGTCGAAGCTCCTGACTTGTTTGAATGGGATCATGGAATAGCTCTGCATGCACTGCAGGGGAATGGGGCCTCATCTCGCCTCTAGGGGGAAGTCTCATGGTTTTTCTCGAGTTGCGGCAGGGACCTGGGGTATGTTCTCGACTTACGGCGGGGAAGGCCCTTCAAAACACGAGTTTCTTCAGTGACGTCAGGACTCCTGTCTAGTAACGAGGGACACCTCAGGAATCTCTTCGAGGTTTGGCAGGGCAAAACGGACGCTTCTCGAGGTGAGGCAGGGCACCCAAGGACCCTTTCCAGTAGCCACGGGGATTTTGGGATTCCTATCAGTATTCAAGAAGAGTCAGGCATCGTCACCTTTTGAAGCAATGAACTCTGCGTGCCTCTCGAGGTGTCAGCGGGATGTGAGGCATTCCGTCAAAATGAGGCAGGGACCTAGGGCTTTCTCTAAGGTCTCCACAGTGGATTCCGACATCCCTTCATGTTGTGAGATGAAAGACGAGCCTGTATTCAAGCCACTGCAAGGAAATCCGGCCTCCTTTCAAATTAGGGCTTCTCGCTGTATATTCCCCTTGAGGCAGCAAACTCGGGGTCCCTCCCACATACCTATTGCTGAGAGAAGCCTCCTCCTGAGGTGCTTCTGGAAAGTTGGCATACGTATTGACCCTAAGCCACGGAATCAGCTCTCATCTCGAGACGATTTGGGGTACACGGAGCATTCCTCGAGTTGCTGTGCTGAAGTTGGTGTTCCTCTAGACTTCGGACAGTGTTCTCGGGGAATCTCTGGAGTTGCCTGAAGGAAGTCGAGCCACCGGTCGTGTGGAATGGGGATCGGGGAATAGCTCTGGAGTCAATGCAGGGGAATCGGGCCTCATCTCGAGTTGATTTGGGGCACATTGAGCTGCTTTGCGTTGCTTGGGTGACCTCAGCGTCCGTCTAGACTGGTGACATTGTTCTTGGGGACTGTCTCGAGATCCATTAAGCAAGTCGAATCTCCTGACTTGTTTGAATGGGATCACGGAATAGCTCTGCATGCACTGCAGGGGAATGGGGCCTCATCTCGCCTCTAGGGGGAAGTCTCATGGTTTTACTCGAGTTGCGGCGGGGACCTGGGGTATGTTCTCGACTTACGGCGGGATGGCCCTTCAAAACACGAGTTTCTTCAGTGACGTCAGGACTCCTGTCTAGTAACGAGGGACACCTCAGGAATCTCTTCCAAGCTTGGCAGGGCAAAAGGGACGCTTCTCGAGGTGAGGCAGGGCACCCAAGGACCCTTTCCAGTAGCCACAGGGATTTTGGGATTCCTATCAGTTTTCAAGAGGAGTCAGGCATCGTCACCTTTTGAAGCAATGAACTCTGCGTGCCTCTCGAGGTGTCAGCGGGATGTGAGGCATTCCGTCAAAATGAGGCATGGACCTAGGGCTTTCTCTAAGGTCTCCACAGGGCATTCAGTCATCCCTTCATGTTTTGAGATCAAAGAAGAGCCTGTATTCAAGCCACTGCAGGGAAATCCGGCCTCCTTTCAAGTTAGGGCTTCTCGCTGTATATTCCCCTTGAGGCAGCAAACTCGGGGTCCCTCCCACATACCTATTGCTGAGAGAAGCCTCCTCCTGAGGTGCTTCTGGAAAGTTGGCATACGTCTTGAGCCTAAGCCAGGGAATCAGCTCTCATCTCGAGACGATTTGGGGTACACGGAGCATTCCTCGATTTGCTGTGCTGAAGTTGGTGTTCCTCTAGACTTGGGACAGTGTTCTCGGGGCATCTCTGGAGTTACCTGAAGGAAGTCGAGCCACCGGTCATGTTGAATGGGGAACGGGGAATGGCTCTGGAGTCAATGCAGGGGAATCGGGCCTCATCTCGAGTTGATTTGGGGCACATGCAGCTGCTTTGCGTTGCTGGGGTGGCCTCAGGGTCCGTCTAGACTGGTGACAGTGTTCTTGGGGACTGTCTCGAGATCCATTAAGCAAGTCGAAGCTCCTGACTTGTTTGAATGGGATCACGGAATAGCTCTGCATGCACTGAAGGGGAATGGGGCCTCATCTCGCCTCTAGGGGGAAGTCTCATGGTTTTACTCGAGTTGCGGCGGGGACCTGGGGTATGTTCTCGACTTACGGCGGGATGGCCCTTCAAAACACGAGTTTCTTCAGTGACGTCAGGACTCCTGTCTAGTAACGAGGGACACCTCAGGAATCTCTTCCAAGCTTGGCAGGGCAAAAGGGACGCTTCTCGAGGTGAGGCAGTGCACCCAAGGACCCTTTCCTGTAGCCACAGGGATTTTGGGATTCCTATCAGTATTCAAGAGGAGTCAGGCATCGTCACCTTTTGAAGCAATGAACTCCGCGTGCCTCTCGAGGTGTCAGCGGGATGTGAGGCATTCCGTCAAAATGAGGCAGGGACCTAGGGCTTTCTCTAAGGTCTCCACAGGGGATTCAGACATGCCTTCATGTTGTGAGATGAAAGACGAGCCTGTATTCAAGCCACTGCAAGGAAATCAGGCCTCCTTTCAATTTAGGGCTTCTCGCTGTATATTCCCCTTGAGGCAGCAAACTCGGGGTCCCTCCCACATAGCTATTGCTGAGAGAAGCCTCCTCCTGAGGTGCTTCTGGAAAGTTGGCATACGTCTTGAGCCTAAGCCAGGGAATCAGCTCTCATCTCGAGACGATTTGGGGTACACGGAGCATTCCTCGAGTTGCTGTGCTGAAGTTGGTGTTCCTCTAGACTTGGGACAGTGTTCTCGGGGCATCTCTGGAGTTGCCTGAAGGAAGTCGAGCCACCGGTCGTGTTGAATGGGGAACGGGGAATGGCTCTGGAGTCAATGCAGGGGAATCGGGCCTCATCTCGAGTTGATTTGGGGCACATGGAGCTGCTTTGCGTTGCTGGGGTGACCTCAGCGTCCGTCTAGACTGGTGACAGTGTTCTTGGGGACTGTCTCGAGATCCATTAAGCAAGGCGAAGCTCCTGACTTGTTTGAATGGGATCACGGAATAGCTCTGCATGCACTGCAGGGGAATGGGGCCTCATCTCGCCTCTAGGGGGAAGTCTCATTGTTTTTCTCGAGTTGCGGCAGGGACCTGGGGTATGTTCTCGACTTACGGCGGGGAAGGCCCTTCAAAACACGAGTTTCTTCAGTGACGTCAGGACTCCTGTCTAGTAACGAGGGACACCTCAGGAATCTCTTCGAGGCTTGGCAGGGCAAAACGGATGCTTCTCGAGGTGAGGCAGGGCACCCAAGGACCCTTTCCAGTAGCCACGGGGATTTTGGGATTCCTATCAGTATTCAAGAAGAGTCAGGCATCGTCACCTTTTGAAGCAATGAACTCTGCGTGCCTCTCGAGGTGTCAACGGGATGTGAGGCATTCCGTCAAAATGAGGCAGGGACCTAGGGCTTTCTCTAAGGTCTCCACAGTGGATTCCGTCATCCCTTCATGTTGTGAGATGAAAGACGAGCCTGTATTCAAGCCACTGCAAGGAAATCCGGCCTCCTTTCAAGTTAGGGCTTCTCGCTGTATATTCCCCTTGAGGCAGCAAACTCGGGGTCCCTCCCACATACCTATTGCTGAGAGAAGCCTCCTCCTGAGGTGCTTCTGGAAAGTTGGCATACGTACTGACCCTAAGCCAGGGAATCAGCTCTCATCTCGAGACAATTTGGGGTACACGGAGCATTCCTCGAGTTGCTGTGCTGAAGTTGGTGTTCCTCTAGACTTGGGACAGTTTTCTCGGGGAATCTCTGGAGTTGCCTGAAGGAAGTCGAGCCACCGGTCGTGTTGAATGGGGATCGGGGAATGGCTCTGGAGTCAATGCAGGGGAATCGGGCCTCATCTCGAGTTGATTTGGGGCACATGGAGCTGCTTTGCTTTGCTGGGGTGACCTCAGCGTCCGTCTAGACTGGTGACAGTGTTCTTGGGGACTGTCTCGAGATCCATTAAGCAAGTCGAATCTCCTGACTTGTTTGAATGGGATCACGGAATAGCTCTGCATGCACTGCAGGGGAATGGGGCCTCATCTCGCCTCTAGGGGGAAGTCTCATGGTTTTTCTCGAGTTGCGGCGGGGACCTGGGGTATGTTCTCGACTTACGGCAGGGATGGCCCTTCAAAACACGAGTTTCTTCAGTGACGTCAGGACTCCTGTCTAGTAACGAGGGACACCTCAGGAATATCTTTCAAGCTTGGCAGGGCAAAAGGGACGCTTCTCGAGGTGAGGCAGGGCACCCAAGGACCCTTTCCAGTAGCCACAGGGATTTTGGGATTCCTATCAGTATTCAAGAGGAGTCAGGCATCGTCACCTTTTGAAGCAATGAACTCTGCGTGCCTCTCGAGGTGTCAGCGGGATGTGAGGCATTCCGTCAAAATGAGGCATGGACCTAGGGCTTTCTCTAAGGTCTCCACAGGGCATTCAGTCATCCCTTCATGTTTTGAGATCAAAGAAGAGCCTGTATTCAAGCCACTGCAGGGAAATCCGGCCTCCTTTCAAGTTAGGGCTTCTCGCTGTATATTCCCCTTGAGGCAGCAAACTCGGGGTCCCTCCCACATACCTATTGCTGAGAGAAGCCTCCTCCTGAGGTGCTTCTGGAAAGTTGGCATACGTCTTGAGCCTAAGCCAGGGAATCAGCTCTCATCTCGAGACGATTTGGGGTACACGGAGCATTCCTCGATTTGCTGTGCTGAAGTTGGTGTTCCTCTAGACTTGGGACAGTGTTCTCGGGGCATCTCTGGAGTTACCTGAAGGAAGTCGAGCCACCGGTCATGTTGAATGCGGAACGTGGAATGGCTCTGGAGTCAATGCATGGGAATCGGGCCTCATCTCGAGTTGATTTGGGGCACATGGAGCTGCTTTGCGTTGCTGGGGTGACCTCAGGGTCCGTCTAGACTGGTGACAGTGTTCTTGGGGACTGTCTCGAGATCCATTAAGCAAGTCGAAGCTCCTGACTTGTTTGAATGGGATCACGGAATAGCTCTGCATGCACTGCAGGGGAATGGGGCCTCATCTCGCCTCTAGGGGGAAGTCTCATGGTTTTTCTCGAGTTGCGGCGGGGACCTGGGGTATGTTCTCGACTTACGGCGGGGATGGCCCTTCAAAACACGAGTTTCTTCAGTGACGTCAGGACTCCTGTCTAGTAACGAGGGACACCTCAGGAATCTCTTCCAAGCTTGGCAGGGCAAAAGGGACGCTTCTCGAGGTGAGGCAGTGCACCCAAGGACCCTTTCCTGTAGCCACAGGGATTTTGGGATTCCTATCAGTATTCAAGAGGAGTCAGGCATCGTCACCTTTTGAAGCAATGAACTCCGCGTGCCTCTCGAGGTGTCAGCGGGATGTGAGGCATTCCGTCAAAATGAGGCAGGGACCTAGGGCTTTCTCTAAGGTCTCCACAGGGGATTCAGACATGCCTTCATGTTGTGAGATTAAACACGAGCCTGTATTCAAGCCACTGCAAGGAAATTGGGCCTCCTTTCAATTTAGGGCTTCTCGCTGTATATTCCCCTTGAGGCAGCAAACTCGGGGTCCCTCCCACATAGCTATTGCTGAGAGAAGCCTCCTCCTGAGGTGCTTCTGGAAAGTTGGCATACGTCTTGAGCCTAAGCCAGGGAATCAGCTCTCATCTCGAGACGATTTGGGGTACACGGAGCATTCCTCGAGTTGCTGTGCTGAAGTTAGTGTTCCTCTAGACTTGGGACAGTGTTCTCGGGGCATCTCTGGAGTTGCCTGAAGGAAGTCGAGCCACCGGTCGTGTTGAATGGGGAACGGGGAATGGCTCTGGAGTCAATGCAGGGGAATCGGGCCTCATCTCGAGTTGATTTGGGGCACATGCAGCTGCTTTGCGTTGCTGGGGTGGCCTCAGGGTCCATCTAGACTGGTGACAGTGTTCTTGGGGACTGTCTCGAGATCGATTAAGCAAGTCGAAGCTCCTGACTTGTTTGAATGGGATCACGGAATAGCTCTGCATGCACTGCAGGGGAATGGGGCCTCATCTCGCCTCTAGGGGGAAGTCTCATGGTTTTTCTCGAGTTGCGGCAGGGACCTGGGGTATTTTCTCGACTTACGGCGGGGAAGGCCCTTCAAAACACGAGTTTCTTCAGTGACGTCAGGACTCCTGTCTAGTAACGAGGGACACCTCAGGAATCTCTTCGAGGTTTGGCAGGGCAAAACGGACGCTTCTCGAGGTGAGGCTGGGCACCCAAGGACCCTTTCCAGTAGCCACAGGGATTTTGGGATTCCTATCAGTATTCAAGAAGAGTCAGGCATCGTCACCTTTTGAAGCAATGAACTCTGCGTGCCTCTCGAGGTGTCAGCGGGATGTGAGGCATTCCGTCAAAATGAGGCAGGGACCTAGGGCTTTCTCTAAGGTCTCCACAGTGGATTCCGACATCCCTTCATGTTGTGAGATGAAAGACGAGCCTGTATTCAAGCCACTGCAAGGAAATCCGGCCTCCTTTCAAGTTAGGGCTTCTCGCTGTATATTCCCCTTGAGGCAGCAAACTCGGGGTCCCTCCCACATACCTATTGCTGAGAGAAGCCTCCTCCTGAGGTGCTTCTGGAAAGTTGGCATACGTATTGACCCTAAGCCAGGGAATCAGCTCTCATCTCGAGACGATTTGGGGTACACGGAGCATTCCTCGAGTTGCTGTGCTGAAGTTGGTGTTCCTCTAGACTTCGGACAGTGTTCTCGGGGAATCTCTGGAGTTGCCTGAAGGAAGTCGAGCCACCGGTCGTGTTGAATGGGGATCGGGGAATGGCTCTGGAGTCAATGCAGGGGAATCGGGCCTCATCTCGAGTTGATTTGGGGCACATGGAGCTGCTTTGCGTTGCTGGGGTGACCTCAGCGTCCGTCTAGACTGGTGACATTGTTCTTGGGGACTGTCTCGAGATCCATTAAGCAAGTCGAATCTCCTGACTTGTTTGAATGGGATCACGGAATAGCTCTGCATGCACTGCAGGGGAATGGGGCCTCATCTCGCCTCTAGGGGGAAGTCTCATGGTTTTACTCGAGTTGCGGCGGGGACCTGGGGTATGTTCTCGACTTACGGCGGGATGGCCCTTCAAAACACGAGTTTCTTCAGTGACGTCAGGACTCCTGTCTAGTAACGAGGGACACCTCAGGAATCTCTTCCAAGCTTGGCAGGGCAAAAGGGACGCTTCTCGAGGTGAGGCAGTGCACCCAAGGACCCTTTCCTGTAGCCACAGGGATTTTGGGATTCCTATCAGTATTCAAGAGGAGTCAGGCATCGTCACCTTTTGAAGCAATGAACTCCGCGTGCCTCTCGAGGTGTCAGCGGGATGTGAGGCATTCCGTCAAAATGAGGCAGGGACCTAGGGCTTTCTCTAAGGTCTCCACAGGGGATTCAGACATCCCTTCATGTTGTGAGATGAAAGACGAGCCTGTATTCAAGCCACTGCAAGGAAATCAGGCCTCCTTTCAATTTAGGGCTTCTCGCTGTATATTCCCCTTGAGGCAGCAACCTCGGGGTCCCTCCCACATAGCTATTGCTGAGAGAAGCCTCCTCCTGAGGTGCTTCTGGAAAGTTGGCATACGTCTTGAGCCTAAGCCAGGGAATCAGCTCTCATCTCGAGACGATTTGGGGTACACGGAGCATTCCTCGATTTGCTGTGCTGAAGTTGGTGTTCCTCTAGACTTGGGACAGTGTTCTCGGGGCATCTCTGGAGTTACCTGAAGGAAGTCGAGCCACCGGTCATGTTGAATGCGGAACGGGGAATGGCTCTGGAGTCAATGCAGGGGAATCGGGCCTCATCTCGAGTTGATTTGGGGCACATGGAGCTGCTTTGCGTTGCTGGGTTGACCTCAGGGTCTGTCTAGACTGGTGACAGTGTTCTTGGGGACTGTCTCGAGATCCATTAAGCAAGTCGAAGCTCCTGACTTGTTTGAATGGGATCACGGAATAGCTCTGCATGCACTGCAGGGGAATGGGGCCTCATCTCGCCTCTAGGGGGAAGTCTCATGGTTTTACTCGAGTTGCGGCGGGGACCTGGGGTATGTTCTCGACTTACGGCGGGATGGCCCTTCAAAACACGAGTTTCTTCAGTGACGTCAGGACTCCTGTCTAGTAACGAGGGACACCTCAAGAATCTCTTCCACGCTTGGCAGGGCAAAAGGGACGCTTCTCGAGGTGAGGCAGTGCACCCAAGGACCCTTTCCTGTAGCCACAGGGATTTTGGGATTCCTATCAGTATTCAAGAGGAGTCAGGCATCGTCACCTTTTGAAGCAATGAACTCCGCGTGCCTCTCGAGGTGTCAGCGGGATGTGAGGCATTCCGTCAAAATGAGGCAGGGACCTAGGGCTTTCTCTAAGGTCTCCACAGGGGATTCAGACATGCCTTCATGTTGTGAGATGAAAGACGAGCCTGTATTCAAGCCACTGCAAGGAAATCCGGCCACCTTTCAATTTAGGGCTTCTCGCTGTATATTCCCCTTGAGGCAGCAAACTCGGGGTCCCTCCCACATAGCTATTGCTGAGAGAAGCCTCCTCCTGAGGTGCTTCTGGAAAGTTGGCATACGTCTTGAGCCTAAGCCAGGGAATCAGCTCTCATCTCGAGACGATTTGGGGTACACGGAGCATTCCTCGAGTTGCTGTGCTGAAGTTGGTGTTCCTCTAGATTTGGGACAGTGTTCTCGGGGCATCTCTGGAGTTGCCTGAAGGAAGTCGAGCCACCGGTCGTGTTGAATGGGGATCGGGGAATGGCTCTGGAGTCAATGCAGGGGAATCGGGCCTCATCTCGAGTTGATTTGGGGCACATGGAGCTGCTTTGCGTTGCTGGGGTGACCTCAGGGTCCGTCTAGACTGGTGACAGTGTTCTTGGGCACTGTCTCGAGATCCATTAAGCAAGTCGAAGCTCCTGACTTGTTTGAATGGGATCACGGAATAGCTCTGCATGCACTGCAGGGGAATGGGGCCTCATCTCGCCTCTAGGGGGAAGTCTCATGGTTTTTCTCGAGTTGCGGCGGGGACCTGGGGTATGTTCTCGACTTACGGCGGGGATGGCCCTTCAAAACACGAGTTTCTTCAGTGACGTCAGGACTCCTGTCTAGTAACGAGGGACACCTCAGGAATCTCTTCCAAGCTTGGCAGGGCAAAAGGGACGCTTCTCGAGGTGAGGCAGGGCACCCAAGGACCCTTTCCAGTAGCCACAGGGATTTTGGGATTCCTATCAGTATTCAAGAGGAGTCAGGCATCGTCACCTTTTGAAGCAATGAACTCCGCGTGCCTCTCGAGGTGTCAGCGGGATGTGAGGCATTCCGTCAAAATGAGGCATGGACCTAGGGCTTTCTCTAAGGTCTCCACAGGGCATTCAGTCATCCCTTCATGTTTTGAGATCAAAGAAGAGCCTGTATTCAAGCCACTGCAGGGAAATCCGGCCTCCTTTCAAGTTAGGGCTTCTCGCTGTATATTCCCCTTGAGGCAGCAAACTCGGGGTCCCTCCCACATACCTATTGCTGAGAGAAGCCTCCTCCTGAGGTGCTTCTGGAAAGTTGGCATACGTCTTGAGCCTAAGCCAGGGAATCACCTCTCATCTCGAGACGATTTGGGGTACACGGAGCATTCCTCGATTTGCTGTGCTGAAGTTGGTGTTCCTCTAGAC